AAAGGTACGACGGTAATAGTTAAATAATAACCGATAGAATAAAGTTTCGCGGTAGTTTTTAAGGTAAGATATTAATCGGGATATACCGTACTATCCTTTTTAGTTTAATTATCCCTTACGGTATAATTAAACTAAGAAGGCTATAGTAATACGGTAAAATATATCCTCTTAATATATTACGTAATACGTTACGATAAGCTTTATATTTATATAAAATAACTATAGCTTCCGTAAGTACGGGATATATTATACTTATTATTTAGTTTATTACCTAATTAGATTATTATCTTTATTATTTTTACCTTAATTAAAGATTCGTTTTTATTATTAGATTCGTCGTTCTCCGATTAATATATTTATTTTAGTTATAGGCGCTTAAGTTACTTCGTCCTACCGTTATAGCCGAATAAGTAACTTTTACGTTTTACCTCTTTTCTTTCCTTACTTCTTATACCTTCGGGCTAGCGATTATTATATCTCTACGACTAAGGGGCATAATTAAGATACGATAATTATATTAAATTCCTTACCTTTCGATTAATATAGCGATATTAGTTTCTTTTATCTTAGACTATCGTACGTACTATAGTCTTCGATAGAGTATACTTTCGAGTGAATATATCCAGGTTTCTAGTATCGCGTACGCTCTGCTCCTCCTTAATACGATCGGAGGCTAGGGATCGGTAGGAAAAGAAGGGCTATATACCTACGTACTTAGCGGTATCGGAAGAAGCGAGCCGGCGCTCGTAGCACTAATAGGGTACCTCGTTAAGTACTTTATACTATTAAACGAATAAATTAACGACGTAACGAAGGTCCGTCGTTAATCGACGGAAATATTCGCTAACCGGGCCTTTATTATTAATCTCTATAAATAACGTCCGACGGCGAGAAAACTAAACGTAACGGACGAGGAATATAATATGGCTTTAAAGGTAGGTAACCTCTTAAAAGTCCTTACTTATAATCTCCTATACGATATACCGGCCGGCCGCCGGCTTACCTAGAAAATAAAACCGGACGTTACGAATTATTTTATTATTAATTAATATAGCCTTTAATTAGTAAATCTTATTAATATTAAGAGCTATATACCTAGCGTTATTAGTTTATTATCCGAATTCCCTCGATATCCCGGAGCTACCGGCCGATAATTATTTTTAGGCTTTAGTTTAACGGGTAGAAGTATGGGGCGTACGGTACTTACTAAGGCTTAAGGATTAGCCGATTAGCGTCCCGGAATTCCTCGGTAAAAGGTAAGCGGCGGAAGGATTCGTCGGGCTACTTATTTATTAGGTTTACCGGCGGCGGTATCGACTTAACCCGTTAATACGTTACGACTTTCTTCTTATTTTCCTTAGCTTTTTTAAACGCCCCGGTAATCTCCTTATCGGTAATTCCCGTAGCCTTTAGCTACTCGAATAACTTAAGGACGGTCGCCTAGTTTAGTTTAAGGAGTTACTTCTAGATAATAGGATTTATCGTATATATATATAAGAGAAAGAAAGATAGGAACGACGAAATTATAAATCTAGAATTAAGAAAAATCGAAAAACGAATTAAAACGAAAATAAAGGACCTAAGGAAAGGAAGAAAGGAAGTAGATCGGAACCGTAGAATAGCGAGAAATAAGAAGAAAGGTCGGACGAGAACGAGAAAGTCGAATACGTTACCTAGGTCGTAAGTACCGTACTTAGGAGAGTTTCGATAGTACCTACCTTAGCCTACGTTTAATTACGAGTCTACGAACGTACGTACTTATTACTTTATTAAGAATATATAATAAGAAGCTATAAGCTAACGCGTTTTTTATTATAGCTTTATATATATACGGGGGAACGCGCTTTCCTAAAGCGTTAGCCGTAAAGGTATATCTAATTATATCGTTAATACGTTTTCCTTCCTTCCTTTCTTTTTCCTCTTTAGGCATTTCATTCCGAAAATTCCCTCCCTATAATTATTATATTCCTATTAATCTCTAGCCTACCTTTCTTATTATTAATTTAAATTCTTATTTTTACCTTTAATTTATTATCTTTTCTTCTCCTTTCCTTAATTCTTTTATTTATTTTTACGATATCTTTTCCCCGTTTCGCCGGAATCCCTCCCTCCTTCTCCCTTTCCTCCGTTTATAGAAACGTACGTCGTACCGATCTAGCCGACTTAATAAAACTCCTACGGGAGATTTATAGTAGTAAAGATAATTAGAATAATATAAAGAAGTATTAGCTTAGTACTTTAGATAATTACGATTCGGAAAAGGATTCGATTAAACTAGGATCCGATATAGCCTAGGCCTTCCGGCTATCCGTTAATCGATCCCGAATTATAAACTAATAGCTATAGGAATAAACGAAGGTAACTCTAATTAACTCTTTCGTTTACGTTACTCGCTACGATTACCTTATTAATAAAGATATCCGTACCTTCTATATTATAATAAGCTACGACCTTAAAGGTAGGAAGGCGGCCTTTAAAGTAAACCCGTACTAAACGATAAACTACCGATCGGTAGGATCGTTCGATTTCCTAACCCGCCGATACCTCTTCGATAATCCCGCCTTTACTTTAGTCTTTACGATTTATACGGATCTAATAAACCCCGAACGAATTATTACCGATCTTACGAAGTTCTCCTAGGCCTATTTCGCCGTAACGCTATATTTCCCTAAGCTCCGGAAACTATATAGTTTTAATATAGTTAGGGACGGTATCTTCGATCGGGCGGTATACGCGCTCGGTTAGTTATAGCGAGCCTAGGAAAACGGTAGCCTCGAGCCCGGTATAACCCCTTAATTTACTTATTATATCGCGTTAGTAAATTAATAAAATAGCTTTAGTTACGGGTTTTAAAGCGGTATTCTACCGTATCTTATCTTTAAACGACCGATCGAAGTTACGCGCTAGGCCTAAGAAAATAAGGGCCTTAACCTCCTTAATACTATAAGAGAATACGCCGAGGTAGTAAAGTAATTTTATAGCGTTTAAGTTTTAAAAGGAGGGGTAGGTATCGTTAAACGTTTCCGGTAAGCCGTAAATTACTAAAAGCGAATTAACCTTATTAACGTTATAATATCCGTTTAAAGTACGCCGATCGGCGAGCCGCTTAGCCGTAAATCCTTCGTTCGGTTTATCGTATAAGCCGAAATCCGCCGTTCTTTTATAACCTTAATACCTAATTCCCCTTACTTCCTCGTATTAACGGACGTAAACCTCCGTTACGATAACCTCGTTAAGGTTATAACGCGTCCCCTTCCTTTCCCCGGCCTAGAAAAGATTAAAGCTTTTTAATTAGGGAAAACCTTTATATCGTATAGGTAGAGGAAAGATACCTAGTTAACCCTCGGAATGCGCCCGTTCCCTTATTATCCCCTTAACTAGGAGGGCTAAAAGAAAACCAAGAAAAAGGTAGCCGAAATAAAGAAGGAGAACGCCGATCGGATTAGGTCGGTAAGGATAAACCGAACTAAGTTAGCTATAAAATAATAAAAAGGCTTCCTTATAATATTAAACGAAAAGTTAAAGACGCGGCCGTAATAATTAAATAATAGCCGGAGGAATGAAGTTACGCGGTAGTTTTTAAAGGGAGATATTAATCGAGATATACCGTATTACCTTTTTTAATTTAATTATCCCTTACGGTATAATTAAACTAAGGAGGCTATAGTAATACGGTAAAATATATCCTCTTAATATATTACGTAATACGTTACGATAGGCCTTATATTTATATAAAATAACCATAGCTCCCGTAAGTACGGGATATACTATATTTATTATCTAGTTTATTACCTAGCTAGATTACTATCTTTATTATTTTTACCTTAATTAAAGATTCGTTTTTATTATTAAATTCGTCGTTCTCCGATTAATATATCTATTTTAATTATAAGCGCTTAAGTTACTTCGTCCTACCGCTATAGCCGAATAAATAACTTTTACGTTTTACCCCTTTTCTCCTCTTACCTCTTATACCTTCGGGCTAGCGACTATTATATCTCTACGACTAAGAAGTATAGCTAAGATACGATAACTATATTAGATTCCTTACCTTTCGATTAATATAGCGACATTAGTTTCATTTACCCTGGACCATCGTACGTACTATAGTCTTCGATAGAGTATACTTTCGAATAAACCTATCCGGGTCTCCAGCATCGCGTACGCTCTGCTCCTCCTCACTACGCGTAAAGCTACCTCTTTAGCGCTTAAACTATATGCCCGAGGCTACGCGGTAGTAGAATATAATCGATAATAGGTAACATTTAATCGCGGAGCCGGTTAAAGCGTCTTAAGCGTAGGATCGGATCGGGAATCCTATATAAAATTAGCGGTAAAGCATAAATTATTAACATAAAATATTAACCTAAGTAGGACGGCGTATATTTTCGCGGCAAGAGAGATAATTTTTTATAAATATAGCGTAATTTCGTAAATTAATAAATTATTCGATAGTTTAAATTCTTCCGTAAGTACGACATTCTTTAACTTAAAGCGACTCTATCTTAATTAAATTAAGGATGGATTATAAGGATAGATTATAAAATACGGAAAAGAGTAGGAATTATATGAATAGGAATAGAAACGTATAAATAAACGCGTTAGTAAATATACGTAAGGATCTTAGGGGATAATAAGGATACGCTAAATAAGAAAACCTTTATTTATCCCGCCGTTTTTATTAGGTACACGCATTTTTAGGGACCTATAGCGCGTTTTTTAGCCAGTAAAAACAGAGTTTCCCCTAAATGATACTCCTTTATAGGGTTATTTACAGGGTTATTTATAGGGTTATTTACAGGGCTATTTATAGGGGTATTTAACCCCGTAATTAATTAGTATAACAGGAGGTTATGCGTATTATAACTATCCTCCGGATAGGATCAGGGTGATCACGTATATGAGTAGGTACCTACCTCTTCCAAAGTGTCTACCGCAGATTACAAGTACCTGACCGGTACCTATCACTATGTACCTCACGTAAGCTAGCGGGACCCACGGCCAACGGGCCGACGTTTTACCCATCGGTGGACCAAATCTGCGATGGATCCCGCCTCCAATTTCGCCTTGACCTACCTAATATCTTCGTCGAAATTCTAGAGCTTTCGGCTGCGTCTTCAACCTTCTCGCCTTGTTTGGCCCCGAGCCCTGCTAGGCCAATGCTGACTTCTCCTCTTCGCCTTCACCTCCGACCCGCCGTCTGCTATGGTTACAGACTGACCCCGTAGTCAACCTTGCCCGTCCATCTGTCATCTGTAAGTTGTTGTAGTTATTTTGCTACCCTCTTCTCTCTTTCTTACTCTCTCTTCTCCTCCGCCCTACCCGGATGTTCTGATGAGACACCAGCTGGCACCAGTCATAGAGCGACTTGTACTCCTTTCTTTGATGACCATATGCTGTAGCCCTTGAGGCTGAGATCTGATGCACCTGCTATTCTTTCCCATTGTGCTCGCTGCTAGTTCCTAGTCCCGAAACCAACCCGAACGGATTGCTAACCGAGTTGCACATACTCCCTCAGCTTCCGACCGTATCCGGATATCGTGCGAACCTTAGCTCCAGTCCTTCTTCCACCATGGTCCTCCACAACCCGAACAACTGGCATTGGGTCAGCAAGAATGCTGGAGACTGGACCAAGCAGTGGTTCGAGGAGAATCTGACCCAGATCTCGGCCGAAGATGGAGAGGTCACCGCCAAGATTACCAAGGTTGTCAGCATGGACGGCGATGTTGACGTGAGCCAACGCAAGGGCAAGGTCATCACCATATATGACGTGAAGCTCGTCCTAGAGTATTCCGGTATGGCGCTTCCCTGTTGGCGAGATGTATGTGCCCGGTATAGCTTCTAATCCGCGGTACTAGGAACTGCTCCCGGAGAGGAGGATGTCTCGGGCACCATCACCGTGCCGGAGATTGCCCACGATACTGAGCAAGATGAATATGTCGTATGTATTGGCCTGCCCAAGTTGCCTCGCGCGGGGCTCCTGCTGATCCCGGGCTAGTTTGACATCGACATCTACTCTGAGTCGAAGGAAAAGCAGCCAGTGAAGGATTTGGTCCGATCCAAAATCACACCCCAGTTGCGAAGTGAGTTTTCGAAACTCATCCCAGCTCTGATCGCCGAACATGGCAAGGATATCCAACACGCTGCCGGCACCAATCCCTCCAGCGGGTTTACCACGCCCAAATACCACACGCCTACGAGCAACCCCACACCTACCGCCGCTACCGAGACCAGCACTCAAAAGAATAATGGCAGCGCTGTCAACACAACAACGGTGACGGATCAGGAGGAGTTCAGGACTACCGCGGCCGAGTTGTACCAGACGTTCACCGATCCGCAACGACTGGCGGCCTTCACCCGGGCCCCGCCGAAGAGGTTCGACGGCGCCCAAAAGGGAGGCAAGTTCGAGTTGTTTGGCGGTAACATTTCCGGCGAGTATGAGGAGCTCGAGGAGCCCACCAAGATCGTGCAGACCTGGAGATTAAACCAATGGCCCGAAGGCCATTACTCGAAGCAGCTGATCGAGTTCGACCAGAACGACGTAGACAGCGTAACCGTGATGCGTGTAACCTGGACGGGTGTCCCCGTCGGCCAGGAAGAGGTTATCAAACGCAATTGGGACGAGTATTATGTGCGAAGCATAAAGAAAACGTTTGGGTAAGTTATCGTCGTTATCGTCGTCGTCATCATCTGTCTAGGCCCTTTTATAAGCTAACAAGAGATAGTTTCGGGACAATCCTATGACCGGAGATGCATTTCATTGCTACGAGTCCTCGCAGATCTCCTATCGCTAAGCCGAGTCACAAACACTATAGAGTCCCATGATAGAGAACTGGTTCCAAGGTAGGGACGGTTTGCGTGATAATCCGGATCAAGAGTTTAAGGCGGCGCACGACACCGGGATCGTACTATCGTCACCAACGTCTGCTTTATACTGTCTATTCGCAAATACTTTATAGATGCTGATCAGAACAGAACCCCTTTCAACTCACGTCACTATCTCTCTCCCACCGCTCGCATTATAGTAGATGTTCCCGACTTCTGGTAATAAGGAGGCCCCGGCTCTCTCCTGTCCAGGTCCTGTCCAATGGAAGAGGCGAGTCCACCGTTTGTCTAATAGTCATAGGTGAGCTGAACGGTGGCACGAACGGATGCCTGGTTTCTACATGAATATGACGAGACCAATTACGCTGAACAAATTACAAACCGATTGCATCTATCCTCTTGTGTCCAACTGGTGCTATCACCTTCTGCATACTCCCCTCGGCTTTTCGGAATAGGGCCGAGAGTCTGGAAAACAACTAGAGATTATTCAGTACATTCGACATTGGCCCCACGTAGATATATTTACATTTGTTGCGAATGCTTGAATATGTTTACCAATTGCTATGACTGGGAGCTGATCGGCTTTAATAAGAAGATGGCTTCTAGATCATCAGGAGCCGTGATGAAGTACCTTCTCCAAAGCAAGATTGTCTAACCTTCACAGGAGAAGCAGGCGTCCAACGAGATGCCCGACTACGCGACAGCTACGGTATAGTTGACCTACGTGCTTCAATTCGACCGAAGTGTGTCCGTTTTGCGGAATCTCCAAATCCCCAACCTCTCCACGTGGCGCGGGGATCGTTCCGGGCCAACCATGCCCATACACCATACCGCAACCATACCCGAGTAACCTTACCTTGCAACGAGACACGTATGCGCCACCTGTCCGAGTAGTCGAAGTAGCAAAGTCCGCTGCTAATCTTGAACTTGCAATACGGCCCCGACGATTTCTTGCGGGGTTCACATTCCTTCCAGGCTCCGAATAAGTGCCAAAGCGACAACCCCTCTATTACCTCGTTAACCAGCCAGATCCCGCTTCCACTAGGTTTCGACGTCCGGGTCATTGTGCTACCATCAAGACCCGCAAGATCGTCCGTGAGAGGGCGTCGCGAATCCCCATCCTCCCTTCGGTTGACTGGTCCCGTCTGATGGCAGTGGCCTCTACTCGCTGCGGCCGCGTGGGACCTGGATATCCTCCATTGAGCGACAACGGAAATCGTCAAGAGCTATCGGGCAGACAGTAGGGCAGCCTAGTTGTAACTCTCGCGTTCGCGATCCGCATTATCTAGCTAGGTCGTGTGTGCGTGCGTGTGTGTGTGTGTCCGGCTTCGGTCGGTCATCGGCGTCACGATGTCACTCCCCGACCCCTCTTTCGAAAAATCCAACCTGGTCATCCGCAGCACGTCGGACATCCACGTGGATCTAAGCCTCGCCAGTCCCGGGCTCGCACCCGATCCGCAACCTAGCACGCCCCGGATGGGGGAGACCGAGGTGCACCCAGCCCGCCTTCCGGACTGGAGCAATCTCGAGGTTATTCACCGCAACACGCTGCCGCCGCGGAGCCACTTCCACGTCTACAACTCGGAGGAAGACGCGCTATCTGGCGACGTGGCCCGCTCGCGGGCCGCCCTGCTGTCCGGCAACTGGGGGTTCGAACTCACGACGGGGCCGTTCAAGGGCTCCCGCAACTTCTACGAGCCCGGCTTCGACACCTCCGGATGGGCGCTCATCAAGGTGCCCGGCATGTGGCAGCTGCAGGGCCACGGCAAGGGGCCGCAGTACACCAACGTCGACTTCCCCTTCCCGGTCAACCCGCCGCACGTCCCGTACGACGACAACGAGTGCGGCCGCTACGTCACAACCTTCGCGGTGCCGGCGGCCCTGAAAGACGGAGCGGACCAGTGGCGCCTGCGGTTCGAAGGCGTCGATGCCGCCTTCACCGTCTGGCTGAACGGCAAAGAGGTCGGCTACTCGCAGGGCTCCCGGAACCCCAGCGAATTCGACGTATCGGCGTTCCTGGCCCTGGATTCCGAGAATACCCTGTGTGTTGAGGTCTATCAGCGATGCGACGGGAGTTACATCGAGGATCAAGTACGTATGTCGTGGGTTTCCGGAGCATAAGGAGGCACTAATAATCAAAACCCCGCCCCTGCTTCTAGGACCAGTGGTGGCTCAGCGGCATCTTCCGAGATGTCTGGTTGCATTCCTTCACGGGTAGCCGTTTCGAGGATTTCCACGTCCAAACGCTCCTCGATGACGACTATGTAGACGCTTCGCTTTGGGTCAACGTTACCCTGAACGAGGCCGGCGAGACAATCACGTCAAAGCTTCTAGACGGCGAAAAGAGTGTGGTCGCCAGCAATTCGCACGCTACTCTCGACAGGTCGAGCACGTTCGAGTACAGGATTGAGAATCCGCACAAGTGGACGGCGGAAACCCCCTACCTATATACTTTGGTGCTTTCCGTCGGGTCTATTCACGTTGCCCAAAAGGTCGGCTTCCGCCGGGCGGAGCTCATCGACGGCGTGTTCTGCGTCAACGGAAGCCCGATCAAGATCCGCGGGGTGAACCGCCACGAGCACAACACGTACTCTGGACGGACAGTCCCGTACGGGAGCCTGAAGTGGGATCTCGAACTGATGGCATCTTTCCAGATTAACGCTATACGTACATCCCATTACATAAACGACACGAGGCTATACGATCTAGCCGACGAGATGGGCTTCTGGGTCTTGGACGAAGCCGACCTCGAATGCCACGGGTTCGAGCCGATCAGCAGCAACCCGGCAAGCTTCACCTCCGACAACCCGAAGTGGAGGAAGGCCTACGTGGATCGTGCCGTGCAGATGGTGATGCGGGACAAAAACCACCCGTCTATCATCCTGTGGTCCCTCGGCAACGAGGCCTTCTACGGGCGCAACCACCAGGCGATGTATGACGCGATCAAGAAGATCGACGACACGCGCCTGATACACTACGAAGGCGACAAGCAGGCGCAGACGGCGGACATCTTCAGCCGGATGTACACGTCCGTCGACGACATGATCAAGTATGCCGAGGAGAAGGACTGGGAAAAGCCTTTCGTGATGTGCGAATTCGCACACGCCATGGGCAACGGCCCGGGCGCCATACAGGAGTATATCGAGGCCTTCTACAAGTACCCGCGGCTCATGGGCGGTTTCGTGTGGGAGTGGGCGAACCACGTACGTTTTCCCGCCCGGAGGACAACTTACCAATGCGATCTAACAATCTTCTCTAGGGCCTCGCAGCTAAGACGGAGGGCGGCGAGGAGTACATGGCATATGGTGGCGACTTCCAGCCGTTCGAACCGAACGACGGTAACTTCGTTATGGACGGGCTCTGCAACTCACGGCACTTTGGGGGCCCCGGACTTGACGAGTATGGCAAGGCCATCGAGCCGGTTCAGGTGCTCGAGACGCGGGGCAACGACATAACCATTGTCAACCGCTACGACTTCTTAACCCTGGATCACCTCGAGTGCCATTGGGAGCTTATCGCGGACCGCCAACAGATCATCGGCCACAGGGTCTTGATCCCGCAGGGCGTCAGGCCCCACACCGAGGCAGTGCTTACGCTCGGCTTCTTTCCAACGACGGCATCGGCGGACACTTGGCTACAGCTAGAGTTCACCGCGAGCGAAGAAAGCAGGTGGGTACCGGCCGGCCGGGTCGTGGCACGATGTCAGATCCAGCTAACGCCGGCGCGGTCGCTCGCGATGCTCAAGACGCTTGCGGCACCGGGGCAGCCACCACGGGTAGAGCGTAAGGACGGCGTGTTCCTGGTGACGATCGCGCAGGGCACGAAGTTCGGGTTCGACACGGGGACGGGGACGCTGTCGTGGCTGTCGCGGGCGGCGCGGCCAAACCAGAACTTGATAACGGAGCCATTCGTGCTCGACTTCTACCGCGCGCTGACAGACAACGACCGCGGCGGGCGATTCGGCCCCGAGTGGCGGGCGGCGCGCCTGCACCAGACGCGGAACCACTTCTCGCAGATGTCGACGAGCGTCGCCGACAACGGGGACGTCGTCGTCGTCGTGCGGTCGCGCGTGGCGCCGCCGGTGCTGGCCTGGGCCGTCGAGGCCGAGACCACGTACACGCTCACGCCGGCCCACTGCAGCGTGCGGGTGCGGGCGCGGCCTAGCGGGGGCGAGGCGCTGCCGAGCACGTTCGCGCGCTTCGGGCTGACGTTCGGGATGCGCAACCTCCGGATCGTCGAGTGGTTCGGGCGCGGGCCAGGGGAGTCGTACGCGGACCGGAAGCAGGCACAGCTGGTCAACACGTGGGGGCAGCTCGCGGGGATGATGTGCTACGAGTACGAGTTCCCGCAGGAGAGCGGGAACCGGACGGACGTGCGGTGGGTGGAGCTGCGATCGCAATGGGGAGGGGGGAGCGCCGTCCGCACCGGCCGAGCTGCCGCCGCCGCCGACGACGACGACCTGTTCCACGATGGCCACAGCGGTGACGGTGACGGTGACTCGGGCCTGCTGCTGCGGGCGCGGTTCGGCGACCACGCGGGGGCGAGCTTCGCGGCTTCAAAGTACGCGACGCGGGACGTGGACGCGAGCGCGCACCCGCACGAGCTGCGGCGGCACCGGCGCCACGATTCCCTCGTGCGGCTCGACTGGTTCCACCACGGCCTCGGGACGGGGAGCTGCGGGCCGGCGACGCTGCCGGCGTACCAGCTCCGGACGGACCGCGAGTTCGACGTCGAGCTGCTGCTCGACTGAGCTGGGACGGCGGGTTGGGTGAGGTCGGGCTGGGCTGGGTTGGGTTGGGAGGATGGGATGCAAAATAAGGCAGGTATATATGAGTATAGGACGAGTGGTTTGTAGTGGGAGTTTTTGGCAGAGTGGAGGTAGAAGATGCTTACAAGTGCCTACAGGGGCCTCAGGTACAATACATCTCGGACCCGGTACTTACTTTGGCTACGCTCTGAGTTTGCTTTTTGGGTAGGGCTGAAGGAGACATAGTGGAATCGACTGCCTTCAAGCACTGTATACCCCTGATGACGTGTATCGGCGAGACCTTTGGCTGTCCTCGAGAGTGGATAAGCGACAGCGAAGCCGCGTTCACTAGTGAGGATACCCTCGAATGGCACCGCAAGAACAGCTCAACAATGAAGCAAGCCTGCCATGCCTTTACGCCCTAGAGGCAACGGCAAGATCGAGAAGGCAAACGCTGACCTGGTACTCTCGCAACATGATTCGCTTCGGGTCGGCATTCCGTGGGTCTCTTCCGTAAACACTTGGAAGGTAGCTGGCGTGTTGGTGAGGCCCATAGGCATCACGACCCATTCAAAGATGCCGAAGACGCCACGAAAGCTGTCTTGCGATCAGTAAAGGAGCGCTCCACAAGTGGGGTGTCAACTGACGGGGCTGATTCAACTGAGAACAAACTGACCACCTTAGGAAGCTTCAAGGGACAGCCGACTATTCAACCTATCCCCGGATCAGTCAACTGCGTGGAAGAGCACGCGTTCGCTGCGTCAGCACCTATTACCTATCGCTCGGGTTTCTAATTCCACCTTCAATTGCACACCTGCAATTCCACCTTCAATTTCCATCTTTCTACCTTCATTCTCAATCACCACCCGGCCTCCCTTTCTCCATCTTCGCGTCAGATTCACCCGAGTCAATCTCCATCTCCCGCTGTAAGATGGCTACAGCAGCACCCGTCTAGGTCAGCGACCTAACATCCTGTTGTCTTGTAAAACGTAGACGCCTACATTTACCTACGCCTTGCGTATGTAGGCTTATAAGGGCTGATCCCATTGCTACGTGGCACCTGTTCTGTCACCCGGGCTACCCTATACCCAACTTGCTCCTATCCCTCCCACGGGTCGATCCCGCGCCGGCTGGCACTTTTGGCGTTCACCACAGGACAGCGCTTCTAGCATGCCAGATTATCGCCAATAATAGCCTCAACAGTGGCTACTTGGCATTAGATCGGTCAGGCCAACAGCAGGTCGACACAGACTTAGATGATGTCTTGATAGAAGGGACTTATTACTTTGTTCTTGGTGAGAGTTCTAGTACGTGCCTTATTTTTTGGGGGGGGCCTATCAGTACATATCTAATATACTAAGATGAAACCTGCCCCAGTCCCTTTCCATATGAAGCAGGGCATATCTATCCTATTCGACGTATTCCAATTCTGTTCCGTGCGGAATTAGGTACTACTAATAGGATAAATATATCCTTATATTCTTTTATCATATAGGAACGTATTCGCATGAAGTCGTATATATACTAACTCATTTTATAGTCTTCTTCCGTATCTATATAACTTCGCACGCCTTCGTCCGAAGAAGCTTATAACCGAATTCCTCAAACTCTAACCCGCCTAACCCATACGAAGCAGTACGATGCCGGACAATATTACAATTGATGGTGAGGTTCGGCTACGTCCGATTAACCCCAGGAATGCCCGTCCCTGAATGGCTAGGTACTATCGAGGGCTCGCCATCCTGTATTTGATTGGTTGGATACTAAGCGGTCCCCGAGAGACTTCGTCGATGTTACTACGATCAATGACGACGGCTACCTAACTTACCGATGGAGACAAGACGGGCAATACGTCGAGAGGAGCATCCAAGGGAAAAACGGTCCGGGGGGGTCAGACTTGATAATCGATTGGTTGTTCCGTACAGTCCCGTATTAAGTTAGAAGTATGCCGCGCATATCAACGTAGAGTTGTGCGCTTCTGTAAAGGCTAGTCCCACCGCACCACTACAAGTATATGGAAGACACATGGGATGTGTTGCATCGGGAAGGGAGAAGAAGACAGCAGCATTCGAGCCACAGTTGCCAGCGGATGTCGAGGCATCTGCTACAGGGCATGGCAGGACAATCTGAAGACGCGCAGTCGGACTCAGAGACGATATCGCAAGGATATGATTATACCGTGTCAGATACTACGGCAGCTGGGCCACAGCCCCATGTAAAATATCTTTATAGCTCCCCAGGAGGCTCAGACGGGCTCCCCGAGGCAGAACGAGATAAGAACACCCAAAGTTTAGGTAAAATATATCTTCAGTGCTCCGGAGTTGGCTCGGCCTCGACAGGAAGGTCGTCGCTTGAATCGTTGGTCTGTAGCGCTTAGGTTTAGAGGGAAAAGTTTCCCTCCAACCTACACTTAACGTTTTATATTATGAGCTTGCTACCATCCCCCGACGGTTCTGTTTGCGCTGATTCTGGGTTTCTCCCTGCGTATATTGCTTGGAGCTGCGCCACCCGCTGCGAGGTTGCCCGCTGAATGTAGGTACCGTATGTGTTGCACATATGCAGAATTCGCGGCCATCTATTACACGATGTTACGTGGGTTGTAAACTGTATTAGAGCGTGATTTTCAGTCGTCGTGTTAAGGCTCCAGGCCTTGCTTGACCTTGGAATCCCTTCTTCTGTCCCCCCCCGCTCTTGGCAAATGGCAACATCAAGTCACAGTATTATTTGATATGCGACTTGACTAAACCACCACCAACCCGAGTCGGCATTTTGCTACCACTATCGCATCATACCTAATACTGATACTTACACGCGAGGGGCTACTGTTGTATTGCAGGCGAATAACTCGTCGGATTCTAATACTCGAGTTAGGTAATATTAGTAGGTGTCTCGGACTATTACACTTGATGCAGGTGTATGATGCATTTACTAATCACCTGCTAATAATCATGTGCGATCGTCTTATTCACCACGGCTACGCAAATGAGAAGTTTTCCATATTATGACGACCACCTAATATCCAGCATTTGCATACCTGCCGAAAGTTCACGAGTTTCCCAAGGCTAGTGACAATGGAATAAGCCGCAAAAAAGGTGTAGATTTCGTAGGTACTTTAACTTTAGTAACACGCTACCCTGAGTGAGGCTGGAGTTTCGAGATTCTCTTCCGCACGCGCTGCAGCCGGGGAAGACTGCCGCCCTCTCTCCTTTCCGTCTGTGCCGGCAGCGTGTCCCTCGGCTACGTTTCGCCGGCATCCCTCGCCGCGCTCCCCTTCCTCTAGCATCCCACCGCGTTCTGCGTGCGCTAGTCGCACGAAGTCAAGGGCGGGCGCGCGTAGTCCTCGCGCCAGCTGTCTCCCTGGCATGCTGCGTTGTAGCGCTCGAAGTAGTCGACGACGGGGATGTTACGTCCAGCCCACGTCCTCCTCCTCGTGGTCCGTAGCCCCTGTCTTCCCCACAGCGCCCCCCCCCCCACCCCTTCTCGCCTACTCTGCGCTGGCGGAGGGAAGTCCTTGGCGAGAAGCTTGATCACGGGGCCCGCAGGCATTTTGTCCAGCGACTCTGGGCACGGGTAGTTATACAGGTATTACCTTGCTTTAACGACAACTCCCACACTCTTATAGTTTATATTAGTTGCGAGGAAGCTCCATGAAGAATCAAGCTCTGCGATATAATATGCCGTTTAACGAATAGCTATTGAGTAACTTTGTCTGTGAGATGAAACTTGGGAACGCGTTCTCCTTAGAGGGGTGTCGAGTCTGTAACCGGCGTGAGTATGATGGGGATAGTGGACTTCATCCCAGTGGGGATTTCGAAGCTTCGAAAGGCAGGCTATTAATTTTAAATTCCGAGCCTTCTGGGACGATTCTGTTAGAGGATTGGGGGTGGTTTTACTGGCAGATTTACTTTTACGATTCCCAAGTGGTTGCGCTACTGTTACCCAAGCCTAGGGTCACGGTGCTGCTGCTAACTAATAGCACTATCGTATAAGATGTAAAACATATGAACTCTCCCTATTATACAAAGACTGCGGTAGTGAATGACATGCAACGCAACGATGAATAGTCGCCCACCAAACTGTTAAAGAAACGCAAAAAAAAAAGCGTACAAATACTGCCAATTGAACCAGCCCTTATATGCCTACATTCCGCAAAAGCATAAATGTAGGCGTCTACGTTTTACGAGACAAAGACAATAATGTCGCGTAAAACGCAGACGCCTACATTCTACACTTGTAGTATGTAGGCTTATCAGGGCTGATCCTGTACGTGACAAATAGGTAAAGCAAACGCAAAAGCCGAGAGTATCCCCACCTCCATGCGACAGGTACTGGAAGAAACACCATGAACCGTGGAGAGAGGTAGTAGGGAGCAAAGCTAGGTATCGTGACAGTTTGCTTCAGGAGGAAACTCCGGTGAAGCCCATTACTGGTCACGGACGCCTAGACGATGACTGCCCTCCATCATCCCACGTGACGCTCCCATCGGAATGCATATGATACCATCTGTTATATCTGTCATCCCAGGTCCAGTAATCGTCGGCTCCGCTGCTCGGGGATCTATGGCTTCCCGCACCGCTGGTTTGCCCACGTGAAGATGACTTGCCCCTCTTGCTGCTGCTCGCCGAGCTCTCCGAAGGTGGGGGACGAGATTTTGCTTCCTCAGAAGTTCTCCTCCTGCTCTCTTCCAGGAGGGTGTCGAGGGAGGCCCGGATCTCTTTCAGTCGCTTATCTTTTCCCCAATCAATAATGTTGCGGACGTACTTGCGAAACTGTATGTAATCATCAGGCTCTTGGAGCAAGAAACTCTTGACATTCGCCATATAGTACCGAAGGTCATCATGCTTCCACGAGATGTGGAGTCGGGCCTCTGTGCCACGAATAGCGATGCTGAATGCGGCACTGTTAATCGTACTGACTTCACTGCTCTTGCACTGCTTCAGCTGGCGGTTTAGGCGTTCGGCAATGTTGACACACGATGAAGACCCGCCAAGGCATTGATTCGTTGCCACCCAAATGGTCCCACCTCCAGACGGTCCGTCGCCCTTAAACTCGATGACGAAAAATGGGTAAATCAAGTTCTGACTGTTTGCTACCATCTCCGAGCCCATAGAGGCCAGCTGCCCCTGCTGCTGAGGAAAGGCGTTATGGAGGTTGTATCCATAGAGCATGTCGGGCACCGGATTGCTGACTTTCAACTGGGACCCGGTATTGGGGACGGCGTGCCTGGACATTGGTAGTCTGTCGGCACGTTCGAGGGGGTCGCTTGGGCCCGGGTCAGGAAAAATTTCACGTCTAAAATAATTTTCCACTTGAGGTTCACTGGCGCCCAGTGAAAGTCGTTCTAAAGCCGTATCTTCCCACACCTCCTCTCGCGACGGCCCTGGAGAGGTGCGGTCTCTGCGCACATCATCAATGAGAGTAGCAATATGTTCCGGGAACTGCTCGCGGGAAGAGCGCATGTAGATGTTGTTTGCCGGCAGGTTCACATCCCGGTAAAGCTGGTCCTCCACCAGGCTCCTCGAATACGACCGGCTGGAGGCACCCGACGGTGCGACCGACTCCGTGGCTGCATTTGAACGAGACCCAGAAGAACCCGGCGTGGGCGGAATGACAAATTTGTCGGCATCCCGTCTGGAACCCATCTCCGGCGCCGATCTGGCGAGCTGCCTGGAAACGGGGCTGTCTAGACGGTGAAGCTGGCTATCCGACCGGCAGTGTTCTTTTCGCTCTGATCCAACAGACTCGAGCCACTCGGAGACAAAAGTGTCGACAGACTCGGGATGGACGGGGTCGACGGAGTCTCTGAGAAAGGAGGCGTATGGTCGCCTGGGAGGCTGAGGCCTGGGCTGTTGTAGCGTCGTCTGCGTGATGTCCGTTAGTCGTTGGCTTGCGTCTAGGACCGTCTCCATACCTTGTCCGTCTTCTCTGCTTTCCCGGCAACCCCAGGGAATTGTGCGTCCGTCTGCGTCAACCGGGCTCTCTTCGAGGGTAACAGGTCGCTCTCGGACGTCGCGTCGAGCTGCCTCTTCGCCGTCTGCACTGATGTCGCGTCTTGAGCGTCTACCGTGAGCTGCTCTCGGCGGCTCTGAAGCTCTGTATCGGATGAGTTAACAATCGTCTGCTTTCGCGAGACATTGATGATCGCGTACCTGTATCCTTGTCTGTAGCAGCGTCCGGCGGTTTCTCTTGCAAAGTGTTGGATGGGTTCGCATGAGAGAGGTGGTGCGGCGTCTTGGGGATTCTGCCGTCCATTATAAGGAACGTGTCGAGGCATGTAGGGGGGATTTTATTCTCCATCGGCGCTCAGGTTGGCCCACGGAATGACCTGCCGAGATCATGGGCTTCGTCGCAGTCGTTGAGATTTGTTGTGGTCGCAAACTAGATAGGCAGTTATTTTAGGCGGCAAGACGTGGGGGTGTTTTTGACATGTTGGCTGTTGGTGGCTGCTTGCGGGGTAGTTTGTATCGCCCACCCCGGCCGAAGTTGGCGTTTTGGCCTTCTATTCGCTAGCGGGCACGAACTGTTGGTGATAAGCTGCTGGTGATAGCTTCGAGCCGTGAACATCCAATTCACTGCCAACCGCGCTGGTGGAGTCGTTCATATGAGCAGAGCCGCGTGGCATTGCGGCCACGGGTGTTGGTAAGGCGAACCGAGGCCCAGAGTAACGTGTCTGATCATGACAGCTAATCATTCGCAGCCGCCCCAGCCTTTTTGCCGCCTGAGGTGTCCCGGCATATATTGGCTAGGTTCGAAGGCTCAAAAAAAATCCGAGGTGTATGCATTCTCGTAAGGCAGCAGCTCCAACCAGCGAATCATTCTTCGATGAGGATTGAGCCGCATCAGCAACGGCGGGAATTGATACCAAAAAGTGCACCTCGGAGCAGCTCAGCCTTCGCCTTGGCGGCAGACTCGACTCCACAGTAGAGTGCAAGTTGATTCTTTTGCATCGGAGATGGCCTGAAACGGCTATCCAGCCTCCAGCCGTCTTAAATAGTGCTCCTGAGTAGGATACAGTCTACTAACACGGAGTAGTCGAGCTAAGGTTAATTCCATTACTACACTTGAACGACCACCTACTGCCGCCACCACTGGCGCTAATTGCACTACTACAATACCTATGCAGTTGGTTGCACCACCACTAGGCGCCTAAGTTGCACCACCACCAAGTAGTTGTACCACCACCACTATTAGACACCTTTTAATATATTACCTTGATATGCACTTTTAAGGCAACTTTTGATTGCGAAAAGGAATTAGTCAAGTGCAGTTTCGCATGGCAGTTAGAAATGCGTTTGAGAGGAAATTTCCATAACCCTTGCAAGGAACTTGATAAAGCTCGGCATAAAGCGGGGTTTTCCGTTTAGTCGGGTCAGAGGTTGGGGTGAGGCACACTGGGATTAGTTGGGATGGTCTGCGACCTCCTCAGAGAAAAACGCCCATGGCTAGATGAGACCAAGGGTGCGTAACCAACGCTTCCGCTTCAAGGCGCGTCGCCGGATCGTAGGTACGTCAAGGCCCTGGGTAAGGGGTCGACCGACAATGACGTCTCGAGCGCCGATGTCCTCGGAAACGCCTTGAGCATGCCATCCTTCCCCCCGAGTTACGCCGTGAAGTAGGTAAGTCCTAGCAATGCGTAAACCGCCCTTGGCTTCCACACTATTGAACTTAGCGCGGCCGGGTAGGGCACCTTAAGCGCCGCATCGAAACCTTTCCTAAAGCCAACATCCATCTTGCGTTGTTTCTGTAGAGCCGTCCATCGGCGCGTTAGGCCGCGCCAATGGTCTTCGTTGACGTGCTTCGACGAGAGACCAGGCGTAAAGGCGCAAGGCTCACTTAGGTATTTGATTGCAGCAAGGATACGGCTCCTGGTACAACTCGTGTGGTGCCTAGGACTAACCGCTTAGTATCGAAGCTGTCGAGATGAAAGACGCATCTTCTTTTCTAGGATTACTCACTGCGACAGCCCAGAAAGCGATAGGTGTGGGGTGTCCCTTTTCGTTTATAGAGGCAGGTTCCGCTAATCATCGCAACTGAGCCCTGCACAGCAGGGGGGCCACAGAGTCCCGTCGTAACATGCCAGGAAGGCGTATTACCGGTGACCAGTAAACCAGAGGCATGGTCGTTACCTTCTAGTAAGGGTTCCTAAAACGCTACGAAGGTGGCTCATATAGATGAATATATGCGATAACTAGCTCTATAAAAACACTCTACGTCTTTCTGCAAATCTCGGGGCCTGGTTGGTGATGATGGTATCTACCTAGCTGTAGGGAGTCCGCTGAATCGGCCGCCGCTAGCGGGGTTCGTAGGAACATACCTAACGTAAACCAATTCGGCAATTCCACCGTTTCATCGAGGTCAAAATTACTTCCTAGCGGGAGGCTGGTTGAAGACTCGTGACAATACTTGGTGGTATTATGAGCCGCCATGGTGCTATTGGTAACCTGGCGGACGCTGCAATGTACACAGCAACTGGTATTGTTAACCTACCTACTCTAACGAGTAGACACCAGCTTTTTCTAAGGGTGGCCCGGCGCCATTGGACTTCTCTTCCCCGTTCTCCTTGTCTATCCCATTTCCGTACTAGGACTCGGAAAACTCCATGATTCGGACATTGGCGAGTCGCCTCAGCCAAATGACAATTCGAGGCCGTCGATGATTCTTTTCTGGCGGCGTCCGAAGCGAGTATCCGTGCCGCTTTGGCGAAAGGCCGCCAGAGTTGTAGTACGAGTGAGCGCTTCTGCTCACGCCAGTGTGTGGGGACTAGACGTGCTCTCCCGGGTGCGTGGCTGGAAGACCAAGGTTGCCGTAGCTCGAATGGAGATGGCATCGAAGAAATATCTGGAATAGTCCTGGGGTATCTGGCATGAACCTCGTCGACTGGCCCTCAGCTTTTCCCGCCGTCCCGACTGTACTCTACAGGTAGATCCATGCCGACCCGGCGGGCAGTCAGGCGGACGCGTTCCTCTTCGTCCATGCCCATGCCGGGGTTGTATCGCTCCAGCAGCGTCGTGTATTGTCGCTGCGCCCTGAGGTATTGGACTAGCTGTTCGGCCTGCTCGACAGAATGCTGGTGCGTCGGATCGGCTGAGAAGCTCTGCCGCAATCGTTGGTGGAGGGGCGATCGCGCTTGTGATGCTGGGGATGAGGGGGCTCTGGGCGCGAGCTCTCGGAGGAGAGAGCGGTAGAGCGAGCGCATCTGCGCCGGGGTGGACGTCGCAGCCGGCATGGGGGATAGGCGCGGTCGTGACGCGGCGGTGAATCGAAGTCGCGCGATAGGACGAAGGGGGGAGAAAGGGGTGGATTAGGACGAGGAGGAGAGAGCGATAAGATAGGTACCTAGAAAATGAAGAACGCCGATAACGACGATAACCTAGCTCACCCCTTACGTAAGCTGGGGTCTCGCGCATGGCCCGGCTAGCATGTGTCTGACAACTTTTCCACCAGCTCTTTTTACGCCTCCCTGTGCAGCAACATCCGATATACCTACCTATGGATACGCCCGTCGCCACCACTTGCCGTCTAGGCTGCTAGTCGGGCTGCTAGCTAAAGCCGTGGCAGATTCAACAGGCCACGCTGCTTCATATCCACCTATTTCCCTGCTCTTCTCGGTCAAGCTGACGCTGTGCCGTTTGTATGGCACACAACCTCAGTGTGCTGAACACGGCGAGTCAACCGAGAGAATGCTTCCCTCGGCCCAGCTCCGTGCGCTTCTAGCCATGCCGGCCTCCCTCCGGACGTGCTTAGCGAGCGCGCATTTGCGCGAGATACCGAGCCGGATTTGCTTCTTCTCGACAAGCCCCAGGCGCTATATAAAGCCCCCCAACATCGCCGGCTTCCTGGTCCCCGAGTCCGAAGCGTCCTTTCCCGTCGAGATCAGCCCCGACGAACTCTTCAAGACGTCTTACGTAACTTCCGCTCCGGGGAAACCTCTGCCGGAGGAATTGACCACACTCTTCATGAGAAATGAACCCAAGTTTCTGTATGCGCAGGGCGACTTCTACAAGCTTAAGAAGAACACGCGCATCCCCGAAATATGCGTGCTGGGTCGGTCGAACGTTGGAAAATCTACCTTTATCAACGCCCTCGCCGGTAGGAGTAAAAGCGCGCTGGCCTTCATAAGCAATACGGCCGGGAGGACTCGGTCAATGAACGCGTACGGCTTCGGGCCAGCGCCGACTATGAAGGAAATTGCCGCCGAATCCTACCTGTACAAGGGAAAGGAGGATATCCCCACCCATTCGTGCTACGTGATAGACTTGCCTGGATATGGATTCGCATCATCACAGGACTGGGGACGCAACATCACCCTATTTCTGACTAAGAGGGTCGGCCTCAAGGCGATTGTGTTGATTGACGCCGCGGTCGGGCCGAAGGATACCGATTTCCAAATATTGGAGTTCCTGTGCTCCGTCGGAGTGCGGACGGCCATAGTTTTGTCCAAGGCGGACAAGGCTAAAGGCGGCATCGAAGATTTGCGCGCGACTTGCTCCATATTGTGGCAGGGCATCCGCGCGGCTGAAAACAAACTGCCTAGCAGCGGCTGGAGTTGGGAGAGGGAGATATTCGTGACCGCTCTTGGTGCAAGGGACAGTGATATCGTGAGCACTGGAACAGCTGTTGTGCGATTGGTCGTCGCTCGCCTGGCTGGCTTGGTGACCGACAACCGGCCGAAAGCGGAGACGAATCGGGGTTGGTCGGGTAAGGTTGTTTCTTTTGAAGACCTTCAGTACATCTCGAGTCCGGGTAAGGCCTCGACCCCGAAAGATACGACACCAACGCTCGCTTCCCCCCAAGTTGGAGCGGTCGTCACAAGCGACACGAGCCCTAAGGACTCCGTTGCCGCTCTAGAACGCGCCTCGGCCGAGACAAGTCCTAGAACCGTGCATATGATTACTCCACGGGCCTGGAGCGATTTGAAGAGACGGAGCAGCACGGGTTTTTTCCACTCGAAAGCATTTCACAGCAGCGCGATATCGCTCGACGAGGTGTCGACGAAGGTAGCGCCGGAGCCGGAGCCGGAGCCGGAGCCGGCGCCGGAGCCGAACCCCGACTCGGTGCGGCTGCGCGAGGCCTTCGACGAGTTCATCAAGGGGCTGAACCGCTCACAGACGGCGCAGACCTTCCTCGAGGAGAGGCGGCGCCTGCGCGACCGGCAGCCGCCTCGGCCGCTATGGCAGCGCAACATTCTCCAGCGGGCGCAGCGGCGCGAAGCTCAGCTCCTCGAGCGGCAGTTCCCGGAGCAGACGAAGCAGATCGAGGCGGTGCTGCGGGAGCGGGCGCGCATCACGGAGCAGGAGGCGCAGCAGCGCGGTCGGCGCGGCAGCGCGGCGGCCCGGGCCGGCGGGGGCGCACGGCCGCAGGCGGGGCCGCGGGAGCAGCAACAGCCGCAGCGGGCGCGCGAGCCCGACGCCGGCGGCGACGACGAGCCCGTGACGGCCGACATGCTCGCCGACATCATGCGCACCCCGACGCCCGCGCGGCGGCTGTCCAAGAAGGAGCGCAAGAAGGAGAAGAAGAAGAGCCAGAAGGAGAAGCAGGACGCGGCCAAGGCGCGCACCGACGAGATGGACGAGTTCGAGGCCAAGTTCGCGCGCGCGATTCGGAAATAGAAGGGGTAGGGGGAGAGGTGACGAGCCGCGAGGCGTCCGGTCGTGCACACGAGATATGTATCGTGTGCACACCTATGTACGTGCCGTAGGACCCTGTGCCGCGCAAGACGTTCTACTCTACCTGTATATCTAGGGATATATGTATATATCGGGGACGCTACGCGGGAAAGGACTAGAGAAACGACTCCTAGACATTGTAGAAAAAGCAAAGCAATTTGAATTCTAATCATCGTATTCTCGTTATCTTCGTCAAAGTCGAGTTGCTCCGTTTCACTATATTTCTACAGCGGGGTATATATGTACAGGGATAACTCGCCAGCCCTCCCCTACGACGCAGCAGCAGGGACCGCCGACTTCGCGACCCTCGACACCTTCGGGCGCCTCTTGTTGGTCCTCCGCTTGCCCCTCTCCAGGTCTGCCGGCGCCGCCGCCATCGCGGCGTCCAAGGCGCTGCGCGAGCCGAAGGGGTCCGGCAGGAAGATGTCCGCCAGGTTGTCCCAGAAGCCGAGGTCGTACAGGTTCTCGACGTCGCGCAGGCGCCAGACGCGCTCCCACTCGCCCGCACCGGGGGGGACGGAACCGTCGGCGGCGGCGGTGGGCGGTGTGCCGTCCTCGGTGCGGACGAGGACCTGGATAGCCTCGACGGGCCAGCGCGCGAGGGGCGCCTCGAGGCGCGGGTTCTTGACGCGGTTAGCGGGGAGCGCGCGCCGGAAGGCGCAGCCGTCGTCCATCTCGAGCTGCCAGTCCTGCCATTTCATGCTCTCGTTGGTGGTGGTGCCGCAGTAGATGAGGTAGAGGTGGTAGCCGAGCAGACCCCAGATGAGGGGGGAGGTCATGAGCGCGAGCAGCGTGACGGAGCCGACGCCGACGTCAACCTGGATGCCGAAGGTAGCGAGCATGATGTACTCCCGCCAGGACCAGCCGGGCGGCTTCGGGAACAGCACGAACTTGGGGTTGCGGGTCCGCGCGTAGTCGGCGACGGTGCGCAGGCCGAGGGCGGCGCCGTACGCTGTCAAGGTGGCGGTCGAGAGCAGCAGCAGGAGGAACCAGTGCTGGTTGCCGTAGCCGACACAGTTGTTGATGAAGACGCAGTGGTGGTCCATCCTGTGAACGCAGCGCTGGCAGACAGAGCAGTGCTTCGAGCGCGGGGGCTTCAGGAGGCTGCAGGTGCGGCAGGTGTGGCCGGGGTGGAAGAGGGCGAAGTCATACGGATAGTGTGACATGTATCGGGCGTGAGTAGCTGGCGTGATGACGCCCGGGTCGCCGTGGGCGGCGAGGTACAGGAATAGGTACGGCAGGGAGATGGCGATGCTTCCCGCGACTTGGTTCAGCGCACCCAGGCGCGGCCAGACGCCTGGTAGGTACATGTACTCGCTGACGGAGAGCAGCAGCACAAAGAAGATCAGCACGGTAGGGTGTCGGCCGTACATGATGTAGTGGCAGAAGCTCCCTAGTCCCGTGGTGAGGCGGCCAGAGGTGAGGCGCTGGTCTAGGGCGAAGACGGCACCCGGGATGGATACCCAGATCGCACGGTGCAGCCAGGCTATCGGGGTGTGCCTGGTAGTGGTGGTCAGCATGACAAAAAATAGAAACAACAGGTGCTGCTCTCGTCTACTGATCGATTCAACAATTCGCCGAGCAACAGGACAGGCGTTACGCGTTGCGCGTTGCGCTGCGACGCGGCGTAATGCCACGATTTGAAGATCGGGGTTTGTTGTTCTTGCCATACCTTAGAGCCGGAAGTCTGCCAAAGAACGCGACGAGGGTCATGAATGAGATGGCGAGGACGATTAAGACCGCCTTCGTTAAGGCACCCATGTTGACTTTTCTGAATAATACCAGATGCAAGAATCGCGGAGTCTTATTTTTACTATCTTGGGCACGATGGCTTGCTCGGGGTCCTCTTTTTTTCTTCGCCCTCTTCGCTGTTTTACCGCTTCGTTCCTCTTCGCCGCCTTCTCTCTTTACTGTTGAATTGGCCGCCAGAGAGAGCTGCTCCGATCTCGACCATGGCCGAGTCGTCGCGCGAAGAAGGAAGAGAAGAGGAATGGAAATGGGACGGAGGAGAGGAAAGAATGCGGTAGAAGGAGGACAGGGCAGAACAAGGCGCCTGTCAGCAGGAAATGGGGTGGAGCATCGTGAAGTGATGCCGAAATGCGAAACTGCTGGGGAACCTGGCGAAGACGGGGGGAGACGAGGACTGGGACTGAGCGGACCACGAGGACGGGCCGTACACAGCGGCGAGAATAGTAAAAGAGACCAGCTGGGCGGGTTAAATTCACAAGCGAGGATAGACGGGACTCATGGGCGCATCAGCTGGCGGTTTAATACGTAGAGGTCGTGGCGGTCGCTAGCAGAGGAACGGGAAGAGGAAGAGGATGATGATGAAGCGAGACTCGAGATCCAGCACAATTCAAGGGTACGTCCTAGTGGTATATACCGGATGTACCTTGCCTTAGGTTAGGAGGTACCTCCTGTAGGACTGATGACAGCATGAGGCTGTGTATCCGGTACAGTACTTTAGGCAGGTGTCGTGTACCTTCGCATCACTGGCTAATGGTGGGAAGAGGGAGCGCACCATGTACCTGGCTGCCGAGGTAGGTCCTAGAGGAGGTACCTGGGTAGGCAGGTAGGTACCTCAGCTAAGGCGCCTCCGAAGAGGTGTGTAGGTACCTCCTTAGCTTTTGCTCGGGTACCCAACCGGGGCGCTCATAGCGTATGAGAGGTACCTAAGGTAGAGGTACCCAGCCCTACGGACAGTGAGGCAGGCTATGCACACGTCATCCAGCCGCTCCCAGCTGACGTCGGGGAACGGGCCAAGAGAAAGATTTCCAATCCGAAGGAGGTACATAAATACCTACCTCTACTGCATGCCAGAACTGATATATGCATATACCTAGAGCAAAGCACAGCCGACTGGAACCTGGAATATCCATAACTTGGTACCTGCCCGGCTGGCGCATGATGTACCCTAACGTCGCGCTTTCCCTATCACGCGTCGCGTGAAACTCCTACCACGAGGCATCTACGGAACTGGCCCGTGGCTGCCGCAGGACACGCTTGAGAGAAGTGCAAGTGCAGGAAGACCATAAGAGAACCCTTCATCCTGCCACAGCCACTTTCCCGTCGCCATCACATCGCTGTCACATCGCCATCACATCGCTTGCCGAACGCCCTCGTCGAAACCCTGGTGCCTCGCGATATTCTATCATCAGCAAAGCCGATACGAGACACATAGTGCCGCGACTCCACATCCAGCCTTGTCCGAGGATTGGCGACATGCCAGCCGGGATTGTTTATGAGGGCGCTGCCGCCCCGGCGGTTCCTCCAGACAATGGCGTATTTAGCGGCTTGAAATTCTGGATCGGCCGCCGAGTTCCCGACCGAACCACCGTCAGCCGGGCAGTCCATGTACTGTAACACTCCAATCCGCATTGCCGTGATAGACTGCTGACGCACCAGCTAGAGCAACGGTGGCAAGGTTGTCGCGCTTGAGAAGTATGCCAACTACAGGATTTACGATCACGCGAGGAAGGATGCGCCGCCTGGGTCGTGTTCCTATCGGTTCATCACGGACTCCGTCGCCGCCGGCGCCCTGAAGGACCCCCAGGATTACCTATGCGTCCGGGTGAGCAGCGGGACTAGGTCTGGCCAATCTGAACCCGGGAGTTCGGCGCCCCAGAAGCAAACGAGGACGAAGTTTACCACCGAAGATGACTTGATCCTCTATAGATGGGTCAAGGGGATGGTAGGCGCCGGAAAGCGAGCTGGCGGTATGGAAATATACAAAGATCTCGCAAAAAAAGTACTGCCTCGTTAGAATTGTCCCTCAACGTTGGCCGTGAGCTAACCGACCCTAGCATCCGCACCACACGTACCAGTCGTGGCGTAGTCGCTGGGTAGATGTCCTGAGTTTTCGTCGCCCGTCCCTGGAACCCCCATCTCCATCGGCACGTAGTCCGAGGGTGACGAGGTCCGCTGGAGTCGAGCATACGCCGATCAGGACACGGAAATCCCTGAGCGTACGAGACCACGTTTCCACGGGTGAGACAGAAGAGATAGATGTGGCCCCGGCCCCGCGCGTAGCGAACGGTAAGGCCAAGTCCCACGCTGCAAATAGGGAAGAGCGGGAACCCCTGCCTACCGCAAAGAAGACGCAACCTCGCCAAAAACCGCGGAACGTGTCTTCCGGTCCGAGTGAGTCAATCTCTAGCGAAGACTCTATGGTAGAGAAATTCCATCGCTATTATAGGGACTTTCTAGAGGGCGAAGAGCGCCCGATGGTTTTTCACTCGACCGTTCGTGGCCGTACTTTCGGGATGTGGGATCTGTGGCGTGCGGTCGACTCCCTAAAAATGGAGCCTGCCGAGCGTGATTGGCAACAGATTGCTGAAACCATGGGATTTGACTGGGTTCAGCACGAGACTGTCCCAGACGAGCTACGACGATGCTACGAGAAATATCTCGCCGATTTTGAAGAGGCCTTGAGGGCCTTCGAGAACGAACAACTGGGAGAGGAAGAGGGGGGAGAGGAAGAGGAGGGAGAGGAAGAGGGGGGAGAGGAAGAGGAGGAAGAAGAAGATCAAAGCGAGGGCCAGAATCAGGAGTTGGGTACAGAAACAACACTCCCCTCGTCACCGCCGGCGCCTTCTCTAAAACGACCCCTCACTACCGAGCTCTCAGACCCTAGCTGTGCATATCCACAGTCGCCCAAACGACGAAGAATCGACCGTAAGAGTGTGATTCCATCTACACCCGACGAAGTGAATGGAACCTCTCATCTGCGCCCTCGGCCCGGTGCCAACGTGACCCCCCGCGCCAGGAAGCCTGATGCGACCAATACCGAGGTAGCTCTACAGAGTAGTCCCCTACGGCATGTCGTAGACGAAGAAGCCGACGAGGATGAATCCCGCGACACATTGGGGGAGCTGTGTAACCCATTTCAAAGACCAAAGAAGGTCCCCGAGCCAGAGACACAGGATTTTGGATTTGATGCAGACACGCAAGTGAATATCGATGATGCAGAATCACAATGCGGCATCACGCCGTCGCAGCAGCTCCTACTAGAGTCCGATGCCGCCATCTCAATCATGGAAGATGGATCTCCAACTCCTAAGGCTAGGACACGAAACCTCAGTCCAACTTCGCCGCCGCCGAGAAGATCCACCGCGCGGTCCTCGCGGGACGGGCCCGCTGGCAAAACACCGAGGCCTTCTACGGCTAACTATACCAAAGATGATACCGCAAGCCCAACTCTAAGCAGAGGCAAAGCTGAACGCCGTTCTTTGCCACATTCATATGTTCGGAGCCCACCAGCCGCTGTTAAGACTTCAGGCGGATCCTCATCTAAGCGACTGGATCATCCTAAAGACCAACCCCCGAAGCAGCCAATTCTAGTGCTAGAGACGGAGGACCAAGTAGTGGATCATTTCTGCTCACTCGGCTACCCGAGAGACATAGTGCTTCGGGCGCTGCGGGCGACGACGTGGCGCCTAGGGGACGCGGGCCAGGTCATGGAGATGCTGAAGCGGGGAGAGGAGCTTCCGCAGCGGACGCGCGGAGTCTGGACGCGGCGCGACGACGAAGCACTGCGGTTGGTATCCCTCGAGGAACCCCCCAAGGATGAGAGAGAGCAGAGGAAGCGCGCAGGGGCGCGCAGGATGCTCGAGGCCAAACACGGCCTGGAGCTAATGGACGTTCGACGAGAATACCTCTGGGGAGGCCCTAAGAATCAGGATCTGCACTAGGCATTTATGATATTAGGCGTTGTTGTTTTTATCTGGTTGATTGTTGGGCTGTCCGTGCAATTCGTACACAGTCGGGATAATGACATATTATACCAAGGCGTATTCGCGTTGGTCAATCCCTGTAATGATATTGTTACGCAAGCCTCAAATTCTCTAGTCGAGCAACATCCTACGTGGTATATCAATATGCGCATGAAGGTCCGGATAGGTAGGTAGGACTGAGATTGTTCACAAACCCGCGTTCTCGAGACTTACCTTGGATCATTCAACTCGGCACGTCTAGACCAACGAGCACAAGACGGCGAGGTTGTCATAGAGAAAGAACACCCAAGAGGAGGGTGCTCCAATAGAGACCCCAGATAACCCTAATCCCAACATACAACGTCCTCGTAGCCGCTTCGTAGCGCTAATCCCCGTCATGGCCAACCTCTATCCCGTCCCGCCACGCGCACGCGCACGCACGCACGCGACTGGGCCCGGCAATCTAGCTGCTCTTGCTACTCTTGCTGCTGTCACTGCTCTTGCTGCTGCTGCGGCTGTGACTCTTATGCTTCTTGCTCTTCTTGTGCTTCTTGGAGAGCTTGTGCCCGCCGTAGACGCCAGCGGCGCCGGCAGCGAGCGCCGCGGCGGGGACGAAGGCCGAGGGCAGGCCGCCGTGTCCGTGCGCGCTGCCAGCTCCTCCTCCTCCTCCGCCGCCGCCGCTACCGTGCGAGCCCTTGAAGTAGTGCGCTGCGGCGGCAGCGCCCGCGGCCGCGAGCGCGCCGCCCCCGACTATCTTCCCGAGCCCCCGCTCGCCGTTCGGGTCGTTAGGATTGCCGCCGCCGCCCGCCGCCGCGTACTGCCCCGCGTAGCCCTGGGGCGCGTACCCCTGGCCGTGCGGCTGCGCCGCGTAGCCCTGGCCCGCGTGCGCCGCGCCCGATCGGTCGTCGTACGGAGGCGGGGCGCCGCCGTAGGGAGCGAAGTTGCCCTGCGCAGACGGCTGCCCGTCGTGGTGGTGCTGCTGGTACGGCGAGTACGCGGCGTACTGGCCGGCCTGCGGCGCCGCCGGGGCCGCGCCGTACTGGTGCTGGTGTCCCGACGGAGCGTACTGGCCGCCCTGGGGCTGGGCGCTGTACTGGTTCGGGGGGTAATACTGTCCCTGGGGGTAGTGGCCCGGCTGGCCCTGGGGGGAATATTGGTTCGGCTGGCCCTGCGAATATTGGGTCGGCTGGACCTGAGAATACTGGCCCTGAGAATACTGGCTCGGCTGGCCTTGGGGGTGGTATTGGTTCGGCTGGCCTTGGGGAGGGTAGTGGCTCGACGGAGCGTACTGGTTCGGTGCCGGATAGCCGCCCTGGTTAGGGGGGTAACCACCGCCGCTGCCACCGTTGCCGCCGTAGTAATCTTGGCTCGACATGTTGGGCTTAAGGTCGAGGCCTGAAGGAACGAAGCGGTGGGGATTTATGGAGGTACAAGGCACGTACGTCTACAACCTTTCTCTTAGTTAACAAGGGGAAAGGGGAGCGTGTATAGGAGGGAGGGAAGGGAAGGGAGAAAAGCAGGACGGATTATGGACGATTTTCGGAGCGGTCTTAGGTGTCGTGATCGTGAGGCCTCATTTTTCCGGTAGTAAGAAGACGGTGGGAGGCCCGAGGAGGGGGGGCCGAGGGAAGAATTGTAGGGGGATAGGCGCTGGAGGATGGGCTCGGGTCCAGCCTACCCCGTCTTAGTCCTATCCGTACGAAAGGGGATGGCCACATGGAGATGGGAAGGATGCGAGTCGTAGTGCGCACATCTGGCCATCTGGCCACTGCGCGGTTAGGCTCATTGGGCCGTCCGGGAGGGAGGAATGCGTTTGTTTGAGGAAGAAAGAGAAACAGCCGAAGCGGCACGCTTACGTAACGAGGCGGTGCTTGGGTACCTCCGAGACAACCCAACGTAATGGATCTAGATAGGTATCTGCGTATTCATCTATATATAGGTTAGACACCTACCTAGGTACCCATATATGCCTAGGCACCTTAGGTACATAACATACCTATCTGCCGTAAGTTATGCAGTTTCTGATGATATGCTTGTATCAACGCTGCTCCGCCTCCTGTGGCACCGACCATCTTCATGCTTACGTGGCTGTGCTCGAGGGCCATCCCCTTTTCTCTCCCTTCCTCCACCTTTCCTCTCACCTCGACTCTTAGACTCCTATCTCGCTTTTCATTTTTTTTGTCCGACGCCTATCGCACCAATGGTAGGCGAATTATGGTACCTCTCAGTAATAACTGCATGTCGCCGTGTCTAAATATAGGTAGCAGCCCCTATTCCACGGATTGGAACGGGCGCGCCAAGCATCGTAATCGACGCATACCGTCGAACGCCTCGTCCGCTATCGAGAGATCACGGAGCCTCTTAGCATCTCTGCCGTTTGGGGGCGTTTTTGGCGTCGTCAACTCGTAAAGGGATCGACCATAGACCTCGTAGAGCTACTACCCTTCCGCACTCCGGCGAACCGATTTTCAGATTAAATACCTACTCGAGCTCACCGACATGTAAGGGGGATGTTCAGCTTCTCGAGACAGCCAGTGGTGGCGTCAACCGGTATAACCGGTTGAAACAGGATCTTAGTGAGCGGTATAATCCCAGCCCTGAATTCCTCAGTTAAAACGGACATGTAGATCGTGCTTGTGGTTGTCTGTACCGATCGTTTATTAGCCAACTCCTTCCTCTGCTCTCTCTCTCTCTTCCACGGAGTAGAGCTCGAACTTCCGTTCCGGCTTACATACAACCTATCTGCCTGTTAACAGAGCTGCTTGTCATGGCCATCCATCCCTCGGATATCTACACCGGTATTTGGACGGACTGGGCGGAGGGCAATAACTGGATGCTCATTTCGAAAATAACCATCTCTTCCAGAGTAGCTGGAGTTCTGACTTCCGTCTTAACCCTCTATATATCTCTAGCCGCGTCACAACTCTGGTACTTGACCGCCTACACAATCCACTGCATCCGCCAGGGAGTCACTAGAAGCGAATGTGCACCAATTCTTCAGCAGCAGCAGGTCATACTCAAGGCCTGTCTTCCCGCCCCGTCCGCGGCGACTCGCTTTACGTATTTATTCTGGGCGAATCGCTCCGCACCGTCCTCTCTACTATCCTCGCTGCCTCTTATCCTCTTAGCAACGCTATATGCCGTTGGTAGCATCGTTGCCGGGCTTTACTCGTCTCAAATCGTCAACTCATCCAGTCTTGTGGTTCTTCTTAACTCCTCGAACTGCGGTTACGTGAACCCCGACACGTCGGCTGCCTCTGGGGATATCGAGGTGGCCGTTGATCGGTATTATCTAAATACCTTAACTATGGCAACCGCGCTCTCTCGCCAATGTTATAACGCGACAGATACGGAACTCTGTGGCCCCTTTGTGCAGCCTACGTTGAACTGGACAACCAACTGGAAGGCCAGGTGCCCCTTTCACGAATCCATGTGCGATGGCCCTGCTATCGAGCTCGACACGGGTCTAATCAATTCCAACACCGCTCTCGGCCTCAACTCGCCACTCGAAGATCAAGTCAATCTCAGGAAGATCACCACCTGCGCCCCCATTACCCAAGACGGCTACACAACCACAGCCAAAGTCAATGCCTCTAACACGTACGCCCGGTCCTTCGTCCCAGGAGACGAGATGGTTTTGAATGCGTACGGGCGCTCGGTCGCGAACCTAGGGGGAAATTTTACCTGGGGCGTCAGTAAATATGCTGCAAACAGCACGCTCATGCGTACAATGTGGTATGTTCCTCGCACCTTGTGATCGCGGTGTTATGCATGAGTACTATCAAAGTAAATCAGGAAGCACTCTCAATTCGAATGCTCTAACCTGTGGGCTCATGTATATGTTACTAAGCTATACGTGTAGGCTTCAAGTATATTTTGGTGGCCCCAATGCTAATATGAGCTCCTTTCGCCCTATCCCTGAGATGGAGGCGCCGGGAGATGCCACTCTCTTCTTCATCTCCAACAATGCACTGCTATTTGTTGAACCGTGCGACGACCCCGTCTTCTCCGCGCACATGGCCTACTGGCACCCTCTAACCGATTCGACTTACTATCTTCAGGACCGTGTCACCGGTGTTCTAGGCTGTCTTGAACAGGTAAGGTCTCTACGTTTTCCCGACTGAAACTGTCCCTGTACTGACATATAACACGAATAGTATCAGTGGTGCGATGCGCATAAGGGCGCCTGCTCGACCGTGGGAAATGTCGGTGATTTGATGACTCAATTGCCACGCAACATCGTCCCTACGGCCATGCAAAACGCAACGATCACGATGATAGCACAGGCCCTGAAGGACCATGCCTCTCTTCCTCACACTGCCGCATTGCCAAATCTGAATCTGGCGGCAGACCGGAACGCCAACATACCCTTCCAACTTCCCCTGCCAAGCAATCAGTGGCAGGTCGAGGTCCAGAACTGGCACGCCACCGTCATGGTGCTGCTTCAGCAAGCGCTGCTCCAACGGATGGCTGGCCCAACTGATCCGGTCCTTAGCCGCTACGTCGATCGCCCATCTACGCCGGAAGATATCGCCCTCTGCGGCCGTCAGCGCGTACGACTGTGTCCCGGCGGCGGGGTCGCCAACGTTTCCACCGTCGGCCTCTTCCTTATCCTCACATCCAGCACACTGGTCATCCTCACCAGTCTATTCCTCGACAAGATCGCCGGCTATGTCGGCGGTTGGTTGCCCAGCGTGAGGGCGAGACAGCGCACGTGGGTCCTTGACGACTGCTTGCATCTCCAGAGACTCGTTTACGAGGCACGGGCGAAGGTCCAGGGAGACGAGGAGCGCGGTCCCGAGTACGTATGGGTCGGAATAGATGGAGATACGCCTCGCGTTGTGGGTGACGCGCTGCTTGGGCCGCTAGTCGGCCCCGATGTCAAGGATGTGGCACTCAAGCCACTCATCAGTCCCTAGTTACCTTGCTTCTAGCGACGCAGGGGAACTTTCTGGTCCGCGCTCAGTACCTACAGCAGAGCAGTTGTGTAGCCAGCGACGAAACATGAAAAAAAAGGGGGGGTCGGAGCATCTCCCCCAACAGCTAGGTCGCTTTCCTTCTATCTTGATATCACGGGCTAGCAAATCTCCGTCGTAAGGTATTAGACTCGACGTTGACTTCGTTGAGGCCAAGCTTAAAGCCAACGTCTCAGAGGTTATATCTGCGGTGCATGATTTCGTCGTGCCTCAGGTGCGTGACCTCGTAGAGTATGCCAAAATCAACCACCTCTTTAGGCCGTTCTCTTTCCGACTTTGGCAAGACTCTCTAGCGAAGTTAAGACTCATGAGAATACGTTCAGGCCAAGTTCTTCGTGTCTTTCTCAACCGTAACGTTTAGTTTATCTACAATAATATTTCTTCTGGGGAGACCTGGCTTACTACGCAAACTAGACCATCTTGTTAAATCCTTTGGTTTCCAAAGACGGATTTAGTGCAAGGTGGAATCGAGAGCGATACTGATGTAATCCCTGTCTACCCATAGCCTCCTAATTCTTCATCCCATACCCTTCTTGATGGCTCCTCTCGCATCCATCTACCTTGACGGGATCGTATCGCTGCCAATTAGCGCTTCGTGGTTTATTCGTTAGGGAAATCTAGATTCTCTCTCCAAGGAAGAAGCGTGAGACTCCTTCGAAATGTCCTGGATAGTACTCATGCCCCCGTGCTTGTTGACACGACTTGTCAGGCAGGAAATCCTACTTGTCATGTATAGCGTAATAGGACCCCCCCCTCCCCCTCCCTCTCTCTCCCAACGTAGATAGAGGGGCAGACGGTATTTCGTGTCGTTTACCAAGCTAGAATCTAAGTCCATATTAATATATCTTCGGCCATTGAGCCCTAGCGTGCGGACCAGCCGAATTCGTGTTTCTGGCACGAAATCCTTTGGATTCTAAATCCAACACTAGCCCCATACCGCAACTTCTGCCCATCTACCATGCATATGCATGCCACGGGCACACTTGGGTATTGCTAGGGGGACGAAATATAGATCCCCCCATGGCCAATATGTTGCCACGCTACGGCAGACTCCTCGGAGGATTCAGTGTTCGGGACCCGATCACGTGGGAACAGGATGCTGAACTCGTCGATCACCCCTGGCTTCTGTCTCTCTCCCCGATGTCACCCCCCATGCAAACTATTGATCCTGTATCTCATCCTTTCCAGATTGTCTGAACAGGATTGCTTCTGCATCGGCACATGGAGTGAGCGAGGACGAATACGCGACTTTTTGGCCTACACGAGACGCTACCTTGCTATCATAGTAGCGTGGCTAAAGCCCCCTTACCCCAGTTCATGTTATGAGTTGGATGTCGTAAGAAGGGGGGGTTCTAGCTATGACGCTACGGGGGCAGCCTTTCTAAGTGTATTATATCTTGGGCAACCATTCGGCGAAAACACCAAGTATAGGGACACCGCGGAAAGACAGAGCGAATCGAGACACGACAAGGGCATCCGTCCTATAGTGTCATTCTAATTCTAAGAAGCGTAGACGTGTCAAGTCAAAAGTTCACTGCATGAACACAGGGTAAGAGACTAATCGAGTCAAGGCAGTTCCTTCGAATCACCTTTAGGAGGAGGTATGTATTCTCTCACTAAGTATTCTGAAGAAAGGTTGACCGCTCAAGCCTTGAGCTAACTCACATCCCGCACTCCAGATACTATTGATGGGATACAAAGTAAGCTATACCACTCGGGGAATTTCTGTGGAGGGTTGCCTCATCAGAGAAAACGAGCACAAAAGAAAGGGCGAGGGCAGTCTTGAGTTGGAAAAGTCTGTCTGCGTTTACTCGGGGATTGCTGATAATAGTTATTTTCTTTTCCTCCGAACGCTCGGCTGGCACCCCTTACCCTGAATCGGCGTCGGCCCCGTACCAACACCCAACATCGTTCTCTCACGGCTTCTCCGCCTGTCTCGATGTTCTCCTCCGGGTTCGCCAGTCGTGAAATTCCCACAATGCCAACAAAGTGACACCCAGCTGGATGATAAACATGGGGATCAAGTTGTACTGCCAACCTCTCATGATGGATAGATGGCTCTGTATGTCGTCTCGCGAATCGACCAAATCCAGTTCCAAAAGCGCGGAGAACCAATTCTGCGGCGTCCAGGAGTACAAACGATACGGCTCCCCATCGAATAGTCCGAGGTCTGGAAAGAGGTAGATTATCTGATCCTCGTGCGCGTTAGTGACAGCGAACACGTAGGCGAGCGCCAAGGTCGTCAGCAGGAACGCCGGGATGTTGACGAAGACCCAGGCGCGGTATAGGGAGCGTGCGATGGTCCCCAGCACGCCGATCCTGTGGTAAAACCAGTTCCTCAGCGAGAGAGCGACGATGCCGCCGAGCCCGACGATGACGAAGGCCGTCCCGGCGGCGCCGTTGCTCGTGTGCCCCTGGTCGACCATCAGGTGGAGCGGCTCGCCAGGCATGGGGTAGACCGAGCCTTCGTAGCGGAAGGAAAATCCCTGGCTGGCCCTGCGGTGGAGCCACCCGACCATGCTGCTGATGAGGGAAAGCTCGATGACCGAGTCGACCATGAGCAATGCGATAGAGATCGCAAGGGCGACCAAAAGTCTCGACATCTCGTCGTGGTTGATTTCCGTTCTAATAATAGCCGTTGCGAGCGATGGCCGTCGCTTGGGTGCGAGGAAGGAGAGCGCCCGACCTCGTCAGCTCGACCGACGGCCATGGTTGGCTTTTATCATCGCCTTGCCGGCGGAGGGGGTATCAATATAGGACGCAAGGCTCTGTCATACCTAACGCTCGAACTGACGGCATTCGTACCACGTTCAGCCCCCAGGAAACGGGCGTCAAGTCCTAAAAATGTCACCGTCGGCCGAGGTCCATTGGCCGACTGCAAGCGATGTTGTGTGCGAGGGAGGGGGCAGTGCCGTTGAGTCTTACCCACCACGAGGTGTTGGTGATCGACCCGTTCCCGGGCACTTGGCGGAGCGGTGGTCAAGCCAACACGAGGACCGCGGAGAAGAGCCAGGCCCACGGGCTTGCTCCCAACGAAGTTACATATCTACATGCTATCGTATTGACTACTGTTTGTTGCCATTGAGGGAATGGTGCCCGCCAACGGGAATTGTGAAGCGGAAAACTAATACTCGCAGCCCAATTGAACAGGCCCCGAAAGAAGTAGACGTGTTATTATCAGGCGGAGGCGTGTGCTACTCGAAGGCCTTCGTCGCTTAATGGGGGCGTGTCTTCGCGTATTAGTACGCCCTTCTGTTCTACGACATAGTAATACTCACTGGCAAGCGGCAGGGCGTATTCGCGGCGGGCGGGCTACGACGTATTAGACGCGAGAGACTCGGCGAGAACGTCGCAGCGATGAACTGGCAGTGGAAAAATAATAGGCCAATGGAACGCGTCACACAGCCACGACTAAAATACTGCGCTTCCCATTGCTACCGTCCCCGACGGGTATTGATAGGCGTGCCAAGTCCGCGTACGGGGCCGCGAGTTGCAACCGCTGCCACCAAGACCCCAAACCTCAGCCGTGTGTCGCTTACCCTATGAGAATCTGCTTCTCCTTCTTCAGGTTCTCCACCACCTCGACGGGAATATTCAGCGTTCTGGCGACGATGCCCGCCGGCGTGAGCGCGAGCCACTGGGTCAGCGAGATGTCCTCGACCCGATCGCTCTTGTATATCTCGACCCAGACCAGGTCTTCCGTCTCCGACGTGTTCTCGATGTAGTGTCCTAGGCTACTAGTTAGCTCGCACTTATTACATGTACGCTGTAGAGGGGAGGCTGACCGCTGTTGTCCGGGAATACGCCCGTGTCTCCGGCTCGGAAATTGAACGTGCGCGCCGCGGCGCTCCCTATGTACACCGTCGCGCGGCCTTGGCCCTTGTGGAAGTAGAGCCACTCCTCAGCCTAGCGATACCGTTAGTGCTACGGTAGAGTCTTCGTAGACTAGGCCTAGACTTACGTTCGGGTGCCAATGCAGCTCTCGCAGAGCCCCAGGGTGGAGAGTGACGATGGAGGCAGCTATCGTCTTCGCGGCAGGGAAAGTTTTCGAGTCGACGATGCGAAGCGTGCCACCGCCCCCCGGGACCTGTTCCAGCGGATGATCCTTCGCGTAGTACGCGAACGAGGCATTGCCCGTCAGTTCGCCGCCCCCACCGGTCACGTTGCGCGGGTCAATAGTCCCGTTGGTGATGTACGGGTTCGGGGACGGAACTGTGTTGAAGACGGCCTCGGGCAGTCCGAAGTTCTTGGCCAGCACGGCCTTCGGGGTGTGGGTGATCCAATCGTCCAAGTTGAACGTCGTGCTAGGCACAAGTCAGCATGATGCAGCCGGACAAACGCGCGCCGAGTTGGGTAGGTAATATCTCACCCCACGGCGTCAAAGTCACCGTCGTCGAATATCAGGAGGAACTCGTTTTCGTCGTCGAGGCCTTGGACTGTGTGTCCTACACCCTCTGGGAAGTACCACACATCCCCCTCCTGCAGAACGGTCGCTTGGAATTGTCCGTTGTGGTCAACCCCCGACACTCGGATCGACCCGGCATACAAATAGCCCCATTCAGCCTAGGGATCGATAGTAAGTTACTTTACTGTAGTCTCTCTGGATAGTCCGGTGCTTGCTTACCACTCGATGCCAATGAAGCTCCCGGATAGACCCTTTGGTCAAGTGCTGTTGAGCCGACGCGATATCCCGGCTAGAAGGGAGATCCGTGATCACCTGCTCCCGAACCCATCCGCCCCTCAAGATTCTCGTCCGGGAGTCGGAGAAGCTCCACTTGAGATTTGGCACGACACCACTGTCGGTGGTCTGCCGGCCGAGGTTGTCGGGGTTTTGCAGATCGAGCTCATGGTTAGTGCCACCTAGGAACGATGCGGTCAGTATATTGGCATATCTATTAATAGGGGAAAGGGGAGGGGAGGGGAGGGGAGGCTGGGAAGCAAAGTTGTCCAAACACACCTGAGAACGGAGCACCTCTGCCGTCACTGTCGATGGGTTGGCCATCGGCGAAGCCACCTCCGCTTTGGCGCTTTATGGTAGAACCGGTAGCACCGCATGCGGCGAGAAGTATGGACGCGACCTGGAGAACCCGCATTCTGGAGATCAGACAGAGACCAATCGTCGGACGGTTATTACTATGTGGCGAGTGTGGTTTGGTACCTACACGAAGCAGAGAAAAGCCGTCAAATTAAGGGGCTTATATACCTTTTTCATCTAGGAGATCTACAGCTCTGCATTCGAGGGAACCCTAAGATGCAACGTGCAGCACGTTCGCCCGCCTTCGTCTCCATGACCGACAGGAACCGCGTGAAGCGGAGAGCACCCACTCGCGAAAAGCGCGGCCGGCAAGTGCTGCGAACACACGCAAAAGCGCGGAAGCGAGGCTGTCACCCCTACCTCCGAATCGGCCAGACGCGATTCCCGGGCGCCACGGCGTAATTCCTCGCGTGCGGGGGGGCCTATAACCAGGCGCGATGCCCCAAGACACCATCTATTCGCAAATAACGCCATGTCTTGGCGCCCGGTCACGACGAGACGCGTATGCAGCGGTGGTTTGCTGGACGGCACGCCAGGGTTGCAGCAGCAGGAGATATATCTACATCTGTCCGCACTCACCATCGCAGAGGCGCTGCGAGTGATCGCTTGCGCCATCGGCCGACTTCGTTGCAGCATACCGGGTATCGATCTTCCCGGCCAAACCCAGGACTCACAGCAAACACTCCCGAGCACGGCAAATCGAGCGGGCGAGGGGCAAACAGCGGACGCTGACGCGGTTCGGTTTCGCGCAGCGGGATGGCGTGTGTCGAAACCGCCTGGATACTAGGTATCTAGATCTGATATGTCCTCGCGTATGAATAGCCTGACCGGGTTATTGGCGGCCGAGGGCGACTCGCAACCTAAGGGGATCTCCTACTTTGACACGTGCCACAGCCGGAAATACAGGGCCCTAGAACTGAGCGCGGATAAGAAAAGGGGCAAGGGTTCACGTAGAAAACCAGGTGCATATGCCTACCTACCCCTTTCGCAATCCCCAACGTCGGCCAGCCTACGCAAGACCTCATATTAGCCAGCTGGCGACCGAGACACTTGACGTCACCGCCCCAGAGAAGCGCGCTCTCCGGCTCTCCGGTACCGCGTCATCGCGGCGCAGCGAAACGCCATGCTTACGGATTCGGCTCGCGTTGCACGCGTCGAGAAGCTCTGACATCGCGGACGAAAGCCGTGCAAGCGCATCGCCGGGGACAGCCACGACACCTAGCCCATGCGCACTACGGACCGGGGGCGAAAGCCGGTGACCGACCGAACGATCGACGGCCCGAAGCGGGCGCTGCGCGCGAGGCGAAAGAGGGAGCAGATAGGTATCGATATAAGCTTCTGACGCGAGCTCCGCGCGGTGGGCTCGTGTAGCCCTGTGGTCCAACCCCGTATGCAAGCCTCGTCGACTCCTTCGGACAGGCCACCGCTGCAACATGCGGATCCGGCGGATGCACAACAGAGCATGGGCGCTGTCGATCGAGCGCGCGTGAGGATACACAAGCTGCGTGCTTTTGGAAAAGGAATGAGAGCGATTCACTGGCTGTCGGTTTGATAGTTGCGCTGGGGGGTTTGGAATATTGCCAGCTTGATCGAGAGAGGACCCGAGGTTTGGCGGATAGATGCACACATATGGGCCTCTCGAAAGCTAACTGCATCGACCTAGACTACCGCGAACCCGCACCTAGGGACAACTAACACAGGCGTTCCGAGCACGTATTCGAGGTAGATAAGTGCACGAGAGGGGCGCAGACTTCCTGGCCATGTGATATAGCCTAGGCGAGGTTAGTTTAGGAGCTATTGCTTCTGGATTCAGCTCGGGCCAATAAGCCTCTTGAAGTTACGAACGTCACTCCTTTGACGAGTATCTCACGCTCGAGACAACTCCCGTGCTATCACCGTGAGTGGATTCATTTCATCGAGGGGGGGGGGGGGGCGTTATTCGGATCCCCTGTCCTGGGGTATATCGGTATGCGCAGTAAGAGGATTTAAGTGTCGCTCGTCACGACTAGGAATATGTTCCCCCGCTGTCGAGACCCTGTATTGTGTTGAGGCCCGGCCCGGTTGGATTGGCGAGTGTTTGGATGGGGGATCACATGCTGCCGAAGCTCTCGAGCCGTGCAACTTCTCGCGATCCACGGCGGACAGGTAGAATTCAGCATTTTCCCATCATGTCAACTTCCACGGACTACGCTCAAGGAACGCGAGCGGTTTCGCAGGCCAGAGGGCTATTGAACTAATCGTGTCGGCGGGATGTGCAATCCTGGTCGTCACACGGCCTCCTAGGCGCGTGGTAGGTATCGATCGCATCCAACGAGATACAATGGTCCCTGTCTAGTCTAGATTACCAACGATAAGGGCAAGGAACAAGAAATAAGGAATACTAAGCATTCGGGGGTATATTAGCAATCGAAGTTATGCGATCGGTGTTTTGTCAACTGCCAGATTTACGGGGACGACAACGGTCTAGACGACTACTAACTTGACGAATCCACTTTGACAACTAACCCTCAAGTGGATACGCGGGACGGCGCGCAGCTGACTATGATTATTATCCGCGGACTTCTTTCTCCGCAGTTGGTAGAATAGTTGTCGATGGGTTTCGCGAGCCTAGAGGGCCAAGCAACTGGAGTCTCGGACGCGCGCGAGCCCCTTTTCGACCTAGCTCTTCCTTCTTATAGATACCTCTCCATACGCAGGCACCTTGGGCCGATATTATGGGATCGTAACCGGCACTGCAATAGTTCGTCATTTACTGTACGGTCTGACTCCAGTTACATGTGGTATTAGGCGACCACATGCAGAGACGTCCCCGCAATGCGTACTTCGCCGTGAACGTCGTATTACTCTCGTTGGGCGAGGAAGAGCACGCGCTCCAGGGGCGAATAGAGAGAGAGATGCCTAGATATGAGAGAGGGCGAGATAACGGGAATGTAGCGACAGCAAGCAAGCAGCGATATTACCTTCCCGATTCCATTGTGCATCTAGATCTCTGTGAAACGGATCTGCCTCAGGCGGATCGGCCTCGACACTACCTGGCTGCCTGCTTGGCATCGCGGATCGGTCCAACCCACACCTGAGAAGTCGACGCTGCACGGATTCCAGCATGTCGCTCTACCACCACCCCCTCCCCTCCTGTCTCCTGGAAGCGATCACTGAACCTGGATTCACTCCGTAGGACTGTGCGTCTTTAAGGTTAATTCCTCGCGTGGCTGTCTGGGCGCCTACATATGTAGGTAGAGACTTCGTCGAAGAGAGCTATTATTAGACATCGCTTGGCTTGGTAGGTGCGCCACCGAGTTCCATGTGTCTCTCCAAGCTCACCCCGCCGAGAGGTGAGGAATCCCACGGAGAGATGGATAGGTAGGCGGGTATAATCTGTTAATGATAGAGAGCTACTCGGATGAACCTTTGTAGCAGCGGTATTACCTGTCTGTCCCTGGGTCTAGACTGGGAATTCATTTCAAATGAGGATGGCCATCTGCGTAGCGAAGGCAAGTCTGCGGCAACGAAAAAAAAAAGACTCTGATCTCGTCTCGCGACGGGGGGTCCGTGAGAGGTAGCTACGTACACACCTACATACTACGTAGTATGTCCAGAAGACTCGGGGGACGAAATACTCACAGATGTCACCCTTAACGGGACTGTTATACCTATTCAGTCTAGTCTGCATAGATGGCACATGGTTTCTTGCCTTGCCATGGGTTTCCAGCCACCGTCGAAAACCGGTCCTATGAGACGCTGGCGCAACGTCATCCGCGATAAGAAGAGGACGATGAGCGGCGGCAAGCAGATTGGGTGGCGAGGAGAGAAAGGGGGGGCCGAGGGAAGGATGAGGGGCGGAGGCGTGAGAAGGAGGGCGGGCGGCCAAATCTGGGTAATGAGCAGACAACTCGCCTACACCTCGTGGCGGGATTCAGGGCCTGTCCGACAGGGGAGGATCAGACAATATACGGCGGGAAAAGGAAAGATCTGACGACGGTCAAGGTGATGCCCAGTACTTCCATGCTGGACCCCCGGCCACCCTCGGCCCTAGAGCGGGAGAAACAATGAACTCCAAGCCCAGCCCAAACCCTCTTCCCCATCCACACTACGACGAATGTCTCGCATTAGGGCGTGCTGCACAGACGCTGCCGCCCTTCGCGCTCCTCGACGTCGTCGACCGCTGTCATGGTGGACTTCGAGAACTCGGGCGGGCAGACGCGGATTCGAAATGGAAGCCCTACCCGCCACCTGCCCCAGCTCGCCCAGCCCATTACGTGAGATCTTCGGCGGAGAGCTGCGTATGCGGTGGCTATGGTGTGGTTGCTTCGGCCTCACGCCACGCGGGCGTGTGCGACGCCGCCATTGGCCCCCGACCCGAGCGGCCGATCACTCGCAAGGGAATAATAATACTGAGTAAATAAAGAAATGCCCAACGAAGTATTTTACCTCTATGCCCATCGCTACGCGCAGGGTAGAGCGTAGCGCAGCCAATGATGCTGTATCAGAGCGAGGAGACGGGGAAGGAAGACGGACATACCTAATTTATCGCTAACAGCACTACCACCCTTAAACGTGTGAAGCATCACACGGAACGTGGGTGATTGTGGAGTCGGATACGACCTCTTTTACATTGGGCCTCTGTCCCTTCGTCCAGCCACTACTGCAATCGAATCCTTCGCGATGCATCCAAACCGAGCACAAATGCCCGCTCCACTCTACCCACCTCTCGAATGCGGACGGTAGGTATTATGAGTATGGCGTGGCTCGTGGCCCGTTCGACTGGGAACCCTCCCCCTCTTCGAACAAGCAATTAGTTAGGCTGGCTGCACCCCTTCTAGATACGACGCTCCTCCTCCCGTAACTAGATACGTGCGGTGCTCGCGGAGGGGGGCGCTACGAGACCGAATCGAGGAGCCGGCCAGTTACGATGATTCGACGATCCTGACAGATGCCTTCCCGCATGCATCAGGAACGAGTCTTGAACCCTTGGCAGCCCAGTAAGCCCGCCACGGAACCCGTAGATGGAGGGGCCATTATCAAAAAGGCACAGCCTGCCGGAGACGCAGCGTGATGCTACCCTACCGACGCTCAGCTAATCCGTAGTGCTGATTTGAGAGAATCCCTTTTTTCCAGGGAGGAGGGGTCGTTCGTCGCTATCCACTCGCTCCTCGTGGGCCCAGGGCCTGGCGCTCACGGATCCTATGCCTGGGCAAGCACCGCAACGGCCGGGGCTGGTCGTGTCTCCAAGGAGGTATAGATAGATACACGTCTCACGCCTGGCCCGGCGCGGGTTTCTCACGAGTTCGCTCCTTTTTGCGAAGGTGACGCAGCTTGCTTGCAACGGGCCGCCGCTATTCCAGTCAGCAAACTTAAGCCACTTAGTACTGCGCTCCCCGAGATCTGCGGGAACCGCGGAAAGAGAACAGCAATACACGGCCCCGGCAGGAGAAGATCGACGAGGAAATACGCTGATAGAGAGAGAGAGAGAGAGAGAGAAACAAACGAGAAGAGGGACCCGCAGGGAAAGGAATAATTCAAAATGGGCGACATAGCATCATTGACTCCGGAGCAGATGGAGGCGCTCCTGAACGGACCCGCCCTCACGCCGCCGCCCGGCGTCATCCCCAACTTCGACAACCCGCCGAATCTGAACCACATCTCCTCCGTCGCGATACCGGTATGCTTGGTGGCGACGAGCCTGGCCTTCCTCCTCCGCACCTACACCAGGGTGGTCATCCTGAAGAAAATCCAACTGCCCGACAGTGAGCCCCCCCTTCCCATTGCAGCGCCCGATCCGGGGCCGCCGGCGCTTCGTGTCCCTCCATAGTACTGACTGACAGCGGCTTAGTATTAATGTTTATCGGTTTTGTACGCGCTGACCTCCTTCTCTCTCCCGGGATTACCGAGTGTGACCCGGACCCCCTTTTTGTTCGGTGCCGTGGGCCCCCCCGTGCTAACGCTTCGTCTCGTCAAAGGCTTGCTACCTAACAGACATCTACTTCGGTTACCGTCTGCAGGAGAATCCGGGCGCGTTCGTCCACCAGTGGGATGTGCGACTGAAGGACATGCCAGCGATCCTCTTTGTGAGACCCCACTTCTCTTATGCGTCTCTCTGTCTTATCTTCTGCATTTGTGGCCCGGGGAGGGGGACGTCGGCCGCGACGAGGTAGTGGAAGATGAGAGTAGTGACGAAGGCATGCCGGTTTTGATGAGGGACGTCGCTAACCACGGGAGGCGGGAACCTGAATAGCCCATGTTCATCAGCGCAAGTTTCTACATCGGCGTGCTCCTGACGATCAAGGCAGCGATCCTGCTCGAGTGGATGCACATCTTCGTGCCGCACGGGGTGCGCAACCAGTTCTTCTGGATCTGCAGCGCCATCTTGGCCGCCAACACCATCTTCTACGTCGTCGTCCTGTTCCTCGTCAACCTCGCCTGCTGGCCCGTTGAGAAGAGCTGGAACCCGCTCTTCCCCGGCGGCTCGTGCCCTATCAACACCGACGCCGTCAACACCTCCTCTGCCGCGCTCAACCTTGCCTCCGACATCTTCATCCTCATCCTCCCGCAGCGCGTCATCTGGAACCTCAAGATGAACTCCAAGACCAAGGCCGGTGTCTCTATCATCTTCGCCATCGGTGTTATGTGCGTGCCTACGTTCTCTTTCCTTATGCTCTCCCTCTCCTTTCCCTCCTCATCTCCCCTTCCTGTATTTTTTCTTTTTTCAAAGGGAGCCCTATGTCTCCCTGGTTTCGGTGCACCTATGTCGTCTAGTAAATTCCGATAAGACTTCACGGTGAAAAAAAAAGAAAAGCTGACCGGGAAACCCGAACCATAGTTGCATCACCGCAGCTGGCTTCCGCCTACGCGCCGAGATCGACTTCTCCATGTCCGACGACGTGCTCTACGTATCGTCGGCGGTGATGCTGTGGGCGCTAGCCGAGATGACGTGCCTGTTCTTAGTGTTCGGGATCCCGAGCGGGGCCAAGATCGTATCGGACAGCCGGCTGACGAGCCGGTTCGTGTCGTCGTTGCAGTCGATCCGGAGCCGGTTCCCGCGCCGGTCCGGGTCGCAGTCCAACACGACCAAGGGCCAGTCCTGGCCCGGATCCAGCGCCATGAGTGACTCGCAGGCCACCGCCACCGCCTCGTCCGCCCGCGCCTACCACAAGCTCAGCGGCAGCCACCACGGCAACAGCATGGTCATGACCACCATCGAGTCCCGCAAGGCCGGCCAGTCCCAGATCTCCTCCGAGTCCATGGAGAACCTCAAGGACTACGCCCAGGAGCAGCACCAGCGCGGAGCCATGTCCCCCGTCATCGTTCGCACGACGCAGTTCAATATGACGGCGGACTACCGCACCTCGAACGGCGACTCCGACGATTACTCTGTTCGCGTATAGGCCGGCGTCTTGGTTATTGTGAGCTTTCACCTCTGGGGAGGGGTGTGTGTATGTATCTATTGCGTGTGTGTATGATTTTGGGGACGACTGAATGCTGTCCGTAGCCCGTGTCGACGGCAGCGCAGTCTTGGTGGCCCCTTTCTGCCACCCCGACCATGGTTAGGTACCATGGGCGAAATATGGAACCATCTGGGCGGCATTCTGTATGTATATATCTAGATATCGGTTTGAACATATACGGAACTCCATGTGTCAGTCAAAACCTAGCCGCCTGCCGTACTTCGTATTTCGTGACTTATTCAGCTTTGTCTTCGCCACTGCGAAGACCGATTATCTTCTGGCCCGCGCGTTCGAGGGTAGTTGTCGATTCTTTCTATTCCGGCGGAGTATCCTGAGCGCGTAACCACTGTATATACTGTCGCGGGGAAATGTGGAAGAAGAGGTTCGCCTGTAGAACAAGTAGTGAAATGGAACCCATGTAGTGATGGATCCGGTCTCTTTAACGAAGATCAGAACCTACGACGAGGGCCAGGCAGAACCTCGGCCGACAGATCCGAGACAGGCGCCTCCTACACGGACCTTTGGTATACCCCGAAGCCTTTATGATATTATGTCACGTAGTAATTGAACCAGCCTATATAAGCCTACATACCGCAAAGCGTGAATGTAGGCGTCTACGTTTTACGCGACATATTATATGAAATTTTCGTTAGTATCCGGCATTATTTTCTCTTCTGACGTTTACCTGTGTGGAACACACGCCTACCGTGCATGCCTTGTGGGCTCTCGTTACGTCCCTCGGACACCGGTGATCCTCGCGTGCCGCGGATCCTTTACGATCCACTAGTCACTACTCGCCTCCCCTGATGTCGGCTTGACTGCTTCGTGGAAAACTATTCGTTTCGTGAAAGCTCGAAACCCGGTCGTCTTCATACCAGATAACCTAGCACCGGTTCTCGACCGCAATTACACGAAGCCCCGGCACGACACGTGGTATTAGGCTGCTATCGAGTGGTTATCGGTGGATCCACTATATTGATACGATCTGTCGAAGAATATCGGTACGTAACAACTCCTAACATAAGCATACGGGCTTTGACGTCGTCTCTCTGCGCGCTAAGATCGATAGACACGTCGCGGCCGGGGAGAGGGCAGCTTGCATTAACATCTATAAGGATAGTGATAGCCTGGACGAAGTCGCCAGATACGATGCAGACAATGCCCGTTGTTGTTGTTTTTTCGTTTTATTGCAAGTGCCCGTCGAGCTCCCTGAGACGGCCGAACCTTTAGGATGCCGGACCTCTGCTCGAGAAGGGGATTGACTGTCGCCTGTGCGCCAACAATGTTGGTTAAAGAAAGGTCCAGTGCGTTCATGGGTTATATGTTCCGTAACAAGTATCTCCGACCCCTTTTCCTGCACGTCTTTGCCGCTGTCACCTCGGTCTTGGTTCTTCCCGGTCCCACCCCGTATTCCTCGGAAGGAACTCGAGCTCGGAAAGTACCTACGTAGTCGCGATTAGGCACGGTGGCCTTTCTCGGCTTGCCTTGCTGACAAGGTGAATCCGGCGATGAACCAGGGAGATACCTGACGGGGGTCGAAGATAAACTGGGAGCAAAACGCGATGGTGTTTCTCAGAGTTGCTCTAGGTACTGCTAGTAAAAGCAGGCTAGTTCCCCCTATCTAGGTGAGATTCCGCAACACCATAACATGTGAGATCATTCTCCCCCGATATATAGGATGTGTGCACTTACTGCCGGACTCCGAGATGATTCGACAATGATAATAAACCTATTGGGTAGCCCATCGACTGATTGAAAGACAAGGTGCTGGGCCCTGACATCGTGAATGGCCGTGAGAAGTGCCGGTACCCCGTCCAACGCTTCTACTAGCACGAAGGCTAGCAGCGGAGGTAGTGAGACGAGGCATTATAGAAAAACGAGATTCTGTCTTAGGAGCGGGTACGAGACAAAGAGTACGCCTGTCCATGGGTCGGTGTAGGAAGGGTTAAGGTCGATTTCGTGTGCCATTGTTCATCTAGCCATTCTAAGGAGGAGAGATAGCATTCCTAATTGGGGGGGGGGGGGGGGGGGGTAGGACGAGGAGGTTCGAGATAATGGCCAGCGACATTAGATGTGGCCTATGGGTTGATGTTTTGGTGTTGTTTAGGGGTCAGATTTCATGTGTACGACAAAGGGCGATGCGTGGCCTTATATACGGCTCTTCAGTTGAATAAACGGGTGTCATAATAGCAGCAGTTGAACGATCGGTTTTCAATAATCGCGAATAAAGGGGCAATAGGGGTGGAATATGTACCTAAGGTACCTTGATAGAGGGGAGTACCTGCCTAGATACACCTAAGGTACCCGGGCTTACTTGTCTGGTAGGGCATGTAACTTCTGTCGCGCATAGTCGTGAGAGCAGAGCGTACAGAGAAGACGATAACTTCACTTCGAGTTTGCCAGCTAGCTACGCAAGTCGCAGGTACTGAATCGTGAGTCTGCGCAACATGGGGAGTGTATAGGTACATGTGTGAGAGCGCAACCAATCTATCCGTCGTCAAGTTCGAATCTACGCACGTCGCTAGAGACAAGAGGGAGAAAATCTATATCATACTAGGCAAAAAGGACAGGCCACCTAGTAAACCTCCAACACGTACCGGCCGTCTTCCTTGAGGCGGTCGATCTCCTTCGTCGCATCAATCTTCTTCCCGCTTGCCTTCGCCTCCGCGACGATGGCCTCCTTGAGTACGTCCGTGACGTCCGGCACCGGCCATGTCGGGCCGCAGAGGTAGAAGGATCCCTCGTCCTTGATGTAGGCCTGGACGACATCGCTCAGCGTCTGCCGCATGCGGTCCTGGATGTAAATCTTCTGGGGCTGGTCTCGGGAGAACGCCGCGCCGAGAAGCGTGATGACGCCCGCGTCGAGATAGGCTTCCCATTCCTCGCCGTAGAGGTACTCCTCTCGCTGGTGGCGGGAGCCCAGATACAGAAGAATGGCACCAATGTCTTTGCCCTCGGCCTTCTGCATCGCGCGATACTGGATGAAAGCCCTGAACGGCGCGAGCCCGGTACCGAGACCAGCCATGATGAGAGGAGCATCGTCGCGTGTCGGCAGCTTCATTACCGACGGCTTCACGGACGCAGTAACAGCGGCCCCAACCGGGAGCCGGCTCAGATACCGAGTCGCCTGGCCGTAGCGGGTTCGTCCCTTAGGATCAACCCAATCGACAACAACAATCATAAGTGCAACGGCATTCGGCGTCACCGCTTGGGCCGAGGCGATCGAGTACTCGCGGCGCTTCAGAGGCCCTATCAGGCGTACGAGGTCTAGGAAGCTCGGCCGAGCAGACCTAAATTCCTCCAACACATCTACGAAGGTGACCGTGTCGACTTCGGCGCGGCGCTTAAACTCTTCGGCCCCTTCTTGCGTGCCGAGAGTGGTAAGCTTCTTCTTCTCAATCTCGTCCGTAGCAAACTCAGCCAAAGATTCGTAGAATCGCTTAGGAGGCTTGCCGAAGACGTCGATATTCTGAACCAGCGACTGGTAGACGGTTCTCGTCTCCAGGATCCTCGCGTTTTCCCTCGAAGGCACTTGGACAAGACTGTCCGCATCCAACCCGTACGAATCAATAAATTCACGAACCAAAGCGGCGTCATTATCGGCGTGAATCCCAAGAGCCTCTCCGATCTTATAGGTGAGGCCGGAATTGCCAAGGTCGAATTCGATGTGGAAGATGTTCCGATCATAGGTTATCGGGGTGAGCCTGCGGTTCTCCTTGACGTTGATTGTGTATGTCTTGACGGTCAAATCAGGACGCAACGTAATGTCGGTAGCATAAGCCTCCTTGAACACGAGACCCTTAGCGGCGGATTCCCAAGTGCTGAGTGTCAAGTCTTGCTCGACCTCCTCCTTCTCGAATGGCACGAAGCTATTCGTCTGGAGCGACCGGGGAAGGTTTCTAGGGGCATCCTCAACGACATCGGCCCAGGAGGGCGGAACCTCGAGCAATTTAACACATTTGCTTAGGGCATCTGTGCATTCGGCCAGGGTGGGCAAATTAGCCTCAAGAGCTGCCAATTTTTCCAGAGTTTCGGGTTTGATTTCGGGTTGCACGATCTTTAGAAAAGCTAACTCGACGAGCAGCCTAGCAGCGGAGACGTCGTTTTCAAAGGCTGGGGACGGAGACGAGTCCAGGACGAAGAGCGAAATGTTCCTCGCCTGAACATCCCTGCGGATCGTAGCAGGTATCCGCTTCTCCGCTTCGTCTTCCTTGAAATTTGAGAGCTTGACAAGCAATTTGCCGTTATCTCTGACGCCCTGAGACGCAGCAACCTCTTTCAATAGCTTCTCTTCGCCTATTACAACCACGTCGGCTTCCTCGACTGCGAATGGAGCATCTATCGTCTTTTTCGAAGTTCTCAGATCGGTTCGAATGACACCTCCCTGCACACGGTTGTCGTGAGATTCGCTAAGGTAGATGTTGCTGGTTGAATCTCCAGACAGGATCTTACCAGCAACAGTTGGAGCGAAGAGAGCGACGGAATTGTCAACATCCCAGAATACATACTGCTGCGCGGACTGAAGCTGGGGAAGGGCGATGCCAATGGCCATTGTTTTGTTCACAGCCTGGGTGATGGTGGCTAAGAAGCTCGATGGAGTGAAGGTGTGCGAGGCCGGGTACTTGATATCCGTCACAACTGGGGCTGAGTCCCACTTGCTCGCAAAGGAGACTGTCGTTAACACATCTGAATACAGCACCGATTGGATCGAAGCATCCGATACGGCAGATTCGTTTGCCACCTGCCCAAGAACTGCAATAGTCTGCACAGATAGAGGGAGAACCTTGACGAAGGCCTCTTCAATGAAGGGCCGGTAAACCCTGACCACGACAGCTCCGACCTTGAAGCCGTCGGCGGCAAGCTTGGCCACCACCTGTTTAGCCAGCTGGGCCTCGACGCTACCAAATACCACATAGACGGTGTCGGCCAAATTGTGCCCGACATACTCGAAGGGTTCGTAGTCGGTTCCTAGTTCATCGTTGAAGGCTTGAAGGAGCTCAAGGACCTTTCCAGCATCATCGAGGCGCTTGTTCAAGTTTTCCGCAGCCGTAGAGATCTTCTTGAATATGTCGGCGACACCGACTTGGCTCAAGAGGTCAATAACCCTTAGCGTCTCGCGGGACGTGCGGACGCCATCGTAGATGTGGATAGTAGGCAAAACCTTAGCCATCAAGGTGGCGAAGAGCGAAATGTGCTGAGCCTCGTAGGCGGAAGCGCTCGACACAAGCCCCAGCCCGAGCTCTTCGGAAAGCTGCAACGCTGTACCATATTCCGTGACGAGGCCTGCATCCGACACATAATCGGCAGCGGCGACGTGGGCGACGAAAGGACTTGCTACTCCGTAAAGCAAAGCCAGCTGGTCCAGAGCAGTGCGTAGGTGACGCAAGCTAAGCGACGGCGCCAGCAAAGTCTGGGGGACATGTCGCTTGCTGAGGTCGAAATCCTTGGAAAAAATGTAGCCTAGGGCGAATGTGCCGGCACCGGAGCGAGTCTGGAGGGGCAAGACGGAGGTAGGATAGCCGTGGATATTCTTCTGCCCGTCTCTCGCCCAGTCCTTCGCGGCAACATCGAGGTCGAAGGTCTCGGGCGAGTACGAAAAGATCTTGTCGGACAGCGCGTAGGCGATCTGCTGGACGAGAACCTGGCCGGTGACATAGGTAGGGCCGGATATCGAAGATAGGGGCACCGGCTGGCCGAAGGGTAGGCACGAAGACCGTCTGGTGAACTCAGCGCGGGATGTCTTGGTTTCCGGCATGGTTATCTGGTCCGCAAGGGTGCCGCTGCTACTCTCAGATTGTTTCAATTGCATGCTAGCTGCCTCACTCCAGCACCTTAAGAGGGGAAGCTTGCGAGGATCGGGGTAGAAACTGGTGAATTTCTCCTGGACGGACAGACAGAGCGAATTAGAGCGGATAGAAGCAGAAGCAGCTCAAATGAGGGTCGGCCTAAGAGAAGACGGGTTTATCGACCCCACGGAATGTAGCAGGGCGGATCCAGATCTCGTTGTCGATCGAACTCGGGATATTCCGGTCTGAGTCACTTATTTACTCCCACTCCCTCACGGACTCGCTTCCCAGCGCCCTTGTCTCTAATCTGCTTTCTCTTGGCTTCCTCCTATTGGGTTTGAAAAGGAGCGAGGAGAGGAAGGGAGAGATAGATGTCCGGAGGTATCTAGAGGCACTTGGAAGAGACAACTAGAAAACGGAGAGGGGGAGGGGACCGGGGATGGATTTATTAGATCAGATTGTCGACCCGGAACTTGCATTGGAGGAAAGAGATGGAGATATGCAGATAACGCCCTAGACATGATTGGTATTTGGTGAGAAAAAAAAAGAGAAAAATACGCAGTGAGAAGAGGAACGATGGAGGAGAGGCCGATGAGTAAGCGGACCTGCCTACCTGTACCTCGGAGACGCTCCAGACTCTCGCCGAGCCCATCTCGACATGCGGATTGGACCAACCAGGCCAGTCCGGTTCTCGGTGGCGACAGGAGCGGCGAGCAGGACGGGTGTTGAGACGGGATGGCGTAGAGCGCCGCCAACTCAGCAAAACAGCGAAGCGCGTTGTGGCAGGGCGGCGGAAATGGAAATTCGTCTTCGAACATGGCGATCACGCAATCGTGCGCTAGACCCGGATAGAGCCTAGCGCGGGGCTTCTAGCGCGTCTCTGTGTACCTAGGTACCAAAAACTATGCCAGATAGAAAGGGACCACTCAGAGCCCGCCGCCAGGTCCTGACCGCCCCTAAAACGGCTAAAGAGAATACTCGGTACACGCCAATGTCGGTACCCTAGGAGGTACCTACGCGAGCACCTAAGGCACCTAGAGGCAGTGGATGTTAGGTACCTATCTGTCTCTCTACACGCATTATTTATGGCCGAGTGCCAGCAGACTGGGACCTTACCACCAGGACCAAACGCCGGCTATCGAGATGGCTTGATACGTCTGCGGCAGCACGTCATCACGTCCGCCATTACGTGGGTCAATCCCTGCGGGCCTCGGGGGAGTTGGGTATAGTATCAATCCCTACGCAAATCCCTAATCGAACTAGATCTCGCGATCTCAGATGCTACCGCAAGTGTGTACTCATAGATGTACGCACCGACAAGTAGGCATTCCCACTCGCTCAACATGCGACCGTGGGTGCCAACTGTTCGCCTAGTTAGGCATTTAACCAACACGAGAGGAAATGGCCGCGTCGGCTCTGTCAATTAGATAGGTACGCGCCCCAGCGATACCCCTGTCATAGTTTCCCCCCCTCCCTGACCCGGGTGTAGGCGTAATGCCATCCCTTCCCGCGCATGTCTTCCCTGACCTTGTAGTTGTCCTCGGCGATCTTTAGCACGTTCATATCCAAGTCGACAACCGAAACCCCTTCGGACCGTCCCATCCTTCCGAGGGGGCCGATGTGGGGCACGCCGACCTGACTTAGCCCCGCAAAGTTGGTCTTCTCTCCTTTCTCGGGCGGACCGCCCGCGTTGACGAACACGACGGCGCACGTGTTCTCGAATGCCCGGCTGACTATGGTGCTGTTAAGGAACAGCGCCTCGCTGTCCGGGTTGAGACTGTACCCCGCGTCCGACACGTCCTTCAGGCTCCAGAACGAAGGCACGCAGATGATGTCGGCGCCGTCCGCGACGAGCTCCCGGAAGGCCTCGGGAAAAGCCAGGTCCCAGCATATCAGCAGCCCCACCCGCCCTAAAGGCGTGTCGAAAGCCGTGTGCGGCTCCTGGGCAGATGATACCAGGTGCCGCCGCTCCGGGTGCCACAGGTTCTTCTTCTGATATCGCGCCAGGACCCCGCCGTCCGAGGATATGAAGTATGCGATGTTGTGGAGGGACTCACCGGCCGGCTCGACGATCGTGCCGGGCACGATGCAGATTCGGAGCTCGCTTGCTAGCTGCCGGTACCTTTCCAGATATGCTGCCGACTCGGCACAAGATGCCCGGAAGCCTGGCGCGTCCGGGGCCCAGGAGGTGAGATGGTACTCGGGCAAAACGGCCAGGTGACAGCCCTCACGAGCAGCATCTGTGATGTAAGATGCGGCCTTGCGGAAATTCTCGGCCGGCGACAGAGGCTACAAACGGGTAAGCGTCAGGAAAGGTTGGGCCCGGACGTGAAGCACGTGTAAATTGAATGACCTCGACGTCGCCGTAGTCGTTTCGCCAAGTGTGACTTAACCAACCTTCGGATGCAACTGCACCAGGGCAACTTTATAGACCGGTGCCATCGAGACTATGACTACCCCCGTATTATTTGGCCGCGACAGGATATCCTTCGAATTCAAGCGGGCCTCAGAGACCAGAGATAGCGGGAGATGCAGTTGGAGGATGGAGAAGCGTTACGATGCTTAGCCGACTTGCTAGATAGATACTAGATATGCATGTGCCCTCTCTCGGCATATGCATTTTCTTACCGACATGCAATGCTTGGGGTTGCCAGTTACCCCGATACACTACGTCACACTCCAAGGCCACCTTACCTACCTCTATTACATATATCATGATCATCGAGTGTAAAGACAAGACAACATCTACCTACGTAGCAGCAAATTGTATAATATTACCATCCACCATACTTTCCATTTGCTGCCATCATGGCTTACGAAGGTTCAATATTCTCTCTAATTAGCAATGCAGTTCCAGAATGTCCCTTCCCCCAGCACAGAGCAATACGTATATGTGCCCAGGTCAAGTACCGAAAGTAAGTGCAATATCGACACGATGACGGATACTAATACTGTGTCTCTCGGGTAGGAACCTGTTCACTAGCTCTGGATAAATACACCCGGAATGCTGTAGCACAAGTGCCTGGTCATATTGAGACGCGGTTCCCAAGTCTCCTGACGCGTCGTCTGATGAAGGTAGTTGTCATAGTCGTACACAGTATTTGGAACTTAGACAGGAGAGGCCTAACAACGTCTCATTCAGGCATGGGACCATTCTCCCCGTCGTACGCATGATGCATTATTTCTGTTGAGCAAGATGTCTAGGTCTCGGTCTGCGGTCTTGTGCTGAACGTAATGGCAACCTCAGGTCTACGACATGGAGGTATACGATGTACCCATTCGAAGGTAGGAGGCATGGTCTAGCATGCTATATACAGGTATTTGGTACGATCTCAGCTACAGTGCACAAGGAAGGGGACGACCGTCACGATCTGGGCCGCCTTGGTTTTCGCAAATCTCCGAATGGCAATTCCAAGGCACTTTCGTCATCGCGGTCAGCCGGCGACCTAGGCAGGTGGTCTGGTCTGTCACGGCTAGGTGTTTAGTGTCGAAGCCGCGACCGAGCATGGCCTCATCCGTATGTAATATATATTCTGTGGTCGGCGTGGCGATCCGTCTCGTTGTGCCACAGCCACTGCAACATGGCACGAACGTCTCTCAAGACGATCAAGACACAACGACATCGACAATCTTAGGCGAGTTTAAATGCTGCCTCCCCCCTCGTCCTCGCTCTCTTCACACTTCTCCTACCTCTCCCTGCTTCTCACCAAAAAGAAACACCACTCAACTACTCCCGGCGGACAGTGATAGTAAGGCGCCGCCCAGCATACAGCACGATGCAGCCGCTCACCACCGTCTTCACGCCACCTCCCGGGTGCTATAATAGGTTCGTGGTATACATCGACACCAACTCATACCACTCGAGCGTTGGGCGGATTTCCAGCGGATTCTGGGACCGATCCTTCTCCAAATGCGCGCCGTGCCAGAACACAAAACCCGTTCTAACCTTCAGTCCCGGTGTGTGCCCCCAGCAGATGAGCATTGTCTCTTCGGCATCTATCAGCGAGGAAGATGGGGCCAGCACGTCTTTCTGGAGGGGATGGTGTTGTCAGAGGTGAGTTTGGAGAGGCTTCTTCTCTGCTGCTCGTCGAGTGACGGAATGTCGATAGCTGATTACGAGATACAGCGGGTTCGTTGTCTGGAGCCATGGCCTCTGCACGTCCACTGCTACCGCTCCGTTCTCCGTCCTCCTCGATCCAAACATCTCCACCACCGACCTGTACACAACCTTCTCGACCGATACGTGGATAATGCACGATCCGGTGACTGTCGAGTGGCAGGAGGCTGATCTCAAGTTACTGCCGCCGGAGATCGCTTCGCATTACAGGTCCATAATGGGGATCACAACTGCGGCCCCAGCTGCTCTTTCGATCGCCATCTCTCATCCAAGTGAGGAGTCTTCCAGCACGGCCGAAACCGCACCATCGACTTCGCCCTTCTCCCTTGGCCATACCACGCCACCGGTAGCACCAACAGTACTGGCGCCATCGACATCTGCTCCGCCACCTGCCCATACATTCCCGGCATCTACTACTTCTAGTCGTGGGTCTCGACTATCACATCGGGCCGAAAGCATCTTGATCTCGTGGCTGGCATTTCTCTTCTGGATACATCACTTACAGTAGCGTAAGTCGTGGTAGGCATGGGAGTGGAACCTAGATATCATACAGTAGAAAGGGAGAGAAGGGGCCGAGGTGGCATTTGCAGCACCAACCTAATATTATATTAATACGCCCTGTCTTAACTACGTCCATTCCCCATCTCTAGCTACACGAGAGATAGCCCCGGATGGGAAACGAAAAGGAACGATGTTAAATATCCTCTTATCCAAAGCTGGACTTAGGAACAGAGTCGAAAAAGCTACTTAAGAGCAGCCTCCAGTCGCAGATCCGGGGATGTTAGGAAGACGAGAAACCCGAGGTTCTCGCGACTCCAGTCTCAATGTAACGTTTCTCCAAGTATAGTTACCCCGAAGCTCGAACTCTCCTCCAATCCCGAGCCAGCCGGCCAAACACCACCCATCCGCTACTCGTCGGCGGATATCGAATGTCGACCGATCCGGGTGTGCGGGGTGCAGATGGTGGTAGATGGTGATTCGATGGGATCAAGAACATTGCCGTGTATTTTCCTTAGGTGCGCCGTGAGTAATTGCCACAATTTTAGAACCGGCATTCCGATATGTGTGCCTAACATTGCGTCTTCACGCCCTTGACCAGATAGAGAGTGCAGTTAAGGCAGTGTTGAAGCCTTGCGAGACGCGGTGTACGGTGTGGATTTCCCCTGAATAATAATTCCACCATTAATTCTCCTCTTCTGCCGATAACCACACCTTTGCTCCTATCGGCCCATCAACAAGCGCTATCTCACCTCGGTGTAAAGAGGTCCCTACCGGTGTTTTCTATCATATTTGATGAGGTAAAAGAATGCTCGGATTCCCGCTTTTGATGCCTGGCTACATACATCCGGACATCCACCCGAACCGTACCACGTTCCAGAACGACCTCTCCTCTGCACCCGCATTCCACTCATTACCTCCCCTGCTGCGGTCTTCGGCCGCCACCCACCCCTGCTGCAGCCGTTTCCGCCTCTCATCCCTGGGTCGCCATTCACCGGCCGCGGTGCTCCCATTGCCGACCGACGTCGTGCGTTGGACCGTCGAGAGAAGGTCCGATTCCCATTAATAACCCCTCACGGCCAAGCAATCGAGATACCTAATAAAAGAGGCCCGATATGAATGTCTCGTCTCCGATAGCATGGCCTCTCCGTCTTCTGGATACCTGTCCGCTCCCGACAGCTTATAGTAGTATGCTGCTGCATCCTACTCTCAACACCATGCTGTCAACCACGCTATACTTCCTGGCCGGCCTGGCTGTCTGGGGCAACGGTGTTGGCACCGCCGCCCAAGACGTCATCACCGATGACACGACGTTCTACGGCCAATCCCCGCCGGTATATCCGTCGCGTAAGCAATGAAGTCCGAGCCGCCGTGAGAGTTGGACTGGCGACTAACGTATTATTCGCAGCCATCGGGACGGGGCTGGGGGGTTGGGCCGACGCCTACGCGAAAGCCCGGGCTCTCGTGGCGGAGCTGACCCTAGAAGAAAAGGTCAGAGCCTCCCACCCCAGGAATTGGAGTCGGCTGAATCCTAATTCCATTGCCATATAGGTCAGTCTCACCGGGGGTGTCAGTGCAGATAGTTCCTGCTCTGGAATTATTCCCGCCATCGAGCGGCTCAACTTCACCGGCCTCTGTCTCAGTGACGCCGGTAATGGGGTGCGGACAACGAACTTCGTGACGAGCTGGGCTTCGGGCCTCTCAGTCGGCGCGAGGTAAGATGAATCGCCGTCGTTTCTCCGGAAAGCACGCAGTAACTAATGTCACCCATTTCCCCAGCTGGAACCGAGATTTGGCTTATAAGAGGGCCGTGGGCATGGCCGGTGAGTTCCGGGCTAAAGGGGTCCACGTCGCCTTGGGGCCGGTAGTAGGGCCTTTGGGCCGTATCGCAAGCAGCGGGAGGAACTGGGAAGGTAAGAGAAACATGATGCAGCGCCGTATACGACAGGGTACTTACAGATGAATCATCTTCAGGATTCTCAAACGACCCCTATCTGAGCGGAGTCCTAGCAGCGGACACCGTCAAGGGGATGCAGTCCGTCGGAGTCGCGACAAGCACTAAGGTATGAAGAGACTTGTGAAAAAGGCTTGGATATAATAAGTAGTTTTGTTGTGCTTATATTGTTTACTTACTAGCACTTTATCGCCAACGAGCAAGAAACAAACCGCAACCCCGAGGGCAACGTCACGGCCGTGTCCTCCAACATCGACGACAAGACCATGCACGAGCTGTATCTCTGGTACGTGCTCAGCATAACCTTCTCGACGGATGTTTAGTTAATACCCGTGACAGGCCGTTCCAGGACGCCGTAAAAGCAGGCACTGTGAACATCATGTGTTCCTACAACCGGATCAACAACAGCTACGGTTGCGCTAACAGCAAGACACAAAACGGTCTCCTCAAAACGGAGCTCGGCTTCCAGGTATGTTGGACCTTGGTGAAATTCTCGGAGTACAATACGTCTTAACCCACGTACTTGGGCAGGGGTTTGTGGTTTCGGACTGGGGCGCTCAGCACGCCGGCGTTGCCACGGCGTTGGCAGGTTTGGACGTGGTGATGCCGTCCGCCTCGCCGTTTTGGGGGAACAACCTCACCCAAGCCGTCAACAACGGTTCGGTTCCGGAGTCTCGCGTGGATGACATGGCGACCAGGTAAGAACACTTCCTAACCACATCGCGTCCCATGCGCATTGACACAAGGCAGAGTCATAGCTGCGTGGTATAAGCTGGGCCAGGATGAAGGGTTCCCAGCCATCGGCGTCGGCATGCCGGCAGACCTCTGGAGGCCGCACCAGCGGGTTATCGCCACGTCTCCGAGCAACAAAGAGATCCTCCTGCAGGGGGCGATCGAGGGCCATGTCCTGCTTAAGAACATCAACAACGCGCTGCCGCTCAAGTCGCCCAAGCTGATCTCCCTGTTCGGCTACTCCGCCAAGGCCTTCGATGGGTATACCCCGGGCGCCTCCGGCTGGAACGGGGGCTCGGAGTCGCTCGCGCCTGGCGACGCCGTCCGCGAGGGCGACAGGGTGATCCGCAGCCAGATCGCGGCCAACGGCACGCTGATCAGCGGCGGCGGGTCCGGCGCTAACCAGCCGGCGTACGTGAGCTCGCCGGCGGCGGCGCTGAGCCAGCGCGCGTACGAGGACGGCACGAGCCTGTGGTGGGACTTCCACAGCGGCAACCCTCTCGTTGACCAGTCTTCCGACGCCTGCATCGTGGTCGGAAACGCGTTCGCGTCCGAGGGTTGGGACCGGGTGGGGCTGCACGACGACTTCACCGACGCGCTCATCACCAACGTCGCGTCGCAGTGCCGCAACACCATCGTCGTCTTCCACAACGCCGGCGTGCGCCTCGTCGACCGCTTCGTCGACCACCCCAACGTCACCGCCCTCATCTTCGCCCACCTCCCCGGCCAGGACTCGGGCCGCGCCCTAACCGCCATCCTCTACGGCGACGCCAACCCGTCCGGCAAGCTGCCCTACTCGGTGCCCCGCAACGAGTCCGACTTCGGCCCGCTGCAGAACGCCTCGCTGCCCGACGGCGCGTTCGCGCTGTTCCCGCAGTCCGACTTTGACGAGGGCGTCTACATCGACTACCGCGCCTTCGACGCCCAGGACATCCGCCCACGGTACGAGTTCGGCTTCGGCCTGAGCTACACCACGTTCGACTTCTCGGACCTGGCAGTGGCGGCCGCCGAGGGCGCCGACACGTCGCCGTACCCGACGAAGCCGGTCGCCGAGGGCGGCCAGGAGGACCTCTGGGACGTCGTGGCGCGGGTCTCGGCGACGGTGACCAACACCGGCACCGTCGCCGGCGCCGAGGTCGCGCAGCTCTACGTCGGCATCCCGAACGGCCCCGTCAGGCAGCTCCGCGGGTTCGTCAAGGCCGCGCTCGAGCCCGGCGAGTCGGCCGTGGTCGAGTTCGAGCTGACCAGGCGTGACCTGAGCACCTGGGACGTGGTGGCGCAGAACTGGCTCTTGCAGGGAGGTGACTTCAAGATCTTTGTCGGGTCAAGCAGCCGAGACTTGCCTCTCGAGGGAACGCTGACTCTCTGAGGGGGCCAACGTTACGCCTCGATCCATTGATCGACACGAACTAGTGATGTTATCTAGAGGAGCGTAGTAGCGATGTAGATCAATTCCCTATTAAGTATTCCCCCCGTCGATTGCTCCAGCGTTGTTTGGGCCGTTGGGACCAACTCCGGGTACTGCCATCGCTTACCCGGAGGAGCGAAGCGGCGTCGTCGCAGAGTTCTCGAAGCGGCCAGTAGCATGCGTGAATAAATGTGATCTAGCTGCCAAGGAAGAGACTGTCATCACCTAGAACGGACCAGATTCCCGCCTTTCAGAGCTGTAGAGCGCCACACCTCCCCCTCCTCTGGATCTCCCCCTCTCCGTCCTCCCCCCTGCCATCGCTGCCACCGAATCCTATACATACACGTGCAGCCCCGTCCCGGCATTCGGCGTGGCATCGTCCATCAGACCAGGCGGGGGGGCTCCCAACACGATCCATATACAAGACTTGCCAACTCCGCCTCTTCCCTATTCCGGCCCGAGGCACAGCGGGAAGAGAAGTGATTCGCTCAGCTCTCCGCCTGGCATTCCCCATTGCCCCCCTCCCAACACACCCTCCCTCATACGTAGTTGCTATAGTTGCGACTAATATGGTCAGCCCATCGCACGATGTTGGGAAAAAATCTGTTTATCCCCCTCTTCTCCCTCCCCTGGCGGGTTTTCCTCGTCTACTAACACTCATCTTCTATACTTATGACTAGGCCAAGGCGCCAGCTTCCTTGCTTCGACGCCGTCGTCTAGGTCGCGGGTTAGTCTCCGAGTAGAAAGAGAGAGAGGGGTGAGAGAAGCCCGGTGCGTAATAAACCGCATTACCACATACAGTTTGGCTTGGGCATCCAGGATGAAGGCCCTGCTCCAAAATATCGTGCCGCCGTGGCCCGGCGATGCCGCCGCGGCGCTCCGGGCGAACCTGGCGCTGTCCCTCCCGGAGCCCCTTTCGCGCGTCCCGCCGTGGGCGGCCCTCGCTGCCATCGCTGTGGTGGCCTACCTCGCACTCGTGCGGACGCTGCGCTTCCGGGCGCTCCGGGCGCTGGAGCGCAAGCACGCGGACCTGCTGGCGCCGGGGGCGGACCCGTACGCGATGGGGTACCGGCGGGCGGCGGAGATCTCGCGGCTGGCGCTGCTGGGGGACACGCCGTTCCTGTTCTACTTCGGGACGCAGTGGGCGCTGGTGAAGAGCTACGCGATGGCGACGGGGACGCCGCTGCTGGCGGCCACGCGGCAGCTGGCGGACGGGCGGCGCGTCGGGCGGCGTGCCGAGGACACGGCCCTGCTGCTCGTCGAGCTGCTCGCCGGCGACCTCGACGCGCCCCGCGGCCGCGCCGCCCTCGCCCGCCTCAACTGGCTCCACGCCCGCTACGCCGCCCGCATCCGCCCCGCCGACTACGTCCACACCCTCGCCCTCTTCGTCCTCGAGCCCGCCCGCTGGGTCGCCCGCTACGACTGGCGGCCCCTCTCCCCGCTCGAGCGCGTCGCCTACTTCGTCTACTGGCGCGAGATCGCCCGCCGCATGGGCTTCGCCGACCTCGTGCCCCCCACCCTCGACGCCCTCGACGCCTGGCGCCAGGCCTACGAGGCCGAGCACATGTACTTCGTCCCCTCCAACCGCACCGTCGCCGACGCCACCGTCGGCCTCTTCCTCCGCAGCTGGCCCGCCCCGCTGCGCGGCTTCGCCCGCTCCGTCTTCCTCGCCTTCCTCGACGAGAAGCCCGTCCGCGAGGCCCTCGGGTACGACGACCCGCCGGCCTGGGCCACCGCCCTGACGTCGGGCATCCTGCGGCTGCGCGGCTTCGTCCTGCGCCACCTGTTCCTGCCGCGGTGGGCGCCGATGGACCCGCTGGCGCGCGCCGGCCCGGACGGGCGCCTCTACCAGAACGTGTGGTATGTCGGGTTCGAGCCGTGGTACGTCGCCGACACGTGGTGGAACCGCGCGGTGCTGTGGGTGACAACGGGCGGGCGCGTGCGGCTGGGTGGCGCGTTTCCCGGCCGCCCGGGCGGCGGATACCTACCGGAGGAGCTGGGGCCCGTTGAGTTTGAGAAGCTTGGGCAAGATGAGGTGCGGGAGCAGGCGGAGGCTATGAAGCGGTTTGGAGCGCCGCAGCAGAGGAAGGATGGGGCATACCCGGAGGCGGTGGGATGTCCACTCGCATTCGGGTTTTGATCGTCGACCATGGTCTATACATTTGGGTGCGTACTTTACATGTACGTGGCTTGCCTGTACCTATGTCGAAGCTCGCCCCTCCCAGGACCGCAGCTAGGCGTGTCGAATTGACTAGAATAGTGCTAAATATTCCGCGTTTCGACCTTCGGGCTAGACTTATATATCGCCAAGCATAGGGCCTCACATCTAAATCTAACGTAATAGGTGCTGACGCAATTATCGGCGCCAACTAGGTACTATTTATTAGGCATAGTTAGATTCTGTACTATAGACGGCGGTCAAACCGCCAACAGTTTGTTACAACGCGGCTGACCATACTTAGTAGATGCGCTGAACCGCGTGAGTTAGGTCCGTACGGCCCCTCCTATCGCAAGTTCAGGCGGACTCCTCCTTCGTGTCCCGGAAGCGGTGGTTGTCGAACTGAGGGGGCACACTGCAGCCCACAACAACGTTACTCTCTAGGAAGGCTCTAATCTCCTTTTCCTCCTCGTCACTAAGTTTGACGTCCAGAGAACTCCAGTTCTCCTCTAGATACTCGAGTCTCTTGGTACCTGGGATGGGGAAGATGTCATCTCCTTGCTTGAGGAGCCAAGCCAGTGCGAGTTGGGACACGGTACAGCCTTTGCGGTCGGCGAAGTCCTTGAATTTGGCTATAACGGCGGCGTTCTGAGCGCGATTCGCCTCCTGGAAGCGCGGAAGGGCGAGCGGGCGTATATCCTTGGCGTCACCGAGGGTTTCACCCTTGCTGAACGCTGTCGAGAGCAGACCCCGGCCCAGCGGTGTGGAGGGTACGAGCGCGACGCCGAGTTCGCGGACCGCGGCCAGCAGGTGGGTGCCGACAGGCCCCTCGACGTCCCGCGTGAATGCCGAGTACTCTACCTGTACTGCAGCGACAGGTGCAATTTTGAAGGCGCGGCGGAGCGTTGTGGAGGTTACGTTGGATAACCCGATGTTCCTAATCTTGCCTTCACTGAAGAGAATATGTGCCCATCAGTACCACAAACTCGCCTCAACCTCTCTCGGCCTGGAGAAGATGGTCGGGATGATAATCAAACACTTACGCTTTAAGCTCGGCCAAGGCTCGCACCGTCTCCTCAATAGGGGTATCATAATTGACACTGTGCACGTAGTCTGGACGGTTCATAGAATCAGCAGATAGCCAATTTTGGGTATCGAAGCATAGGAGGCGAGGAAAAGAAACAGAGTCCACGTCTCCACGGTGAAGAGCAACAGCAGGACAAATGAAAAAGGGTTGCCTGCGACTTACACAGGTCGATATAGTCAGTACCGAGCCGTTTCAGGCTGGCGGCGCAGGCCTCCTTCGTATAGGCGTAGGACGAATTGGTTTCGTAGGTCTTGCTACCCTTGATGTAGCTGAACTTGGTGGCTAGGAAGATCTGGTCACGCTTCCCGGTCTGTTTAAACCATTTGCCCAAAAGCTCCTCTCCGTCGCCGTAGAGACTTGAATTGCCAGCCCGGTCAGCACACGTACGTAGTTGACAAAGGCGGGAGCAGCACAGCGTCTAATAAACGGAAGGTTGTCTCACTCAGCAGTATCCCAGAAGGTAGCTCCCAACTCCAAGGCACGGTCGAAAAATTTAAACCTCTCCTCGTCGCTAGGAACAGTGCCGTAGGTCGGATAGGAAATGCCCATCAAGCCGAGACCTATGGCCGGCACGAGAGGGCCATTCTTGCCCAGAGGACGGAGAACAGGCTTAGTAGACATATTGGCACGGGGGCGACTATGGACGTAGGGTTGGTTGTGTATGGTCGAACTGGACAGGATATCTCGGAATGCTGAAACCCAATACTAAATACGGCCGAACACGCGGGTTTAAATAGTCCTCATTCTCGACGAACAACAACTCGGAGACGGCCGTTAAGCGGCGCGGCTCGTCGAAGGATGGGACAGGCCTCGCATACTCTCCCCCCAGAGTACTCGGCACACCCGGAAGACCACGCAAGCCGCGTGAGGGCGAAAACGAAGATCGAAAAGTGAATCCTACGACGCAGTCAGGCCGAATGAGGGAATGGACCATTCGGCCCCAGCTGAACCAATCGGCGTGGCGAGTTTGCGAGCCGACCAATAGCAGCAGACTCCGACCGAGGCTGGGCGACAGAGGGATGGATCCGATGTGTCGGACATCTTCGGTGTAGCAACGAAGGGTCGAGACCATCGCGCCGACTGCCGAGTTAGTCTGGCTAGCTTCCCAACAGCTAGAACTTGGAGTGGAAGATCTAATCCGCCCCCCTCGTGGAATGTCGCCGGCGTAGGGTGTGGTGGTGCGTATGCGCGCAGAAGAAGAGGAGCGAGGCAGAGAAGATCCGGGATTCAAAACAAGGGGACTGGACCGGATGAGAATTATGTAATCATCAACCACAATGGAAGAGGTGTGTACTTGATGAGAGTTGAGCACATCCAAGTACCCCTACTGTGTCCACGTGTATTCGAGATACCTCTCGTAGTATGGACTTGAAGTACCTGGGTACTACTACAGCGCATGACGGCACTAGAAGATACAAAGAACATGCTTGCTTTGAAGTACCTAACTGTTGTGACGCCTGCCATATTTACGTATCTAGGTACATCACGTATTTCGAGACATGCTGGCAGCCGCCTACACCTGTCACAGGCGTCGATCTCCTCGAACCCTACGCGATATCGAGATGGGAGTGTGGTAGCCATTATTTACCTGAAACTACCCACGTTCACACACATCTCACCTTTCCCATCACCGCCCATCCCGAGTCAGCATTCCGCCCGTATACGCAGAAATGCCGTCGACCTGAGCCAATCCGTCCGTCATTCCTCGCCAGGTTGCCGTAGAAGCTGAAATTGACCAAGCCCCGGGCTCCCAGAACAAAGCGCCAGCGTTGTTGTTACGTGTGTGCTACTGCGACGAAATGGAGATTTACATGGGAAGGGCGAACGGCTTACCGCCGGTCTTAGAGCTTGCTATTATATGATTTCTATCGTACGGGCATCTCGACCTTGGAAGAACCTCTTGAGGCCACCCCTCCCCTTAGGCCACGAGGTGAAAACACCGACCCTGAAGTACCTCCCTTCCGCTTCGGCTGGGTGCACGACGAGCCCATACGCAAATTTATCGGCGTCTTCGTCTCTATTAAGGGCCGCTTCGAAGCTGATATCGCTTTCGCTGCTGGAATCCTCGTCGTCGTCGTCTCCACCCTCGCCCCAAATCATGTCCACGTCCGCTTCTCCATCCCGGTCGGCTTCATCGCCGGTATCGTCATCGTCCTGTTCCTCCTCCGCATCCTGGTTTAATTTCGCGATTCTATACGTGCTCCAGTTCCAGTAGCTCCCGATAAGCACTAGAGACAGCCGTTCGTACGGCACCCAGCCCTCCGGCTCGTCCCAATCGAAGCTAATGTTAGCCACGTACCCGTTACCCTCGTACATTTCCCAATGGTTGTCGAAGCCCTCTTGGCGCTGTAGTCGTGGCAGCATAGGGACCACCGTGCTAGTAATTTTAAGACTCCCGCCCGTGACTTGGCCGAACGGGTTCGATTCCGACGCTGATGTCCACACGTCGATCCTCTCGTATGCCCTCGCAAAGCAAGCGTCGCCGTCTCTTACAGGTACATGGTCACCGTACGGCGCGGGTGACTCGTCAAAGCGAACTTTGCCTCGCCAGCGGGCCCAGCTCCAGGATGGGGCGACGTACGGTTGCGGCGAGTTGAGAGATTTGATCAGCGAGTCGAAGGAAACTCTCGCATCTCCATCCCCTGCGACACCGGTCCGTGGCTCGGGTGTCCAGAACACATCGCGGTGAACAGATTTTCGACGGATACCTGCGAGGTACAACTCTCCGCCACCCTGAACCTCCATTCGCGCGAGGCCTGCCATTGCAGGAAGCTTGTCTGTTTCAAAGGTAAGCTGGCGCGCCGAGTACTCCTCCACCGTCGACATCCAATCATCACCTAGGTCGAACTGTCCGGTCAGAGAGATGCCGGCGAAAGCCCCTCTCGCCCTGTCTTCCCTCCCCTCCGCCGACACCTCTCCAGTTACCACCTCTATCATCTCCTCGTCGTTCTCCGACCACACCCTGTTCTCGAAGTCTACGAGTAGCTTGTTCCCGAACAGGAGAACACGCCGCGAGAGCCGCAGTTCCTGATATGTCCACCCGCGTTTCCACCAGTTGCTTAGTGGGCTCGTATCGACGCGGTCGAGCTCCCCGTAGACACCCCTAGCGACCCGTGGGTCGCTGATCGCGCCACAAGACCTGATCGTATAGGAACCCACAACTGAGCGGTCGATCTTTGAACGAAAGTTAACCGTCAAAACCCGCCTCTCCAGGAACCCCTCGCGGCATGACGTTGAAGTCGGCGTGCAGATCGTTAAGCAGGCACCGCGGTAGATATTAGTCATCTCTGCAGACTCGCGCTCCCAGTCGACCCTGTCATCCTGGACGATGCAGACAGCGTCAACCCACAGGTACCGTATGTCGAGAGCCCGGCAGACCTCAACGGCGTCCCTCATAACCGGGGACGTCTCTTCAGGGCGGAACCCGGACACGCGGTCTGGCAGACTAGCGCGCTCTGTCTTGAATTGCGCTTTCGCATCCTCAAGCGGACCCCAGCAGTAACTTAGCGCGGCATACCTCAGAGGCCTCTTGTCCCGAAGGAGGTCCGGACCAGGTATTACGAGATAGCAGATGTCTTCCTTTCCCTTGTCATCTCCAATTCGGATGAGTCGCGTGGGACAAAAGGCTGGACGCGGCTTCGCGCGCGCCTCGGTGTCGCGAATAAAAGCGCGAAGCTTCTCGACGTTCCTATCGCACAATGGGTGCTCCTGGGGAGAGGACTGGAGTCCCAGCCATCGTGAGCAGGGGTCTGCGTACATGATCAATTACCTACTTTATACATCTCTGCAGATGCACACATGTAATCACTTCTGCTCTTGTCGCGTAGGCGTTGAGCGGGTGATGCTTACCTCCCGAGACGCCATCGACGCCAAACATGAGCCATGCTTCTGCTTCTGCTTCTGAAGTATACCAGCTAGTCGTTAGCATTTAAACGTGTGTATGACTCGCTAAATAGCCGGACTGTTCACACATGGCGGAGATATACACATAGCGAGCGACCTCCAGCACACTTACCATGCCCCCTTCCCCTCGTGGAACCTATGTGCGCCAGTACGGACACGAACCGGCCGTCGTTCTCGAGCGAGAACACGAGCTGCAGGCGGATCCGGATCTCGTCCTCTCGAAAGCGCAGGCCGCAGCGGCATTCCCTCAGGATCGACGCGCGGAGCGTGCCGCAGAACGCGCAGCCGGCCGCTGCTGATGCGCCGAGCACCGGCAGCGCGGGCAGGGTGTCACGCGCATCGTAGGCGAGGAACGACCGGGAGTCTGTGCCGGGGTCGGCGGCCCGGAAGGAGAGGTAGCCGCCGTTATCGCCGTCTCCGTCAGTCGTGGTGGTCGCGGCGGCGGCGGTAGAGACGCGGATCCCCGTGCCGAAGGCCGAGTCGTCGAACTCGAGGACCCGGCACCGATCGCACAAGGCAGCGCTTCCGGGCGGCGGGGCCATGGTTTGCTTACTGGGGCTTACAGCTTGCTTGGATACACGGGATGTGTATGCAGGCAGTGTCAGACCATGGACAAGGCCGAGTGAGAGAGTGGGTATCAATGTAGGTGGTTTTCATTCTTCTCTCCAGGAAACACACCTAGGTACCTCGGCAGACTGTGGTCTGAAGTGCTATCCCATCGTGCCAGAGAATCACGCGTGATATATGACCTGTCATCTCGCCTACCTATCCTATTCGGGGGGCGGCCGCGCTGACTGGACGGTATCGCGCTCCTTTCGCCCCTGCGGAGTGCGAGACCATCCACTCGATATTCGTCCGCATTGACCATATCGGGCATAAGGAGAACGCATCTGGACACGCTGAACCAGTCGACAACATACTCATAGATACCCTGTCTATAACACGGATGACCTGCCTGGCTTTGGTGCATATGCCGTCCCAGCCTTGGACATGTCCAGTATCTATTCACACCGGCATACATGTATATATTCGGTATGTACCTACAGTCTACCCCGCTGCCTACCCCACCGTCGCTGTAGCTCTCGAAGCCCGCCCGTGCTGTCTTCGCTGTCTAATCCCCTTTCAGGAATTCGTTTCGAAACTTATCCATAGCCTTTCTTTATTTAATTTCCCTAGGGAACCGCCCCCTCAGCCACTTACGGGGAGGAGCACCTAACATCTCCTCCGCTTCGCGATGCAGCTCAACCATCCACTTGAAGTCCCGGATTACACTTATCATATCCTGATGCCATCCCGCGCTCGCCCCCGAGCCTCGAGCCATCTCTCTGGTGATCTTGTCCTTCATGAATATGGCTAGCGATTGCAGCTGCTTCTCGATTCTGGCTACTGTGCCACTTTCCCTTGCATAGACCGCGAGGTGGGCCGCTGGGAAGGCTGGGGGCCGGTTGTCAGCGTTGACATTGTCATCGTGGATCGGAGCCGCGTGGATCGGAGCCGTGCTGGCAAGCAAGCAAGCGCCCCGCATCCGGACTCACCTGGGTCGACCAGCCCGATCTCTTCGAGAACCTCCAGCGCGTTGTCGAGCAGCGCGTGATGCAAGTCCCCCGCACAGACGCCGCGCGGGACCTTGCCGCCCGCGGCGCTGGACGGGAAAGTCCCCGAGGTGACCCAGGGCCTCTCCTCGCTCAGGTCCGAAGGCAGGAATTCCAGCGCCTTTCTGCAGAACGTGCCGGCGTCTCCGTTCACCGCCAGCGCGAGCCGGAAGCGCGCGCCCGACGGCCGCCTCACCAGCACCGCCACGGTGAACGAGTCGCCTATCCCCCGGGCCTTTTCCGCCGCCGAGACCTCCCACGACGCGTACCCGTAGCCGTTGTTCGCGGTCTCCCACCCGCTCTTCACGCGCAGCATATGTGTCCGTTCGGGCTTAGACGTGTGAGCCGTCGATGGTTTCTCCCGCGACGCCCCCGGCTGCAGGCTGGCGAGGCTCCTGCGTGCTTCGTTGGTCGCCCAGACGTAGACGGGCTGCTCTCGCGACGAGGGCTCGAACGCCTCGATCCTCACCACGTCATTCCTGCGAGCGCCGTCTCCCTGTACATTCTCGTCTGGCACGGCCAAGGCCGACACCCGCACGCTGAGCCGCAGAAACTGCCGTCCTCGGTCCGTCGGGAAAGGGTCGATCGCGATCACCACCAAGCTGGCGTTGTCCGTGTCCCACGGGTCGAAGCTGCCGTGCACCTCGTACAGGATCCGGTAGTCCACGAGCACCTCGGGCTGGTTCGCGGCGCTGGCGATGATGCTGCTGACGTCGGCTCCCGGAGGGCCCCAGACTCCCGCACTGCTACCCGGCTGTGCCTGCAGGGGCTTAGAGAGAGTCCCCAAGGATCCCATCGTGCGATTTCGGTCGACTCCAAGTCCTGCGAAGAATTAATACCACAGTCGGGCGGTGGCAGTATTAATCGATATGCCCTCGCACGCCCGGACGTAGGTAGGTAGGTAGGTAGAAGGCAGTAGAAACTCGAGGGTAAGAGCCCAACCTCCCACCATAGCCAAACCCCCTCCCCTTCCCTTACCTACAGTAATTAGCCCGTTGACGTGGCCGGCGAAACGATAGATGCCAGCATCCTGGCGCAGAATGATTCGTGGCAGCCCCTCTCCCAGCCTTTTTCTCTGCGAGGCCCGGACGGCTTCTTGATTGGGGCCGCGTTGCTGGCGAGAAGTAGCAACGACTACGTGCCCCAATACAAGCAGTGGTCGGAGAATTCTATAAGAACCCAACTCATGTTGCGAGCCAGACACTTATCTACGCGAGCCACGTCCTGATTAGATTTCCCGTTGTCCACACAGGTCAGATAACAGAAGGCTATCACAGGAGGCTATATTCCAGGCCCCCCTTTACTGGCTTTAGATGAGCCAAGTATCTATATCTAAAACCGAGGGCAAGTTGCTCGGGATCCATGATCTTAACTTCTTAAGTAGATGTTGATTTAAAAGCGCGTTTTTGACTCTAAGTTGAAGTGTTTTATGGACTCAGTCATGATACGAATAATGCAAACGCAAAGTACACTCTCCCTCGAGACCGCCGAACCCTGACCTCCCCAATACCCGAAGCAACAGGAAATGTTAAGAGAATTCTTCGACAGCAAATATCCCGGTGAAATATTTCCGCCCCCCCCCGTCCCAATACCCATCCTACGTCGAACATTGCCGCGGCCACACAAGTTTGCCCTTGCGGCATCTTAGCCTTCCTTGTGTGTGTCGTCTTGGCCGGTTGTATTCGTGGAGTTGAAGGAATACTCCCAAGGACGCCAAAGCGTGATCCCCTCCCAGATCGTCGAGGAAACTGAGCTCATGGACGGCGACTGTAGGAGGGAAATCGTGAAACTTACCGCTTGGCCTTTGAGATGTCAGCATATTTCCGTCCGCGTGGGCTCGGAGGCGCCCGACTTACCCAACGCCACGAGGGCGAGATTCCTCGCGACCGAAGGGGGAAGTCCGTAAGAACCCACGACTAACGATGCAGCTGAACACCATATGGGCTGCCACCAGGACGGGGGGACGCGGTGTACCGAGGCGGTGGTATGCCTGAGCTGTTCCGTTATTACATTGGTAAGATTCTGTGTTTGATGTAGTGTATGTGTGAGATTGTAAAAGTTCGATGAAAGCTTTCCCGAGACGCTGGCCAGCCGATCCATGCCCTATCCTCTGTCGTAATTAGCACTAGAACCCGAAAACGGAGACGTTGTTACTCGCCAATTCTATATTCTTCTGTCTCGATTCTAATTCCAACATCCGGCCGTGGGAGGCTTCCTAGAAAACCGCGTTAGGCAGACTTCATTCGATAAAACTGCAATCGCACATACGGCTTGTCTCTGCAGATTCAGGGAACTGTCCGCAATCACCGAAATCGCGTCAACGATCCTGCCCATTGCCGAATCGACTTGCGGGCTTGCTGCCTGCAGCGACCGTTCGTAAGCAGACGCTAATTCCGTCTGGCCGTCTCGAGAGTTGTTCAGAATCATCTCGAGTATTCGCTGTAGCTCGATGGCAGTTCTAGCCCCCTTTTCGGCCGAATCTGCTGTATCCTGTCCGAATTAGTATGAGGTGGGATGCTCGACTCTTGTGATGTATGAATTCTAACCTTGAAGGCATTGTTTAGCGAACTGAGCATAATCCCCTGCAGATACTCCAGGCCGTTACGCAATCTGTCAAGCTGCGGCGACAGATCGTCGATTGCCTTGCCTGTCGCCTTGGCCCTTGAGTTGAGATCTACCATGGTATGCTCAAACTTTTCCTCTACTTCATTCGTGAATTTCCACATGATCTTCGTGACGCGCTCGAACAGGAGGATTTTTTGAGCTGAGTAACGTGATTAATCTAACTAATCGCGAAGTCTTCGAGGTTGGGGGCTATTGCTTACCCTTCCTATTTTCTGCCTGGGCAGCCTCGCAGAACCGTACAGCTTTGTGTCGATAACTGACCCAGGTGTTCTAAGCCGAGGCAGAATCTCCCAAGCCGGAAAGACAGGCGTTGATTTCGGCTGTCGTGACATGTAGATGGCCCTGGTGGTCTAGAGGAAGCCTGCTAAGGACTGTTTCTCGAAAGTTGGAACATTCGTCCGGTATTTGGAAGCTCCCCCTCTCTAAGTCGCAGATAGCTAGACTTGCTGCGTAAGAGTCGACAAAGTCTCGCACCACCCTACCACTATCTGCAAGGACTGCTGTCTCGTTCTTATCCTCGATGAAATGGCAGCTGTTCACCAAGAGCCTTGCGGCTATGCTGTGACATTGGGGCCCAGATTCGAGTTCTCGGAGCTCGTTCAAGGCGACTTCATAGGGGCTAGGTGCTCGTAGGTCGGACTGAGACATGACAGAAGGCTTTTCCGCCATAATGACTAAACGATTCCATTTTGTCAGTTAGTAAGTTGATAAGGCTCGAAGGACTCCTACCCTGATTTGCCCTCTGCCCGCTTCGCCACGAGAGTCCAGTGACAAGATGGACCTGGGTTATCACAAGGAGGATGAGGACGAGGACTTTGCCTCCGATTATGCCAACGTATTCTGCCCTCATTGCGTATTCTATCACCATAGACTGGCTGTAGGCAGGAGCCCGAGAGGTTTGGCCCTAGACTCTGATGGATGGCATGCAGATAACACAACTAGGGGTGGTAGTAGGAATACCGATGACTATTGGAGAGGAGAGCACAATAACGGAACAGAGATCAAGGGTTCTAGGTAGATGGCGTAGAAAGACGGGCGCTGGCTCGTACGCTGGACTGTCAGATGGCGCTGGGAAGACAACAACAAAAGGCAAGACAAATCTCCGGCCTCCCCCAAGGTCTTTGTTGCATCCGGGATCTCAACCTCTTAAATGACCCGTTGAACCTCCTGACCGACGTTCGAGGCGTTCAAGAGTGAAGAGGAAGAGGGTAAGGATGGACGAGGGATTTAGTGGTGATGCCGACAGCGAAGTGGGAAAAGCGCAGAGCTTGCTCGACGCGTCTACTTCCTATGACAAAGGTCCAACTGTACTTTCCCTATGAATCACAATCGTTCTTGGGCCTGATGAGGCAGGAACTAATCATCCTCTATCCTGCCTTCCCTACCCCTTATCTACCTATATAGGAAATATGGGTACTTGCATAGAATTGCATATCGAGGGATATGATCACATGACCCGGATACGCATATGACGCATGTCTAAGTACATCCGTACCTCCGCGACGAAACCCGAAAACCAGGACATCTCGCAGCGAAATTGAACCGATCCCATTGCACTATCCATTGAGACACACGCCCGCCGCAGCGCTTGCCCGACCCACCCACGCCCGCCTCACGATGCTGGCGCCGAGCCGAGCCAGGGGGCTCGAACGAGCCATAGCGACGACGATCACGCTGCCGGCGTTCCTCGTGCCGGCCTTCCAGACGGCGGCGGGGCCGCGGCGCGCCTTCTCGAGCAGCGCGAGCCGGTGCTCGAAGCTGGGCCGGACGCCGATCACGGTGCCGCAGGGCGTCGAGCTGAGCATCGGCGAGCTCGTCGCCAAGAAGGACCCCACGACCTTCCGCACCGACCCGACGCGCAGCATCACCATCAAGGGCCCGCTCGGCGAGCTCGTCCTCAGCGTCCCCGACTTCGTCTCCATCAACTACGACGAGGCCTCGCGCAAGGCCCAGGTGAAGGTCCAGGACCCCACCATCACGAAGCAGAAGGCCATATGGGGTACGTTGCGGCGCCGCCCGCGTTATCTGTTTCCTTCGCCCGCCGCCCGCGCAGCGTGAAGAGGACCCCGAGCTAACGGCATGCCCGTCCGCCTTACTTTTCCGTCTAGGCACGACGTGGGCGTACGTACAGCAGTACATCATCGGGGTGTCGGAAGGGCACACGGCGGTCCTGCGCCTGGTGGGCGTCGGCTACAGGGCGTCGGTGGAGGAGCGGCCGCGGCTGGCGACGTACCCGGGGCAGAAGTTCGTGTGCCTGAAGCTCGGCTTCACGCACCCGGTCGAGGAGCCGGTGCCGGAGGGTATCAAAGCCACGACGCCGCAGCCGACGCGCATCCTGATCGAGGGAACCCACCGCGAGAAGGTCATGTCCTTCGCCGCCGACATCCGCCGCTGGCGCCGCCCCGAGCCCTACAAGGGCAAGGGCATCTTCGTCAACGACGAGACCATCAAGCTCAAGCAGAAGAAGATCAAGTAGACGAGTCCGAGAGACAGGGGATCTGGGAGGCGGACAAGGAGAAGATATCCCCGTTCATATACATGTATCTATGTTCTACAGGACGGCGGATACCTGATCAAAAAGAGTCAAACCCCCAGAACAAGTTATATACTTTTGTGTACCTTCTATGTTATTTATACACGGCGCTACGCCTTCGCCAGTGCCTCAGTGACCGCTTCGAGCACTCGCGGGTGGGCGGCGACGGGTGCAGCTACAACGCCCTTATTCCCCGACAACGTCCGGCCGATGGTGAAATCCAGGCGCTTGCCGTAGATGTCGGTCACGGCGCCACCAGCCTCCCGGACGATGAGGTCGCCGGCGGCGTGGTCCCATATCTTTTCCGTGTACGTGGCACTGACGGGCAAGCGCAGGTAGATGTCGCCGGCGCCGCGCGCGATGGAGGCGTACTTGGCCTGCGAGTCCATGCGCACGCTCGGGTTCGTGATGCCGAGTATGCTCGCGATCTTGGCCTGGTCTCCGTGAGAAGAGTGACCAGCCTCGACGCTCTCGCAGAAGGTCGCGGCGGTGATGTCGGCGATCGCTCGCATCGAGATGCTCTTCGCCGGGGCTAGGGCGCCCGCTGTCAGCGGCCGGCTGTTGGCTCCCTGGCCGAGCACCGCCGAGAATATGCTGCCCCTGCCCTCGTCTGTCTGGCCGGACTCCATGCCCCCCGTCAAAGGGGCGGCATCGTCCACAGGCAGGTTCGGGCACCCCAAAACACCAACCTTCACCTCGCCATCCACCAGCAGGGCAAGACAGACGGCGTACTGCCCCCCACGAAGGAAGCCCTTGGTACCGTCGATAGGGTCTATCGCCCATATGCGGCCCTGGGCGCCCCCCTTGCTGTTCCCGAAGTCGATGAAGGTCAGCATCGCGTCCTCGTCGCGGATAGGACCTCCCAGCGCAGCCTCAGCGGCGGGGTCGGAGAGCTGGGTGGTCCGGACGAGGTCCCAGATGGTGCGGCGCAGCGCGGCATCCTGGCGCAGCTGGGAAGCCTCCTCCTCGGCGACGATCTCGTCGTCGGGGAAGTTGGCCTTCAGGGCGGCGATGACGAGGGCTTGGGCGCCGAAGTCGCCGATGGTCACGGGGGACTTGTCGTCCTTGGAGACGGTACCCTTGGCCTTCTCGTGGAAGACCCGCTTGGTGAGGATGGCGGCACGCTGGACGGCCAGCTGGGCCACCTCGAGCTCGCGGGCGTAGGATGCAGGCATGTTGGCGGCGGTGGATGTATAGGGCCGTATGCCAGGTGAGAGGTGTTGGGAGAGCGAGCTGAGGCGAGGCAGCACGCGGGACAGGAACACCGCCAGGGCCACGATCAGGAGAGAAGAAACGAGCAGGAATCTTCGAGAGGCTGGTGGTTGCTTATGCGCCTTGGCCGGGTTGGTCTTCATACAGGCGCTGCATCAATAAACGGACAATCAGCTGGGTTGGCCGTCACTGGGTCAGTCTGCGAGTAGAGAGAGCTGGGAGATCATCAGACGTATCCGGTCATGTATCGATGTTGAAGTTGGTCTGGCGTACTGGGTGGGAAGCGTGTGGGGCGGGGAGGTATGGATAATACTTGCTGTGCGGACCCCGCCGATGACAGCACCACGCAGTAGGTACATACTTTAGGTACTTAGGAGGTAGGTACCTGTAGGTACCTATATGGAACCCCCTTTACTGTGGTTCCACGGTACCGTCCAGAGCGCTGTCCGCAGCCCCGAGAGCCTACAGAGCGTCGATCTTCAGCGGCCGGCGTCCCCCCTAGAAGCGCACCTAGGCGCCTACATCAGGTAACTAACCCAACCTAACGGTTCCGCCATGGAGTGAAGGCGGGCAGTCGGCGCCGCCAGCCGGCACCGTTGGCTTCTCCGACGGCCGTGCCCCACGGTACATGTATGTGTGTATACGATACCTTACCTACTACAATTACGAGAGTTATCATTGGTGCTGGTCATCCATTCAGCGCGGGCGGCACCTAGCAGATCTGCTGTCAGGGGGGCCGTAAAGCTGGCTGGGGCGGGAGGAGAGCCCTGGAAAGCAGCGAGTGGGTACGTGCATGACCCCGCGCACCGCGTACCGCGCCCCGTGGCTCGTAAAAGCGGTACAAAAGTTGTGCAGATGCAAAACATGCACAGGTAGGTATAAAGCACCAGCGTGCATCGCAGCAGCGTGGATTATGGAGCGATCGGGGATTGCTTGTATACAGGTACTTCACCTCTCTGTGTGTGTGCATGTATCGACACATAGTCTAGCGTATGGCGCTGTACCTTCTCCATGTATTACAGGTGACGCCTCCACCGACCGGCTTTGGCTGACCGGCCGACCACCTGTGCAGCTTCGTCAACATTCCGGCCCACCTTAGCAATTCGTACCTCCTCTCATCATCAGGTCCCTGAGAATTAATTAGCCTCTTCCGTCGTCTTAGCGGTTCAGGCACAACTCCGGCCATCATCCTACAAATAGCACCCCGATATCTCCCCATTATCCGATTCCAGCGACATGAATGCTACTAAGCGAAAATTCAATGCCCTCCTCCAGGGAATCGGTGCAAAGCCGCCTGCTCCGCTATATGCTACCGACAGCCAGGAGAAGCCAGATCTTTTCAGCTCCTCGCCCCTGAACCGACCTTCCACTCCGACCTTCTCCCCGCAGCTGGACGATACCTCCTCTCCGAGCAAAGGCATGGCCACGACCCCCAGCGACTTCTTGAGCAAACGGCGCCGCGTCGGCCCCGACGCCGCGGTCGAGCCCGAAAAGGGCAGCCCGACTACCGTCTCGAACATCGTGCTGAGGAAGTGGACGCCAGGCAGCAACGCGGCCGCGCCGAGTCGAGAGACGATGAAGCTCCAGCCGCCAAAGTATTGCCCGGGCGACCGCGACGAGCTCATCAGGCGGCTCGGGACCTTCCAGGAGCTCACGCAGTGGACGCCGAAGCCGGATAAGATCAACGAGTTCGAATGGGCCAAGAGGGGGTGGGTTTGTCGCAGCAAGGACTGCGTGCAGTGCACCCTGTGCCGCAAGGAGCTGATAGTCAAGACGAGCAAGAGCGAGGAGGACGGCGTCGAGGTGGCGGTCCTGGTCGACTCCGATATCGAGAAGGCGTTGGTCAAGCGATTTGTCGAGATGATTGTTGACGCGCACGACGAGGACTGCCTATGGAGGAAGCGCGGGTGCGACGGTGAGGAACAACCCATCTATCTGCGCCGTGTGTGGCGGATCGTAGACGATCGACACATCACATCAATACTAATTGCTAAACTACAGATTCTCTACTCAGATTGCCACTGGCCAGCCCGCCGACGGCTCTAGCCTCGCTGCGTGAGCGATACGACGACCTACTCGCGCGCGAGTCTTTTCTGCCATACTTTTTTGACCTGCGGCTACCGACAGATTTCGATCTGCAAGCCACCAAATCCCAGCTGACGCCCACGTTCTTTTCCGACCCCCCACCGCCGAGCACGAAATCTCCCGCTCCCAACGACGTGGCTCTCGCGCTCGCCTTGGCCGGGTGGCAAGGCCTTACCAACCCACGCATCGGCGCCGTGCCCAATTCGGCGACCTGTGCTACCTGCTTACGTCGCCTGGGCTTGTGGATGTTTAGGAGCAGGGAGGTGGACGAGGCAACGAGGCAGATCCTCGTCCCGGCGCCGATGGCCTATCTCGATCCGATACGCGAGCACCGGTTCTTTTGCCCCTGGCGAAACGCCGCCGTGCAGCACAACCCGGGGGCCAAGACGGCAGACAACAAGACGGCGTGGGAGATCCTCGCACAGACGATCAAAAACCACGCCTACCTCCAGAGCCAGGCGGAGAAGAGCACGCGCCGCTTCAAGCTGCACCGGCCCGCGATGTCGCTACCGGCTACTCCAGCCAAAGCAGGGAAGTCTGAGGGAGGGGCCGCCAACTCGCCACTACTCTCGCCGAATACGGTGGACGGCGGCGGCGGCGGCGACGACGAAGACGCGAGCGCGAGGGACGCTAAGGACAAGGAGAGGTGGGCGCGGCTGAGGAGGGTCAAGAGCCTGTTCAACACCAAGAACAGCAAGAAGTTGCAACGCACGGCGTCCCGGCCCGACAGCACGGCCAGCCGCCCCCCGACGGCGAGCTCGAGGCAGGGGAGCGCGCCGCCGCCGGAGACGCCCAAGTCGTTGAAGACGCCCAAGAAGAAGTGAAGGGGGCGATGGAGGAGGAGGAGGGATGGGAGGGAGGACTTGGCAGCGAGGGGGGGGTATTTTCATCACTACTTACGGCGCATTGGAGGGCTGGAGAGGTACTTGAAATATTTTGATGATCGATCTCGGCGTTGGTGATTTGTTCGTGAGAGGATACCCGAGGGTTTTGGATTCCCACGTGTACAGTATGTCTAGAGATACATGGCATGCCTATCTACACTCCCTACCTAATACGAGTAATACATCTACAGCTACGGATCTGAAAACGCGCGGCCGTGAAACTGCGGCGTCACCACCCGGCAGCCACCGAACTTTTCCCACCCTCCCTATCCTGGGGATCACAGGGTCATGGCCATGGCAGCCGCAGCTGATACGTGAGGAGTGCTTACACATGTACTTCTGAGAAATATTGGCGGGTGGCGTGGGTGTTTGGCACCGACACATATCCCTCTCGGCGGACCCAGTTTACAGTCATAGTTGGGGGTACGTAGAGGCGGCGACTATGGGTGGAAAAGAGAAGAGGCGTGTGCTGACGAGCAGGCGGCGCGAGGGGCCGTTATTGCGATGCGCACACGCCGGTGTGGGCGCCGTACTATGCCGGACCACACACGCTCGCGCACGACAAACCTCGTCGGCGTCCTGGTGGGGACTAGCCCAGGAGGACAATATAACGATCGAATGCATCACGGCTAGTCGATTACTCACAGAGCCGTTTCTTCCGTCTCGCCCTGACATGACAAACATCCACCAAGCCTGTCAAGCAAGCCCGACCATCCGATCGATCTAGCCCCCGCCTTGGCAAGCTAGCAAGGTTTTACAGAAATTTACTTCCCGCGCACAAATATCGCAGACACAGAGGGAGGGCGAAAAGGCGGGCTGGTCTAGCGCCGCCCTATCCTGATGGGCGTTCGTCGTCGAGATGCCCGCCTAGCGATAGGCTAGTCACGAGAGTGGCGGCGGCTGGCAACCGACGATGTTCGGCACCGGCATTGTACGTAGGTATGTGCAGCGCACGCTGTGTCGCCGAACCGGGGAGAGAGGATGGGGAACGAACGATACGCGAGAGAGAGCAGCAAGAGAGAGAGCGAGACAGAGCGAGACAGAGAAACCTACGACGTCGTATCGTTGTATCGCAGTGCAACGTGCCTCCCCGGCCAACGGCATCGCGCCCCACGTGCGGCTTTTGTGCGTGGGCATGGGAAGCCTGTCCGGTGCTAGGCACGCGTGTTGCCCAGGCCCCCATCGCCGGTCCCGCTCGCACCCTTTTTCCTCGTCTCCTGCTGCCTTCGCTAGCTGACCACACAATAACCTACTGCGTAGCAAGTCTGTGATGCGTCCCCGAGCCCGTTACCCCAGAGCCGGCTCTGCACCGTCCAATCGCGGCCGCTGCCAGGCCAGGCTCTCGCGCACACCGGCCCACACGGTGCACCCCCCGACTAAGGCCCAGCGCGCGCGGGCTAGATGCCGCTAGCTGCCTCCGATCAGATCCAGACGAGGCGGCGAGCGGCGACACGATGCGATCTATCATGTGCGCGCTGCCCGGTGTCGCTGCTCGCAGCCAACGGCGGCGCGCCGTGGCCGCCACGAACGACGTCGGAACACCTCGCCCCCCTACCTCCCCCCCCCTTGCCCCCTTTTTGGGGTTGCCCGTCTGCCAACTGCGCTATGTTGCCCACCGGCGGCCAAGAGAGAGAGGGTGAGGACGTGCCGGAGCAGGCGGAGGCGAACTCACCGCTCGGGAGTTGCGAGATAAGTGCGTGCCCAGCTTCGAAAGGTGGGCCTGTCAGACCCCCTCCCCCGTCCCCCTCTCAAACCCGGGAAGTGGTAGATGTCACGCGGTGCGTCCTGCGTCTGCGCTGTTTGTGCGTGAACGATAGCGATCGCTAGTTGGGACCATGAGTCTACGTGCACCCAGCAGGTCCTCGGCAGGCTACGAGCTGAGTATGATGGGCCTTCGAGAAGCATCGAACGGGTTCCCCTGGCCTGCCTATTGTAAATTTAATTTCGGGGCGATTTGTAGGTTTCGCAGGAACCACGTCACTGCTCGTGTATACCTACATATATATGAGTAGACTTTGTGTGCCCACCTTTAGCTTTGCGCCGTGTCTCGATATATCGATATTATATATGTCGATATGTGTCAAATGCTTAGTACGCCCGCCATCTCCTCGCCAGAACCGCCATCACCTATCCCAAGAAGGCGATAGAAGCTGCTTCCATCTCAGAAAAGGGGGCAGCACACAAGTTTGTCACTTCCCCCGGGTTTTCGAGGTGTCATTATTAGGGAACCCACCGCACCTCACGCACTGCCTAATATACACTGTCCGCTACCCAACCGACTCAACCTCCTCCTCCTAATACACTCTACGTTCACCATTACTCCACTCCTCTACACTCTCCATCCCACCCAATACAGGTCGAGTAGATCTCTCTCCTCAACTACACGACAACCTATCCCTACGCAAACCACGGCCCCTTCTGTCCCCAAGCTTAGACCTACCAACTCCCCCCCCTGTTCAGGCTGAATTGCTGCCGCTGCGCGAGCCGACGTCCGCCGTTTCCCAGAAGGGAATACCCCGTTACTCCACTGTATCATCCGTCCGGGGTATCCATTAACAGCCACTCCTAGCTCCTCTACCTCTCCGCCTCGTCAGGCCCGGCTACGTCCAGCCGGATCACCAGAGGGCCCAATACTGCATGCGAGCGTCGCATTTTCGATCCGGCCTCCTGAACGGCGGACCGCTCGATCTGTCCAAAAATGGCTCTGTCGCATCCAGCCCTGACAACCTACCTCCTCCTGGACAATCTGCACTGTCCTACCTGTGTCTCCTCTATAAAAGATGTCTTGCTGCGTCTCCCGGGCGTCCATTGGGTGTCCCCCAATGTCGTCACGTCCTGGGTAGCGGTTGAGCACGATCCAGGCGTCTCTGTGAGCCAGATGGCATCCTCGTTAGAATCCGTGGGGTTCGAGGTCTCTAGTATATCCTCGGCGACTGGCGAGGATTACATCACGACCCCTGTGCGTTCGACACCTACCAGCCCCCGTTCCGGCACCGACGGCACGTTAGACCGCATCTCGCACATCTCCGAGAGGTTCAAGGACGCCCAACTGTCGGCCGCAAGGGCTGAAAACAGGAGGAAGCACATCAGCAACTGCAAACAATGTCAGACCAAAGGGCTAGACCCCAACGCGCTCGACACCTCGTGCCTTCTCGCCGAGTCAGACAAGTGTACCAGTCCAATAGAGGAAAAGACACCCGATGACGAGAAGTCGGCCAAGGAGGTACACACGATAGCAAAGCCGCTGGCGGCTGAGGGTGGTGACAATCCCCAACCATCCGACAACAGTGGGCGCAGGTGGAGGGCCTCGATGGCTATCGCCGGGATGACGTGCGCGTCTTGCGTGAACAATATCACCCATAAGCTGAACGACGTACAGTGGATCACCAAGGTCACGGTCAACTTGATATCCAACAGCGGGGTCGTCGAATACACTGGTACCGAGGACGACGCCAGTCAAATCGTCGAGATGATCGAAGACGCCGGGTACGATGCCAATCTCGACCAGATCGCCAATATCGATAGCGAGGAGAGGAAGCCAAAGCAGGAGAGGACGGTAGAAATTCGCATCGACGGGTTCTACTGCGAACATTGCTCCGATAGAGCCGCGAACAGTCTCAAGGGCTTCCGACGAGATCTGAGGGTTATCACAATGCCCACCCGGCAAAGGCCTATCCTAAAGATCGCCTACACTCCCGAGGTCCCCAAGTTCACTATCCGGCGGATCATATCGGCGATCGAGGCCAGCGATCCGGCCTTCAGGGCCGTCATCTACCACCCGCCTACTCTAGAAGAGCGGTCGAAGCAGATCCACGCACGCCATCAGCGGCAGATTCTTCTCCGCGTCATCTTCACCTTGATCGTCGCAATCCCAACGTTCATCATTGGTATCGTATATATGAGCCTCGTCCCCCACCATGACGCGACAAAAATGTTCCTCATGAAACCCTGGGCGCCGGGGATCAGTCGGGCACAAGCCGCGCTCTGTATCATGGCAACTCCCGTTTACTTCCTCGCGGCAGATATTTTCCACCGCCGGGCGGTAAAAGAGATCAAGTCTCTGTGGAGACCAGGAAGCCGGACGCCGATACTCCAGCGCTTCTATCGATTCGGCAGCATGAATATGCTCATATCCCTAGGAACCACGATCGCCTATATCTCATCCATTAGCCAGATGATCGCTGCCGCTGTGGACCGCCCAAAGGAGGTCAACGACTCAAACTTCTACTTCGACTCTGTCGTGTTCTTAACCCTGTTCCTGCTCGTCGGCCGACTCATCGAAGCCTACAGCAAATCGAAGACGGGCGACGCGGTGGAAGCCCTCGGCAAGCTCCGCCCGACTACCGCTATAATTGTCGAGGACGATGCGGGGGAGACGGATCAGGTCGTCAAGACTGACCTCCTAGAATTTGGGGACATTGTCCGCATACCACACGGTGCCTCTCCCCCTTGCGACGGGAAAATCGTACAAGGCACTAGCAGCTTCGACGAGTCCAGCTTGACAGGAGAATCTCGTCTAATAAAAAAGACTCCCGGTGACGAAGTCTTCGCAGGTACTATGAATAAGGATTCTCCGATCCTAGTTCAGATCACCGGCGTTGCCGGTCGATCCATGCTTGATCAAATTGTCAACATTGTGAGGGAGGGGCAAACCAAGCGGGCGCCGGTGGAGAGGGTGGCAGATCTGCTCACTGCCTATTTCGTTCCTTGTGTGACCTTGATCGCTCTCCTTACCTGGCTGATCTGGTTGTCACTCGGCATCTCCGGCGCGATTCCGGGCCACTTTCTCGACGTATCATCGGGAGGTTGGGTTGCATTCTCACTCCAGTTCGCCATCGCCGTCTTTGTTGTCGCATGCCCTTGCGGCCTCGCGCTTGCAGCCCCTACGGCGATATTCGTCGGCGGGGGTCTAGCCGCGAAGCACGGTATCCTCGTCAAAGGGGGCGGCGAAGCTTTCGAGAAGGCAAGTCGGATCGACTGCGTCGTCTTCGACAAGACCGGAACTCTCACCGTCGGCGGCGAGCCGATTATAACGGACTCGAAGCTCTTTTCCGGTCAAGACGACATAGAGGGCGAGCAGCGCGACTCTCTGCTGGCCGGCCTTCTCGCCGTCGAACAAAACAGCAGCCACCCGATCGCGAAGGCTATCGTTTCATTTTGCGAGGCCCATACTTCCGTCCGGGCCCAGGTCACGGTCGTCGAGGAGCTCCCCGGAAAGGGCTTGAAGGCAACCTATACCGTAGGATCACCGGAGGAATCCATGGACATCATCGTAGGGAACGAAGTCCTCATGCGTGACTTTGCGGTTTCGATTTCGCCTGCTGTCGCCACGAAGCTCCAGACCTGGAAGACGCAAGCGAAATCAGTCGCCCTCGTCGCCTTGAAACCGTCCATGATCGTTTCCGGCACCGGAAGTTACTCCATTGCCGCTGCCCTCGCGATCTCTGACCCGATACGGCCCGAAACGCCAGCCGTGATCAAGGCCTTGAAATCGAGAGGCACGGATGTGTGGATGTTATCGGGTGATAACATCGTCACCGCGAAAGCTGTCGCCCTCCGCGTCGGGATCCCGGAAGAAAACGTCATCGCCGAGGTCTTGCCGGCGCAGAAGCACGAGAAGATTACCTGGCTCCAGTCCACGCTTAAAGTCAAGACGGGGGGGCTCGAGCATACAGACCGGCGCGCGACCGTCGCCATGGTCGGGGACGGGATCAACGACGCTCCAGCGCTCGGTGCAGCGGACGTGGGCGTCGCGATCGGATCGGGAAGCGACGTGGCGATCGCGAGCGCCGCGTTCGTGCTGGTGAACAGCAACCTGGCGTCGGTGGTGACGCTTCTGGACCTCAGCGCCGCCGTGTTCCGGCGAATCAAGTTTAATTTCGGCTGGGCGATCGTGTACAACGCGGTCGCGGTGCCGATCGCGGCCGGTTGCCTGTATCCGGTGACGACAAACGGCGGCGCAACGCACATCCGGCTCGACCCGGTCTGGGCCAGCCTCGCGATGGCCCTGAGCAGCGTCAGCGTGGTGCTAAGCAGCCTCGCGTTACGGAGCCGGCTACCGCTGATAGGGTTTAGGATTAGGAAACTGGATGACCAGTCGGCGTGATAAACCAAGAGAGAGGAATGGAAAACGTAAGGGTGCGGAAGAATGTGGGAGGGGAACATACCTAGGGATCGATTTCTACAGAGGCCTAACTGCCCAACATGTGTACATAGCTTAAGAGCGAAGGCTGTGCGACCGGAAAGACACCGAGCCGCAACAGTGACACCTACTCTAGTTTCATTTCACTACCTATCTGAGTGTTCATTGGTGCTTACACACAGTGACGTGTATGGAAGTCGATTCGCCGCGTTGTATCTACTGCGGGCGTTGCTGTAGGTTAAGGCGTAATACTGAGGCTGCTCGACCTAACCGGGGTGGACCGTTGACTCCCCCTTTCCAACGGTCCTGTATTCTTTCCGACCCCAAGGTCCCGTACGAATCGCAATCCTGCCAGTATCAGGCCACTAGGACAGTGATGTAGGGGTTGTGGGGATCTAAATGCCGGCCTTGATCGCGCTGTCACTGGGAGGTTGTATAACCCCAGGACCCCCAAAGTTACATTTTGTTGTGGCGCCAGAGAACGACACGTGAGATAGATATGCTGTGATACCCACGTAGGATTGGAGGTTGATTACGATTAGTTGAGGCTGGCGAGGGACGACGAGCCGTGTCTGTTTTCTATGATTTGCTTTCGATATTCCCACGGATTCAATCACGGAGACGACAATCTTGGTGTTCATATTATTATCGACGAACTGTAGAGATGGTAGATTTTAGGAGAGGTGAACAGAATTTCCAGACGATGAGGTGAGGAATAACCCATTTAGGTGTCCAGAGAGTTGGTGGCTACTGACTCCAGCGGATCTCAGATAGGACATCGTGTAAGCCTGATCCAGGACGACATGATGGGGTCGGTGGCAACAGAGCGTCTCGGCAACAGAGGCAAAGAAAGACCGCCCAATGGGAGTAGATGAATTTCCAATCATCACTATCGACGCCGGCTCTCTGTGGGCTGACGGAGGGTTCCCAGGTTTACTAGCGGCATGAGGGGGGGCGGAGGGGGCAAGCCAACAGAGAACAATCCAACTACGGTTTCGACAAACGGTGTACCTATTTGGTAGGTAAGCCGGCGGTTCAGCCTCATCGCGCAGATCGGTCAGCAGACAGACAGGTGGATGGGTCTGAATGGAGAGAGTCGAGTCCGTCCACGAGGGTCTGGACTGTGGCTTGGGAACGAAGCAATAGTCTCGGTTGATAGCGGCAAGGCAGGGGATAGGACGGGAAGGGGAGTAAGACGGAGCGAGATGGAGTTGAAGAAACAATACCCCAGTCAGCACCACAGGGGGTAATTACAAAGGCTTTGATTGGACGAGGACGTAAGTTCTTGATGGAGCAGAATAAGAAGGCGCAGGTTGGGGAAAGTTCCCAGCTAGCAGCAGAGACCGGCCAATCAGGACAAAGGTGATGACCATCAGCCAGCCCTGTGATGTCAGTGTGAAGGCGGCGGATGGCAACAGCAGCCCAGTTGTCGATGCTCGAGGGAAGGAGGGTGGCAGTCGGGCTCCAAGGTATAAAAGTCTCTCTCTCTCTCTCTCTCTCTGTCTGTCTCTCTTGATGCCTTGCTTCCCAACCTCCAACCTCATCAGATCTGTGTCTACCTACCTGACTCAGAGTCTAAGGATCCCAAGAGAACAACACCACTGACACGAACACCCGCCCCCTGGTCCTACATATTCTGCACGACAAAAACAACACTGTACGACACAAGGCACAAGCACGGCGAAACAAGTTGTCCCCATTTCTATCTCTTGATTCGTGGCGCTCTCGTCCCGTCCTTACCTCGTCATCCTCGAGACACCACCAAGATGGCAACTCAAGTCACTATGGCCACCCCAACCTGCTGCAGCAAGAGCACCGACGGCGAGTGTGTCTGTGGTAAGTCTTGACAACTCTCCAGCCTGCCCATGTCCCATGTTCCGTAACCCAACTTGTCCACCGATCCACTGAGCTCATACCCCAGAGCTCTGCCTCTCTCCTCCAGCAGCAAGAGCTGACGCTACCTTTCCACCGTAGCCAAGCAGGCCACCTGCTCCTGCGGCGAGAAATCCGCTCTCCAGTGCGTCTGTGACAAGGCCGAAGTCGAGAACAGCCTCAGAGGCCCCCGATGTTCCTGCCGTGCCCGCCCTGCTGGCCAGTGCAACTGCGATAACGCCACAACCGAGAACCGCCCGGTCGACAGCGAGGCCTGCGAGTGTGGCTCGCGTCCTGCCGGATCGTGCACATGCGAGCTTGCCGCGGCCGCCGTGAACCCGAACGAGGTCGACTTTACGACCAAGAAATAGAGCAAAGCTCGGGCATGATAACGCGGCAAGGGCTATGGCAGGTAGGAAGGAAGGGTGTCGGTCCGATGGCGGCAGGCCATAGGCAGATAATGATCATGACTATGCCTGGGGTATACGTGTATACGAACTAGGTTCCATAGAGCTACGGTGGCTAGGACTCGGAGTACGGTCGAGCTAGGCTATAGCAAATACGTGAATTCGCAACGCATCGGTCTTGTATTGTGTGCCTCTTGTCTCGTATACCCATCCTCTTGAGTGAGGCACTAGGTGCTAACGCGGCTGACTAGTTTGTTCGCTGGGGCAACAGGATAAGGGGCGCGACGCGACGTGACGCGATGAGGGCATCGTACGATGTCTGTAACGCGAAGCAAACCTCCCGTTAGCACGGCTAAGCACGTAGGTGATGGGCAGATTTGAAGGGAATCGCGATGGAGTGCTGGTCCACAGCAGAGGAGATACAGGGGCATATTTCGTTGATGAACACGCCTATGGGGTAAATTCAGGACTTCGGGGCCCAGCCCGGGAGCGACGGGTTTACCCAACCGTCCAGCCAGCCTAACCAACGATGAAAAAAAAAGAGGGGGTGAGAAGTGTTCTGATTTTACACTTTGGCGTGAAGGTACCTGGTATCTTCGTTCCTGAATCACAGAAATATGAGCACCTGAGATGCCGACTCGATGCGGATAGTAGAAGGTGAAGCGTCAAGCAGTTCAGTCTCGCGGCTGGAATTTGCGACCGGATCAGAAAAGATTTTGCCGGATCTAGGAAATCGGGAGGTCCGGGCGGTGAGGGAGCTATCCTGGTCTGATTTGTCATGGGTCCAGCTCGAGGAGCCAATGGGAGTTATAGGCAAAGCTATGGTGGGTCCGTGTTGTGCGACGCGACCGAAGATAAGTGGAACTTGGTGGACCATGGATTGGGAACGCTAGACCGGATCGGGCGTAGGGCTACTTGGCTAGATACATCTGAGTTGACAAGACGACGGGGGTCCCTCGATGCGCGAGTACGTCCTGGGACAGTGGAATGTAGCGTGCTCTGTGTGTACCTGAGGCTCACATACTGAGGTACCGACCATGTACTCCGTACTGATCTGCCCAACGGACCCTAGACCTCAGAGGTACGTACCCAGCCAGGATCAGGGGCCTCGGAAAAGTACCCAAGTACCCTGTCAGCAGCTTGGCCGTTTTTGGCAGCCTTGGGCACCTGAGCACAATAGTACATAACAAAAAATTCCACCTTGGAGCGCGTCTCTTCTTCCCTCCTCGATCATCTTCTCATCCGCACTCCTTCTACCACGAAAACAGTTTCGCGCTCTTTATCCTCACTTGCCAGCTCGAGTACAGCCCTCAATTGCACTTGAGCCGGCTCCATCAAATAACCCTTCGAATTGCCAATTGGCGACGAAACACCGAGTCCTCTATCCCTTGTCCCCTGTGGGATATCTATCCATCCCGTGTCATCTGCTCGGGGAGAGCGAGACGCGATCTTGCCGTCTTCTAACCCACCTGGCTGGCGAAACATCTGAGTCACGCATACTTCGCTCCTCACCTCATCAAGCACTCCATCCGGAACTCTGACACTCTGGTTAGAGGCTGCGGCGCAAAGAGCCGTCGATATCAATCGCCCACCCATCATCCATCCCCCATTTTTTCCCTCCTTTCCCTCTCACCCCTCGCGCGGGTATCCCAACCTATATTCCACACCAGACACCGATTCCCGATGCCGCCGAAAGATAACAAGGACGCCAAGGCGCCTGCGCCGGCTAAGAAGGCTACGGCCAAAGCAACGGCAGCAAAAGCCGCAGCGCCCAAGGCGCCAAAAAGCAAGAACGTAAAGACGGAATCTAAGGCAGCGCCCCGAGCGGGTCGCAGAGCAGCCGCGACCACCGTAGCGGAAGCTGAGCCCAATCCCAAGGCGAAGACTGGTACTACCAAGGCTCCCGCTAGGCGTCAGAAGAGAGAGCCAGAAGTCAATGACCAAGGCGACGAATCCATCGACAACAGTGGCGCGGTCGAGGCGACCGCCGTCGATGGCGGTCGCGGCAAGGGCCGTTCCAAAGTCTCCAAAACGGGCGCATCCAAGACTACCAAGTCCAAACCAGCCACCTCCAAGGCCGCGCCCAAGCCAGCCGCATCCAAACGCAAGAGAGACGATGAGGATGAAGATCTGGGCGAGGCGCCTCAGGCAAAGAAGTCTCGTAGTGAATCGGAGCAGCCGGCAACCAAAGCGGTGCCAAAGGCGACGGCACGTCACATACCAGCTTTGCCCCGAGGAGTGGGCAAAAGAGGCACGCCCTTCAACGAGGTGCCAAACAAGGAGTTCGACGTATTCGTCTTCGGAGAAGGCTCGTCGGGTGAGCTTGGCCTCGGAAGCAAGAAGTATGATGGGAAGCGACCTATCGATGTGAAGCGACCTCGCCTCAACCACAACCTCAAAGGCGTCGTCAACATTGCTTGCGGTGGAATGCATGTCGTCGTCCTAACCAGCGACCAGCAGATCCTCACTTGGGGAGTCAATGACGACAAGGCGCTGGGTCGCGATACTTTTTGGGAAGGTGGCACTCGTGATATAGATGCCTCGGAAGACGAGGATGACGACGATGACACTGGCATGAACCCGCTCGAGAGTACCCCTGGCCCGGTCAACCTCGACATCCTGCCCGAGGGTACGAAAATCGTCCAGGTCGCCGCTACCGACTCTGCGTCTTTCGCCCTGACCGACGACGGTCGGGTTTACGGCTGGGGCACATTTCGAAGTTCCGACGGCATCATCGGTTTCAGCGAGCAGACGCGCATCCAGGAAACCCCCGTGATCGTCCCAGATTTGAAAAATATCACCAAGCTCGCCTGCGGTTCGAACCACGTTCTCGCCCTTGACTTGGACGGAAAGGTCTTTACTTGGGGCAACGGAGGCCAGTATCAGCTGGGCCGAAAGCCGCTGACGCGTCACGGTGGCCCTACCACCGGACTTCGTCCGCAGTCGTGCGGCAAGTTCTCCAAGAAGCACCGAGCCGTTGGCGTGGGCGCCGGCTCGTATCACAGCTTCTACATCGATACCGACGATCAAGTGTGGGCGTGGGGTCTGAATAACTATGCGCAGACCGGAATCGACGCCGGCACCGGAGAAGACGACGCCATGATCCTCCAGCCGCGCGTCGTCGAGTCGTTAGGACAGTACAAGGTGTCGCAGGTGGTCGGCGGCGAGCATCACTCGGTCGCGTGCACGACGGACGGACGACTCCTTACTTGGGGACGAGTCGACGGCCACCAAGTTGGCCATAGAGCCGCGATATTCAACAAAGAGAACACCGTGTCCGACGACAGCGGCAAACCCCGAATTCTCCTACACCCTACACCCATTGAAGGTATGCCCCAATAGCTCCTCTCGCCCACTGGTGGACACATGAGCGCTGACAATAGTCTTTAGGAATCCATGCTACCTTTGTAGCCGCCGGTACCGACACCAGTTTCAGCCTCGACGATGGCGGCAAAGTGTACTCGTGGGGCTTCTCTGCGAACTACCAGACCGGCCAGGGCATAACCGAGGACGTCGAGGTGCCTACGTTGATCGACAACAGCGCGATCCGCGACCGAAAGATCGTCTGGGCGGGTGCAGGCGGCCAGTACTCTATCGTGGCGGCGGAGAAGGGCGAGGGCCTCGTCAACGGTCACTAGGCCGCCAACGAGGGCATTTCACAGCGACAGAAAAGAACGAGAGACAGAGGGGAGGAGAGGGAGGGAGAAACAAAAGTAGGTTGGCATTCTCGGAATGGCGGCGTACGTGAACGGAACGAGACCTTGTATTATATAAGATTTGCATTTGACGGAGGGCCCACGCTCCAGAAAGGCTGGAGCTGTCTATACACATAGGTCTCGCCCAGAGGCGGAGCAACACTCGCTCCCTACGGATCGGGCGTGACTACGATAGCGTGAGGGCGAAGAGGGGAGAGGCGTCTAGCCCCTACTAGGGGGTTTAGGGCGGACGCTCGCGATCGTGTGTTGGCCATAATAATAGACGTTTGCCGGGACGGCATCAGCAGCAGGGTACCTCGGTTTTGTCACGCACGATACCCGGAATCACGTCTTGGGATGGCCAGTCAGGTAGAGATAGGCAGCGCAAGGGGGGATCAGTGATAAGACACACGACTCATATTTCGCTCTTCCTGACGTGACTGCGGGCCCGCGGGGTTGAAAATACCCGAGTGTGATCAGGGCTCTCTACGTGGAGAGTGACGCCGGTCTCGATCGGCTCGACACGGATAGGCTGACAGTGACGGATGGCGCCCCCCCCCCCCGGTACTTGAATTTGCCTTGCCGTCACCGGCACGCAACAAGCCGAGAGAGACGTTACCCAAAGCTTGAGTTACCCTAAGGGCTTGAACTGGAGAGGTCCGGGCTACTCGGGCGGACGGGAGGGGGGGGACACAGACAGGGATGAATGGGCCGAATCACGACGTGCGAGAACCGGCGGGAGCTGTGTAGCTGTGTAGCGCCTTCGGGACCGCAGCAGACTGGCGATGCTACGTGGTGAGAGGATGAGACCGAGCGAAGGGGGGGCAGGGAAGAAGGGGGGGGGCGGGTATGCAGCTATTCCCTTCCTTGGCCGTCTTGCTGCTTAGCGTTGAGCGGGTTCCCGGCGCTGCGACGCAAGGGGGGGCGGATATCCGCACGCCCTTCCCTACGTTATACCGCCTACAAGCCAGCGGACCGGACAATTGGGGAACACACACCACCTACCGACCTCATCTACTTATTCGTCGCTGCGTGCCCCCGACAATTCTGTTTGGGCCGCGGGCCGTCGCGGATCAGACTTGTCCGACTCTGTACTCTCCAGCGCGCCCGCGCGCACTTATATATACCTACCTACCTACCTAGAGCTTACAGGCTCTGCCCGTCCCCGCCAGTCTCGCCGCGCATTACCCGCCTGCATCGCCGAACGCCTGGAACACCTACCTTTCTCGTTTCCGCCCGCCACCCCGGAGCCGCGGGCGCGATCCCGAGGACAAGAGACACTCGGACGACAGGGAAGAAGCAGCACCTACCCCGGGCCAGACTAGAGAGGGGGGAAGGAAAGGAAAGGAAAGGAGGTATATGGCTGGCCGCGTGCTGCTGACCGTCGACGCCCTGGGGATGGCGATCGGGACGGTCGTGGCCGACTGCTTCAACGAGACGCACATGTTCAACCCGCGGTGGCCGCCGCACGCGAAGTGAGTTTTGGCTGGCTCTCCTTCTCTCCTGCTCTCGCGGGCGTCATCGGCGTCGTCTTTATTGCTTTCCCCGGCGCGCGGCGCTGCCGGCTATCCACACGTACCCACCCCGTACCTATGCCCAGCAGCGCCGGCGGGGCGCGAATCCGGATGAGTGCGCGCGAGGTACGACGGGCCTGGTCCTGGTCCTGGTCCTGGTCCTCGTCCTCCGCACCGCCACCACCCGCGATCCTCCGCCTCCTGCGCGCGCCATCGACGCCCATGCTGACGACACCACTCCGCCGCGATCGCCCCCCCAAAAAAAGAACCCCGCCCGCTAACCATCTCCCCCGTCCGCTGACAGGTTCCACAACGTGCAGACCGTGCTGCTCGCCGAGATGCTCGCGGCGCTGACGCTGTACTACACGTGGCGGCGGGCGCGGACGGCGGAGCTGCGGCGCGAGCACCTCTTCGGCGCCGCCTGGGCCGGCTCCGCGTACTGGGCCGCCGGGCTGCTGAGCATCCTGCCGCCCGGCACCGCCGGCCGCGACCCCGAGTTCGGCGGCCCCGCCTTCCCCCAGGCCAAGCTCTTCGTCGCCCTCGCCGCCTGCGGCCTCCTCGGCGCCTGGCTCGAGGCGCGCCGCGTCGCGGCTGCCGAGCGCGCGAAGGAGGAGTGAGTGAGTGAGTGAGTGAATAATAGAGTACGAGGGTGGAAGGGGGGTGCAAGGGGTAGTTGACCGCGACGGAAAGAAAGAGAGATTTCCAACACAGGGCTCACAGGGCATATCTATGTATGGACGACTGACAAGCAGCGGATCCTGGTCTGCCGCGAGGTGGTGCTTCAAGTAGGTCTGCGGCACGGTGTATTTAATGCCTCCTTGTATACAGCCGGCAGAGATCCCGGGCTGCGCGACCCCTGGATAGGAACGGGTTTGCCGCCCAGACAGACACACGTAGTCATGGCATGCTCTTCACCGCTATTTTACTCGCGAGACCGGGAAAACGAATATCGTAATGAATCGAAAGTTATAACTATGCATGTACCTATATAAACCCACCGCATGTTGTGCCACCCCAACGTCTGCTGCGAGACCGCTTCCAGGCATCAGATTGCGAGCCGGGCGCGCGAGTGGAGAGATCGAGGCTTATTCTAGTGCTGACCAACTAACTTCGCGCCTATCGTGTTCGGTTCATTTTCTACGGATTTATGGACGTGATGAGGGATTATGTATGTATGGGATATTCGTCGATGCTCCCCGAACTCCAGCCTACGAAAACGAGCAGTTATTCCTCCGCCATCTACCTCTCCGCCCCCCCTCACATGGCAGCAGGTGACCACGCGCAACCCCCCCGCCCTCTTTTCAGGACTATCTGTATTTACCGCGGCGCGGCAGGCTTCGGCGGGTCGGCCTCGAGCTTCTCGACGAGCTTAGCGGCGACGAGCTCGGCGAGCTGGGCGAGGGTGCCGGACCCGACGATCTCGAGGACGCTGAGGGTCAGCGCGAAGGCGCCCTTGAACCAGCGCCGCAGCTCGATCGCCATCAGCGAGTCGAGGCCCATCTGGGCGAGCGTCAGCGCCGCGTCCACCTCCTCGTCCGCCGGCCGTAGCAAGAAGTCATAAACCTTGCGGCCGATCTCGCGCGCCAGGAAGTCGAGGCTCTCGCGCGCCCGCAGCACCTCGCGCGCCGCCGCCGCGCCCTCCTCCGCCGCCGCCGCCGCTACGCGCGCCAGGAACGCCTGCAGCGCGGTGCTCTCGCCCGCCGCCGCCGCCGCCATCGGGTTGGCCACGCGCACGTTGTGGTAGATGCCCATGCGCCGGTCGCGCCGCCACATGGTGCGCGTGCCGGGGTCGTCGAGGTCGGCGTCGGCGCGCAGGCCCATGAGGATCTGGGCGGGGCGGGGCGGCAGCGGGGCGGCGACTGGCCGGCCGCCCTCGAGCAGCGCCAGCGCGAGGAAGTCGAGGAACTCCCGCTCGCCGAGCAGGTACATCCCCTGGGCGCGCATGTTGCGCAGCGCGTGCGCGTTCTCCGCCACGAACCCGACGTCGCGCACCGGCCCGATGTTGAGCACCGACGCGGCCAGCCCCTGCGCCCGCCGGAACCGGCACAGCGCCTCCACGAACAGGTTCGCCGCCACGTAGTTGCCCTGCCCCAGCGAGTCCGCCACGCTGACGAGCGAGCTCGCCAGGAAGAAGAAGTCTAGGTTGCCCTTGCTGTTGTCGCCGTTGCTGCTCTCGCCTTCGGGCGGCGAGAATGCCTTGTGCAGGTTCCACGACCCCGCCACCTTGGGCGCTAGCACGTCGCGCCACTGCGACCACTCCATGTCTACCATCGGGACGTCCTGCGCAGGCTGGTTAGCACGACTCGCGCGTGGTGTGGGATGCTCGAGACAGAGAGAGAGAGAGAGAGAGATAGTGGATAAGCCTTACTTTGAGCACCATCGCTAACTGCAGCACCCCCTTTATCTGTGTTTTAGACTGCTGGATCGCCAGCTGCAAGTCCTCCATGCGGTCGACGCGTCCGGCTACTGCCGTTATGGAGCACCCCATGGACTCGAGCTCGCGGAACAGCGTCTGGCTGACCTCGCTGGTGCCGGCGCTGCGCGAGAGGAAGGTAAGGTGGCGCGCGCCGCGCTCCACCATCCACGTCGCGATGGATCTGCCGAGGCCGCCGACGCCGCCGACGAGAAGGTAGGTGGCCTCGGGGTCCAGCTCGACGCAGCGCGGCGGCGGCGCTGACGGGAGCGGCGCTTCCGTGCCGGGTTCCGGGAACCGCACCACCACTTTGCCGAGGTGGTCGCCGTCTTCGAGGTAGCGGAACGCCCGCTGGATCTGTTTCGCGTCGAATACCGTGGACGGCTCGATGGCAGTGACATGGCCGTTCGACGAGTATTCGGAGAACTTGTTCAATAGCCTGCACACCGTGTCAGCTAGTAGGCCAGAGACAAGTTTAAAGCGGAAACAGGACAGGAGAAAGCAGGATTGCCGGGACTCTGAGCAGTGTCTGAATATGGTAACCCTACCTTCTCAGCCATTGTGGCCGTTCCTTAAACTCGGACAGATTCATGCCATGGTAGGAGCGGTTGCCCGAGAAGGGCAGCATGTTTAGGCTCCCAGAGCCCTGGGAGTCGCGTAGGCCGAGCTCGATCATGGTGCCGAACCGGGCGACGCAGCGCCAGGACTCGTGTAATAAGTCTCCCGACAACGAGTTAAGGACGAGATCGACGCCGCGGCCGCCCGTCGCGCGCAGGATACCTTCGGCAAACGACGCGTCGCGCGAGTTGAAGATGCGCTCCCGCGGGACCCCAAGCTTCTCGACCAAGTGCGCGACCTTGCGCTCGCTGCCCACGGTCGCGTAGATCTCGGCGCCGAGCATGCGGCTCAGCTGGATCGCGGCCAGCCCGACGCCGCCGCACGCAGAGTGGATCAGGATGCTCTGCCCGGGCTGCAGCCGCGCGACCTCCACTATGCTGTGGATCACCGTCCCGAAGCACACGGGCACCGTCGCGGCCGCCTCGAAGGACAGGTCGCCGGGGATTTTGACGACGATCTCCGCCGGCACCACGTTCCTCGTCGCCAGGCACCCGTTGCACAGCCCCATCACCCTGTCCCCCGGCGCGAGCTCCGTGACCTCCGCGCCCGTCCGCACGACCACTCCCGCGAGCTCGTAGCCGAGCGGGATGCGGCCTGCCGCCGCAGAGGCGATGATGCCTCGCGCGAGCACGACGTCGCGGAAGTTGAGGCCGACGGCGCGGGTCTCGATCTCGACGTGCCCCGGCGGCAGCTCGGACGGCGACGGCTCGTCAGCCCAGTAAAGCGTCTCCATCGACCCGATCTTACCGATGCTCAGGGCCGTTTTCTTGGCGGGGCCGTCGCCAGCGGCGCGCTCAGCCGCCTCACCGCTCAGCGCGTCGGTGAGGGAGAAGGGGTGGTAGCGGGGGACGCAAACCTGGCCGCGGTCGACGGCGAACTCGCAGTCGGGGGCGAGGGCGGCGCCGTCGTCGTCGCGGGCGGCGCGGACCTTGTCGAAGACGGCGAGCACGCGGGCCGCGAAGCCGTCGCGCCCCTCGCCGGCGCCCGGGAAGTCAATCTCCAGCGTGCACAGCCCCGGCGCCGTCTCAGCCCGCAGCGTCCGTGCCGCGCCCAGGAAGGCCGCCGGCCGCGGGTCCGCGCACCGCATCTGCACCGGCCGCGCGAGCCATAGCACCCGCTGGCGCTGCGCCAGGCCGCGCGCGAACGCCTGCAGCGCCGACAGCGCCTCCGGCGTCGCCTCCAGGAACCACTCCCCGTCCTCGAGGTTGACGCAGGCGATTACGCCGACGTCGGCCGGTGGTGGCGGCGACGCCAGGTCGCGCGGCGTCGCGTCCCAGCCCGCGGCCTGCAGGGCGCCTAGGAGCGTCTGCGCCACGTCCGAGTCCGGGCTCTCGCACAGGACGGCGACTTGCTTTGTTGCGGGGGTCCTTGGGTTGTCTTGTGGTTGCGACACGATGGTGACGATCTGGCTGTACGCGTCGTCGTCGTCGGATACGAACGAGTCCACGCCGGTGAAGCCCGAGGCCTTGAGCTCGGCGTCCCAACGCGCGACGGGGATGAGCGGGTTTGCCGGCCGGTTGTCGGCCTCCCCCAGCCACCACCCCGAGAAGTGGCCGAAGGCGTAGTTGGCGGTGCGCAGCGTGGGGAGCAGCTCGGTCAGCACCAGCATGCCGTCGGGCTTCAGCAGGGACCTGATATTGGCGAGGGTCTGTCCGATGAAGGGCGTCGCGTGCACGACGTTGGTGGCCAGGATGAGGTCGTAGGCGGCGCGAGGGCCGCCGTCGAAGCCCTGCTCGAGCGGGGGGCGGCTGATGTCGAGCACCTTGTACTCCATGTTGGCGGCGTAGGCGAAGCGCTCGCGGGCCTTGACGAGGAAGCCGGCGGAGACGTCGGTGAAGGTATAGACGGAGTAGACGGGGAAGCCGCCGGCGTCGACGAGGTCGCGCAGGATGAGCTCGGTGGTGCCGCCGGTGCCGGCGCCGACCTCGAGGATGCGCAGGTTCGGCCGCGAGTTCGACAGCAGCCGCACGAAGTCGCCATGCCCGAAGCTCGCGCGGTTGTATATCTCCGTGAGCAGGTTGCCCTGCATGAGCACGTCGAGCGTCTCGCGCGCCCCCGTGAACAGCTCCTCAGCGTGGTCGCACACGCGCTTGATACCGGTCGAGAGCGCGCTGTGGTGCCCCTTCTCGAGGATTTGTAGGTGCGAATCGATGGTAGTCTGCCGCTCCGCCGGGCTCATCGCGATGAGACGCGCCGCATCGTCGACCAACGGGAAATTTCTGCTGTCTGTGGTCGCGTCTTCGATCTCTTTTCGCATCCAATCCCGAAGCTTGGCGAAGTGAGGTTGGCACGGCTCGAGCCCTTCGACCTTCTTGACTTCCTGGAGGATACACAGGAAAGACAACTCTTGCTGCAGTCTGAGGTGCTCCCTGTCGGGCTTGGGCGCCGCGAACAGCGTCCTGTGGTCGACGAAGTCGAAGTCGGGCAGCCACTGGATGCGTGCTGCGGCATGCTTGTCGATGGACTTGTCCGCGTCGTCGTTCTGCTCGAGGGGCTCCAAGTGAAGCCCGCGCATCCGCAGCACCACTCGTCCCTCCGCAGAGCACTCTACCTCCCCGAACCGGACATCGCCGTTTTTACTCCAGGCGCGTGCGCACATGTCTGCCGAACCGCGAGAGACGAACAGCTCGTCGATAGACGTGGGCATGTAGAGACCATCGAAGTTACGCAAAAGCCCCTGGGCCGTGGCGATCATTAGCAGCTGGAGACAGCCATCGATTGCTACGGGGTGGAGCGAGAATGGCGATGATGTATGATTGTGCTTATCGACCAGCCTGGCTTCAGCTATCTGCTCGGTAGTAGATGCTGTGATCTCGGCGAGAGACTGGAACTCGGGTCCGTAGACGAACCCGTTGCGCTCCATCGTTTCATAGAATGCTGGGGACGATACTTGACGAGGGAATTCTTTGGGGGCTGACGATGGTGTTAGTTGAGACCCCTCGCCGGGCCTGACGTCGCCTGTGCAGTGCTTGATCCAGGCCGAACCAGTGTAGGATGTGATGGTGAATTCGAACCACTTGGAGTCGTCTGAGTCAGTAAGACGTTTACGACGCATCGTCGTGATTACCTCTACCGATTTCGAGTCATTTAGGACGAGGGCTGCGTGGGCGACTACATGGCGAAGATGGTAGCTCGATCCCGCTTCAGCCCTCGCTACTTGACGGATGGCCTCGCCGGCCATGGAGACATATCCAGCGAAGGGGAAGACGATGTCGCCGCCGACTTTATGATCGATCAGCCAAGATGCGTCGTCAAGACGTAGAACGTTCCGCCAGATCGGCTCAGTATCCGGGGACGCGGCAGATCTCACGCCGAGTATGCAGTGGTGGGGATACTCGCGTTGCCTCCACGCAGAGGACAGTCTGCTCTCCCTCCAGAAGGATCGGCCGCCGTAATCCCATGCGTACGTGGGCAGTCCCGGCACGACTCGGCCACCCGTGAAGAGAGGACCAAAGTCAACGTGGACATTCTCCTGGTAGAGGCGACCCAAAGCAGCCAGCAAGGAGACCGCGCTATTGTCGCCGCGAGTCTGCGACGTAACATAGTTGCACTGCCACGAGCCCGTAGCGCAGATCTGGCGCAGGGGCCCCGCCAGCGCTGAGTGAGGCCCGATTTCCAGCAGTATATCAGAATCACCTCTCAGTTCCAAGAGGTTCCTCACTGCAGTGCTGAATTGCACCGGTGAGACAAGGTTCGAAACCCAGTAAGCTGGACCTAGCTCAGCTGGCTTGTCTATTACTTGGGTGGTGACGCTCGATATGAATATAGGTCGAGGTGATGTTGAGGACTCGGCGTTCAAGTTCACTTCCCGCTCTAGAAGCTTAAGGTACTCCTTTGCGGGTAAGTCCATGTGAGCTATATCTCCTGTCAGCAAGTCTTCCCTCTTCTCACTTCACTGGTGTCACTTACGGGAATGGTATGCCATGTCAATTTTCAAAACGCGCGCGAAAGTATTCGGGTCAACTGCCTTCACTGTGGACACTACCTGTTCTACAAGATCGCGATCTCCCGAGATGGTCGTGCTCTTAGGACTGTTCTCGCACGCAACCACTACGCCGTCTGGGAGAAGCCTGGCTACCTCTTCCGCCCCAAGTCCAATCGCGGCCATGGCTCCGTCCTTCGTGCCGAATTTAGAGGAGACGAGGCCACGATAATAGGCTGTCCTGACAGCAGACTCGAGCGATATATAACCAGCAGCGTATGCCGCAGCAATCTCACCGCTAGAATGCCCTACCACTGCGGCGGGTTCAATCCCGAGGCGCTTGAGATATCGACTGATGGCAATCTGTAGCGCCGTACACAGAGGCTGCGAGAGTTCAGCCTTATTTATGCGACTGATCTCTGCTGGTTTGAGAATCTCGGCTGAGGGACAAGAGGGAAGTGTGTGTCAATACGAAGTCAGCCAATTCTCGAACATACGGAACTGCTTACCTTCGATAGACCATCTAGGTGGATTTGAGGCACTTCTTAGAGCGTCGTCCATGAGTTGGACATCCTCCCGGAATTCGGCATCAGTGAGGAATAGACCCTTCCCCATTTCGGCCCATTGACTCCCTTGCCCCGTGAAAATCATGGCGATTTCGCGCTGAGATGGCTTTCCCGGAGCTTTGACCGCAGCAGAAGATCCTAGTATTTTCTTGCCGGACTTGATGACGAAGGCTCTGTGCAAAAACCGCTCTCGACGAAGTGCTAACGTATAAGCAATATCAGAAAGCAGCGTGGGACGCTGTGAAGCAAATTCCAGTTGCGATTCCATTTGCTTCTTCAGCGAATTCTGAGTGTTGGCCGAGAACATGAGCAATTCTGGCCGCCCTACCGTCCCCTCATTTCCTGTCGCCCTGATTGATGAAGGGAATGACTCGAGAATGACCTCGAATAGTGTTAGCAATGGGGGAGGAGAAGAAACGGCAGAAAGCCACGAATATCATCTGAAATTCCCGGTGACATCGACTTACATGAGCGTTAGAACCGCCGATGCCGAATGAATTTACGCTGACCCTCTCAGCCTTATCGCTGGGGAATGGGGTTGGCGTAGTTGGGACGGTAAGGTCCTTTTCCCTAAACGGGACTGGTGATTTGAAGCATCAGTACTCGACAGTTGCTTATGATCCACGGGGAGTAGACCTACTCTTCGGATTGGGGACATTGAACTTGATGTTGGGTGGTATCGTTCGGTTCTCTAAGGCCAGTACGGCTTTGATCAAACTTGCAAGGCCAGCAGATCCCTCACAGTGGCCTATATTTGGCTTTACAGAGCCGATGTAGACCCCCGAGCCCCCGAAAACCTCTCCAATGGCGGAGGTTTCTATGGGGTCGCCGACTGATGTACCGGTGCCATGACACTAAAGAGAATGAGGGTATTTAGCTCTAGGTGCCTAATACCAAGCGACCGGTTGCCGAAAGGGGAGCCAGGAGATATTTCGGATACGCACCTCGACAAACGCAGTGTCGGACGGATCCAGTCCTGAATCTGCGTAGACTTTCTTTATGAGATCCTCAATCGCTCCCTGACGCGGAACGAGCATTCCTGGACTTCTTCCATCGCTATTGATCGCGGTGCCGCGAATCACCGCTCTGATAGGATTGCCGTCGCGGATGGCGTCCGTGAGGCGTTTGACGTAGATAACGGTGATACCCTCAGCTCGGGCGTAGCCGTTGGCGGAAGCGTCGAAGCTCTTACAAGATCCATCTGGTGATAGGACGCCCTCCGACGCCATAAGCGATGTAAGGGCGGGCCCGAGAATCAGGTTCGTGCCCGCGACAACGGCGGCAGAGGCATCGCCGAATTGAAGGGATCTGCAAGCCTCATGCAGTGCTATCAACGATGCCGAGCAGGCAGTCCTAATGACCATGCTACACAACATTCGAAATGCTCGGTGATCAGCCAACGACTCTCAGGGGGCGGGGGGTTGAGTGTGATCGACACGTTATATCTCACCTTGGTCCGCATAGGTTGTACTCGTAAGAAACCCGATTCGCGAGCATCCAATCTCCAAATCCAGTGACGGTTTGATTTCCAGTGTGCTGATCTTCCTTGCTCTGCAGATGCAGCCACTCTTCACCGAATGTGCCCACATAGCATCCGATCGGCTTGCCGCGGTACTTGACCTCTCCGGCATCCTCGAGGCACTCCCGGACGACCTCCAATAAAAGTCTTTGTTGGGGGTCACATTTCTCCAACTCGAGCTGGGCCATGGAAAACAGCGAAGGGTCGAATCTCGAGAGGTCGTTCTCGAGATAATAACCGGTTTGGGCCTCAATGCACCCCTTCCCGTCCAAAGAGGCGTCGAACCCCTCGGCGTTATACCGGCTGCGCGGGACGGGCCCGCGTGCGTCACGTCCATTAACCAGAAGTTCCCAGAAGTCACTGGCGTTTTGGATGCCACCGGAAAGCCTCACACCTAGCCCGCAGATGGCAATCGGACTCGGTCCCAAGACCCCCGTCGTCGAGCCTTTAATTTCTTCAAAACTCGACGACGTTGGGGAATAAGATACGTGGGAGTTGCTGGTTTCATCCATCGTGACAAAGGGGAGGCAGAGACCTCGGCAGGGTCTCCGTTCTGGTAGTTAAGAACTGCCCCGACGGTGCAACCTATCGTTGTTTCTCCAACCTTCCGGAACAACAAGCACCGTTAGGTGTGATATCGGCGCTGAGACAGAACTGACTAACCAAACCTATCCCCCCTTGCTGAGCTCGCGGGGACGTTCGTCTTCTTATCAGAGCGAGAGGCGAAACCGCTTCGCGGTGAGATTGTCAATCGGATCGAAGCTGTCTGTCTAACCCCAGCCAGTCGATGATTCAGCGGCGAGGACTCCAAAGCGGTGGATGCGGACTGTGGATAACCGCGATAAGTCGACCACGATGAGTCGGTCGAGTCTTTGGCTCGCTGGCCTGAGCTAGGATCGTCCTACCGGCGCAGCAGGACAGGATGGGATACGCACACGCAAGTAAGATGCTAGTTTGGCGCAATCGCATGCTCACATCGACCGCCGCACTGTCTCAAGAGGCAACGCTGCCGGGTCAATATCCATCCCCGTCTGCCAACAGGCCCTTTCCTTGGGTAACAGTTCCGCAAAATTAAGACACTTGGATATGCGTGTTGGTGTTGGTGTTGTTGATTGGTAAGTACATGCTGAGATGGCTCAGCCATCCTTGCGTCGACTCTTATACAGTACGCCAAGGGAGCGGCCATCTCGATATTTTTGGCATACGGAGCATCCTAGCGGCTTTCTGGCGCTCTGACCTGCCGCAGAGAAGATGCAAAGTGGCATAGTTATACTGGGCAAGCCAGGAAGACGAGACCACACGGTATAAGTGAGGGATAAAGCTCGCCTGCAAGGGGTAAGGTTGCATCGACATCTGACGACTGAAATTTTGGGGATTCTGTAGTGCATGAGCCGTGAACCAGACTGCTGGGTTCTGTTCGACGGTCCCACGACCTTCCCGAGGCCTCGAGTCTCGCACGCAGAGAGAGCCAGCACGGTGTTTTTGCTGCTCGGCTATGATGTACTCAGGGAAAGGCAGCTCTCGTCTCGGTAGGCAGTCCCTTTTACGGCAACCCTCGCGCGGCTCGCATGGTGGTGCTCGGATGGTACACAGATGCGAGTGCGTGAACGAGTGTGCGTGTGCGCGCGCGTGCTCCTCATCATCGGCCATGGCGCAAGTTCTCTACTACGGTATGCTCGGGAGAGGCGGTTCGCCACATATGCCAATGCCATCGATCACACCGCGACTTGGCGACGGTACGTGACGGCAGAAATGACTGCGGCCAGCTCCAGCGGCCGCTCTGCGAAGAGACGCTCTGGGAGACCGGGCCAATTCCTTGGCCAGCCCACGTAAGAGACCACGGGTCGTATCCGCTCCTAGATTGGGCTTCTGGTCTTGCTGTTGCGGTTTACTGTGACGCGGGCGCGCGCGCCGAGGCTGAGATCGCAGCAACGGATATGGCAATTGAGATGGCAAGGTTGCATCATCCATGACGCCGCCCGAGACAGAGCAAGACACCCGCCTCGCCCCTGTACGTAGTACATAGGTAGGTACCTAGGTAGGTAGTGGTCGACAGAGGGGTACGGTTTGTACTATCGACTTGGTATTTTGTACAGACTCAGACGAAAACTGCGTGTCTGGTTAGTTGAAAACAATAAGTCCAAGGTACAAACCTACCCCCCTGTTATCCCCCCTGTTATCCCCCTGTTTATAGGTGCCCCACATCCACGACTTGTACCGCGTAGGTACTATGTATACAGATCACTGGAAATGACTCGTCGGCCCGGCTGTCGTACTGTGACGGATACAACGTAGCACGCCTCCCGCCGTTCGTGCCAGGGTCGTGAAGCTTGCCGAGCGAACCAATCGTAACGTGTATCCGTATCCAGCCTCCAAGCCAACCGCGCTGCCAGTCTTGGCTCTGAGGGCCAACAGAAGCACGAGACCGAGCAGCAAACGAATAAGCAACGCCATGCCGATCGATGAAAAAAGAATCTCCAGGCGGCTTTTGGTCGGGAGGGTGCCGACATGCTCTCTGTTCACCCGCCGTCAAGACGTGTCGCTACCCAGGATCGAGAGACCGAACCTCACGACACGGAAACGTGGAACGGTCGAAGTAGCACTCTGTACCACAATTTCGGTTGGATCCCTCGTGCCAATGCCACCTGCAAGATGAGGCTAGGACCCCGGGACCCTCTCTTCCTTTCCCCCACGCAGCCACAGCGATGGTGAGTGGTGCGATAATGGAGTTCTTCCCCAGGTTGCCCGTGTGTCTCGGCGCACACGGTCCTGCTGTGATCCTGTTCAGGTGTACCGCACGCACGCCGTGGCAGCGAGCAACGAGCTTGGTGAAGGAGTGATTACTTGCTGCGGGATCGTCCTCCCGCGGATCCTTACTTAACCTATCGACGATCAAGGCAATAGACAACAGTCCACTTTTCTCATATTTCTCAACAGGGACACGGTAGCATTAGGATTTCTGGGGCGCCAGGACGGCCGAGGGGTGCCACCCGGATACGGGCAGACGAGGAGAGGACGAGTCCAGAATAAATAAATAAAAATTAAAAAATAACCAGAGACACGCAGTAGTGGAAAAAATATCCATTGGGTTAATGCCCAATCCTTCACACTTACCTACGAAGCACACATATTCCGATCTGGACATGATAGGCGCTCGCAATCTCCCACCCCCCCGATCACCCTCTTCTGTTTCTCCCGCCTTCTCTCTTCCCCCCCCCCCTCTCTCTTTTCTCGCGTGTCGAGGCCACCCTTTCCCCCCCCCCCCCAGTCCCTCGTCTCTCCTCTACGTCGTCGACAGAGGTTGCTTAATGTAGAATTCGATCCCAATTTCCCATTCGACTAGCATGTTCACTGCGATCTGGTAGCGTACGGTGTCCCTGCTATTTCATATCCATATCCCTTCCCCTCCCGTCCCTCCATGCGTCCCGTCCACCGACGGATACAAGCACGCTGCGCACTCTCTCTCACACACACACCCATCCACCCTCCCATACTATATCTATCTGACCTAGTTATTTATTTACTAGCCGGTTGGTGCGACTACAGGAGCGGCCCGAAGCTAGCGTTGCGCTTTGGCCGCCAACACTACCGGGCTCAACACACATGCCACACCCATACTGTATACAGTACCGTAGGCTCTGGATGGCCGAATGGAGACTACTAACCTCGCCAACTCGCCAACAGATCGCGGCCGGCATAGATCATTGGCCATAAAGCCGACGACGGCTCGAGCCCCGTCGGGTTCCTCGTGGCTTCACAGTGCCCCGCATAGTCCGCGCTCCCCTTTGTACACCGATGCCTTCACCTTCACCCACCCCCCTATTCCGCCCTCAACCGACCCCTCGCCGGCAACGCCCGTGTCGATTGCTCGACCTCCTTCGCCCTCACATACGCCCGAAGAGTCGGGTCAATTTCAATATGCGCTCAGCTCCGCCACGAGCCTGTCCTCCCGTGTCCATGTGCGTCATGTGCTGTGCCAACTCCCCTCCCCGTCCTCCCCCCTTTTGGGCTTGTGGAATGCCGAACCGCGGAACAAACGTGCTAGGCACGCCGCCCTTGCATGTCGGCTAACAGACGGTATCAATAGTTCAATTCCACGTCAGAGCAACCATGGATGCAGAGTGAACTAGATGTGAATGGTGGCGGTGGTGGTGACGACGACGAAGACGACCCCGACGATGGCTCTGCACCCCGCCCGAATGTGAGAAGGTAGGTCATTAACAACGCCCCCTTCCTCCCGACGTCGGTGTTAGCTGGAAAACTAACCATGGAACCTATCGTCGAGCCTAGGGGCTCTACCAAGACCTCGACCAGTTCAAGCTCTTCGAGATTCTTTCGCTCGATAGTGTACAAGTTTGGCCGGACCTTCAATAGAAGTATGTGCGCCCCCGTAAGCCTTAACGCTGAAGCGGACTAGGTACTGACAGGGGCTCTCAACTCCAAGACTACTTCCTCCCTCATGACAAGGTACGCCACCTCAGCAATGGCCGAGCACTGGCTTGAGCGCCCCGACTAACCTAGTCGAAACGTCTATAGCAAGAGCAAGAAAGAAATGGTAAGGCATAGTTACCCCACCTCCCACCCCCTTTCTCGCTGCGCGGTTCGACGGCAACTGACGAGTCGAAAAGTCCTTCAACACGAGATAAGCGTTGAGGTGCACGATGGAGAGCTATACCTTTGTCCGGTGGTGAAACCCAAGAGAGTCCTGGACGTCGGCACGGGAACAGGTGTATGGGCTGTAGAATTCGGCACGTCCCACGCCCCCTTTCTAAATCGCTAATACGCTGAGACACGCATGTTAACATGGGTATTACAGCCAGGAGGAACCCGGAGAGTAGCGTGCTTGGGATAGACCTGAATCCGGTTCCGCAGCCACCTTTTATGACGCAGAATTGCCGTTTCCAAGTAGCAGATGCGAACGACCAGTGGAAGTACAGCCGCCCGTTCAACTTCATACACGTGCGCAGCCTAGGCGAGCCTACCGACAAGCGCCGGCTGATCAAGTCGATATACGACAATCTCGCGCCTGGCGGCTGGGTCGAGTTTCAGGAATGGGTACTGCACGCGCAGTCGCCGGATCGCTCTCTCGAGGGCACGGCCTTTCAGAGATGGAACGAACTCATGGCCGAAGGCAGGTCGCTCCCGCACTCGAACAACCTCTCGGGAACACCAGAACTAACTCCCAAAACCAGGCGTGCGAAAGCTGGGAAGGTCTCTCTTCTTCGTCCTCGAGTACAAGAGCCTGCTGGAGCAAGCGGGCTTCCAGAATATCGTCGAGCTCAAGTACGCGGTCCCCACGAACACCTGGCCTCCGGGCCGGCAAAGCCAGAAGATCGGCACCCTGCAGAAGAGCAACACACTCCAGGTCATCGACGTGTATTCGCTTGGCGTCTTCACCCAAGGCTTGGGCTGGTCCAGGGACGATCTAGATAAACTCCTGGTCGAAGTGCGGAAGGACATCGAGAACACGCGTATCCATTCGTACTCCACTTTGTAAGGGCATCCGCCTCAATGTCCCTTTCCCCACCAGGGTTTCCCGGAGAGGAAAATCGCTAACGTAGGTCCAGAATGACGGTATATTGCCAGAAGCCGCACTCTTCGGCCACGGCGTCGTTAGACACATCAGGCACGTCTCCGATTCGGCCGAGACCGTCGGTAACATGGTCACCATAGGGGGAAGGGGGAGGGGGGGGGGGAGAAGCCGGGGACTTGGCTGGAAGCATCATGATCTCGGGAAATGGATGGGACATGGGATACAACCAAAAAAACAAATACCTAGACGGGTTACATTTCGGGGAACGGAACGGCATGGCGTTGACAGATTGGCATTCGGAAAATCCCAGGGTAATTGAATAATGGCGGAGTGAGTTCGTCAGAGGGTATTATCGCCTACTATATCTGCTCCTACGGAAGAAACTGGACGACAATTTGCTTCGGTGAGAAACGGTGGGCATGAGCATCCCGATCCTAGCGAGTCGGTATGATCCGACTCGAGGCCCAGGTACAGATCTCTTGGAATAATAGATATCGATGGCTGGTCGAGACAGCTGGGCCAAGCAGTTCGCATTCAACAATGCTTGCGAGATAGAAGCCGCCGTTCTCTGCCGTGCGTTGCTGTCATCGGTGTCTGTAGTATCGGCGTTCGTTGATCTTCCAACATTGCATCGGATATCGAGTTTCTATCAATCAATCAATCCCGAGAGTCGGCGCTTGAACAACCAGCGCGTCGAGGCCCAGGCCGACCTCCTCGAGTACCTGCGCCGGAGTCAGTTCGTCGAGGCAGACCTCGCACGCTTGCGCTAGTGCTCTCTCCTGTCTCGTACCGTCGCTGGCTGAACGAGATCGATGTGGTCACGGGAGCTTCGTGTCTGCCTCTGTTGCGAGATGTCTGCTAATATCATGTTAATTTGGGCAAAAATGTTTCGGCGTATGCTGGATAAGAACACGCCGGCCAGAGATCCGACGCCGGGAAGGTACTAACTCCTCTTGTTCGTGTCCATGGAGGATGGATGCTCGACGGCGGCAGTTAAACCCCGAAAGTTCCTGTCCTAAGAACACAAGGCGCGTTGTCATCTCAGGATAGCTGCTGTGGGTGTTGTTTGCGCTTGAGAAGGCCGCGTCCTTGTTATGATCATCGATTGTCCATGCTCTTATACGCGTCCGCGGCGACGCGCGAGCCAGCTTGCGGCCCTTGGTCGCATCGAACGATGCTAGGTCTGACAGGTCCTAGTAGGAGATCATCAATAGCTACCAATCCCAGTCCTCAAGTAGGTACCTTTCATCTAGGTGCTACGTAGGTAGGCACTAAGAGATATTGACATCAAATTATGCGAACGCACCCCTCGCAGCCCGAGGACATATAACGTACCGGTGTCGCATACATCAACTACGGTGGTATCTCTCCTCTTGAAATTCCTCTCAGATCCACTTCCAAAGATATCACCGTGTCCCGGGTCAGAACACAGGCTCGTGGGTAATAAACCATGCACCGCTCCCCCCTCCGACGGTTACGTCAACATCCTGTTCTGATTAGCCGTCAATCTCATCACCAGGCAAATACCCGGTCTACGCTCTAGGATTCTCCAACAGTTTCTGGTGCCACAAGATAAGCCCAATATAATATTAGGCGGCAAGGGGGCTGTCCATGTGTCACGCCGGAGATATTGGCATACCTAGATTCCCGTCTTACCCCTAGATCCGGAGTCTAGACCTTCTGGGGCCTTAAATAGCACAAGAAGCGTACTATATATCTAAACGCATCCCGTGCAATATACATTCTAGAGTCGTTCCCGGTAAGCCTTCGATTGGACGGGCTACGGGTGCGCCAATTGTACTCGTTGGTATTGCCTCGGATCAGACCCGGTCGATTTCGTCATGGGGTGATTTTCCTTCGCAGGTCGTATTGAGATAGTAGAAATATTTTCCAATCACGGTGCTATCATCCGCTTAGTCGGTTAATTGACTAGCTTCATCTCTCGTTGATTCCACGTTGTGATCGATTCTGGAAAGGAGGAGAGGCTATGTCAACGTTCCGACGGGAGAGAAGGACGCTGATGGGGACACTGAGAGCCTGCTGTTAATACAATGAGGTATATTATATTGCGTGGCCGTCTGCTAATCTCGTTTGCCGTTACGCTTCGAGTGTCTTTCTTTGACGAGTTGAGAACCCCTTTCCTCTCGCGATCTACATAAGTCCCGAAAACCGACTCAGGATGTGGCTTCTTAAAATCTTAATCGTTTTCCTCGTTACAGGCAGTGTATATGCCGCGCCAAATTGTCCTCTCTACGGCTTGGGATATCCCAAGCCAAGCCACCTCCTTACGCAACCGGGCATCAAGACAGCAGCAAGCTCGTTAGACTCGGTGTTTTCTCAGTACATCGACAAGGATAGTGGGACTGGGTCGGAGCGGTTTTCCTATTCGGTCGAGGTCTTCTCGGCCGACGAAGAACAGCCGTTATGGTCACACCATTGGACCGCGCCTAACCTGGCGGCACTCAGCTCGACTGGTGTTAGGAGAGTAGATGGAAACACTGTCTACCGCCTAGGAAGCGTGACCAAGGTATTTACTGTGTTGACATTTCTGGCAGAAGTCGGTGACGCCGTGTGGAACGAGCCCATCACGAAGTATATTCCGGAAATCGCGGCCATGGCTGCTACCGGCGATGATCTATCGCATTCTATATTCACGCCCGATTGGAATTCCATCACCATTGGATCTCTAGCAAGTCAAATGTCTGGTCTTAGCCGAGACTGTGAGTTCCCTCCCAGGAAACCTGTCCAGCCGGCCTAATTCTCGTACACTGTCTACAGACGCACTGCTCGGCGAACTCACTCAGGGGTCGAATGTAACTCAAGCCGCTACCATCGGATTCCCGGTTATAAGTGAGACCGAGATACCACCTTGTGGAAACCGGCCTGTTTGCAGCCGATCACGTAGGTTCCTCCTTTCCGGCAAGCTTGACATTCAACGTAGTTAAGTTGCTGACCCTAAACATAGAGTTTTTTAAAGGTCTTGAAAGGCTGCCTCCATCATTCTCGCCGTTTGTCACTCCAGCCTACTCAGACATCGGGTTCACACTTCTCGGGTATGCCCTAGAGAAAATGACGGGGAAGCCGTTCAGTAAAATGGTCCAGGATAAAGTCATCAAACCCCTAGGGTTAAGCCGTACATTCTACTCGGCTCCCAAAAACTCGCTCGGGATCATTCCAGGTGAACCGTATGTAACTGGCTGGGCCTTCGACATGCAGAATGAATCTCCGTAAGTGTCAGGCCGTAGAGTGCGATCTCTCCCTGACATCTTGAATGGCTCAGTATGACTGACTGGAAAAAGTACCGGAAATATGTACTCATCGTCCTCGGATTTGTCTCGAGTTGGTCGCGCTATTATACAATCCAAACTCCTACCTCCTGCAATGACGAGACGATGGCTTAAACCCGTGACCTTCAGCTCAGATCCTAGATCGGGTGTCGGGATTCCCTGGGGTGTCCGACAACTTCCCCTCCTTAAAGGTATGCTAACGGCCTTCCGATCGTAACGACCCGAGATAATACTGACCTTACTTGCATAGGGGCCGACTCACCTTACCAGTTTGCGACTACGTTTAATAAACTAGGGAACCTAGGCAAGTACAGCGCTTTGCTGGCCGTCATTCCCGGCTTTGACATCGGATTCTCCGTTCTCGCCGCCGGCGATTCGCCCCCCAGCCTCCTCACGGACATCGCGGACACGCTATCAGATACATACCTCCCGACTCTGGTCAACATCGCGGGCACCCAAGCTAGCAATACGTACTGCGGGGTATATAAAAGCTCGGATCCGGCGGTAAACTCGTCTCTGAGTATTGTGCTCGACGCCGGTCCCGGACTGGCCCTGGCTTCGTGGATCAGCAACGGAACGAACTTGTTGTGGTACTCGGTAGCTATGAGCCGCAACGTGACGGAGTCCTACTGGGATAAGATCAGGCCCAGCGTCCGGCTCTATCCTACGGGGCTGTGGGACGCAACAGCAGACGGCGGGAAACGAGTTGCGTTCAAGGCCGTGTTCGAGGACCTGAGCTTGCCCAATACCACGAAGCCGTTCACGACGGACTGCTCGACTTGGGTCAGCGTTGCCGGTATCATGTACGGCTCGAAGCCGCTGGACTTGTTCATCTTCAATTTCAACGCGGCCGGTAGCGTGACAAGTGTTGAGAACGCTGCGCTGAGAAATAGGCTGGGCAGGGTGGAGGCTTGATGCCTCTTGTGTGATCGGAATACCTAAGCTGCGATGTAATAGAGCGAACATAGAGACGGGATGAAGACACGCCATCGGAAAGCGTAACGAGCCTCGAAGGTTTCCCGCAACGCTGGCCTTTCTATGTGATCTCATTCGCGGCGACCCTACTTCGACAGAATTGCTATTAGCATACCCGTAGATAAAAATCTGAACGTATATTACAGGCGCTGCCACCTTTCGGGGCCCCAGCTTGCATATTGACGCACCGCAACCTTAATATCGGAAAGTCCCCTACTATAATAGGTATTGCAGACATGAATCGTTTTTCTTCAATTATACAGAAGGCCGAATGAGCGCTTTCCACCTTGTTCCAATGCTCGATTATTTCTGCTTCTCGTAGAGAGAACAGAGACTCGCCATAGGTCGCCAAATCCTTTCCCGGAATTCATTCTGTGTCTGACAGTCCTGGTATGCCCCCCAATCAGTCCGTCCCAAGCAAGCACCTACGATTTCGGCATAGATGGTCCCGGTAGAGTGTTCTCATTGCTCGTTTACTTTGCCATAGAGGGACTTCCTCAGGGTATCGGAATTGTTCACAGGCTCGAACATGCTGGTAACGAGTTTCCAACACCCTATCTCTGTAAGCACAATCCCCTTATCATCGTTAGTTACCTAACTGGTCGTCGGATATCAATCAAATACTCACTAATGAGTATATGTCGTGATACTTTTCGGAGCGGGATGGTCTTCCCCATCTCTCTGGGTGCCGGTAAAGCGCATGGAGATGCTGCTTTGAGGGTCTTTGATGCTCCCCAAGTCCATGGAACGTAGACTCTGAACATACTTATTATTAATGCTGGCGAGGAAGTCGGTGACGGCCGAGATAACAGCTGCTGCATCTTCGCGGATATTCTCAACGATTTGGATGTGCTGTAAATCCTTGAGCTCGCTTGAACTGGTCTCCAAGATCAACTTATTCAAAGAGGCGAGTCGTTCGAGCGCCTCCTTAGCTGCCTGGGTTGGTAGGCCTATGGTGCCTCCTCCATCTAATACAGTATCGGATTTCACAAGTCGATCGGCTATCCCGTTAGCCGCACGGGCGTCCGAAAGAGCTCGTTCGATCACTTCGATATCGTAAATGAAGGACGGTGATCCTTTAGTCATCCACCTTACAAGAGCTGCCGTCGAGCCCGAATCGAGGGGCCCGGTAAATCGAAAACGGAGGTCAAGGAATTCCTTTTCCTCTAGTCGTTCGACGCCGGTGCCTTGCGACGCCACGTCCGGCCAAGAAGGAAGAGTTTCCCATCTCGTTAAGCGAACAATAGCAGGGTGGCCTTCTGCCGCCATCGACGCATACAGTGGCTGCCTTGAAAGTCCGGCCTCTAATTTGAGCAATTCTCTATGCAGGGTGGGGAGAGTGACGACTCCCAACTGCTGCACCATGCTAGTCATCTCTCGCATGAGAACTTTGGTGAAGGAGGGGTGTTTACCAACACCCTTAGGCGTCCAATTGTCCTTATCAGCCGCTGCTAGGATTTCAACATTGTGTAATACTTTACCCCGAGCTGCCTGTCCAGCGTAGCAACAGTCGAGGAATATTACAACATCGCAACCGGCTCCAAGAAACTGAGGCTGGATGATTGACCAGTCCAGGGTAGGTCCCCCGTTTATAAGCCTGTAATATGTGTCATCTCAGGAATCCAGTCCTGTCTAGGGGATCGGTCAACATTAGGTATCTATGAAATGTGCTTACGCTGCCCATGAGTATCTCGACTCGTTTTGCTGGGGGACATCGCTATGTCCACTGTAATAAACGATTATGAGGTTATCCTCTCCGCCGAAGCACTTGATAAACTGGGCAACGTGCAAGCTCAAGGAATGCTGTGAATCCGTGGACGGAATTCTGTAAGGCCGCACTGTGTAGTTAAAATGCTTATGAAACATTTCTTCCAAGGCCTCAGCCTCAGCTCCGAATGTAGCCTCCCCCTCTTTCCACGTAAGGAGGAGCACGTTAACTTGGCGGTATCGCTGTATGCGTCGTTGTCGATACTTCTGTAGTTCGCCGGCAACTTCTTCTCGTAGACAGTCATTGTTGCCGGTGGTTTCCGCTTTAGTTGAGGCCATGATAATCTCCAACGTGTGAGGGGATCGTGATAGGTAGCAAGATGTCGAGCTACTATGTAGGATAACGTGTATGAGATACGCGCGCGGGGTGGGCTATAGGCTTCGTGATTGTAGGCAGGTTGATCGGGCGTCGAGCAAGTGAAAAGCGGACCGGTTAAGAGACATGCGCAAGGGGAGCCTCGGCTTATATATAAGTATATTCACGCGATCTAACCTGTGAACTTAGGGGCTTTTCCCTTGCAAAGGCTCTGAGAGCGACTCATTAGTGAGGGCGCCTAAAAACGTCACCAATGCTGTGAAGCCGGGCAGATAGTTAGGTGCACATGTATGCGTGTAGTAGCATGAGCCACGAGAACCGTCAGGAAGCACGCCGGCGACACGTGACGTAAATATGCCTACTGGAGGGTACAGGTCGGCAAAGAGGACAATCGGGACACATATTTCCTGGCTACGGTACCCCTGGGCCCTGGTATAGATGAAAGATAGACCTGCCATTCAACGGGAATGCGTACAAAGCTAACCTTGTATGAGGCATGTGTGTCTTCGACCGCCGACAGATAATAGCTGCTTGCTCGGATCGGTATTACAGGCTGCAATAGCTTGGATAGACGAACTTGATATAATACCCACTTGCCGATAATCCTCTTCGCAACCGTCATTTCCAGTTGCCGTATTCATACCAGCAACTTCCCCCTCGTCCTTTCAGTACCACAAAATGTCATTGGCGCCCTGGTCTAGTATTAACGCGGTCGTAGGCATCGCAGGCTCGGTAGAGAGGCCCAACATACCATCCTTCGCCACCCCCAACTACATCTCAGCGCTAAGTCTCAGCGCGCATGGAAATATATTCTCCCTACTATCTGAGGCTTCCTCGCACGGGCATTCAATCGGCGGGCACTGGCGGCTACTGAAACATCGAAATTGGTGAACATGGGAGAAAGAGATTGCTAGTTGCGGTCAAGCGAAGCCGCCTGCTTCCTAAAATCGTGTCACACGGGCATTGCGCCAAGTCTGCCAAGGGCGCCTAGGTAACAGGCAAGGAGACAATAGAACCAACACACCTACAATAGTAGGGCTAGTAAGAATCTATGAATAATTGCAGTAACTGAGGATAGTACAGAGAGACCTGTCATTAGTGGAACCGCCCCGTCAAGCCACTGACCTAGGTAGCCTCGCGGATCTGTTAGGCAGGTCGCCGGCATGGGGTCGGTCGCCAGCGTGGGAGTCAGGTCCTAACTCATCATACGATGTTGCCCGGCCGTCTGATACCCTTCCTGTCTGTTGGTTGTAGCAATTTATTAGAGCGATACGACGTTGCCCGGCCGTCTGGCGCCCTTCCTGTCTGTTGGTTATGGTCTATAGCTGGGGTGAAACGACGTTGCCCGGCCGTCTGATACCCTTCCTATCTGTTGGTTGTAGAAATTTATTAGAGCGATGCGATGTTGCCCAGCCGTCTGGCGCCCTTCCTGTCTGTTGGTTGTGGCCTGCGGCTTGGGGCGATACGATGTTGCCTGGCCGTCTGATACCCTTCCTGTATGTTGGTTGTGGTCTACAGCTGGGGCGCATCCCCGTATGGCATATATTAACCCGCATTCTAGGTGCCAGCGATTTCTGCCAGCCGTTCTCCATTCCTCCTTCATTCACGTTTCCTTTGATAGAGACCACCGACTCCGCGATCTCCTTCTTTCGTATTTCCTTTGATACAGACCACTGACTCCGCGATTAACCAAGGGACTGCTTAACTTGGTGCTGATGGCTGACCAACGTACTACGACTCCTATCCAAATGGGGAGCGAGCCGAGAGCTCCAGATGTTCAACGGAACACGGCTGATCATGCCCAGGTACGTTACGCCGTCGTATGACTAAGGGAGTAAAACTGTATATTTGTACTAACAGGCCCATTGCTTCAGACCGCCGACGATGATGATCGCAGGTCATATGTTACCAAATACGAGAATCCAGCAGATGTTAGTCCACAACCAACCACGGACGGGGTGGCCACTAATCATACATTAGTATCCGTTTGAAATAGGCGAGACTGTATGGATTCTCAAGCCTGGATTCAGGGCACCCATCGGCGAATTCGTTATCGCTCGAGCTCTTCCCAATGACTTTTTCGAGTTGACCGACAAAGCCGATAACACGACTTACTCAGAGCTTGTCGAGGGTCAGTACCTGAGAAGAGATCCTTATTAGGCTGCTGTGTAATAAGGCACGAGGCTATTGTCGTGGTGCGGCGGGACTGGGCCACATAGGGCTTTTGATGTGTATTTATATGGGTCTGGCACTCATATTTCCATCACAGATACTTCAACCTGTATTCATAACCTTGGACCATCATACTATCCGGAGGATAGTTATATAGGTTAAATCCACTCGTTTCTCAACATGCCTTCGTAAAGCACTCATCGTTCTCGTATTGCTCCCAGCTACCACTTACAGTTGGCTGATCAACAGCTCACAGCTATTTACAGCTGTAATCCCGCTTGATCAGCACTGGGCCAGCTGTTGACAGCTGTGGCTGTTCCTGTCCCCATCCGGTCCCCCTACAGCGTGCCCACGCTGTTCCTCTTTACTATAATATTGAGAGTGATTAGTTAGCTGTTGAATAGCCCAGTCCACTGACCTCCTTATTTTTGCAACGTCCGAGGTAACTACGTAGGTAGCTACCGGGTGACTGTAACAATAATAATTACTGCCTGGGCTATTATATGCCTTGTAAATAATCATATAAACTCTAGCATCATCTTACAAATGAACCCAATTTAAGGAGCTGTTACGTGGGATATTCCACCTCCTTCCACCACTTTTCATCATCTTTTTACCTTTTCTGCCGGTTCTCTCCGCTTTCGTACGCCATAGCTTACCTCAGCCGTCGAGAGCTCTTTATATAGCCTTTCGTGGTTCTTTCGCTCCTTTAGATCTTTCATAGCTTCATACATTGTTCGATCTCTCCCGTCCTGTACCTTCCTTCGTATTACACGTGCTTCCACGCGTAGCTCTCCCCGAGAGGATACGTGACAGGAGCTATTACAGGACTTTTACAGAGTGTGTGTTATGTCAGCTAAACTTGGAGACTTAGCACGGGTATTGCCACGTAGCTGACTCAAGAAACGTATGGCAGTGTAGGTTTCGAGTAGAGGGAGTGCAGGAACGCGGGTAAGAGACGGTATATTGGCTAATTAGCCCGGAAGAAAATGTGCAAAAGATTTCAAAACCGTCTAGATATATGTCGATGTACTCGACTAGCTGAGGTAAGCTAGGTTACTCTCTACTATGCCTACGTGACAGGTATTTTCTCGTGTAAACTTTAATAGTGTGGGCAACCCCCTGGAGTGAATGAAAAAGGTGAGGTGTTTGAAAATTTCCAAGCGGTATCATCTTTGCCAGTGAAAGTGGAACCTGAGAAGAGGCTGGGAGCTAATACCCGAGATTAAACCCTGATTACAAACACATGTGTGTTATGATATTATTACCTACTAGTACTATACATAACATAGATTTTGTAAATGAATTCATCGTGTCGATTCATTGCTTTGATTCTAATAAAACGCTCATGCCTTCCAATGTGTCACATGAAATCGTGGACACCTGCATCTCTCCAGTGAGCAACGAAGACTTACAAGGCAGGATTCCCTAGTTGACAGATGGGGACAAGAATCATGCACAGCGAAATCTGGACGAATTCCATGGTTTAATATTCCCGCCTCCATAGACAATATCACCAGGTTGATATTCCTTGGGACAAACCTCACGTTGGCTGAGAACCTGGAGAAATATTAAAGGGGGTCTGTATTTGGTGTTTAAAATACCAACGGTGCTAACTACTCTATGATTTCACCTCATAATAACGGTAATAACCTCAGCTGATTTTCTATTATTTATCAAACCACCGGAGGAAATATTAGATGCGTAAAAGCGCAGAAAACCACAGTGGTTTGTTGGATGCCTGCTTTTCATTCTCGCCTTTCCCTCGCATTATGCTTAGATCCATGTCCGGGAGGACAGAAGAGGTAATATTAAGAACAAAGTTATGCTCGCGACTGGTCTTTACGGCAACAGCGGCAATCGTGCCGAAGGGTGGGTGTAAGTAACTCCTAAAGCGATCCTGAGGTATTAGCCGCCGTGCGGCGGATCCTATGGGAGCTCGACCTCGTAAATCATCGCAATGTATCCCCGAATGGATGACCTGAATTTCTCGTTACCCCCCTGGAGCCTAAGATACCGCAATGAAAGCACCTGTCATGGTGTCGTTGACTCTGAGGCTCCGCACGGCTATCAACCTGCTGGAATGCTAGTAATACCCCTCAAGGACTTCAGTATAAGCAAGGGAGATGAACTGATATTATTACTTGCTTCTGATATTATGCACCCCAACTTCCAGACAAAGAGTTAGTAATAAAGGTCGCCTCGGATTCCCGACATGCCGCTATCGTATTTCCCCGCAACCGACCATCCGGCTGTAGAATCCTCGGTACCCTCGTTTATGTATCATGGGACTCGCGTCTTCGCATCTACCGATGATCCTCCCTCCCCCCGCCGTGGCTCCCACACCCTAGTCGCCGACTCGATATATTAGCTCCTCTCGTCCGCTCTAATTTATATCTGTCCCTACCTTGGGTATGCTCCATCGTCAGCTCTCCACCCACCACCATGGATACCAAGCCCTTTAATATCGCCATCGTAGGCGGCGGCATCAGCGGCGTCACGCTCGCCATCTGCCTCCTGCAGCACAATGTCCCGGTCACGATCTACGAGTCGGCTGCCCGGTTCGGGGAGATCGGCGCCGGGCTAGGCATGGGGCCCAACTCGGTCCGCGCCATGGGCCTTATCTCGCCCGACATCGTCGCCGGGTTCGAGCGGTGCGTCACGCTTAACGGCGACGGCAACCGGAGCAACTGGTTCACCGTCCGCGTCGGCGACCAGCGGAAAGCCGGACCGGACGGCGTGCTGCGGCAGAAGGAGAGCGCGGGGCTCCGGGTCGGCGACGCTATCTTTGAGATCAACTACACCAACGACGGGCAGGCCGGCGGCGTGCACCGGGCCCACTTCCTGGACGAGCTCCTGAAGCTGGTCCCGAAATCCGTGCAGCGGCTCGGCAAGCGGTTGGTCGACATCACCAGCGCCGACGGATCCCAGGACGCCGTGCTGCACTTCGCCGACGGGACGACGGCGCAGCACAGCGCGGTGATCGGCTGCGACGGGATCAAGTCGCGGACGAGGCAGATCCTGCTGGGCGAGGACGAGGCGAAGCCGGTGTTCACCGGGAAATACGCCTATAGGGGCCTGATCCCGATGGAGAAGGCGACCGAGATCCTGGGGAACGAGATAGCGGCCAACAGCCAGATCTACCTGGGCTACCACGGGCACCTGCTCACGTATCCGATCCAGAAGGGAAAGACGATGAACGGTGAGCCGCTTTCTTGACCCGACTCCCGGTTTCCCATACTGACCAGCCGGCAGTCGTGGCGTTCAGCTCGTGCGAGTCGTGGACGGACCCGCAGTGGGTGGTGCCGACGTCGCGGGAGAAGATGCTGGCGGACTACGAGGGGTGGGGGGCGACGGTCGGGGCGGTGGTGGGGGCGATGGAGAAGCGCGACGTGTGGGCGCTGTTCGAGCACGCGCCGGCGCGGACGTACTACGGGACGGGGCCGCGGATCTGCCTGCTGGGGGACGCGGCGCACGCGACGACGCCGCACCAGGGCGCGGGCGCGGGCATGTGCATCGAGGACTGCGCGGTGCTGGGGCGGCTGATCGCGGCGGCGGCGGCGGCGCCGGACCTCGACCGCGCGTTCCGCGCCTACGACCGCGTCCGCCGCCCCCGCACCCAGCGCCTCGTCCGCACCAGCCGCGAGGCCGGCGCCCTCTACCAGTTCGAGCTCGAGGCCGACGACCTCGACGCCATCCAGCGCAACCTCGCCCGCCGCATGGCCTGGATCTGGGACGCCGACTTGCGCCAGGACCTCAAGACCGCCCTCGCGATGATGCTCCGGGACGAGCGAGGTTGAGAATCGGCGGCGGCGTTGTCGATCCGGGGATGGATAGCGGTTGAGTGGGATAGTTGACCCTCTGATCGGGTAAACATGGCCCCATCTTTATTTTGTGAGTTTTATTACTTAAGGGCCATATATCTACCTACAGTATTAACCCCTATTTTCCCCAGCCCCTATTTTAGGACTCCGAAGCCACGCAAGGCAGCACACTGTTTTCCTCCCACCGTCCCGTTTTCTAGATGCCGGCTTCTTATTCAACGTTCTCTCCGTAGTGCCATCACTCCTGACTCCTGACAGACAACCCCAAGATTTCTACTTTACTCTATGCGTGTAAACCTAGTAAATCTACCTAGGTATTTGCTATCGTCACAGAGACATTGTCACTAATATCTACGAACCCATCTTTCGCTGTGGGAACTTTTAGGAGGGTAGTATCAACGAGCCGCCACAGCCATCTGTATTAATACTGATACTTAAACGCCTAGCTCTCACGTTCGCCACCAGCCGGTCTCACTCACAGCGACTTTAGTTGTGGGTTAGACAGACTGTCGGCCACGCCTAGGCACCTAGTGGCGAATGTTGATATAGCAGGTATAACACGCGGGTTCGTGTCGTACTGCCCAAGGCACAAAAAGGTGATGCCGCAGAAATGCGAGCGCTGCTTATACCCAATATCTGACAACCTGCCGAAACCTACGGTAGGGTAACTGATTGATCGAGTTGCTATACAAGAGTCCCCCGAGTCGGCAATTCTATCGTTGCGCCAGCCAGCTGGCTCTGTAATAGCTACCGAGAAATAGTAGCTACATCCGGGCTCAGCCACTCCTCACCCGACCCCCACAGCTTCAATGACACTCTTGTTTCGTTTTGGTCTCCAGGCAAAGGCCCAATTTCCTGCAAGGCCCTGTCGAAATTGCTTCCGCCCTCGATATTATCGTTGTAATACTCGCCATCCCGGTGCCAGAATCTGCTTCTCGCGATGGTGGGCCACATTTCTTCCAGTCCATGCCTCTCCAATAGCCGTGCCGCATCGTCTTTCCTTCTGATCCGAGGCGGGAGTAGCTCCTCAACGATAGACGTTTTCCCGTTTTTGGCAGCAATGAAAATATCCCTCAAGTGTACGTTATTATCGCTTAGTTCTGTCTCCTGCAGAAGGCGAACCGCCCCAAGATTACCTGCTTGCACTGCAATAGAAAGCGGCGTGGTACCGTGGTGATCTGGTTTGTTGAGAACTTTCACGTTCTCAGACTTCAACAGCCCCTGCACGTATGAATCGAGACCTAAAGCTGCTGCCCACCAGAGGGCTGTTCTGCCCGCACCGTCTGTGCAAGCTACATCGACATTCTTGGTGTTTAGGATCCTCGTAAATATCGACTCCTTTGAAGGCCTGTCCCCTACTCCCAGTTTGACTGCGTATACGAGCGGTGGAGAATTGATAGTAGACAGACTGTCGTTCTTGAAATTTGGATCCAGCCCGGCCTCCAGGAGCATGTCCACCATGTCTTCCCTTCCTTCCTTGATGGCGAGGTGGAGTGGTGGCTTGGTATAGTACTCATTATGGCCAATCCAGCTGTCACTCAAGAGCACCCGCACAGTAGCAGCGTTTCCTGCTGTGATCGCCCAGCCTAGTGGTGTCATGCCCTGGTCGTCTTCGTCGTGGAATAAGCTGCTTCCCCACTTCTCCAGCATCTCTTTCATGATCATCGTGCGCCCTTGTTTTGCGGCGTGGCGGCAAATCCTCCGCCACTTTTCCGGGTCGTCCAAACCTCTGGTATTCAACTCCGCTTCCTTTTCAATAAGTACCCTCGCCGAGTTGATGTCGCCAAGTTCTAAGGCATATGATAAGGCAGTTCGATTCCTCTCGTCCTCCTGGTTGGGCGAGGCACCAAGCTTCAGTAATGTCTCCATAACCATGTACCAACCCGTTCGGGAGGCAGATATGAATGCCTGAGTCTTTCGTGGCTCTGGGAGGTATTTCCTCTGCAGATGGTACAGTGTAGAGCTTAAATCTGAGCCCCGAATTGCATCGAGAAGACTAGGCGAGATTGGCTTCGGAGTGGGGGAATCTTTCGATAGTTTTTTTTCGGCCTCTTGTTTTTGGCTTCTCAGCGGCCTGCTCTCCTTCTCCAGGCACCAGAGGGCAACTTGGCCGTAACACTGGATGGCATCAGCCAAACTAAGGGCGGACCCCCGACCCGGCACAGTCTCGGAGTCAACCCAAATGAATGAGATCTTCTTCAAATCTTCATCTTGGGAGTACCGCTCAAACAACTCGGCAATTACTTCGTAGCCAAACAAGTTTTCCTCGTCCTCGTTGTTCTTCAGGAGAGCTCGCCGACCTATTTCGCAGGCCTCTATAAAGGACAATCTGAAGCGATTCGTGGTCTCCATGTTCTCTGCGGAATCTTGCTCCCCACCACTTAAAACTCCGGCAAACAAAAGGCCAAGTTTCCAGTGGACAAGTTCCCTGTACTTTTTCCACGATCCATTGAGCCGGTATTCGTTTTCTAGCTGGCTAGCCACAGAGAATATCTGATCCGGAGGTTTCAGCTTATTCTCGGTTATCAAAACTGGGATAACGCAGGCGAAGGATTCATCTGTGTCACACAAGCCTCGCAACTCGAGAGCGTTTCGAATCCTTTCTATGTTATCGTTTGTGGCCGTTAAGCCCTCCTCATGCTGCCTGACCGTTGTGGACCCAAAGTCGCCAACAATTTTCAGAATTGCCGTCAAAAACGTGGAATAAATTTCCTGGGCGCAGTTCAGCACGAGTGAACTCTTCGAAGTCGTCTCCAGAACTGCAAGTTCGCGGCATGGCCACGTTTTCTTCACGCTGTGCCACCCAAAGAATCGTCTCTGGTTGCGGGAGCCTTGGGGCTGTCCCCCGTTCCTTACAATGAACTTTCCGTCGTCCTTCCACCACACTGCATTCTCGACCTCTACCCAGTCGAGCGCTCTCAACTCGCTCCGGTTTCCCGAACGGCCACAATTGGCATCTACTTGTAGCCTTCTTTTTTGTATCCTTTTGCGGCCTTGCTCGCGCCAGATCTCCAAATTAAGTCTTTCGCTAGACTCATCCTTGGCATCTTCCTGGATTGCGAGAATTCGACTTATGCTCGGACCCGCCCTTTTGGAATCCGTCTCCTTTGCGCCCTCTATCTCGGATGGCTCTTTCAGTGACCATACCCACAGGCTGAGCAAGGCTTCTAGTTCCGATCTATCAGCCCTCCATGGACCCTCAGGACCACCCTGGCCGATTGCTTTCTCCAAGGACATATGGATGCTATTGCTCTGGAACTCTTTTTGGGGGTCCAAGGACATACGGATGCTATTGCCCTGGGACTCTTTTTGAATTGGGGGATTCCACAGGGAACATCGGGCCGTCCAAAATATCCGTACAGCTTTATCCCATGGCTCATAAAGCTTTACCGGTGGCTGTGAGTCCGGAGCAAAGAGGATTTCCATGGTATCTTCGATAGCAAGCGCCAGAATAAGGGCGGCATCTCGCACAGCAACAAACTTCCCCCCCCAACAGTCGCTATCATCTGACTTCGGTGCTTCTAACCCTGTCAGGTGGGCAAGGCGGCTCCGGTAGAGAAATGTTTTCACAGCGGCGTTTAAAGGAACAGTAGTTTTTTGTCCTTGGGGATGATCCTGATCCATTCTATATCTCTCTTCGATCCATTGGCTGATCTCCTTCTTCGCCGTAGAGACCAGACAGGGTTCCGAGCGGTACGAGGCTTCCGGATTAATTCGAAAGCCCGACAAGATTGACGAGTTTTCAACATTTAGTTTTTGCAATGCCTTGGACTTGTCGTCTTCATTCTCGCGGGGGTCGGGAGGTGTGTTGGCGGCAGGGGTGTCAGTTTCTAGCTGGCCATTTTCCGAAATACTGGACACCATCCATAGGTGACGTGAGTCTTTATTAGTCCAGTAGCAGGGTTCGGGTGGAATGCCGAATATACCGTGTCCAAGCCTAAATGCCAAAAAGTCCAGTTCGTGTCCCTCTATAAAGGCCGGGTAGCGCTCCATAACGTTGTCCTCTCTCTTCAATCGGCGGGTTCTCAGCCCCGCACGAATGAGGCTCATGAAGATGGTTACGATGAACTGGGCGACTGCGACAGAAGGGTGGCAAGCTCTAAGGCCAAGAAACTGGCAGAAGAAGCCTGCCGTAGTTGTTGCAACTGCGGTCCGAATCCAGCACGTACGTGGTATTGATTTATCCGTTTTTTTCCACGACGTAATATATCTCTGAAGAGGATATTTTTCATCGGTGTAAGCGAAAGATTCGAAGACCTGGTCGCCTACTCTTTGATTTCCTGGTTGGATCCAATACATCCTAAAAGCGTCCTTGCCGGCAGCTCGGCGGTAAATACGCTCCCCGGTCTTGTTCTCGATGAGATAGGCACACAGACCCATTCCCAGGCAAAGCAAGACTGTCCCAACGACGGTTAGGGGAATTGCATATTCATCTAGGGAGTTTGATAGTCAGATTCGATACCCTTGAGTAGCCTTGCATCTTTATACTCGACATTAACAAAGGGAACTTCAGTTGAGAAGATTCCAAAATAGAAGAGTCGAAACTGGTATATTAGTCTCACCACTTACCTTCCTGGCTTTCCCTTATCCATAGGTAGTAATACCTTGCGAGGGCGGCCCATACCAAGACTGCCGACTGTAGCAACGCTCCCAAAACGGCAACAGTGGTGAACCAAATTCGACCACGCGATTCGATTCCGATATTGAGAGATAGATTTGGGCTTGGAGCGAAATTTGTCGTCGTTTGTGAATCCCTACTTCTCCTATCCCACCACGCAACTTTCTTTGGTTCGGTCCATGGATGACGATTTTTCCCGATGTATTCTTTGGACGAGTACAGGCCAGCTGTGGCCTCAACTCGCTTGGCGGAGAAGAATTCTTTACCATCAGGCTCAGGGTTGTGTATAATCTCGAGCAGCTTCGGGCGGCCGAAGATGCGAGCAATGCCGTTGTTGTTGTAAAGCTCGCAGACATCAGGGCTAGTAGATGAACACAACTCTGCCTCGGCAGCCCCCGCCCCTTCTTGGGCTCTTCCAATAAAGGCCCTAAGCGAGGGGCCCCCACATACCCGAATCGCGGATACTATGGCAGTGATGATACCCATGGGGCCCATAGCGAAGATGATAACGTCTTCAAGTGTCAAGCACTCGCTGAGATACTGCTTCGTGGGGGATTCGCCAAGAAGAGCAACCAGGGGAGCCAGATCCGTTGCCAGGTTATTCGAGAAATCATCCCACCAGCTCGTAGACATAGCTGCTAGCCGCTTTCCAGCAAATCTGCGTGGGATCTTAGGCTGGTTGACTGTGCGGGAACAGGAAATCGAAGTGGGAGGGTGGCGGAAATTCTGCCACCAAAAGGAGGGGGGGTAAATAGAGAATATAGTAGTGGTGGGTGGTCTTACAACGGTTGATAATATGGCCTAGGGATTCATACGGTCGCTCTTAGCTGGCAACAGTAGCAACATTGCTTCACTGCCGGTGGGTTTGTAAAGGCTTAAGAGACGAGATGCTGCAGGCTAATATCTCACTCGAAGAAATGTGAACCTGTTTAAATATATTCTTGAGCGCTGCTATATCCATAGTGTGAATTTTGTCTACCCTCATGCAAGGCTGTAGAAGACCCCGTAATCCAACATGCCCTGTTGATCTCACCCCATGTACCGCGACTGTACAGGTTTATAATCTTTGTATACTCAACAACTCTCTCCACGGGTTAATATTTCTATGTCGCTTGACTAAACTGCACATTCGATGACACGTCCGTGTGATTGACATGGGAAATTCCGTACGAGGCGGCCACTCCCTGTCCAGTCTGTCCTATCCCAGAGCATGAATGCATAGCCTGCTTCAGTCTACCCCAATGCCATCGCCACCTTTCCTTTATTAGAAGATCCGTGCTCGGACAAATACAGATCTCAGGTACGAAACACAGGATGGACTGCAGTGAGAATATTAGTTGCTTAGGGCGTGGGGGCCCGCCGCCGTGGCCTCAGCTACCGACTTATTGGGAGGGAACCCCAGCGGCTTATACGCTCAGTTACAACCGTAACCGAGATGAAGACTTTGAGGCTGAAAGGATTCTCAGAAAGGCTAGATATATTCAGCTCAGCTCAGCTCCGCTCAGCCATAAGCAAGTATCTAATTACATGACGGTCTGTGCCAAGCCGCCAGCCTGAGACCTACATGAAAAGAAACAGAAAAGGCAGTTCGCCGACGTCAAGTCCATCCCCTACATTTCCCTTCTTGAATACGCATGCTTATATAGGCAGGTGGTTCTTTTTCCTACGCGGCAAAGTCGGTACCCCAACAACTACATAATATGTACGGTTGTTGAATTATAATGCATGTCATCTGCCTGCCAGGTCTTGGAAACCTCGCAGACTATTACCTCCGTTTAATGTCCATGGCGCGTGTTTGATAAGTACTAATTCTTTCACAGGCATAGGTAGTAACACATCTCCACGATCCACAACCACCTGGTAAATCCTTGACTTATAACGAGATAACCCACTAATTAATAAACCAAGTAAGCTAGGGCACCCCTTCACGGGCCACCCCTTCACGGACTACCGCGTTAGGACCTACGAACGCGCCTTTTAACGCGACGCCCTTGCTTAAATAACCTATAATTTCTCGGTTAGTTTTAATCTTTAGTAATTCCTTTTGCCATTAATCTCTTCCTAATTTCTTATTAATTAAGATAGTATCTTTAAAAAAATAATAAATCCGTACGTAAGCCGTTATTCGGAAGGTAATATACGGTATTAATATCCGATAAGTTACCCGTTTATATAGCGTCCTTCGTTCTTACCTATTACGCCGTTTCGCCGGTAAACTAACGAAATAAGAGCTAAATAAGAATCGGTAGGCTTTATTACCGATCTTAGAAGCTAAATTAACTCGTTAGGTTATTTCGTAAGCTAGGTTAGGCTTCGCGCCGGCCTTTATTTAATTTAGGTTTATAGCCGAACGCTTATTAAACCCCGACGGCGGCTCTAAAAAGCTAGGGAAGTATTAGCATTACCGTTTTTTAGAGCGAAATACGGAGGTTAAGGCCTTTACGGTTAAGATCGTCGATTATAAGCGGATTAAGGGCGCTACGGCGGTAAATATTAACCTCTTTTTCGACCGATTAAAAGCTTCCGAATTATTAGCCATTTCCTTCGAACGCTTCTTTAACGCCGACGAAATAGGTATCGTATAAGGCGTTACCGGTAACTACTAAGTAATTTCCGAAGCTAATACCTATATAATACTTAAGAAAGGCGTCGAAAAAGGTTAATAAATTACTACTTTTAAGTATATAAGCTTCGGCGGAAAGCCTCTTCCTTTTTTAATACTTTTTAAGGGTATCGACGTTTAGGCTTAATAATTTCCTAACGATTCTTATAATCTTTAGGAGGATTAACGGTTCTAGGCGTTACTTAAAGGATAGATTAGTAATAATATCGCATTAAGTTAGCTTATAGGTATCTTTATTCCTTATATTCGGGCCCGTTTCGGTAATAAATAAGTCGTTTTAATTTACGATAGCTATAAATCGTATACCTACGACGCCTTTCTTACGTATTATCTTTAAAATAAAATATGGCTCGTCTTTTACTAGCCTTATTATAGTTACGTCGTATAGGTTTTAGATATCGGAATATTGAACAGGAGCAGCGTAGGCACGCTGTAATAGAGGCACGAAACAAGGACTGCCCAACTGCCAACAACTGGCCCAGTGCCGATCAACCAAAGATCACAGCTGTAAACAGCTGTAATCGGTTGATCGGCCAGCTGAAAACGGCAGCTGGGAAAGGAGGACTGGAAAAGGGCAACGAGGATAGCTAGAAAGGCATGGCAAGAAACGAGTGAATGGCTGTAGGCTGTGATGTCTACAGGTCTAAGTCTGGCTGATGAAAATATGAGTGCGCGACCCATATAAATACACATCGAAAAGGCTACGTGGCCTAGATCCACCGCACTACTATAATATTTAGGTTATTAAAAAAACGGCTTAAAAGCCTCCTTAAGAAGAGCTAAAGTACGAATCTAAACCTATGCCTTACTAAGGTCGATATATTAAAGATATACCGATAAGTTAGGATCGATATAATAACTTCTCGAATTATGAAAGGAACTTAAAGGACCTTTGGGATTTATCCTAGAAACCGTAAGAAGCCGTTATCGTCGAGATTCGTAATTATAAAGGATAAGGATATTCCTAAATCTCGGCCGAGACGGTCGGAGGCATCGGAAGCTATCGAAAGGCCGAAAATATCTAATTTCCTAACGTTATTAGCTCTAAAATACGTTAATATACCCTTAAACGGCTAGGAATTACGAAATATTATTTAACGGTTTATCCTTATTAATTCTAAGGCTAAGATCGTATTTTAGCAGTTATTTATTCGGAAAACTAACGGCACCTTCGACCGATAGGCTAATAAGATCGCGATTCTTAAAACCTAGCTTTAATATAAGATCGCTAAAAACGATAGGGCTATTATTAAGATACGGAAGAAGGTATGCCTAGCGCTAAGGGAGCGCTTTATTCGTATAGCGGATATACGGCGGGTAAAAAGGTCGTTAAGAAGTAAGGTAATATATAAGGACGAGGTAAGCGATAAAGAGGTACCTAGAGAGGCTAAAATAGCGCTAGAAACGCCTAAAAACGAAGTATCGTAAGCGGAGGACTATATCGAGGTTATAACGCCGGAATTAGAGGGTTTTAATTAATTTTAATAATGTAAATAGCTTTAATTATTAACGTAGTAGTTACTAGGTAATGCTTAATTTAGGTAGCCCGTGGAGGGGTGGCTCGTGAAGCGGTAACCTAACTTACATAGAGCTATCGTCACAACTCCTCAAGATAGCACATTTTCATCCCCTCGGACCTTGGGGATTCATCTGTACAATGATCGTCCCGAGCATGTAGCCAAGCATTATACCTCATAGCGGTCGGTCTCATAACGAACAGGACGGTAAGTGAAGTAGTCGAAGGTGGCTGGCAGCACGGTTCCGTTTATATCGGAACAGGCCATCCCCACGAAGGCCCCCGTGAAGCTTCCATGGGACTGGTGACCACCACATTCATCCGAGAGGATAGACGCATCATAGACTGGCCCGATCTTCTTGAGCTCCTCTCCTCCCAAAGCATAGAAGAACTGCAGGTCGCGTCCACGAATCGTCAGCGCCAGCTTCACCTTCCCCTCGTTAGGGATCTTCACCGGATCCGCTAGAGGCATCTCGAGTTTGCCTTCCGGCCAAGATATCTCTGAGGTCAGGATGAGCAGCTCGCGCTGGCCATCAGAATGCGCAGTCACTGTTAGGTAGAAGAAGTTGTAGCGACAGTAGTATGCCGTCAGTCCAGCGAACTGTCTCTCGTCTGCCGGAGAGAAGTCGACCACAGTTTCGGCATCGTAAGAAAAGTGAACTTGCCGCCTCGCGACCAGTGCCTGCTCGAAGAAGGAGCCGATACTCTCTCGGCCGAACAGGGCGAGTTTGCCGCCTTGCGTAGAGAAGATACGCTCCGTCTCGGGTGTCCTCAGCCACTGGAAGTCCTTATGCAGCCCGTTCTCGAACGTGTACCGCTGCTCCGCCCAGTATTTGGTGTCGTCTCGCACCCCGGGCACGTCGACGTAAAGAGAGGGGACGGGGCCATCCTTCACGAAGAGCCAATCATCCTTCCAGAATGCCTCCTGGATGGCGGTTTCACGGCCGAGAACGCACCGGCGTTGCTGGGTGATGGGGCGCCCCGTCAAGTGGACTAGGTAGGTCTTCCCCTGCGGAGTTTCTACGATATCGCCGTGGCCAGCCCTCTGCAGGGCAGCGAACTGAGTATCCCTGGAGCTGAGGATGTGCTTCTGCGGGTGCACCTCGTAAGGGCCCCAGATGTCGCGGGAACGCGCCAGGGTACAGGCATGATTGTAAGCGGTGCCGCCCTCAGCTGTCAGCAAATAGTACCACCCATTCCTCTTGTACAGGTGAGGCCCCTCAACAAGATCGAGCTCCGTGCCGAGGAAAACGTTTTTCTTAGGGCCGACGAGTTTGCCGACGGAGGGATCGAACTCTTGCAGGACGATTCCGGCGAATTGGCGGGGTCGCGAGCGGTGGTCCTGCAGCATGTTCGCAAACCACTTCTTGCCATCGTCGTCGTGGAAGAGCGAAGGGTCGAAGCCGGAGGAGTTGACGTACACCGGGTCCGACCAAGGTCCCTCTATCGACGGCGCGGTGACGATGTAATTATGGGTGTCCTTTAAGGAACCGTCTTTGCGCTTTACGTCTGTGTAGACGAGCCAGAACTTGTCGCCATCATGTGTGAGACAGGGGGCCCACACGCCGCAGCTGTCGGGGTTCCCGCGCATGTCCAGTTGCGACTTGCGGCTCAGGGGCCGGGTCACTAGCTCCCAGTTCGCAAGATCCTTGGAGTGGTGGATCTGCACCCCAGGATACCACTCGAAGGTTGACGTCGCGATGTAATAGTCCTCGCCAACCCGGACTATCGAGGGGTCCGGGTTGAATCCTGGCAAGATGGGGTTGCGAACCAAGGGCATGATGCCAGATCGAATTTCTCGGTGGTGAAGCAGAGAAAGGGGGAGAGAGGTGAGGGCTAAGATGGAGGGAGAGGAATAGCAGCAGCACCTGAGGCTGAATTCAGGTGATAATGATATTTAATACACATTGATGATCGGGGGGGGAGGTAAGTGGAGGCAACGATCTTCGGCGGCGGTTAATAACGATGCCCGGGAAATCGAATTTAACCGGCGGCCTAATGCCGACTTCGCCGCCGCCGTTACAGTCTAAGAAGGTACTGAGGGTTAGTACTGAAGCTACCCATTACGACCGGAGATGATTGTAAACAAAAGTTCCTGTAGAACATAATAGGTAGGTAATAGGCACACGATTCCCGGTGCCTCATTGAAGATTACCGCGATAACTCGTTTCCGGATCACGATAATATCGCCTCATAATACTTGCTGCAGCGACGGCAGCCACCGTTAGAACCAACCCTCGGGACAAGCTTTCTGTCCATTGGTGAAACTATCCATACAGGGTAATGATCCCATCTCATTCATGATCGTCCATGTAAGTAGTTTAACCAATGCGAATACCACGGCGGGGAGGTAAGAAGGCAAGTATCTATTGTCAAGGCCAGTCTCCAATCATGGCAGATATGGCATGCACACGGCAACGATGATCCGCAGGGCATAATAATAGCCGATACGTCGACCTTCTCCAAGAGCTCTAGATCACGCGCGCGAGATAGATCAGCATCGCATGCGCGTCCTCCTTTATTTTCCATAGTTGAACCGAGATCGATCGTGCCCGGAGCTGCCAAGCATAGACCTGGCATCCCAGTGTCCTGGAGTTTGACTTGGTCTGCCATTCCGATCTCTGCCCTCTCCTGTACGGCAAGGATTTCAGCCGCGCCTTATCGAATGTCAGTCCAGCGTCGCATTATCGATTTTCGTATCCTCTCATCTCAATTGGTGCGAGCTTGGATGCGAGATGTACGGTCGGGACCCTTCAATGTAAAGGAGTCGCTTACCGACGGGTTATCCCGGCCTCGAGATCGTATTACCAATGCGGTCATAAAAAACGACATATTGTCGGCGACGATCTCCGCCCACGTCGCGTAATTGCTCACGCTGCAAGTCCGAAGCGGAGGCATGCGCAGGACGGCAGTGATAGCGTACAAGACGGCTAGCGCTGGAATGTTGGGGTAGCCTAACGTCGATACACATTGCCAGGTTACACCTCGAAAGCCAAGTCAAGTATTCCGTGTGGCCATGTTCGGTGTTAGGCGAGGGAGAGAGGACGACAACTAGAGTCGAAGTCATTGCACATCGCTGTTCCTCTCGCGTCTCAATGGTGCGCCTGTCTGGTCGAATCTATGGCAAGGAAGCCCGCGACGTGGGAGAGCATTCTTACCGGACTTGGTCATATCAATGTATATTAATATCTCAATCTCGCTGGCCTACCTGGTGCCCTTTTTGCTTCTCGTTAATTATGCCTCAATAAATATCGGCACTGGTAATTAGATAAGGAGCAAGGCGAAGGAATACCTCCCACGATATTAATATTAATAGTACGGGAGATTTTAGACAGCTTCATCCTGCGTAGGCTCCTCCTGAACTCCGACGGCGGCGGCGTCATCTTGTTCACGACCTTCAAAGATATTGTACTTCGCACTCTCGCAGAGATTCTTATGGTCCTCGAATCCCGCTGAGCGGACACGTCCACGATCTCTCTACGGGGTAGACGCCTATAATCGGTCGACCAGAGAAGCTGCTCAATGATGCACCAATTCGACTGGGCAGACGAGTCGGTTGAGAGTCGGAAGTGCCGCGAATCTTAATTTTCGAGATAAAACTGTGCCACTTCTGCCTCATCGTGCTCGCTCAGCCACTTCAATCCTTGCAGCCAGCTCTCGTTAACAAAGTCTTGCCGCATTTTTACATACGTCAACGAGCGGAACGCCAATGCTTCCTTAGAGAAGAAACCAGCTTCGGTAAGGAGGAAGGTCTGCTGTTTGTTAACGCCTTCGCGATCGTTTCTACCCCTTTCCCGTCCCACTGCCTCTACAACGCCGGCGAACCGCCGAGCGCGTAGCTGCCGCTCTCTCACGGCCGTGCACTCGTCCAGAACGCCAGGGACAGCGCAACTGGTGCCCATCAGAAACGGAATCCGGTAGAGGGCTGCGTCGGGCACCGCCACGACCGAGTCCCAATCAATGACGGCGAGAACGTTGAACTCCCGGTCGACGAGGACGTTGTTCGGGTTGAGATCGAAGTTGGCAAGGCCGAAACCATCGGCAGGGCCACCCTTCCCGGCTCGTACTGCAGGAGGCGGGAAGGACGCGGCGAGGGACCGGAAGGCTTCCACGAGCTCGTCCTGCCCATCGACCGGCAGACCGCCGTTTGCGAGACTCCTACCCAGTGCTAGCGGGTAGTCTGCGTAGAATGCGGCGGCAGATGCATACGGTCCTGAGCTTGTTCCGATCAGAGGTCCCACGACGAACGAGCCCTGGTCTGCCTGACCTAGAGTAACGGAGCCGATTTCCGGCAGCCGGATCGCGGCAAGCTTGATCATTATCTCGGCGATCTGGCGCCAGAACTTTTGCTCGAATTGCGTTGGTATGCCTTCATGGCCGCCAGGATACGTTCGAGATACTTCTTCTGCTGTGTTGCCGTCGATGTATTCCATGATGGAGAAGGGGCAGCCGACTGAGTTTCTGCCGTCCAGTTCGTAACCGTAGACTCGTGGAATCGGGATGTCTGTTTTCTGACTACGGAGAGTGTTAGTCCCGCGAGAAGACACACCCCTTCGTGCTTGCTTACCGCACAAACTCCATTGTGGCAAGCTCCGACTGCATCTCGAGGAGGGTCGCCTCGGGCCTGCTAGACTCGCCCTCCATTGGAGGCATCCTCAACCTCGCAATCCACTCGACACCGTCATCAAACCTGATCTTGCGCACGAGATTGTCCTGTCCCACGGAAAACTCGGGAGAAAGGGTGCATGGCTGATTCTGCCGAAGCTTCGAGGTATACGCTTTCAGAGCTTCTTGATTGACTATGTCACGGAATTGACAGATGCGCTCAGCGTGCTCGCCTTCGTACTCCTTGCCTCCCGTCCAGGCGTCACTTCCAACCGGAGCAAAACCATCCATAGTTTAGTTACGATAGTTCGGCTGCCGCCCGCACGCATTAGAAGCGCTGGTGTGCGGCTCATAACTCTCAGCGCATTGGAATGGCTAACAACGAGACTATGAGCACGCAAAAAACCAAGAAGAAAAACGTGCGTGGGCGCGGAGCAAATCAAAATGGCTTCTCTGCTGACAACGCCTCCACCAACGGGTCTGATAGCACGTTTAGTCATCGGATTGGTGGATATGGCAATTGATCCGACTTTGTATATTAAGTTGCCCCCTTTCTACCTCCTATAGAGATCCGTTATTTTACTTGTCTACTTATTTTTGGAACTTTTACCTACTCGATTGCTCTTTGATATATCTGGTTATACGTCGCCTCTAATGCACCGACACTCGAGAGTACAGAGACCCGGCCGGGGCAGGACGGGCCAGCCCGATGGCCCGTCGCCCTAATATCGACGGGAAGATTACCTATGTATAAAGAAACCACTGGCTATTCGTTTCCCATTCTAAAAAAGTAACGTAACCTCTATCACTGTGAAGATTAACCCGTCAACAGTCTCTTCCTCTGAGGATAGTTGCCTTTCAGCGGCCGTAATAGTTCGTTGGCAAATTAAGTCGTATATCCCCTGCTATCTTCAATAAGGGACATACATAGGTAATCCGTGGAGGTAGACGAGGCTGGGATCAGGCGGACGACAGGGTGTCAGGCGCTTATAGCAACCCCGGGACTGAGTTGTCGGATTCAAGGATGCGTACGGGGCTGGGTTCCACAGGAAATCCTTCTTGCGCCTCGTACGCTCTAGTTCGATCACCAGCAGTTGTGCTTCGAGTGCCCGAACAGCACCGTGGGTGAAGCAGGACTTAATATAGGGATAACAGAAATATATCGAAGCAAACGGCTCTCTCAGGCTAGTGTTCTTCCCGGCTGGAAAAGGCAGTCGATAGGCTCGTTCCGAGGATTGAACCTCCCGCTGACCGTGCTCCTCCCATGGCCTTCATTTATAAGCGTCCTCCCAGCAAGGGATTTTGTGGCCATGCGCCATAGGACCATTGTTCGCAAGCCCTTGACGATATAAGGCTGCTTAAACCCACATTGTTACGACATGCTCGTCAAATTTCCCTAAATGTGCAGCGTCTAGCTAGCGTTAGCGCGAACGTAAAGTACGCATATGTAGCAGGGGGGAGAGGGGGGGACCTTACCGACGACTTGATGAGGCCGGTACTAGGGACTGTCCTCTAAATCGCTATTTATTCTCGTATCGGGCTATGCCAGGTCTGTGGTAGAGAGGTCTCGGAGACGGGTACGGCCTAGCTGGGCCTCGAGGCCGCGTACTTCTTCTTATAGATTTGCTACGCTAGCCTCGAGCCTACCCAGGGCTCGGATATCCTGGGTGGTTATTGCCTCTTTGATCAGGCTATTTACCTCCTGACGCTGGGCTTTCGCGGTCGCCTCGCGTTGGTCGAGGAGGTAATGTCGTGGCTTGGCTCTGGACCCTGGCTTACTGGTAGTCTCCTTATCATTGTCGTCCGGTACGATGACCTTACCGGTTTGGAAAGGGTCTTCTGTAAAAACTCGGAGGACGGCCGGGGCCAGAGGTGCCCTGATTTGGGTGAAGCTATACTTAGGTGGTATGGCTCGTCGTCGTCGATAGTAGTACCTGATAATCCTAATCGCCTTATTCCAGGCTTCTGTAGGTAGCTCGAGGTAGCTCTTCTTACTTTCGAAGGATGCCTTAGGGTTAAGATGCTCTGGGTCAAACGTACTGAGGCTTTCTCTTTTCGACCTTTCGATGGAGATGTCGTGTAAAACGTAGACGCCTACATTTACGCTTTGCGGTATGTAGGCATATAAGGGCTGGTTCAACTGTTCAACTGCCACGTGACAGGAGATTATCAAGAATTACGCGTCCCGGCAGCTCGCCAAACCCGCGGATGTCCTGCCGGCGCTATCAGGGCTCGCGAACGGATTTCACGGAGCTCCGGGCGATACCTGCTAGCCGGGCTTTGGAAGGCCGGTTTAATACAGGGGCTATCCGGGACAGGGGTTTGCATTTCTGCGGCTAATCAAGTGGCGAGGCGCCCTTAGGGGGTGATGACACCTATATTTTCTACTGCTCGAGAGCGTCGGGGGGAACAACCGCTGGAGGCGGATATGACGCCTATCTTCTGTCTCTCGGTATGACGCGTCCGGGGACACCGCGAGCGCGATTAACTCACGGGTGGTTCTCGCCGATATCGAACCGGCTCTCGATAAGCAGGCGGCGAGACTTATCTGATGCCCTCGATCATTTATTTCAAGGTCAGCGACGGTATCCTGTAAACGCTTTGGTTGATTTTGCTCACGTCGACGCCCCTGCGTCCCGGGACAAAATGAGCGCCAGCACTCTGGAGATCCCTTTACGGCGTAGACATAGAAGCGGATTCGATCAAGAGGTGAGATTTTATCAGGGAAGTAGGTATTCTTGTACATCCTCCGAAGTCCAATATCCAGGATCGTTATTTAAGAGTGCGTATTGGTTACGACGGCAGCTCTACGCGCACCCCCGATGGGTAAGAGATACTTATGTCGACGTCAACAATAAGACGCGGGGTTCCGAGCGAAGCTGACCACCCCTTCAAGCTGACCGGTCCCACGTCAAGAAGCAACAGTCTCCGATCTTCGCATCGCATGGCTTATCCTGAGAACTCCCTCCGGCAGTTCTCCCCGTTATGACCAAAATCCTGCCTACGTTTCGCATGCCGGCAGAGCCAATCTCCGGTCGGACACTACAGCATCTCATATATAGCCATCATGAGCCTTATCTCTTGTCGCCATTTACCCATAACCGTGTTGATTATCGTTAAAGAATCCCTAGTCCCCTTGCTGCTCATCGTTCTATTATATCCGCCGTAGTCATATAATAACCCTGTATGGTATCGGGACATCCCCGGCCTGCATCCTCGCTATTCATATACATTGTATCCAGAAAATCGCCTCCCCTTGTTCCTTTGGCACCCCTCGTGTCCGAGACCGAACAGCCATGGCCGGCCACGTGTGAGCGCAACATATCCAATGCTCACCACGCGTCCAAAGATGCTTTTCTAACCTGTCCTTGCTCCTACTCCCAGGAACATGATGGATGACTGCTTGATATCGAACCGTTCGTCCAAGCAACACCGCGTGCAGCAGCTCTGCATCACCCCTAATTATTAGCGTTTCAGTGCCGCCGGTCACTCTCAAGTCCGCTCTCCGGCTCCTCGTCTCCCAGGGCGCCGCTACGCAGAAACCCTTCATCGAGCACGTCCAGGCTAGATTTCGGGAGAATCCACCTCGATTCAAAAATCCTGATGATCTCTTCGTGGCGGATGGCGTCGTCACCCAGACGTGCCTGGATTACCTTGCGCAGACGAGATGCGTATTCTCGTGCAAGCTAGCCAGAGAAGCGCTCCCTTAGTTAGTGAAATGGCCCTTGGCTGCTCCCCGACCCTATGCAGTAAAGAGAACTGTGCTCAGAAAATCGTCGTCGTCGCAGTCTCGGGCATTTCGTTATGGCTATCCCGCGAGCTCAGGTCACGGTGCGTAAATTCTCTAGTTAGCCAACCAACGTCTGCCACCCGTCATCCTTCGCCTCCTCGCTTAGGCTCCCTCGCACCCCTTACGCACGTACATCCTGCGGGCACTCACCCACGGCGCTTCAGTGGTCCGAGAACAGCGAGCTCGCGGCGGTCCTCGCGACGTTCGACGGCGACCTAGTGCAGGCGATCCAGGCGCTCAAAGAATCGCGGCCCTCGCCGGGCCCGGAGCTCCTGCGCTCGCTGACCAGCCTCCTCTACAGCCTAGAGGTCTGCGCGGTGTACTGCGCGGCCATCGCGCCACAAGACAGCCGGCGGCCCGCGCTACCGTTCCCCTTCGCGCGCGGCCGGCGGCAGGTCCGCGACATCTTGGAGATGCTATCCCCGGGCCGCGACAGCGCCCCGCTGGCGCACGAGCCGGACGCGCCGGCCGCGCGCGCCGCCGAGAGCGCGCCGCCGGCGCTCGAGACGTTTCGCCTGGGCCGGCTCGACGCGCCGCGGCTCTTCACCGGGCTGTGGCAGGTGTCGTCGCCGCTGTGGGGCGCGGCCAGCGCGCGGGACCAGGAGGCGGCGCTGGCGCGCGCGGCCGCCGCCGGGTTCGCCGCCGCCGATATGGCGGACCACTACGTACGTGTCGCTCACGCGCGCAGGCGGGCGAACGGGCGGAATCTAACGCGCGGGGGGCTCGTCTAGGGCGACGCGGAGCTGATGTACGGCGAGTTCAGGCGCAAGCTCGCGCCCGAAGACCGGAGCAGGACGCTCGCGGCGACGAAATGGGCAAGCATCCCCCTCCTCTTCACTCCTCATTCTCGGGGCAGGGCTGCGAGTCGTAGTGTCTGCGGCGGCAGGCTCGGCTATCCTGGGCCAGGATACCCCTACGACTCCCTCAGACTACGAGGCGCTGATTCTCGCCCGCTCTAGTGCGTCTTCTCACCGCTCCCCGGGCCCGTGACCCCGGCCTACGTTCTCGCCGCCGTGAGCGAGCGGTCGCGCCGCCTGGGATGCGGACGCATCGAGCTGCTCCAGTTCCATTGGTACAATGTACGCGCCCCTCCCCATTCGCGGCCTCCTTCCCAGCGAGGATGTTTCTCGCCTTGCCACGGCCACGGCGCTCACCTAACGTCTAGTACGCGGACGAGACGTACCTCGAGGTGCTAGTGGAGCTGGTGCGTCTGGCGAGGGCGCAGCCAGCGCTCGTCGCTGAGATCGGCCTGTGCAACTTCGACTCGGCGCACGTCGAGGCCGCGTGCGAGCACCTCCTCGCGGCGACGGGCGAGGTCGGCATCGTGTCGAACCAGGTGCAGGTGAGCCCCTTGCACGCCCCCCTCCCTCCCCGCTGCCTGCCCTAACCCGCACGCATCCAGTTCTCCCTGATCGACGCGCGCCCGCTGCAGAAGATGGTCCGCGTGTGCGAGAAGTACGGGTTGAAGCTCCTCACGTACGGCTCGCTCGTAAGCGCCTCCCCGGCTCCGTTTTCTCTTCTTCAATCCTCAGTAACTACCCGTCACGTTACTAACTCGTATAGTGCGGCGGCTTCCTCTCCGACCGCTGGCTCGGCCAGCCCGCGCCGGAGCCCTACCGGGAGTCGGAGCCGCTGACGCCCTCGCAGCGCAAGGCATGTCCCCCTTTTCTCCCTCGTCTTTCTCACACGCCCCCGTTAACTCTCCTTCCCGCCCGCAGTACCTCGACGCGATCCTCGCCTGGGGGGGCTGGCCGGCGTTCCAGGCACTGCTGGCGCAGCTCGCGGCCATCGCGCGGCGGCGCGCGGCGCCGCTGGCCGCTGTGTCCCTCGCTTGGGTCCTGCGGCAGCCCGCGGTGGGCGCGGCGGTCGTCGGCGGCGTGCGGCAGGCCTCGCGGCAGAGCGAGTATCTCGACGCTGGCCGCCGCGCCGTCGCGCTCGCCCGCGAGCTCGCGCCCGACGAGATCCGCGCCCTCGACCGGCTCGCGCTGGACGCGGGCCCCGGGGACGGGGACGACGGCAAGGGCGCCCGGGCCGCGGCGTTTTACGCCCGCATGGGCGACTGCGGGAGCGAGTACCGCGCGCTGTGAGAGCGGGGGCGGCGGTGCGGCGAGGAGGGGGTGGATGTGGTAGGTGGTAGGTAGGTGGAGGCGTGGTGCGGCACGGTGTAGCTGGATACGCTCGGGTTCGGGACATAGATACACGGCAATGTAAACCGGCAGGCCTGCACGCACGAAATGCCGCTCACTCGGTCCAGTGCCGCGGAGATTACGCCATCCGGGCCGACTCTCGTTGCCTGCGCGTATTCGCAACTTAGCGTGCCGGGCGCTGCGGGATCCGGGCCCGGGTCCGTGGGTTCGGAAATCGGGCCTGGTCTCCTTAATTCGCGATCGCTATGCTCTCTAGCAGGGATCAGGGGTTCTCCCTCTCCCGCCCCGTTCCCACCCTCCTCTCTTTTTATCTTCGCACGTACGTTAAGATAGATAGATGGATGGATGGATGACAGCAAGGGACGGACCCTTCCCGCTCGGGCGGTAGTCTGTATCCATAGTCCCTGCGCCAGGGTGCGTGTATGTGCCCATGCAACGTTTGACAGGCGATGGGGTCGTCCGCTATGGCCCTTCCTTACGGACTAGAGCAACGCGTCAGGACATGTCTGTGTATATGCTCTGTATATATATATATATTAGTATTGGGCCCAGCACCGAGAAAAATATCGATCGATTAACTCACACGCCGTCTCTATGTGTCTGCACATAGACAATTGCGGGGCCGGTGGAGGAATACATTCACACATACCGTATCCCTTGCCTGTCCTCCCGCGTCGGACACGGACTCAAGTCTCGTTCCGCGCGTCTGGTTCGCTGCCGTAGGCACATCACGCAGTTAGACTGACGCGTGTGACAGAACCTCAGCGAGATGCTCGTCCGTCGAGCGATAGCGAGGCAGAGGGGAGGAAAGGGGGGCGTAGGGGGTTTGCAAAGAGCTGTAGCAATATCTTGATCTATTAACACATAAACAAACGGAGCGCGCAAGGCAAAGCAGCGGTATACCGTCTCGTACGCCCGGGGGAGCGTCGAATTTGGGATTGGAGTTTCGATACGTACAGGCCCGTCTCGGGGATGAATTCATACTCGCCCTCGCACGCATACACACATACACAAATGCTGTAAAAAGACACGTCTCGTCTGGTTTGGCCTTGCCCTCTCTCCCCCTCTCCCTTCTCTTCTTGCTTTTTCTTGTAAAAACGCCCGTGTATAAAGGAACCGAGAAGGGAAAATAAATGAATAATCGCCGACCCTGTAGAAAATTTGGTTGCATTTTTCGGTTGGTTTTCTTTTGTCCCTAGCCTCTTCCCGTCTGGTTGCTCTATCAGTCCATATACATCGGCTCGGTCACGCCCTGTACGACCGCGGCCCCGTAATCGCCGTTATTCATCATCGCGTGCCCGTGAGCGTGCATTCGTGCCGGCATCGAGGTCGCGGCGACGTTGACGTTGTTCATGTTCTGCATCGTCTGTCGTACGTCGACGATGCCCCCTCGGCCCGGTGCCGCGCCGTTCATTGCGAACCGCGCGTTTTGCATCTGCTGTTCGCGGCCCCGCGTCCGCGGCATCTCGAGCTGCTGCTGCTGAAGGGTCTGATGCTGCTGTTGCGTCGGCAGCGGCTTCGTGATGATGGGCGTGATAGGTGTGAAGCTTTCGTCGTCCTCCATCTCCGCATCGGCATCTTGATCACTGTTGTCCTCCGTCTCGATAGATGCGCTAGGCGCCGTGACCACCGTCGTCACGGGCTGAATGTCGGTCTGCTGGATGGTTGTCGGCGTGGGGACGGATCGCTGCGGTTGCGGTGGTTGTTGTTGCGGGTTTGCTGCGGCGGGTTGAGACGGAGGAGCTGGTGTAGGGTTAGAGGTGGTGCTCGTCGGAGTGGGCGTTGCTTGCTCGAGCGACCGCTGTCCAGCCATACCGACTCCCCTCGTCGAGACGATGACAGACTTCCACCGGTCAATAGCGCGAGAAACTACAGTGTCGAGGTCTACATGGCGATCTTCGGTGTGAAGGCCAACCCCCTGACGACCCTTATAACCCATGTCTAACAAGTACGAGAGCAGTGACTGCTCTATGGGGAACGTCGTTGGGGTGACTATCCTAAATTCCCTCGGCTGCTGCAGACGATTAAGCTGGTCAATCTGGGTCTTGAGGTTCGCATTTTCTTGTTTGAGTAGATGCTGGCTTTCTTTCAGCTTCTCCACATCCTTCTGCTTCCTCCCCACGCTCCTCGCCAGCTCGAGGCCCCAGAGTTCCGTTTTCCTCTGCGCAGGGAGTTGCTCCCAGACGTTGTAGGCCGACTGTAGATGTTCGCGGACCTGCGCCTCGAGCGCAGCCGCTGCCCCTTCCGCCTTCTTCACGCTCTCGCGCACATCCCGAGGGGCGTGGTTCTCCGAGGGCGGGAACGTCAGATCTTCGCTTGACGCCGTCGTTGCCATAGAGCACGTCACCCTCCATCTCCTGAACTCTTCCTGGAAGTATGTCTGTAGGGCGTCGAACTGCTTCTTCGCCGGGGGTTGTATAGACCACGAAGTCGGCGTCGGATGCGGTGTGGAGGAGAAGAGCGTAGGCGGGGCCTGCAGGCACTGCAGGGTGAGGGCGGGAAAGTCGAGAGAGAGGGGATCGAAGTCGAAGGGGAGAGAATCCATGTCGATTTGTTGCCTAATCAATCAACGTGTCCGTTAGCACCGACAAGACGAGGGCGGCTAGATTCGGGTGACGGTGAAGGCCTTACTTGGCAGCTCGCCACGAGCTGAGCAGTTCCCGGAGAGCCAATTCGGCAGCCCTCGCCGTGTCCATAGCATCGACAAGCTTCTGCCTCGCATCCAATTGGGATTTTTGGACGGTCCTGCTCGGTGCACGCTGCAGCCCAGGCCGCCGGGACAAGTCCTGGCCGGCGCCCTCGTCGAAGCTACTCTTCAATTCCCCATTCCTCGTAGGTATATCGTTGATCACACCGGTGCTCTCCCACGTCGGCTGGAAGGGATACTTAGCCGTCTGCTTATCGACGACGAACTGGCCATCCTTCGGCATCGCGGAGGGCTTTACGCCGCCGGAGTCGGTGCCGGGGCTCCTTCTCGAAGACGCCGTCGGTGTGCCCGGGGCGGAGCCGTTCTTCTGGTGAGCGAGGGAGCCTCTCGGCTGCCTACGGGTGATGCTCCCTCGCATCTTCCGAATGGCGTCGACGTCGTGGATGCCATCGGGCGGCTTGGGGTTCTTCTCTTTGATGTAGAGATCCAGATGTCGGCCGAGGGAAGAGGAGGTAAACGCCTGGCCGCAGTAGGGGCAGTTCCTGTCTTTCGGCGCGCTGGCCTTGTGGGCGCCCGGCGACTCGGCGCCCACGGTGGGATTAGGCCCTTCGGACATGGCGCGGGGGGAGGCTCGCAGGGAGATTGGGCCGGGACGAGGTGATGGGACGGTTGCTATCTTAATCGGCGGCGGGCAACGAACAGACGCGAGGCAGGACGGGATGGCGAATTAAGGCTGTATAGGGGGGGAGAGGGAGAGGGGAGAGAAACAACCGGTATATCATCAGCGAGCGCCCCCAAGGAGCATCCCCATTCAGATCTCATCCAGGAAGGAGGCGCCGGAAAGGGATGCTGGCAAGGAGTGGAGAGCGAAACAATGGCTGGGTCATCTACGTCGGAGGGTTTCCTGGGCGAAGAGAAGAAGAGGGATTCGCAGCGGGTTTTCCTCACGAGCGTGGTGTATACATATTTGTTTCTCTCTCGACCTTCCGGACGACATGTTTTTTTTCTGGGGGGGGATTTTCGCTTTTAGGGGGTCAGGGGTAGGTCACTTTTTTTTTTACGACGGACAGGTACCTCTGTACCGCCCAGACAGCCCGTACCTCCGTAGAGTACACACGCCTTAGCGCCGAACTGAGCCCCGGCACAACGTTGGTGAACTCTGGAGGATCTTGGTAAGGGTGGTTCAAGATTGTCGGTGGCTCAAGATAGTCGGCGAGGTACCAGCTCGCGGTCGGTGATCAGTACGCTGCGTACCCGTCGCCGTCGCTGCGCTGTACTGGTCTCCGCGAGCACACGCCGCGAGACTCTCGCCGCCGCCACGCCCCGGGTACCTTCTGGGTGCTCTGTAGGTACGCGACTTGGCCCACCCCGGATACCTACCTAGGTAGCCTGCTATCTCGTACCCATGACGCCCTCCCTTTCCTTGACCCAACGTATGTCGCACTGTACCCCAGAGGCCAGCGGAAACACGGCCTACCTCAGGTGCTTGTCGCTTCTCAACTACAGGTAGGTACCTATGCAGCTGCATTTGGCGGATAATTCCAGGCAGAGGTACATGGGCGTATACCTGTCTGGCCCTGGTGCCGCCGTACTCAGGCACTCGTACACAGTACACGGGCAGGGGAGGGCAGCTATACACCTACCTACCATCCATTCAAAGCTGTGCCCCGTCCGCGCGCGGCAGTGGGAGAGGAGCCTCCCTTCTGGAATCGACGACTTGGGAGTTCAGCCGGGTCGGAAACGGTGGACACCGCTGTGGCTTGGGGGTCTCAGACGGGTACATACACACGGCGAGCTATACACACCTACCTGTACATATACACACAGTACTATCCGTCGCGGTTCTGTTCCTCTTCTGGCTGGCTGCCTATTCGGTATGTGCCATACTCGTAAGCCTGGGCATATTATCCAGCGAGAGGGAATGCGGCAGGCTGGCAGATTGCGTAGGGTCGGTGGTAGGGAAGACAGGTAGGGACAGGTACCTAATGTACGGAATGTTATAGGTCATATGCGTATGATGTATGGTATTTCCTGGACTCATTACAGATTACAGCAGGCCAGGGTGCCGGGGCGGGTGGTATTCCGTATTCCGCAATCTGTGGCTATTCTATTCGGAGACGATATATGCAAACTAATAGGGACGACAATAATCAACAAGCCTCCCCGAGTCGCTCCCCGAGTCGCTCCCCTCCCCAGTTCGGCCAGCCTTTCATATTCCTGGCATGCCCGTGCATGGGAACGCGCATAACTGGATGCAGACAGGCGGTAGCGCACCTCCTGGACCGAGCGTCGACGGATGTGGATGGCGATGCTACCCAAGTAGGCCACTTTCTAGGGAGGCAGCATCGCGGCCGGGCAGGCGTTCAGACCCAGTACCGGATGCTCCGCCGTCTTGTCTTGTCTAGATTCGACGAAGAACATTCTCGTCCGCGTCTACCCGTCTGTCTATCTACCTACCTACGGCTTGGCTGGCTGGCTGGATCGACGGATGGATGGATGGATGGATGCAGTACTCATACCATTACCGCCCTACCTACCACCTACCTACCTATTATGAGTAGTTATTTACGTAGGTATGTATGTGCATCTCCCTGCTCCTCCGTCGACTTGGTCGAATCCATCCATCCAAACCAGCCAACCAACCAACCAACCATGCCTTACCTATCTCACTACCTGCACACAGGGCTTCCCTCGCCCCCCGTTTCCTGGCTGGCGGGTTCCCAACGCACCGGGCAGTATTCCTACTGTATATCCAATTTTATACACGTAAATCTCTACCAAATCCCTACCAAGTAAGTCACCCTAGGATATTGTGTGTATACCTAGGTACCTACCTACGTAGGAACGCTCGTAGCAGGTGTACCGTAGGTCGGGGGCATATTAAATAGAGCGATTGACATAGGCAGCTCGTCTAGTCGCGAGATCCCACCATCTGATAGGTTGTTCGTGCCGCATATAGCACGCGATGCTTGTCGGCCGGGAGAATCGAATAGGCTAGTAAAAAAAAGGGAGAAGGATGATGCTGCTGCTACTGCTACAAATCAGGCATGCCTTGCGAATCACCTCTAGGACGTGTTGTCATTCTCCCGGATCGCGCGGCGCAAGGAGGGTAATTTGGTTTAGGTTCCCATCCCATGCTCACCGAGTTACTCGGGATGTCTGGGAAATAGGTGTACAGGCTGGGTGCCTAAGGTAAGAGGTAGATAATTACTAGGTAGGATGTCCTATATGCATAGACCTATAGAAAGGCCGATCACAGCGTGGGTGCAATCGTATGTCATTATATAGGTACGTTAATAGATGTTATTCATGTTAGTTATTGTTTTTCTACATTGCGCCCCTACAGTCATCATATCACACTTACAACCATCACTAGCACTACGAACCTCCCAAGCTATATTACGAGTATATACAAGAGTAGACCCGCAGCAGCCATATGGGCTGAGGACCCTGTCAGACTTGGGTGTTCTGTCGTATTTGATGTACCCATGAATTACTTACGCAATGCGATATCCTAGAGGGATCTAGCATAGATGCATGTCTGAGGAAATGGGTATGTATTTAAAGGACTATCTATGTATACGTTCACTATAGTACGGGAGCGTCTCCACCTCTAAGGAGTGTGCGTAATGGCGGTTCACTTTCGTGGCCTCGCTGCCTTAATTATCAGGCATGCGAGACGTGTTGAAAGCTGAACCTACCTTTGATCAATTGAAGGTGTAAAAACTGAACTGCTAAAAGGGCTTAAATACAGCGTTTTACGAACAGTTAGCTGTTGCGCGTTTTCTTCAATCCGACCAATCACAGGCCTCCATTCTGGATGCCTGGATGCCTTAGGTGCCCAGGAGCTCGGACAAGAAAAAAGGTCAAAACATGCATAAAGAGTTCTATGTATGTATCGGGTTACCGTCCGACGCCCCATTTTCTGCTTAGGTAGAGGCGATCGCGAACAAACAATCAATCCATTTTCATTGCTTCTCGCAACTTATCTCATAACGTCGCCTCTCAACCTTTGCGCCTTCATCCCTCACAATTCCTCAGCAATAGAGATCGTCTTTTCATTCTATCCACGCACGCGTTTCGACGCGCCCAGAGCTCAGAATGCCACCTGGTATGTTACCATCTCTGCCTGGATTATTTATTTTACCTCCAGAGTCTGTCCACCACCCATTATGCCCACCCTCATACTTCAGCTCTCCCATTCTTCTCCCATCTCCTGCCTCCGGCCCCCCTCCATTCCGGTTGATGCGAAAGCAAGCTCAAGGTCTTCGAAAGCTATAATTAACAATACCCTACACAGCTATCAGCGACGATGACGCCTCTGACTTCGCCGACGCGCCTACATCCGCGACCCGCAAGCACTCCAAAAAACCATCACCCAACACCAAGGATACGGGCGCGGACGATGATGGCGATGAAGAGATGCTGGATGTCGTAAAGGGCGACATCAAGAATGGCAATGGCACCAGTCGCAATGGGAAAAAGAAGGAAGAGAAGGAAGAGGACGATGGTGAGGATGAGGATGAGGAAAATGATGAAAACGAGGACCAAGACGAGGACCTTGAGGAGGATGAGTAAGTATTTCGCCCACGTAATCTGAGCCGGGTAGCACAACGAAATATGCCAATCAGACTAACGAGCGGGATCCAGGTATATCGTTGAGAAGATCCTCGCCCACGTCGTCGAGAATGGCGTAAGTGGAGCAAATCTGCTGCTTGTTGATGATGACTTACGAACTCGTTCTGCAGGACCACTTGAAGTTCAAGGTCAAGTGGGAAGGCTACGAGAAGAAATCGGATCAGACGTGGGAGGATGAGGAGAACATCAGGTAAATGCAGCAGTCCCCACAACAAGCACAACTGGCTGTTCACCTTGTCTGACGGAGGCCTCGGTCAGGGAAAACGCGTCCGATATCCTCGACATCTACCTGGCTAAGGTCGGCGGACGAGACAAGATCATCGAGGAGGCGAATGCAGCCCTGAAGACCAAGAAGCGCGGGCGACCTGCCGGCGCCTCCACTAACGGCACGAAGCGGCGACGTAACGGAAGCCACCCGGATTCGGCTACGCCACCCACGACCGGCCGGTCGTGGCACCCGCCGGTGGGCTCTTGGGAAGATGAAGTCGAGTCCATCGATGCCTGCCACGACGAGAACACGGGCAAGCTGATCGTGTACCTGACGTGGAAGAACGGCCACAAGACTCAGCACGACACCAAGGTCATCTACCAACGCTGTCCACAAAAGGTGCGTCGACAAGGCCTTGGACGAAGCCTACCGATGTCTGACATGAGCTAACGCGTGCGGCAGATGCTCCAATTCTACGAACGCCACGTTAAAATTGTCTCGTCGGCGGCGCGGGACGGCGCAACGAAGGAGGAATCGTAGTCACGTGTAGTATTATCGCACGAGACTTGGGCTAGGCACCCGCTCTGGAGAAAGGGATCGCCAGCCTGGGTCTTCGCGCACTTTGTTTTTTAGGGGAGTTCAAGGACACGCGACGGATAGTGGTCGGGCAAGCCCAGACACGGCTATCAATCGTGCGACCACTATGCCTAAAGGATATCTCAGCCTCGGGCCGTCCCCCGGGAAGACGCGACCTCCCATCGCCACCAGGTCCTCGGTAGCCTCTACGGGGGTCCCGACTGGTTAGGCTACGGAGGCCGTCTCTTCCGAATGTATTGTTGTTTTCTACCCAATAATGGAGGTTGTTTCGGAAGAGTTATTGTTTCGTCGATTCAGTGTTAGAGCCTCGCTTACTCGCCAAGGTATAGAGGCAATGAACCAACTGATAACCCTTGGGAATGTGACGCCACCGTAGGTGCTCTATGAACGCGATGTCGAAGTCTTCGAGCCTGACCCAGCAGGGCCCAGGGGTTTGAGCGTGGTGAGAGGCAAGGCATTGTATCGTAGGCAGGCAGCTAATGGAACGAATCCGACGGGATATGTCTGAGGTCCCTGGGACGCCTGTGCATAGTACATCATAACGTACCTAGAGGTATCCAGGTACTCCTTTAGGGGCCTCGCGGTCAGCCAGCGGCGACAGGAGACGGGGCTGCCAGTCTGGCGTGGATGCGCCACGCTACGTACCGCGCTACGTAGAATGGGTAGAATCGGGGGCTGGGGAATACCAGGTACCCCAAGTACCTAGAGGTACCTATCCTACCTCCACTGCGCAGCAAGTTCGCATGTATGTACACACCAATTGTACACGCAAACTGTACATACCCGCTGTACATGCCCCTTGTACAGCGGTACGGAGGCGTGTGTACACGCTACCTGGTGGGTACGTGCCTGTCTGACGACGGGACCCGCCCGATGCTGGGCTGTTCGGTACGAGTGGGCCCCCCCTTGGATGTTCCGAGAACGTACCAACCACCGCGTAAGGTACGGAGAGTGGAGGGTGCCTCCTGGGCCAGTACCCGGTCTTTACCGCCTCCCTAGGTACCGACGTATCACGCTACGCCCACCTCAGGCTAGCGTGATAACACCCCGGTAAGCTCTTAGTCCCCCGATAAGCCAAAAAGCAGAACGGAAAAAAAAAAGAGAGAAGGAAAAGAAGAAGGAAACGACGGCAAGCGCCCCACATAAGCAGCTCCTTGCCGGCCTTGCGCTTTTTGCACCCAGCCTCGCTATTTACTTGCGCCAGAGATGGCGGGGCAACCACTATTTGTACCTTTCCCGCCTCCACGAGCCACGTCCCACGATGCCCCGACCCTTTGTATCTCTCCTGCTCGCTCCCCATCTGATCTGATCTGTCCGCGTCCTCTGAGATACCTGACTCGCCCGTCCTCGCTTTTCATCGTTATCACCGTCACCGCTGCGTGCCCAATCCCCAGTCCTCGAAGGGATCTCGACGCTGCTTTGCTTCTGCTCTAGCTCCACCATACGCTGATCAGGTCGACGCCGGACGACCTTATCCGTTTGACTTACACCACTCAAGATCATCTCACTTACCACACACACACACACACTCTCTCTCTCTCTCTATCCGCTGTGTGTCTCGTTCAAATTCGGTAAGTACCTCCTAAGCATCAACCCCTCCATTCCCCCAGCCATACCTAGAAACCCTCACATTCCTCCGCCCGACAAGCCAGCCCAGAGCTCTAACTAACCGCCGTCCAGGCCTTCGACCAGCTAGCCCGCTGCCTTACTCGGCCGCTCTCTCTCTCTCCGCCTCGCCTGGAGAACTCGGCCATCTCCGTTCCAACGCACGCACACACACCCCCACGTTCAGACCGGGCAAGAAAGAAGACACCGAGAGGGTCCTCGCTACCTGACGACGGGAACCAAAAAGAAAACAAACCAAAAGAAAGAGAAAAAAAATAAGACCGCAGTCATGGCCAAGGAAAACGACGTCATCGCCATCATCATCATCGTGCTCTTCATCGTGCTGGCCCTCATCGCCTTCGGCATCTACCGCCTCGTGCACCTCGCCCGCACCCAGGCCTCCATCTCCGAGTCCAGCTCGGGGTCCAGCGGCATCGCGGACTAGCGAGCGCCGCGGCGCCGCCCACCTCCTCTCACCCCAACCGCTTTCCTCGCGTCTCCCCTCGCCCCGTCCCCCACCGATCATCGTGCGGGCGGAGCGGAGGAAGGCGGGGAGGGGGGGAAAGGGGAAAGGGGAGAGGAGCGCCCGCGCCCGACGTGCTACCAAAGTGTGCGGCGCGCGCTCGAGCGTTCACTTCTTCTTCCCCCTCTTACATGCGTTGGCTTGTAGAACTCTTTGCGCGTTTTTCCTACTTACTCCCTCCTTGGGGGAACAGCGACGCGGCGACATGCCACCGCGCTGAGACAGCACGTGGGGCGGCGCGCCCCGTCGCCTCCTCCCCTCCTCGTCCGGGCCGTCGATCGCGCGTGGCTTGCGCCGCGGCGCCCGTCCCCGCGCGGTGCCGCCACGCCTCGGCCCGCGCCCATCGGAGGCGGTCAGTCCCGGGTGGCGAAGACGGCGTAATATGTCCCCCGCGTCCGACCTGGGCGGCAGCAAACGGCATTTTCACGTATACATAGTTTTTTGGTTTGGTTTTCTCGCAGTGTCGATTTCTTTTTTTGCAAGCCTCCTCGCCAGCCCCGTCTACCTATCCCCAGACACGGCGTACTTGTTGTACATGTATATACCTATATAGAAAAAGAGAAGCGACGAAGGGCGGCGGGCTCAGCATCATGTTGGATTGGGAAGGGCGGGGGAGGGATACACCGGCGCACGGCATCATCGTCCATGTTAGCCCCGTCTATTGCTCGCCGGTAGACGGCGGCATTTCGAATTTGGGTTTCCGGGCTTTTTTTGGGTACTTCATCCCTTTTTTTTCCTGTTCTCTTGCCCGAGATGAAGATATGTACGGGCGCGGACCCGGACTGACCGACACGCGTGGTTGCGAAAAAAAGGGGGGACAAAGGAAGGAAAGCACGCGAATGTCTTGTCTGTCACGTATGCATGTATGTATGTATGGAATGAAGGGACGCGGGATCCGGACGCACGAGCGACGACGACGGGATAATGCGGCATGAGAGAAGACTGCGAGGAGCAGAGAACGAGGCGTACATAGCGAACTGCGCCGCAGACGGCGCGAGAGAACTGCCCCATCGAAGATAATAGAGTAAATATGTCATGAGCATGCTCGGCGATTAGTGACCAACCAGTGAGAACGCGAGCGTATGTACCTACGTATGGCTTCCGGCGTAAGGGCGTCTCAGCCCGCCTGGGAATATCGAAAGTGCCGAAGAGAACCTAGGTCGGACTAGTCCTGGTTTTCTCGATCCGCGATGGGTAAGTAAGAATGCCGGCAGCTTCGTTTGGCTTCCGGGACGAGTGCAAGCAAGGCCTTCACGTGCTCGGTGGCAGGCCGGGCAACTGTACGCGTGGCGGTCAATGTATCTATCCAGCCAAGCCCGGTGTCATCTACGTAACATCAACCTTCTGCCCCTGACATGTATACACCGCTGCCGCCTATCTCTGACTTACCACAGCTTCCACAAGCAATCTTGACGGACAGCTCACGAGGGACGCTTATATAGGAACGTATCCAGATATACCTGTCCCATAAAACCCACTCTCTCCCGCCGCCGTCCTCCTCGGCCGGTGCCGACCCGGCAACCCCCGACCAACCCGGTCACCTGGCGAGCGTCACAGGAAGTTCCGAAACCCGTAGCCGTCGTTCTCGACGCCGACGCCGGCGGCAGCCCTCGGATCGACGGCGCCGGCCGCGCGGGCAGCAGCGTCGCGGGCCTCGAAGCGGCGGTTCTCGCGGGCGAGGAGGGCGCGGAGGGCGAGGGCGAGGAGGGCGTTGAAGAACATGAAGGCGGCGCAGACGGCCATGCCGGGGACGTAGTAGGGGCGGTCGCGGGTGGGGAAGAGGCGGGTGCCGAGGAGGGGTCCGCACTGGCCGACGAAGTTGAGCAGGGCGACGCCGGCGCCGCGGCGCGCGTCGGAGCCTTGGTTGTTGAGCGTCCAGGGCAGGACGTTGGCGATGGCCGGGAACACGCCGGCCGCCGCGAGGAACACGCCGGCCGCCGCGAGGAACACGCCCGCGTACCGCGGCCCCACCCCCGCGCACGTCGCCAGCAGCACGTACCCGACGCCCGCGACCGCCGAGAGCCCCGCGATCATCAGCCCCCGCTGCCGCGTCCGGTCCGCCACCCACGTCGTCCCCAGGCACACCAGGAACGACAGGAAGTACGGCGGCGCGCTGAGCCCCTGCGAGTTGATCGCCGTGAACCCCATGCTCTGGATGATGGACGGCAGGAATACCGGCAGGCTGCTAAAGGAGACTTCGTAGGGTTCGAGGTAGCTGTCAGCTCGTGGTGGTTCCGAGGGGGAAGGGAGAGAGAGGGTTGCACTGTAGAGAGAGGTAGATAGATTCAAATAACACTCACCGTTGCAGCTAAAATACACTGTATATGCACCCCGATTAGCCACGTCTGATCCCCGAAAAGAAGTTAAGGAGGTTGTAAACTCGGACTTTGGAGGGGAAGTAATCAGGCGAGTTTACTCACTCAAGGGCGGGATCCAAGTCTTCAAGTCAGCTAGCGCGGCAAAGACATCCCTGACGTCGACATGGCCGACGCGCTGCGTACCCTCGGTGCCGGTCTGCTGGATAGCGCGGAGTCTGGCGACCTGGCGCTCGTCGTCGGTGAGGAAGCGGGCGGTGTCGGGGGCGTCGGGCATGTAGCGCCAGGCGACGAAGGCGAGCAGCACCGACGGGAGGCCCTCGACGAGGAAGAGGAGCCGCCAGTTGGCGAGGCGTGCGGGGCGGCCCGAGGTGATGCCGTAGGCGAGCGCGCCAGCGAAGGTGGTGGCCAGCGGCGCGGCCGACACGAAGAGGCCGCACCGGAAGCCCAGCTCGTGCCGCTTATAGAAGAAGGATAACAGGTACGGCACGCCCGGCCCGAAGCCCGCCTCGGCCATCGCCAGGAAGAAGCGGCACACCATCAGGCCCTCCCAGTTGAAGGCCGCGGCCTGGAGGGTCGCGGCAAGACCCCTGGGGAAGAAGCGCCGCCGAGTCAGTAATGGATACGCGGGCTCGTTTGGGTCGGGACGCCTCACCATACTATCACACAGCTAAATGCCCAGACTGCAAGCTGTTAGCAATGGTACGCACTGCATGGGTATACCCAGATCGTTGCGAGGCAGGTCAAGCCATGGCACCCAGCTCAGAGGCCGACCCCAACACAGCTTCTACCACGTCGAGTATAGACACACACCCACGCGGCGCCGTAGAGGCGAACGGAGGTGAAACGGAGTGTGCTGCTCGAAGAGACTACTACGTACTGTGACTGTCCAAAACTATCAGTCAGCGACATCCGGTACGGCCGTGGGCGGATACGACTCACGGGGGCACGGCTTTCCACATCAAGGCCGTCCATTCGAAGAGGACTACGCAGCCAGCCAGTTAGCAGTCGCCGATTCAGGGAGCGCCCGCGTCCCGGCGGGGGGCCCTTTGTTGGGGGCTTACTGTATGGGATGTAGAAGATAGTCAACAGCCACTATGCCGCCCGCCGTCTCGTCAATGCAATGCTACGCGTCTCCGGAAGAGGGGGAGGGGGGGAGATATACCTGGTAATGGGGGTCATCGAAACCAAGGTCATTACTCCTACAGATGGTTTGCTGGTTAGCATGGTAATTTTCTTTTCTTCTTCTTTTCTTTTCTTTTTTTATTTGTGTTTCAAGCCTCTGTCTTTGCCTTCCGAGAAACATCGTCTTCGGTGAGCATCGTGCTGAGGACGCCACTCGGATTTCGGCCGGTGCCAGAGGAGCCTCTGATTAGAGGGACGAGGAGCCACCGTAGAACAAGAGTCGCGAAAGAGCAACCCACGTACATGCCGGCTGTCTCAGCGTTGCCGATATTGGAGCGGTCTAGAAAGGCGACCAGGTCTGGTGACGGCGGGTTAGCGAGGAGCAAAGACCGAAGGGGGCGCGAAGGCCGAAGGGGGGAAGGGGACGCGCAAGAGGTTAGCTGGGCGTGGTGCGGGCGCTCACAAAGGACCATGACCAAGGGCACCAGGTTACGGTCGATTTTGCGCCTCACTCGCCTCTCGAGGTCTGGATCGATATAGAGCGGGTCGCTACTGTCGAGGCCCGGGGACTTCTCGTCCAAGCTCGCGACGGCCGCCTCACCTGGGCCTCCGAGCTTTTCCTGCACGGCTTCCTTGGCGCCAGCGCCGGATATGTCCATGTTGGAGTAGATGGCTCGACTCCGAGAGGGTGCGGGTCTCTCCTGGCTGGGAGGGGCGGGGAGACGGAGAGGCGTCGAGGCGCTCTCCCGCCGACTGTTGGTGCTGGCTGGTATGACGGTAGACGGCCGCGGGGTAGGAGAGAACAAAGAGTAAGGGTTTTTGCTTTATCGGATTGGTTGTGAAAATACGACGACCTTCGGACAGGAGTATTTATATATATTTACGCCAGTCGATAGGCCGGAACTGGGTGGTATATCATCGGCAGGCAAGGCCGGGCTGGGCGGTCGATAGCTGTCCTATATTCGGCACGATGCTACGATTCTCGAGTCTCGTGAGCAAAAGAGGAGACTGACAAGGGGAAGGCTTAGAGAATACTAGCGCTGAGTAGGTGAGTAGGTGATAGGTTCTAGCATAGAGGCGGACTTACCCGTGTAGAGAGGCCCCCTACAGAGGTTCTGGGAGGAGGGGAGAGGAGACAGGGAAACCTGGGCTCCATCGACAAGCCGCTGACCACCAGCCCATGAACCTCTTGGCAAGAAGAAGGGCAGGAGAGCAGAGCCGGATTACTCGATCCGGTCTACTCTGGGGTATTTCCCTGTGCCAACGCGGCTTTCGGAGTCAGCGAGTCCGGCACTGCATTCCGTGGGGAGGGGAGAAAGAATCCGGGGTTATCATTCCTGCTAGGTAATGTCACCATTCTACCTCACTCTTATAGGCGAAGTATCTCTCTACCTGCATAATGCTACTTGTATGCATACCTACGTACACCTGCTAGACCTACCTAAACCTCTCCGGTACATGCCAAAGATACCGCGGTGTCAGCTCGCCGGTTCGCAGCGCCGCGGGACGACCTCGCCGTCTGCTCGCCGTCTCGTCGCCAGGCTTCCCGCCTTGGCCCCGAGCGGCCCGGGACTCGCGAAACGGTCACATCTAGCTAGACACTCCGCTATGATCGTAGCTGTCTCCCTAGCTACCCATCTAAGCGCGCGTTGGTGGTCTATAATACCTAGTAGTAAACCCCGCCGGGAGGGGTGTCCCGTCTGACCCCAACTTCTCCGTACTTGGCGCTTCGCTACCTGACCCGGCAGAACTGCTTGGCTGCCGCGCTACGACGCGCGATACCGGCTTAGCAATGCTTGATTGGGCCGCGGCCTGGGCGACGCTGTCAGTCGCTATACATCGCGACAGCACCCGACACGCCAATTCGACGAGCTGTGCAGGTAAACAGGCATATTGGAAGTGTAGCTACTACCCAAGTTCCCCCCGCAGGGAGACAGGAACAGACCGAACCGCCAGGCCATCTCCTTTACGCCCCGCCGCAACTAGCCGAGCTGGTCTCTAACCTGGTCATCCGCGGGCATTGCCGTCACTGTGTTTCCGCCGCCAGTAGTATGAACGCAAGAAGCGTCGAATTGACCATGGTTGAGCGAGCATGAGATCAACTCACCTGTCTTGCTCTGTCCTTTTTTTTATTCTACCAAGGACCCATGGCTGTGAATAACCCTAGCATGCAAGGTCCCTCCCAATGCGCTATCAACACTGTCTCGTAAATAGACCATGAACTACTCGTAGTAAAATATTTAACTTCAGTGTGCACCTACGGAGAAGGTTGGAGAGGGGCGGGATAAACAGAACGTGGTCTTCTCCGAGTTCACGTGGCTTAAACCTCCTCAACCTCTCTCTTCCTCTCTCGCATGGCAAGAATAGGCATGGCCAGGCGTTCTATCCCAGAATCGACCTAGGAGTTTACTGATATGTAACATAGACGCAACTAGATATATCCATTGTGAGATTTGATAATGCTGGTTTGATACATTGACAACTACTTCCTTGCCTGTCCTGTGTAATGCGACTTGTAGTATAGTCTTTGTGTAATAGCATCCCGTCGACCCCTTCCACACACCCACGTCGACGAAGTTAGAGAGCAAGTCCGTTCAACAATAGATAGATAGATTCTCGTAAACGAAAACATATTCGAATCAAGCTCGTCCTGTCCCCCTAAGTGACTTCCTGACCTCCTAGGCCCACTTGCATCAAAGGATCTGAACAGGACTCCTCACAACTTAACAGCCACCTCTCTTCGCAACGCCAGGGGGAGAGGTGGGAAGACTCTTGCCCACCCGTAGCCAACGATGAACTACCCTCTGCACGTGTGATTCTCGCAGTTCCTCCCCCCCCCCCCTCCCCCTCAAACCCATCCGTTCCTAAGACCCATTACTGCGCCCCGGGCCAACTTACCTTTGCCCCGTTTAGACCTATACAGACGCTCTGGCGGTCCTATCTCGCAAAAGGAGCTGAAAATCGACAAGTAGGATTTGGCGAGCTCTCAACAAAGAGACAGATCTCGTATCCCAAACGTAGTCTTTGTCCGCGCCCTCACTTCGCTCAACGCGCGACAAGGGGCTGAGCGATGGCAAAAAGGGGGGAAGGGGGAGAGGGAAAGGGGACAAAGGCTGAACAGGTTCTCCCCCCCCCCTTTTTTTCCACCTCCTCCCTTTACAACGACAAACAGCGCCATTGCGCAGACCGAAGAGGCTGTCCGTCGCCAGACAATGGAGCGTGCGAGGAGAAAGACGCAGCTCGATGTATATAGCAGCGCGCCGGGGCGGGCCAGTCGGGGAGAGGGAGAGAAGCAGACACAGACACAGCATCCAAGCAAGCAACAGACGAAGAAACCAGAAAGACAGACAGACAGACCGAAGACGTATCAAGAACCGTAACCCTATTCTTATTGTATCTACCCCCCCCACACACAGACACCGACAACATGAGTGCCAGCAGCGACTTCACGCACTACCCGCTCGCGGCCCCGCCGCCGGCCGCCTCGCGGCCCTTCGCGGGCAAGCTCGACGAGATCCGGGCGCAGCACACGGCGTTCTGGGCGCAGCCGGCGGCGGCGGGCGACGCGCGGGCGTTCCTGCGGGGCGACGCGGCGCACGCGTACGCGACTCGGAGCGCGGTGGCGCCGCCGGGGGCGGCCGCGGGCGCGGCGGGGCCGCACGCGCTGCCGGGGTGGGTGCGGGCGTGGACGCCGTTCACGGGTTTCGCGGGCCCGGTGCTGGCGGAGGACGAGCAGGTGGTGATCGTCGGCAACCGGTCGTCGTTCGACGCGGCGCAGTACGGCGGCGCGGCCGGCGGCGGGGGGCGCGCCGGCATGTCCGCGCTGCACCTGCTCGGCCTGCCCAAGGCGAACCTGTACAACGGCGTGAGCCTGACGCCGCGGACCGCGCGCGTCGTCGACGCCGTCGCGGCGCTGTTCCGCGCGCGGTGGCGCGATAGCGCCGCCTTCCGCGAGGCCGTCTTCGCCCACCAGCTCGCCGCCGTCGACCGCCGCGAGCGGGAGGCCGCCGCCGCCAACCGGCCCGACGCCGCCGAGCGAGCCGACGACGCGCGCGTGCGCTGGGGCGAGCTCCTGCCCGCCCTCGACGCCCTCGACGCTGACAACGACTTCACCTTCGGCCTCCACCTCTGGCCCGACCACAGCGTCGCTCACCTGCACGTGCACATCCTCGCGGCGGGTGAGGAGGCCCGCCAGTACAGCACGCGCGTGCACGACCGCAAGACCAAGGACGCCTTCGAGGTCCGCGACTACGTGCTCAACGAGGTGGCCGAGCGCCCCGAGCTGTACGAGCCCGCTGAGCAGGAGTAGAGAGCATATCGCTTTCTCCCTCCCGAACTCATCAGCCACGGTAAGTAACAGGTAAACGCGCTTAAAATGCCTTATTAGAGACGCCGTAGACGTAGAACTAGACTGATCCCTCGCGGGATCGCAGTAACCCTAGAAAAGGTCAGACTCGTTTTATAACATAATACACAAAGTCTTACGCTATCCGTATCTATCTATTCAAACCCGTGATTAGCAGATGTGAGAGACCTTACTATGTAGATATTTACCCCTGAAATCGCCTACTCCCTTCCCACACCCCTTACAACTTCTCCCGCCCCTTCTTCCTCTCTCGCGCCGCCTGCATGCTGCGCAGCAGCGCGTACAGGCTCTGGAGGCGCGGCATCTCGACGCCGGCGGCGCGGGCGATGCGCACGGGGTTGCCGAGGATGACCTCGAGCTCGAGCGGGCGGCCGGCCTCCCAGTCGAGCAGCATGCTGGGGCGCGCGCCGGCGTTGCGCTCGGTGCTGCGCACGATGCGCTCCGGCGACGCCAGGTGCGCCGGGAAGGGCTTCCCCAGCACCGCCGGCGCCGCGCGCCACACCTCGTCCATCACGCCCAGCGCGTGCCGCCGCAGCTCCCCGTCCTCCAGCTGCTCCGCGTTGCCCCGCCCCCCGCTCAGCACCGCCGTCGGGTTGAACGCCGCGTTGATGCACAGCTTGTGCCACCGGATCGTCTGCAGCTCCAGCTCCGTGTGCGTCTCCGCGTCGCGCAGCCCGCCCAGCTCCGTCCACCACCGCGCCAGCTCCGCCGTGCGCTCGCCGCCGCGCCGCACCACCTCGCTCGCTTCTTCGCCGTCGCCGTCGCCGTTGCGGCTGCGCCGGCCCTCGAGCCCGCTCCCGTACGGCCCCAGGCTGATCCGCGTCCACCGGTTCTGCCGCACGACGCCGTCCCGGATCTGCTCGGCGCTGATGACGGTGACGGCGCTCACGATCGGCGTCTGCGGGAAGCGCTTGCGGTAGGGGTCCTCGACGCCGACGCCGTTCTGGATGAGCACGACGCACGACTTGCTCGACACCAGCGGCGCGATTAGGGCCGCGTCGTCGGACCGGTCCGGCAGCGCCTTCGTCGTGACTATGATGTAGTCCCAGCCATCTTCCGGCGGGGCCTTCGAGGACGCTGGATTCGTCAACGTCGTCGAGGGCGGTGGCGAGGAGTTTGGGACCGCGGCCGATATGGAGGGGAACACAGCGTAAGGGATAAATGTGTAATTGCCGAAGGATCGAGTCTCTAGGGTTACGCCAGAGGTGGCGATGGCTTCGTAGTTGGACCGCGCGGTGAGCGAGACAAAGATATTTTCCGAAGGCTAATTATCCATTTGATAACGGTACATGATAGCGTATCAGCACATGTGTCTCTCGACGTAGATATGTCACTAGCATATGAAGTTCACACGACGCGCCTGTCCTTAGGGGGAGATCCTACATGGTGTAGCCGCGATGCATAGAAGCAGCCTACGGCTCCGGCGCCTACGAAGAGTATATGGACCGGCCTGCGGATGAGAATAGTCGGGTCAGCTTGCTAGGCACATGACCAGAGCATTTCGCGGCGGTGATTACTATCGCGAGGGGAGGAGGGCAGGACTTGGCGCACTTGGTCTGACGGCTAGAACCTGGTGATGCCATGACAGCCTAGAGGCATATGATGCGGGAATCACGGAGGTGGCGATTGGCATAAGGCGACGATGATGGTTGATGATGATGACTGCAGACTATGGGAAATAGAAAGTCACGATGTTTTCGCCGTCTTCGCGTCTCGAGCTCGTCTTACGTAAAGCTCCCATTATCGACAGCACGGGCATAAAGGAGCTTGGGCCTCCGGCTCTCAATTGCCGAGGTAAGTTATTTCCTTATACTATAGGTATAGGCTGACAAGCCAACTCGTTAATTTCTGTATCTCCTTTTACTCCATATTCTCTTTTAGAGGTAATGTGCATAACTATATCGGGCTAGTATAGAGCGAGAACGATAAGGAATAACTCCACGAAGCTAAAGACGGGTAGAAACCCAACCCCTAAGCCACCCCTAGCCGACGACAACTTGCCTACGTACAAATGCCGCCGCTTCGAATGCCTACGGCCACCCAAACCAGGACCAGGGGGCGAATGTCCCCGCAGCAGCAGCCTTGGCATTTCCAGGCTGGGTCTGCCGCGTTACCTGTTGTCTGTGAGGCTCCTCGTCACATCGTCACAACGCCAGCAGATGGCGTCGTTCGCTCGCCTCTTGCGACCCGGGCGGGATGCGCGAGAGACAGCGCGCCAAAGTCCGTCCGGCCAGTCCGACGAGCCCGCGAGGGCTCGCCACGGCCGCGCACATCATGCGAGAGAGGCTCGTATGTGCGAGGGCGCGGCCGCCCAGACGCGCAAGCACGCACATCCAGGCACACGCAGGCGACGAGTCGGTCGAATCAGCCCTCGCCGATCTCATCCGGCGAGACCTCGACCCGGACCCGACGTGGGCCTAGAGATGGATCGCCCGCCAGCCTCGCGGCGCCTACCCGTCCACAAAGCTTGGCGTACTCGAGCCCGGGTCTCGCTCGCTATTTGTAGGCCTGAGGCACCCGTGTCCCGTCGAGGAAGCAAGCCAGCGACGCCGATCAGCCCTAGGCAGGGTGATCTAGATCCATCCACTCCGCCGCGCGCCTCTTCCACGTCCCCCCCCCTTCCTCCCCGCCCTGTGTGGCGCGGCCAAGAGAAAGTCTAAACACGACGTACATGGTTGCCGTCCCGTTCCAGTCTTGGCAACTCGCCTCTTAGGCCTCTCGTGCGCAGTCACCCTCGTCTCATCTGGGGAGAAAGCCGGTTTTGGGCAATACCGCCGCGAGATGGTGATGTCCGTGATGCGGTGGCGTCACAGGGGATGACGGCTGCAGTGGCGGCGGCGGCGGCGGCGGCGGTTTTAGTGGCGATCGTAAGTCTGATGATATTAGTATATGCTCCGTATCCAGCCTACTGCACCCAACGGGCCCTCTCTACCCCGTGTCACTGGAGCGTAGCCCAGCCAGGCTCCACAACAGAGAGACGGGAACGCAAGGGCTTCGGAAAGTAATGCGTGCTAGGGCGTGAAGCAACCTCTATTTGCACATACTGAATCTAGGCACGTAAAGAATAGAAGCGCTGGCAGGGTCAGGAGTGGCTTGGTAGGGAAAACCGCAATACCTAGGAGAGAAGGTCATGGCGTATGCCGAATGGGCACACCTCTCGACAAAGGTGTCCCGGTCGGATACCGGGTCTCTCGATGACCCCCGGACTCGACCTATGGATGATGGCGAAATGGCCACGCCAGCTTTCATCGTTATCTCTCTTCCCCTCTCTCACTATCTCTCTCTCCCTCTCTTCCTCTTTCTAACGGACTCGCGTGCATGGTCGCCACCAACTGGCCTCCCCCCCCCCACACATGAACCCCTCTTGATATGATTAAAGCTGATGGTGCTGATGGCGATGATGATTATGCGCGCAGCAATCCTAAGCAGATTGCGAGGAAGGGTGGATGACGACCAATTTTTGATCCCAGACATTCAGCAACTCACGTCAGCGTCGACGGAGAGAAGGGGGACCGGGGTGAGAGTGAGAATCTTGCAGGGGAGGGGCTTGCAGGAAGCCCGTCACTTCCGGCAGCATCGTTACACCTTTCCATGAAGGACTCTCCGAGCACCTCCAGCCGCGCTATCAGACGGCCCAAATCTGTAGTCGGAAGCCCAACTAACCCCGCTAAGACCCGCTCGTATCTCAGTCTGGTCTCGAAGTGAAAGGGGGGCGGGAGGGGGGTCAACGACGCCGACGCCGCGGGGGTCCGGACAAGGGCCTATACTGCATACTGCGCGCCGTCCCGTATTATCATGAAGAAAATTCTAGGGGTTATTCATTCCTAACCCGGCGATCCGTAAGTCTTGTTTTAACTGCCCCCTCGACGACAGGGTAGGCGTCCTAGCGCCAACACCTCGCGACAACCTCTCCGTCGAGAGAGTCTAGACAAGGTTTCGACAAAGGTGTACGCCATATCGCCGAAGCACATGCTTCTAGCGCGGCAGCTACTATTGCTTACATCTCTTGGCTAGATCACATCTCTGACAGCCGCATTAGCCCCCTCTTACCTACCTACTTAGTCCGTGCCGACTCGCGATGGTGATGTTAAGGTTGCGTCGAACGGGGGAACCCAACTTCGACACCCAGTGTCATGAAGGATCGTAGGTTGGCATTCGGGTCAGTCTCTCCCTAGGCGTAAAGAGCAGAAGTCCACACGTGGGGAGGCCCGACTTCCTCACCCTCGGTAGGTTGCCGCCTGCAAGCTGACATTCTCGATCACGCCCGCTAGCCGACTTCGACGTCTTCACCACCAGCACGGACCGGGGTGGCTTCATCATCCGAAACCGTAATGGTGTGAGGGTTCGAGAAACCATGCTGGTAGGACACATCCGAACTGACGACCCCGCGGATAATGGCTTGAGAGAATTCGGCCTATCCCGTCTCCTATAAACCACCCCAGCCGGCAGCCAGATGCTGATGGGAGCGAGGGGGGGCGGTAGTGGGCGAGCTATCAAGGCGGTACACGGAGAAAGACGCTGTTTCGAAAGTTCCCAATCCCCAGATAGCTGTACGTAATTCGAAGTGCAGCATCTCGACGACGGAAACCTAGCCGGGTTGGTGCCCTGTCCTGTGCCGGCGGTTGTATAACTTGATGCTACATCATCGGGTCATTTGACACAAACCCGACCTTACGGGATCCAATGTTGCCCCCAGCCTTCGAGTTCGGGTAACCCGTTTCGAACGTGATACTCTGTGACATAATTCTTATCGGGGAACATTTCTTTCGTCTTCGAAGAGGGCGAGTTCGTCAGACGGAGAGACGAACTCGGACGGGTTGACGCCGCCCAGCCCTAGTTTCTTCCTGCCAACGTTACTATAGGGCCACGTCGCCTTGGTTCGCATAACACTTATGCGTCAACTGTAGATTACGTCAAGAGATCAACCGTCCTCTGTGAGCTTTGCTGGTAATAAGACGTGCGCACGCTCTTCCTCTCTCCATTTCTTTTTTGCTGATCCTCATTCCCCAACTCACTCGACCGGCATGGGATTTAGTTTATAAACGAATGATAGGGGCGATTCGACTCCAACTGTGTCGACGCCAAGGGAAGATCTCCACCCAGGATCTAGAGACAGCCTTCGCAAGGCCTAACAGTTACGGCGGAATCGATGATATTGTGTCGGCAACTGGCTGGTAATCCATGCTAATAATGCTCTGGTAGTGTGGGAGTGCCCGTGACATTGCATGGTTGTTGCTCCGCAGCGTCGGGAGGAGTCCACGCCCCTAGCTTCTCGGGTCTATTCCCGTTTGCAGCCTGCAGAAAGATGTGATAAGAGAGGAGTCTTGGGTTTTATTTTAGAAATGGAGTAAAGGAAACATAGCAACACCTCAACTTAGACCGTAGAGCCTAGGCTTTCTATTCGTCGAACCGCACACACGGCTCGATGCGTGTGCGTATGTAATGGAGGCTTATATCCATATGCATGTCATCTTAATAGAGACGCAAGCCATTACTGGGCAGGTGGATGAACGCCCCCCCCCACATCTTGCCGGGGAGGTCAAACCCGCACAAAAATAGCGACCTGGAGACAGAGAGAAAGCGGAGCAGATACTGTAGAATGTGACCTCTACTGATTCCCGGATTCTCATGGAGGTTCAAGACGACCACTCGAATCCGGGCGCCCAGCAACGGGTTCGTACTTTGATCTCTGCCAGGAGCGAAAACACTCGCTCCAACGAATTTGGACTGCGAATGCCGATAGACGTACAGGACGTATGACTGGCATGAACTAATCTCTGGAGCCCACCCGGGTTACCAACACTATGGAATAACCCCACGCTAACCCAGATGCCCCCGGGAATAGCTCGTTGGGAATTCGGAAAGCCACATCACCCACGTAGCAACAACGAGCAGCTAGAACGGCCAGACAGAAGAAAACGAGGACATAGTAAGGATCGAGATAAGGGATCCTAGGCTCTAAGCTGTCGGCGAACTAGCTGTTCGGAGAAAGGCAACCAGCTAGGTAACTTAGACGAAGAAAGGAATAAAGGAACCCTCACGAACGATTTCTAAGTCAGCTGAGCACCACGGCCCATCGCCATAGGATGGATGTGCAGGAGAGCAACCTCGCCGTCATACGGCGGCGCATGCCGCGAACATCCGCAAGGCCACGAGTGTGCGTAGAGCTGGCCACGCCAGGTCGAACAGCATGTCAACTCTCTAAAGACCGGTCTCCCGGACGATGATGGCTGACATCGGCAGAATCAAGCTTTGCAAGCTCTCCACCAAAAGCGGGGAACCCACCACGGTGTAACTTAAAGGGTATCCCATGAGTTGTATTCCTGACGTTAGGTGTCGGGCTCTACCCAATGACACCGGGCGGGTGCTGTAAGCTGGGTCGGAAGCGATTGGGGCTGATAGGCCGTAAGCATGTGCCTATGCGCTTTGCTGGGGACGTCCCAGCGTGTAATAGGTCGAGCTGCATGCGCATAACGTGTGTGCGTGTGGAGGGAGAAAAGGGGGGGGGGAGGGGGGACACAGAAATAGAGGAGGGGGAGAAAGGGGGTTGGGCAACTGAGTTGGTACTAGATACGCGGTGAGAGAAGACCAGCGCAGAGGCGGAGGTCACCGCGTTTCCTCGCCTGGTGCCTCGTCTCGCCCAATTACCTTCAACCGGTACACATACACCCTGTATGCTCTCTGCATAGTAGGATTTTGCCCACATGCAGCGCTTCCCATCTGCTCACATATCAGATCCGCTCGTCGTCAGGAAGCCCGGGGGTCAAGAAGTAATTGCTGCCTCAAGTATGTCCAGGCGAGTGACGAGACAACCAACATGGGGGATATGTCAGGTATCAATCATAATTCCGTGATTATAGCGACATTCTTCTGACGTTGGAGCAACTAGCCCGGGGGGGGTTGCTAGGAAACTCCCGCAGAATGTCGTGGTTGGGCCGGCTTCCGCTTGGAAGAACGGCGGCGAGGATAAGGAATAGAAGGGGTGAAGGAAAAAGGGCTCAAGATGCTGTCGATTTGGACGTGAGGGATGAACGCATGAAAGAGCCGGGGGTGGTTTGATCGAGCACAGCATGTGTGGGGATCTCGCCGACCAACAATGCGGCAAACGCTGTGCGAGGACAAATCGAACCAGGTGAGCTTCTAGAAGTCTCGTAGAAGGGCGAGATGAACGTGCTCGGAACCCGGCGGCTCGGGTGCTTCGACCTCAGCGCCCTCGACTTTGCCACGGATCATTGGGCAGACACGCTGTTTTGCCTGTAGGTCCCGAGGGATCAGCCCGGGCGTTTGTCGTTTGAGCCGCAGAGTCTGTCTCGGTTCCTAGCCACGACAAAGAGCGAGGCGCGCTAAGGTCCTAATTGTTCCGTAGAAAACCAGCCGGGGAGGACGGCAGCGTGTGACAGCCAGGTCGTTAGCGACGAGGAAACGACACCAATCTGGTTGCAATAAGGCGTCAACGGCTCAACTTGCTGAATCGGGCTTCCCGGTTTGGGTATTTCTGGCAGAGCCGGTAGAAGATGCCCGGTACGACGGAGCATCGCTTCACAGCCCTGGCACCGGCTGCTGCTGACAGGTCATGATGCAAGCAAGCCATGTTGCTTCTTCCCTACATCCCCCGACTCCCAAGGGAGGAAAAGGGGGCGGGGGCGGAATGTTTGTACCTACGTCGTTACGTACATGCTGGCGGTGGCAGGCGATCGATGCTGGCGTGTCTCGATACAGGAATCAGGGCCGCGAGGGGGGCACCCAATTTGGCGATGATGTTAGCCGGCCCACGATAAAGCCAAGCCCTCCGGCGGGCAGGCCACTCTATCCAGTATGGGGTGTGGGAGCAGCCGATCAGAGACGAAAACGACGGTCTTGTGACGTGGTGGGATCGCACGAGCTGTGTGTGTGCGCGTGTGCGCGTCGGGTTTCTGGGGAAATCCGCCATGCCGGGCCAGAACCGTGTAGCATGCCGACACAACAATACCTCATACCGTCACATCCTTCCAGCGCATGGGGAAAAAAGCGACAGAAGGACTGTCTAGGGAAGTCAACGTGCCACTCGTGATGCGTAGGGGGAGGCCCAGCTAGCTCGGTTGGGGTGATCTGGTAGTACCTGGACGAGGCCAGACGCAGGCTTGGAATGGGGGCATCGGGGACCTGCTCGGCTATTTGCCACTCTAGTAGTTGTCCATCCTGGCCGTCCTAACCAGTGCTATACTAGCAAAGCCAGTAGTGTGTCTCCTGGTCCTGCTCCTGCTTCGCCATCTGACCACCGACGCTGCTTGGAACTCGGGCTCAGGCCATGGCGGTTAGGGGGGGGTCGTCGACCAAGCGTCACCCAAGGCGCTACTTGGACAAGCGACGTACCCATCTCGCTTCACCGCGAACAAACTACTGCGGTGCAACTAGTGTACTCACCTACGTGTGAAATCGACGGCAAGGCTGAAGCGCGAGGGGGGGGAGAGAAATTGCGAAGTGACGGCCGGGGTGAGATGACGGAGAGGCTTGACCAGCAACAGGACCGTTCCCGGGGACAGCTAGACGCGCGGAACAGGAACAGCAGCGAGCGGATGCAGACAGACGTTGCACGTCCTCGCGGTGCAGACGGTCGAATGCGCGAGTGACCGGCTGCAGGACGGGGAAGGAGGGCGAAGCAAGGAGGGAGAGGGGGAGAGAGGGGGAAGCCGTCTCAAAACGTCGAGATTGACAGCTACCCGGTAAGATGGACGAGGACTTCGGTTGTAGCGTAGCACAACAGTGTTGCTGCAGCTACAGTACATGGAATGTTCGATGGAAGAGCCGGAGCAAGTCGGGTCGGTCGACGACCTCCCAGATAATATACCAGGCAGGTCAGACATCGTAGCAGGCAAGGCAGCGGATGAGGCGGGGCCGGTGGGGGGTAGCAGTGAGTTAGAGGATGATCATGAAGCAATTGGACAGCCGGCCAGGTCCAAGACGGTTAGACGGGCAGGGTAGAAAGGGAGGGGCCGCGTGGTGGGAGAGCTAGGAGATTCCTCGGGGGGCTTAGGGAGGGTGGGAAAACGAGGCAGAGAGGAGAAAATTTTGCAAGCCATCGTGACGTGAAATGTCTTGAGGGTGTGGATATTCGGTACAGAAAGAGGCAGACGCAGGTTCGAAGGGGGACGTCGGGAATCGGTATAGACCCGGAGAGGAGGTTAGGTAGAGGAGGAGATAGAGAAGAGAGGCCCTCGGAAGAGAAGGGAGAGAAGGGGAAGGGAGAAAAGATGGTGGAAGAGAGAAGAAGAGAGAAATTTTGCCGACCGAAAAAGGTGAAAAAGGGTAGAAGGGGAGGAAAAAGCAGGGAAACCAGGGTGCCGCTTGTGCTCGACGGGGCAAGTGGCTAAGGTAAGCTAAGCTCAGGTAAGGTAAGCTAAGCTACCCAGCTGCTACGACCAGACTCACTCTCGACCACTACAGGCACCTAACTACAGGTTCCTACAGGTAGGTAGGTAGGTACCTAAGACTGCCAGTCCAGCCTGTGGGCGAGCATTAGCAGGCCACGTCGGTACCTAAGGCGGGCGCTAGACGGGGGGGAAACGCAGGCGACCAAGAGCCAGCGCCTCGGGCTCCTCGCACGTAAAATGCGACGGGAGGACGGTGCACTGTTAGCTACCTACCTACCTACAGTACATGTCTGCTGGTTGTCACAAACCTACTAGCAGCATCGCTAGCAGTACCTAAGTGTAGTAGTAGTGCCTTGGGTACGTATAGCCATCTCCCCTCTTCCCCCTCCCCCTCCCCCTCCCGCGAAAAAGGCCGGGCTTGGCCCGCTGGCGAAAGGGTACGGCACGTCACGCTATGCTCTGCGCTCGCTGGTCGGCCCGTCCGCCATCTCGATATCCCAGGTCTGGCCGCGGAATGACGGTTAGGTTAAAATTAGAAGATGGATAGGGCTGGGCCGGGCTGGTCGTAGTCGAATACGGCTGCTGCGGGTGCCTGGCCGCATCGAGCGGGTGCCTCTGCGAAAAGGCCGTCCAATGTAGGCACCTGCCCAACGGATACGTAATTGCTACTAGCAACCTTGCTACCTGGCTACCCGAATGACATCTGCCCCGTCCCGTCCAACCCACCGGACCTGCGGGTGTCGAGTGGCGGATGGATGGGTGGACGGAGGACGTGAATGGGTAGGTGGGCGGATCAGGGATCTGGCTATTTGCCCGTCGTCGTCTGCTTTCTGGTGCCAGTCTGGCCCTCCAATGGCAGGTCTGCCCTGAGAGGCACGTTGGTCCGTAGTAAGCGGCTGCTCTCTTCCCAGCTGCGTATTTCATATCGACGGGCAATCGATCGATGTTGACCGGCCTCCGAGTCCGAATATCGCATCCAAGTGCGCACTTGGCTGTAGGTACGTAGGTAGCAAGGCAACCTGCCCGGAGCACGTATAGCCTGAGACCGACCTCACACAGGGCCTACCTGTAGGTACCTGTTAGCGCATAACCCCCACGGGGACAGTTTGGGTGTGTCTCCTGTGTAGTCACCACGCCTGCAATCGCTTGACGGGAGGCCGCTACGCCATGGAATTCCATAGTCCAGCATTGATTACTTTTCCTCTTCCCCTCGTCCTTTATTTTTCGCTTCTTTGCTGTTTGCTCTTTGCGGTACGGAGGATGTCGGCCAGTACTCACATATCTAGACTTGAGTCTTAGGATGGCCTATGTAATTGGTCGGCGTATGCATATATGTACCTACCTAGAACGTAGGTAGGTAGGTAGTATGAGTATGCGTGTACCGTGTAGGTACCCGTACCGGCTATTCCGGTGGTCCTGCTACCTGAATCCTTACCCGCGAGGGACGATGAATGAAATGAACCGGGGAAATGAATGAATGGGAGGAGTCCGGCGCCTACAGCGGATGTCCTATAAAAAAAGGAAGAGTACCTAAGAAGGCCGGGGTACCTTGGGTACATGTCCTTCTGAGAAGAACCCGTCACCCATCGATCCCATGTCCCATTCACGTGTGCGTACGTATTTACTCCCAGGTAGGTATTAATATAATATATCCACAGTAGGTTTCCAAGACAAATAGATAGGATACATATATGCACTCGTATAAATGCGATCGGTGGACGTAGTTTAAGGGGCCAACTTACTCTGCTCTACGCCGGCGTAGTACGCCCAGGTACTTCCTGGCGAGGTCCGCGGGGGGGGGGGGGCATCTCAAGAGGGCATGTCCAATGTCGTTGGTCGCTCTCCTACCCAACAAGTCTCGACCCAAGCCCTCACGCGCTCCTGGGTGCAGCCGGACTCTTCGGTTTGGCGTCCTGTGTGTTACTGTAACTGCTATTCATCTATAGTAATAAATAAGTGATCGATGCAAATCGTGGAATGCCTTCGTCATCTGCTTGTCTACTTACTAACCCTACGTACGCACGCCTGTGCGATGTCAAACACCACGAGGGCGGCGCTGAGAAGGAACACGCACACCCACACGCAACGCGCACGTGTGGTCCCCTCGAACGATGTCAGCCACTCGTTCCCTACCAAGATCTCGCTGTCTCGGTATCTCTCTGCATCTATCTATATCTCTCCCCTTTTTCTTTTCTATTCTGTCTCCTCTCCCTTCCCTCCGTCGCCATCCGCGGGCGTCCGCCTCACTTCTGCCTTCGATTCGTCCGCGCATACGATCAGATCAGATCAGATAGCCAGGTGGTAATATAAGTACGAAAGGAGAAAGGAAAACTCTTGGTTGTTTCACCCACGATCGCGATTCCAACGTCAGATCAACAACCTCAACAAGTCGTATCGCCATGTATTGTCGTTGTTGCTCTTCGGACATTTTGGGATCGGCCGGAACTTCTAAAGCGTCTACCCAACAATAAGACCGACGACACAAGTCCACTCATTCTGATGGGATCTCACCAGTCCCTCCTCGGAATATCCTGGGACGCTCGCCCTCCTCGTAGTATATCCGATTCCCCATGGTGTGTGCCGCAACCCTATCTTTCTTCCATTGCGACGCCTCCCTCTCTCTCCTCTCCTTCCGCACACCCCCCTTCTCCATCCTGGCCTCCCTTTTTTTTTTTTTCCTCTCTCTCTCCTTTCTAAAGATCCGCTGTCGTCGAGGTCGGCGGCAGGATTAAATACAGTCAGTATATAGTATACGCGGCGGGACGGCCCTTGTGAACGCCATCCCGGCTAGGGTATTTCGAAGTCGCGGAGCTGTCCGCGTGGGAAATGGTATGTACTTAGGATCCGAGAAGCAGGGTAATCTGCATATGTCGTGCTCGGAGTTACCATGAAGGAGTCAAGAAAAAAAAATAATCACAACTGTTCCTCGTCCGTGTGCGATCTCAGTAATGAAGTGTCTGGCTTGGCCGTCAATTTCCCCATGCGCCTCAGAACGCCGGTCAGCGAATCGTCGTTGTACGGCTACACTCACGGGTCTTCGAGTGCTTGGGATACCTAGTAACTGACACGAAACACTTGGCTGCCAACCTCCCAGATCAACTTGCCCATTCCTTCTGATGTGAGCACACGGACAGGCGAACGGTCGGACGGCTTAGCTAGACTGGCTGACCTCGCGACGAGCCAACGACGTGGCCGCTCAGGGCTTAGACTCGCTCTCTTAGCCCCCCTCCTTTCCCCTTCCCCAGAGTGAAACTGTCGATTCCGTGTTGATGAAGGGGGCTCCTCTACTCATCCTTCCTTCAGGATGTTACGCGCGTGCGCTCGTGTCTTTTCGGGTCCCGCGCGCCAGGAGAGCCGTCTTAGGAAGCATACCGGACTTGACGTTGTTCGAAGTTTCGCCGCACCGGATCAGCCATCCCGATTCCCTTTTTTTCCCCCTAATGCGCCACGTCCGCCTGCGATCTACAGTGACGAGGGATCAACCGATTATGTGTGTATAGTCCATCACGCCAAGCCGACTCGTAAACCGCCTACGTACGAACACACGTACATACATCACGGGATCGGCTCTATTAGAGGAGGAGGACAGGCAATCTACCTATAGTAGGATTTGCCAGGGAACGCGCGCTCGCTCGCTGAATGCGCTTCCACGTCTTTTCCTCTCTCGCGACGGGCCGGCGGCTATGAGGCCTACCGATGGATGGGTGAAGGGAGGGAGGGAGGGATTAGTGGTTGGGTGGGTGTTTCCTCCTATGACGCCGGACAAGTTCCATCGCAACCCACGCTGCAGCTCATAAGGGTGTATGCGTGTACGCGCGGGTGCTAACTGAGACTAGAAAGAGGGAGTGAGAGACAGAGGGTGAGAGAGTACAGGGCCTCTTTTAGTAGGCGATAGCTACTTCGCGCCCATCGGAGTGTCCCGCCATTCCCGAATATAACGACCGACTTACACCACAGTCCAGCCCGCATGTACACGGACTCATGTGCCAAGAAGAGAGATGGGCACCTCGGAATCAGATCCCAATATGCATACGTGGGTGAGATGCATGCCAGGCCACATCCTTCCGAGCCGCTCCTGAACAGCGGAGAAAATTAAAAAAGAATATGAGCTCTCGGTAGAGGACGAAACGGGATAGAGCAGGTATGGCTGGGCCGGGCTAGGCTGGGGGCTACATACCTCTACCCATAGACACTACTATTACTAACTAATAACACGATGCACACACACATCCATACCTCCATCCATCCATCCATCCATCCACAGGCGTGTGCTATCGTACATGTATATGCATACCTAACTCTATCGACTCTCAAGAAAAAGCAATGCACACCTATATAACACGTACATAGCCAATGACAGAAGAGAATATGTAGTAAAATGACGAGGACAATAATGATCATTATAAGAGAGGGGAGGCAGGATAATACCTAGGCTAGGGTAGGTAGTTGAGTTATGTCGTGCACGCGCTCGGGTATCTAAGCCTAGTGTGGGTTTTATGGGCTTTGTGGGCTTTCGGTTAGTTCGAATTTTCAGAGTAAAACCGTCTCGCAACCGTAACATCTCGTTCATCTCGACATTACCCCCCTCCCCCCCTTCTCTCTCTCCCTCACCCCCCCCGGTCCCCTCACCCCCCCCCTTTCCCCACTCGAGCCTGTGCCAATTCTGTACATATTACATCGCGGGTTCGTTAGGTGGGTTGTAAGAGGTTCAGGTAGGTATGTAGGTGAAGCAAAACAGCCTGCGGTTCTATCGGGATGTGGGCAAGGCCGGCCAGGAGGGATGCCTTCTGGTAAAAGGGGGGGGGTCTGCAGTTGGCGATGTTGGTTTCCTTTGATTGGCGCAGAACGAGGAAATAGAAGAAAAGAAAAGAGGAAGCAGAAGAATGAAGAATCGCGACGCCGATGACGACGAAATAGTCAGGTTTGCATAAGGAGGAACATAAAAAGATACATGGACATTACAATTACATAGCATTATTAGTAGGTGTTAATATCACCAATTGCTATTATTATTGCCGTTGCTGTTTGTGATTATTATTATTATTATTCTCATTATTATTGCCATTGCTTGCAGCGGGTTAGCTGACCTCCGTGCGTCTGCAACGGAACACTCTTCTACGTATTCCATCCATTGCAGCATGGAAGCCCCCTGTCGAAAACCGCACATAGGTGATCCCGCACTTGGCGGCCTTTCGCTACTACAGAGCCTACCCACCCCCCCCCGTCCGTTCCCTTCGATTCCCTACCTCTATCCTCTCACAAATCGGGGCTAAAGAAGGCAAGGGTGCAGTGTACCAATGTACGTATGTGTGTTATGTACATAGTTGACAAGGTAGGCTGCGTCTCGTAGCTTGGGGACTGGCGGTCCGGCGTGGGTGGAAAGACCCCCATCCCAACACCGATAATGTAATGCCCAGAGCTTCCACTTGGGAAGTCTTGGGAAAGGGGGGGGGAAGAGAACAAGCTTAGATCTACATACCCGTACAGCTTCTTTGCGAGCTGTAACCGCGGGTATGATGTTGCTGTGCGTAGATAGGCTCAGTTCCTTAGGGTTTCTCTCTTGTCCCTGTCTCTCCCACTGTTCCCTCGCGATGCAGTAATCCCAAGAGAGACACTACCTAACCTGGCGTGCCCACCTTTTTTTTTCTTTCTTTTTTTCCTTTCCGACCTCGCGCCCTTTTCCTACTTGAGTATTCCCGAGCTTCACCTAGATTCTAGAGAAGACGTTCCCAAACCAAAACCAGACGGGTAGGGGAGGGGAGAGGGAGGGGGGGGGGGGGGTGTATCCCCAGCCAATCCACAGGGCCCCGTCAGCCATGTCTGCTGGAGCGCCATTAGCCCGTGATGACATCCATCGACAAGTATATTCCCGGCTAGGTTTGCAGCGCGGTAGGAGAGGAGAGTAAGTACTTTTCGCTTCGGGTTTGCTCTGGTCTCTACCTACACGTATGTATTCGCAACTGGAGAAGGCCTTCTCATCCCGCTAGGGAATGATAAGCCATCCTGTCCACCCGTTTTTTTCGGGCTCTGCTACTGAACTCGTACGCAATTCAACAAACTCTTTAAACCTGCCGCGTTCCCCCTTTGCGACCGAGTTTGGACTCCCTCCCCTTGGACGTCTCACTTTGCGCTCTGCTTGCTCTCTCGCATCCCTTCCTCTCGTACTACTTACTTGTTGCGTATGGTGCTCGACACTGTACATGCCTACATACTTATATATCTATGCCTATATACGCGTCTATATATATATATATATAGACACACTGACATATATATACTTGCTACTTACTCGACCCGTTGAAACTTGCTGAGGACCCGGTTTTAGAGTCTGAGCTCCAACTAGGTTCTACTCAACCCTATCGCTGCTGATCCCGCTTGATTGGACGTACTATTTACATCCAAACATTCACTGCTGCTGCTGCTGCTAGCGGTGCTCCGTCGCCGCCGTCACGGTTATTTCTAAGTGGGCGCACTGCGTGCTGCTGAAGTTTTGGTGAGTTTGTTTTTTTTTTGGTCGCAAGCGACTTACACGCACCATGTCTTCGAGTCTTCGTCCGTTCTCCGATATTCCCCATCCGCATTAGAGAAACAGGGCCCTTTTTCCCGGGTACTCCATTAGCCGCATAGCACCGCCGAGGCAATCGAGCTGCACAGTGCAGTTCCTTAGCTTGCCCTTGTTCACGCGCGCCGGCGGGTGATCTGCGCGCAGCGAAGCGGGAGAGAAAGAAGAAGAAGAAGAAAAACTTTGCCAGCATTGAAACCCCCGGATCGCTATTTTTGCAGCTCCTGGGCGGAGAAAAGCAAGGGCGAAAAGAGACGTCTAAAACCACAACCGCTTCAACTAAAAAAAGAATCTTCGAGCAAGCGAGGCAAAGGGACGCAGAAACGAAAGAGAGGGGCGAAAGAGAGCGCGAGTGAGAAGAGGGAAGGGCGAAGAGCGAAGAGACCGAATCTCCACTCAAAATTCGGCCTTCCGATTGTTCTATTCTTTTCTTTAGACAAAGAAGAGCTTGCCTCTCTCTCTCTCTCTCTCTCTCTCTCGTCTTTTTTCCCCCCCCTTCCCGTCCCTCCCCATAGACTAATACCGATTTACACACCCACATATCGTAAAGTCACCGTTCGGTCCCTTTCCCATCCTCTCTCTCCTCCTCCCCCTCCCCCCCGTTCAGCCTCGGCGCCTTGGTAAAGAATTCCTTACTCCTTCGGCGGTATCATCTATACACCCACCGCCTCCGAGCCCTGTCCTGCCCTCTCCGTCTACCTGCCTAAGCGTTCCCAGCTTGCTTACTTGTACCTTACCAGCCAGCGCAGCCTACTTACCATCGGCGTCCTACCAAATCTAGCGCACCCTTGGAAATGCCTGCATAGGGACTTCGCTCCGTACCGACATACTACGCACGCACTTACAACAACCCCCCCGTGGAGTTCTCTCTGCCCCTGGCCCGCTGCAACGCAACCCCGACTACTAAGCTTATTAGCTACCAAACTGTTACTCGGGCCTTTGTTTGTCCTGCGGGCCACCTTCCAGCTGGGCAAGTCTGGTTCTGATCATCGGGCGCTGCCCAGTCCGTCCGCCCGCCCTCTGCCTCTCTTTGATGAGTGATCGAGAGCTCTGCGCGTGAGAGTTACGTAGGGAGGGAATTCCGCCTCAAAGCCTCGACTCTCTTTTCCGTCCGCCTGCCCGAACGAACGAGCGATAGCGAACCCAGCGCACCCGTCTCTCTCCAGCTCTCTCCCCCACCGATTCCCGCCGAAGACTCGTCGCAGCGGGCTCTGTTCTCACGCTCACGCTCACGCTCACGCTCGCGCACTCTCGCCCTTCCCTGCACAGCGTATCTGACGATGTTAATCGACGGCGAGAAATGGGCATGCGAGGCATGCGTCAGGGGGCACCGAGTTAGCAATTGCCAGCATTCAGGTGAGTTGCAGCCATTGGCGCGCATTGGCTCTCCGTCTCTCCCCGTCATATTCTCCCTCTCCTCTCTCACTCTCTCTCCTCTCTCTATGTGTGTGGTGTCTCTGCCCGTATGCGCATCATTCCTGTGTTGCCCACGCGCTCCCCCCCTCCACCCGCTACCTCCGATCGCACTACCACCGCGGGGCACCCGGATAGGCCACCACGAATTGGGGCCTGGAGGGGTGAGGGGGGAGATGGAGGGGGAGGGGAGTGGAGGAGACCGGAGAGAGAGAGAGAGAGAGAGAAAAAGAGCTGTTCGTTCAACTGGAGAGCTCACTGCTTCCCCCCCCCCCCCTCCTCCTCCTCTCATCTTCCTTCTTATAGGATCTCGTTGCTGGCACTGCTTGCTGCAGTCGTCAATTGCAACGAACACCCGCGTATCAGAGAACTGCCCACTTACACATCTGCGCAATTCGTCTAGATCGACCGCTGCAGCACATCAACAAGAAAGGCCGGCCTGTATCGCAATGCCAGCATTGCCGCGCAATGCGCAAGTCGCGCTCGTCGCACGTCAAATGCGACTGCGGCGAGAAGACGCACAAATGCGCACACCTGAAGCAGACCGTGGAGGGACACAAGGGTGAGCGACTCTACACCATACCACCATCACCACCTTCACCTTCACCACCTCCGTCAGCACCGCCACCACCACCCACTACCACTACCACTGCCACTGTCATCGCTATATGTATGCGCACATATAAACATGCATATCTGTCATATATGTGTGTGCGTGTGCGCGGGTGCGTATAAGCGATGTGAGAAAGAAGAAAAAAAAGAGGAAATCTGGTGTCTGACGCACAAGTCCCACCCGTCTAGACAGCTGTTGTTGCAACCACGGAGGGCGATGCACATGCTCGCACAAGAAAGAGCCGTCGCTCGACACGGTGCCCGAGTCAGAGTCCGACGACGCGATCGAGCCCCAGCCGACGACAGTGACCAAGCCCAGAGCCGCGGCCGCGCGCCGGCGGCGGGCCAACACGACACACTCCGAGCCCGTCCTTAGCTTCGACGAGAACGGCCACCACCGGCCGACCCAGCGCCACACCAAGGCCTCGCAGAAGAGCGGCCCCTACACGATCGGCCGCGCCGGCAGCGTCGGCTCGTCCTCGTCCTCGTCGATGCACCGCACCGCGAGCGCCAGCAGCCTCGCCACCAAGTCCGTCGACAGCTTCATGGCCCCGGGCAAGAGCCGGTCGCGCGTCACCGACTCGTCGTCGCCCGACCGCGACACGCGCCGCTCCGCCAAGTCGGCGCAGGCGTCGCCCTCGATCGGCGGCGGCGGCGGCGGCAGCAGCGCGTCCTCGTCCTCGTTCCACCAGCTCAACGGCCAGCTGCCGCCCCTCGACCTCTCCGGCATCCGGTACGTCGACTACTCGGCGCTGGACATGTTCGGCGGCGGCGGGCTCTCGTCGGCGGCGGCCGACTACGACTACGAGCCGCCCATGTTCAGCGCCGGGCTGGACGCCTCGGTCGACTGGTTCGACATCAAGGCCGAGGCGGGCCTGGCGGGCGCGACGCCGTCGAGCTTCGACCGCGCGCGGTCGGCGTCGTCCTTCCTCGGCGGCCTCGACTACGTCGGCGGCTCGACGACGGAGCCGACGCTGACCTCGAACTCGGGCGACGTGTCCGAGACGGAGGACTTCGCGTCCGGCTTCGACTCGGGCCCGCCGTCGCACCTCGACAGCTTCCGCAGCGCCTACCTCGGGCTGTCGCACCACGCGCACGCGCACGCGCACGGGGCCGCGACGACGGCGGCCTCGATGCTCGCCGGCGGCGCCGACCTCAGCACCCTCGACTTCGACCAGTTCAAGGGCACGGCGGCCACCAGCAAGCTGCTCTCGACGCAGTCGTCGACGTCGGCGTCGTCGGCGTCGCTGCTCGACGACGGCAGCGGCGCCGTGTTCCCCGCCTCCTTCGTCGAAGACGACGGCTACTGGAGCATGAGCAACTTCACCGACGGCATCACGCACTCGCCGGACCCGGTCGCCTCGGGCCTGTGGAATTCGGCCTGAGCGAGCGAGCGAGCGCACGCCAGCCGCGTAAAGAGAACAGCTACAGAGACGTTACGTGGGGGGAGATAGGAAAGGGGGGAGAGGGAGCATTCCGGATCTGATCGGTAGATCGTGATCGATCCGACTCCCCCACATACCTACCACCTTCTTCCCCCAGAAGTAAAATAAAAAAGCACGAAGAAAGGAGAGGATGGACGGCGGCGATGGTATGAACATACTACCCGCAAAAGCCTTCGAGGGCAACGCGGCAGGTCGCATATCTGTACACATACTTTTTCTTTCCTTTTTACCACCACGCCCGCCGCCGTCCGTCTCATCACGTCACTTTTAGCCATTACGTTTACGACAAAACCACGAAGGAAAGCTGGACATTATTCATTTTCCTCCCCCGCGCCCTTTTCTCTCTCATTCCCGCCTAACGTTTCGGATATATATCGTATATACCCTCCGCGCATTCCCACCGCTGTTCGTCCTTCTCTCCCTTCTCGCCGTGGGGGTTGTTTATCTACTTTTTTTTTCCCTCCCCCTTCTCTCGCAGGCGCGCGCCGGGGGGGGCACTTTGCGCGCTTCCTCGAATCCTTAACCCCCCTCCACTTAACCTTACCTATCTGGCGATGGGCACGGCGGGAGGCGAGAAGAGACTCGGACGTGAACGGCAACAACAAACTCGAGAAACGCGAAAACCAAGAAAAAACAATTCAACACTTCTATACGAAGAAACGAGTGCATTTTTCGGCGGCATAGCTTTTTCTTTTTTCTTTTTCCCTGATTCCTCTTCACGGACACACACACCCATACCGGTCTCAGAAGTGTGCTGTTTTTTCGTATTCTCATCTTCTTCTATCTGGAGGCGTTGCGTTGCGTTGCTGGGAAAGGGGGGGTGGTGTAGGGAGATCAGGAGGGCTCGGCACTCTGATATTTACGCGAGTTTTTTTTTTTTCCCATTTTCCTCCGCTGTCTTTCTTCTTTTCCGTCTTTGTTCGCATCGGTTTCCTTCTTCCTTTTCCCGCCTCGGGGGGCGTCTCCGCGGCGCGCACATCGCACACACACACACACACGCACACATACAAACCGCACGGCACTTACTCAACCTACCTCTACCAAACCTACCTCTCGATATCGATGGATCGATGGGAACTTTCAACAACCAGGCAAGCACAGCAGGCAAGCAACAAAAAAAAAAAACGAGCAAGCATCGTCTTCGCCCCCCAAACTTCGGCTCCCCCTTCACCCCCAACAACAACTGTTTCCCCCCCCACCTTGCCGTTTTTAGACGCGGACCCTCAACGGGCTGCGGCAGACATGAGAAGAGGAGGGAGTGCGCGCGCGGAGGTGTGCAGTATGTGTGTGTAGTATGCGTGGCATGCGGTGTGTGCGGCGGGTGAGTAAGGAAGAAGAGTGGGCGCGAGAATTGACTAGGGGCTGTGGGGGGGGGGGGGTAGTGGGAGCGCGAGAGAGAAAGTGAGGCGGACGAACTCCTGTTTCAACAGGACTCGCTTGTTGTTCTTTTTTTTTTCCGGTTCTCTCTCTTCTTCGCTTTTCTATTTTCCCCACCTTGTCCTCTCCGCCCCGTCCCCCCCCCCCACACCACAGTACATAGATTAGAACGTAGAGAAGCCTCGAAAGGGGCGTCGGGCAGTCGTCGGATTCCATTCCGGGTAGAGACCGAGACAGAATGAGAGATAGTATATGTATCTTGCGCGTGTGCGCGTGCGTGCGTGTAAGTGTATAAGCGTGTGTGTGTGTGGGTGGGCGCGGGCGTATGTCAGTGGGAGGAAGGGAGACGGAGAAAAAAAAAAAAGACAAGACAGGGGTGCGAGTGCGTGGGAGCCGGCCAGCCCAGACAGGGCGGCTCGAACAAAATCAGCGGCGCCCGCTGCGGGATCACCATCGTAATCCCGCCAGTCCTCGTTTTCGCCCCCCTCCCTTTCCCGCGTGTCTGCTATGTGTGTGTGTGTATGCGTAGGTACGTGTAGGCAGGCCCCACGCGGATGCGCGTGCACACCACACAACACACGCACACACACTCGCTCACTCGCTCACTCACAGGCACGCACGCTTACGGGGCCGTGTTCTGCGTCGAGCGCGGCCGCCGCCAGACAGACAGCGCGGCGCCTACTTGCCCTCTTCGGGGCGCCACGCCTCGCGCGCCCCTGTGCGCAAGCGTGTGCGTGCGGTGGTCACCGAGGCGTTCCGTGGGGGGAGGGCAGGGCAGGTCTCGGTTTACTACGACTACCACACGCCAGCCCGTAATCGCAGGCGGACTCCTCGTCCCCCGTTGTCGTCATTCCCGCGCGCCACCACCGCGCGGGCGCGGGCGCGGGTGCTGTCCTGTGCGCCCCCCCCCCCCCCCTCTCTTCCCCAACAGTGCGTAGAGAACCAACGTCCCCGAGACGGCGAGACGCCGTCGCGCGCTGCCTGCGTCCTCTCTGCCTACCTGCCTAGCCCCCTCTTCTTGCCCGGTTTCCCGCGCCCGCGCGCGCCCTCGCCGATCAGCTGACGGCTTTTGCAGAGGGGGCCCGCATCGGGGAGAGCCTGCATGCGCGGTGTCGGCGGAATTGGGGGGGGGGGAAGAGAGAGAGAGAGAAGGGGGGTGGGTGGGCGGTTTAAGGGGAGGGGGGTGTGTGTGTGTTGTGGGCAGGGCTTGGCGGCTGCTGCTTGTTGGTGTGGTGAAGAAGACCGGGAACGAGGAACGGAGAGATACACATACAGCGAGACATTGACAAGGCGGCTCCGTCGTAAAAAAAAAAAAAAAAAAGTTGGGGGTTCCCAGGGCCGAGGCGTGCCAGATGCGTGTGTGTTTTCCCCCTCTCGCTCGCTCGCTCTGGCTGTCGGTCTCGCCCTACCTGTCCAATTCCCCCCTACCCAAAACCGGGCCAACATGACAAATTCCCCATGCCGCAGTACGCGCCGCGTTCGCTCGGGCATCCCAGGATGGCCGGGATGGCCGGATGGGGTGGTGGGCGAGGCACGAGCATGCCCGGTTTGGCAGGCTAAGGTCGGTAGGCTATATGTAGTAAGGGAGCCCAAGCCAAGGCCCGCCCTGGTAGGCCCGGTCGGTGTCAGCACTGTATTGTCAGGATGCATGTGTCAAGTCGGTAGCGTCAGTGTGTCGTATGCATGGCGGACGGTCTGAGTAAGGCAGAGACAGAGAGAGAGAGAGAGAAAGCCATCTCGTGGCCTCCCCCCTAGCAGTAAAGCTTCTGGTTCCTGCAGCCGATGTCGCGCGCGCGCCGATGGAGCAGAGGGGGGGCGTGGACTAGAACGAGCGAGCGGGTCGCGCCGAGAGCAAGACGAGACGAAGCTATCCCACGCCACACCCTCTTTTGGCTGTTCATTTTCCTCCGCCTCACCTTCTCGCTTCGTCTTATTATGGCTTGTTATCCTCCTCCTCCTCCTCTTCCTTGTCCTGCTTCTCCTCCTCCTCCTCCTCCCTCGCTCGCACACGGAGGCGGCCCTCGAAACCCTCCTGCGCGGCGGGGGTCGCCAAAGCGGCAAGATCTCCAAGCGAGCACGAGCAGCAGCGCTCGGCGGTCGGTCGGTGGCTGCAAAGGGGAAAGGTCGGCGGCGCGATGGGGATTGGGTCTATCTCAAACGCCATGCCGCCCATCCGTATCGGTGAAAGGTCGAGGACCTTCTCGGCGGGGGGTCGCTTGTGGTAGGACGTGGCGATGGGGCTTCCCAGGGCTAGTCAGAGATTTGTTGTGGCGGAGGGGGTCCTATCCCCCCTTCCCCTCCCCTCGCTCTCTCTCCCCGTCGCTTCTCGGGGAAGACGAAAGGCGGGAGGGAGGGAATGCTCATATTTATGTTTCGGAAAAAACGAGGGAGAGGGAGAGAGAGAAATTGTGTAGGTGAGCGAGCGAGCGAGTTGAGAGGTTTTGATGACGGTCTATGTGGCGAGTGAGAGAAGGGGGGAATAATAATAATAAAAATCCCTCCCCCTCTCTCCTCTCCCCTCTCCTCGAAGCCAACTAGAGACCAAGTTTCATCAGTGACGACATAATGGTCCCATAGAGATGCGCCGGAGGTCGAAGCGTCGAATGATGGGAGCTGCGGCTTGGCGTTGATTCGCTCCTAAACAGACACGACGGACCCGGCAAGGAGATGCGAGGGCAGCGCCCGTCGCGAGAGGATCGACAGATGCTGAAACTGAAACAGAGAGACCTCCCGGTCCGGGGAGACGAGGAACGGGGAGGAGAGAAGCGAGAGACGTGCTACGTTTGTGCGTGCAAGCAGCGCTTTACTTCCTGGCTCGACTACGTCTACAAAAACATGCGATACAGCAGGCGAGGAAAGGGGGACGGAAGAGACCCCCTTCGCCTTATGAAGGCGCTGCGAGTATTACTCGCACTGAGGCATTTTACGGTGTCGTTTCGGCACCGTCTCACGCTAATTGGGGCGGTTCGCAGCGTGGGCGGAGAGGAGGGGGGGGGGCGGCCTGCGCTGCGAGGAGGGGCTCACGAAGGGACGCGGGAACTCGGAATCGGCTCACCTCGTCAGATTCATCACGGCTCGTCGCTACTTGTTGTAAGTGAGAACAGCAGCGGCGGCAGCAGTAGCAGTAGTAGTAGCAGTAGCAGTAGCAGTAGCAGGAGCAGTAGCAGTAGCAGTAGTAATAATAGTAGTAGTAGTAGTAGTAGACGAAGAAGACACGTAGCTCGCCTTCTTCACGCACAGGTAGCCGCCGACAAGCGAGCGAGCGATACCTAGCAATTCGGACAGTCGGCGCACGCCAGCTGCACGGCACAGCGCGGTGCGGCACAGCGCAACAACAGCCATCCGCGCAGCTGCTGGGAAGAGGGGCTGGACAGGATCAGGCCCGCAGCCCAAGCCCTCGTCCGGACGTGGATCCGTACCTACGCCGGAGAGCGTCCAGACACGCGCGATCTGCCCGCGCTGCCAGCGAGCCTGAGAGTCTGAGGAGGAGGAGGGGGGGAGGGAGGGGACACAGGTTACTTGCCCTTTTTGGGCGTCTGGCGGAACGTGATTGGCACGTCCGATATGCAGACCAAATCTGCGGCTGCGGGGTCTCTCTTCTTCGACACCACGGCAAACGATCCGTCGTCGTCTCGACGCTTCACCCAACCGGTGCGGGCGCCCGTACGTGCCAGTTCGTAGTGGCACCAACCGGCCGCCGACGAGCCTATTCTCCCTCTCGCACTTTCTCGCTCATACTAAGCGTGTCCGTATACGTGCAAGGGGTTGTGTAGATACGGCACCTGGACGGAGAGATCTTCATCTCTTCCCAACCCCCCTTCTCTTCTGTATGTAACTTTATGCCTACTTCAATGCTGCTCTTTGTCTTACACGGGTAATGGGTATTGAGGAAACTTGCTCTGACATGTAAACTTGCCAGCAGCCATAAATTACTAATACAAATCGGCCGGCATCCGGTACCAGGAGTGAGGTAGGTGCTAATATCTTTTCATCTCCGTCACCTATTCATCAGATCCGTAGCTGTCGAGCTATATATGCTGCACAGCCGCGGTACGAGACAGTTTACACGGCTCCTACAGAGTGGTCCGCGACGGGTCAAATGGTGCGGCAAGTATCATCGGTTCTGGTTCTCCAAACCTCGTTCGTCGCAAGGCCATTCGTAGGGCCATCGGTAGGACCGCCGCTAGTGAAATCACCTTGGCCTTCGAGACCTATACAAAGGCGTATCCTGTCGGGGGGAATGCTTAAGGGGTGTACATATATATATATATATGAAGATCCCCATAGGCCAACCAGCAACCACTAACTGGACGAAACAGCCCATGGTTGATCTTCGCTAAGATATACGGAGATGAACGGGAAAAGGGAAAGAGGCTCGGGGGCTCGTGGCGGTGGTGTCGCCGTGTCGCTCCTATCGTGTCGCCGGCGATACGTGGTCGGCCAGGACATTCAGGTAGCCTGCCCGGGTTAACACGCGAGGGTCGAACCCGATATCGCTGTAATTATCGCTCGTCCTAAGCGACACGGCTTCTGCGTCCTTGTCTAGCTTCACCGCTTCAGCTTCCGTCGCCGTCGCCAAGTCGGCGAGGTGCTGCAGACTCTGGCTTGCGGCCGCCTGGGCGGTCGAAGGTCGGATAGCCTCGGAAATACGGTCCCTGATGGTGGCATCCCAGGTTGACGGTGCCAGGTTCGACTCGAGAAGCTGTTTGAGGAGAGAGTCCGCTTCGTCGTGTGTCGCTTCAACCTTCTTCAGCTCGATCAGCGATAGTGTCGTGAGGCAGAAGAAGTGGTGGTTTAATGGGCTGAGCAATTGCGTGTTGGTGAGCAGAAGGGTGACCAACTCCCTGCATGCCCATAGTATATCGGTTGACTTCGCATTCGTTTGAAAGAGGTAGACAAGCAACCTAGTATGCCAATAAACCATGTGCAACACAGGGTGCGAGGCTGGTGTGATGCTCTGGGGAAGGATCTCGCGGAAGAGCTCGATAGAAAGGTTGAAAAAGGAGCTTAGGATCGGCGCAGCGCCCGACTCGGGCGAGAGAACCTTCGGAGGAGCCAGGGCGACCGGAGCAAAGTGGCCCAAGATGTTCGACAAACCTATCATAGTCAGTATATTCAACCCCCGCCCGCGAGCTTTCTGGGGGGGCAGCGAGTTTATACTTACGCGCAAGGTGATACACGCCTTCACCCAGGGTCGGGTTAAGGCTTGGGAGAATTACCACGCTGTCGTTCGGGATCAATAACGGACTCGCCGTCCCGATGGCGTTCCATCGGTCCAACATGATCAACGTCCACCAAGCTCGGGTGGCGATATTCTCGTCCGAGTCGGCTTCCACTTGGGCGTCGATGCTCGTCTCCGCACCGGAAACGTGAAGCCTCATGGAGTACGCCAGACCGACGGCTCGCCCCAATATAGATGCCTTGGGTGGGCCGCCGTGTTCGCCCTTAAGCGATAGCGGGCCATGGTTGTCGGTCGCGATGGCCGTCAAGATCAGGGTCTGGAGATGTACGAGATTCATAATTGGCGTTCGCGAGGTCGGGTCGGATTCCCATTCAGTTATCAGCTGTGTGCCGGAGCCGATATCGCCGTTTGTATAAAGGCCGGGGACAGAGACAAAAGACTGCATGGTGCCGTAGAGCGCCTCGACGAAGGCGTCGCGGAGAAGGGGCGGGCACAACGCCAGCTGCTCTTCCGCGCGCGCTTTGGTTGAAGCCAGGACCGGGAAGCATGGGTGAACGAGGGCGCGGTAGCTGTTGAAGGCGCCAGCGTCCAATTCCCGAACAGCGCCGTTCTGGTTGCTGTCGAGTGGGCCCGCATCTATGGGAGCTGGGCGTGACGCGGACTCAGGCCTGCCCAACGGCTGGGGGGCCAGACCGTTGGCCGAATAGGGTCCCCTGAACGCGCTTGTTGGCGTTTGGTAGGGCTGGATGGGTCGTGGTTCGGAACTCCACGTTCCCTGACGGGAACTGGCCGGCGTGCCAAAGTCGGCGCCGGATATACTGGAATAAGGTCTCTTCCGGCTATTCTCCTCGCCCGTCCCGGGCTGGCCGTAGAGCTCGGCCGACTCTCGCCTGGCACCATTGAGAAGCTCGGTCAGACTATCGACGTTCCCGCCCTCGCTTGCCAGCTTCCCCTCTATATGATTAATCCTATCGGCTAGCTCCTTGATATAGCCCTTACTCGGCCCCCGCTTTTGAGGAATTCTACTGAAAAGACACCTAATCGCGGAGCGTCGGCAGTTGGAACAGGGCTCCTCACCGTTTTCTGAAACAGCATCGCACTTGACCTTCTTCCGACGACACTCATCACAGGCACGGGACACCTTGGACCGTTTCCTAGGTGGGATATGGTCGGGAACGATCGAAGCGACCGCCTGGGATGCGTAGTGTTGCGCATGCTGGGCGAACTGTTCCATCGCCGTGTGGGGTTGCAGCTGAGGAGGATGTTGCAGGGGTTGGGAGGGTGGAGGCTGGGGCGGTAGGGGGATATGCTGATGGCCTGCGTGCTGCTCATTTGAAATATACTGCTGCGCTTGCGGCTGCGGTTGTAGTTGTGGCTGAGCCTGTAGATGGGGTTGCGGCCGTGGTTGGGACGAGGGTTGCGGTACAAGAGGTAGTTGGCGATGTTGAATTTGGTGCTGAATCTCATGCTGGTGTTGATTCTGTAATTGCAGAACAGGCTCGTCGGGATTAATAGAGGCGTGGTGCGATTCAACGGGTTGACTGTCATGAGCTAATTGTTGATTATCTTGCTCGTGGACATCGTCCGAGTGCTCGGGAAGCTGGTCCTGCGGCAGCTGGTCATTCTGATGTTGCAGCTGAGCTTCTTGCGACTCGTGCGGCTCCTGAGCCTGGTGAACTGGGTCCGGTTCGTGTGGCTCAGGATGAGCGATCACGTTTCCCAGGTTGGGATCCTCGCTAGCATCAAGCATGGTGGGCATGTCTTGGTTCGCGAGGTCCTGGCTGAGTTGGGCAGCAAGCTGTAGCTCCTCGGCACTCGTGATGGACGGGCGAGCCTCCTGCTGGTGCGCTGGGGCAGACTCCGGCTCCTCAAGCTGGTCCTGTCGGTGCTGGCTTGGAGAGCCCGCATGTACCTCCACGCCATCTTGGCCATCGTGACCCTCAACAACAGGCATCGAATACTGCTGCATATCAACGGCGTCACCCTGAGACTCCTCCAGCTTGGGGTCTGGAAGCATGGCATCTATGTCAGGCATGGCGACGGCGAAACTTTACCGCCAGCGTCGGTGCGTCGAGGGTTACACAGGATAGCGACACGATAGCGACACGATAGCTCAATGGAGCAACTTTTCACACACGAGAGCATTGAACTGCAGCAGGGGTGCTAAGAGACAAGCTCGACGCGATAGGCCCAGACGCTGTGATTCTGCTCGGGCTGGAGTTATAGTACTGCACTCCCAGGATATATGGATAAGACAGCGGCCAGAAGCCGTGCAGGGTACCGCAGTGTCGCAATGGGGATTGCTCCGTTCACCCGCGGCTAGAAAGAAGGAGAGGTTAGAAGTACACGAGAACGGACAGGTGGTGATGTATGTTTGTTGTTTGTATGGTATACATGTTGCTTTAACAGAGCGATGAATCAGTCCATCAGCCCATCAATCAATAAATCAATCAATTGCACAGTCCGTCAATAGAGAGTCATCGCAATCTCGAGCCGCCGGCACGCGGAGGTGTCGGCGTGGAAGGCGAGCAGTGCACCGTCTCGACTCCATCTCGAAATGCGACAGGGAGTTGAAGGAGGGAACATGAGAAGAGAGAAAAAAAACCAGGTACTAATTCAGGATGGACGTACCTGGGCACGAGCTTGCGACGGCCTTTTTTTTTTTTTTTTTGCCAGTAATATGGGGATGGATAATTGACGGACGGGTTCCGGATTTGCCCAGCAGCGGAGGAGGAAGAACTCGAACGGCCGAGATGGGCAATGTCTCGCTCCAAGATGACCGATCTGTTTTTCCAGGTCCTTTCTTTTTTTTTCGCCCCCGGCCGGCCTTAGATTTTCCTGCCTTTTCCGCTCGCGCTCGACGGGAAAACGTTTCGTGTCAACTTATGGGCGATGGATCAAATCAGGTGTGGCGGCGCAGTTGGGTTGGTGAGGGAAGGGAGTTGGAAAAAGAATTTTGCGGAGGGGGGGTGGAAATGGAGGGAGTGACGGGACTTACGGACTCTCTCAGACGATGGTTGGGTGCGGGTGGCGCGCCCCGACCTGGCGTAGAGCCGTGCGCTGATTGGAGCACGCGGATGGAATGGCCCGGGAGAGGTGCATGTACCGGAGTACCTGCATACCTACAGAGGTACTTCTCTACTTTTCCTGAGGAGTACTATGAGGTACGTAGGTATGTACCTACGTATGTATGTCGATATACACACGTAAGTGCATACAGACCCACGCTTTATATGTATATATCTGTGTATCCATAGTGGGGGCGCCCGCAATTTACCCACGTATTGAAATGTCCGTGCAGATCATCCGCGTCATTCGCGACCCACTTCCAGCCACCGAGCGGCTAGCTGGGAGGTATCTCCATGAAGAACATGCATTCAGAAAGCTAACTCATCGGGTAGAAACCGCTCGATAGTGCCAAGCTCGTTAGTGGGTGATATATGGTGCGCCATAGGTATGTCTCGCAGTTGTGTCGGTGGCTTCCTAGACTGATGACATGTCAGTCCGGCCCTCTCAGTCTACAAGGTTGGCTCGGTGTTGTGTGCGATTCTCTGTGACGGTGACAATCCCGCGCGTTAGCAGGAATACCTTGGGTAATAATCAGGAGGTAGGCATGAGGTACCTAGCCTCCATACATACCTGTATATATCGATGGAAACTGACCTGCGTGTACGTGTACTCGGTCTTTCCACTTCGTCCCTGGCATGAACTACCTGGGTGCCCAAGGGTCGCCACCGTCACCGTCGCCGCCACCGCCACCACCGTCTCGATGCTCATCGCTCCTCTCGCTCCAAAACCCCTTCCCGTAGCTGACGAGTAACTCCTCGCCCTTCGCGATGCCCGCAGCATTCCTGCCGGCGGGCAGGACGAAGACGGCCATGCACCGCTCGCCGCCGCGCCGCGGGTCCCAGCACTCGCGGAACTCGCAGTTGGGGCGGGCGCGCACGCCGCGGTAGTCATTGACGAAGCGGGCCTCGTTGCCGGCGTCGTGCGCGTCGACGGCGAGCCCCGCGTCGCGGTCGAGCCACAGGTCGTAGTCCGACGCCTCGTGGGCCGCGCCGTGCGGCGCCAGCGCCGAGTGCACCACGCCGTAGTACGGCAGCACGAGCGCGCCCGCCGCCAGCCGCCGCGCCGCGAACAGCCCCCGCTGCCCGCGCGCCGGGTGCGCCGCCTCGCCGATCGCCACGATCCTCACCGCCGCCGACGGCCCCCGCGCCAGGTCCCGCGGTATCTCCGCCGCCGCGCCCCCTCCCCGCGTCCGGGCGGCCTCGCGCTGCGCTTCCGTGAGGTGCGCCGCGTACGACGGCTGCGAGAGGTACCGGATCGAGGGCGGCCAGTTGCGAGGTACCGAGTCCTTCCCCATTAGGCAGGCGGGTGCATGTCACTGCTGTCTCCTAGCCCGATAGTCTCAGCTCCCGCCAGCGGCGATTCAGGTAGCAGTCGGATGGTCTCGGGATCGGTGCGGCGGATAGCACAGGCGTGATCAACTTTTGAGGAGGCATGCAAAAAAAATCCCGGTTGGGAGAGGCGTCTTCCGTCTGATTCGATCGTTTAATAGGTAGGTGGGTAGGTGGGTAGGTAGGTACCGTACGGAACGGACTGCTCCGATGCACCCCACATAAACACCGTCGCATCCACATGGTAATACTACCGTGACATCTCTACGCGTTGGATAGTAGTTGATCTGTCTCCTAGTCTGATATCTTTACAGATCTTGTATCTTCTTAGCTGTGGGGGTAATGATATGTCGGCCTAAGAAGCTAAGGGTATGTCACCGCTACAGACAAGCTCTCGATAGGTCTTGTGGATATGTGAGTGGTCCAATTTACTCTAGCGTGATGCACTTGAGGTTTGCAATGTTCCTGATTTTCTTATGGAACTCATGGCACAAAAAGCCCCGCTGCCGTCCATTATAACGCACGCGAGACAGCAGGCATATACGTATTTAGAGGCGCCGAGAGACCTGCAGTTCCTCTGAAGATCTTGATGAGAGACTATAACCGTAGCTACCTAAGTATGTACCCCCCTTAGTATACATCCCAAGACTCAAACGAGGTTAGAAGTTAGAAGGGGTACCTATCATCAATGGGGGGTACGGGTTGGTTCTTTTAGGAGGCTCATCTTTCAACAACAACGCACATTACAGCCAATGTTCCCAAAAGGTTCGAGACGATTGTTTTGTTTTAATATGTTTCCAACTGGCTACTTACTCAGCATATGAGGGGTGCTACTTACTGTACGCTCGCACTACAAGCATCCTTACCTTCTCGTCATGATGATACGCAACGGTTCCGGGAACTATGCAATTGAGAAGCGGACCTCGAGCCGATCGCCCTCCTTGGTAATCGACTTGACCTTACCTTTCTTTATGATTTCGAGGATCTGGGCTTCGATTTCCCCTTGAGCCGGCATCGATAAAGCCATCACCTTCGTAGCCTCCTCGATAGGTGGAGCATCTGGCATATCGATGTCCGTGTCCTTCTCTTCTGCGTCCTGCCCAGTCTTTTGCTGCGCGGACAGCATGCTTAGAAGGTCATTCCCAGTCATTTTTACGTCATCGGGTCCGGATGATTTGGCTGCGCCAGCGTCCGAGTCCATTTTGACGACGCGGTCGCATTTGCCACAGTTGCAGTCGGTGGTAACGTTCAAGGGAAGCTGGGGAGGAAACGTGGGACTGGGAGTGGACTGGGTAGATCTGTCCATTTTGACCGAGTAGCGATTGGCCGACGGTTGGCCGAGATTGAGCAACTTACCTGGGATATTGTGATCCTGTTCGACTGTTTACTCAAGCAATGTCGGGTACACCAAGGTCTTTTATTGGCTTGGCAACTTGAGAGCTTGGGGTATCCGGTGATGACTGAGGCGATGATGATGATTCAACACTCTCATCCGCGAGAGCCCACATTTATAGACGAGAGACCGCTAAAAGGACAGAAAACGTGGAAACAGACGAGGACAAAAGAGCGCGTGGCGTTCCTTGGACCATCCCGGCTCCTGATACGGAAGCCATCAACAGACAACGCGAGGGAGGGGACAATGAATGAGCGCTGTTCGCTCGCGGGCCGGGGTTCAAAGAATTCGTTGTCTAACTCGATCTTGTCTCGAACATGCGCACACCTCGAACAGCGTGCGGCTGGCCTAGTGGTGAGGGATGTGAAGCGTCCCACGGGTTCGTTAGATGCCTCTAGCCCGTCCGTGAGCAATGCATGCAGGTCAGGATGTGCCTAAGGTGAGGAGAGGGCGTCTAGAGGGGCTGCGGCACAGGCGCGTAACGTGCCAGATACAAGCTCTTATAGTAGATCCCTCCTCTTCTTTGGCGCCCAAAACATGACAGGCGTCCGATCGAAATAACTAACCTCATTCCTATAGCCGTTGCGGAACCCCGTCGAAGCAAGAATTCCTCCGTCCCCCCCCCTGTCACCCTAAGTAAGGGTAGGTAACCTCTGAGGCGGGAGGTAGGTACCTACCTGCCGGTGGGAGGCAGGCGGTCATTTCTTGGTCGACGGCTGGAGGAGGTAAGTACCCAATGCGCCTATATCAGGTCCCTACTAAGTACCGTCCATATCGCAGCGGCTAAGGAACAGCAGGAGTTGGCGGTTGAGGAGGAGCACGCGAGTCGAGTCTGCCGGTGCCGTTAGTACTGCATAGGTATGTCGCCGCCCAATCTCGGGTGGCCCAGTACCGGGCAGATACTCGCCCACCTTACACGCCACTGACGTCACGGCCAATGCGTATCCGTGTTGTGCCTGGGAAGTTGGAACTCACGTTGCCGATACCTACCTTACTTAGGTAGGTAGGTAGGTAGGTACCTGGTAGGCACCTATCTCGGGTGCTTCCTCTTCCCTCCCATCGACATACCCGCCATTCAGAACCTCATCGAGTCCACTCTCTCCCCCACCTCCTCTCTGTTCTTCTCTTAGCATCGCCGCGGGGCTCTTTCGCTCTCACCTCCACGCTCTTTATACCTATATTCCTTCGCGTCCTGGGTTCTCTACCTACGCTCTTCACACTCGACTTCTCTGTTCCTCACTGCGTACCCGCCTACCAACCGCCTCGATGAGCTAGCGACCTTCCACCCCCAGCCTTCGCACCAATGCTCTTCGCTCCAAACCCTTGCGCCGTTTACCGCTGAGAGACACGCATGGCGCTGTTACTGTTACCCACCCACAGCATGTCACAAATGCTTAGCTGCCCCATTCGAGGACCATCGCCACCCCGGTGCTTCGCCCTGTCCCTCTGTCCCTAGCTTCTGTTTCGCTACCTTAGATGCGCGTTGCCGTGGACCATCCCGCCTCACCAACAGGCCAAGCCAGCCTTGACTCGATGGGTGGCAATCCTACCACAGCGCTCCTAGTGCCTCGTATGTAGAACGCAGGGCCTTGCTTCAAAAGCCTCATCGACTCCTCTGTATAGTCAGCCGTCAACGACTCCGGGAATCCATGCTATTGCTCGTGCCTGCCGTAGTAGGCATTCGAATTCTATCGCTTCTCCCCTCCAGACCCTCCGAGATACGGAAAACACACCTACACCTTTTGTTCTTCTCCCCTCTTCTTGTGCCCCTCGGCTCTATCCCTCAGATAGTCCGCGGCCCCTGCTTCCTCTAATCCACCTTTCCCCCCTCTTGCTGAGAGTACGAGCACGTGGGAAGAGATACTGAACGTCTTTTCGGGTTCCGGGCTCGGTTTCAGTAACGTATGAGAAACTGCGTGCCCGGTTTTCGAGACAGCCTCGAGTGAGCCATTAGGGCTGCGTTCAGGCACTGCCGGTGCCGTTATTAGCTGCGACCAAACGAGTTCGACTTCTAGGTCGTCCCTATGTTTGTGATAATATGGAGTCAAGTCCTGATCACCAGCCAGAAGCCGCTAACCACCTCGTTACCAAATCCCCTCGCAGTGGTACTCAACGCGATGATCACATAGAAATCTCGTCGCACGAGGCGGTTGCGATCCATGGCCGGTCTGCGGGCACACATACGACTACCAACCATCCCCAAACCCGAAGCCGCAGGTCCTTCACGGAAAACTTTCCCCTTTCGATGGACACTGATATTCAACGGGATCTGCCCCCTGTAATTACTTCGCCCTGGAGTGATGGTTCAGATCATCAGCTCGGCCATGGCTCAGGCGCTAGGAGTGCCGTTGACCCTTCGGATAGAGTATTTCCTATTCGTTCCGTCGTCAGTGTCAACCCGTCGCAACGGAAAACCTCAATATCGTCGCAGGGTCAGGGTGACCAAGACTATACTTTGCGCAATGAGACAACCTGGGATGGGCGCCGGCCCAGCGAACCCCCCTTTTCACCAGTTAAACCGAGCGGACCGCAGCTAGTTGAAACCATCTCGGCTCCAGGATCGTCGCCTCGGGACTCGCCAACCGATGTTCACGAATCGAAGAGACGACGGAGGAGGGATACCTCTTCCGGCTTCATCACAGGCCAACCGTCCGCGTTGGAACGGCCAGATCCCGTTGCGCCATTGTCGTTCTTTAGCTCTGCGAATTCGGACGAAAGCTCTGATAAGGCAGGGGAGGGCAAGCCTTCGCATGCAGGAAGTAGCCTCCCGGGAGAATCTATTGGCCGCGGGTCTCTCGAAGGGCTCGATGATACTCTAATAACCACCCGGTTCCGTCATTTGATGACTGATGAGGGCCATGCCGTTATCACGGGTAGGGATGGCACTTTGCAGCGATGTGAAGACGAACCGATCCATACCCCAGGCGCCGTCCAGTCCTTTGGGCTCCTCGTTGCCTTAAGAGAGGAGACCGAAAGTCGATTCTCCGTTCGATATGTGAGCGAGAACTCCAAGAAGATCATTGGGTTCTCTCCTCAAGAGCTTTTTCGGCTTGAAAGCTTCACCGAGATACTTAGTCAAGAGCAGACAGATAATCTTCTTGACCACATCGATTTTATACGGGACGACGAGGCGGATCCCGCAGTCAACGGGCCCGACGTGTTTAGCATATCCATATGGCCTCCTCATAAGAGGTCTATTAAGCTCTGGTGTGCGCTTCACATAAATGATAATCACCCCGACCTGGTCATTTGCGAATTTGAGCTTGAAGATGACCAAGACCATCCTCTCCGGCCACCGGGCGAGCTGACTCCAGAGGAGCCCGAGGACACGCTCTACCAACACCCAACAATAGAAGAACTCCAAGAGAGCACAGGAGTCAGCAGCAAGCCCTTGAGGGTACTGAGGAACGCGCGCAAAAGACGTGGCGAGGCCAGTGCTATGCAAGTTTTTGATATAATGTCCCAAGTTCAAGAGCAGCTATCGTCTGCACCGAACTTGGAGAAGTTTCTTAAGATCCTGGTAGGGATCATCAAGGAGTTGACTGGCTTCCACAGAGTCATGATATACCAATTTGATGCCGCGTTTAACGGGAAAGTCGTGACTGAACTCGTTGATCCTGCCCAGACTCGCGACTTATACTACGGCCTACACTTCCCTGCTTCCGACATCCCGAAACAAGCGCGCGATCTCTATAAACTCAACAAGGTCCGGATGCTCTACGACCGGGATCTAAACTCAGCTAGACTCGTTTGCCGGTCCTTGGATGATTTGGAGCAGCCGCTTGACCTTAGCTATTCCTACCTTCGCGCCATGTCTCCTATCCATCTCAAATACCTCGCTAACATGGCCGTCCGGTCCTCCATGTCCATTTCGATTAATGCATTCGATGAGCTATGGGGTCTCATCGCGTGCCATAGCTACGGCCCCAACGGGATGCGAGTTCCGTTCCCGATTCGAAAGCTATGCCGACTAATAGGGGATACGGCATCGCGTAATATTGAACGTCTCTCGTATGCGGCACGTCTGCAGGCCAGGAAGCTCATTAACACGGCGCCAACTGATAAAAATCCTTCCGGATACATCACTGCTTCCTCCGAAGACCTGCTCAAGTTATTCAATGCAGACTTCGGTATGTTATCTATCCGGGGAGAGACCAAGATTCTAGGAAAGGTTGAGCAGTCACAGGAAGCGCTCGCCATGCTCGAGTACCTACGCTTGAGGAATTTTACTTCTGTTTTGACTATTCACGATATTCGCGAAGATTTTCGCGACCTCGATTACCCTCCTGGGTTTTCTACTATCGCCGGCCTACTATATGTTCCACTGAGCGTAGGTGGGCACGATTTCATCGCCTTCTGTCGCAAGAGTCAAGTCAGAGAGGTAAAATGGGCAGGAAACCCGTACGAAAAGGTCATCAAAGAGGGAACCACGAATTTCTTGGAACCGCGGTCGAGCTTCCAAGCATGGCACGAGGTTATTGTCGGAAAATGCAGGGAATGGTCTGAAGAAGAAGTAGAAACTGCTGCAGTGCTATGCTTAGTATATGGTACGTATGCAAAACAATGGCTCCAGGCCTCCAGACTTCCTTTCCCCCAACTCCCATATATGATGAAGACTGCTTACACTGTTTCAGGCAAGTTCATCGAGGTCTGGAGGCAAAAAGAGGCGGCATTGCAGAGTAGCCGACTCACTCGACTTCTGTTAGCCAATTCCGCACATGAAGTACGCACACCATTAAACGCCATTATCAACTACTTGGAAATCGCCTTGGAAGGTTCGCTCGACGATGAGACCCGAGAAAATCTAGCAAGATCTCACTCGGCATCGAAATCGCTCATATACGTCATCAACGACCTCCTAGATCTAACCAACACAGAAGAGGGTCAGGAGTTGATCAAAGACGAGATATTTAACCTGTCAGCTTGTATACGGGAAGCCACCGAACCTTTCAAGGTAGACGCCAAGCGAAAAGAAATATCCTACAAGATTACCGAGCATCCTGGCCTTCCCGAATACGTCCACGGCGACTATCGTCGCGTACGCCAGGCGGTTTCCAATATAACAGCAAATGCAATGCAGCATACAACCGAGGGGTTGGTCGAGGTCGAGTATTACGTGTCGGAGATTTTCGAGACTCGCATCAGAGTCGAAATCGCGGTCCAGGACACAGGCTGCGGTATGAGCAGGGAGAAGCTCGACAATCTGTTCAGGGACCTTGAGCAGGTTACTGCAGATGCGGACGAACCTACGGCTATTACGGAGGCTGAAAAGCCAGACGGAGGCCGTGCTCTAGGTCTAGGTCTTGCAGTAGTCGCTAGAATAGTTCGAAATATGGACGGCCAGTTACGACTAAAGTCAGAGGAGGGGAGCGGATCAAGATTCGTCATCCAAATTCCCTTCGAGTTGCCAACGGTCGAGTCTCTCGAGAAGATGAGTGGCAGAGACGTTTCCGTCGACTCCCTGCCAACCCACAGCATTCCGTCCGTCACCAAGGCCTTGCCACGGACAGACGTCGGCGAGCTTATGCTCATAAATAGAGGAACGTCTACACCAGTCTCTGCACAGAACCGCGCCGACATGGAAAGACGAAGCATCGACGAGGCGAGAAGTATCAGTTCCCTGAGGAGCGGCACTAGTCTCGGCGCTCAGAGCAACAAGAGCGATGCGGACCGCCTGATTGACGCGATCCAGACGCCCTTGTCCCTAGGGGAGCCTGAGGAGAAGACCGCTGGTAAGGGTGTACAGCGATCTAGTGCTAAAGAACAGAGTATGAGTTCTAACACCAGAGGCGCCTCTATCCAAGGCCTCAACATAATCCAGGCGCACAATGTCAATACGAGAAGTATAGAACGGCACACTACTCCACCACACTTGACAACAAACCTAATCGAAGCTCCACCAAACTCATCTAGCAGGGCATACAGCGTCACGGATACGAAAACACCTATCAAACCCGTCAAGATGTCAGATGAGTGTTCTGATAAACCCGCGGTATCCCCAAAAGAACTGCAGTCTGAAGTGTTGTTCGAAGTCCCCAGCCAATCTAAACGTGACATCGGCCATATCAACCAAGACACGCCTCCCTCCCCAGAGAACCCAGGTAAATTACGGGTACTCGTTGCTGAAGACGACCCAATTAACATGATGATAATCAAGAAACGCCTTGAGAAGGTCGGGCACGACGTGTACCATGCGGTTAATGGTGAAGATTGCGCCACTGTTTACGAAGAACGACCCAGCGCATTTGATGTTGTTCTCATGGACATGCAGGTAAGTTCTCGGGTGGCGTCATCTACTATGTAACTGACCTTTAACCAACACAGATGCCCATCGTAGACGGTCTCACCAGCACCGAGATGATAAGAGCGTTCGAGACATCAGGGAAATATCCGCGAGTGTCCACGCCGGCCGGGGAGCGCGCGAGAATTCCGATCTTTGCCGTGTCCGCGTCTCTTTTGGAACGGGAGAGGTCAATATATGTCAAGGCCGGCTTTGATGGGTGGATTTTAAAGCCAATCGATTTCAAACGACTCGATTACCTCTTTAAGGGGATCGCCAGCGAAAAGGCCCGAGGCGAGTGCCTCTACGTGCCTGGCAATTGGGAACGCGGTGGATGGTTTTCGCTCCACCCCGAAATGGGGGGGAGCGCGTCTCGCAAAATAATGACACCCCCAAGTCGCGTCAATACATGAGTGGTCCATTCGATGAGCTCTTTGGCCCCGAATTATTGTACGGTTCCTCCGTCGATTATGATTATCGAGTCGGTCAGTAATGGCGTACCCGTGTCGGAGCAGGGTTGAATCCTCCAGACTGGCGGTGCCTGGATGCACCTTCAAATCAGTTGGGGTGGTCAGACGGCATATCGCGTCTGTAGGGGCAAGTTATATCATGACGGATATGTGCTGGACGGTACGACGAACGCAAGTTGCCCTGCCGTCTTCTGCTAATATACATACCCCACGGGACTGTGCATCCGCGGGGATAACATATACATGTCTTGGGCTCGTCGATCCCGCAACGCTATCTACGGCCGTCGGGGAGAGAGGGCACACGGAGGACTGTTGGACGGACAACGTTAAATCGGACGGTGAAGCGCAGAGGAGGCTCGCCGGCTCGCTTGCCCACACGGTAGTTTGCTTCGCGTTTCGGACGAGGTTTAGTAGACCGCGGCTCTAACGACACTCGGGAAGACGACATTTTTACCGCGTACGATTCCGTCGATAGCTTCACCCACGTTCGCTAATAGTTCTCCAGGCTCTCAGTTGGTCGGGTACTAGGTTGCGTGCAGCAATGTACATAGCCACACACATACACACACACAGAGAGAGAGAGAGAGAGGGAGAGATTATCCCTTCATTCCCGACAAAGCAAAGAGACAGAAGCGGGAGAAGGGGCAGGGGGTGTCGTAATATAGATACTACGCCCGCTCCCACCAAAAGAGGGTGCACGGATTTCTAGTTACGCGGGATCCTGAGGATAGCACGGCAACTGAAACGGATAAATAAAAAATGCTCTGGCGGGAGCGGCTTGCATTGGGACCGCTATCTAGGCCGCGAGCGCGTACATATATATATACATTTTTCCGTACCTTATGACTACACGTGTGTCGTTAAACACATGCGAGCGCGCGCGCGCACTTAGAGCACATTCTCCCCCCACCCCCCCCGTCCCTGCCCCGGGGTCTGCCACCACCGGTAAGGTGGGTGAGATATGGGTCGCCGACCCCATCGTGTAAAATGCCGTATTAGTGGTATTAATCATATCGCATCGGAGCTCGGAGCGCCACCCCGTCCCCGCCAGCCCAATAGCTAGCTAATTTTATGTCCGCCCCCCTTGTCTGCTCTCCCGTATTAGCTCCCACACCACAAAGATACAAAGAGCCCGTAACTACTACTTCCCGCCGCTCCTCTTCTTGCGGCGGTTCTTCTTCCTGTCGCCCCTGGGCGCGGTCGGAGGAGCCGACGGGCCGTCCCCCTGGGTGGACGAGACCGCCGAGCGCGGGGGGTGCAGCCCCGCGCCTTCGTCCTCCTCGGACGAGCTGCTGTTCGCCTCGAGCACGACCTTGCGGATCCCGCCGGACTCGATGATGTTCTCGGTGATGCTGCCGCTGCGCACGTGGCCCCTGCGCCGGCCCGTGGTCTCGCGGCCGCTCTCGGCGCTGTCCGTCGTCGAGCTCCGCGTCGGCGACGCGTGGCTCCGGGTGCCGGCGGCGTCGGCCCCGGTCTGCGTGCTCTGGTCGACGTGGTCCGAGACTCCGTCTGCGACGCTGGCTGCGATCTCGGGCGAGGTACGAGGGCTGGCGGCGGCGCCGGAGGGCTCGGTGTAGCTTTGCTGGAGGGCTTGGATGCCGTCCTTCGCGTTCAGCAGTGGCCTTAGCAGACTCGTGCGCTCGTCCGCGGCGTTTTCCGCGCTGTCCGCAGTGTCGACAGCAGGGCTCAATCCGGCCCGGCCTGGCTTGATTTTAACAGCTGCAACTCGTGAACTCTTGGGGTTCGATGCTGGGTTCGACGGGCCAAGGTGCTTGAAGTGATCCCTAATGTCTCCAAAGTTGGCCTTGACCGGTATCGGGCCTTGTCCCAGTTGACCATCCTGGCCCCCGGAGCGCCTTCGCATCAACAGGGTCGCCACCTTCGGGCTGGTACCGAGGATGGATGATTCGGTCCTACTGCTAAGCGATATAGTCCTCCTAAGTTGATCGGGTTTCCCATCCTCCTCCTCAATGTCGATAAGCGCTCCCTCCCTGGCTTCTATCTGGCTGATCAACATGTCTTTCCGCAGAGCCCTAGCCTTAGGGGCAGGATGAGTTCTACGAATGGCCTTGTGGACGTCGACATAAACATCCGACTCGTCAATGATTTCCCTACGGTTGTGACGGTGAGTACGATGAACGAGTAGGAGAGAATGCATGGGGCGCGACTTACTCTCCAATCAGCTCTTCTATCACATCTTCGAGAGTGACGACTCCCAGGGCACCATGATCATCGCCGGGGGACTCCGAGATTAGCACCATATGGGATTTCCCCTCCTGGAAGAAGTTGATAATGTCCAGACAGCTGGTCTCCGGTCGGGTTTCGGGGAGGGCAGCAAGAGCAAAGTCCTTAACCCGCTTACCGTCCTCGGGGTCGTACGTAATGAGAATTTTGACGAGAAGCATACCGACGAAATTTGTCGGATTGCCGGTTTGGTAAATCGGTATACGAGAATACCCCGCGTCGAGGATCTGATCAATAGTCTTCTCGTCCAGTACCGTGTCCTCTGACATGACGAAGACATCCTCCATGGGCGTCATGACCTCCTCGACAGCCTTGCGCTTCAAATCTAAGACGGCGCTGATGATGGTGACCTCGTCTTGATTCAGCCGTTCGTCGACCTCGCCCAGTGACTTATGAAGCGTCACCAACGTCTTCAAGCCACTCTTCTTGTATATGGTCCCGTGGTCTTTGCCGAGCATCCAGTCGAGAAGCTTCGCAGTGGGCCACGCGACGGGGGCCATGAGGTACATGAGGAAGAGGACGGGTTTCGACATGTAACCGCCAATTTGGAGACCGTAGCGAACGCATATAGACTGAGGGAAGATCTCGCCAAAAATAACTATGAAATAAATATTATTAGCATAAGGGACCTGGAGAAGAAACAAAAGCGAACGCCGCCTGAGATTCCTCTTACCAATTAAGACGGTACTGCCGACAACCGCGGCAACGCCACCGCCAAAACACCTGTCCAGAACAACGGGGAGGGTCTCGTTGACGATGACATTGGACAGGAGGAGCGTCACCAGCACCCAGTGTTTACCTCTCATAAGAAGGTCGTAAACGCGTTTAGCATTTTTCCGCTGAGGTTCCTCGGGGTCGAGGGATATTACTTGTAGGTAGATTTCGTCCTGGCCCATGAGAGCGATGGTCAACCCGGCAAAGGCGCCCCCCAAGAGCACGAGGGCCATGGATACGGCGAAGAGCACCCATAGGGCGCCGCCGTCAGCTTCGGGAACATCGTCGTCGTAGTGTTGAGACGGGTGTACGGGAGACAGAGGGGCAGCGAACGCGAAGCCCAGCGAGAGGAAGATAGCTCGAGATACGCCAAGTACAACAGTCCGGGCGCGAAGAACACCGTCGATTCCCATGCTTTGTCTCAATTGAGATGGATACCAGTCGGCAGGTCGAAACGCGGTACAGTCGGAGGAAGGGACTGCTTTTTTTATTATTTAAAGACGAGCGAACAAAAACAGAACGGTAAAGACAGACGTTCCTTTCTCAACAGGAATTCCTTTCGATTCGGCGATTCGCAGGCGCTCGGAGGCCGAGCAACCAAGACGAGAGGTATCCCCGAAACGGTGTCACCCGCTACAAATTCCCGTTGCCTAGGAAGTAATTCGGCTAGTCGACGGAAGAGCCAACCAGTATACGGTCCAACGACCGCGCCGTCACTAACACAGGCCCAAAGGCAAATAAAGGAAAAGAGTAAAAGCCCACGACAGAGTCAGAGGGTGACTCAGACACGGGTACAGAATAAAAGAGAAGAGAAGGGAAAGGAGGGGAGGGGAGAATCGACGGCACTAGTTGATAGTATTATATTACGGTGTAGTGGGCGCACAGTGGGAGGCTCCGGGTTCTTTTATGGCGAGATGGAAGAATCGAGGGTGGAGGAAGAGGAAGAAGAGGCCGGCGAAGAGGGTTTTGGGGAGGACCAGGTCGAGATAGAAGTCTTCTCGATACGCCTCGAGCCGATAAGGTCGAGCTTCAGCTATCACCGTACTCTATTACCTTGACGAGCTGCGCGCAGCTTGGGGATGGGCAATATCGCGGAGCCGGGATTGGTCGGACGAGCTTCGCAGTTATGCGGATGCAGGGAGAGGGAGCGGCGGCGATGCGATGCGAAGAAACAATAGACGAAAGAGACGGGTGCATACGACGGATAGACGCATATGCGAACATTATGCATGTACCAGGGGAGACGCGGATAATCGGATGCGGTCGACCCATCAAGGTTCCCTTGCCGGGCTTGGCCAGTTGCCTCGTTACGCTGCTAACCTCGTTATCATCCACTCAGTCAGGTAGCCAAGCTGCTCCACCACTCGCATCTACCTAGGTAGGCCCCGCCTCGTGCTGCGCCTTGCTTCGGACGGCGCAGGCCGATGGAGTTCTCGACGGAGCGCCTGCATAGCGATGACGAGGTTAGAGATATGTAGGTACATGCACACTAGTATGTACACATATATTAACGGCATACCTTAGGTACCTTAGACGGTGAGCGGTGTGCATCCCGGTCTCCAAAAGCGGGGGTTACCTGGATACGTAGAGCATGAAGCACGGCTAGGTACCTAAGGTACTTGGGTAAGCCGACAAGATACACAAGAGGACCTAACCGAGCAACGTTCTCGCCAGGCGTATGCACGTACCTCTTCGGTACCCTAAAACGCCTATAAAGGTACCTAGGAGATAAGCGCCTGCAGAAGGCAAGGGAGCAACTATAGGTACCTGGTTATGTAGGTAGTACGTCAGCGTTACTCACCATTATTACTCGATAACCCATATTGATTAGTCCGTTTAGCTAGGTAGGTAATCTCTATGAGTATTTCGCATTGCATCAGTATGAGTAGGTATCTATCCAGACCTTCTTCCCTCTATCAGGGGTATTCCCTCTCCGCAAGCCATCGCCGAGTCGACGACCCGTCGGCCGCATCTCACGAAGCCGTCCAGCCCGTTCCCGTTCCCGTTCCCGTTTTCGTCCCATCTCGTCTCGTCTTGTCTCGCGTTCAGTCGTACCAGATAGCGTTCATGCCGAAGCCCGGCTCCGGGATCCTGCATCGGGCGACGCGGCTCAGGAACTCGTCGCGCCACCGGTACATCTCGACCCAGCCCTCCTGGTCGTCGGTGATGGCCAGCCACTCGTCGCTCCAGTCGCACGGCGCGACGGCGTTGCTGTGGCCGCCGCTCGTCGGCGTCGGGTTGAGGCAGAGCTGCCGCTCGACCGACCCGCAGCCGCGCAGCCGGAACGCCGCCACGTAGCCCTGCAGGTCGAAGCTGTTGGCCCGGCTCGACGCGAACAGGTAGTCGCCCGACCGCGACAGCGCGCACACGTCGCTGCGGTACATGGTGTCGTGCCGCGGCACCCCCGGCGGGATCAGCGGGAACGCGTGGTGCGTGTACACCGGCATGCGCGTCGCCGGGTCGATCACGTACTCGCAGAGCCGGTTGCCCGCCTCCATCAGCGCGTACAGGTAGTTGCCCGTGGGGTGCATCGCCACCCACCGCGGGTGGTCCCCCGGGTCGGGCGCGTCGACGCTGCCCACCAGCTCGACCGCCCCCGACGGCGCCTTCTTGTGCACCCACAGCTTGTTGGCCCGCAGGTCCGCCGAGTAGAGGTACGTCTCCGTCGGGTCGAACACCATGCCGTGGATCCCCGTGTCGGGCTGGTACGGGTAGTTCTGGATGTTGCGCTCGAGCGCCCCGGTCGGCGACGCCGAGAAGACGGCGCCGTGCCCGGCGTGCGAGTAGAACGGGTTGCAGTAGACCGCGTACGGCGGCTGTTTCGCGGCGAGCAGGAAGATGGCCCGGGTGTTGGTCGTGGCTAAGCTCGCCTGGGCTGCGCGCCAAAACGGGGAGAGTTAATAATGTTGAGGGTAGGTGCCGCGTAGGGGAGACGAGCAACGAAGTGGCCGCGAGACTTACGATCATGTTCCATCGTATGCGAGGCCTCGTGGACGATTTCGGTCGGGCTCTTGACGGCGAAGCTAGACCATTTCTTCATCGCCGCGCCGTAAATGTTCGTCTTGGTGTGCTGTAAGGTCGAAGCGTGAGCAGATGCGCACGCTGAGAAAGTTGATCCGGTCCAGCACAGCCCAGCCCCTCTATAACCTTTCTATACAACTTACGTCGAAGGTCATCCACGAGATGGGTTCGTCGTGGGGGATCTCGGTCCTCTTCACCAGCTCCAGCGTCAATTTCTCATCGTCGAAAGCGACAGTGAAGATAGCCCCCGGCGGGGTCCATGTCCCTACCATCAAGTGGTGAATGGGCATTTTCTGATGTGTTCGCGAGATGGAGGGGATCTTCCGAGTATAGAAGCGCGCTCGAGCGAGCATGTGACTGCAGGCTTGTCTCTTACGGATGGGTCGATGGCCGGGCTCGACGTCTTGAGGAATTGGCCTCCGGCTTCTTCATCACCTAGTCGCACACTAGTGACACAGGTACCATCTAGAGGTGGGAGATTAGGGTTCAAACCGTGTAGCCACAAGGACGACGGCAGGGTTGTCTCGGGGCGTGGTTTCTAGTGTTTTTCGGCTTACATTTGTCTTCTTTTTTGCTGGGGGGGTTTTTTTTCTATTTCCCTCTTGTCCCTCGGCGTGAGAATTCGCGGAATTCGCTATCCCAACTTATCCAAGCTCTAGCATCATCTTGCTGGGGAAGACCATCGCGCCCATCATTTCTCATGCTGCGTCGTCCCGGGCACTGTGCCGGCGGCGGTGGGTTGGTTAAGGGTCCCCCATTTGGCGTCCCCGCACCCACTCGACGATATTCCTTTCCCCCTCCTCCATTTTCCCAGCCCTCCCCCCTGTCTTCCGAGCTCACACCATTCGTACTGCACCTATTCGTTAACGGTAAGTGGTCGCGGCACGCGGGTTAATTCGTTACTAGGTCCCGGGTGGATGGCCACATGCTGAATCTGCATTTGCCACGCTGCAATGCCGGGTAAACGCTTCATCGACTGTGTTCCCCGCCGCGCGTCAAGGTGTGAACAGGGTGTGATGTCGCCATGCTGGACCCTGGCCGAACAACGACCATCCCGACAAGTCGACCCGTCAGTCTTTGCGCAATCGTCTAGTAGGCCTACCAGACCTTAATTGAACGGTCTCGATGGACATCTAGGCGGGCTTTGCGAGGACGCGGCCAGCGGACATCGCCAGGAAGCACATGTTTCAAGCCCATCCAGTGTTTCAAGGAATGCCCAGACTCTAGTGGGAAACTATCAGGACAATGCGATGCGTTGTGCCCACCCCGGACACACACTCGATCCTAGGTTGCGGTTCTAGAAGGCCGGCCCCCTTCCTGTCGAGCCGTCTCCGCCCCTCCATGGGCGATAAATCACCCGAGGCACCTGGTGGTTGTATACGGCTTGGCTGCCGTGAGATAAATCCGATCCACACGTTGCGGCTTCGAGATGGCGGGGTTTTCTCACCTCTCGAATAACCTATCACAGATGGCCCATTGCTCATACGATGGCAGCAATTGATGGGGGAAACGTAAAGGGTTGTAGCACCGCTGCCGCTGCCGCTATCACTACCGGTCCGCTTGTTTTAGTTCGCTCCTCGTCCCATTCGGCGGAATATTTCTGCTCTACCGGATGATGGGACGTCGGGTCTAGTCTTGTATATATTCCAAGTGCTCCGCCTGCTCTCTATCTATATATTTCTCGTGTCTCCTCGTTCCTGTGCCCATCCGGACGTCAGCCTTTCCTTCACCAGTTCCCCCCCATCCTCCCCAGCCTCTCACCATCCGTCCTTCGAACAGTCCCCAAGATGTCTTCCGTGACTAACGGCGCATCGGCGGCAGAGGCCTCCAAGCCTTCCCGCTTCGATCCCAACTTCACTCAACATGTCATCGACACTATGGGCCCCAATACTACTGAGAGGAACCGGGTGGTCTTGAGTGCGCTGATTAGACACGTCCACGACTTTGCTCGCGAAGTCGAGCTTACGATCGACGAATGGCTGGCCGGCGTCCGCTACATCAACGAGGTCGGCCGCGTCTACACCGAGTCCAAGCAGACGAGGAACGAGACGCACCGACTGTCCGACATTCTCGGGCTCGAGACGTGCGTATCCCCTCGAGCAATGCTCTGATGAGAGAAACTGACAAGCTGCTCTCCTTCAGACTGGTCGACGAGATCGCGCACAAGATCATCTCAGAGACGGACGTCGACCCGACGTCGTCGGCGATCCTGGGGCCGTTCTGGTCGCCGAACGCGCCGTTCCGAGAGAACGGGGACACGATCATCCAGAACCCGGCGCCGAACGGGCGGGTGACGCTCATGCACGGCGTGATCAGCGACCTGGTGACGGGCAAGCCGATCCCCGGGGCCGTGTTCGACCTCTGGCAGGCGTCGGCCAACGGCAAGTATGACTTCCAGGACCCGGACAACCAGTCGCCCAACAACCTGCGCGGCAAGTTCCGCGCGGACGAGAACGGCAAGTATTGGTTCTACTGCTACTACCCGACCGCCTACTCGCTGCCCCGCGACGGCCCCTCGTGGCAGCTGCTGCAGATGATGGACCGCCACCCCATGCGGCCCGCCCACATCCACATCATGGTGAGTCCCGGCCCTTGCTTGTCTGTTGCCTTCCCCCCCCCCCCTCCCCTGAGGACTATATATGCACATATATACAGGGAAGAAGGGGCCATGTAAAACATGCGTACATCTGCTACGGCTCGCTGACCGCACACCCCGCCGCAGGTGACGCACCCGGACTACAAGGGCTGCACGACGCAGCTGTACCCGAAGGAGGACCCGTGGCTGTCGTCGGACACGGTGTTCGCGGTGAAGGACGACCTGGTGGTCGACTTCAAGCCGCTCGAGGGCGACAGCAAGGCCGAGCTCGAGCTCAACTACAACGTCATCCTCGCGCCGAAGGACTACAAGGGCAAGCCGTTCTAGACGAGCCGGCGCACCGACGCGGCGGGGGTCGAAACGCGAGCGCCTGCAGGCCCACACGGCGGGACAGCCGTCCGGGACTCGTCTTTGGGACTAGGACCCGTTATCGAGAGAAAGGGGGGATTTCCTGGCGTACTCGGTCGGAAGGGAAGGGAAGGGAATATTCACTAGCCGACAACATCCGCTGCCAACGCGGAGAGGGAGATCTGGTGGGGAAGAAGGACGAGGCGGTATGGCCATCAGGATACGCTACGGGATGCCTCACCCGGCGCCCATCTGTCTCCTCTACATACGCGGCATCAGCCCAAGGGGAAGACAGGGGAGGTGTGTACGGGGATGCGGAGGAACAGCATGGCTTTAGTCACGTATACGTATGTGTTTGTGAATATGTGCGTATGCTTGTATATAGATACAGTCACTGGCCTGGCCGGGCCCGGCAGGTACAAAATAATGAACGAGCGACGAAGCCGCAATAGTTCGTTCTAGAGACGCAGCCAGCCCGGCGAGAGTCTGTCTTATGATCTGGCGCAACCGATGACGTCCCCGAAGGTAGTAAGGAGAGCAAGCAGGGACATTAATTAGTGTTTTGACGAACGCCCAGGCCTCGGCAAAAGCAAGTCCGAGGAGTGAGTATCTCGAGATTCTTAGGCCCTAGTGGCGGTCTAAACAAGCAAGCAAGGGAAGCATCGCGGGCCGCTCTAGAGGGAGACAAAGGAGTTGAAAAGCCGCCGTGGCAGATATGCGGGCCGCCTCTGCCTGGACGTTCCTCGTTCTGCGCCTCGGGACGCAACGCAGCGGAGCAGAGCACCCGCCGGGGCTGGCTTCGGCGCGCGCTCCCGCGTCGAGCGCCGACGTCGCTGCCACCTTTCTTTTCTTGCGGAAGAGGGAGGCAGGCCTGCGCTAGGTGTGTGCCGTGTCGCGGGCGTGCGCGACGCGGTGGTCTACGCTGTTCCTGCATCCCTTCTGGGGAGGCGGTGCCGTGTCCGTCTCCTTCTCCTTCTTCACCCGGCACCCCCTTCGCATCGCTCCGCCAGCCGAGCGGGCCCGACCACGCACCGTCAGACGCCTACGCGTTCTCGCGCCGGCAGTCGACTCGGGTGCCAGGCGGCACGCCAGCCAGCCAGCCAGCCAGAAACACGGCGCCGGCGTGCTGGGCGCGGGGAAACGGGCGGGTTTCCGCGGGTGCGACGGCGTCGAGGGGAGGACCGTAGGAAAGGAGAGGGCCCCGGGAGTGTCGAGGCCGTCTCGACTGGCGGACTTGTCGCGCCGACGCACGCGAGAAGGCGGCTGGGGCCGAGGACGTGGTCCCTGGCAGACACGCCAGCGCCTCGGGTGCGGTAAATACCTACGAGTGCGTGCGAGACACCCCCACGGCCCAGCCCATCCGCCCGTCCTCTTCTCATCCTAGCCTTACCTTGCCCAGAACCAGCAACCCGCCAGGAGCACCACCAGCAACCGTACGCCGCAGACGCAGACGCAGGCACAAGTGCCCCGCGGCCAAGCCCAGCGGGTCGTTTCTCGGGCAGCAAGGCGGGGCCCGGGGCGCCGGGGGTAGTGTTGGTGGGGTACCTGGTTGACGTCTATCTGGCAAGATTGAAGTCGGCAACCCCTCGTCGGGTGCCGACAGGTCTACCGCGGCCGAATCTCCCGGGAGCCGGTGCGCTCGGGCGGCAGGGGGCTCTCGCCTGAGACGGCCACGTCGGCGCCCCGGCAGAGACCTCCTGCGGGGCGGGGACGTCGGCGGCACGGCCCAACGACGCAGTCCGCGGCTCCGTCTTCGCCAATCCAAACGCCGCACTCCCCCTAATCCATCGACCCGCCACGGCCCGGGATAAGCCAAAGCCGCGCGTACCCGCCCTGGCCCATCCCGCGCGTGCTTCTCGCAGAGGGGAGAATCGCGTCTGCCGTGCGAGACGCGGATACTCGCGGCGCATCGACGGAGGTATTAGGCCCCGCGAGGACGTTGCACATTAGATGTACCTGCCTGCGTACGTACACCGTTGCGTCGTCTGGGACGCTGGACATAAGCCACGTCTGCTCTCCCCTATATCCGGGATCCGCCTTTCGGAGCCAACGAGCCGGGCCACGACTCTCGTCCACCGCCTCTGCCCCTCCCCCTCTGCGCGCACGCAACTTCCAGGACACAGTGTCAGGCGAGCGTGCGCGATGTAGGTAGACATGTCAGCAACGACAGGGCCCCTGCCCCCCCCCCTCCCCCTCCCCCCTCCCCACGCCTCGAGCCCCAAAACACAGGCCGCGTGTTAGCCCGGCTGCTGGCAGAGCCCGCCTGTCGTAAATGTGTGCTAATTAGCTTCCGTACGCAGGTAAGCCAGGCAGGCAGCGCATGTGCGCATGCGTGTGGGGCGATAGGGATGGGGGCGGGAACGCGGGAAGAGCGAGGTTCGGTGGTATCTGACCGATCTATCTGGTTCTCCCGTCTAGCCTGGATACAGCCTAGGTCTCACTCTGGCTCCCGACCGCGTCGGCCTGCATACAGAGGCACCCCGGAGCCTAGCCGTGGGGAGGGGGCGTAGAGAGAGAGAGAGAGAGAGAGGGTCCGAGGGAAACCCCTCCCTCGTGGTCTTACTCAGCACTCTCCTGGCCGTCGGGACGCGCAGGGCGCGAGAGGGAAAAAAAGTGGGATGTTTTCGGTCCTATGTGTCGGTATATCTGGAATATCTTACGTGTACCATCGAGGTGTCATTTTTCCCCGGCAAGTGACTAGAGGCGAGGAGGAGTCACAGCTACTTTCCACCATATAGCGGGAGACCCATCTGCGCATCCCGGAAAGGCCACATGGGCGAATCGGCCAAGTCGCTGACGTCCCTAATGTCCCCCCAGGGATGATGGGAGAGAGAGAACGAGTAAATAAGTAGCGAGGCCTAGCTTATATGCTTTCTGTAGACCCGTACGCGAAGGGCTCAGCAGATATTCTGCCATCCCAAGGCATGCCGGTGTTTGAGGAGCTCCTTATAGGTGCCCTCCCTGGTAGACCAAATTTCTCTTCTCTGAGAAACATACCGAACCACGAGCAACCTTAACCTTGAGCCGTGTATACGCGCGGTCAGAGGGGTCCAGACAGAGCTAGTGGAGTTACTGGCGCACGTAGATCCCCTATTATCCTGTAGGTATATAAGGTGATGGATGGTCGGGAAGGACTATGCCGGGCGTTGCTTGAATCATGGGACGTTGATATTTTCACCCCAGGGTGTCTGTCTCTGTGCCCTCGGTCGGAGCCAGGTTAAGTAGGTAGGTAGATGTATAATATGTACATCTTCAATGCAAGCAAGCTTTGCATTTAGGGGCTACCTTGCTTGCAGATGACAATGATGTACGCATGAACCCTACAAGGGACCTGGCAGAGGGGAGAACTGGGCGCGCGCATTTACCAGGGACCGAAGTGCCGACGGCGAGCGAGCAGCGACGTGTTCGCCCAACCACAGCCCAAACCCTTCTCACGCCACGTTGGTCGGATTATCCCGAGTCTGCCGGCGCGGGGACGGGTGTGACAGCTTGGACATCAAATGGAAAGTCCGAGTCCTACATCAGGCGACGCTAAGCTGCCTAAGTGCAGCAGATCCTATGCCTGAAGGCGCCGGGGCGATGTATGGAGGTAAGTCGTACCATACACCTCGGTTGCCAAGGATTTCCAGGCTTCGCTTCGTAAGCCCGATGGGATGCGAGTATTGTTGAGGAAGAAGCCTTTAGCAAAACGCGGAGCTCTCTGGCCTGACTAGGGGGTTAGTAATGGACATGAACGCGGACGCGTGACCGCCCTGTGGGATAAGTCTAGGCACATTACAATATTCGGCCAATGTGACGACACGAAGAAGGCGGAGGTAAGGCTGGCTGGGTAGATGAAGGGTCTAGAGACCTGGACGCAACGGCGGTATGGGATTACATCCTTGCAAGCCGTAAACTCCGGATGCTCGGAAGGAATCGCACGTCAGAGAGGCTTCAAGTGTATTTCCAGTTCCTCCTTCACCATAGTCGGAAATATCCAACCGACCCGGCCTGCGTGCCCAAGGACTGCCCAACACTGACGGCGCCCCCTCTCAATGAATAGGGGTTCGATGGGGCTTTGTCTATCAACCCCGGCCTAGCGCACAGGCAGCCTCAGAGTCGAAACTCCAAGGCAACGAAATGGGACAAAACAAGTAGGCTAAGCAACAGAACGATCCAACTCAAATTCCGGGGTCGCGGTCAAGGGCCCATAAATGTGGGGCCTCTATATAGAGCAACGTGCTCTAACGGAGTTGGCTAAACCGTAGGCGTGATTCGACATGTAAGTGTATTATCGTAGGGGAATTCTAGGAATCAGCCGAGGATAGATGTTTTTTCTTGAAGCCTCCGACGGCTTGTTTGCCTCTCTCCCCATGCCGCGAAGGGATCAACGGAGAGGGTTGGAGGTGGCGCGTGATACGGGCCCGGACTGCCGGGTTTCCGCCTTGCTCGGGGTTCGATAATTAACCTGAGGTTGTTGGATCTTGCTTCAGTATCGTCGGGGATCGGTATCGGTATGGGTGTAGGTATATCCGTGAGTACTATGTAGGTAGGTGTACGGGGATCCGCACGTAGCACAAACATACCCCTTCTTCTGGCCCTGGTGTCTTAGGTCCCCCTGTCTAGAGAGCTAGAAACAAAAGGACGGGGGCTATCGACTAGTTGCGATCCCAACCGTTGGCTGTGCCGACCAATCAACCAACCAGCCAGCCAACCAACTCGGGGTTTGAGAGATTGAAAGCGCAAACCCGTCAACGTAAATGCGGTTAGCGGGGGTCAGAATTGTTATCGGACTTGACCGCCGCAATATACTGGAGGCCAAGCCGAAAGGGCCCATGTTGTTGTCCGAAGAAGCTATCGAAAACTCAGCAGGGGACAAAGCGAGAGCTACTTCTCGGGCCGGCTACACACCTTCGCATCATAAGGCTTATTCTCCGGATGTTTTCCAGGCGCAAGGGCTTAGCATCGCGTTCCTGTCTACCCCGGTACGTGGGTTTGAAGTCGCCCCACAGGATGTCGACACAGGCCTCGGCGTCGGGGAGGATGAAGTCATACTCCCAGCTGACAGTGCTCTGCTCTCTGCCATCCGGGCGTCTGGGAGGGACCTCATCCTTGAGGACGAGAGTGTACCTCTTGCCGTCGTTCTCGGCAACCCGGATCCGCAGCCCCTGGCAACGGGACAGGTCCCAGGACCGGGGGTCGACAGACCGCCGCGAGGCAAAGCCGGCGCCGCCCAAGGCCGTAATGTCCAGGTGGCCGTGGAACGAGGCAAGGTCTGGCGCCGGGAGATCCAGATAGCTCTGGCTCTTGCCGCCCCGAACCCTATCGTCGGAAGCAGTCCAGTCGTGGACGTGCCATGGCCTTTCGGCACGGGCCATCGAGTGCTCAGGTACCGCGTCAGTGTCGAATTGGCAACCGGCGTGGGCGGGATATGGTGGCAATCGCGGCTGGACTCACTTGTCTCCGCCGAAGAGGTAAAGCAACGAGATGTCGTCGGCTGGTGGGGGTAAAACCTCGGACGCCATCTCGCCAACCTTTAGAATAGAATGTGGCTGGGAGGGTAGACGTCGAGATTTCCGCAGCGGCCAGGGCTGGTCCCCACGGTAGTAGAGGGAGAGGTTGGACAGACAGGCAGGTATCTCGCAGCTTTGCCTACCGAAGGGCGTAGATGGATAGGAGGTAGGCGACGAGAGCGGGTGGGAAGAGGAGGAAAACCCGGGACTGATTGATGACTTCATCGCCGAGTTTCTCGCTTGTGCGGCGGTACGTACCTGTAGCGGCATTGCATAAGAGGCAGGTATTTGGGTACCGGCTGTCAGTGCCCAGGTACCTCTTTAGGTGTGTACCCAAGGCGGGCAGGTAGGTACCTTAGGCAGGTGTGTAGGTACCCATGGCTGCATGTAAGTAAGAGTGCGACAAGCTTTAGCTAATCGCCCCAGGTCAGGTACCTTAGGAGGTACCCAACCTAACCTCTTAAGGTGCCCGCATATGAGTACACCTCCCTAGCTCCCTCCTAGCTTATTGTATGGCTGCCCGCGGGGACAAATGCCTACCAACATCCAGACCTCCCCAACGAAGGCAGATTCGAACTGGCCACCCGGCCCGCAACACGCACGCATGGAGGCCCATCTCCCGCGACGAGCAGGGCCCGAGCGAGAGACTCTGTGGGCATGTGCGCGGCCATTGCCATTGGCGGAGCTGTCTCCGTGTGCTGTCACGGACGATGTGGAGGTACGTGCGTGTTGGCTCGAGGAGGCAGCGGGGCGCGCTGTTCGTTGGCCAGGGCGCCACCATCATACCCCCCAAACAGCTACGAGCCAACGCTCCTGTGTAAGTGAACCAACTGCTCGCAACGTGCTTGGGATAGCCTCCTCTGTTCCAGACCGATACGGCATGGCGAGGCCCAAGGCTTTTTTTTTTTTGCTTTTCTGTGTCATGCAAGAGAGAAGGAGAAGAAGAAAGAGAAAGAGACCAAGACAGCGGGAGAAGAGAGGAGCAAATTCCGTGCATATGCTACGTAGTAACCATCTGCACAGTCCGCCGCCACCCCCGGGAACTTGACCTGATCCGTAGCGGTTGGCGCATGGTGGCCGCTCCTCGAGCAGCTGAACCAACAACGCAGTCCTCCCAATCTACGACGTCGCCGCCGCCGCCGTCTCGGCGGTCCTCCAATCCTGAGCGCGGGTGCGAACTGGCAACCTGGAAACGGTGTGCCGAAGAGGGGAGCGGAGCAAGTCCGTCTGGGGCAGACGACGGCAAGGGGAAACAGAAACAGAAACTAATAGCTAGGGCAGGGGAGGGGGTGGGCCAAGGGGGTGGGGTGATGAGGAGCGAAGAGCACACGGGGGAACTTACACAGCCCGGCTTGGTCCTTGGTTCCCCCCAAGGTCGACTCGCCGCGAGACCCGGGATTCGCAATACGGGGGGGGCCGCGCAAAGGCAAGATTCGCATCAGATGTGCCTGAGGCCTAACAGCAGGTTGCGGGACAAAGTCTTGGTCTCTCTCCGTCCGCTCGTTCGTCCGTCGGTGGACCCCGGCCATCCTCGACCCCTCGCGCCCCGCTTCCTCGTCCTCGCCCTCCTCCTCCTCGCCCTTCGTGCTTAGCCCGCGAGCCATATCACAGGATCCTCTTCGGTAGGGTACCCAGCAGTACCGGCCCATCCGTAGCCAGACTCTCTGGACCGGCAGGCGCCAGGAAAGCCTGCGTGCATACACACATAACACACACACACACACACACACACACACATATACACCCCTGGAACGTGGGACGACAGTAGACCCAGCGCCAGCAGGGCGTCGTATATTGCTATGGGGCCCTCCCGGGGCAATGCTCTAGCCGACTTACATAGCAGAAGCCGGAAAACATGGCAAGGAGCCGAGAGCGAGAAGAGAGGTGTGCGCGTGCGCGACGCCCGCCACGCCCTGCTCGCGGCGCGGCCCTCGACTCATCTTCGTCGTGAATGGTGGCAGCCTAGCTTGCCCACCGCCCGCCTGCTCTGGGCTCGACTTGGCGTATCTCGTGGCATGGGGAGGAAGAAGACGATACGGCGGCTTTCGGTCCTTTTCCGCTTTATTATCTCCTCGCCGTCATCGCCATTATTGCTGTCGTCACTACCCGTCTCCCCTTTTGCTTTTTTATTTTATTTTACTATACTTTTCCTTTTTTTGTTGGAGCTTCTGCCCTTCTTCTCTCTTTGGTTCCCTTTCCTGCTTCGGTGGCCGCGGGGCGAAAAGAAAATGGAGGGACAGAAGGGATTCTCCTTGCGAACGCCTCGTGCGCCAAGGGATCCGTCCATCCTGCCCTATTGCACTACCTACCTACCTACCTACCTACCTACAACCTGACCCGACCTGGCCGTACGTACTTCGCTTCCCGAACTGTATGTACCTGGTGCCGACGAATGTCGAGTTGCTCGCAGACGATCGGTCGATCGGGTGCGCGCGTTAGTCCGCCGCGCCTTAGGCAAACCCGCCCAGCTTGTCCGGTTTCCCCCCTTTCCCTTCTTCCCCACCCGTCGCCACGTCGAGTGGTGCCGGGCTCTGGCGAGGATTGGGGATGGTGTGAAACTCGCAACCCTATGTAGAATTCGTCTGCCCTGGCCCTTTTGGTTGCCTCCTAGAAGTCCGTCGTGCTGCTTGTCCCTCGCATGTAGTGTCACATTGTTATCTAAGCGACGTTACGCCGTCGCCGGTTTCCCGTCTCACACTGCCAGTCTACCCTACTTACACCGCAAATGGCAGCGATGGCCTCGCCAGCCTCTAGAGTATGCTGTCATGTAATATTGTAATATGCGGGGAAGGGGGAAAGGGGGTCACTCACACGCGGGCGCCAACTTGTTAGTAGATAGCGACTTACTTAGAGAGGAGTATCTTCTCGCTCAGAGTTACGATTCCGCCAACACGGAAGGGGGTGGGTTTCATTGTATAAGTTTCGAGATTTGTGACTATCCACATCCTCCGCCGTCTAGGTCGTTGCTTTTGCCCGAGAGAGCTTTATACCGTGATCTAGAAGCGGAAACAAAGAAAAAGACGATATAACACCAAGGTATGGCTACCTTGTTGCGTGAGAGGTCCCGCCGGTCAATACATGAACACCACGCTGCAACCCAGGGATTCCAAAACACGCGTATGCACCAAAGGCGAATCCGCTCGCCTTCCTGCAAAGGTATCATGCCGTTGCGTCCATGCCGATAAACAGAAAAAGGAAAACGTCCCAGATATTCATACGTCATCCCTTGCCAGTCCCTCCCCCCCTTTCCCCCCAATCCGTGTATGCCTTTTTGTTTTTTTTGTCTCACTCTTCCCGCCGCGCGCCTCCTAGCCGTGTTAGGAAAACTAGTTGTGGTGATGGCCCACGGGGGACTCTGGCGGCATCGACAACGGCGTCGTCGGGTAGTCGTAGCCAGAGTCCGAGCAGTTCGCCGAGTGGTCGTAGGAATGCGACAACGGTGGAGTCTGCCATCACCGAAATCAGCTACGGGATTCTTCTCGTCGAGAGTAAGCGCGCACTTGACTCACATGAGGGTTCGAGTGGTCGTACGAGTGTGTGCTGTTCACATCGACCGCGGGTACAAAGTTGTAGTTCATGTAGGGCGACATGGGCTCCTCGGCCGGGTACGTCTCCCTCTTGATCGCGTCGTTGAAGTGCGTCATCGACGGCAGCGTGCAAGGCACCGTCGGGGTCATGTAGCTCGGGTAGGTCTCGGCCGTGGTGATGGGGTGATGGTAAGGCGCCACCGAGTTGTAGTGAGGCAGGATCATCTCTTCGGGAGGCGGGTAGGTGTAGGTCATGTACGGCGGCGTGCGGGATCGATCGCGCTCGTCGTACGCGTGGCCGAACATGAGCTCATCCTCGTGGTTCATCGGCGGCGTGTAGGGAGGCGGCTGGACCGTCTTCTGCGGCGCCGCGGACGACTTGTGGCCCTTGGGCGACGCCGCCTTCTTGGTGCCCCGGTTGCCCGACTGCGATAGCTTCTGGGTTCCGCTGGCGGGGGACACCTCGTCCGAGGTGCCAGCGCGCCTCTCGAGGTCCTCCAGACGTCTCTTCAGCTTCTTGCCTGGAGACAAAGTTAGCCGGCCGCCGCCGCCGTCGAGGGGGAGGGAAGCGGGAACTCGGCGCGACTTACGGTAGTTACGCTGGGCAATGCGGTTCTGGATCCGCCGGCGCTCAGCCAGGTCGGAGATCTTGGTCCAATCCTCATCAGGGTTGGCCGAGCTGGAGAAAGCGCTGCTGGTGCCGTGTCCCGAGTACGGCCTCGGGGCCGGGGTAGGTGCGTACGCGTACTGGGGTTGAGACATGGTGTACATGGCCTTGGATCCGCCTGACGAGAGTTGCTGTGCTGGCTAGACAAGACAGGTTTGGTCGACTAGACGTGGATGGGGGGGGGGGGTGCTGGAGCTGGAGGTGGTTGTTGAAGGTTGGGAGCAGACGTGACGTGACGGTCTATCTATAGTCGTAGACACTTGGAGACTTTGAGCTCTGACGAACCCCGAGTTGGTGGGACAGTGGAAGGCGGAAGGAGGGGGGGGCCAGAAATATATATACAGAAGCTCCTTTCAGCCATCGAAGCCGTGTTCGCGGATCGAAGGTATAAGAGACGCCCCAAGCCTGGAGGGCGAACCGGGGTACGTAGAGGTGCATGCCCCCTTGGGAAGTCTGGAGGCATGGGTGCACATGGCCGGGCATTGAAATGCGAGGTAGAGGCTAGGAGCTCGCACCGCTACCACGCCCGCCAGGCCCTACATACAGGGCGAAGGTGATACATACATGAGCGATACATAATACATATTACGATCCCATGCGATGCGTCCCGCCTTTTGGCTGCAACGTCAGGGGATCGAGGAGAGTCGGCGCGAGGTGGTCGAAGGAGAGAGATGCCGCAGACGTGGGCGGGCGAGTGAGCTGCAGGTAGATAGCGGAAATCGACGTCTTGCCCAGGACCCACCGCCGGGTCCATCTGCACATATCCAGCAGCTTCGTACCGGCTGTACTGTGTACATGGCTGGGCTGAGCAGCAGCATACCGTGCCAGAACGGTCGAAGGTCGCCTGGAAGGTCGACGAGAGAGAGAGAGATGGGTGGGAAGAGAGACAGGGGGACAGGGGAGAAGAGGGGGGAGGGGTGGTGATAGGAGGTCCCCAGTCGGGCCAGGGACGACGACATTCGCCAGGTGCCGGTGGAATGTGCTAAATTTGCCCGAATTTGTGTTTCTTCTCGTGCAACCGCTGGGCAACAGGGCCTTGGCGACGTTACCTGCCTACCCTAGGTAGGTACCTGCCTCTCTGTATATATATACATGTACGTACCTACATACCTGCCCCTACGTACCTCCTGCTGACACCATGCCGCGCCCGCACCGTACTATAGCTCCTGCATGTCTAGGCAGGTCGCAGCTCGTTGGGGTGTGTTGTGAGGTACTGCCTTAGGTACCAGAAGTACCTACCTAGAAGTACTTGCTTCTGTACGTACCCGTGCGAGGGCGAGAGAGAGAGAGAGGCCAGGACATGTGCGGTCGGTACATACGCCGTAACTCTCCCCCCAAAGGGTTACGTCGCCCTTCCTAATTAAAGCAGCGACGGGCGCCCACCTCCCCTGTTCCTTGCCGACTCGTAGGGCTGGAGCGATTAGCCCTACTCGGCGCGCGATGGATTTTACGACCAGAGCTGCTGTACGGAGCACGCCCAGGTCGCCTTTGTGGGGGAAGGGGTAGAGGGAATACGGAGGACGCGGCCACCGTCGGGAACCCGCGCTGCCGACCTGGATTGCCAGTCGATTCCAGCGCCGGCTTCAACATTCTAGCGGTGCGTCAGCTATTCCGGGTGCGGGTATTCCCATCCCTCTGAACATGTCGACGTTGCGGGCTACGCCTCGGCGGGCCGCGCGCGAGGGAGAGAGATTATCTGGAGATTCGTGCCTGCGTGCGCTAATATAATATATATATCTATACACACACATATATATGTATATATATAGCCAGTACAGCTAGTCCGCGCTGGGTAGGAAGAGTCGTTGGGGATCCCTCCAACAAGGCCACGTATCTTTCGGCTTCTACTTCTTCTCGTCTCCCTCTTGGATTCCTCCTTGGGGATGTTGTCGCACTAGCAGGGCCAAGCAGAGAAAAGAAAAAACAGGAAAAAAAGAAAAGAAAAATCGACGTTTTTTTTTAGAGAGAGAAGAAAAGGGCGAGGAGAGAAGACAAGAATTAAGACGCCTTGTGGCTCCACCAGCGTGTGCGTACCTGGGCCACTCGTAGCGCTCGATCCTACCGCCGGCAGTACGAACTGGGAAACATGAACATGCGACATTACCGTGCCCCAACCCGGAGCCCATCACCAGTGTGTGTGGCGTGTGCATCGCATCGTACTGTCTGTCTGTCCCGTTCCTTCGCCCAGACCTTGTCGGTCAGTCTATCCAGTTACGTGCACGCGCGCACACACCTACATACAGAGAGAAACCACGCTACGCGCAGGAGGGATTGCGAGGGGATGATGCGCGCTCGATTGTCGACTTAGGGAAATGATAAGCATCTCTCCATATCACAGAACGCCGAGTCTCATCACGGCAACACATGACCTCACGCGAAGCCGACGGGGGTGGGACCCAGCAGGCCGATGGGGAGCTGTGCCCAATTTTGACCGACTTCTTGTCGTCACCCACAAGGCTGTGCCGCGCGCAGGCAACAAAGTCCCACAGCGTGCTCGTGGGCGTTGCGGATACGGAAGGGGGGAGGACGACGATAGAAAATATCCAAATTAAGCCCGCCCTCAGGGACACTAAGGGGTCTCTCGTTACGACCAGGCCCAATCGAGCAGGCATCGGGATTACGGCTCACCCTCAGCTTTGCGGTGGAGACACTTCTTCTCGTCGAGGCGTCGCGGACGTCTCCAGCACGTAGGTAGGTACGGTGCTGGTGTGCGTGTACGAGGCCATGCTCAGGATTGTCCAAAGCCGGCAAGCGAATGGCGCTGAGACAATAGCCATCTAGCGGGATTCGGGTTCGAGAAGGGTGGTGTGTGGCCGTGGCTGGCGATGCGTATCTCTACGGCTTACTGCCAGTCTTTCGAGAACAATGCATAGAAGGGAGGCTTAGACATCCGCCACGCGCTCCTCGGAAATGTGCCAAGCGATCTGATCTCGCAAAGGTCTCAGAAAACATGCGTGCCGCATACCCAACATGCTACAGAGCCATACCTGCTCGTAAATCCCGGCGCGGAAGAGGGCAGAATTCGACAAGCTCTAGATGTTTCAGCTCTCGGAGGGGGTGGGAGACGAGAAAAAAGAGCGGCGACAGCGCCGGTTTTTTTTTTTAATAATATTTTTTTTGACTCGCACGTGCTTTATAAAGCATCTATTTTTGGCCTCGATTCTTACCAAGCCTCTTTCGTCGCCTCTCTGGACGCCGTCATTGGCTACCAACCCTCTCCTCCCTGGGATTAGGACCGCCCCCAGTTCGCTAGGGCTACGACGATCTCGTGCGATTCCCCATCCGACCGGGTTCACCAGACAACAATTTACACGCGGACGGGCAATTAGCTAACAGACAGACAGAGAGGGGAGACTAGCAGGCGGAGAGATCCTTGGACCTCTTGACAGCTTCGAATTCTCTTAGCTCCCGGGCACCGCTCTCCACTGTCGCCATTTTGACAAATCAATCCGGTTTGATGGTGCCATTGAGCGTGTGTAGGTGCGCATCGAATTCACATCGTTCCTCGACGATCCCGCTTGGGCTCATGCACGGTACTTACGTGCGTACTCAATGGGATGTTTAATTACATGGAAGCAAGCAACGCCATGGCTGGGTGCGGAGACACCCTGGACAAGACCGAAGAATTTGGGGGCCGGCCATCGTGGGAGGAACGGAGCAAGGTGAGCGTCGCGACGCCGGCGGTTGTCTCGACAGAATGCCGCCTTGCTTGCGGTAAGGGAAGACTCAGGCGACGGGTACTCGTAGCAGTATCCTCGCAATCTTTACCTCAGTTAAGCCAATGAGGATGGCAGCCCCCCCCTTCTCCCTCTCGTTCTCTCCCTCTCTCTCTCTCTCTCTCTCTCTCTCGCTGTCCCCTCAGCCTCATTCCCCCAAATGCGTGCAGCCGGTCACATGGTTCAGATGGACACTGTCCTCTTCCCTCTCTCCTCCGCATCGGTAGCCAAGACCTCTTTTCCACATGCGCGCCACCTAATGTGCCATCCAATCGCGGCCAGCTTCCGCCTAACGACGCGAGCGGCTAACCTCCTTTTTCCTATCAAGAGGCGTCATTGACTTCTCTACTATGGCATCAGCGATGTCTAAGCTAAATAAAAACCCAGCACAGCACCGGGCATCGGCGCAATAGGGCCGATGTCTCTCCCATATCCCACCGAGGCTGGCGCCATCGGGAGTGCTCAGCCCAGGGTTACGAACTTACCAGCGCCCTCCCAATCCACCAGATTAATGGAAAAAAAACACCACATGGTCTCGGTGTGTCCCCAAAATACTCATCCCCCATTTCAGTCACACGTCGCGACCTTGATACTTCAAGCGCATAATCGATGCCTGTCGGCCCTGTCGGCCTGAGCCTGCCCCCCCTAACACCTCCCTCACCGAGACGCTAGCTCCCGTCACCCCAAGTCACCGATGCGGTGCGCACGTCGGCCTCTACGCGATGTCGATGCTCGACATCCGCCAGGCTAAGTCCAGCCCTAGCACTGCAGAGCGGAAATCTCTACAGCTAGCCCCCGGCGCGCCGTCGACTCGGGTGCGTTTTTGGCGGACGTCGGCCCCCCTTAGCTAGCCACTGGTCGTCTCTAACCCTACGGATGTTGGGTGCTGACGCGAGAAGCTTGGGGTTCTCGCAGAGCCGGCAAATCGCGTGCTACTGCTGACCCTACCCTTCGGCGAGCACAGGCACCGCTACAGGCGTCAGCCACCCATCGCCTCGGGCTCGACACCCTGGAGCCAGCGTGGAAATGGGGGGGGTTTTAAGGTTCTCACCTGCCAAGAGGTCTACCTCCACGGAGACCCTATGGCAGCGGCACCTGCCTACATGTACATGATGCATCGTAGGTTGGCGAGGAGCGCGGTCGGGGGGGGACAAATCAGGGCTCGAGGCCGGGTCACAGCCGTTACCAAGGATCTCAGTGAGGTTCGCCATGTGAGATCCTGTGAACCGCCCACACATTCTGGCTTGCTAGGGCTACATCGCTTGCTTGCAGATGTACATTTCTCTCTACTACCACCGCGAGCGATACCTCCTCGGGAGGCAGGGCTGGGCCAACGAAACATCATTGGCCCGAACGGAGCAGACCGGGTCGGCGGCATGGTCGCGAGGGCAGTAGGTAGGACTTGGCCACGGCCGCGGGTCCCGATGCTTGCCTGCCAATTCTCTAGGTATTACCTACTATGTTTGAGCAACTAGAGCAGCTCGCTGTCGCCTCCCTCCTCGGACGTTCGTAGCTAGGGTGACAGATAAGGGGAGGGAAAGGGGGTGGAGGGGGGGGGGGTTGCCTCGTACGACGAGGAACGACTGGCCGTCAATCACGACGTGCATGAGGGATGGGCTCGAATATCATCGTCAGATGCGCCACCTAACCGGATGAGGCAACGTGCCAGGTAGCCCTACGTGCTGCATATACATATATACGGTGACCCTACAGCGTGCTCTCTCGCATGCATGCCCTGCGTGATCGACACCGCCCGACTCGCGCAAAAGACCACACATCTGGGCTCCGACCATAGCCGGAAATACGGTAAGTGAATCAATTCCTCCGCCGAAGAATCCGCGTCTCAGGATTCCCTAACGCGCGTCTGGCCCCGCCCGCTCCCCAGCCATTGGAGCGGCCATGTGGCAACCCTCCGTGTCGGATTTACGACGTACACGGTGGGATATTGGATGTTACCTACACCAGGCGGTTGGTCCGACTTTTTAATATCCACACATGCCCAGCATACCGTAGGCAGCCGAGAGCTATCGAGTGTGGTAGATAGGTCGAGTTAGCATTAGCAATATATGCGCCCGCCGAATCGGGAATCCGCTCAGAGACTGCGGCCTGTTAAATCCGCGAGCGAGAACGGGTTATACGATGCGAGCATGTCCATCCATCATCCACCCCTACATGCATGTACGCCAGCTTGCTGGACTTGGGCAGGTCCATACGAGGGACGAGGGAAAGGGGTTGTTCGCCATTGGACTGTGCCGCCCCTTTTCTCTCTCTCTCGCTCTCTCGCTCTCGGGCAGCTCTTCTCACCAGGCCAAACCCGTTGGTTGCGTGTACGCGCACATCTCGCCGGGCGGGAGATACCTACGTAGCTGCTATCGTAGCACTTCGGGCTCGCCTATCTGCTCTGGATTTCCTCAGGACGGGGGACCCATTCTCATGTAGATCGCAGGCCAGAGTCCTGTTTGAAGCCATCCTACGGCAAAGGGCTTCATAGGACGGGGACGAAACAGCCCCCAAATGCCCTTTCCCCAAAGTTACGCGCGTCTGGGCTGGGGCGCGCGGTGGCTGGCCGGGCGGCCAACTTCACGTGGGTGGTGCGCTTCCTTCAACCCCCCCCCCCTTCTCTTTTTCCGTCTCTCTCTTCGCCACGGCCATGCGACGAGGACGTCGCTGCGTGACGCTAGGCAGAGATAATTAAAAGACGCAGATAACGGGCAGACCTCGAGACTCGCCAGCCAAACCCCCCCCCCCCTTTCGTCTCTGGTTCCCCTGCACTGTGAGTTTCGGCCGTCAGGTAAATTGGAATTCCGCCCGGATCGGCCGCTAGAGCTGGCTCTCCTGCAGCAACCACTGGCGACGAGGAGCTCTCTATACGACGCCGAGGAGGGGGAGGCGAGGGGGAGGGGGGTCTGGGAGATGAGAGATATGTAGGTAGGCACGGTAGGCATGTGCTACGTAGCACCTGACATCCCAGCTAGCTGGCTTTTGCCTAGGTGGCTTTTGCCCTCTGTGCAAAGGCGCGCCGTCGTCGTGTCTGCGAAGGGCGTCGAGGACTCGCACGGAGTATCCTAGGTATCTACACCTATAGCGGGTATGTATGTGTGCATATCGGCAACATGGCATGGGAGAGGACCTCCGGTAGGGAACGAGAGGAGCGGATATAGGATTGTACCTATGTACCTAAGTATGTATGAGTACCTCCCCGTATAAACGTGGGCGGACCAGGATGTGGGAAATAATAAGGTAGGGTTGTATTTCGACGGGTTTAAACCTGTCAAAAGGCCTATGGCCGCCAAGGAGACCGTGTAAGTGCACAGGTACCTAACCTGCCATAGACAGGAAGAGGCAGGTATGTACCTACGCACACCCCCTTAGTACTGGAGATCTATCAGGTCACTTACCAACCCAACTCTGCCCAGGCCAGCCAAGCTGGGTGCCGTGCCTCATTACGGATACCCCCTCTCCCCGGCGCGCAGCAAGGCCATGGAACAAAAGGATATCCGGGGCAAGACTGGGGGGGAGGGGGAAGGGAGGCGCTGTCCAGAGAGCGAGAAGCGCTAAACTCCACCGGCCTTCATCTGCTGCTGGATGCGCCCACGTACGGAGGTTAGGTACCCAACCTATCCAGCCCAGGAGCGAAGATACCTGCCTAGAGGTGGGTAAGGGAGGTAGGGCGGCGTCTCCTTCACAGTGGGCTAGTGCGCCTGGACAAGCCCTGCTATGTAAAGACCTAGGAAAGACAACCAACCATGCTGCCTAGGTATTTCGCATTTCATGACCTTATCTCCTCCCTGCCCAGACGTGTGTATGCCTACCTGCCTGCTCGTAGACAGCTACCGTGGGCGGGCACGTAGCATCGATGATGAATCGAATACGTACATGTCTATGTGCGACCCTGTGGGACATTGCATTATTCCCATTGCTGGCACCTGTTTGTCTGGCTCCGCGCGCCTTGGTCCATCTATCTTCCCCCCTCCCTTCCTCTCCTCCCCCCATGCCTGCCCGGAGGCGCGGAATACGATGGTCGACTCGCCATGAGGATGGGGACTTCTCGGACCACGGGGGGATCCCCATGATGCCATGCCATACCGTCCCACGCCATTGCCATGCCGTGGCTCGCCCAAGCCTGGCCCTGTGCCGTATCCCTCTCTCCCACGTATGCAAGGTGGGCATCGGAGTTGCGTTGGCCGTCGCGAAAGGGGAGAGGGGGGGGGGTTCATTATTAATCAGAATTGCTCAGCAACACAGGTCGGACAGAGCAGAGCAGAGCGACGGAGCGAGTGGTAACACCCTCCCCCCCCCCGCCGCCCGGACCTTTCCTGCCGCTGGTATTAGTCACGCGGCGAAGCGGTGCAAAAGTCGACGAGATTGTCTCGGGTCTTGGCGCGAATCTCGCGGCGGCAGGCCCCAACACAGATCCACGATACGCAACCCTGCGACCGCGACTACGGTAAACACTTAGGGTCCGCCTCGAGAACGGCCAGCGTTGATATCCGCGTGCTGCTGCATACGTAGGCAAGTATAAACAAGTGGCTTTGCATCTAGTGGCCCTTGACTACCTAGGTAGGTACCTAGGTAAATATGTCGATCGTGGTGAAGAATCCGTAGACTTTACCTGCCTACCTACTGCTTAGAGGGAGGATGAAGAGATGTAAGGTACCCAGCGTGGTGCGGAGTAGAGACGTATACGTACCCTGTACGCAAATTACCGTACGCTGCTTGCCGTGTGTCAAGGTAGCGACTACCTAGTGCCCCCTGGATGTCTCGCCCTCTCGCTACCTAAAGTTCTCACCCTCTTTTCGGCAGTCGGTGACGAAGCTGAATGGACGCTGGCAGAACCCGTGCCTGTGGTCTTGGGTCGTGCCAAGACCCACGTCCCGTCGAAGATAGCATAGGACCGCCGCACACCATCCCCGGCGCCCCCCCCCCCCCGGTCGCTTATGGCATCGCACCACCACCCAACTCTCCCCCCAATCCCATGTATCTATATACATACCTAACCTGCGTCCAAAGGGTACGCGTGCATGTGCCTAATGCAAGGACTTTGCCCGTTGCGTGCGGGTGGGAAGGCCCGACAATATACGATATGTAATCAAATAAATACGTGCCTGTCAGGATCGAGGATGGGACTGACGTGCCCCCCCTTGGGGGGAGGGGGGGGGGGGGGGGACGGAAATCAAGGCATCGCTCTGTAGGCGGCGGCGCGATGATCCTATCGCTCCGCGGCGACGGCAGCGCCAACGGTGGCAATAGACAGCGACGAGAGCCGAGATGAATAGCCGTGTATGATACGGAGAGACGATATACCTGCCAATTACCCCCCCGGCCAGGTGACGCCGTGAGGCCATTTGGAATCGAAGCACTATATCCCCGTGCGGGTGAGATACCTAGCTTCCTTACGTACACACCTACTTACCCCAGTTGCAGCAGCCAGCGCTAGGTGTTATCCCATGCCCTCCCGGACAACGTGGTGGTTCCATCAATCGGGTTAGGTAGTCAAGTACATACCTAGGTACCTACGTGCATGCTGGATTTAGCCCTCACCAACCACGCGCGCACCTCTTGAGAGGACAAGGTGAGAGGAATCCGCAGTTCGAAGATAACAAATGCAAGACAGCGCCGTGCGTCTACCTATCTCTCCTTTTCTCCTTCTTCTCCCTCCTTCCGGGCGCACCACCTTACCCAGGTACCTAACCTCTTCCGAGGTGGGGACGGGCGCGAGCGGGAGGAAAAAGTATGTAGGTAGGTACCTTGGGTAACTAACCTACCTACCTACCCACCTAGCTTTGCCTACACGTCCGCCAACAACGTCCCGTGCATGCGCGTGCATGACCTGACGAGAGCCCATAGGGCTGAGATGACATCCGCACTTTATTGCCGATATTAGAGACGCTGACCGGGACGCGAGAGAGAGAAAGAGAGAGAGAGAGAGAGGTCGCGGCCGCGGCAGCGATGCGGATCGCGCGCATCAGTCTCACCCACCGCACACCGCACCAGCACGCAGCACGCCCGCCCCGTCTAGCTAGGTAGGCGGGCAGGTAAGAGGCGGGCAGGTTAGGTATGTAGATGTCAATTGATCCGTCATCCGCGAGCAGGCGAAAGGGGGGGGAGGGGAGGGGAGGGGCTGCTGCTCACGTCTGTATGTAGGTAATGTAGGTAGGTAGGTAGGTAAGTATGTACGGACGCGCGTAGGTTGCATGCATATCTGGATTGCGCACCGCGCGGACGTAGGTACCTGACCTGACCTGGCCTGACCTGATCTGCCCACGACACGACACGACACGCCAACGACACAAGCCGGACCCGACCCGCGCTCGCCAGCCAGCCAGCCTGCCTGCCTGCCGCCGCGATGGCACCCACGGGGCGCGACGAGCGCGCACGCCCACGGTTCAGGGAAACCAAAGCCCGAGATCTCCCCTCCCCTCCTGTCGAGCGGGCCGGGGCGGCCTGCGCGGTCCCTCGCTAACGCGGTGATGACGGTGATTACGACGACAGCGGCGGCCGTGGTGGTGGTGCGGGCAGCGACGGCCGTTACAGAGGGCAGGTGACAGCGCGCGCGGAGAGCCAAGGGGGGGAGGAGGGGTGGGGCACGGAGAGGGGAGGTCAGGTAGGTAGATAGGTAAGTAGGTAGGTACCTAGGTAGGTAGGTAGGCAAGGTGGGTATATCGCAAGAACTTACCTGCGGATGGCGTCAAACGTCGATTCGGGACCCATCCGAGCTAATGCGAGTCGCGGTGCGAAAATAGACTGTTGACTGAGGTCGCTCGCTGAACCGGGGTCAGTGTCAGTGTGTGTGTGTGTGCTGTTGGTTGCTGCTTGGGGGGGGGGGAGGTACCGAAGGGCGGGTTAGGTTGGGTAGGGCAGGGTAGCGAGGTCAGTTAGGGTGGTTACTAAGCCGAGATGGGTTGACTCACCCGATCGAAGGGGACGGCGATGCTTAGCACGCAGATTCGGTAGGCAGCTCTGGTGAGAAGGCAGATCGGTACCCAAGACATGTCATGTCGATAGAATGGTCGACTATTCGTCGCCGGGTTAGTCAGTCCCCGCATCGGCACCGATAAACAGGGAAGGAGAAAAAAAAGGGGGGGAAAGGGGGGCGCAGTGGGCAGATGGCGAGTCCGCCGTCTTGACCTTCTTCTCCCCATTCTATTCTGCTTCTTCCCCGGTTCTTCTGGCGGTCTGGTGTCTGATGGTAGATTAAAAATTGACGCACCCCGTGTGACGGGCGCCGTTAGGCAGCGCCACCGCCAGCGGCCACGGCCAACGCCTGGCGGCGCCGCCCCACGGAAGTCCAGCAGCATAATAATACGTCCATACCTGCGTGCCGCCTTATCTCGGGTACCTCTGGCTGACCGGCTGGCTAACAACGCCCCCTAGTACCTACCGAAGCAAAGGAGGTTGGTTGGCATGGCACGGAGGTACCCAAGGTAGATACCTGCTTGTGCTGGGTTTATTTTTACGACGATGTGTTAGCTACCTAACCTACCTCCTGCTGAGGTCTGTTAAGGGCGCGCGCCGAGGCGTGGTATTCCTTCATCATGTGCACTCCCCCCCATTCCCCACCCTGGTAGGTATCGCCAAGTTAAGACACAGAAAGTGTAGATACATACATACATACTATACATACAGTCCGTCTCCGGGTCGTCGTCGTCACGAATAGATCGCCCAGGCGGTCGGTCCCTACCATCTATCGCAGCACCCAACCCAATATCTGTCTAAACATTGGCGGCACAGTAAGAGATACCTACCTACCTTACTTACCTACCGCCTGCGGCAGGTGTGTTGCCCATCGATGCTGCTAGGCATATCGAGGTGTGAGTATAATACTTTAGTTGCGCCAGATCCCTACATGCCCGCTATCTCCCTCGTACCTCCCTACCGAAGGTGAGGTAGGTAGTTACCCAACCTGCCTTAGTACCCTACATGCGGGCATGCTCGTGCTATCACCAGCTCAGTAGGGGGCTGCACGCCCGCTCGGCGTCGCCGCTCCGCGCGAGCGCACGCACCACCCGCCAGTTCCTATTTGGAGCCGGTAGGGCTGAATCCCAGGAGCAGACGGCGCGAACCTGGCGCTGCGGGGGCCGCTGATTGGCCCTGCGTTAGGTAATAGGCCTGACCGACCTGCGCGAATCTGGCCGGCGGACGGGCTACGGAGGCGGGAGGAAGGGGGAGGAGGCGGAGGCTGCGTGTGTTGTGTGCGTGTGTGTGTGGTAGCTAGGTATGTGTGGTGGGCGCGTGTGCGGCGCGCGTGGGGCCTGGATCGGGTGGGCACTGGAATTAGAATACGCCAGACGCTGATGGGCTTTCTTTTACACGCACTAACCTCGCTAACGCTAGCGCTCTCCCCCCTCAGTTGTCTCTCTTTTATGCCTCGTTTCTCTCCTATCTATCTACATGATAACGTGTATGCGTCCATCTATACTTAGGTGGTGCTAATGTAGGTGGAGGAGGAGGTTGGCAGGTCATCGATGAGCGATAGAAGGGGTAGTTAACTAGAGTAAGTAGGTACCTACCTAACATACCTAGCCCCTAAGTACCTACCTACCTATAGTAGGTGATTAATATCCCCAACTTCTTGATGCTTATATATAGATGCCTCCTTATATAGGTACCTACGCACACATACCTGCCTACCTAAGTACCTGACAATATCATCCATCATTACCTATAGGTAGTATGTCCGTAGTGCATGAGGCACCCAAGACAACACATGTCCCAACAGCACCGATCGGGTGCGGCCAGGGATCCCAATCCTTTCAATAGGTAGTTCGCCCCTGATTTACAGTTCTTATTTCGCGAGCCCATTGGCAGATAGTCCCAGACGGAGATTCACGATCCCCCTCTCAACGGTTCCGAACAGGCAACCTGGCTCGTGCGTTGTCATCGCGCGCGACGACGATGCTTCTATTTGTGGCTTACCTACCTAACCTAACCTAACCTACCTTGCCTGTCAGGTCTGTCGCTTTCTCTCTCTCTCTCTCTCTCTCTCTCTATACCACCTGCCGATGCGACCGTCGGATAGGATCTAGGCACCCCCCGGAACGAGAACAGGACCGGCCAGGGGGGAAAATTCGACGAGGGCGCGAGTGGCATCATGCGGCGATCCTATTTCCGTCCTCGCGAACCGGGATTTAGACCCCAGCGGGCGTGGCCGGGTCGGTCACTCGTTCAGACGCCGTCTACTTTACCCGCTGCGGTTGTTCTCTCGCCCTTCTCCGAACTTTGTCCAGGGCGCGAAGCCCGCGAGTGAGCAACTATCCGCGTGATATTGCCAAGTTGTCTGCTCAGTGGTTGCCCGTTTCGGCAGTAATAGTAGCTGGTAGAAGCAATAGTGACGGCTATGGTCGTAGCCGTAGTCGTATCGGTATCCTGAACCCCCCTCGCCTTTCTTCCCATGTGACACGGCCGCCGTGCATCTCCTGACCGGACTCCCGAGCCAGCCAGCCAGCCAGCCCAGCCCAGCCAGCCCAGCCCAGCCCAGCCAACCATCCCACGTAGGTACCAGCCCGGGGGAGCCAACGAGGCTGTTTGCCGTCGTCGTCGCCGCCGCCCACTCGACTCTCTCCCGACGATGACCTTTTCCCTCTCACCCCTCCATCACACCCTTTCCTCTCCCCTTCCCCCCCCTCGAACCGATTGGGAATGATCATCCCAATCGGACGCTCGCGATAAAACTCAGCTAGGGTTGCAATCGCTGTTATGATCATATCCCCAGTTCCCGTTCGCCTTTTGAACTCCAGTCGCACCCGCCGAACGGCGGCGTCGACAACAAATCCCGAAGTGCGCTGAGCGCCCCCTGGCCCTGGCCGTAAGCGACGACCGGCAGGGCCAGAGACCCTCGCATCTCCGGGTTACAGGTTGTTGGTCGCCGCCGCCGCCGGCTCTATTGGCTTTTTTTTTTTTTCCTTCGTTGATTGCTTCGATCGACGGGTCCTGATTGAACGGACCATGTGTGCGGGTGGGCATGGATCGAGGATGACCGACCAACCGAATGACGACGATGAGCCGGAACGCAGGCAGCCTCGCCTAATGCTTTTTTTTCTTTCTTTCTTCTCTCTCTCTCTCTCTCTGTCTTTCCCCTCTTTCTTCAATATATCCCACGCCCATTAACCGAAAGCGCGCACGCACGCACGCCCTGCCATACGGGATTTTTGGTTCTTCGCTCGCTGCGCTGTACGTGTTGCGCCATGGTGGTAGAGGAGAAGCGGAACGGGGACCCTGCCCACGCGGGGCGCCTCGCAAAGTGTTGCCCAACGGACCCGAGCCAGGGCTCGCCTAGCCCGCCCGTCGCATACATATGTGGATGAGCACTAGGTTAATCATCTGGGTTAGACTGGCTGCTACGCTCTGCCGTCAGGTTGTATATCGACGTCGCATTGAGCCTCGAGTTGTCGATGTAGTACCTGGTTTTCTACTACGTACCTACCTACCTAGGGAGGGGGCGCAGGGGAGGGGGGGAGACCCAGGTATACGTATGTACATACTACACACGGAGAGGTACCTCCACCCCGGCAAGCAGAGATGGGGCTACTTAGCCTAGGCGCATATGTACATGGGTAGGTAGGCACCGCCAAGTGGGAGTGGACCAGACGGCCGGTTTGTGGGTGCGTCCATGCGTGTGGCCTTGTCGGTGGTCTACTCAGTATGAGAGTCCAAACCTCCTACCAGGCGTCTATCATCATATATCCGAATGTATGTGCTACATACTAGCTAGACGGGGGCATACGAGACAAAAAAGCAACGCAGCGATGAGAGGGGGACAGGCGACGACAAAGCAAGCTAACGTGGATGGATGCGCGGGCAGCTCGTTCCGTCTCTTCTCGCCTACCGAATTCCGCTGCGTCGTGCGAGGAGCGGATTTTGCGCCGCTCGTAGGCCCAAAAGCCGTCCGCACATTTCCCCTTAGGGTAAGTATAGATGGATGGATGCCCTTCGCGCGCGCGCGCAGCCGGACGGACGATGCAACAACAACTGGGCGGTGACGTACGTCTCCCCCTCCCCCCGGCGGCGCAGGCATTGTTGCTACGCCCTTCGCAGCGCCCGTCCGAACTTTCAGAATAACGGCAGCATTGCGTGCGTTGCGTTGCCCGTTAATTCTCTGCTGGAGCCGGAGGTTTGCTGGTTAGCTGGCAAGTCGGGAAGAGCTCAGCGCTGCACTGGTCGTCTCGTCCCGTCGTCAAGCTAGCTCTAGCTTCCACCCTTGCGCGCAGGTAATACACGCCGGGTGATATAGATAGATGAGATGGGTTTCTTATGTCATGTCATCCCAGAATATCTAGATTCCCGCGGAGCTGCGTTTGCCGATTTGGGAATAAAGATCTTATTGTGCACGTCTTCGAGCCTTAGTGTGCTACTCCCCGCGATCAGTCACAAAACCTTACTGGCACTTGGCCGTCAGCTAGTCGACGCCGGCCGGCCGTCAACCGCTAAAGGTCCCAGGGCCAGGTCCAGGTACCTACGTATCTCTCGTCTTTTGCGCCGTGCCTCGCGGGAGAGGCCCGGGCTTTGGTCCCAACGACCGGCCGCGTCGAGATGGGCGGGCGGTTCGGGCATGCCAATCCCGCCTGCCGTAGGGCTGTGCATCACCTACCACAACCGTACCTCGGACGCACCCAGGCATATACGGGTTGCGCTCGCGACGATGTCTGGATGCCAGTGGATCTAACCTTACCTACCTGCCTACCTGCCTACGTAGCGCCAAGCACGACCGGACAGCAGGGCGTGTGCGTATTGTGCAGACGGCATCCATGCAGGCGTATGCGACGGATGCTGAGCGCAGGTGGGTGGGTGGGTGCGAGAAATAGGGGCTAATTAGCCTGGTAACGGGGTGATTCCTCGTGACGGGGTCGAGTAGGGCTGGTCTGCGACCTGTTCGCGAAGGGGAGCTGTGCTTTGCGTGGTGTGTGTGCGTGTGTGTGCGTCCGCGCAGCGTACCTCGCTTTTCTGGCCAATCCGCCCTTGAGGCCAGACGGGAGGGGGGTTGCCTGATGGGGGGGAGGGGGATGTGCCAAGGCCAAGCAGGCATACACAATACACACACGCACAGTAGGTAGACGGACTTGTAGTGTGTACATGCCATACAACGCGCGGTCCGGAGGGGAGGCAGCGGTACGTAGGTATGAGTAGGTCAGGTAGGTAGCTGGCATTCCTGACGCAAAGGACGAGAGCTGCCTGCTACGGTTCTGTGAGAGGTCTCAGTTGTGCGCGCGTGTGGGGTTTGCGAGTGGGCGGCGAAGCACAGCCTTGGGTGGTAGCTTTGCATGAGGACCCCGAGCCCACCGCTTTTTGCAGGGATTAATAGCGCTGAGCACCCTCACTTGTATGAGAGACTGGCGGTCGGCCGATACAGTTCCCTGCGGCCTTCTGCTGGAGCCGATACGCGGGCAGACCATCTGGGAACCACTCACAGGCGGCCGACCAAGCCGACAGGGGTCGGTCGCCTGGATCCAGACTTGGGGATGGCTGCTCGGCGCGCGCCATCCTCGCCGGGTTGGGGTGCCCATACCGATCTTTTAGGGCATGCTGCCAAATCTGCAAGACGTACAGAGTTAAGTCAAATCCCGACATGCGACGCGACCACGTTGTCCAGATGTTCGTCGTTCACGAAGGTTGTCCCGCCCTCCCCTCGATCTGCAGCGATATGCATCCACCTGCTTCTGTCGCGCATGCCCTCCTGAGGGATGAGGACACACACACACACACACTCTCTCTCTCTCTCTCTCTCTCTCTCTCTCATACACACACACATGTCCGCAGGGCATCATCCATGGGTCAGAGACCTTGAGGAGGTCTACTACACATAACAACACCGAAACTGCCCTTACCTGTCCTCAGGTATCCTGTCTGCCCTACCTGAGTACCCTACTAGGGTGCCCACCGAGGTACCTCTCTCCCTAAAGCAGCCCCTGGTGCTCGTCATAATTACCTATAGCACTTATTTTCGGATTACTTATCATTGCTGCTACATGGAAGCGGAGATGAGCGCGTAGATGGATGCCTTACATGTCTAGGCAGGTAGTAGTTAAGGCACCCAGAGCTGTACAGTGGCCGTACGGTGCGTGCACTCGTAGAGACGTACCTACGCATCGACCTGTCCTTTACCTCTTCCCCATAGCGGGTGGACGGAACGCGCGTGGGCATCTCCCCCCCCCCCCCCTCCCCTCCATCTGCTCCACCCACCATCACCACCACTTTACCATCGCCATTCTCATCACCGTCCACGCTTGACGCGCTCTCGCTCCCTGGGAGTAACGCAAGACGCATTTTGTCACCTCTTCCCACCTCTCCTCGTGCTGCTGCTGCTGCTGCTGCTGTCCTCTGTCTCCCTTCCCCTCCCCTCCCCTCCTCTCGCTCGTTTGAGCCTCATCGAGAGGTGGCACCTCGCCCACTCTGGGATGATGAATCGTCCCATGGATCCCTACCCGCCCATGCAAACCCCTCGTATCCTCTGGCGACGCCCGATGCAAGACGCTGTCGAGCAGAGAAGGCCGACAGCCCGGCTTCCGCATGTATTTTCGCATTCTGCATCGCGCATCACAGCCTATATGCATCCGTGACAGCTCGACGCAACACAAACCTTTTGACTTACCGCCTTCTCAGCCGCCCAGCCGTCCAGGTCACCAATCCTCCGTTCCCATGACTGCCCTCCTGTGCCTTTCGTCGGGCGCGCCAGCAAATACCGTCGAGCCATCCCACCTCGCCGACACCTCCACCGCTACTGCTGGCCCTGTGAAACCATGGCTGGCTCAACCGCTTCCGCTCTTTCGCGTCTCGGTGCACCACAGCGACGTCACTGCCGAGCTTTTCTTCAGCTGACGCCCTCCCCTCCTCTGGGTTGGATCCAAACACCGCAGAGCCGCCGCGCCGGCCGTCTTCGGTCGCAACCCTGGGTTGCCGACGTTGGGCAAAGCCACGATGGCCATGGCTGCCCGTCCTCGACGTCGTCCCCGCCATGGAGCCGCCCGCCGCGAGAGAGTGAGAGCGCGTGAAATCTGCAGCCGACGGCACGCACAAACGAGCGATGCATAATTGCGACACTACTCCGACGGCTACTGCTATTGCTACTGCCACTCTTGAGGCACAGTGCCGACAGAACCCGTAAGTCCGCACAGCCGATATGTACTGCGCATACACACCCCACGTCCGTATGTGTACTTGCCACAAGAAAAGGACGGCATGTGTGCCTACATACAACATGTCCACATAGATTTGGCCACTCACGGTATGTGCGTGGTGAAGCGTTAGAGCGGCGCCGGTTCCGCGACAACCAGGGCTGCCTCTGGAGATCCAGCAGCCTCCGTATCTGGCGTGCATTGTGCCTACTTACCTACGTATATCCTAGATGCCTAATTGGATCGAGGGAGGTTCCCTTCCCCCCCCGTTCCTCCCCCAGCCCTCTTTCTGCCGGCGCGTGAGAGTTGGTTGAATCGTAACTGTCGCAGTCCATCATCGGCTGCCCGTCGCACAAGCTTGTCGTCTCGGAGAAGTGAGCAGACCTCCATTACAGGCTCGCTAGTAAAGCCGGCGAGGATTGGGGACGACGGCGAGAACGAAGATGGGGACCGCGGGTAAGGACGAGGACTCCGCGAGGCCATGCAGCATTGCTATCTACGTAGGGGCGGCCTGCACCTAGTCTTTTGCCGGTTTCTAGCGATAGCCCCGTGTGGCTCATGCCGCCGCCGGGTCTAGACCTTGCCTGGGCCCTCGTCGCTCTGTCTGCCTACGACGAAGAGCACCGGGCAGAGCATGTGCAGCATGACGACTATGCCCATGTTATGGCCTCACCTGGGGCTTAATTGCCGTGTCTACTGCGCGGGCGCAGAACCCCACGTCGATGGGCTCACGCGGGTCCGCGTCCGACTTGGTACATACGTCGCGGCCGTCCTTATCGTCGTGGCGTCGAAGGAGTGCGCCCTCGAAGGGGGGGAGGAGGGGCGAAGGGTCGGTTAGCAGCGTCTAGACCTTCAGATCCTCACATGGACGGCCTTCTCCTGTGACGCATGGCCTGCTCTCCAGGGATCATGTGTGCATCTCTTGCTCTGCTGAATCGTACACACGTAGTGCTATAAACGCAGACATGGACATTGGCTACTAGAATCGCACGTCCCGGGCTCCCTGGTCCGGTTCTAGACAGACGTGCAACGTTTAGCATATGTGCTAGATGTCCATACATACGCATGGCACGTCGTGGTCTCGTATTGACCGACGACCTCATGTTGCGGATGTCCTAATTTCTTCCTGGTGGCAGCCTTAGGGGGGAGGGTCTATGGATTTCTCATCTTCGTTGGGGCATCCTGGCCTCTTAGCGACGTCCTCCGCAGATATCGCATCGAGGTATGTGGCGAGGGGACGAGCCTTGTTGATATCCGTTAGTTCGCTTCTGCCCATTTTTTGAAACGCGATCACCGTCAGCTCGGTCCGAACCGCCAGTCCGGCGTGGTCGGAATTCCCACGTGGAGCCGTCGGTGAGTAGGTAATAAAACGAGACAAGGAGCGCGCTGGTAGCCGCTGCGGGACAGTAGGCGGAGGAACGCGATCCTGGGCCCCCTTGTTTTCCTCAACAATAACCTACAGGCAGCGGGCGCTCGGGTCGTTTACAACTCGCCGGTGGACGTGCGTACCATCTTTACCATCTTGGCGGGTTCGTCGCGTTTTACATACTGTCCGATTCGTCGATAGGGCTACGTGGTGGCTTCGGCATGGAAACGATTCCGGAAAGCGTCGACGATGAAAGCCCCCCCTCGACCCCTCTCCCCTGGCGTAGGCTATCCCCATTGACGATCACTATCTGCGAAGCGATACTCGCTTATACGTCCGTCGCTTATACCTCACGACCCCTTCGTTTTGGGAACCCGTACTGTCGACGGCACTGTACCTCTCCTAGGGCCCAAAGTCTGGCAATTTCTCCGTCGTACCCACGATCCAATCGCAATCCTGCGCAAGGGCCTTTCAGCTCTTGGCCCCGTGCGTGCTCGGATTGGTATCATCGCCTACAACCACCAGCATGGTAGAATGCTCGATCCATCTGTGGTTTGATCCATATGGGGTTTACAGCTCGAATGCCGCGCCCCTAGCATCGCCATCGAACCCGAGGACCAACCACAAGGATCATTGTCAGAACCCTCTTTTCGTGTTTAATCTTTCCGCCTCTCTTTTTTTCTTTTTTTCTTTCTTTTTCTCTCCTCTCCATCGAGACGAGGTACGTGCATACATAGGCATCCATCCATACCCACAGACAGAGCCCCAAAAAGCCACTGCGCGATATACACAGTAGCGCGCCCTCGGCACCCGTAAACAGCTACCATGTAGGCGAACACGGATATGGGTGACAGATACTGATGGCCTGAGTCGCCAGTGTTGTCGGCGCCTACAGGTCACGGGCCGCACACCATGTCAGCTGAAAACTAGAGTGACATCACCCTTCATCATGGCGTGTTGACGGCTGGCCGGTCTCAGGATCTCCGTCTCTATTTTTTTTCTCTCGCACCGTTACGGCCCCAACTGAGTGTTCATGGGTGCCCATTTCTGATCCCTCCCCGTCCCCCCCCCCCTCGCCCTTAGACTTTTTCAGGATAGCATGTACTATAACTCGTCTCCGACGATGGATCGGTCAAATATCCCATCTCCAGGTATGCCGGGTCTAATTGGGTAGCGTCGAAAATTGTTGCCGAAACAAGACAACAGTCCCAATTCTGAATGCTAGGCCAATCCAATTCAACGCTGCGTAGGAGCATACGAGACAGGACCGGCCTCGTCGGGTGGCTCCGGGGGGGGGGGGGGGTTGTTGTCCCATTCCTGGAACGTCGGCTTCCTTTTGATTACGAGAATGGCAAATTAGGGCGTGAGGCACAGTACTCGAACCGAGAGCGAGGGTGGATGTTCTACCTAGTAAAGAGCAACGAGCGGGGAGAGGCTGGAGACGAGGCAGCAAAACGTGTGGGCGAATAGAGTGAAGGGGAGGGGTTGTTTCGTCACCTGCAGCCACACGACACTATCGTCGATGCCTAGGGATGTCTCTCTCTTTTTTCTTTCTTCGGTTTTTCGCCAGCCGACCTAACAGACAATAATCGACCGTGTTACTCGGCCTACACACCCCATGATGAGGCCGCGGTACGAAATAGCGTGTCTTGCACGCATGTGGGCTTGCCGGCGTAGTGTACTTCGTAGAGCTGGGGCTCGAAACGAGATGCAAAGGTGGGATCATGCTGCCAATCGAGGTCTCAGATCCGAGGTCGCCCCAGGCCATCCGTTGGTTCCTGGCGGTGCAGACGCCCCCCCTCTCGTTCACTTTGCCCCAGGGCGTTCGATGGCTGGCTCGTGGGAGACACCCAGAAATACAGGTTCTCGTGGGGTAAATCTTCCAAACAACTAGCCTACCTGGCTGTCTATGTACTGTCGCAAGCCTCGCGCCTAGAAGAGTCCCTTCGGCGGTATCACGGTGCGACTTGTCGTGGGCGGAGCGTCCTCAGCCCTCACCCCAGTCCCGTTCACCGAGAGAGAAGAAGAGAGAAGAGGAGAGGGAGGAGAAGGAAGTGAGGCTCATTCATTGTCTCACCGTCATATTGTCTCGCGATGAGCAGCAGGCTAGAAGGAGAAAAGAAGATTCCTCGCTTCGCAAGGCCGCGTCCGCCCGTTCTTGGTACACGGCGTTGGGGGGAAAGGGGGGGGGAGGGATTGAGAGTGAGAGAGCGAGAGCGAGAGCGAGAGCGAGAGACATACGGCCCACCCACGCGACGCTCGCCCTCGGACAATTCCTACATTGGGGAGCATCGGACGGGGATGGAATGAAGGATCCGAGACGGCCAGGTCAGGGCAAGTCAGGTCAGGTCGAGCCAGACGAGAAACGAGAAGAACAACAAGGCTCGCGGTAGCCGCAATGCCGGTTCCAACTTTGGCGAGAAACACGCGGCGCAAGCAGCTCGGCGCCGAGCGGGTCTCGGGGGGGGGGAAGGGATGGGGACTTTGTCAACTCTGGCGCCAGGCCTGGGCAGGTCGCGCGCGTACGGGTGGTGACCGGGTACAACCGTAGACGTAACCGGCCAGGGAGGCAGGTCGGCAAGCCAGTAAGTAGGTAGGACAAGCCAAGGCGAGAGAGACAGCACCAGGGACGAGACGAGACGAGACACACGGCGGGCTACCGAGGACCGAAAGGGGGAATGGGGGATGCGGTGCGACGCTCGAAAAGAAGAAGAGGCATGTGTGCATCTGGACGGGCCCCCGTCCGTGTACGGATGCATCGCAAGGATGTTGTCGCCCGGCCTGGGCATGCAACGTGCCCAACCCATATCTCTCCATCCGTTTCCGTCCCCCTTCCCCCCCATTCTCTCTCTGCCTGTGTAGCGTAGGCGGCGCTTGCACGCGCGCGGAGACGGGACGGGTGTTACACGAGGACGAGAGGAGGAGGAACACGAAGGGGAACACGAAGAGGCAACGTAAGTATGAGCATCCGTTTTCTCTCTTTCTTTCCCTCATTCACTCACTCGCTTTCTCTTACTCCCTCTCTCTCTCTCTATGTCTCTCATTTTGATTCTCCAGCCCATTCGTTCCCCCCGTCGCCCTTGGGGGCGAAAAAACAAAAGCGAGAGAAGGGGGCGGCGCTTCGACATTTAGGGGGGAGTGGGCGGGGGTGATGGGGAAGACCCGGCCTTCTTTACGATGCGCGTGCCAGCCAGGCTAGGATCTCCGGCGTCCCAACCCAACACCATCCCATCCTGCCCTGTCCCGTCTTTCCGCCAGCAACAATACGTCGTCGACTCTTCTTTCCCCCCTTCCCTTAAGGGATGAGGGATAACGACACGGTAAGAAGGGAATAAGAGGGGAAGAGAGGAGGGATCCTCGCAACCCCGATGCAGGGTGCGCGAGTGAGCGGTGACCAGCCTGCCTACCTTCCTCCCTCCCTACCTACCTACCTACATACCTATTAAAAGAGCGTAGCAGCAATGGGCTGAGGGCGCTAGGGAGAAGGAGGATACGAAGAATGCCTGCATCCTCCCCGGCCAGTCGCCGCCATGGAGGTACATATGTATTCCTGCGGCGCCCCGCGCGATGTCGTATGCGCGCAGCCCGGCGTAGCACCGTAGGCATAGCATAGCACCGCGCAGTGTAGCACCGCAAGCCGGCGGACACGCAGGCGCGCGCGGACGACGGACGGAGTATCTAGAGAGCCACGCACAGCGAGAGAGGTACCTGCGGCCGGACGGGCCGGGCGACGGGGAATCCGCGCTGCGAGCACCCCAGAGCCCGCGTGCCCGCGTGAATTGCCCGCCCCAGCTCTCCGTTCGCGGTTGGGATCTGCGTCTACACTATACCTCTCTCTCCCTCCCAAGCGGGCGCCGGGCCGCCGGCCGTAGACCCCGTGTTCCTGGCGCGGACGGCTGCCGCTGCTCTTACGCCTGCCGCGCCGTGTTGTAGGCGAGGGCATGCGTGCGTGCGCGCGCGCTGCCACCGCCTCCCACCCCATCCGCCGATTTGCCGGTCCGTCCGCCGCCGCACGTAGAAATGCGATCGCGCAGGCCACCCCCCCTTCCGTCCCCGCTCCCGTCTTCATCCGTAGCCACATCTGCCCGTCTGTCCGCTCTCGGGCCTGGGACGCCGGCGATGGGATGGGGGGGGGACGGGCGCGGGAGCGGAGAGGAGCAGAGAGAGAGAGAGAGAGAGAGAGGCCGGCCGCGCCTGCTGGTCTACGCGTCTAGCTAGGGGTGTGCGCCGGGGAGAAGCAATGTATATCTAGATGAGCAGCCCGACATACTGCTCGCGCGCTGCGTGGCCGGGTTGCCCGTCCGCGAGCCGCCGCCCCCGTCCCCTCACCCCGCTTGCTCTTCCCGGAGCCCTATTCCTAGCTTCGCCCCCCCCCTTCGCTTCCCGTCGGCTTGGCAAGCGGTCAGATATGTCAGAGACCTAGCCCGGCAGCTGGGAAAGGCTACACAAGCGCCCGCTGGATAACGGCCCCTGGGTTAGGGTTGGGTTGGGTTGGGCAAGATGGGGTCCGCCGAGGCGCGGAACTGGGCTTCGGGAGGAGCAAGGAAAGGGGGATGGGCGGGCGTAGTCTGAGGAGGAATCTCTCCGCCCGTCTACTGCCGTCCTGTTGCCGTTCTTGCCGGCATACTATTGTCTGCCTGTCCGCGCACCGCTTACCTACCCGTCTATCTCCCCGTCTACGCCCTTTCCGCTCTATCCTCCCTTCCCGCTCTATCCTTCCTGCCCGTCTACCCGCCTACCCGCCTACCTACTCGCGGTGCGTATCGAGACGGGGGATCTCGAGGTTGCCGCGGAGGGGTTCCTTTCCGCATAACGTCGGGGGCTCAGTGGGCTAGGCAGGTGGGTTGGGTATAGGTAGACGGGTAGATAGAGATAGTCGATGGATGGAGACGGAGAGAACCGCACGCCCGGGAACGTCAGGGGTGGTAGTAAGCAAGGCGGGCCACGTGCGGCTCCTGCACACGTGTACGTGTACGCATGCGGCGGCGGCGGCGGCTTACGGACGCTGGCATTGTTTCAGGAAGTGGGTGAGATCTTTCCCATAGGCACAGCAAGCTCGACGCGTAGCATACGACTCGGGGACTCGCCTGGCGGGCGCAACGCGCGGTGCTTGCGACACGGCAGACTCGTTGGCGGATACGTCGGGAGAGAGGACGCTACGGGGAGTGGCAGACAAGAAGGGAGAGGGGAATCCGAGACTGGGCCAGGGCACGGGAGGGAAAAGGAGGACGAGGGATACGTGAGGAACAGGAAGACATGTTGGGGGCGGGCCGTGGGGCTAGCTGGCCGAGAACATAACCAACGGCGGCGAGAGGACGGAGGAGACGTCGAGAGTTGCAAACCCCAGCCACTACACAAGACATCTAGCCACCTAGGCACAGAGTTAGCTGGTTCACTAGTGAAGACGAGGTGAGTTGCCAGGTTCACCGCCAGCTGCCGCAGTTATCACAGCAGCAGCAGCGGCAACCGCCCGAGACCACGGCCGAGTCTGCCCAGGATCCCCAGATACCTGCGGCAATGGCAGCATCACTAAACACACGCCCGTGGCTCCTAGAAATCGCGTCTGTCGGGATTCGAATCTCCCGTGCCTCCCCTTACGTACGCTCCACGCGTTGGCATCGAGCCGGGCGCCGACCTCCTCGCGAGTTGTATACCGTGCGCGGAGTACGGCCCTGGGAGGATCGCGGCGCTATCTACCCATGTGGCCTCTAGACATGGGACCTAGATCAGGTCATTCCTCGCTGGGTACCGTGGCTGGCTCTCGCTAGGGCGCTAGGGCTGTTCGCTCGGCAGGTCAGTTGGGCCGAGTCGAGGAGGGGGGCCGAAAAGGGGGTGGGACGGAGGGATTCGAGCAGCGGTTCTCTCCTCGCCGCTGCGCGAGACTAAGTATCGCATTGATTGACCTGTGGGCGCCTGTGGTGCGCGTGCGCGTGCGCGTGCATTTCTTCGATCCCGTAGGATTCTCTCGCCCGCCCCCCCCTCCCCCCTCCCCGCCACCACCTCTCCTCTGCCATCCATCCTTCCTCCCGCCCGGCTCCGAGGACGTTTCTGCGGAGGGGGAGGGGTGGCTGCTGATGAAACTACGTGCGCATGTGTGTGTAGATTCCTTCAGCGCACCCAGGTTCGGTGGCAGAGATCGAGACGAAGGAAGAATCGGTGTGGTGCACGATAAGGCGGCGAGGCCAGGCTAGAGCATGGTCGGCTTGGCGTACCCGGGGAAGAAGGTGAAGAAGAACCACGAGTCGCAGATGAGGTCGATGGGCACGGTAGCATGAGGATCCGGCAATTAAACCCAAGGCGAGCCAGAATTGTACGCTTGGATAGTATATAGTCAAGGGGGGGGGGGCGGGGGGGCGTGGAGGATGACTTGTTGTAAAACGTGCGTGCGGCATACCTACTATACAACCAGCAGCCTCTGAGCCCTACCGTCCCATATATAGAAGAGCTGGGTTTCTTCCTCGGTCCCGAGAAAATCTCCTAGGGGATTGGGGAGGAGAACCATGTATGCCAACGCGCCAGGACTAGTAGTAGGTACGGCACGGTCGAGTATAGCCAGCCATTGCATGTAATAGGAGGGAGAGAACGGGGGGGGAGCAGAGTCAACAAAGGGGCCGTGCAGTTATACGTAGGTATGCTGCCCTAGTAAAGGTGGTAGCGACCAAGACAGATACGACCAGGTATATACGAAAGGTGCATGACATCGGATGTGTCCAGCTTCGAGAACAGCTGGTTTCACACAGATTAGGTACTATTCGCTGCCGGCGGCATCGTCGATGCTGTGCTAATTTGTCTCTTCCTAGCCCCGTGAGATGGAACAGTGTGCAGATCGGCGATGCTACCATCGCACGTGCTAAAGGAACAGGGACAGCGCTAAACGGAGAAATGGATCTGTCTGTGGGTGCCTTGGGGGGGGCCACTGTTGGCAGATACGACGTATTTGCTCGTCCTCAACATTGCTACCCTGTCAACGACAGCTGGGCAGCAGACGTATGCAGATGTGTAACTATACGATGCCTATGTGTTCAAGGTAGGGATCGTAACCATCCGCACGTAAAGATTCCGAACTGACGAAGCAGAGAGGTAGGTAGAGGCAGGGAGATACACGCACCGACCCATGATAAGCCCAAGGTCTGGTTACTGGAAGAGAGACATATCAGTGGATAGAGACCGAGACGTGAACTGACAGACAGTTGGCTTGGACAAGGGGGGTTTGACTATCTTTCTACCGGCTCTAGAGGTTAAGAAAGGGCGTTGCGTAAAGTGTAGACGCCTACATTCTACGACCTGTAGACATAGGCTTGTATAGATAGAGTTCCCTGCGTGACAAAGGGCATAGCAGTGGCATTAGTAGTTAGCTCAGTTGGGCAATATGTCGCTTTTTTCTGATATATAGTTCCACTTGGTAAGAGGAGAGAGCATGAGGGGGCGGGAAGGAGAAAGTGGGCGGAAGAGAGTAATCATATATAATAAATACACCGGCTTGATTAGACAACAGGAAAAGAATCGTGAGCGAAGAGTAGCAATGCAGGGAAATAGACACATGCTGCCGTGCCTCTCATCCCGCTATGTCGCTATCCGTCACATACATCTCCCCTATCCACCCATCGATCTATACACATACCCATACCGCTCCCTCCCTCCCTCCTTACTCGCCAACCCATCCCTTTAGCTACTGACCCTCCACTTGGGCACATCCGCCGTTCTGTTCCCAGAATATGGTTCCATGTAGCACAGGAGAGGACGGGAAACAACGTATGAGGCTAGATAAGGAGATGGGGGAGCGTGGAGGGGGGAAGGGGGAGGGCATTCCCCTCTCCACGACGACAAACAGCAATATATATAAGCAGCTTCTACTTCGATCTCAGCTACTTCCGTCATGCCGTCACCCACCCCCCATCAACCCACCCATCCTCAGCGTCTTCTGCCCTCGCCGTGAAGATCACCTCCCAGGCGAGCAAAGGAAAGCCGTAGCATCCCCCCTCGCCCCCTATGCACATAGGTACCTACCCTTCCACCTCACACCTCTCCCACAATGCTACATTGTGCGTATGTACGGACATGCCTAGATACCCCCTTCTTGCTCTGGCTTCCGCCTCTCCTCTCACACAGCCCCCCCAAAACACAATAAGGAAAAAAAAAAAGGGGGTAGCCACGGCCCCCTTAGTCCAAGACCCCGTCCGACGGCGCCTCCAAGCCCAGCCAGAGAGCCGCCGTACGATACACACCTGCCTCTCCCTGCTCTACCCTAGACTCCCCGGCACCCCTCGCTCGTCCGTAAGCCCCCCATATAGCCCCCGCCCTCCCCATCGCCGTCCGGCGCCGTCCCGGGCGGGAAGGCAGGAAGACGCGGCGCGGCGTGGCGGAGGCGGCACCGCGGCTGTCCCGTCTGCCCTTCCCTAGAACTGCTTCGTCCGCGGCAACAGCGACTTCTCGGGCCCCACCGGCGCGACGGGCCGAGGGCGGTGCCGAGGTCGGCAACGAGTGGTGGTGATGGTATGTCACGTAAAAACGCTGGCGCTTGCGTTTCCCTCGTGGGCTGCGGAGGGTTATGTAGGTGGGATTCTCTACGGGATATGGTCGTAGTAGTAGTAGGAGTGGCAGTAGCGACAGCAGCAGCAGCAGCAGCAGCAGCAGTAGTATTAGTCTAGAGTACGAACTCCCGGCACGCGTGGGCGGAAGCCCTCATTCTCAGCCTGTAGAGCCCTCGTCCCGCCTCCTCCTTACCTCCTTACCTCTTCACCCCTCCGCCCCGCTCTACCCTACCCAACTCACACGGCATCCCTCCCCCCTTCTCCCGAGTCGAGCCCAAGCCCACCTTCCCCCCGTTCCTGTTCACCTCCTTACGACTCCCTTCGGCTCCCTAAACCTCCCCCCCCGCCAGACCAGGCCGATGCCGAGCCGCGTTCGGGGGTGTTCCGCTGTTGGAGCCTCCTCTCTCGACCTCGGTCGGTGAGCCCATTCGCCCGCCCGTCTCTCCCCTATCAGCACCACGTCCCGCCCTGTGAGCGAGTAGGCAGGCGGACGAGGCCGAGAGGAAGGGGGTGGGAGGAGATGGGGCGGCGGACGGGTTGGCGAGACTAAGGGGCGGAAAATCACATACAGCAGATGACTCGATAGCCCAGGCATATACATGTGTGTGTGTTCCCAGTACTGTTGCTGTTTAACCACCTAAGCATCTAATCATTATATGGTCATCGTCAATACCTAGAGGTAAACGGCCATCAGAGCACCAAGAAGCAGTCCCATCTCGAATATACGTGTTTCATGCGTGATATCTAGATATCCAAACCTCAGCTGTGCCCGCTTTATCTAAAAGCCGTTACTGAGTGATATATATATATATATACATCCTCGTTTGCCAGGCGCGGGAGACGCGTACGAGCAACCCACCCCGCCTGTACCGCGAGGATTAAGCAATGCAGGACAACCTGGGAATCAGACCGAGACTCCTGGTATTTGAATCGTTAAGCCATCACCAACCACCACCATCATCATCCGTAATCCTTCGTCAAAATTCGTCAAAATTGTTACTCGGACCCCGAGTTCCCAGCCTGAATAACCAGAACGCTGGCCCGTACGTCGCCCATGGCCAAAACCTGCCCGAAGACCCCTATCGTCTTTTGCACATCGTACTCTGTGTTGCTCTGATCCAACGTGCGCGCTTCAACGGGGAGGCGGGGGTGTCGACGCCCAACGATTACGACATCCCCTGCGTTCAGCGAGTTCTTGCCGACCGTGTCCTTGGCAAGTTTTGTCACCTCCTCGACCACGGAGCTGTTAGAGACGGAGAGGTCGACAAAATTTACACGACTAGCTAGCTCGGTAGGCAAATTGGCTTTCAGAGAAGCTATCAGGGTTATATCTTCTGCCGTGACCTCGGTGTTTATGGCGCCCTTAGAAACGGACGATACCGGCGAAGCAGGGGCCATGTCGCCCTCCGAGACGGCCGAACCTCGGTTGCCATTCTGGGAGAAGCGCAAGTTGGCAATCGTGGCCGTGATGAGTCTGTTCTTAGCAAGCTGAAGGACGAAGCGTAGGGCAGCTCGGTCATCGACACCTCCGACGTAAGGGAAGAAAACGTGATGGGACTTGTCGACGAGAGGTGGCAGAACAGCCTCTCTTTGGCTGCGCATCGAGACCTGGCTGATAGTCCGGGGAAGCGGTGGGCGGCCCGTGCTACTCGACGTAGTGCCACCGAACCTGTTGCCGATAAAGATTCCCGTGTCGCAGACGGCCGTCGTTAGCGATTGCCGGATGAACTCGAGGTGCGACTTTCCAGAAAATCGGTCTTCCGAGGAGACCCTATGCGGGATGGATTGATCCTCGGTATTGCTCCCGACTTCGCTCCAGGGAATCAGCACAAAGTCTGATTCCTGGGTCGAAGCCTGATCCACAACGGTGCGAGCGTACGAGTCCTCGGGAGCGATGATGACGCTGCTCGAAATGGCCACATCGTGCAGCTGGGAGAACGTCCTGAACGCGTTGACGACAGGGTCCCGTCGAGAATAGTCATCGCCCTCGGTAGATTTCATCACGGACGACGTGCGGTCGGTCAGCTCCAGGATACGTAAAGCGTGAGCCTCTAGGGGTCGCCGCGTTTGAGAAAGCGGAGGCTGGGAGGGGTCCTCTTCAGGAGCCGGGTTTTGAGCCTTCTCGTCCCTGGGCGTCGCCTTGTCGTCGCCTAGAAGAGACATAAATGTGAAGAGACTCGGAAGACTATCCAGGCGAAGATATACGAGGAGGCGACGGATCTCGGCGTTTTGGATCTGAGCTAAGGGGCCGGGCTGAGATGGGTCCTGCAACGGTTTCCCATCCCAATCGATCTCACCCCGCTTCCACTGCTCGAGCTTCTTCTGGTACCACGGGGGGTAGAGCCATTTGGTGAGAGGTGTCGTGCTAACAGTAGTTACTAGCGCCATGACGACGAACATGGTGAATGTCTTCTGCGACAATATTCTTGCCTGAAGGCCGATGTTCTATAGGCTCATTAGTATTTTCATTGCCGACATCTCAACGAACCACCAACGTACCAGGACGATGAGTTCCACCAAGCCCTTACAACTCATCAAGACACCTATCGTTAAACTCTCTCTCCAAACCAATTTCATCGCTCTCGCAGCCAACGTGCCACCAACGATCTTACCGGTGAAAGCAACGGCGATGACGCCGACAACGTAGCCCCAAGTAATTCCGTCATTGAGGAGGCCCAAATCCGTACTCAACCCGGAAAGAGCGAAGTAAAGGGGCAGGAAGAGGACGGTGACCAAATCCTCGATCTTTTCGGTGACGTGGATGGCGAAACCGCCATCGTGGGGGCAAATCAAGCCGACCAAGAATGCGCCGAAAATGGCGTGCACACCGATGATGCCTAAAGAGTAGGGAGAGATCCGTTAGCTCGCCGGGTACTGGTTCTTTTCGTGGAGGGAGAAGACGGCTTACTGGTGAACCAAGACGAAACGAGGACGAGGAGGATGGTGACGCCAACCATGGCCTGGGTTGGGCCATTCTGGATGCTGCCCGTCTTCCTCAAGGCCCAGTGAAAGAGCGGCTTCACGGCAAAAACGAGAAAGAGCACCCAACCTACGGCGACGAGAAGAACCCAAAGCGCAGCCAATCCGTTGGCGTTGTTGACGAGGGCAACGCAGAGCGCGAGCAGAATCCAGCCCACCACGTCGTTTCCGACGCCAGCAGCCAGGACGGTAACGCCCACCGGCGTGCCCAGCAGGTTAAGCTCAGAGAGGATACGACAGAGCACGGGGAACGCGGTGATGGCGAGGGCGGTACCGATGAAGAGCGCATAGACACCAAAGTCAATCTGGACGGTGTTGGGTTCGTCCTTGAACTGGTAGTACAGGCCGTAGGCGATGCCGCAACCCAGGCCGAAGGGCAGAATCATACCGGCCAGGCCCACGCTCAACGCGACGCGCCAATTGGAAGTGAACAGGCGGATATCGACCTCGAGGCCGATGAGGAAGAGGAACAAGACGAGACCGATGTTGGCCGCATTGTTCAGGACAGGCATAGATTCGGTGGGAAATATGGCCGCCTGAAAGCCCGGGATGCGGGCTAGAACGGAGGGGCCGAGGATGATACCGCCAACCACCTCGGCGATAACGCGAGGCTGACCGAAGAAGGACAAGGGATAATAGAGGAGCCTGCAGAGGATGATGATGATGCCGGCCTGAGCGGGTTGCCAAGGTGAGCGGAGAGCGCGAGGTGAGAAAGGGAGGCGGGGCTCCTGCGGCACCACGACGTACCTGAATGATGAAGAGCTGGATCGGGTTCGACGCGATGAAGGCATTCGGCATAACCCCCTCCAAGATGCCGCCTTGCGGAGGGGGGCCGGTGGCGGCGGCGGCAGCCGTACCGACGGTCACGGTGACCGTCGACAACAGCGTCTCCGTCGCCGTGGCGACGAGAGAAGCCATGGCGGGCTCCGACGTATCCTCTGCGGCCGGTCGACCGAGCAACGGAGGGCCGGCGGCTAGAACTACGGGGTGCGGATTTCAACCAGCCCCAGCAAGCTGCTATCGGGGCAAGGTGACAGGCGACAGCAGCGGGAGTAAGACCGGCAGCGCGGGCGAATGCGAATTCGACTTGTCGCCGAAGAAGAGGCGAGTCGCAAGCGCGGGCTGTAGCGGCAGGTGCTCAGAACGATGCCGCCGACATAGAGGATATATACCTATATGGGGACAAGAAGAAGAGAGAAGAGAGAAGGGAAGGAGGAGGAGGGGGGGAAGGGAAGAAAGAGCTGGCGATGTTGTTGATGAAGAGAGAAGGGGAGGAAGAAGAGAGCGGGTATGGATGGTGTTTCTTGGTGGTTCTCACAGAAGACCAAGGAGGATCCACTCATTTCTGGGGAGGGGGGGGGGGGGGACCCTTGAAGGAAGCCGATGGCAGGCTATAATACCACGTCACGGTACATGGGAGGTAGGCAGATCAGTTAGTTAGGTCTACCAGGGTAGTTAGGTACCCACACATACCTATACGTAGTATAACGTAGGTGGGCAGTACAGGCCGTATGGCAGTACAGGCCGTATAGCAGCAAAGGCGGGGAGAGAGTTAGCAGGCAGCGGTGCGGCTATGTTAGGTAGGTAGGTAGGTACCTGAGGCCGTCTCGGTGATGGGTACACCCATGGCACCAACGTTCAGGGCGCTGAACCACCACGGACGCGCCCTATTGCGTTGTGCTACCTACCTACATATAATATGGTGCACCTGACGTGTGCGCAGGGCCTACGTGATAAAGCAGATATGGCGAGGTAGGTATATCGCAAGTATACTCGCCGGCCACGGTACCCGACGCAACGGGGCATTCTCGGCGCCCCCAGCACGTACCCGGGCGAGGCGAAACACATTCAGAGTACACGCATCTTGCTAGTTTCGAACCGGCTCCCCATCGCCGCCGCTCACTGCTTACTCCCGCATCCTACCGACATTCCCTCAGCCATACCAGCGCAAATGAAAACCCGAAAGCGGTCCAATAAGCGCCGGCTCGCGTCGAGATATCCGGACATCACATCGACTCAGGTCAGCAGTAGGTAGGGAGGGGGGGGGGGGGGGGGAAGCGAGAGAGAGACCTAAGTGGGTGACTGCGCCGGCTAGGACCGGCCCATTATTCGACGACCCACGCCAACGACAATGACAAAACAACGACGACGACGACAACAAAGAAAGGCGAGGAGGAGGAAGGGGGGGGGGGGGCTCGCAGGTTATAGTCGAGTGGGGAAACAATCTAGTGTCCATCTACATACCTATATATGTAGGTATACACGTATAAGGCATGTCTGCCGCACATCGTAGCAAAAGGGCACGGGTTACATAGGTAGCGCTAAGGCGGGGCGCAGGGGAGCGCAGAGCGTTAGGGGGTCCCGCCGGGTTGGCGCACGCCAGCTAAGGAGTTGGGGATGCCGTCGCAGTTGACGGTGAGCCGAGACGCGTGTGGGGGAACCCGAATCACGAGCCAGCAGCGCGCATCCGACGATACTCGATTCGCCATCGCTGGCATGCGTCGGCCTCCCTGCGGCGATGACAGGCCGGCACGACGGCATCGATCCATCCCGCAGATGATAGCTTAGATATAGGTATACCTCCGCCTTACATACCTACATATGTATGTAGGTCGGTAAGGTTGTCAGCGAGCTGTCTACATACCTTAGGTAGGTAACTGTCCGAGGCTATTTTTGGGAAACTTCTTCAACAGAACTACCTAGATTAGGTAACCAGCAATCGCCTCCTCAATACCCTCCCTCTCTAATCCTTCCGGCGGTCTGCACGCGTGCCAAACCTGCCGGGCCTGGGGGTTTACATACCTACCTACCACTAGTTTGCGTACCGACCTCTTGGTATCTTGGGCCGTGTACCTTCTTTATAGGTACCTATTCGTATCAAGCACATGCATCCCCACCGTCTCGGGTTACCTAATATACCCACCTATATTACCTAACCTACCTACCTTAGGTACTATACCCATCCACATACCTATGAGTACATACCTCCTCACATATACACATCCGTAGGCGAGGTATTGCAACTCCTCCCGCCTCCTCCTCGTCACCTGCGCCAACATACCAAGAAGTCGCCAACCCAGGGGGATCGTGTCCGGGCGTGCCTCGCTAGTCGAGGGGCTGGGGAATGAGAGGGGCAGGGCGCGAGCCAGTCCTCGTCGCCACCAGAAACCCGCCAGGCCGTCCGCCGCGCGATCCAGACCTCGCCGCCCGAACGGCGTGGTGCCAGATAAATCTCGGTGAGCGCGCGAGGGCGAGACACACACACGCGATCGGTCCGCCGCCCACCCATCGTCCTCGCCTCCGATCCCCCCCTTCCCCCCCCCCCTACCACCATGTGATCTAGGCCAAGCCAAGCCAAGTGCAGGCCCAAGGCCCCGTAGGCGGCCAGCGGGCACGACCTGGCCAGTCGCCTGGCGCGGCAGCGAAACTACGCATAACCGGCCAGCAGATTCGCCAGGAGGAGAGAGAGAGAGAGAGATGGGGCCACGCCCCCATGTGACGGCCTCTCGCTTCCGGCTGCAACCCTCAGCAGCCCATCTCCCGCGCTGTCCTTTCGCCGCAGAACATAGGTAGGTAGGTAAGTCGCAGCAGCCATACCCCTCCTCAGCATCTTACCCCACGCGGGGAAAGCAGAAAGAGGAAAAAAAAAAGGAGAGCGAAGACGACGGCAAGGACGGCGAGAGGAGCCCCCCTCGTGCAACTAGGTATCACATGTCCTACATCGGGGTGGATAGCCGTCATGACAGTCGTAGGCATGCGTGCGTCTAGATCCGGCTCCCTGTTTTCCCCTCTCTCTCTCTCTCTCTCTCTCTCTCTCTCTCTCTCTCTGGTCGTCATCTCTCGCGGCTGCATCTCTCATGCGTGCTCGCCGCCGAGTCCGGCGAGAGCGGGCGCGCCGACCAGCGCGATCGACCGCGGCGACGTCGCACGGCATCGCTGCGCAGCAGCGCGATCGACGATTTGCGGCGGCTATCGCGGGAGGCTAGCCTGCGATGGGCGCCAGCGCGGTGGCACACATAAATACCTAGGGGGAGGCACGCAGATGCATCCTTCGTGCGAGACGTGCCTCTACGTCTGGTGGCTCCGTGGTGCCGCAGCGGCCACCGAGCGAGAAGACGATTTGCCTGCGCTACCCGGCATCTCCTCCAAAGGGGGCAGGCCAGTACCCCCTAATGTCAAGCCCGGAGATGCTGCTGCTGCCTCAGCCCTGCGTATTAGCAGGTAGGCAGGCGGTTTTAGAAACTAGCGAACAGAGCCGTAGTCAGTCCTTTACGACGTAGACAAGTGCACGCGTGCGCGGCAATGCTGATGAGAAAAAGTCTCGACGGAATTAAGGACGTAGACATCTCGCGAACAGGTCCTCGTAGTGACACCACAGGTAGGTATAGCCTACTAGAGTATATAGATACCTACCCGGCGGACGAACCCATCGAATAGAGCGTCGTAACACTCCAGAATAGGAGCGACCCGAGCTACCTACCAAGACGACATGCTCAAGCACGCCTCCGCAGCCGTCGGAGCCGAGCACATGCGACTCACGCGCCGTTATTCAGTTCTCTGCGCCGCGCCGAGACGTGCGCTTTCCCACGCGACTGTACGCTGCTCCGCCGGATCTCTCGCCCGCGACGGACATCCCGGACAAACCCGCGCCTCACGCGCCCGTTCTACGCCGCGCAGCCCCCCTACCACCACCACCACCACCACCACCACCGCTAACCAGCGCCCGCTCGCCGCTCGCCATCCACACGCCGCCACCACGCCGCCCTCTCTACTCCTCCTCCTACCCCCCCAACCCCAGCTGCCGTGGGGAGCGGAGAGGCAAAGGGGAAAGGGGGGCATAAGGAATAAGGAAAAGAGGAGGCGGGGCCAAAGGCCAAAAAAGACGGGAGAGGGGCTGGGGCAGAGAGCGGTCGCGGGGTCGAGGCGAGGCATGCTTTCCTGGTGCTGGGGAGGGGGGGACGAGGGGAGGGGACGAGGCTGTAGGATGCGCGACGATGCCCTGATTCGCGCGGCGGTATGGTATGGGATTGTTCACACACACACACACACACACACACACACACACACACACACACACACACACACACACACACACACACATTTGCATTACAATGCCATATAATACCTCGGTACCTATAGTCTACGATGCTCCCCCATGATGGCAACAGATACTGTGGTGGTGACGAGAGTGGGAAGCACATCGTGCCCGACGGAAAGTATCCAGCATCCGGCCGCTGCAGCCATCCGCTTGTCTTCGCACACCAGCAGGCAGCGATCGGCGGGGGGGGGGCGGCATCGGGTACGTGGAAACGGGTGCGTGTAAGGTGAGATACTGGAATGCTATACCTAGAAACCGGACGGCTGCTTACGTGACCGTTCCCGGCCCAGGCCCCGAGAGAGAGAGAGAGAGAGTCGCAGAACACGACTCCTTTTTCTCACTGCCTACCCCTGGAACCACGACGACGCACCACGCGACCGAAGCAATCGTCTTGATTATATAGGTATATGCAATATATACTGTATTCGATGCCGCTGGCGCATCGTGAAGAGTAGCGCACGGGCAGCAGCATGTGGTAGCAGCAGCGGTGGCAGCGGTGGCAGACAGACAAATAGATAGAAGTCGTAAAGTTTCCCGTCCAACCCCTCTCTTCTGTATCATCTCCGCTAGATGAGAAAAAAGCGACGCCGGTATTGCCCCCCCCAAACCCGCCCCGTTCTACCCATTATGAAAACGGCCCCCCGACCACGTGTCCCTCTCCCCTACGTCCCCTTCCCTCTCCCCTCCCGTTCTTCCCTGGAACGCCCTCGCCGTTATATTTTTGAGACCAGATCGCGTCCCCTTTTTTTCTTGCAATAATATTTACCTGTCCCGCGACGTAACCGAATAGCGTAGCCGGAGCTCGAGTAAATGGTGTTATGTATATGAAGGAGGGGCGGAGGCTCTCGAGGAGCAGGTAGATCATGAGTTGGATGTAGGGGAAGGTAAAGACAGTCGGGGTCGTCGAGGATGAACGCCACCACCCGAAGCCACAGGCGCCGTGAGATTCGAAATCCTATCCACCCTGACTCCAGAGGAAAAGAGACGTTTCGCGTGACAGAAAAGAGCAGCTCTCCATATCGCTAAGCTCCTCTCTCCCCCCTTCCTCCCCGCGTGATTGGTATGATCGAGCAATTGTGAAAAAGGGAAAAAAAAAAAAAGAGGCTAGCCAGAAATTTAGAAATCGTCCGAGTTGATCGCGGAGCGCTTCCGTCCAGCCTTAGCCTTGAGGCCCGACCAGCAGTCGGATTGATCCTCATTATCGCTCACTGAGACACGATGAATTAGCCATCGTCGCACGGTGAAATTGAGAGTGTCTTGCGTTACGGGCCGACTTCTAATCAATCGGGCATCACTCGAGATCGACAACCTCCCCGTCGGGACGAGAATAGATGATTCTATGCGGCGACTATAGGAGAAAGCTGCTACTCACTACTGCCGTAGCCGGTATCCGTGTCAAGGCCCATACCCACTACGCCACGGGTGACGATCAAGCATCGATTCACTATCTTATGCCTGATTTCCGACGCCAGCCCGCACTCCTTGCCGGTCCAGATCCGCAACGTGCCCGCGAGCCGCTCGAGCGTGTCGGCACATGCTTCAGCGGCAAATTCGTGATTGGCTAGGCGATCCATCAGTTTGAAAGTGGCGGTGTAGCCGAGCAGTCCCATGTCGCTTATGGGATGGATCTGCTCGATCACGCTGTAGATGTCGACCGGTTCCTCGGGAGGGGAGAATTTTTGGAGGTGTGCGATGGCCATCGCACACAGGAGCGAAGTACGCATTTCCTTGGTTGTGAGGAATAGAGACGGGGCCACCTTGGTCGGGTTGGAGGACGACGGGGCGCGGGCGTAGGATCTTCTCGAGCGGTTGCTCGACGACAGGACCGATGTCACAGGGCCGATAGCATGCAGCGCTGACATGATGTTCACGTTGCGCTTCTCCTCGAACAGCAGCGCGCGGGCGACGAGGGCACGGTTTTGGGCGATGCAACCGATCGGAGCCGTCCGGATGGCCAGCGATATATCGTTCTCGATCGACCTACGTATCTCCGCGCCGTTCTCCTCCGGAATCAGCAGGCTGTTCGTCAGCGCGCCTTGCAGCATCATGTTAGACCACCACGCCGCGACGGCGTCCATCGGCGAGCGTACTGCGAGGTCCTCTACCACTGTGTCCATACCATCGGTGATTCCGATCACGTTGTGGTCGGTCGGGCGATTCCAGGCGAGGTTGTGGGCTCTCTGCACGATGCTCGGGTTTAGAACCATGTCGCAGTCCTGTTCGAGCAGGGCAGCTAGATGATCGGGCAGGTCGTCTTCGGTATCTTCCTGGCCGATGCGGCGGAGCTGTGCCAGTATTCGATGTAGCTGCTGCGCCTCTTCCCACAACGACCTCGCCAGCTTCGACGCGAAGGCGTTCAGGATGCCGAACTGCATGTCGGAGAGACCGACTTCCCACAGCAGGACACGGATATGGAGGGCCTTCAGCATCAGTCGCAACGGGGTGGTGGGGAGCGTCCCCGACGCGAGGAGAGTTAGTGTCAACCGGCTCTTGCTGATCTCGATATCGCCTCCCGCGAGCTGGGCGTCTAGCGCTATCGTCCAGGCCTTGACGCGAGCGATTTCTTGGTCCTCAGTAAGGCCCGTTAGCAACTGGTACCCAGTAATGCCGATGAGATTCCTGAGGCTTAATTTTAGCGTCTTCAGGCCGAGCGCCGCGGCTTCGAGGAAGAAATTGTGACGCGGGACCCAGACGGTCTGGATGGCTGTGAGCCAGGCTTGGCGACGGACGTGAATGGGCGATGCCAGGGACGGCACCGGGTTTAGGGAAGCTGGCCGTTGTGGTTTAGGCGGTGTCGCAGCCGAGGGTTTACGATCCATAAGCGAAGGGATTATCGCCCACCACAGACAGCAGAGCAGCAGGAGGATTTTGAGCGAATAGAATACCTGTGCGCCGTGGATGTGGTATCCCAGCAGGTTGATGCTCGTCGACGACGTGAGCAGCCTGAGAAGATGTACGGGGAGGGCGAAAAGGCCGCGACCCTCGGGCGTCTCGTTGCTCTGCTCACTCTCTCGCACCGCCTCCAGAAGCATCAACCCTGCTAACGAGCCGACCATCAGCTTGCCGAAGTAAGGGCCTGCGTTCTGCCAACCTCTCGCCTGCATGTGATGCTGCGGTTGTATTTGCTGTTGACGTATAAGGTTAGGATTCGCTCCCCGGTACTGTTGCGGCGGCACGGGGTAGGGCTGGTTCGTGGCCATCTGGGCAGCCAATATACGTTTCATTTCGTCGGGCACCTGAATCATGCCCTGCGGATCGGGTCGGCCTGGTGCACCCATGACGTTCGCGTAGCTGTTGGCGTCTGTCGTGTATTGTATAGGCGTTGGCGGGGGACCTTGCTGCAGCGGGCTCACGGCACCATTCATCGCACCGGCCATGAACAACTTCTCGAAGGCTGCTATCCGCTGCTGCATCGCCGAGTTCTGGTCAATCAGCCGCATGTTCCTCTTCTCCAGGTGTCGGATATACTCGGTGGCTTTACTTAGGACCTGCAGAACGGTTAGCCACTTATGACGCTGGACTCGCCGCCCATCTCGGGCAGAGCCGACGCACCGTTGCCTTGTTTAGCTTGTGCGCGGGTGTTAAGCCGTGTAGTTCCTCCCTGTCCTCTGTCGTATCTTCACCTCTCGCGCTCTTCGACATGATGCGCAGACTCGGCACGCTATCTCGCAGAGCGGCTATCTTGTCGTTGAGGTTGGTGCGGTACCTCTTCTCGATCATGTTGTGGGCCGTCTTCTTGACCGGCTGGTGGGAATCGAGATCGTCATCGTCATCGTCGTCTACCTCGACGGAGGATTTCCGCTTGCGGCCATTTAACTTGGACGACGGGCACTGGTCTTCGGGGGACGATATCGACGAAGATTTGTAGATGGGGCCGGCCGAGTCCGGACTCGCCTCGCTCTTCGGGGAGCGGTAAGGAAATTGTGTCAAGGGCATGGCGATGTTCTGAAGCTTCTGCCGCTGCTCTTCGGTCAGCCCTTTCAAGCCCGCTCCGTTCGTACGGACTTGCAGCGTCCTCGTCATCGACCCCACCGCCGTCGGCGGCGGCGGCGGCGGGTTCGACGGACCGGCGGCTACGGAGGACGGCGTGAGCACGGCGGCGGCGGCTGCGGCGGCTGATTGCTGACGGGGTGGTGGCGGTTGGGACTGCGGTTGGGACTGCGGCTGGGTCGCCTGAGCGGATGCCTGGCTACTGGGGAGGCCATGTTCTAATGGGGGCGGTTGGGCGAGATTCCACTCCTCTTGGTAGAAGGCGTTGGAGTCGTACGTGTCGTAGGGAGGTGTGTCCTGGAAGGCCCAGTTATTGGGGTCAAAGAATGGCGGGTTTGCTGCGGCGCTGGAGTCGGTCAACGGGGCGTCCCCATTGCCTGGGTGGCCGGCCTCTTGGTAATACGGGCCGTTCGCGTCGTCGAGACCAAAGAGGTCGGGAGCCTCTTGGTGGTCCGTCATGGCGGAAGCGGTTCGCGCTGGTAGACTGGTTGCTGATGCTGGTACTGGTGCCGATGTTGGTGCTGCGGTGGGTGCTGGCGCTGGTACGATCAGCAGATGCAGGTGTGGTTCGACATCAGCAGGAACCAGCACGAGTCCTTGAGCCTCCTCTCGCAAAGACTTGACTCGAACAAGCGAAAGGAGGGGGTTTGCATAGGGCGGGAACAAAAAAGACCGGGGGTGCCGTCGTCGATGAGCTGATCGAACGACCGGGAGTAGTATAGTGCGAGAATAGTATCTATGGATGAATATGAAAATAAAAATGGATTGGTCGGCTGGGCCACCTCACACAATCGGATCGCGAAGATATATAAGGCAGGTAAGGAAGGATCCGGTCAGATAACAACCGTTGGGGAATTTCTGCCTTTCCCCGAACTTCGCCTGGACGGGATGCGGGATGGGAAGAAGAGGGGCCGAGCGCGACGGGCGACAAGAGGTGTGCGAGAGGGAGGCGAGGGTGGATGGGAAGGGAAGTTGTGTGAAGGGTTGTAGATGGAGGAATTGGCGACGACGCAATCGACCAGACGGAAAGCAGATTAATCTGGACCGGGACGGGGTGAAACAAGCCAGCGGGAGAGAGGGCGAGCGCGCCTTTTTTTTTTCTTTCTTTCTTTCTCTTTTTTTTCCTCGGATGGAGGAAAAGGAAAAAGAAAAGAAGAGAGAGGAGAGGAGAGGGAGAGGGAGGACGAGACGAGACGAGACGGGACTGTTTAGGTAAAGGTCGACGAAGACTCGCAAAAAAGCCTGCTATGCAACGCCAAGACCCCCCCGGTTTGCGGAAAAAAAAGTAAAATATTTAAATCCGAATTTGCAGAGCCCAAAAAAAAAAAGAAACAAGAAACAATATTGTCATGCAGTACAGGGACCGATCGAACCGGGCCTACCAATGCCCGCCGTAACACTACAGTAATACGTATTATACGTATGGGAGCAGATAGGGGGATGGAGAGAGAGGGGTGGTGGTGACGACGGCGACAAGAGAGGGAGGACAGCCGACGGAAGAGGGCGCGAGGGTGTCGACGGGTCTCGTGGACGAGGAGGGTATATGCATACGCGTGCGTGCTGTTGCTGGCAGCGGCAGGCAGGGGCAGTATTAGGCAAGGTAGAGGAGGAGGAGGAGGCAGCTCGCCAGAGCACAGAGGGAGACGGCCGGATAACTGCTCGCCAGGTCAGGAGGTAGAGAGGAAAGGGGGGAATAGAGAGGTCGTGGGAAAAGATGTGTAGAGCTGTCGAGGTTGTCTAAGCTGCTCGTCCCGCAAGTCATTCCGCCGTCCCAGCTGGCCAGTTTTAATTGCTACTACGCCGACGCCTTTCTGTCCTGGTCATGTATGTCACGTAGGCCATGTCTATATCTGCAGCCTCTCCGTGTTCTAGTCTTCTCGACTATTCAATTAGGGACAGAGGCAGGCGATGCGAGACAGGGCCGGACGAGTGGGAGAGGAGAGGCCAGCACCACCGCCACGGCCACCGACGTTTGGGGCGGAGAGGAGAGGGGGGATCGATAGCGACACGGCACACCTACAGGGGACGGATGGCGCATACACATACAGGACGCGCGCATACCACATACAGACATTACAGACAGACGGACGGAACAGAGAGACAAGACGCACACATGCCTCCATCCACCCACTCTATACCTACGTACGTGCATACATGCCACTCACACTGGATACACACTGGACACGGCCCCGGCACAGTCGCAACACACATTATAACACCTACACGCTGCCCAGGTCTCTCGCATGCGCTAGAGTATACAACACGCACCCGCGCACCACTCACCAAGATGATACAGAGATTTGGTCTCCGAGATCTGCGGATCCGATAGGTCGGAGGCAAGCGTCGAGCCATACCGCCGTCCAATGGCATGGAGGGGTGGAGGGAGGGGAGGGAGAGGAGAGTCGGCCGGGGGGGGAGGGGGAGGAGGGGGGGGGGGGGGGAGCCTCATCTCTGGATAGGATAGGGAGGAGAGGAGGAGGAGGCGAACGAAGCGAAGCCTTACTACATTCGAAGCAGTACATGATGTGGGTAGACGGAGCGAGACTGAGCGGAGCGAACGAGGGAGAAGGGAGAGAGAAAGAGAGAGACAGAGGAGAGAGATGGACAGGCAGCGAGAGAGCGAGAGAGAGAGAGAGAGAGAGAGAGAGAGAGAGAGACAGGCGGCAGAGACAAGCAGGCGGGACAGGCCCAGAAGAAAGGGCACAAGACGAGCAGGAGCAGCCAGAGGGAAATCATACGATGGCCAGCCCCGATCGGGGATAACGCGGGCACACGGATCACCATGTGGCCCATGACCCCCCACATGCTACCATCGATCGAGTCGGCTTAGCCCGTCTAGGCCGTCCAGCGGCAGAGCCACGTGCCACACGAGCCACTGACGGTGGATCCCACCCTCCCGCCTCTCTGCACCCGGACGCTTCCTGGCCTCTCGTCGCGTCGCCCTCTCTGCTCCGTCCGGCCAGGGCCGATCCACTGTTCCAGCCACTTATGTCGTCAGACAGCCCCCCTGCGCACCTCTGCACCTAGGTAGGTACGTACGTACGTACTGGATTGTGCTCAGGGTACTTGAGGTAAAGAGGTACCTAACCTTAGGTACCTAACCTAACCCTAGGAGAGGTAGGCAAGGTACCCAGTACCCAGGTGGGTACATAGAACCCGTCGAGGCAAAGCGCGGTGGAGGCTGGTCCCCAGTCGACGGGGGCTCTCTCTGTGTCTCTCTGTCTCCTGTACCCAGGTACAATACCTACTCATATAGTACCTACCTGGTACGCAAAGAAAGGAAGCACGAGGAACGAGGAACGACCTCAGGACGTGGGTGGGGGCAGAGCGTCGACAGGCACCTAGGTACGTGCCGTCGGAGCCATTCGGGTCCAGCCAGCTACCCGACAATCCACCAACCGGTACTTGGATGTAGGCAGTTGAGATAGGAATGGTTCGGCGCCTCCGTTTGTACCTCTTCGTCCTTTTCCGCAAATTTCTCGGTCTGCCAGGTTGCTATAAGGCATCTTCCCTGTCGCGCCATGCACCTATCCGCCTATCCCTCAGGCCTCTCTCTCACTCTCTCTGCCTCTGTCTCTGCCTCTCTCTGCCTCTCTGCCCTTCTGTCTCTCTCTCTCTCTCGCCTCCTCGCCTCCTCACCTCCTCTCTTCATCCCCGCGCAACCCTCGAAAGCACCCCCTCGCCCTCCCCCCCCATCGAGGAGGATTCCTTCCGGCATGTCTCTCGTGGCGCCTAATCAAAATGCAATCAACCCTCGCTGCACTCCGTACGCACGCCTTTTATCCACATAGATGGCTGCCAATCTACCTCTACCGTGGATCTGCCCGGCCTGTCTACGCCGCACCTGTGCACCTCTCCAGCCAGTGCCCGAGATCCGCATGGTGGCTAGGGCCTTGCCGCAAATCACCGTCGGCGGGAGACCGCCAGGCGCATAAACGGGTCCCCTCTAGCGAAGACGTCCTCCTCCCCCCACTTATGGATTGGTCTAGGGTCTTCCAGAGACGGCGAGGGAGAGAAATACCACCAGTAGCCGCCTGCGAGGAGCTCTAGTCGCTATAATACACTCGGTATACGGCTCCATCGAAACCCCCCCCCCTTCCCCTCCCCATTCTTGTACATGTTAGGTAGTATGGTACGTGCATGCATGCATAGGTATGTAGGCTAGGGGAGCAGATCTGATCCGGTAGCCGATGGGCGACGGACAGATGGATGGATGGGTGGACGGACGAACCCCGTAAGCATGGCTGAGTCGTCCCGTCCCCCCCTCCCTTGGTTCAGCGTGCCGGCGAGCGCGGTTGCGTGCGTGTAGCTCTATACCGTGACGACACGACTGGGCAGGCAGGCTTACGCATAGATAGCCAGTATATGCGCAGTAGTAATCTAGGTAGGTATTGCCCGTCGTTGGGCGCCGACGCGACGATCACATGCGATACTGGGTGGTTATTGTCGAGAAGAAGCAAGAGAGACGGGGAGGCGAGGGAGAGAGAGAACATGACCCAGGCGGAAGGGGGGGAGGGGGAGGGGGCTGGTCCATTTCTGCGTGGACGAATTGCATGAATCAGGTAGATAAATAGGTAGACACATAAGTAGACACATAGATAGATCACGTACCCAGTCCGCGACGTCGATGCACGAGAGCCCGAGGTCCCCTCATTGGTCGAGGCAGCGCAGCACAAGCGGTGGGAGGGCCAGCATAATTAGAAACTTGGCCAAAAAGAATTAATCGACTCCTCCACAGGGGGAGTTTCAAATGGGAGTGGTATATAGAAGAGAATTATGAGTATAAACAAAACAGAACCAGTTAGACCCGGAGGAGGGTCGGTCGGCGCTATGCCTCTCTCTGCCTTTGCTCCCCCCCCCTTTTTTTACCATATCTCGTATCTTATAGAAGGGCGCGTGGCAATAGTGCCCCATCGCATTAGGAGGCGCCTATCCATTCCCCTCTCCCCTCCAATTTCGTAATAAAAAAAAAAGTTCTCGCGTAAGCTCGTAAAAAGGACCCGGTGACGGGTTGGCGTCGGAAGAGCGCCCCGTAGGCCGTCCGTCTAACCCAACCTAACCTCACCACATCTCCTCGCTGCTCTTCACCATCTCCACCGTCGGCGTCTTCGGCATCAGCTGCTTCATGCGCTTGCGGTCCGACTTGGTCACGAGCGATGGCGTGATGGGCACAACCGGCGAGAACGGCTGGTACGGCGTGTACGGCACCGGCGCGCCCGTCCACGGCGTCCGGAGGCCCGACGGCGACAGCGGCATCGCCCGCTCGAACGTCGTCTGCTTCGTCGTCTGCGCCGACGGTGAGCTCAGCGCCGGCTCGTACGCCCGCAGCGGCAGCGTGCCTCCCGTCCGCACCGCCGACGGCGCGTTCGGCCGCGAGAATGACTGCTGGCCCGGCCCCGGCGATGTCGGCGTTGCCGTCGCGAACGTCGACCCGGGCTTCGGCGACGACGGCAGCGACGGGAACCGGTTGACCCCCGGCTTCGGCGACGAGGGGAGGCCCATCAGGGGCGCCGTCGAGCGCTCCGACACGGCCGACACGGGGTCCAGCTCCGTGTGTTGCGAGTTGTTGCGTAGGTGACCGATCCGCTCGTCGATGCTCTGTGTGGTTTCCGGCGAGAGATCTGGCGGGGTGATGGGTGCTACGGACCCGTGCTGCCGACGGGCCCGGTAGGGAACCTGGTCCACGGGGACGGGAGGCGGCGAGGCTGGCGTGTACTGGCGAGGGGAAATTACGTTCATTTCCTCTTCCTCCTGCCGGGGGAAAGTGCCCGACATCGGAGTCATGATCGGGGACGAGATGCTGATAACCTTGGAGTTCTTCTTGAGAGGAGATTTGAGAACAGACAAGAGGGAAGAGGCTCGGGATTGGGACTTCTCCTGCCCGGGCTGTACGAGATCGAGATTCGCCGGCTTGGTCTTGCCCTTCTTCAAGATGCCCGGTTTCTGAGATTGCTGAGACTGGTGAGACTGCCGGTGCTGGGTTATGGGCGCGGGCGGGATCTCCAAGGTAACGCCAGCCTCCTTCGCGGCCTCCTGCTCCATCACGAGCCTGTACATCTCTTCCAGTTGCTGCTGCGCCATCTCGCGATCTGCGGCGACGACTCGCGGGTCGACTAGGGGGTTGATGCCAAGGGTGCTGGTGGAATGGATCGAGGGATTAAAGTAGAGGTTTGAGCTTGCCGGGCTCAGAGGCGGCGATTGCAGCGTCGGGTATGAGAAGTTCTTGGTGGGCGATTGAGGCGGGTTAGGGCCGTACTGGATACCGGACTGTACAGGCGGTGGGAGGGCGAACTTGTATGCGAGCTCGCCCTTAGGGTCGTCGTCGCCTGCTTCGATATGCTCGCGACGCTTCTTTGCTAAGGAGAGGAGGAGGATTGCGACTGCGACAAGCGCAAGGGCATATGATCCTACTATGCCGCCGACCTGGGCGGGAAGGAAGGCTGGATTCCGGAGGGCTCCAAACGAGAGCGAAGGGCCGTCCTCGGGGGTCGGCGGCGGATCAAAGTAGTTGCTCTGGAGGTCTTGCAAAGTAGAAGCCGAACACAAAGAAGCGAAGGTTGAAGAGGTCAGAAGCAGAACGAGCGGAGGCGAGCCAGGCGTACTATAAACCCCGCGTTGCATTGTGTGCGACCCCGATCTTCACGAGAAATACTAAATCCCGACTTAGTCAAACCTCCTGATGGATCAATCGAAACACGTCGTGATGGAAATATGACAAGGTTAGACGCAGAGTCGGGAGGACAAAGGGTATATAGCGGTTGGTGATGTTCGGCAGTGTGTCGAGGTGGGCTGTCACCCACGACGCCAGCACGATGGGGCGGGCGCTTTGCGTGTGAACTGGCCTCTCACTCGCCAGGCCCCCGCGAAGCCGCTGGGCTTATGCATGGACGGCCCCCAGAAAGTAGCGCCCAGTGAGGGTGATAGATTGCCATATCGACGCTCGCAAAGCGACGGAGGTCATCACCGTCGCCTCGTTCTGGTTGGATGCCGGTGTCGTAGCGACAGGGGCCCTAAGCGCCGACGAGTCGACCGGTCGAGCTGATTGGCGATGGGCTCTCGCGGCGTCACCAACCCCGCCGCCCGCCAAAGCTCGCCCCCCTGCCTCCCTGCATGTCACTCTCTGCTTATGCCTCCTCCGATTGGTGATGATGGCTCCTTACCGAGGGCGCCTATTAGTGCGAGATTTCTGGCGTCGAAATCAGTATTACGACGTAGCAGGTATATCAACAGACACGACCAGCACGGCGCAATTAGACGAGTTGTCTGCCTGAACTAGTGTTGAGGCGATTTGATAAAAGGTGCCCACCATTCCCTTTTCAATCTCGTCACATCAGTCACGATGTCGAGCCATCTTCGTCGTCCAATTCCCCCCCCCTCTTGCTGATGTGACCGGCACGACAACACACAGCATGGAGGACATGCCTATACCCTCCCTAGCGACGGCGGCGGCGATCGATGGTAGGGGGAGTGCCTACGACTAGGCCGGGTAAGGGATCGGATCGCCGGCGCGGCTGGTCAAGTTTCTGAAGAAAGTCGGTCGCGATACGGATGGTGGTTGGATGAAAACGGGAAACAGTTGCGCTCTCCAGGGCCTCCCCCTTGCCGCTTGGGGTCGACGGGAGAGGAAGATTGGAAGCACAATCCTACGAAGTACCCGGACGGGGATGACCCGGGGGACCATCCATAGGAGCTGGGATCGGGGATTGGAAAGGCCCGGGGTCCAATTGGTCTCACGTCGGTTTTTTTTCTGCCAATTCTTTTTTTGGCAGCAATTTCTTCTAGGACAGGCTTATCGGATAAACCCAACCTCGCCGAGAACCGGTTCGAGCTCGAGCCACGCACATATCATGTACCTGTGTATTATGTAAACAGGAGGTACTACCTGTATGTTGGGTAGGTAGGTACCTCGGTACCTACCGGCCGGTTATGCCCTCTTCGCCTGAGGCACTTTTCCGCTGTTCTCGAGGTATCTGCTCATACACACGACGGTACTGCGAATTGTTGGCATACCTGGCCACAGTCTTACGGTAACATCGAGTTCCTCACTTTTGATATTAAGGACATTAAAATTTTACGTGTCAAATGTTCCCTTTTTCTTATTGCTGTGCACCTAATTATCCAATTCCTCGACGCATCGTAGCGCAATCACCTGACGTGGCGTTTGGCGGGTGGCAACCAGGTGGCTACGCACGTCTGATCGCTTGATGGGCAAGACAGGGCTTGGCAGACGGGCCGTCGCGTCTTCACCCCCTTCAAACGCGTCTGATCGTGCAATCCAACCACCCGGAGCACCGTTGCCGCCCGTGGTTCTTTAGAGATGCAACACGGTCGAAATACACGCAGCAGATGATCATTTTCCTCGGGCCGCTCGCGCTTCTAAATTCGACCGCCCCCGTCTTCATGAGCGGCGATCCTCGGTAGTCATGTCAGGCCCCAACGGCAGTGACTTGTTCAAATCGCTAAATAAGGCCCAGTCGCGCGCCGTCAGCTCCCAAGCCCCGACCGTTGCTATACTGGCCGGGCCAGGGAGCGGGAAAACGCACACGCTCACCTCTCGCGTCGTTTGGCTCATTGATCATGTGGGAATCCGGCCGTGCGATGTCATCGTCGCAACCTTCACCGTCAAGGCGTCCAATGAGATGAAGTCGCGCATTGGACAGGCCCTCGGTGATGGTCGTGGAAATAAGATTGTGCTGGGCACCTTTCACAGCATTGCCCGTCGGTATCTCGCCGCCTACGGCAAGCATATCGGGTTAGACCCCAAATTCGGCATCGCGGATGACCACGACTCGAGCGCTATCATCAAGCGTATCTGTAAGAGGCTATCCGCTCCCCTCGAGCCCGCCGTCGCCCGGGGTTGGATCAGCAAGCGCAAGGCTAAAGGGACGTCCGACGAGCGGTTCGTCAAGGCCAAAAATGGAAAGGATATCGAGTCGCAGTCCCTGGAACAATGCTATCAGGAATACCAGGCTCATCTCGAGCGGTCGAATCTCCTTGACTATGACGATCTCCTTGTCCGCTGTGTCGAGCTTCTTCGGGACTTCCCTCACTGCGTCTCGAACATCCAAACCGTGTTGATCGACGAATTCCAAGACACGAATGGCGTCCAATATGACTTGATGAAGCTCTTCGCCCAGAAGAATAAGCGGATCACGATAGTCGGGGATCCGGACCAGAGCATCTACGGTTGGCGATCCGCAGAAATAAGAAATCTGTATCGTCTTCTTCGTGACTTTCCTGGGACCGACGAGATCTCGCTGGAAGAGAATTATAGGTCGTCTAGTTCCATTCTTGACGTATCCCTCAAAGTCATTCAGCAGGACCGGGACAGGTACAAGAAGATCCTGCTCCCGGTTCACGATAAAGGCGTCCGGCCCGTCTTTCGCATGCTGAAGAGCTCTATGACCGAGGCAGACTGGATCGTATCCGAGATTAAACGTATAAAACTGATGTCGGGGAATATGGTCAAGTCTGACGACGTCGCAATATTGCTCCGGTCTGCCTCATTATCGAGGCACATCGAGGGTGCTCTTGGGAGGGAGGGCATAAACTACAAGATGGTCGGTACGTAGAGTCTCGCGCGCGAACAAGCGTTGCCTATCCATATTGATTTCAGGCTTCAGGTGGCTTCAAATTCTATGAACGAGTCGAAATCAAGGCCATTCTGGATTATCTGCGAGTTATCAGCCAACCCGAAAACAACGACGCTCTCGCACGCATCATAAACGTGCCAAAGCGCGGCGTTGGCGAGGTGACGGTTAAATCTCTCCTGGAAGAAGCTGAACGCAATGCTATGAGTCTGTGGGATCTGCTCGGGAAACATTGCCGGGGCGAACGGATAGCAAAGACGACTATACGGAAGCAGCCAGAACAGAAGATCAGTGGAGGCTTGATACGATTAATCACTAGCTTGCGGGTTCGTCTACGACCAAGCGAGGGGGAACCCATCAACCTAGTCGAGCTCATCAATCGGTTGCTTCAAGATTTGCAGTTCGAGAAACACCTAGAGGAGACCCACGGTCCTGAGTATGAGTCGAAATGGGCAAATGTTCAAGAGTTCGTGAGCCTCGCCGAGGAGTTCATGAATCAGGACAAGCCCGAGGATGACAAGCTTCCCGCTGTCGAAGAGACTGAGCAGACGCCAGATAACGACATCTTGGCACGATTCCTAGCCAACATCTCATTAGCTTCGGATAAACAGACTGATAAGGACACGGAAGGGCAGCCTCAGGTTACAGTCTCTACGATACACGCTGCAAAGGGCCTGGAGTGGCCCGTCGTCTTCGTCCCGGCGGTTTATAAGGGATCTATCCCGCATATGCGATCCGACGATGAAAGCGAGGAGCGGCGTCTCCTCTACGTAGCGATGACGCGGGCCCAGGCTCTCCTCTATCTAAGCTGTCCCCTACATGTCTCCAATGGTAGTAGTGATTCTGTTCAGATCTCGCCCTTCATCCAAGACCTCCCTTCTTCGACATTCGCCAAGCAAGGACCGTCGCTTGACCGCCCTGCGATGTTGCAGGTGGCCAAACTGTTGCGGAGGGACCTGCCCCGCGACGATGTCATCTACAGAGGTATGCCGATGATGGCAGCCGTAGAGGATACCCTCTTCCCGGTCGATCCAAACGAAGCCCAAGCGCAGTCTGCCAACGGGTCCATCCAGCGCGCTGGCCAGTTTAAACGACAGAAAATCAACCATAGCAGTGGCGGCCGGATCACTGACGAGGCAGTCGACAACTGGGCCACTCCTTATGCCACGACGATGCAGAAATCCAGCTCCTTCACGGTGCCGCAGCCGCCGCCAGCACAATCTGGATTCACGACGGCCGGCGCCCACTACGCCACCGTCACCGCCGCAGAGGCGGCAAGGAGCGTCTCCAAGCCTCCTCAGGGGGCGTCGTCATCGTCGTCGAAACGGCCCCCGGCCAGCCGAGCCCCAACCCAGAGAAGCTTGCTGGGCTTCGGGTACGGCGTAGCGAACCACGACAGGTCGAGGCCACTCGACGACGCGGCGCTGCCGCCCATGCCGTCGGCGCGAAGCCAGCCCCCCTCGGGCTACGCCCCCAGGCACCAACGCCAGGCGCAGCGAGGCGGGCGGGGAGGTGTCGCGCGACAGCCCCCGCATGTGCCCCCGAGCGACCGGCCGGCCGAGCCAGGCGCGGCCGCCATCGCCCCCAGCCTAGCGAGCCACAAGCTCGGCTCGGCGCGCCTGTCGAGCCGGCCGACGGCGGCGGGCGCAGCAGCAGCAGGCGGGGACCCGGCGCCGCCGCCGGCCACGAAGCCGAAGGAATACGCCTGCTTCTCGAGCTCGCCGCCGCGCTCCCCCGGCGAGAAGGAGAACGCGGCGCCGTCGCCGCCGCAGGAGCCGACGCGGCCCACGCGCAGCTTCCACGCGACGACGGTGCTGAGCGCGGCGCGGCCCGCCGCCGGCGGCATCCAGCGCCCGCTGCCCCTGACCCGCGGCGGCATCACGCCCATGGATCGCCTGAAGCGCCCGTTTAAGCCGCCGACGACGGTGAGGCGGCCGGCGTGAGGAGGCACTGGACGGGGCGGAGGGAGGGGGCTGCGGCAGAGAGGGCGGTGTGAATGTCGACCTAGAGTAGGAGGAGCGCGGCGGGTAGGCGCCGTGTAGCGTTCGCCTGGGGCGGGAAATGAAAGACCGTCGCCGTGTGTCTGTGTATCGGGAAGCGGGTGAGGATTCGGGTGCGACGTCTTGATATGACGCGGCGATGCCAGTTGCGCCCGAGGCCGGTAGGCGGGGTGGTCTGACGAGAGATGTAGACGCGCAAGATGCGCGAAGATTAGACATCACGGTAGAGCACGACACAATACACACATATACACAGGCGAAACACATAAATACATATACGTATACATATTACATATGCCAAACGGCGTATTCGCCGTATTCTATATCTATTAAATAATGGCCCCCATGGCCTCCATTTCTCGGCGCTGACACGAGATGCGCCGCCAGCCTTCGTGGCCATCTTCTAGATGTGTGGTATCATATGAAAGGAATTCTGGTTTCCTTAATCGTGTCATTCTATGTAGGTAGTGAGAGGTATATCGCGAACAAGAGATCCAACGCAGAGAAGAAAAAATAACCATCCTTTTCGCCGCCTTTCTCTATTCGGCACCTCTCTTCATTTTCGGTGCAGAGTGCTCAAGCGGTATATGTAGGGCAGCTAACCCCGGCCGAGGAGGTGGGCCCCAGCGCAGCGCAACCATCTTCGTCCGCCCACCTCCTTTCTCTTCTTGCGTCTCGTCAGGAGCGGCTGAAGACCTTGGTTCCGAACTTCCACACCTCGTCGACGACGAGCTCGACGCCCTCCGGGTTGCGCTTCTCCGTCAGCACGACCAGGTCGGCGTCGGCGCCGTCGCTAAGGCAGCCCTTGACGCCCTGGAGCCCCAGCATCGCCGCCGGCGTCGACGTGACCGCCTTCAGGGCCTGCGGTACGCTCGCGCCCGACCAGCTGAGGAAGTTCGACACGCATTCGACGAGGGTTATCGAGCTGGTGGTTAGTACGTGCACCAGTTAGCTAAACGCGTCGCTGCTGGAGCATTCTATAGGGGCTCTAAAGAGGTGGGAAGGGAACAAACCTTCCGGCAATCCGGTCGGATCCTTCCAGGATCAACTTGGTCCCTTTCTTTATGATGTGACTCGCGCCGGCGCCGTTGGTCCACTGGTAGACGCCGTCGGGCAGACCGACCAGATGCATCGAGTCGGTGACAAGGATGAAGCCGTCTGGGTGAGCGTTGAAGGCAATCTTAACCGTCGTGGGATGCAGGTGCTCTCCGTCAGCGATGATGCCGAAGTAGGGACGGGGCAAGCTTTCTGCCAGGCCAAGAACGCCGAAGATACCGGGGTTTCGGTGGTGCAGCGGTCGCATGGCGTTGAAGAGGTGAGTGATCATCGTCGCGCCGGCCCTAACGGCTGCCGACGCTTCCTCGTATGTTGCCTCCGAGTGTCCGATCGAGTAGATTATACCTCGGCTCGTGATTTCCGGTATGATTTTTGTCATGTTGCCGATTTCTGGAGCGGCAGTGATCATCTTGATCGGCATCGGGCTAAATTCATCCCCAGAGTCGAAGTTTTCCGCGCCGTAGCAGGCCACTAAGTCCTCGAAGGACTCGGCCTTCTGCAATACATCTACGCTGTGAATGCCATTCTTGGTTGAGCTCAGGAACGGGCCTTCGCAATGTGCACCGAGAGATTCGGCACCATCCTCCGCCACCTGTACGTGTCCGGACGGGGCCAGGTGCGGTAAAACCCTCTGGTAGAGTTCGCTCTTCTGGCTCGTAATCGTGGGCACATAGGACGTGACGCCCGTCTGGACCATCCGTCTGTTCAACTCCTTGACCTTCTTGGCATACACGGCAGGCTCAAGAAAGGTCGAGAAGTTGAACCCGAAGGCCCCGTTGAGCTGGCACTCGATGAAGCCCGGCGACAGAATACGGCCGCCTAGGTTGATAACTTCGTCCGGGAGGATGAAGTCATCGTAAAATGCCGCTTGACTTTTGATGACCTTCCCGGTGACAGAGTTCACCCAGAGATCCTCGTCGACCAACGAGTCGCCTTTCAGGATACGACAATTGGTAAACTTGGTGATGCCGTTTTTGCCATCTTTAGGCGTCGACTTGGGCGACGACGGTAGAGAGTGAGGCATAGTGAATAGCTGCGGCCGGGAACGGTATAGAGAAAGCCGTATAGATGACTGGGATAGGGGTTTGTTTGGTCTATTGTTATGTTATGTCTTATCGAGCAGTAGGACTGCTGTCCCTCGGGCGAGCGTTAGGGTCTCCATGGACAAAGACATGGCCAAGGACAAAAAATGGCGCTTACATGTATTTATCATTATATCACGGATGCACGAACGCGGCTAGCAGACACCGATAGTCCCGATGACGGGATCTATTCGGAATGTTGGAGCCCCCGGGAGCCTGGAGCCTCCCGCCTGGCTAGCTAGAGAAGCCAGGACGAGTGTCACTGGTAGGCCTGGTCACAAGTGAGATCGGGCCTTGTGTGGTAGGCAACTAGGTACGGTGGGGCACGATGAACGTCAGTCAGTCCTGCGATGGTCACAATCGTGCCCGAAGTCTGCGAATGGACCGATGCCATGCCGATACGCTACACCAATGGTTGGGAGCATGTGATGGAGGAGACTGGCCGGCATCTTCTGGTCGAAGCTAGGCCGAAGCGCGGATAGCTACGGGACTGGCACTCCCAGTCGACGGCCAACCTCAGCGTCCTTTGGTCGTGATGCCGGATTACATAGCAGTGACACTGGCCTGGCTCATCCACGGGTGGCATCGTGGTCGTTGGAAACCCCCTTGTCTGAGCACACCTCCGCTGTTACGTGCGAGCAGTAGGTACAACCCCATAGTCCGGTCTCGATACGTGTTACATTCCATCAAGCCTAGACCGAGTAGGCAGAAGGGAGCGTTTTTTTTTTCTTCTTGCCTCGGAGTGTATTATGTTGTAGCATGAGGCCGTTGGTGGAGGAGGTAACGTTGCGGGTGTGGGAGGCTTTGGGAGGAGATGATGGTGAGAGGAACGTCGATAAGAAACAGTCACCTGTCGCGGCCAGATATACCACCTCTGCCACCTCTGCCGCCCCTGCCACCTGTCCCGATTCGGAGTACAGCTGTCGAGGCGGGAGGCTTGGGTTGATGCCGGCCAAACCGGCGGCGAAATCATGACGAATGAGAGCGAGGAATGGCCGCTAGCACGCAACCGGAATAGCGTAGTTCCTCCCCCCATTTCGAGCGGAGAGAAGGTACCTAAGGTAGTTTAGGTACTTACTTACCTGCGGGTACCTGGTAGTAACCTCCATGCTAACCAACCCCGTGTACCCAGGTATCCAAGGTACCTACCACCTACCTTACATAAGGGAGGCTTCAAAGGGTTGTCTCCGTCTAACGATTAGGCAGGTACTTAGGTACCTAAACTGTGCCCGTCCTGGGTTGAACCGCCGCTTATGCAACCTCCAACTTTCCGTCTCGTCGGATTAGGGGTCGGTAGACACCGGGTAGCTCTGTATCTCTCTCACCGTGCTGAGTTCCAGCCAGCCGAGCACAGCCTGCGTTAGGTGAAGAGAACCTGCGATCAACGGTACGATACACGCCGTTCTGCCTGTCCGCCTCTGCATCGACTATCTATTCGTTACTATCGCTCTCATCAAACTCCCTGGGGATTGCCGACTTGCTCGCCTAGCCGACCTATACTCGTTCTTCCTGGGAATCTACTACATGGTTAACCCCCCCCTCTCCCTCCCCCAACCTACGGCCCTCGCGCTGACACTAGCTTCGTGAGGATGCGCCATAGTTATCACGACTGATGTTGATGGTTCCTGCGTACCCCCCATGTATCCGTAGACCGTCCGGCCTGGGGACATCTCTATAGACGCCTACAAGTGTATGAGGTGAGGGTGTGGCGAGATACGACTCCTCACCATGACCAAGTCAGAGGGGGATCTTGACCCACTATGGCAAGACCTCGATTGGTACTGTGCAACCGACCCTCTTCTCTGTGTTTTCATCAAGAGCTTCAAGGCTAAGACAACCCCCCCCCCCCTTTCCCAGGGGGGGATGGTTCCGGCCGCATGGCTAAAGTAGATCGCTAATTATGGATGAACAGGGCGATTGGCCAGATCCTGATTATGGGATGGGATGGCACCGAAGTTACACCCCAAATCAGAAACCTCATCGAGAACCATCACCTCGGTTCTGTCATCTTAACAGCTAAGAATCTCAAATGTATATATATATAGACCTGTCCGCCTATAGCGCAGCCGGATCGACGCTGATAGCAGCGTGTTGCCGGCAGGATTTTGGCTGACTTAACTAACTGTACAACGTACCTATAGCCGCGGAGCAGACTGCATCTCTGGTCCAGGAACTTCAGACGATAGCCCACCAAGCCGGACATCCTCAGCCGCTGTTGATAGCCGTCGACCAGGAGAATGGAGGCGTCAACAGCCTGTTCGACGAGGACTACATCTGTCAGTTCCCCAGCGCGATGGGTATCGCTGCGACGGGAAGCATAGAGTTGGCATACAACGTGGCGAAGGCCACGGCCACCGAAGTATCGGCTGTCGGCGTCAACCTGATTCTCGGTCCTGTCCTGGACGTCTTAACCAACGCTCGGCACCAACCCCTCGGCGTCCGGGCAACCGGAGACGACCCCCAAGAAGCCTCCCAGTTCTGCATCGCAGTCATCAACGGATTCAAGGATGCCGGGGTGGCGACCTGCGGGAAGCACTTCCCGTCGTACGGGAACCTTGACTTCCTCGGGTCAAGCTTGGATATGCCTATCATTACGCAAACCCTCGAAGAGCTCAGCCTTAGTGCTCTCGTGCCGTTCCGCAACGCCATAAGCGCGGGCCGGTTAGACGCCATGTTTGTCGGCGGGTGCGGGATCCAAAACGCCGGGATGAATGTCATGCACGCTTGTCTCTCGGACCAAGTCGTGGATGACCTCCTGAGGAACGAGCTCGGGTTCAAGGGCGTCGCTATCTCGGAGTGTCTCGAGATGCAGTCGCTCATCCAAGAGTATGGCGTCAAGGGGGGTACCGTCATGGCCGTCGAAGCGGGAAACGACTTGGTGCTCCTATGCAGAGCGCACGACGTGCAGCTGGAAGCTATCTCGGGGCTGAAGTTGGGAATCGAGAACGGGATTATCTCTAAAGAGCGGATTCACACCTCCGTGAAGCGAGTTCTGCGGCTGAAAAGTGCATGCACGTCTTGGCAAAAGGCTCTCAACCCCCCCGGGCTGTCCCTGCTCTCAAAGATACATAGTTCACACCACGCGCTCTCCCGTATGGCCTACGACCAATCCATTGCCGTGGTTAGGGACAGAGAAAACCTGCTCCCGCTCTCACAGAGCCTGCTGCAGGGGGAGGAACTCCTACTACTAACACCCCTCGTTAAGCCCCTGCCGGCCTCGGCAGCTACGAAAAGCATGCTTGAGAAGGCAGCCGCCAAAGCGTCCTCCATACACGAGCGGTGGGTTCACCAGGAGCGCGGGGCGATCATGAGTGGAGAAAGCGTCTTTCGAGAGCTAGGCAGGTCGATAGCGCGGATACGCAACGGCAAGCTTCTCCACACGTCTTATACGGCCAACGGACTTAGACCAGGTCAGGGGGCCCCCTTTACTTCTTCTTCACCTTTTACTCTGTTACTGGTGCTACGGCGAATGGTGCTGACCGTGATTTGTCTCCTATGCAGTGCACGAGAACTTGATAAACCGGGCATCGGCGATCATCATCGTGACGGCGGACGCGAACCGGAACTTGTACCAGACGGGGTTCACGAAGCACGTGGCGATGATGTGCCACATGCTGCGCAGCACGGGGCAGAAGAAGTCGCTGATCGTGGTGGCGGTCAGCTCGCCGTACGACTTCGCGATGGACAAGTCGATCGGGACGTACGTGTGCACGTTCGACTTCACGGAGACGGCGATGGCGTCGCTCGTGCGCGCGCTCTACGGCGAGATCGTGCCGCAGGGGTCGATGCCGGGCACGATGCGCAAGAGCAAGAAGGTGTCCAAGACGCGGCAGCAGTGGCTCGTCGAGAACTACGACCGCGAGCGCGACGGGGCCGCCCTCGCCGAGCTGCTCGCGACGCTCGCGCGCTCCAGCGCCCCCAGCCTGCCCTACGCCGCCGCCACGGCCCAGTCCTTCGAGCTGCGCGCGCCCGCCGTCGACGAGGCCCACTTCGTCGTGCGCAACAGCAGCACCGGCACCCTGTACGGCTTCGTCGCGACGTACGCGACCGGCGGCATCGGCGCCATCGGCGCGCTCTTCGTGGACCCGGCCAAGCGCAACGTGTCTATCGGGCGGTCGCTGCACCGGCGCGCGATGCGCGCGCTGCTCCAGCGCCCCGGCGTGCAGAAGCTCCAGCTCGGCTTCTCCTTCCCCGGCGTGTTCCCCGGCGTGCCGCTGGACCTGGACACGGACGACGCGAGCGTGGCGGGGGCCGGCGGCGGCGGCGGCGCGGGCGCAGGCCCCGGCAGCGGCAGCGGCGGCATCAAGAGCTGGTTCGACAACGTCGGCTGGGACACGCAGTTCCCGCGGCGGCTGACCAACATGGCGATCGAGGACCTCGCGTCGTGGACGGCGCCCGAGGGCCTGCTGCCGAGCATCCAGCGCGCGAACGTGAGCTTCGACCTGATCCACGGGCCGGACAACGCCGAGTCGGTGCTGGCGCACGTGGGCGCGCACGCGGGGCCCGAGGTGGCGGAGCTGTACCGGTTCGCGCTGCAGGAGACGAACACGAGCGGGGTGGTGCGGGCGAAGAGCGGGGCGGCGGCGGCGGCGGCGGCGGACGGCGCGCTCCTGGGCACCGTCATCATCTGCACGGCGGCGAGCCGGCTGTCGACGTACCTGCCGGCGCTGCGCGGGCACGGCGCCGAGGACGTCGGCGGCATCCTCGCCCCCGTCGTCCCGGCCTCGCCGCAGGCCACGCTCGTGCTCCAGGGCCTCGCCTTCATGGGCGTGCGCCAGAACAAGGCGCACAAGTCGGCCAAGAGCGTACTCAGCTGGGTAAGTGCGCGCGCGGTCCCTCGACGTTTATCGCGTGATTCCTAGGAATAGGGAGGGAGGGAGGGCGTTGGAAAAAAAAGGAGAAATAGCACCAGTCTCAACCCCCATTCTCGATCCCCTAACTCCTCATTTTTACAATTCTGCGTTTTTCGATCTACTCGTTGCCTATTTCTTCCCTGGCTTCTAATCTATTGATCTATACTTTAATATGACCGGCCCGCGGGCTAACTAAGCTTACAGGTCCTCGACGAGGAACACGAACCGCTCGAGGCGATGGGCTTCGAGGTGCAGCAGACGTTTGACGAAATTACCAATTCACCCGACAACGTGAGTGTCCTCCTCTTCCCCACACCCCCCCTTCTCCCCGGACAGATCTCGGTGAGCGAGACGAGGCTCAGTCGCTAATCTCCGGCTCTTTATTCTGAGGCAGTGGTCTGATTTGAATTGAGCGATTCCTTTCCCTTGGACAAGCCCGTCTGCATACTATTTTCTATTAGCCACGGAGCGGATGTATTTGTGTTCCCTTCTTTTCGCTTCATCCATCTTTTCCCCCCCTTCCCTTAAGCTAAGACGAAAAGGAGAGCACTGCGGAGCCTTACCTGGATTTTCCCAATCGATACTGGCAAACCTATCTTTAGAATTTTGAACGAGCGCAATGGTTTTTCTTTCTTTCCCACCCCCACGTACCTCATCATGATATATCTACATTCGTATTTATATTTATATATTTACATCGATGTGCATTCGGCGCATTAGCAGACGTCAGGTGTTGGCGAGCTCGAGAAATGCATGGTGACCGAGCGAAAGGGTGAAGGAGAGGAGAGGACTAGGAGGGTGGTTGGGATCGCGACCAGCATCCAATGACAAACGGCGTTGCGGCTGGCCTGGGGATCCTAAAACGAACGCTACCAACTGATGGAACGAGTTTGAGCCTTTGAGAGTGCCCCCTTCTAGGCGACCACCCCTTCCGTGCTGGTCGACGATGCCGGCAGCGAGGCAGGTTAAAAATAGAAGGGCGGCGGCATACCCATTCGCGGCATCCACGGCACTGCGTGGCACGGCATTGTAGTAGTATCGTAGACTGGCCCTGCCCTCGTCTCCGGATCTGCTTCCCCTATCGGCGCGGGACCTGCCTACCTGCCTATCGCGCAGCGATGGGTGAGGCGCGTGGGCATATCGAGGCAGAACGCGCGTGAGGCGTAGATAAGGGAAAAGGGAGGGGGGTGGCCGAGAGCAGGCTGGTTTGCTCTTTGTCGGATTCCCATCGCGTGGAACCTTGCATGCCTCACCTTGGGGTTTGGCTCGACGGGTGGGCGTTTCTTTGTGCGCACATTGTTGCGACGCGATCCAACGTCATAGGACCGGGGTGGATAGACGTCGCATGCAGGAGAAAGACCGAAGTGCCTCTCGACGGCGGACGCGTATGGATGGATATAGGTAGGTGTAGGTGTGTGTGGTTGGAGAGAGAGCGTGGAGTTGGAGAGGATGGAATTAATTGCTGACAGGGTAGTAGAGGGATCACCTACCTGCCTACCTACCTAGGTAGGAAGATAGCGAGGCTGCCTGCTAGGCTGGGTACCTACCTACCTGTACGCAAGGTACCTGCGTGACATCTCCTACATACATCCGCCTACTACATCTACCTATAACCCGTAATCCTATGCTTATCTCGCCCGCATGGGCGGTACCTTACGGGCTGTTATCAATCGTCGGCGTGTACCTCGTTCACTTACCTGTGGTACAGCACTGGACCTGTCTGATTCCCGCTTTCGGCGCTTCCAGAAGGGTGTAAGGGGGAGGGTTCTGCAGCCAAAGCGGTGCGGTGCGGCCGCTACCGACTTTAGAGCGAGACCCCCCGCTTCTAAGTGCTAGAGCGAAAAGGTACCTGGGGATGGGTGGCACATGTCGAGCCGGCAGGGCAGGCAGGTAACCTTCTGTGCCCTCTACCACCCCCCCCTTCGAATGTCCCCCCTCCCCCTCCTCCTTTCCTGGTTTAGCCCTACGGCGAGCCCTGACGAGAAGCCCCGAGCAGCCACCGCTACAGAACCTACGCGGACCAGCGTGTTTGCGCCAGTATGTACGTGCGCACACACATGGGGAGGCGGACATGTGAGGAGGAATCCAAAGAGAACGAACGGCGCACCCCAGTCCCCCGCCCAGACCCCAACGTCCGCGCTATGCCCCTCTCAGGCGGGTGGTGCCGGACTTGTAGGTGCTGCGCAGTACGTGATGCAACGGCAAGCCGACGCGAGGTGCGGCACGCGCCGGTGCCATTTGTCAACTACCTGGGAAGGTCGAGGAGGAGGCCGAGGGAGGGGGGGGGATGTAGGCCAATCAGTAGTAGGGTGTGCGCGTGCGCCCAAGTTGCCCAGAGACAACCAACTTGGTGGGTAATGTTGGCATTTAGAGGCAATAGGCGATAGCAAGTAGAGGTAAGTGCCTATGAAGGTCACCTAGCTAGGTAGGTCAAGGCAGTCTACAGGTGGGTGATGTACCTAATCGCACCACAGTTCAGGCGGCGTAGGCACGTCTAGCAGGTGTCTCGACATGTGTTTTGGCGAGGCTGGGTCTGATAGTCTGTAGCCTGCGCTTCTTCTTCCCATCCTTCCCCCCCAAAGTGCCACCACCCCTGGGCCGCCCCGAGAAGTGATTGGCGCCTCCTCCACTTCCGTTATCCCATCGCCACCGATGTAGCTCTCTCTCTGGCTCGTCCGAGTCGTCTCCCTCATCTTCGTCTCGTCTCTTCTTCCCCGGTCCCCCATTCCCATCCTGTCCAATCCTACCGGCCTACGCCCTGCCTACTCTGCTTACCTTGCCTCGGGATCCCCAGCCCTTTGTAATTATTACCGCTGTTATTATTATTATTATTATTTCTCCCGGCTCTCATTCGGCGCACGAGGCCCTGACCCCGGTCCAGCACCAGACCATCTCGGAGCAGCTAATGCTAATTCTTCTCCCTATTCACTGCATCTCGACTGTTGCGAACAGCCGCACTCCACTTATCTTGCCAATCGTGAAAAAGCTGCCCCCTGCTGAGTGGTCCGTTGGATAGATAGCACTATTGGACGAAATCCCCGGCCTCGAGGAACCTCCCTTCATTATCGCCACGGTCACTCTCACTCCCGGCCATCATCATCATCATCATTATCATCATCATCCGATCCCGCTGCCTGCTCCTCCCCCTTAAACCATCCATCGCATCCACATCTCCGTCCCAACCCCCCAGCTATCCAGCTGCCTCAGCCGTCGGGCCAGCTACCGAAAACTAACATCCGCATTGACTGTCCACCGCGGGCCGCACAGGGCGTCGGCCCTTTACGATGCGATGACGACTTACAACTCTATGCCGGCGCTGCAGTCAGGCGCCAGCCCGGGAGACGCCATGGGACTGAATGCCATGTCCGCCTCGGGTCTGGGCATCGACGCTTTCGATCCCGACCTCAACTTTGACGAGTCCATGCTGTAAGTCCTCCGCAGGCGCATCCCTCCCCTTCGCTGCGGGCGAACGGTCTCACCGCCGGCGTATCTATCTGGGCATGTGGGCGCGGATGCGCGTTGTTACGTGTGTAGATGGTTACGCCGTGGGGGGTAGGGGGTGGTGAGAGACCGAATCACTAACCAAACGGCCCGAGCAGGGACAATGTAAATGGCAACCTACCCCCTTTGCCATTTGCTACTTCCTACGATTTCGAGACCTTTTCGACGACGTTCGAAGATCCCTTCAACTACTCCAAGCCCTACGAGGCTGCGCCACACCCCGAAGATTTTCACGAAGGATCCTCCCCGCAACAACCCGACGACAAACTCCTCAGCTTCTCGGCAGCGACCGTAAAGGCCACCCCTCTCGACGATGCGTTGGGTACGTATTCCGAGGTGGGCATGTCCGCCGAGCTGTACGGCATGTTCTTCGTCGCCGAGGATGTATTTGGCGGCGAGTCGGGCGGCCGACCTCTCGAGCTGACCTGTTACCGACGTAACTTGTGGCAATGCTCCGGCCAGATCACGATGCCGCGACACTGCTCCCAAGTCATGAATGAGCAAGGTCGCTCCATACCCATAGTGGAATTCTACGCTTCGATATCTGCCATCGAGAGCATCGAAGGCAAAACCACCGAGATCATCTCCATCCCCTGGAAGAACGGGAACCCGGCCCTGGGCGATGCGCAAGAGACCAAGGTGGCTGGCGCCCCGCCGAAAATCGCGCTCGACCTTAGCGGCGGCCAGGAAGTCGACGGCCACCGCGTCAGCATACCTGTCTCGTGGAAGCGGTTGCAATTTAAGAGCGCAACGGCGAACAATGGCCGGCGGAAAGGGCTCCAGCAGCACTATGCCGTGCAGATCAGCTTACTAGGCAAGATGAAGACTGGCGGTGAGCTCATGAAGATCGCCGACATCCAGAGCGGGCCGGTTATCGTGCGCGGACGTAGCCCACGGAACTTCGACAGCAGAAAAGACGTGCACCTCACGGTCGACAAGAAGACTCCTGGGCCGGCGGAACGCACCCGGACGCAGAGCGACGCGAGCGCCGCTTCGGGTTTGAAGACGGAGCGGTCAGACGCGTCGCACAACCCGCACAACCCGCACGCCTCACAATACCAGGGCCCGACCCCCGGGAATACCGGGCCCCAGTCGCCTTGGGCAGCGCCTGCGACGCCGGCGAACGGCGACGGACAAGCCGGCTCCCAGGCTCCGCCCGCCAAGAGAATGGCGCTCTCGCCGAACCCGAGTCGGCCCCCCGTGCCATCGTGGGGGAAGGAACCACATCTGAGCAAGACGCACACGCTCGGCAGCCATGTGAAGAATACCACGGCAACCCCTTCGGTGCCGATCAACCTCTCTCTCTCGGAGGACGAGCGGAGCCCGAACAATCGCTCCAACTCGGACTCGCTGACCAGCCCGAGGCTCCATCGGACGTCGACGAGCCACGGCCTGGGCGGGAGCCCGATGGAGGAGGAAGAGGAGCTATACGAATATTTCCCGCTGAGCGTGGATGACTGGTAAGGTTATACCGTCTTTTATATCATAGCATGCTGTCTCCGCTTGCAGGGAGCTACGACGGATTACTAATCGTTGTCGCCGCGACAGGACACCACTCGTGGACACGGTATACCGACCCCACATCGTTCACCACATCGCCGTCCCCCAAGAGATCAAAGCGCAGCAGATCCGGAACAAGTCCAAGAGGTACTTCTCGGCCGAATAGGAGATGTGCGCCCGTTACACGTACCTTTTATCTGCACACGTATGTCGACATCTCGCAGCGCTCCCTAACGCTCCGGTCCCGATCTTCGACATGATCTTCGACATGATCTCCGACGTGATCTCCGACGTGATCGCACAGGCATCGCGGAAACTTGAAAACCGGCATTGGCATATTCGACGGCGATGGGCCAATCTATATATATATATATACCATTTTTTTAAACTATCAAAGATACCTACACTAGGCAAGAAGGCAGGCAGGCAGGCAGGCAGGCAGGCAAGCGAGCGAGCAGGGGAAGGAAACGCGCCGAGGCGACTATTACCACCATCATCACTACTACCACCACTACCACCACCACCACCACAAACACGACGATGGCATGGTACACAGTACACGCGCGTTCGAGAATATATATGCACCACATTTGACAAGCGTTTGCCGTTTACCTTAACCTTCGCAACGGGAGAGGATCGCGGTGGAAAAGCAAAAACTCAGGGGGAGTGGGGAAGACGAGAGGGGATCCGGACGCCGGATCTGTTATATCTTATATATCTGCCTGCCTCATCTACCTGTACTATGAAGGCCGAATCATACCAATTTCACGTTGACCTCGCTACCCTGATGCCTACTAGGGTATTCCGAATGTCTACATAGCTTTTTCATGTCGCTGCGCGGTCCCCCCCTCTCCCCTATTTCGTTTCCTACGAGGGGGGCCAGGGGGGCGGACGGTGCTGTGTGCCTCCTTTCTCTCGCCGTCGATGTACGTATGTACGCATGCATGTAGCATTCTAGCGCGGGGTTTGGGAACGTGTGGGGATGGACATGCTTTGAGCGGAAAACCGCGAAAGGGAGAGAAGAGAAAACAAGTCTTTCTCGCTTTTCGTCCGCCCCCAAGTGCTTCTGCGTTTGCTCCCCCCCCCCCCCCGCTCGCCCTAGTGTGGCCCTCCCCCCCCCTCCCAGCAGCGCGAGGAGGCGCCGTAGGCATATCCAGGCCGTGCTTCTTCCCCGTACCGGAGAAGGCGACTCGACGCTCCTGTCGCGCTTTTTTTTCCCCCTTCCCTTCTTTCGGGCGCGTCCGCCCCGAAGGCGAGCGACTAACTTGGCCCCCCTGGGCCACCCTGCCTGCCTGCCCGACCCGCCCTCCCGTCGCGGGCTGTCTCGTGCCGGCCCGAAACGCGGTGGTGCTCTCTGGCTCCCGCCCAGCGGCGCCCGCGGCTGCACGCGTGCGACTAGCGGCGACGGCGACGCCCGTGGTAAAGTACATGGCGGCGATGCGCGCGGCGCGTATATAGATAGCGGGCGCCAGTGTGGAGCTCTGCGCGCGCAGCTCCGCGGGGCGCGCTGGCGGAAGGGGAGGGGGACCCGGGTCGGGGCGCGGCCGGGTGTGTCGAGCCGAGTCCTCTCGTCCCCTCCTCCCTCTTTTTCCCTCGAGGGAAGGTAGGAATTGGGGGGAGGGGGGGAGGCGAACGGGCACGGGGGGGAGGGGAAGATACAGGTTTTCTCTCGGGGGGGGATGCGAGCCCCCTCCGCACAGGCGCCTGGTTGGCAAGGATCTATCTATCGTCTACTAGTAGGCGGCGCGATACTCACTGCGGCGTCGGAGGCGCTGGTGCCGGGCTCGCCGTCGTTCGCTTGCTCATTTCGGGTTGTTTCGTTCGTTCGTTTATTCATTCACCCCTTCATTCGTCTGTTCGTCTCGCAAGAATCTCCAACGACGTGTGTCTCTCTGTCTGCCTGTCTCCTCGCCCTCTCTTTGTCGCCCGTTATATATTTGGACAGTTATGAACTTTACGCTGCTGCTGCCCCCGCTTGCTCCTACCCGTCGTCGGCGCCGTGTGCTAGACGGCTACGCGTGCAGAAAGCTAGGAGAGGAAAAAAAGAAAAAAGAAAACCAATGCCTATTATTCTATAAGCGGGATATATAGATTGTCCGTCGGTTGCTGTTGTAGGCAGCCAGGCTTGGGACTCCCCTTTTCTCAGCCCTTGCCTCCTTGCATCCCCCCCTCCCTTACCCCCCTTTACAAGTCTAGCCGAATCATACGCCCGTGTTACGGGCACCGCGGCGCACCGCAGATCCCATGTCTAGGCCGCCGCCCTCCCCCTGTTAACAGATGGGGATTCGGGGTTTATCCTCGCCTTCTCCGGCAGCTCGAAGCGCTCCATGCTTCTTCCCCCTCTCCTCTCTCTCGTTCCTCCTTCCACTGAGCGAGCTAAAGCATCCCTCCCTCCCTCCTGACCACGGCCCTGTCATTCCTCGGGCGCAAAAAATCGCGGAAACGGGCGTTGAAAAAAGAGGTGACGACATATATGAATATATACATATATACGCAACAAGGTAGATACGGAAGAGCTATGACGACGACGACGATGATTATACTATTAGTGTTTTTAGCAACCCCACCCGTTGTCTCTGGCGCGTAGTTAGGGTGGAGGTGGGAAGGCAAGAGTGGTCGATGGTCAGGTGGTTTGTGTGGCGCGGTGCTCTGCTCCTACGACTCTGCTGAAGGCGTCGCGCACGCGAGGGCTATCGCGGCGCCGAGGATTGAGCTCTCGTGTGCAGGGACGAGGTCAACCGATCCGGGATGCCCGCTGCGCGACATGAGGTCGTTGATGTACCGCTGGCACGCGTCCCGATACAGCGGGTAGTGCTCGATGACGGATCCGTTGAAGGCGACCTTGGTGTTGGTCGCTTCCTCCTCTTTGCTGCCGTCGATCGACGAGAGAGCGACGGCGCTGTCGTTCTTGGGGGGCCCGGTGGCCGCCGAGGCGACGTACTCGGCCTCAGTTTCCTGTCGCAGCTCCCACAGCGAGAAGACAGAGGCCGCGAGCAGGGCCGCCGATCGCCGTGAGATGAAGGTCGCGAGCGTGCGGATCGCGCTTATGTCGGCTAGCGTGGGCCGGCCGGCCGAGGAGGGATGGTGCGTCGTCCATTGCGCGAGGGCTTTCTCGAGGGTGGGGGAGGTGTCGCTGGGTAGTCCGCTCACGTTAGTGCTGGGTCTCGTTTACTGGCGAGAAAGCTGCGGTTGTGCGGGAGAACTTACGCTTCCATTGCTGATAGAATCTCGGTGTCGAGCGAGTACGGCTTCTCCAACGTCGGCGGTAGCTTTCCGCCCAGCAGTCCCGTCGTCTCGATGGCCTCGACGATGGCGAGCCGGCAGATCTCGCCGAGATAGTAACCGCTGACTAGGTGCTCGAGGGGTTGGAACTCGGGCCGGGGGTGCGATACGTTTAGAAGTTCGTCCCACCTCGTCAAAGGTAGGATGTCCTTCCCGAACATGCCCAGCTCGGTGTTGACGATGACGTGGCTCGCCGACTCGAACCAGCTCTCCGGCCGATTTCCGAACTTGGCGCGGCTGAACGCTGATACGGGGAGGTGGACGGCAATGTTAGTGCCGGTTCCCAAGATCAAGCCGAACCGCGTCGAGCCGTAGACGTAGGCTTGCGATAATAGCGTTGCCGAACTGTCGTTGACGATGGCGGAAAGCTGGACGTTGAGACCCTGTTTTTTGCAGGCAAACTTGATGATCTCACCCAGGTCTTGGCCCAGGAGACCATTAGTGGCGCTGAGTCCCTTCCCCATAGGAAGCAGAAGCCCGCCACCGAGGGATACTTGCCTTGTGAAATAAGTTAGCATTGCCATACCGAGCGACGGGTTTGAGGGATTTCGAGCTTACTCGACCGGAAAGCTCCAGGCGAGGCCCATCGGTATTATCTCTTGGTCGGACGCGATATCGTTTTGGACAACTTCATGGATCCGACCTGCCATCCAATCGAAGAAACTCATGCCCTCCAGCATCCTGATCTCGGGCGTGATCTTGAAGGCGACCATCCGCACGATCTCGCTCTCCCGCCCCGTGGTACCACGGCCTCTTAACTCCACCAGACCGACCCTCAGCGTCGACCCGCCGACGTCGAGAGCGAGAAAGCGGCCTCGCTCATTGCCGGTGGGGAGGAGGTGGTTGAAGGATGGCAGCATGCATTCGGGATGGCTCTGTAACCGCTCCCGGAACTGGCGCTTGAGTTCTGAGGAGTACCTCCGCAGTCCATCTCCGTCGATGGGCCCCAGCAGCAGCCTCTCTGCCTCTCTCAGGAAATCCTCGACGGTTCTCGACAGGAAGGTCGGCTTCCCGCCAGCTCGGTGTTCGTTCAGCGTCTTGGGACTGATCCAAAACGCGAGCAGCGCCTGCAAGAAGGATCTACCGCGTAGAAACGACTTGAGGGCCGCCAACAGCGATTTTTTAAGGCTAGTCATTGCAGAAGTGAGTGGCTGCATGACAAGGAACGGCTACTCTGCGGAGTTGCTGTGTGGGATTTTATCCAACTCATGAAGGCAGTAACATGGGCGGGCCGGTTAGAGCGAGAGGAGACGGCGACGTCCCGCAGCCAACACGAGACTTTTTCTTTGCCCTCAAGCAACACACATTCGTCATGTCCCAATGGGAATGAGGCAATTGGATCAGGAGGATGAAATGTTTCCTCAAGGCCGTGCTGGGGTTCGTATAGGCGGGAGCTGGCTGGACGGCAGAAATGAAACCTGCCGGTCAAATTCGATGTTCGACAAGGCGACCCCGCTGGTTGGATCTGGTAATGTACGGTCCCAGGAGAGAGGAAGAATAGAGAAGCCAAGACCCCGGTATTTTTTAGACCACGAGGGGGGAGGGAAGGACTTCCTCCCTCTCTGGATGAGACCGACCTGATGGGTTACAGCAGAATGGACGGATGGCGCAATGAGAGCGAGTGACAGCCAACTCATACAGGCGCCCGGTAGTGAGTGATACGGGAATTGTTAAACAGAAAAGGACAATCCCCCCCCCCTAAAAACCCCCGAGAATAGTTGTGCTTGCCTGTCAGCGCGTAGTGTAAGGTATCCTTACGGTCTGTTACCCTCGGTCAGGGAGGTAGGTAATGTCGAGATGGCCGAAGAGGGAGAGAGAGAGAGGTAGGGGGAGGTGTGTCTGGGCGCATGTGCGAGTGCGTGTAAGAGAAAGGGCTTGCTTGTCCAGCTTTCCCAACCCCCCCCCCCCCTGGCTCGAGGTGGCTCCCGTATGCTACGGCTATGCTTGTTCGAGGGCGGGCTATTACCACCTAACAGACTAAGGATACGACAATAGCAACAAGCAGCATGGTAGAGGGCGCCCGGCGATATGGGATAGGGCGGGACGGGATGGCAGGAGAGAGTGGACCGTCGACGGGTCCAGCGCCACCGGACCTCTGGGCAAGGCAGGTGACTTTCTGTCCTGGGCTCGATCGCATGTAGCACCGGAGACAGGTCGCGATAGAAGCAGCCAGGCGCAGGTAACAATAACGAGCGGTGGTGGTAGCAGCCAGCTAGGGAGGCAGACGGCAGGTCAGGTACCTAGGTAGGCGAGCCACGGGCTGGTGGCTCCCTCTGGCCGTGCGGCGCGAAGGCGATGATGATAGGAGGAGTGGGAGCAGGACCCAGGTTCGCGCGAGGAGGCCAATGGGGTGGCGGCATCGAGGAAGGCAGGCGAAGGGCCGATAGAAGGAAAAGGACCGTAGAAGCCGACCAGAGAGGGAGACGAGCAGGGAGTGGACAACAACATGACATTGTCTCACCGTGGTGTTCGTTGTCTGCCATCTGGGTCGGGTCTCGTTGCGGTGGTTGCTCGTAGATGTAACGTTGTAGACTGCGCAGTTGTCGGTACCTCTTTTTTTTTTTAGTGAGCAGTGGTATGTAGTAATAGTGGTAGCGGTGGTGGTAGCGGTGGTGGTAGCGGTGGTGGTAGCGGTGGCGGTAGGTAGGTAGCAGGTAATAGCAGTAGTAGTGTAGTAGTAGTAATACCTAGTAGTCGTAGTGGTGGTGGTAGTGATGGTAGTACCTACAGTGCCGGTGGCAGCTGGTGGCAGCAGCAGGTACCCGACTGAGGCAGATTATGTATTACCCGTAGGTAGGTAGGTACTTACCTCCTACGACTTGACTCGAGGGAAATGAGTGACGACTTCGCAATTGCATGCAAATCCCCAGAAAGATCCCCACTGCCTCCTATTTTTAGTCGCCGGCTGGCCGGTCATTGGATGACTGCCGCCTTACTAAGGTGCCGAGGTAAGCCGGACGCAAATAGGTACCTGCCTAGTACCTACCGGAACGGGCATTCGAGGGAGCCGGCGAAGGGAGCGAAGGGAGCGAAGGGATCGCCCAGCCCCATCCTGCACGAGCCACATGGCGCATGCACACGTCTGCCTTCTCGAGGTACAATAGGTAACCTAATATCCTCTCTGCGCCTGCCCGAGAGGCCCACTGGGCCTATGGAACGTAGCGGACCTAGTAATGTCTACGCCAACACTGCCTCCCCCCTGATGGGGACTACTCGCAAGCTAGTAGGGACTAGAACGGCCGTGCCTGTGTAGCTGTTAACCTGCTACCTGGCACCGGGGGGGGTGGTGCAACCCCCTGGCGGTACTATAAAGGAGACCGACGCGCCACAACCGCGCCGGAGTTGTGCTAGTGGCTTGCTGAATAATTAAGTAGGTACCTTAGATAGGAGGTACCTAGATACCTTAATTGTGGATGCCTGATGTAATGCGCTCCTCCTATTATCTGTAGGTACCTAACCTGCTACATGTAGAGGTGTTGTACTTGTTAAACCCAAGTACCACCTGGTAGGAGGTACCTACCTCCTCTGTTAGCGGCCACTGGCAACCCGCTGACTTCATTCTCTTCTCCCTCCCCACAAATCACCACCTCGCCCTCTCTCTCGGCTTCGTCTATTCTTCTCCTCTCGCGCTCCCTCCCCCCCTTGACGTGTCTCTGCCGTGAGTTGCCCTTAGCCGACTGCCCGTCTCTGTGCTACTTCTGTGCTACAGAGCGAGCTGCCGTGTTCGTCTATGCGTTATTCCTCGTCGCTACGGAAGTGTGGTGGTGTTGTTGTGATGTTTCCTAATCCAGCTTGCGGCTCCGGTGACGACCAATGTGTGCGAGAGACCCCCGTCTAGCCCTCCTGTGATGCGGCAGGGCCTGTGTTGATTCGCGTACCGATTTGACAACCGAAGCCTCCCGCCGATCGAAACGGGAAAAAGAAACGAAAAGAAAAAGTCCCAGATTAGGGGACCGTTCCCGAGCATGTGGAACGGGAATTCCCAGACCGGCCGGCATGACCCCACTATGGTGAGATGGTATCTCGAAGCTACGTTAGCCTACCTAGTTAGGTATCGACGAGAAGAGGAGGAGGAGGAAGAGCTTGGTGCTCCCCTCTTTGTGTCGCTTTCTCGCCCATCCTAGAGACTCATCGTGATTTTCTACAGTGGCCCTCCCCCCTCCCCCCCCTTCGATCCCATGCCAACGACCGAGATCTCCGGGGAAGGCCCTGCGCAACCAGATACTAATGCCCTGTCCGTTTCCCGACCAGGCGGCGATGGAACCTATGGTTGGCTGGTCGAAGGCCGGTGATTCGCGGCTCGCAGAGCAGCCAACCAGGTGGCCCTGGGCACCACATGACCTCGGCCATGCTATGGACAGGTAGCTATGCTACTACAACGTTCCGGCAGCCTCCCCTATCCAGTCACAAGTGTAAGATACCCATCGTTGCTTGCGGTGGGGAACCAGCCAATCCGGCCTAAACGTTCCATTATCGGTGGCCGACCCGATGCCGTCACGTTGAGGCCTTTCCTGTTGCTTAGGTCACCCCGAATCCGTTGCTCATAATGACTACCCATCCTGTGCTAGTAGTTCGAGGAGGGGTCTCCCTCCTATTTCTTTGAGCTACCCAACAAAGAGATACGCATGCTTGCCTGCCTGCTTACCTCTCTAAATACCAAATCCAGAGCTGCTGCTGCTATCCAGTCGCAAACTCGCCGCGACACTACTCGTCGTACTCTTATCAAATATACCCAAGCGGGACTATCTCCAAGATGAGGCTCATCATCCGCGAGAACTCGGAGACGGCCAGCGCCTACGTGGCTCACTACGTTATCGAGCGGATTCGACACTTCAACCCTACGCCGGCACACCCCTTCGTGCTTGGTCTGCCTACCGGTTCGAGTCCGCTCGGAGTATATAAGATCTTAGTTGAGCAGTACAAGGCTGGGAACGTATGTGAAGATCGACCATAGCTCAGGCTGACGCTTTGCAACAAGACTAATACGCAGCTGATAGATATCCTTCGAAAATGTGGTCACTTTCAACATGGTACGGCGTAGTGTTGTCTTTTTCTCTCCCTCTCTACCTCTTCCTTCTCTGTGTGTGTATTGGCACGGGAATAGCGTTAATATCAGAGTAGGACGAATATGTTGGCATCCCTCGAGACCATCCCGAGAGCTATCACTCCTTCATGTGGAGGCATTTCTTCTCCCACGTCAACGTGAACCCAAACAATGTCCACATTCTCAATGGAAACGCCGAGAATCTTGAGGCTGAATGCGTCGAGTATGAGGTCAAGATCAAGCGTGCCGGAGGCATCGACTTGTTCCTGGGCGGGATCGGCGAAGACGGCCATCTCGCCTTCAACGAACCCGGCTCCAGCCTCGCCTCGAGGACCCGCGTAAAGACCCTGGCCTACGATACGATCCTGGCCAACTCCCGGTTCTTCGGCAACGAAATTGACAAGGTCCCCAAGATGGCCTTGACGGTTGGCGTCCAGACCGTCCTCGAGGCGAGGGAAATCGTCATCATCATCCTCGGCGCCCGCAAGGCGCTCGCTCTACAGAAATGCATCGAGCAAGGCGTCAATCACATGTGGACGCTTTCGAGCCTCCAACTACACCCCCACCCGATGATAGTGTGTGATGAGGATGCAACCCTCGAGCTGCAGGTGAAGACGGTCAAGGTAAAATTACTCCTGCGTGAACCCTTATGCAAGGCGTGGAAGGCCGCCGGCTAAATTGATTTACCGCAGTACTTCAAGAGCATCGAGCAGGTTGCCAAGCAACAAGGCTTCGAGCAGATCCTACCCTCGCGCATCCGAACCGGGCCAAAGCCGGCGCCGATACCGAGAACGGTGATCAACGAGGTGCAGTCTCCCACCATCCTAGCGCCGCAGCCCATGACGTCCCGCCTATTACTGGCGACGCCGGCCACTGAATACCCGATCCGGTCGGTATCTCCGGACCTAATCCCGGATCGGATGGCGGATCGAGTCAAGGGGATACCCGACATCTCGAGGCGACTGACCCCGCAACCAGAGCATCAACAGCACCGGGTGGCCAGCGTTGGGGCGTGAAAAAGCCCTTTTGGGCAACTCCCGGTATCAGGTAGGCTTAGATGGGCTGTGTGATTTCCTTCGTCTCAGGCAGGGTCAACCGGACGTCTAGACGCTCTAAGGGTTGAATTGAGAGAGCCAACCGGATACTTACTCGTTACTCGGCGGTTAGAAGATTAACAGCGATATTATGCGGGGGTAGTCACCTGCTGCGGGATTACATCTTAGGGAGATAGAGACTAGGCCGACATCTCTCGTTCTTTGGGTCGGGTGGCTCTGTATGCTTATTTTCGTCGACGATAGTAAGATAGCGATCACCATGAAGAAAGGGGTGTGTAAGTATGCGTGTATGTATAGACAGTCGGGTCTCACCAGGTCATTAGATACCTCTTTTATTTAGATACCCAAATATATACATATCATACTATTCATTTGCGTTGTCTCTGTGTTTTCCGTTACTCGTATTTTGTACGCTCCTGTATCCTTTCTGCGGTGCATATTAGGCAGGTAGGTATACACATCCCTGCGTATCTCGCTCCTCGTCTCTTCTTATAGGAGGTGGACAGGTATGATATCTACCATAACATTATCGCGATCTGTTAAGGATCGGAATGCTACTATGTCACGTCGCTATCGCATAAGCGCGGCGCAATCGTACTTAATTGAGTAAACGAGGCCGCGCCAGTCGATAAGATGGGAGGCTATTCGGGCCAAGTCTGCACGAAGTCTGGTCTTGGGTTCTCGATTCGGCTGGCTTGGCCAACCCCGCTACGACGCTGATGACGATGAAGAATATGGAGTATTGTTAGGCGCATCGGTAATATCTTCTTGGGCATGCTTCTTCGACATATCCCAGCAGAATTTTCTGCTCTCCTTCTAACGGAGACGCGGATGGGATATTTAGTGTCTCGAAGCCTCGAGGGATGCCCTTCTTGAACTTCCCTATTCAGTCCCAGCCTATCCATAGGTTGAAGATGGTTCCTATGATGGATCCTCCGATGGTGCACACCTCTTCGCCTTTTTATCGTCATTGGCCCACCCCCGGATTGCTTCAATCCCGAGATACAGGGGATAGCACCCCAGGTCATTGAGGGGAAGGATCCTTCTATTATCAAAGCCTACACACTTGTATACCTATACCTTGTATATACCTGCTTACTTGGATACCTACATACACATATGGCCTCTAGAGAAGCTGTCACGATGGGCACCCGCCGTATATTGGAGGGGAGGTGGCTGGCGGTGACGGTGTATGATGGCTGTGCCCAGGTGTCGATCCCAACCATGGACGAAGCCAAGATCGTGATGCCCTGCGCTGTGTCGGCTCCCGCATACGTATTCACCACATGCCTGCATGGCAGCCGTACGCATACGCATGCGCACTTATGTATACACACTTGCACGTTACGTGTTGTCCTGTATAACCCCATCGGAAATATGGGATAAATAGTTGTTTTCTTTAGAGTACTACCTACATGCCATGTCCATGTCCACCAGGTCACCCACACCCACAGGGCCACACCCACAGGGACGCGCCCAGAGGAACACACACAGGAGGGACACGCACAGAGAGACGCCAAACCGGGAACCTGCAGACAGTTATTAATCGTATTGAAGTCTTTTGTTGTTATCTGTAGGACGGGTCCCTATTGGCTAGGGTTGCGGAAATGGGATAGAGAGACATAAATTCGAATCTGGGATGGGCCGAATGACGCCGACAAATGACCTGGAGATATCCGCGGATACATCACCGGCTCCTCCTCTCCTCTATCATTTTCTCCCGGCCACGTCTGCCCCCGCATTTCACTGGCGGCTTCTCTCCTCTCTCCTCCTCCTCTCGCTCGCTCGCTCGCTCGCCCTGTCCTCTTATCGGCCCTCTTCGTGTACCTTGGCACCCAGAGCCTTCCTATATCTCCACCACCCTTGGGGGCGTGCCAGTGAGTACCACACACCTGCCGAGGCAGGATAGGCGATGGCGGCGCCGCCGTAATGGCTTCGATCCAATCGCGTGGCCTGCCCTCCCTGTCGAACTCAAGGAGAGCATGTGATGCGGAATCCCAGTCCCGAGCTCAGCTCGCAATTTCATAAGAGGCCACAGTTCGTTGCGCGCATGCACGGCGACATCGTGGCGCCCACTCGTGTACGTCTGGTGCCTGTCAGCCCCGGCACATCTGCCGTATCCGGGAGCAGATGCAAGATATATCCACATCAGGGAGAGCTTGTCCATGATGCCTGCAGGCGGTCTACAGTCTTAGCTTGTTTTTCCCTCTCCTCCTTTCCTTTCAGAGGCGTAGGGCCCGATCACCGTCGCCGTTGCACCCTCGACCAGGGGGGAAGGGGAGAGACAGGATTTGGAGGCCAGACTATGCATGTCCACATGTAGCAAATCCAGTCTCGTGCCGCTGGTTCTTCTGAGTCGAGGCTCTAATAGATAAAGGGCCCGGGGTCAGGAAGCTGCAAGGTGGGAAGGGAGCTTCAGGTTTGGTTCTCCCTCGTAGCGCCCCGGACGACATTCTGACCGCCGAGTTCCATCCAGAGTTGGTCAGCCGTCTGAATACCGCTGCCATGGCCCGGACCCATCTTACTAGATACCGAGCGGCAGGGAGGCCCATACTAACCTTCCTCTCGATATTTTCGTTTTTCGTCATAGGAGCGATCTTCGCGGCCAAGTTCGGGGCACCGGCGCCGCGGCACAGCTTCGAATTTCTGCGGCGCAGCGGGCGCGTGGACACTCCGTTCGGGTCGCAGACAAGGGCCGAAGGGAAAGGCGACAAGTACCTCATCGGCGTTGGCAAGGCCGACATTACGGGCCCCGTCGTGGAAATCAACTTCGCCGGCTACGCGGACCTCGCCCAGACCGGCACCGGCCTGCGACAGCGCATCTACTCGCGCGCCTTCATCGTCGGCGACGCCAGCAAGCCAGAGGACCGCTTCGTGTACCTCGTTCTCGACACGCAGGGCGGCGACACTGCCGTGCGCTATGGCATCTTGGACGGCCTGGCCGCGCTCGGCAGCGAATACGCCGTGTACGGACAGAGCAATGTCGCGGTCACCGGCACGCACTCGCACGCGGGGCCTGGGGCGTGGTTCAACTACCTTCTCCCGCAGATCACTAGTCTCGGGTTCGACAAGCAGAGTTACCAGGCCATCGTCGACGGCGCGGTTCTATCGATTAAGAGAGCCCACGAATCCCTAACTGAGGTGAGCCAGAAAATCCGTTGGCGAGTCCTAACCGCGGGCGAGAGTTATAGCTAACTAATATGCGTTCACTAGGGGTATCTTGACTTCGGTACAGCCTGAAAGCCCGAAATCGCATGCGAATGTTCTAATACGATGGTCGATAGGAACGGTCGATATCCCGGACGGCAACCTGGGCCGCAGCGTATCCGCCTACCTAGCCAACCCGGCCGAAGAGAGAGCGCGATACGCCGACAGCGTCGACAAAGAGATGACCGTGCTCAAGTTCCAGCGCGCCTCCGACGGCAAGAATATCGGCGTCCTGACGTGGTATCCCGTGCACGGGACATCGATATACCAGAACAGCACGCACGTGGCCGGTGACAACAAGGGCGTGGCGGAGGTCATGTTCGAGAAGGCGATGGAGAGCGAGGACTCGGCCGCCGACGGCTTCGTCGCCGGCTTTTCCCAGGCCAACGTCGGCGACACGACGCCCAACACGCTGGGTGCATGGTGAGCCCCCGGCCGTCTGACAGCCCCAAGATTCTGCCACCAGGGGATTGCTGACGTTGGATTCGCTATCAGGTGCGACGACGGGTCGGGCGACATGTGCAGCTTCGAAAATAGCACCTGCGGCGACGGAAAGTCGCAGTCGTGTCACGGCCGAGGGCCCTTGTTCGAAAAGCTCGATCTAGGAATCTCGAGCTGCTACGAGATCGGCAGGCGTCAGTACGCCGGCGCCCGATCAGTCTATGTAAGAAATGCCTCCTTTATTACCACATGTTTCCCGGGTCGGGTTACCCCATTAGGCCGTCTGCTGACCTCTGTCTCTCTCTCTGTCCAGGACTCGTTCGGCGCCTCCGGCACGCCGGTCGTCGGCCCCACGGTCAAATCCTTCCACTTCTACCACGACATGGCCTTCTGGAAGTTCCAGCTCGACAACGGGACGGAGGTGCAGACGTGCCCAGCCGCGCTGGGCTACTCCTTCGCGGCGGGCACGTCGGACGGCCCCGGCGCCTTCGACTTCACCCAGGGCGACTCGGGCGAGCCGAGCGCGAGCCCCATCTGGGAGGTGGTCAAGAGCCTGCTGCGCGCGCCATCGGCCGAGCAGGAGGCGTGCCAGGGCCCCAAGCCGGTCCTGCTCGACGTCGGCGAGATGTCGGCGCCGTACGCGTGGTCGCCCAACATCGTCGACATGCAGGTGCTGCGGGCGGGGCAGCTCGTCATCATCGTCAGCCCGAGCGAGGCGACGACGATGGCGGGGCGGCGGTGGCGCGCCGCCGTCGCCGACGCCGTCGCGCCGTTCACGGGCCCGGCCGCGCCGCCCAAGGTCGTGCTCGGCGGGCCCGCCAACACGTACTCGCACTACGTGACGACGCCGGAGGAGTTCGGCGTGCAGCGGTACGAGGGCGCGAGCACGCTCTTCGGGCCGTGGCAGCTGCCGGCCTACATCCGGCTGACGGTGGACGCGGCGGCGTACCTGGCGCCGGACGCGGCGCAGGGCGCGGCGCCGGCGCCGGGCCCGCCGCCGCCGGACAACCGCGCGGGCAGCCTCAGCCTGATCACGGGGGTGGTGCAGGACAACGCGCCGCTGGGGCGGCGCTTCGGCGAGTGCACGGCGCAGCCGGCGGCGGCGTACGCGCGGGGCGCGACGGTGGGCGCGACCTTCGTCGGCGCGAACCCGCGCAACAACCTGCGGCTCGAGGGCACGTTCGCGGCGGTGGAGCGCAAGGGCGCCGACGGCGCGTGGGCGCGCGTGCGCGACGACTCGGACTGGTCGCTCGTGTACACCTGGAACCGGACCAACGGCCTGCTCGGCTACAGCGACGTCACGGTCGCCTGGGAGACGGGCTCCGAGGACGAGGCCGCGCGCGGCATCGAGCCCGGCACCTACCGCCTCCGCTACTACGGCGACAGCAAGGCCCTGTTCGGCGGCCAGATCACGGCCTTCGAGGGCGCGAGCAACGAGTTCACCCTCGCGTAAGGGGAGGAGGAAGGGCAGACAGACACTGGTCGTGTTTGTTTCGGGTTTCTAGTTGATTAAGATGATGGGGTGTAAGCGAGTTCTTCATGGGATGCCGTTTTTTAGAGGGGAATAATATCAAGGGGTAAGTAGAAAGGAGGAGAGAGGGAGCATAAGAGTAACACCTACGATTACGGTGACGAGGAAATGGTCAATTACTGCTGGCCACAACTCGGGACTTGAGCGCGGTGAGGTACGCGCAGTTACTTGGTGTATATATCTAGGGGTGGTCGAATACATATCCTCTTGATGAGTACCTATGCTACAGTGCTGTCTTCTACTTGGTGGCCAGACGCGGCTTCAGGGGTTTGTGCGTTATCTACGAAGCCTTGGGAGAGGATCATCGTGAGAACACTGGGTTGGGCGCGCGTTGAGGTGTAAGAGCACAATAGGGAAGATAGGAGGGATAAAACGTCAAGGACGGGAGCACCTAATAGCATTTACTTTCATAGTACACATATTTCCTTGATAAACACACGTTCAACGCTAAGCGACGACAGTCAACGTAGCATTGCCCCGGATATCCCTGCTCGAGGCACCGACGTGCACGACGAAGTCGCCGGGCTCGACGACGTAGCGCATGCGGATGTCCCAGAGGCCGAGGTCGGCGACGGCGAGGTCGACGCTCACCGCGGCGGTCTCGCCGGCGCGGACGAACGGCTTCGCGAAGCCCCGGAGCTGGCGGTTGGGCACCGCGACGCTGGCGACGGCGTCCTCGACGTACACCTGCACGACCTCGGCGCCGTCGCGCGGCGAGCCGTTGGTCACGTCCACCGACACCGTCACGACGTCGCTGGCGGCGGCCGTGGCGCGCGAGAGCCGCACGTTGGAGTATGTGAAGGTGCTGTAGGACTTGCCGTAGCCGAACTGCGGGAGACGGGGGTTAGGTTAGCCGCGCGCGAACGTAGTGGCTGCTGAGAGGACAGGGTACGTGGTAGGGAAGAAGGGAAATACCTCGTAGAGCGGAAGCGGGCTCTGGAGCACGTAGTTGTGCCCGAACTTGAGCGACCCGTCCTCGCCGACAGCCCCGGGGTCGGGGTACGCGCGCGCCGAGTTGAGGTAGTCGTAGTAGATGGGGGTGGTGCCGACGTCGTAGGGGAACGAGACGGACAGGCGGCCGGCCGGGTTGGCGTCGCCGAAGAGTACGTCGGCGAGGGCATGGCCGCCCTGCTCCGAGGGGTAGAACTGCTGGACGAGCGCGGCGGCCGACGCGGAGATCCACGGCTCCGTCACGGGCTTGCCGGAGCTGAGGACCACGACAGTCGGCTTTCCGGTGGCGATGATGGCGCGCACGAGGTGCGGCATCGCGCCCACGAGGTTCAGGCTGTGCACGTCGACGTGCTCGCCCGTCGTCGCGTTGAGCCCGGCCCACAGCTCGTCCTGGTCGCGCGACCAGGTGCCCACGACCACAACCGCAACGTCGGCGCTCTCTGCCGCCGCGACGGCCTCCGCGAAGCCGGACTGGTCGTTGGACCAGCGCTCGCAGCCCTTGGCGTACGTTATCTTGCCCGTGCTCGCCGCCCCGATGCCGTCGAGGGGTGTGACACCTCTGTATTGTGATCGGTGGGCGACGTAGTCGCCGTACTGTAGGTGCGAGTTAGCGTATATAGCCCGCTGTATATCGCGAACAGGATTAAAGCACGGTAGACTTGCGTTCATGTAGCCGTGAGCCATCGGCCCGATGACGGCAATATTCGCATCTTTACTCAGCGGGAGCACGTCATTGTGGTTCTCCAGGAGGACGATGGACTCTGCGTCCAGCTGCCTCGCGAGCTGGATGGCCTCGGGGGTGTTGATGTGGTTAGACTGTTCCTCCTCGGAGACACCGGGAAAGGGGTTCTCAAAGAGTCCGGCCGCGAATTTCGCGCGCAGCTGTCTAGAGACAGCCTCGTCTACCACATCGATAGATAACTTCCCCGACTCGACCATCTCGGGGATCTTCTCAAAGTTGTACGATCCTCCGCCCATCTCGACATCGTTACCGGCGGGGAGTGCCTAGACACGGGGGGGTTGGTCACTAGATCTTGTCGGGTTACCAAGCAACAGAAGTGGGCTTACGTAGTTAACGATGGCTTCGGAATCTATCGGGTTCGTCTCGCACATCTTGAAATCCTTACAGAGACGATCTGTAGCTCCAGCGTCACTCATTACCTGCTCGTGTTAGAAAAAGCACTAGAGAACGTTGGTAGCCACTTTCGGCTCACAAAGTACTTGTAGCCCCATTCCTCCCTTAATATCTCGGTAAGCATATGCCTGTCAGCGACAGACGGGACGCCATCGTAGCTGTGGTAAGCCCCCATGATCGACAAGGCGCCAGCATCGATTATGGCACGCTTGAATGGGGGAAGATACGTAGTGCGTAGCTCTCGCTCGCCTCCGTGGACGGGTGCGGTGTTGATTCCTTGCTCCGGTGTCCCGAAAGCAGCCTTGGCTGGGTTAGTTATTTCATACCGACTGCCAACTGAGATGGGATCCTCTTACGAAATGTTTAACCATGGCCGTCACATTTTCCGACTGTAGACCTTTCACATACGCATATGCGAGCTCGCCGGTTCTAAAGCACGCCGTCAGTACCGCGTAACCAGAAAAATAGAACAGATTATTCTCACAGGTAGCCGTCCTCGCCGAAGGTCTCCTCGACCCGACCGAACCGCAGCTCGCGCGCCAAATCGGCTAGGGGTCCGAAGATGTTGTTGACGCCTAGAGCACGAGCTTCTTGGGCAATAACCCTCGCCATCTTCTCGACTAGGGGTGGGTTGAAGGAGCAAGCGTGAGCGATGGGCGAGTTGAATATCGTGGCGTTCGGGATCAAGAAGCCGTGTATGCCTTCAGACTGGACCCAGGCGGGTATGCCGAGGGTCGTGTTCTGCATCAGATAGTCTTGGCCGGTCTTGATCCCGTCGCTCAGCATTTTCCAAGGCACAGAGACGCCAACGTAGAACGAGCCTCCCCGGTTTCTCATGCTCCATTCGAGGCCAGTTTGGTTGAGAGTACCGTCCTCGATGTCGATCCAATTCCTCAAGTCCCCTTGGACCAACTGGGCCGTCTTGTCCTCGATGGTCATGCGCGACAACAGGTCCGTGACCCGATCCTCGACCGAAGCGCTCGCGTCTTTGTAGACCGGCTCTCCATCGCTGCTCAGACCCCTAGCAAATGCTATAGTCTCTGAGAGTAACAGACAAAGCGAAATAGAGGGCCGCATCTTGACTATTAGTCAGTTGTCAAGGACGTCCGACAAGCTATGGCCCTCAGGTCGTCGGATTTCGTGACAAGCCCAACATCGCGGCTTATATGACTGGCGTCGGCTCCGTTACGGAAATGTAAGTATACCCCTGGCCGGTAAGTAGGTATAGTCGTATTGGAGGTAAATCGAGGATCCAGCTTGACTGGCGGGAGAACGATCTCCGTATGCTAAGACCCTCTAGAACTCCGCTGCTGCTTCGGCGCATAGAATTCAGAATGGAGTGTATAGACTCATATAGGCTAGCAACTCTTTTTCCCCATTCTTTCCTTCGCTTTCGTTCACACCTAGTTACCGGGTATTAGTCTCTATTAGATCGTTTTTGATTTTCAACATTCACACACACACACACATGCGCTCTCTCTATTCGAGAAAGCATCCATTATGTCTCTCTCGTCCTCGGACGGGATATTCGACGATCACCTACGATTGCGTAGAATGAGGGCAGAACTGGGGTAACCAAGTAATCTTGGGTATTACCACTTACACGGTTGGATGGAAAACATCTCCTTTCTATTGGTGGGGGAAGATTGCACCGAGATGGAGCGGCCGGGATGGCCTCCACGCTGTGCTCGTTCTAACCCGTCTCCGTACGCTTCCCCCAGTAGCTTATCGTCTTCGTTCGTAATTGAACCGACCATGTGCTCTCCTGCCTCCGCACCACCGCTAGCTTGTATTCCTTCTCGTAAAAATTGCCCAAGGTATTTCCCTTTGGAGAACGCCGGTTGGAGCGCTATCCACCTACGGGCGTAGATGAGATCGACCGCAATCCGGTGTGTTTCGAGCGCTTCAGCTGTCTCCTCCCTTCGCGAGCGGGGGCCGGTCTCCGGCTCTCCTCACGACTCGAGGCCAGTAGAATCCGTTAAGCTAGCCCGCGCCCGACGCTGTGATGCCAGAATCTGCGTCCGATATACGGCTCCAGTTGGAGTCCAACAGGCGTTGAGCACCGCCAATAAGTAGCCCTTGGAGCTCAGACTCCGCATTCATGTTGGTGATAGAAGACTTCGTGTGCGGCAAACTCCTCTCATAGGTAAAGCCCCGAGAAGCACACACGCTCTTGCAATATACCTAGGTACCTACACGGACATAATATACTCTCTTGTGTTATTTAGGCCTAGCCAAGAGCAAAAGCACGGAAGCCGACCGAGATGAAGTTCCGTGATGGCATGTGGCAAGTGAAGGAGGGGTTGCGCGTCGAGTACGCCGAGGAGGTTCACGAGATCGCGCAGACGGAGAAGGGTCTGAGCTTGCTGTGCCCCACGAGGAAGATCTCGAGCCGCGGGGACACCCTCAACATCTCTACCCTAACTATTGTAAGCAGCCGTAGTAGAGCTTGACAAGGTCGTCGCCGTCGGGATGGTTAACGAACCGCACCAGGACATAGAGGCGCCCTGCGATGGCATCATATCCGTCGAGACGACGCACTGGCGCGGCGCCGCAAACAAGGGCCCTCACTTCGAGCTGTTCCCGGGCCGGCAGCCGAAGTACGAGCCCAAGGTCGCGAGGAGCGACAAGGGCACGACCGTGAGCTCCGGCTCGCTCTCGGCCACCGTCGACGCGGGCGAGCACGCCTTTGGCGTCCGGTTCCACAGCACGGACGGGTCGAGGGTGCTGACGTCGCTGGCGCCGCACAGCGTCGGCCTCGCGTACGACCCGGCGCCGACGAACCAGATGGAGACGGGCGACCTGCGCCGGTTCCGGCACTACGTCTTCACGCAGACGAACCTGGGCGTCGGCGAGTCCGTGCACGGGCTGGGCGAGCGCTTCGGCGCCTTCAACAAGGTCGGGCAGTCGGTGTCGCTGTGGAACGCCGACGGCGGCACGTCGAGCGAGCAGGCCTACAAGAACGTCTCCTTCTGGCTCAGCTCGCGCGGCTACGGCGTCTTCGCCGACACCTCCGCCCGCGTCGAGTACGAGGTCGGCAGCGAGCGCTGCTGCCGCGTCCAGACCAGCGTCGAGGGCCAGCGCCTCAAGTGGTACATCATCTACGGCCCGACGCCCAAGGAGGTCCTCTACCGCTACTCCGTCCTCACCGGCCGCCCTAACACCGTGCCCAGCTGGAGCTACGGCCTCTGGCTCACCACGAGTTTCACGACCAACTACGACGAGGAGACCGTCAGCTCCTTCCTCGAGGGCATGAAGGAGCGCGACACGCAGGTGGACGTCTTCCACTACGACTGCTTCTGGATGAAGGTGAGTATCTGCGGGCATCTCTTCGCCTTCGCCTTCGCCTTCGCCTGCGACTCCTAACGCCCTCCTAGGGTTTCCGATGGACCGACTTCGTCTTCGACTCGGAGAAGTTCCCCGACCCCAAGGGGCAGATCGCGCGCCTCAAGTCCTCCGGTCTCGTCAACAAGATCTGCGTGTGGATCAACCCTTACATCGCGCAGCACGGCGCCGTGTTCGACGAGGCCGCCGCCAAGGGCTACCTCGTCAAGCGCAAGAACGGCGACGTCTGGCAGTGGGACATGTGGCAGGCCGGCATGGGGCTCGTCGACTTCACGAACCCCGCCGCCGTCAAGTGGTACACCGAGTGCCTCAACGGGCTCTTCGACAAGGGCGTCGATTGTCTCAAGACCGACTTCGGCGAGAGAATCCCGACGTTGGACGTCGAGTGGTTCGACAAGACGGTTGACCCGCACAAGATGCACGTAAGTAATCGTCCTTTCTTCTGCTTCACAAACGAAAGCCACGTCCTCTAATACCACCCTCTCTCCCTCTCTACTTGTATAGAATTACTACGCCTTCCTCTACAACAAAGTCGTGTACGAGGCGCTGCAGCAGCGGTACGGCGAAACCGCGGCCGTGCTTTTCGCGCGGTCTGCCTGCGCCGGCACGCAGCGCTTCCCGCTCGTCTGGGGTGGCGACTCCGAGTCGACGCCCGAGGCCATGGCCGAGTCGGTCCGCGGTGGCCTCGGCCTCGGCCTCTGCGGCTACGCCTTCTGGTCCTGTGATATCGGCGGCTTCGAGGGCCTCCCCACACCCTGGATCTACAAGCGCTGGGTCGCCCTCGGCCTCCTCTGCTCCCACAGCCGCCTCCACGGCTCCTCCTCCTACCGCGTCCCCTGGATCATCGACGGCGACGACCGCTCTGACCAGGGCTGCTCCCGCACCCTCGCCCGCTGGACCGCCCTCAAGACCCGCCTCATGCCTTACCTGCTCGCCCAGGGTGCCAGTGCCGCCGCCCGTGGTCTCCCCCTCTCCCTGCGCGCCACCTGCCTCGAGTTCCCCGAAGACCCGACCGCCTGGTTCCTCGACCGCCAGTTCTTCGTCGGCGACTCCCTGCTTGCCGCCCCTATCTTCGACGAGTCCGGTGAGGTCGAGTTCTACCTTCCGCGCGGTACTTGGTCCTGTTTCTTCACCAACAGCACCCGTACTGGCCCTGGGTGGTTCCGTGAGCGCCACGGTTTCGGCAGCCTGCCCCTTTACGTACGCGAGAACACTCTCCTTGTCCTCGGCAAGCCGGGCATCCGCGGCGCTGTCTACGACTACACCGCCGATGTCGAGGTCTGCCTGTACCAAGCCCGAGAAGGCGCGAGCGTCGGGCTCCTTGATGCTGAGGGGAAGGCATTGGGTGCGTTGAGACTCGGGGCCGGTGACGAGCTAGAGGGCAAAGAGATCCTCAAAGGGTCGTGGACAATAAGTGGTAGTGGCCGCCAGATTGATGATGAGTCGTATTCCAAGACCATCAAGTGGCTTTCATGAGCCAAGTGCTTGAGAGAAGTTAGGTAGCTCAGAGTGCTAAGACTTGTTTCTATCCCGATGGCCGGGAGAGAGTAAGGGGGAAACAAACATCAAGATCCCAAAGATTACCACTATAAAACAAGAAACCTTTATCAAATTTAGTATGTATGCTATACCATCCTGGCCCGTCAAGCGTCAAACGCTGCGTTGCATGCCCGTTACATACAGTACGTACATGTAAAAACATAAAAGAACGTAATACATATAGGTATATGTGATGAATGGGAAGATAAAGCCAAGGAGAACGAGAGAAGTATCATGCTCCAGCCGGAGCTCTTAGATACACAGTGGACAGGTTGACAGATACAAGCCATTAGATGTTTTGTTGTTATACATGTAGACAAGGTCAGCAGGTATATACATACATATGTAGCCTCGAAAAGAAAAGGGGTATATATATCCATATGTGGGTATGATGAGGTTATATGCTCTAGGTAAATATGTAAAACGCTTCCTCCGTAACACCACCACCGTTCGCTAGTTTACTCAAACCTTGAACTCGGAAATCTCGATATTTTCGAATCTTAATATCGAAGCTCTATGCGCGAGAAACGTTTCTTCATCGAGTCGTCTAGCCAGTCTCGGTCCTGGGGATGCAACTCCTCACTGCTGGTGCGCTTCCACATGTTCTGGTTGCTGAAATCGGCACGGACCTCGACGGATTCGGAATTTTCGCTGCTCTTCCGCCGGGGGCGTGGCAATTCAGTGACGGCAGCGGGAGGCGATGATGTCCGACTCCTCGAGGCAGAGCTAGAGCTAGTAGAGGGAGTCCAGAGACCCTTACGGGACATTGTACTCGTCTGAGCTGCTAACCCGGCCCATAGTAGAGGCTTTGGTGCTGGAGACGTAAAGTACACGGGACCCTGGACGGCGATATCAGAGCCGGCCTCAGGCTGAGGATACTGGCTTCTACTAAGAGCCTCCTTGAGCATAGCTTCCCATTGTGCCGGTGGAGCCTGACCCCGCGAGAATCTGATCTGGGGATAGGAGGCAGAAACGGCCTCATGAAGTGCGACATGCCAGTCTCGAGGCGACGCTGGTTTGCGGGTGATAGCAGGCGTCACGTGACTTTCCTTGATGGCAACTTGGAGGGCTGCGTCCCAATCCCGAGGGTAAGAGGCTCTGAGGACGTCCATGGTCCTGGGGTTGCTCTCGATAGCTACAGGAGCAACGGAGGGGTACCGGGGTTGCATAGAAGATACAGTGATCCAAGTTATCTGGGTTGGGGTGGTCTGGCCACCCATCCAAAGCTCAGTCGACTCAAGACTCGGGAGAGGCTCGCTGATTAGTCGAGGTTTTCGGTCGATTTGGATGGCTGCTGGCTCTGCTGATGTCGTTCGGTAGACCTTACGTTCGGGATCGAGCTGGAACAACTTAGGTGTGATAGACACAGGCACAGCAGGCTGGCTCCATAAAGTAGCTACCTCAGAGGGAGAGCTATGAGTTGAAACGAGCTGCAATTCCCATAGTCGCGTACTTGTCAAACTCGCGAGATATTCATTCAGTTTTCGGGGTTTCCTAGCTATGACGATTGCCGCTGGAAGTTTAGATGTCCTGCGATAATCGGTTCGGATAGTAGTGGCGTCGAAAAGACCTTCGTAGTCTGAGCTTGACGCGACTGGGGTGGGCTCCCATAATAATGTCGACAGAATTGGTGCTGAAACCTCGGCGAGGTGAACAGATATGGAGAGTGCGTTCTTCGTTGTCTCGTCCGTCCAGAGACTATTCGTCGCAAGCGTCGGCAACGGTTCCCTAGTTATGCGGGGGCTTCTCGTCATCGAGATAGCGGCCGGTTCATTTGTCGTTCTCCGGTAGTCGATTCGTGGTGTGCTGAGGTCGAACAGCCCACCCCGGGTACTAGGAGCACATACGAGAGCAGGTTTCTCCCATAACGATGCCCCGACCGATGCCAGAGTGATATCCTTCTGGAGTGACGTACTTGCGTTCCACAGTAGCTTAGCGGCTGCTGTTACGTTGGCGCCTTGAGTCTTCGGCGCCCATAACCCGTCGCTCTGAATCAAGCCGATCTCTTCGGGGCGAGAATGCGACCGTACCACGATGAAAGACTCCAGGGCATAGCCCTTCCAAATAGCGGAATCTGGTTGGGGGAGGCCAAGAGACCGAGTCTTTGATGCCTGGCGTTGAGCCCAGAGCAAAGACGGAGTGGAATCAACCTGCTTCGGCAGGAGAGAAACGCGGTCGACTGGAATCGGCTCCTCTTTCACCAAATTATCATCGTCATTGTCGTCGTCGTCATATTGCTCAGCTAGCACCTCCGCGATATAGTCAGAAGAACCGAAAGCGTTAGCCGACTCCGGTGTTTTCGGTGGAAAGGGGAACAGGTTGTTGTTCGGGGAAGAGCCGTCAGCCTTGAGTAGGCTCGCAATCTCCCAGAGGGTATTCTCGTCAAAATCATCACCTTCGTCTTCGCTGTCCAAGTAAGCAAGGTTATCGTCCTCTTCTTCCGCTTCGTAATCGTCGAAGAAGGATGTTGTGAATTCGTCGGCCCCCGCATCCTTGGAATTGGCCTCTAGAGAAGGTGGGAAAGTTATGCCTCCAGTAGTCATGGTCCCCGGCATGGCCATGTACATGCTGGTGGTCGGAGGATGGATAATGGCATGCTCGCTCTTCTCGCCCCAAGGGAACTGGAAGAGACCGAGTGTTCCCCGCTTATTGGGCAGAGGCTCGGGATTTTCCAGAATATCGGGTAATTGAGTTAAGCGTTTGTTCTTGCGAGGTGGTCGGATGGTGACTGGACGGGTCCGAACTTCTGTTGGCGGGACGAACTTCTTCCACAGTCCATTTGTAGAACCAGAATTGTTCGCCTCAGCCGGCTTTTGCCATAATCTGGAGCTCTGAATTTCCAACGATGCCAAAGTCTTTCGGATCGCCGGGCGCGCGAACAAGCTCGGCAATGCCTCCACATCACCACTCACAGGCTGTTTCTTGGCCGTTGATACCCAGAGACCCGAATCAGCCGTGCCTCGAAGAGGCGACTGAGGTTTCCAGAGCTTGCAAATCGGAAGCACCGGCTCATCGATCTTGGGGCTCGAGGGGTGTGAGCCTCTGTCATTTGCTTCGTTCTCGAGTTCAGATTCATTAGTATCCGGGGGACTTGGGCTTCCTAATGAGGCTTTGGAGACCGACAGGAAGTTTAGATTGTTGCGCTTCGCGGTCAGATCAGGTGTGCTCTTCACATACTCCATCTGAGCCTCGGAAAGACGAGCCTGCCACGCGCTAGCGTGGAGGCTCTCAGAACTTGATCCTGAGGCCTGGGATGCCATACTTACGCCTTCTTCTTTGGGAAGCGTGGTACCACTTTTGCTGAGCGTTGCTCTCCTCGATGCTCTACGTTCGGCTATTGTGTGTTGCGATGGCTCTCGGGCTAACCGGCTTAGCAGTGAACCTGGTCTGGATTTCCTCGGAGACGTGTGGATGCTCGACATAGAATCACGATCAAGGCGGTTCTGCGAGGATTGCCACTTGTTTTCTAGTTGACCCATCTCTCGTTCCAAGTTATCCAGGAGCGCGAGGCGTTGGCTCGAGCTCTCCACCGAATCCCGGCTTGGCTGCTCAAATCGTTGTAATTGCGCTTGGATCATCTGATATGCAGCTTCGGGAGACTCTAGTGGTGAAGGTTCAGCTGGTCGCACAATGATTGCCCGTCTCGCGCCGTTCCCACGCAGAATCAAAGGCGCCGGCGGAGGTGCTTTTCTCAGCCGCCCGTTAACCGCCCTAGTAGAGAATGTAGGGCACTCGTCCCCAATTCGATGATGGAAATGGCCCAGTTTGGCCTGTTCGATGGCCGAGGGTACGGGAGGGGCGCTGGTATCTTCATCGTTAGAGAGTGATTCCTGGTTACTTTCGGGATGTTCCTTCGGTGTGTCCGGCTTCGCTATCACGGACTCGTCAACCACGGTCGAGGGGATATTCTGTACTGCTTCCTTCTCGTCTCCCTGGGAATTCTTTCCGATATATGTTGAGCGAGCATTCAATCGGGCAAGCTGAACATCCACGGCGGCAACTGGCGAGTGCACAGAGCCCCAGGCGGTATTCAAGTCTTCGTCCCGAGTTTTCCTGTCGCTCTTCATGGTGGAAATGCTGAAATGGCTAACTACGGGGAGGACTGGAGACGACCCTCGATTCGTCTTATCTCTAGATGGACGCTGCTGTCTTTCATTCTCAGCTGATGGGCCGGTAAGCCAGGATTGCTCTAGCTTATTAGTCGCATTGCGAGAGGCGGAATTTTTCTGTATGTGTTGTTGCGGGACAGCCTCAATTCCAAGAATACTCGCGGTTCGTACGGAACTCCTGTCGGTTGTTTTGGATATACTTCCACCATCCGTCTCAGGACTGTGAATATCCTCAGTGGCAGGTAGTCGCACATCCATCACGTACTCCGTTGGCATTGGAGGGACCTCAGGTACCTCAGACTGCTGTTCGGTCATGGCGGGTGCCGCCAAGGGAGCGCTTAGGGGGGTGATATACAAGATGTCCATCTTCTCATCAAAAGTCATACTCTTCGTATCGTTAGGAAGAGGCCGCGGCGCATCATCAGAAATCTTCGTCGGAGCCGGTGGCAAGGGCGGCAACTGGATAGGGTCTCCAGGCACAGCTCTCAGTATAGATTTTCCGCTGGTAAGTGAGCTGCCCGATTTCGATCGCCTGTGGCCGGTGGGGGATTGCTCGACGGGAAAGACTTGACGATCAGTATCGCCCTTTCTGGGAATCGGGCGCGGGCGGTTAACGACGGAATCGTCGGAATCCAGATCTCCTGTCGGTGTTTTCGAAGCGCCTTGCACGATATTTTTCACGGCGCTCGGGTCATCGTAGACGATATCATTGACGAACATTACAGTTTCTTGCCTCTGACTGCGAGCTTCTTTCGCGATCGCCTTCATACCTTGGGCACGGGGATTCGAAGGAAGGCCCGTTGTCGCACGTCGCTGGAGAGGAGTTATTGGTGGCTCGGGAAACTTCGGTAGCTCGGGCGGTTCTTGAGGTCTTGGGATGGGTATACGGATCGGCTCGCCCGGTCGAACTGGCCGGAACACGGAGGGAATCGGTGGTACCATAGGCTGACCCGGCGATCTCCTTCGAATCTTGTCGATCCCGGGGGATAGCTCTGAAGAAGTGGACGACGCATGGACTTCGACAGAGAGCCCTCCGAGCGTCCCAGTGGTCTTGTTGGAAACGGTCCTCACCAACTCTGCCGAGGACGAGGGTGCCACCTCTTTCCGCCTCATATTACTCTCTCCATCAATAACCGGAGGCTTCGGAGCCGTCCGTTGCGCGATGAGAACCGATTCGCCCTGCGCCTGTTTGGTCCGGCGTTCCTTTTCGTTACTCGCAGCGGTGACAAGGTCGACTGTTGGTATTCTTCCTAAGGCGTTTTCCATACCTTCTGTCGCAATGAGAACCGGGTTCGAGATGACGAGCTTTCCCGAGGTCGCTTTCGCCCATGGATTTCCCTTTAAGGCATTCCTTTGCAGAAACCCACCAGCTCCAGTCACGGACGTCGCGACCCCGCCATCGCCTCGGGAGGTATACGCAGGGATGGCCCTCACATTCATACCCTTGACATCCTCGTAGCGAGAAGGGGGGTAGTCGGTGGAATCCGAAGACGAGATGTCTCTGCCCGTACCGATATCCCGGGAAGTTGGTGAATCCGGGCGTCGTGGAGGCGGGCCTCGAGGATCAACGAGCGTCCCCGAAAGCACAGTGACCAGTGCTTGGCATGACAGTTAGTAGTGGAGGGGAGGGGGGTGTATGTGTGAATGATAATTACATACCTACTAAAATCGCGAGACCAACGGCGGGGAGTGTTGTCTTTAAAACCAGTTCAGTTGTCTTCATGCCTAGCAAGAGAACAACGCTCATCTGCAAATAGTCAGTACGAACAGTTATACCAAATTTGAGAACCCGAGGGAGAAGAAAAAAAGGCACAAACCCCGGTCCATATGGCTAATCCGAGGATAACCAAGGTAACACTCTTCTTCTTGTTCGCTACACCCGTCACGAAGAGTTGGATGGCCACCAGGCCGATAATGAGAGCATCTATGACGATGACGGTAATAGAGACGGGTGGCACATTGGATATGGGCACACATGTTGGGTTGAAATCGCTCCCGGTCACCCCCGCAAATGCCATACCAACACCGAACCGACCCAGAACTAGTACCTGCGGCACCAATCCGGCGATAGATTTGTTCTCTGTCCGTACTGCCCATACCAAGTACTGCTCGACGGAAAATCTTGCTAGCTGATCGAAAAGAGAAGAAAAGACGGCTGCGACCTGACATGTCGATGCCGCGGTTGGCTCGATGATAGTCGCGAGGAACTCGACGAGCGCCCAAGCGGCGGATGACGCCAGAAACAGTATGAGGACCAGCCTCAGGCCGTCCCGGAAGATAGCTGAACCATGGCCGATAATATACAACACCATGGCAGCTGATGCCGCGTTAAACAATATGCCACTATATCCCGCGTAAGCAACACGATTCCACCCGCCAGCATCGAAGAGACTACTAACAAAAAGAAGGCTCCCAGGAGGGCCTGGGTTGAACCGGGAGTCGCCATGGCGGCGGCGGCGTGAGCGAGGTAGACCAAAAAAGAGCGGCGCGACCCAATCAATGGGTACTGTCAAAAAAGAAGAGGTTCGAAAAGTATTAAGCAAGAAGCGAATCAGTCATGGTGACAAGGAGAGTACCGGTTCTACGACGCCGTGGGTGGACAACGCTCGCGATAGTCGTCGTCGTATTCGTCGTCGTTGTCGTCGTCGTCGTCGGCCTGAAGACGCGAAAAGGAGGGAAGGGAAGAGACGAGAGGGCGCCGCGAGAACGGGAGCGAGAGCACGAAGTAGGGAAGCGGGTTACAATACAGGGAAGTCGGCCACAAGCGAGGGTTCAGCACATCCCGGTGGACCTGGGCTTCCCGCAATAGTGGATTTGGTCTGTGATCCTCAAACAGACCTAGCAGGGCAGTGTTCGAGATGCACCGATCAGATCCACATATCCACGACAACGAAGGCGAGCCATTGGGGCCGAGAAGGACCCAAGACCATGGCGGATCATGGACCCCGGTCGGGGGTGGAACCACTTGAAACCTCAACCGTTACGCTCGACAGCGGAAGATTCTTAATTCTCCAGGCGTCTTTATTTAGAGACAGATAATACTTGGCGGCCACAACGATATACCGCGTAGAAGGGCGAATTAACACCTATGTCTCGCATGTAGACGAACACCATACGCATGGATGCATGGGGAAGGATGTGAAGGCATAATGCAGAGATCGGAGATCTCGACGTCTTAGCCTCTTGTGTCTCGCAACATCATGGTGGAGAGCGAGGGCAGAAGAGAGACACGGCATCGTCATGGTTTGTCGCGCTTCGAAATCCATCACGCGTACGATCCCGCGTGTACGTATGTGCGTAGGGACGGGGAGATAGTATACACATACCTGCCTACATCCCATACTAGAGGAGGAGGCATGGACGGACGCGTCCCACCTCGGGCCGTTTCGTCGGCCGTAGTCATTCCAGCGCATAGTTGGCCATTTCGGATCTGACGAAGCGCACTGACTGCAATCGGGCGCTCTCATTAGACGCCTCGACGCAAAAGGGGAAGAAAAGATGCCGGATACGGCGAGCCAAGCCCTCGATCTCGAGAGGAGAACGCACAGAGCCCAGGGGAGCGGGCTGCTAGGCAAGGGGCGAGGAGGCACTTCGCACATTGTACACAGGCCCTCACGAGACCCGGCTCCCCTTGAAGCCGACGTCCCGGAGCCGAAGCGCATAGAGGATTTCCCACCTTGCAACTGGGAGAAGGACGCGTAGATGCAGATCTCGGGGCGCGAGCACCGGATTAGGGCTTATGAGCATTGTGATAATGCTTGATTGCCGGAGAGTTGATGGCGGCATTGCCTTGGGACAGGAAGGTACCTGGCGGGGAAATACCTACTCAGTAGGGGAGGCGACGAAGGAATCGCTCGCTAGAGGATGGAGATGACATCTAGGTAGGATTGCATTGTAGGTGGAGGGATGGAAGAGGGATGGAGGAGGGATGGAGGGATTCGAAGGTGGATGGGATGGCTGGGATGGGCGGGATGGATGGATGTACGAGATGGATGCAGTGTGCGTGTCGGCTTGCGTAACATGGGAGGTACCGCGGATGCTTGTGCAAAGTGCTTGCGCAGCCATGTACCTACCTAGGTACATATTGGTTACTCAAATACCATACGTAGGTTAAACTGGCACGTGACATCCACCCAACATAGATGTTGTCTAAATGCCATTCTACTTCATACACTCGACGGTCGAAAAAAGATTTCTAATTGACGCCTTTCTTGAAGATCAGGAAGTCAATCGACCCCGTTCGGTCCTCTTCATCGCCTCAGAGTAATAGGTAGTGAGCAAATTGCGCAGAACCCCGTAACCCACATAAACACGGTAACTTGCCTCAGGTACCTAAAGTAAGATTAAGTAATACGCAAGGTACATTTGAGTAGAGAGCCACCAAGAGAGGAGCTGAGGCACCCACCCCCTTTCACCCTCCTCGTCGTGGTCAAATCTCCATGCGGGTCATCGACGAGGGACCGGCCATTCATCATCAACTCGCCTCTAGATAAAGTCCTCATCTGGACGTAGTATGGAGTCCGTATTTAATAAGCAGGTTCCAGCTAGTTGGCATCAGCCTCAAAACCCTACAACCTGTCCCCGTCTATGCGCCGTCGACGTCTAGCAACGATGGCTTGACCTTACCCATCAATACCTCTTCTCCTCGCTCCCTCTCTCCCCTTACCACACCCCCACCAGGGGAGACCGTGAACCGAAATGGGAATTACCCGCATGCGGTGAATCCTACGAACCAGGGCCAATCGCTGGCTCGCTAATTCCGTCACCGGGATGTCCAGCACAACAACTTCCTGTTCCTACTTAATGGAATTAACAATGGAGTAACAGATAACAGAGCGATAAAGGACTCTAGCCATGTGGGCACATGACGAGCATGGCCGGAAGAGGTCGAGTCCCCGGCTCGCTCGCAGTGATGTTGGAATTCCTAAGGGGTCGACGCCCGTGGGAGGGCTTCTAGCCTGCGTTCGGTGAAGTAATTTTGATTCACGCCAGCCAGGCTCTGGATAAGACCGACGTCGGCAGTAAATCCCACTCGCGTACTAGGCATTGCCGAGAGCGCAGCCTCCTCGATACCACGCTAGGCTCACTCTCCCTCTGCCCTCTCATACAAAAGTGCAAAATTGGGCCTTAACCAAGGCATCAATGATGTAAAATAAGACCTACCGAGATCGGTCCACATCAGTACATGTGCTCTATGTGGAATTTCAACACGCCTCGCGAGGGCATGTCACAGCCGTCACTCGCTGGCTTTCCTCGACAAACCCGAAGGCAAACCCACACTAGCTAGGCTGCAATCGGCCGATTTCCATCCGGAACCAGCTCTGGAAGGACGGGGAGCGGGATGGCTGGTGGAGTCAGTCTGTAAGACACCGGAGGTGAGCCTCGCTATGTATATACTCATTGAATGATTCCAGTCTATTGTCCTCTGGGAGAAAAACACACCCGTATGCCAGGTCTCGCCGTCGACACCTCACATTGCCATAGCTTTGATCCTCTTCGCCCTCGGCTGAGGGTCTATCTGTAGCTTCAGCTATCGGGGTCCCGATCTAACACTGGGATGGAGGAATGCTAAGTTGTCCCGAGGGGAATCTCAAGGGAAGGCGAGCAATGAAGTTTAGGGGGGGGGGGGGGGGGGGACACGGGTATTGGGCTTCTACCAGCTGCTCCGATGCTCACTGTGGCTACGGGGCTGGCTCTCGCAGAAACCCCCGGGAGAGGCGTGAGATTCCAGGTCTTACGAGACCTCTCTCTCCTGCTAACACACATGTATGCGTGTATGTAGTAGGATCTAATACTTTCTCTGCCACTGAAGGACATGAATGCCTTGGCTTCACATGGAAAAATAAGTTAAAAATCCCAGAAAATCTGCCTATCGGGCAGTGCCATTACTCCTATCTGGCGCTGTAAAGCTCGGTCAGCCAGCAAGAAGGATGGAGGCTACCAATGAACAAGCTACAATGCGCATAGCTAGAGGAGCACAGCTTACGACAAGGCTATCTTCCACCTGTCCTCTTAAGTACATTTCACCTCCGCCCGCAGAAATTTGCTTCCCTACCCTCTCTCGTCTTGTCCTGACCTTCCTCAAACCCGACGGCCCAACATAAGGCGTTCAGAATATCCTACCTCAAGCACAGACATAAGGAGCACCGGAAGTCAGGAGACTGATCCCATATCGAGTCATCGGAAACGACCGTTAACCACTAGCCATCTTATTATAGCAGCCTATTACCTCTGTTGTCTAACTCGGCTATCATGTGTGGAGCGCTGTCAGGCAGCGAGATGCCATTTCGAAAGGCGATTTTATGGAAATTACAGTTCCAATTCCCATATGCTGTACGATTTCTTAGTAATGGTGATGGCAATTCCGTTGAAAGGAAGCCCGATATTTAGGAATCCCAAAAGGTACCTATAAGGATACAACGAGCTTGCCCCATTACTATAATACTGACGACTCTCTTCATAGATGCCGCCCGCCCTATAGATCGCCGGTTACCATTCGTTCCCCAAATAGAAAAGATGAGGAAGCCCTCCCGAGGGGTTTGAGGAAGGTGTCAGTTCGTGTAATATCTCGCCAGATAACTCGAAAAAGAACAGGAGAAGCACCACAACAAACGTGATCCTCACAGACTTCTGGCGGCCAAACCTTACCTTCTGCCTCCTTCCCGAACCCGAAACCCTCCCTCTCTGTCTCCCCCGAGCCAACGGCCCCCGGACCTGCCAATACCGGGTCACTTCACAACGTGTTGTCTCAGGTCAGGCTCAATAGGTCAACTCCCCGCTGCCCAACACCGGCGCCGCTCTGCCAATGGAGGCATACCCCCAGCACGGACCTGGGGAAGGGCAGGATGGCTCAGATTATCTCCCTCCCCAACCGCAAGAGGCCCTTCTTCAGGAAGAAGAATTCACAGGGATTACTGCTTTGTTGCTGGAAAACCTGAGACAATATTTGTTTAGTTCGAAGATTCGGATTCTTGATCCCTTCCATCTACCGCAAATCCATGTTACCCTTGTGATCCCGGGTGACCCGCCGGGGGATGTCACGGTGGACACCGCGGCGGATATATCGCGGAGCTCGCCATACTGTTTTGTTAGTGGGCAGTGGGCAATCGAGCATTGCCTACACCAGCAGCCAATCCCCCGCGAAAAATTACCCGGAATCCAGCAGTGCTTTCCGGGCCACAGCCTTACGCACTTTGTCGAAGTAAAACACCTAAAATCCCTGCCGTATGGGATTTGGCGCAGAAACCTCTCGGTGCTGGTGGACGACAACAGGAGTCCTCATCTGCCACCTGTTTCCCTCAGCGGGCGCCTACTTCTGAAGAATGCCGCGTCGCAAATGCTTCTGGACTTTGGAACATGGATGAATAACTTCATCCATCCAGACATAGCGAACTCGGTCATAAGGGAGGCCAATAATACCCTTCCGGTAATGACTAGGGCGCCCCCCAGAGAGGGCCGAGGATATTCTGCAACACGCTCAGTTGCTGACGCCGAAGTATCGATCCTAGATGAGCCCTTCGATTTAGCCTCGGGCACTTCATTCGCCAGAGAGGAGGCCTTCTGGGGCGCTCCCTCTCCGGGGCGTGATTATTTCCCATAGGAGCATCCAGAAATCCAGTGGGATCCCAACGAAGGGGCTGTGGACAGGTAGACGGTGTGTATCGACAGCGAAGCGCAACCGATGCTGGACACGTTAAATTCAACATTCCTAAACTCCGGGCAGACTGTCGTATACGATAGGAAAAAATGGCGAGCACTCGGGGCAGGGGACACTGTGCCTTGAGGTCGACGGTCGGGACCTAGCTAGCGGGACATCGGGAGAACAGGTCAGGCAGGCCTGCTGGATCAATGCGTTCTTCCCTCTACCTAGGTATATCGTCTACGAGTTGCTTATGTGTCGTGGTGACAAATTCTACAGCAACAAAAAATGAGAAGAAGGGGATGAAGGTTTTTTGGACACTTGGGTATTTGTTTTTAATAAATCGATCGATCGAAATGACATCTGCATACCCCGTAACAGATGTCCACATGCCAATGATTAGGTACAAAGCCAACTTAATATAAAACCGCGGCCGTGCCGCCCCGTCCTTCTCCCCCAACTCCTGCCTGTGTCTCTCTCTACCTAGGCGTTCCCTCCCTTGTAGTTCGCGCTCGGATCGAACTTCGCGTCCTCAGCCAGCAGCCCCTGCTCCACGACCGCGCCGGGGGGCGAGTAGCCGCCGAGGCTCGTCACGGCGGCCGCGACGTCCCTCCAGAAGTCGCAGGGCGTCTTCTCGTTCTGGCTGTCCTCGACGGTGCTGAACCCCCAGTTGCCGAGGTTCACCACGCCCGAGATCCTCTCGTCGCCGCTGCTCGGGTGGTCCCAGCGCACCGTCGGCGGCAGGTTCAGGATCTTGCGGTTCGCGTTCGGGTCACCCGTCAGCACGTAGCTCGTGAGGTAGCTCTGCAGCGCCCCGCTTATCCCCGCCACCAGCAGCGAGATCCCCGGCGACATCAGCTTCGCCAGGTTCTCCAGGAAGCTGTCGCCGTTGAGCTTCGAGTTGAAGAAGATCGGCAGCAGGTCCGTCCCGTGCAGGCCCGGCGTCACGCCGTACTGCATGTTCCACACCTTCGAGTCGCCGACGCTCTCGGTCAGGTGGCGTATGTTGCACGTGAAGCTGCTATCGCGGAGCAGGTCCTGGACTCGGTCCGTCTGCGACTCGGACTCGGGGTCGCTCGGCTGGTAGAAGGCATCGATCTTGTCCGTCACCCCAGCGACCTGCGTGTAGTTGGGGAAGATAGCGTTGATGAACGTCCGGAACTCGTCGTCTGTCTGCACGAGGCCGCTTACGAACACGTTTGACTCTTCGGTAGTGTGTGACAGGATGAGCGACTCGATGTCCCAGAAATTGCCGGTGCTCAGCTCGAGCACGGGGAGCTGTCGGATAAAAGAGCCGTCGGGCGTCGGGCCGACCGCGAAGGTGCCCGAGAACTGCTGTTTCATCAACTGCGTGTTCGCCTCGGCGAGGGCGGATTCGTTAGCCTTCCGCAAGCACGCGAGTCCCTCGCCCTCACAACCAGCCAACCTCGCAAACTTTTCGAACGTCTGCTGAACCGAACCGGCCCGATCCCACATGTACTCGAACGCGGGAGACAGCAAGATGGCCCTCGAGAAGAGAGGGTCGAGCGTTCCACCCTCGGCTACGAGGTGGTGCATCAGACTCCCGCCCCCGGCGGACTGGCCCATCGCCGTTACCTGCGCCGGATCTCCACCGAATAGGGGAATGTAGTCCTGCACCCACTGGAAGGCGGCCCTCTATATATGCGAAACAGTTACGGATCAGCGACGAACGAGTTGGAAAGAAAGGAGTAAGATGGAGACATCTCCTACTAACCTGATCCCAGAGACCAGCGTTCGGGAGGCCTTCCTTCTCCATCGTAGTCCCGGCGAGGAAGCCGTACGCTCCAAGCCGGTAGTTCATCGAGACGTAGATCATCCTGTTCTCGGACTGCGCAACGAGGCCGGTGCCGTCGTAAAAAGGCAGCACGGGCTCATTCGAGTTCTTACCGCCGAAGATGTAGGCGCCGCCGGATACGAAGACTATCACGGGCAGCTTCTCCTCTGGGTTTTCCAGAGCCTTCCCAGGAACGTCTTCCCTCTTGTCAGCACAGCGAACACGGGGTTCGAAAACGCATCATTGCACGTACTACCCGCAACGTCAGCCGCTTGAGAATTTCCCGAGAGTTAAAAAGCAGCGGCACTTACCAGACGTCAAGAAACAGGCAGTCTTCAGTGCCGCCCTCAAATATAGGCAGCGGGATCCCACCGAGACTTGCATATCACTGTTAGCAAGGGGCAGCTCGAAAGCACAACCGGAGAAATACTCACAACTGGTTAATCGCCGCGCCGATGGGCGACTGGTTTCCGGTGCCGATCAGGTTCAGTCCGTTCGGCGCCGCCTGCACGCACTCGTTGCCGAAGCTCCCGTCCTGGACGCCCTTGCTGGTCTCGTTCAGCGGCGGAGCCGGCTTCGCCCACCGCAGGTCGCCGACCGGCGGCGCCGCAAACCGGATGTTCTTGAAGACATAACTGGCCCTCGGTCAGTATCGCGACAGGCCCGCGGGCAGGGGCGCATGGCGAGGGGAGCCGGGCTCGGGAGGGCCCGGCGATCGGCTTGCATACATGTCGTTATCGTCGTCGTACCGCACCGCTCGGTACGACGCGTACGGGAGGTCGATGACGGGCAGCTCGTCCTGCCGCGCCGCGACCTTCTTCCCGCCCGGGGTAGCCGGGGAGGCGGCAGCTAGGGTGGAGAGCAAGAAAAGAACGGAGACGTATCGTTTATGCATGGTGAGCGAAGCAGAAAGCAGAGGAGAAAGGAACGGAGAATCAATCACCAAACCATCGGTCTAGAAATGAGAGGACGACGCATACGCATACGCATACGCATACAGATACATACACGCACACCAAGTGGAGAGGGAGACAGACAGAAGCAAAGGGCAAGATGACGACCACGTACTCCACGATTCCGCGCGGACGGGTGGGTAGATCTATGATTCCCTCGACTTGCCCAGACACCGGCTATTACTGCCTGCCTGCTGTATCTGTCTCCCAATCTGCCTCCATCTTCCTTCACTCCCAGGGGCACCAAGCCATAGGTATATCCAGGGCGAGGGCGGCAATAAAGAAGCGCAGGGTCAAGAATCAATCCCAAACGCGTGCCACGGCCCGATTAAGCAGGTGAGCGCCCCCTCGAGACGCGCATCGGCGCGGCGGCCGAAGAGAGAGAGAGAGAGAGAGAGAGAGAAAAAAAGGCGCCGCGGGGCGTGGCAGCCCGTCGGGTGGTAGATCTGGAACACCCCGTACGAATCCTGCTGGATTGTCTTCGCCTTCTTTCTGAAGGGGGGAAGAAGAGCCGGGATTGGGCGCTGAGCCTCCCCTTTTAATAGCTACGCGCGCGCGAGGGGAGACGGGAAACGGGAGCGCGGCGCTGCCTCCTGGCCCAAAAGGCTATTGCGACGCCGTTTCAGGACCGCCCCAGCAGGATCGCGATGCGTGCGTGAGGTAGGCAAGCAGAAACGGCCGCAGATAGCGAGGTTGCGTGCGGGCGGGAAAACCCCCAACGCTTAGGTATTATTTATTAGGCATCACCACCACTTTTTATCGTCGCTTTTCCCGGCCTCGCCGGCGCCTCTCGCTATTTGACAGCCCAATCAGCCAACTGGCCAACCGGCCGTGGTCCGGGCGCGGACCTCCTCTGCTCGCGCATGTAGGTCTGTACTTCCCGACCTCGTCCGCTCCGCGTCGGATAGTCCCGGACGATGTTGGACGAATGAGCAGAGAGGCGGACGGAGAGAGGACGGACCGCTTAAGTAACCGGGTGACGGCGAGAGCGAGGATGGGAGAGACAATAAACCACCCAATCACTGCCCTCCTACTAGAAGCCAACACCAGTACGATGGAGTGCGCGCCCGCTAGGTACGTTACGTTACCCTCAAGCCAGCAACTCGTCCATCCTGTTAGCCACTTCACCAGTCTTTCCGCGACGAAGCCAAGCCCAGCTCCCTGCGGCGGCGCGACGAAACGGACCTGCCAGCAGAGTCCCCATGCAATGCGGTGCCGTGGTTAATAATAGACGATACAGCTTGGTGAGAACCGAACTAAGCCGCTTATGAACGGAGAGTGTTTCGCCTAGAGAACCATCGCAGGATCTCGAGCGAGAGCAAATACCGTAGTAAGAGAGCGAGCACAGACTAGGCGAGTATACAGTAGGCAGGTAGACACATTCCCTCTGTCCTTCGTCCCATTGAAATATTTAGAGCATCAGTATCTATATGATTCCGACCATAAACATCGCCGTCGTCTCCTCAAATATTCCACCAAACCCCTCTTCTTGTATCTGGCCTCTATTTCTCCCTCTATTTCTTTTCTTGTTTCCTTAGTTTTTCTGTCTTTTTTTTCTTTCCATTTTGGGAGGTCGGGGCGTCGGGAGGGAAGGGATCGATGCACATATAGTAGGGCTTCGTGGAGCCGCGATGCCTTCGCGAGCCGACGCATTCACGAGTTCGAGGAACGCGACATATTTCTTGGATCTCGCAAGAAGCTCGTAGAGGACTAGGGTCTATAACCGGATAGCATTGGGCTTCCCTACTCGACGAACTCACTGCCGTTAGTTCCACCAGGAAGTTCCTCGCCGAGCTCGTACAAGGCAGCCTGGAGTTTATGAAGACTCTCCTCGATCAGTCGGTCCCACCGCGGGATGAATGCTGTCGCGTTCATCTAATCTTAGCAATGGTTACAGAAGGCTAATGTATTGCGCTGAACACATGTGCAAGCCGCTACCCCCCTTATGCACACTACCTATGTCGCACGTGTAGCAAGGTTGCGAAGCTGGGGTACGTCCCCGAAGGGCGACACATGGCCATATTTAGTAGGCCAGGGATCGAGCTGTGTCTAGTTGTGCGTTTTCCGTTTCCTCCTTGCAGGCCTCTCAAGAGCGGTATAGCGGCAGTAGACGTTTCCGCAGAGCAGGGCATCTAGGGCTGCTGCGGCCGAGACGCCCAGCTTCACTACCAAGCCAACCTATGTAGGTGTATCGCATCTGGCGGAGACGTATCGCGAATCCTTTTCAGGATGGGCCGACGAGGGGTGGGTGCACTGAACGCCGTCCCGCGGACGCGAAAGGTTGGTGGGTGCAGACCTTCGTGCTGCTGTCTCAAGGGTGAGACGATGTCACCTGTGATGCTCATGTATTAACTGGTACGGATCGCGAGAATCGCGGCACAGCTGCGGGCTTCGACCGCGGACACACCTTCTCGATGTTTCTTAACCGGAGTCGATGGCAGCCGAGGTTGTCACAACAGAGACGAAGTTGGTGGCGTTGTCGCGTAGCAAGAGACAGATATGAAGAGGTACAGGAAGATGGAGATGGAGAGGGGGGGTGGTTTCTCTAGAGTGCTACGAAGCCTCCGAAAACGGCCTTCCCTCGGACCTTTCGCACTTGTCACATATATACCTGCATTGTAGGCATGTTATACTCATTAGGTGTATAATTACATCTTCTTTCGATTTCCTACCCACTTTGGGCCTTAACGTCTGCTATGGACGTTACCCAATGAATTTTGAAGTCCATGTCTAGGCGTGTAGGTAAAACCGTACCGACAGGTAGGTTAGGTACCTATCTACCTTAGGTAGTCCTTCTGGGGAGACTCGGCCATCGTGCGTGTGAGCCACCCACCACGGGACGGACTTAGCCGAAGCGCACAATTTCTCGACAGCGTCCTCTGCAAACGGTGCAAATAAGGAAGACATTTGAGGGGATCCGTTGTCTGCCTGGTGCCCTTTTTTGGTCCCGGGCGAGGCCGGTCCGCTCGCTAAGCGGTTTCGGCACGGCAGCGACAGGATGCGGTGATCCTGCTTTGACGGTGACGGCGGACCGGCAGAGGGAGAGGGGTTGGAAGACGGCGGCGGGGCGACGAGGAAGGGCGGTGTGCTCCTAGTCAAACGACACATACACCTACACATATACGTGTATATATAAGTCGGTGAGAGCAGCGACGCTGTCAACAACGTATGTATGCGTATGTATGCCGCATAAAACTTCCGGTGTAGGTATGATTTCTACTCGCTTCTCTTGAGACGAACGATGAATAAATGTTTCTTTTTCTCATAAACAAAGATACGGAGAGGATCCAGTAAAAACTTACCGGATATCATCGTTCCTCAACGCCACTGGCCCTCGGAGAGGAGATACAAATACCAATATTACTACTGCACTATCAACATTGTTCTCGTCCGATCGTACAGATGCGTAGATACGTGGCTGTCCTGGTTGCTTACATTTGTGCCTACCTATGGGGAAGGGGGAGATAGAAGAATACCACAGAAGAGGGCTGCCTGTATATGTAGAATCGGTAGGACATGCCAATCTGAGATCTGAACGGATCGGCACTACGGCCGCCCTACCTACATATAAGAGGCCCCCGTGTCTGCGACGGCGCGACCACCGTTGGCCAGCGAATGGAAGTAGGACGGGACGGGATGCGAGGCGTATTGATGGTGGGGAGGCGAGGCGGAAGTCGAACTAGGGAATTTGCGAGATGAGAAATGAGAAGCTCATATCCTATCGACAGCCTCCCTGCCTGTTAGACCCGTCGGATAGCCCACGTTTTCATTCCATTCCCTGTTATTTCGTCCTCGCCTTGCTTGACAACTTCGTGTTCGCAGCCCCTTTTCTCCCTCGTTCCACCTCACCACCCGTGCGTGGATGTACGCGTGTATGCGGTGTCAGATGGGGAACCCGCTTCTTCCGATGGTGAGACGAGGCCTATCTCTGCGTCTCGCCAATGCCCGGCTGCGGCTGCGGGCGTACATGATTGTACCATCTTATCTCATAGATGATCTACATACCTATGAGTACGTGATGCTGGAGTTGGAGGGGGGCGGGGCTAAATGTTGTGCCTGGCTTATGCCTGGTATATTTTTACCACCGGTTTTTGCTACCATTCCGTCATGGCGCAGACTGCTGAGCGGAGGCGGATGACGATAATGTTTCGATGGTGGTGATGGTGGAGTAGAAACCGCCTCTGCCCGTCCCATAGTCGACTGTAGGCAGCGCGCGTTTGGCGACGGGGTGCAGTTCGCATACATATATGTAGCTAGGGTTGGCTCCGTTGGTTACTGCGACGGCGTCGGGAAGTATTACACCGCCTAAGACGACACTAAGCACATAAAATCTCGGGGTCTCCTCGCTCGATTCTTGTTCTCGATATACCTATCCTGTGATCTGCTGCCGGTCTTATTTGGCCTACCCCACAGACCGCACCCCGGGAGGAGCTTCACCGTCACGAAGCTGCCCCGTACCTCGAGTCTCACATCGTTCCCCTACATCTACTTGGGTCGTGAGCATTTCCGTGCGGCCGCGGATGCAATCCGTGCCCGATCCCGCGCTCCCGGCATCGGTCTGAACGCGAGTTCCGTGCGGCTTGCTGTATGTGCATATATGTAGGTATGTGCGGATGGATATGGACTGGTGCATGCGAGACGGGCAACACGACCGTAAGCTTAACGCTTATGTATTCCGCAGAAGCAGAACGAGCAGATCGTCGCCGGCTGGGCTGCTGGTTTGGCTGATTCCCGCCCCCCTTCCCCGATGCCGATGCCGCTCCATCCTCGATCGTCCGCAAAGCCGCGACCTCGTTACGACATGGCTGGCATTGCCGCCTTCTCTTCGCCCGGAAAGGCGGGCGTAACGGGTGCGTATCTGGCTCACGCACCGATTCTGTTCGTAGTACGGAGATGGTTCGTATTTGCGCGACCGTGCGTCGTGCGCCAGATCTGATCTACATACTCTGCCTCACATAACTCTCTACATAGGCATATAGCCACGTATATGCATATACGATAGCACATAGATACAGTCGTCAAGGGGGGAAGAGACGAGGCTGCACGGTTGGATTGGCATCGGACAGAGCCGCAAATCGGAGTTTTCGATGAAGCCGAAGACGGGCTGCTCCTTTTCCGCTGACTGTTTCCTATTACTGACCGTAACCACCCTGTCGGCGAGCATGTGGTGTACAGGTCGAGGGGGTTGGTTTGGAGGACCCTTATGAGTAGATCGTTACGTATGTGCTCCTTCGCGCCGGCACCCTGTCTACGATTACGAAGCTGGTTGTGGTCTGAGTGAACAGGTTCGTCGCACATACTGTGTATGTTGTGTTGTATGTGGTGTTTGCCGGATGCGCTGGGACCTAAACATCGACAAATCGGTGCGTGGTCCCCGGGATGTTCTCGAACACAAACAATACGCGCGCGGGCGCACACGCATACACGCCCACCATATAAACACCTCCGCCACAGCGGCTGCCGCCCTCACCAGCATCACGATGGGGGAAAAAAAAATAAATCCCTCTCTCGCCGAGTTTGTCGGCTCTCACCAGTGCTGAGGTGCGAGAAGGGTGGGGGATTCTGGTCACCTGGACACTTTTAGAGAGATTAATGTCATCCTAATGCGACCACCGAGAGTCCGAGAGGTCCAAGAAATTCTCACGATGATTTTCCTCCCCCCCCCCCCCCCCCCCCCTCCCCTTCCTACCCCCTTCCCTCCGCACTTTTGTCGTTCGAAAGAGGAAAATGGGAACAAGTGGCTCGCTGATGCGGAGGGAGAGGGAACCCCACGGTCTGAGGTATATTTGACGCATAATCTCCGGAGGCGCCAGGCACTTCCTTGGTACGGGACCCCAGGAAGCGCACTTCCCATGACGGTTGCTACGCAGTATGTATGTACCACCTGCTTGCCGTCGACATACATGCGTGCGTACGTGCATTACATGTCTAGCCCGTCCAGGAGGGATCGTGAAATATTCTGGCGGTGTAGCTAGCGGCCGGCGACCACTCGGATTGTCTGTCCCGTTCGACTAAGCAGTGAATATGTCATGAGCCGCGTATCGAAATCCATCACCTGACGGCCGCCATGGATACGTTGTCATTTCCCTCTCCTAGCTCTGCAGGGACGCCGACGGAAAGGAGTGGGAGAAGCCTCGGCCTGTTTCCCCGAGCTGAATGAGCCCCTTTTCGTAGCTGATTCTATGGATGCGAGTAATAACTGTACTCGTACGTGTGCCATGAAGCTCCTTAGGGCGATCCCGCGCGCGGGTTGCCGACGACGAGCTGCCAGCGTAGACTTATTCGGTAGGCATATCCGTGTAAGCGCAAGCAAGGTATGGAAGGATCAGGTATCTGTTACGTGGTAAGTACCTCTATCTCCTACCATGGCATGTGCAGACGTGCCTCCCAGGTGCGGCACACACAGGTATCTGGTAGGTAGTATGTACATGTTTGCGTGGCAGGGCCCCTGGTCGTGGATGTTTGCGAGCAAGTCCCACACCCCGGAGACGAGATGGGTTTTTGGTCCCGTGGAGGTCGCCAGTTTTGGGTGGGTGTCTGAAGCTGTGGGGGGTGCGAAAGGGTTGGAAGCTTACCCCGACCCTGGACCTCGACGTGCAATAATACATTAGGTACCGACTATACAGGCTGGACGCGCCGGTGGCACACACGAAGTGACGAGATATTATTATATATTGTGTGTCCAACCCCAGTGTTTCCAGACCGTTCCTGTTAGCGTCAGACGTGGCTAACTGCATCGGGCAGGAATGTGGGTGGTTTCTGCTAGAGGACCGCCGACGACGAGTATCGAGGTATGAGTAGACCCAAACCAAACCCCCACGTCGAGTCCTCCCAGGGCCGGGGCCTCTCCGGGCGGCGTAGGGACTACGGGAGAGAGAGGCGGTATTAGGAATGAAATTACATGTAGGCGAGTTTGTCGTGCGCCGGGGTAGCAGTAAGGTCGGTATATGAGCACGGGATAGGTGTGTCTGGCACACCTCGAGCACCCAGCTGGCCGTGTCCTTCTCTCGTTAGCAGGACCAGCCGCCGTGGTCAGCCCCCGTTTCCGTGCCGCTCTCATCACCACATACAAGTTGCGCGCCGCACACGTTCCAAGCCCTCTGCTCTGCGTCTCGCAAATCCGCGAATCCGCAAATCGGACACGGCGCAGGTGGCCGGCAAGCCTAGAGGGCAAGCCTGGAGTGAGAATAGGAGCCCGATGGGGCTAGTTTCGAAATGCTGTCGAAGCGGCCTGGAAGGCTTCGCTGCACCGGGCAGGGGGCTTAAGAGCAGGAGGCGACCCACGTCTGTATGGTTGCATGCCGGACCCATTGCCCCCACCCTACCCAAATCTGGCCCCGTCGGGTCGGTTTAGGGACAGTCTTAGCTCGGCTGGGCCTTCTCTTGGCCCTCTGCTGTAGGGGTCCAGAGCTCTGACGGGCCCGCAATTCCAGCAGGTACCTGTTATGAGGTTGGAAGTGTTGCAGCTTGGAGCTCCCACCGTAGCTTGGAGGTCAGGTTTGGCTGGCAACGTGCCTCTTGTAAGCCTGCCTCGTGTTTGTTCCCTGGCCTGTGTGAATATCAGAGCCAACAGGCCTCAAACCCAGCACCCCTTCTGTCACGCATTTTCTTTACGTCTGGTTGCCCGTATGGCTACCGAGGCATCTAAGGTATCCGCACACTTGCCAGTACTTACATACATCAATCTATACATGCAAGGTATATACCGGCATACATATCATATACGTATAAGCAGCCAAGAGAGGAGGTATGTTGCTGTAGGCGTAGCTATAGGCTGATGAGCAAGCGAGCACACACGCTCGCTCTGGCCAGCAGGTATTATGGCATGCAATGTAGGTAGACGGTGTGCTCCACGAATTCGACACGCCCTCCTGCACTCCCATTTTTTTTTTTCCTGACGGCTTCGTGGGCAAACTTTAAATTCGTGCATGGAGCAGCCAGCCTTGGCTATCTGATGCCGGCAGAGGGGTAGGTACCTATACGTAACCACTCTGCCTAGGTTTCCACCTGATCGTGGGAATGCACACTTCCGCGTTATTTATTACTACCTAACTATAGGTATCAATGTCACTACAGCATGGAGGCTCTTTTTGCAGCTACAGCACTCCTACAGGAATGTATGTCGGGGTCGTGTCGGAGTTGGGGAAAACTACCCACCTACCCACCTACCTAAGGTACCTAACAGACTTACTCGCGTGCTGTACTCATATATGTCATGTGAAATCTCCCCGTACTATAGACGTAGAGGTAGGTACCTGATGTTTTCGATGCCTAACCAGGGCAAGTACCTAGATAGGTACCTACCTACATCAATTAGCTTGGGTTCCGCGATAGAGGTACCTCTTACTGCGGCAGGCAGAATAGGAATTTGGTACCTCCGGATGCTCGAGGTCGTCGACTAGAATCACGGTCCGCTAACTAGCTGCAGCGCCCAGCCTGCGACCAGTGGTAAGCGAGCTAGGGAGCATGTACCCAATGGATGCTGTCCGTCTATAGGCGCTTCGCATCGGGGCCTGCTAGTGCGTGAGTGCACTGTGTATAGGTACTGTCTTATGCAAACCAACCTGCATAGGTACCTACCTACCTAAGGAAGAGCTCAGGAGGAGAGGAGCAAAATAAAAGAAATAGACAAATATACAAATATAAGGAAAACAGGAAAATATAAGAAAACAACTTTAGTAACCACCAGTCCACATTTTAACGAAAAATAATAATCAAGCTAAAGGATAGAAATAAAAATTTTAATCACCCACGAGAATAAATAAGCAATAAGCAACAGCAGACAAACTAGGTGAGGAAGGAAGGAAGGAAGGAGGTACCGAAGAGAAGCTAGAAAAGGACATCCTTACCAACGCCGCCTTCGATCTTCTCCTTGTTTTCCTCCCCCTTCTTTTCCATGCTACTCTCTCCTCTTGTCTGTCTTCGATCAACGTCGTCTTCATCCCTCTTGTCGCCATCACAATACGCCACCAGACCACCACGATTCCGCACGGTGAACAGCACCCTCCGACCTGTGTCCGTCCAGATCCCGTCTCAGAGCAGATAAATCGACCTTTGGTCCTCCTAACTGCCCATCCATCCACCCACACACATAACGCAACACACCCCCCGACCAATCGACCACACCACGCCCATCCGCATAATCAGTTATTCGGACGCCAAACCGTCAATAATCATCCCCTCCCCTGTCCACTTAGGAAATTCGCAGAACGACTCACGAGACAAGTCCCCTCCCCACTCTCCCACCTAGACCTTTCCTTTGCTACCTAAGGTACACACACATACCCTAGGCGGGCACGGTCAGACGAAGGAGGAGCCTTACTACTCTTCTATTTACCTGCTTGTTTTCCAGTTCGAGCCCAAAGCCGGCAAGCAAAAAGCAAGCAAGCAGGGAACCCGAGCACAGGCATCGAGAGGGGGAAAAACTATCTGATTTTTCTCTCGTGACCGCCGACTCAACCCAGCCCACGCACGTCCCGCCCCGGGCCACGATAATCCCCATCCACCTTCGTCTTGTGACCTTCCACAAATCTCTCTCCCCTACAGCGCATCACCCCCGATCTCGGATTCTCTCCAATAGATATCCCTCGCAGCATCGCCATAAATTCGCTCGAAATCGTCTGCCTCTCCTTCCTCCCGACCCCTCCCAGTCCGTCATCATCCAACATCATCTCATCACTGTTCCGTCAGTTCTTGTCTCTTAGAGTTTCCGGCAACCTCGACACCACCTTCCAAGTCTTCTCCGACCTACCTTCGCCCATCTTCTATACCCACGGCATCCACAACCCTGTACATACATACAACCACCAACCACCATCATGTCTGCTCGATTCACGTTCCGTCTTGTTCGATCAGCGACCCCCTTGGTCACGGGCCGTATATCTTCCCCTTTGGCCCGAACTCTGCCTGGCGTCCACCGAGCCTTCAGCCAGTCCACCGTTCGCGCCCGAAGCGATGTAGTTCGCGAGACTGAGATCCCCGTGTCTGTCTATTCGCCCGACTCCAAAGGGTCTGCCGGCTCCACGAGTGATCACTTCAGCATCCCCGTCAACCGTGACGATGCTAAGCCCAAGCCGTTCCCTCCCCCGGAGGAGACCGAGGTTGTGCCCCTAAACAAGACTGTATACCGTCAGATGCCACCTACGTTGCAGAAGATGACGGTGATGGACAAGGTTGTCATTGTTACTGGGTACGTTTGGACCAAACATACCTTCCCGTTCCGAACTTGACTTGCTAACCTGTGGGATGTAGAGGTGCTCGTGGTCTCGGAAACCATATGGCTCGAGCTTGTGCTGAGGCAGGTGCTAAGGCGCTGGTGATCTTCGACGCGAATCAGGAACTGGGTGACGAGTCGGCTGCGGAATTACACCAGAAGAGTGGCCTCCCTGTTTCGTTCTTCAAGGTGGATGTTCGGGATGGCGCCGCCATTAACGCTGCGGTCGACGCCGTTGTCGAGACCTACGGCGCGCCTGATGTGCTCATCAACAGTGCTGGCATCGCTGATTCCAACATCAAGGCCGAGACCTACGACCCCGCCATGTTCCGTCGATTGATCGATATCAACCTGACTGGCTCGTTCCTGATGAGCCAGGCGGTCGGACGTGCCATGATGGCCGCCGGCAAGCCCGGGTCCATCGTTCTCGTCGCCAGCATGAGCGGTAGCATCGTCAACTACCCCCAGGAGCAGTCGTGCTACAATGCGTCCAAGGCCGGCGTCATCCAGTTCGGCAAGTCGCTTGCCGCCGAGTGGGCCAAGTACAACATCCGTGTCAACTGTATCTCCCCTGGATACATGGACACGGCCCTGAACCGCGTGCCTGCCCTCGAGGCGCAGAAAAAGATCTGGAGGTCCTTGACCCCCCAGGCTCGTCTCGGAAACGTCGACGAGCTGAACGGTCTCTGCGTCTTCCTAGCTAGCGATGCCAGCAGCTTCGTGACGGGCGCCAACGTCGCCATCGACGGTGGCTACACGTGCTACTAGAGCGGTCATGAACTGCTCGGGGTCCCGACACGGCGATGCGTCCCAGATAAGTAGTGCAGAACGGTGTAACGGAGGTGCTTGCGGCTCGATTTAATTTCCATTTAGCCGGAACTCGTACTACGTGGCAGCACTAGGTGGTTGGAGCCGGGAGCAGGCAATTCGAGCATCTCTTATTTGATGCGGGGAAGGGTCCCTGGACACTACCTCGGGTGCAGTCGCGGGTGTGGTTACGTTGCGTTTTCGCATTGCGTGCCTGATGGCACTGTCGCGACGACGAACAGTTTCCTCGTTCCCTTCACTGGTCCCGGGTGCATTTCGAAACCTTCGCGGTGTCCAATCCAACGCGGGGAGCCTGGTCGCACACCATTCTACGCCACGCGTCTGGCACCGCTGTTCGGAACCCCCCCCCCCTTCTTCTGTACATTCGGAGTCGGTTGGGTTTACGGGCTCTGACGCGCGCGGCTCTTTGCATTCTGTTTCATTTATTCGGCCTCTCTTTTCCTTCTCTCTTGTTCGGATGGGCGCATCATGATCAGTCCATTCTGCACACACACGACATAGATCACACATCCTACGATGCGGATAACCTACGTTGGATTTTTGATCATTTCGGGAAAAAAAAACTCGGGGTCGGGTTTGTCGACGCACACGCGGAAAGCAACGGGGAAAAAAAAAGAATTGAAAAGGGGGGACTGACGCGAGGTTTGATACCATGATAGAGGGGAACATGAGGAAAGACGCCCGGTTTTTGTCGGCTACGTTTTTGATGAGACGGGACACGAGGGTCAGTATCCTGTGTGCCCATAGAGAGAGGACCGCTAGACCTCACCCGACGGACTCTTACAACGCCCAGGGTGAAATGATGACGGCCATTCTTCACGGGGGCCTGTATACGAATGGTTTTAGATATGAACGGTCCGACAAGCAGGACAGGCGGAGCAGCTGGTCTCATCCTGTCTATGGTCGGCGCAGGGTCGCAGAGTGCACGGAATGTAACCGATGTGTCTGCTAGTACCTGCTGCTCTGGACTCGCACCGGCTTCGTGACCAGTGTCCTAATGCTTAGATCCATAGTAGGCGTGTGTTGTGTATAGTCAGTCCTTGCCAGGCTCGACACAGCCAAGTGAGTGCGCGCGTGTGTGTGTGACCTTTATTTATCCTTACCGAAGCTACCGTCGTCGCGTCTGGCGCGTCGCGTAGTGTAGGCGCGTTGTAAAGTAAGCGTCTACGTGCTCTAGAGCACTCGTCTGATCTGGCGAGGAGCATTACGCGCACACCTACTCGCGGCGAATTCCTCGGCCGAGCCCGCAAAGGGGGAGCGAGCGGGTGGTGCGTAGACGTCTACCAGAGGGGTATTGGGAGCAGGTAGGTAGGTCGGTGGGTGGGTGGGTGTCCAGCGCTTGCTCCTCTTCTCCCCCTGGGACGCCTGCGTGGCGTGGGATACATAGATGTGTATATATATATATATATATATATATACCTAGGTAGGCAGGCAGGCAGGTATTGGGCATCGTCTACATTGCGCACAGGAGCTGACGAGCGCAGTGCCCGTCCGAGTTATCTGCGAACACGCTCCTGCGCCCCCCTTTCCCCCTCCCCCTCCACTATCTCTCTGTCTGTCTGTCTGTCTGTCTCTTCGCACACAACGCGCCTACTTACCCACGTATTACTCACACGCGTTACGCAGGGCTGGTAAAACCAGACACCCCCCCCCCCCCTCCCCTTTGGCTCTCCTCCTCCCCTTTGGCTCTCCTCCTCCCCGCGATCTTACCCCTCCCCCCCCCCCGGTGCCCGCGCGCCGAGCCGGAGCCGCAGCTAGCTAGCTAGCGGGCGTCCTGAGACTGCGAAACGCAAGCGTCGCGGCGCCCCCTCCTCTCCCCGCGCCAATCGGCCCTGCCTGCGCTGCCGCACGTGCAGCCGGTCCCCCCCCACCCCTGGACCTGGACCGGGCCGAGCGAGGCCGCGGCGCGGTCGCGGCCGGTCCGGGGCGCGGGCGGTGGGTGGCTACCTACCTACCTAACCTACCTCCTAGGTATCTACGGTTTTACTTCTTACACGGCTCCGCGGGCATGTACGCGCATTCGGACAGACACACTCACACGAGAATGCGTCACTTGCGTTGGCACTCCTGCTCTAGGTATTTTCTTATTCTCCCCTTCACCTGTCTCTAACACCCTCTCTCTCTCTCTCTCTCTCTCGCTTTCGATTCTTGTCCCGCGTTATAACTCGTCGCCCGTCGCGCGTCGCCTCAGCTACCCAGTTTTACCTAGCGCAAGGCATGGAACCCCTAGGTATATCACGCCTGCCTCCCCACGTTCTCTTCTCCCCTTGCGCGCACAGCACATACCTACACGGGCCGCGGGACGGACAGAGGAATAAAGGGGCAAAGGGGGGGGGGGGGGGGATATTTATGCAAACGCGTGGCACGCTGCGCTTCGCTTCGCTTCAGAGAAGCGTCTGGTCTAGCGAAGATGTCTTCTTTTTCTCCCGTTTCTCTCGTCTCACCTAGCTCTCTACATAATGTAGATTTCCGATGGGGGGGGGGATGCCGAGCGTCCCGCGGGAACAAGAGAGTGAGGGAGAGGGCGGAAGGGCGGGAAAGTTGTTTGGTCCGGGTGACGGTGGTATCGTATCACTATGTACAAATGTAAGGACATCGCGTACAGGTAAGGGGGTAAAGGGTGGTAGCGGTATCAGGGCTTAGGTAAAAATGCTCTGCCCGTACTCCCACCGCCTTGCTCATATTGTCTCTCGCTCCTCTCCCCGCGTGTGGCTCTCCCACGGTCTCTGTAGGCTTGACAATATAGAACAACAAACACTCTCTATCGATCGAAGGTGGGCTAGAAAGAAATATACCTCGACCGCTGCTGGTTTAGGCTCGACAACCCTCCCACACGCTGTCAACGGGCCGAAAATTATTCAAGCCTCCCCCCCAGAGTCGGAAACTCCCACTATTCCAAACCTTTTTTTTTCTTATCATCGATATATGAAGGACCTTGCTTTCGGGCGTCTTATTGGCCCTTGTTAGCTTTCTCTTCTAACCGTGCCTCCCTAGCTGCTTTAACGAGAGGAGATAGTGACGACAAATCTACGCAGGATTTCATGAATTCGTGCTGTAGTCGGGTTAGCTTCCGACACCGAGTGGTGAGTGAGACCGAAAAAGAAGACAGAAAATCGACAAAGTTAAAAGCGGGACGGCCAGCAGGGAAGAGGGACAAATATGACGACGTACCCGTAATAGGTCGTGAGCGCTCGCCCTCTTCTCCGGGTCTACCTTCAGAGCGAAGTACAGGAAATCCCGGAAGACGGCGGACAAGTTGTGCTCTTCCTTGATCTGGGGCGTGCCGTTGGTGGCGATCAACCACAGCGCACGGAGTGGCGATTCCGTGAGGTACGGGGGCTCGCCCTCTATCATCTCGATGGCCATGATACCCAAGGACCAGATGTCGACCTTCCTCCCGTATTCCTTCCTGGTGACAACTTCCGGTGCCATCCAGTACGGCGTGCCGACCATCGTGGTGCGCTTGTTGTGGGCTTCGTTGATTTGGGCGCAGAAGCCGAAATCAGCTAGAGGGAAAAGGAGAAGAAGAAAAAATACAGGTCAGTCCTTGGCCTCGGCAGATTCGAAGTGGGGAGGGAGACGAGGAACGGGATATCATCTTACTGAGCTTAATGTTACCATCTAGCGATAGTAGGATATTATCGGACTTGATGTCTCGGTGGATGACCCCTTTGGAATGCAAATGCTGCAGGCCTTTCAGCGTCTCCCGGCACACCGAGGCGATCTGACCCTCCGTCATTATATTAAATGTGACGACGTCCGTCAAACTGCCGCCTTCCATGAACTCCATGATTACCCATAATTCACCTCCGCACAGGTAGCTATCTATGAAATTAACTATGTTCGGATGCGAGCTCTCCTTCATGACCAGGATCTCGTTGATGATCAGGTCCTTCTTAGGCTGCTGCTCCAGGTTCATCTGCTTGATAGCCACGAGCCGGTTCGACCCTCGCTCGTGGCCAGTAAATACGCCCCCGGACGCGCCCTGCCCGATCTTGGTGAAGCCGCGGTATATCTCGCGGGGGTCGCCTTCTGAGCAGATGCGCCTCAGCGCTGCCGCCACGTCTATGGTCGTGCTCTGTCGCGGTCGGTTGCGGGGGCGTGACTGGGCCGGGGGGCCGACGCGTCCGGGCTGAGGCGCGCCGCCGACGCCATTGGCCTCCGGCGGGCGGCCCATCTGGTGCTGCGAATTCGAGGCGATCGGCTGAGAGGCTGCTTGTTTGATGCTCGCCGACCTGCTCAGCTGACCCTTCATAGCCGCCTGGGCCTGGGCCATGGCTTGCTCCTGCTGCTGCTGCATCAGCTGATGCTGATACGCCGCTTGGGCCGCGGGCGATGGCTGGCCGGGGGGCGAGTAGGCCTGACTTCCGTTGGCTCGTGAGTTGGATCTCGACCGGTGCTCCTCGGGGAGCATGGGAACGCCCTCCTTCGCCGGCTGGGGGTAACCACCACTCGCCAGGTGCACGTCTTCGCCGGCCTGCGCCATGCCGATACCCGAGTCCTTAGCAGGATATGACAGCTGCTGCTGTGTGGTCCGCGTCTGCATGGAAACGGGCGGTTTCGGCGCAGGTCGACTGGGCTGCAAGTTGGAAAGGTCCTTCATGGAGTGCAGCGCCGGGCTCTTTCCGGGTACAGGTACCGGAGGAGGAGCGCGGGGGTTCTCAAAGGTGCCTTCATTATTCACGATTGGAAATCTCGGACTTGCGGGTGGACTGATCATAGGTGACATACCCGCATAGTTTGACGCATACATGCCGGGGGATGTTGCTATTCCACCGGGGGGGCCGCGCAGTTCCGGGGCTCTCACATCATGAAACTTCTCGAGCACCTGATCCTCGTGCGGCTTCTCCGTCGTTTCCTTGTAGAACGTGACGATATCCGCGATCATCTGCGGGTTCTCCCTCCGAGCATTTTCTGGAATCCCGCTCTCGTTTATGAGACGCTGCCATTCCTTGGGCAAGCCCTGCGGATGCGGTGGTCAGCATCGTCACAAGGAGGGGGTGGGGGGAACCTCTACCGGTTCGCGCAGATGGTGTGGATGAGCCAATATGTGAGTTGCGGAGAGAGATGAAGAGAGAGAGAGGCAAGGAGAGGAGGGGGGAAGAAATCGGTTGGGGAGACAAACCGTGAATTGACCAGTGGAACTATCGTAGCCGACGTGAGTTAGGTGAACCGGATTCTCTGGCGCCGAGATGACGGGCTTCTTGGGCGACCCCACCAGGGTGCTCATGAGGCCGGAGAAGCCCGACTTCTTCCTCAGGACGCCTGGCCCCTTGAGTTCTTTCCCCTCATCCGAGTATCGCTTCGGAGGGGCGACCTGGGTTTCGTTGACACGTGCGCCATGGGACTTCTCCGACATGTTGGTGTCGAGGGCAGAGAAGCTGGCCGAGTGTCGCAAGGGGGGACTCATTCCACTCGGGTCGGGGCTCGTGTTCGAGGGCGGGGCGTGCGATGGCGGCGGTAAGGGCGGCGGCGCGGTACGGGGATGAGGAGGGTGCCGGGGGTAGGCGGGCGACTTGGCGGCGTCGAAATGGCTGAGGATCGAGTTGCCGTCAAAGGGCGCACCGACGAATTCCTCGGGCGTTTGGGACGAGAGGGGTTGGTGGAATTGGGAGCCGGACAAACGCTGATCGCCCGACGCCGAATGCCCCAGGCCAATGGCGACGCCGATTCCAGTCCCAATTCGCGCTCCGTCGGCGGCGACGGGGGATGCGTTGTTTTTGCCTTTGCTTCGGCGCTTCCTGTCGCTGTCGCTCTTGCTCTTGCCCTTGCTCTTGCCGGTGTTGGCGGTGGCGGAGTTGTTGACGTTGGCGTCGGCGTTGTAGTGGACGGCAGACGAAGCTAGATGGTGGGTGGGCGAGAAGGTGGACGGCAAAAATTGGCCGGGATGGAAATCGGGGGAGGAATGGCTGTTGTTGCTAGTGCCGGCGGCAGCGAGGGCGGCAGCAGGCGTAGCCGCTGCGATAGGAGTGGTGGTAGCACCTGGAGGCAGCGGACGGGGCGATGGCGAGTAGGAATGGCGGGAGGAGGAAGAGGAGGAGGAAGAGTAGTAGTTGTAGTAGTTGCTGCTCGACGCGTTGTTATAGATACTAATGGCGTTGCCGGCAACGCTGGCCGGTGCTGTCGTAGCGGCGGGAGAAGTAGCAGTGGTGGCAGCAGTGGCAGCGATGGAGGTGGTAGTGGTAAAGGTGGTGGTGGTGGTAGAGGTGGTGGTGGTAGAGGTGGTGGAGGTGGCGGTACTCCTGCTGTGTGGAGCGCTTGGAGCTCGCTTCAGACTCGTGGAGCTTCGTTTGCTCTTGAGCGATTGGGCGTCAAAGCGACCATCGGCGGTGAGGGAGAAGCTGTGGCCGTGATGGTGAGAGGGAGGCTTCTTAGTAAGTCTGTTCCGGCGCTGCTGCAGGTTATTGTCGTCGACGGAAGCCTTGGAACTATGGCTGTCCATCTCTCTCTACCTTGAACAGGTAGATAAAATAAAAATAAAAAAGATCGGAAAAATAAGACAGATGGGTTCCCCCCCCTGGGCCCTTCTTTCTGGTATTTGTTTTATTTTAAACGAAGGGGGGGGCCAGAGAGATGGATGGGTGGGCGGGCTGGCCCTTTGGCCTTTCTTTTTTTCCTTGTTCTCTTCGCGCTCGCTTTCCTCCTTCTTTTCGCTCTCTCTCTCTCTCGCGCGTTCGCGGTCCCCTCTTTTCTTTTTCTTTTTCCTTTCCGTTGTCTTCACTTGGACAATTAAAAAAGTAGATTGAATGGGTCGACCGATGAAACCATGGCTGACGAGACTACCTGGAGAAAACACCCGATGGCTGTCGTTCTCAGTAAGTAGTAGGTATGTAGTTGGTAGTGGCGGTGGTGGTGGAGATGGAGGGGAGGGAGGGTCCGGTGGAGGGGTGCCACAAATTGTGCTGCGTACGGCACGTATGAGGTATGTGTGTGTGGGAGGGAGGTCATGTACAGCGGTATGTGTAGGTACCTCTAAGGTGTGTGCCTTGTGTGCGTCGTTGTGCGTATCGGTGTCATCAAGTACGTACAGTATGCATTGCAGAGTCGAGGACGCAGGTGTGCCGGGATGGGGTACCTGTGATGTACGTATAACTAGGCGTAAGGCGCCCAGTGTGTGTGAGCATCTGGTTGCTGTGTGGCGTCTGTGGGCGCAGAGGGCAGTGGAGGAGGGCAGGGTAGGGCAGGTTACGCATGGGAAATGCGAGCGAGCGCGTAGGAGAGGAAAAAGAGAAGAGAGAGGAGGGAGGAGGGAGGGGAGAGAGAGACAGGGAGATTGATATGGGGGCCGCCTAGGTTCAAGATGGATCACGTAGGTAGATTTACGTAGCAGGTCGATGGTGTACGGATGCACGCCTGTATGCGGCGATGCTCGTTGGTAGGCCGGGAGGCAAGTACCTAGGGTATTATACATAGAGGTAGGTATCTAAGATAGGTCGAGGTAGCAGGCTACGCACCCAGCCTGATGTTGTAGGGCGTGGCATGGCATGGCATGTCACGGATTGACGGGTGCCCATGTTAGCGCCCACCACATTCGACGACGGCATAGGTGCCGACCTATATTTGCAGTCGAGCAAGTAGAACTAAGGTACACCCACGGAAAAAAAGCGTCGAGCGAACACTGAGAGGAAAGCACTCTATACCGAATCTCAGATTAGGCGTAGTAGCTTGGTCAGCAAAGGATAAGGTATAGGTTCAGGTAGGCAGAGGTAAGTGCATGTATGTAACCTTTCCACTTAAGCATATACAGACAACCTGCGTACTGAACCTACGCGCCTACCCACCTCCCACCTAACCTGCCAGGTACCTAAGGTAGGTAGGTACCTAGGTAGGTTAGAGGTATCTTCCAAAATACCCGATGGTTATAGCGTCGGTACCCATACTCATACGTATAAACGCGCAGAGCGCAGATGGCCTATATATAGGTAAGTATACAATACATACATATGTTATTAATCTGTAAGTATAGGTAGGTGTAGGTACCTAACCTGCGTATTCGGCTGGGGGATGCAATCCCATTAGAGGGGTGTCGAAGGCAGTGGGAAATACTAAGAGGTACCTGCCTGCCTCGTCTAGGGCAAGTTCTGCTCCCGCTATCTTCATGTGTCGCCTTCAAGATTTTCCTATTACCTAGGCTCCATATCACGTTTCGCACCAGCATTGCATCATTCAATCTACCTAACGATCGATGTTCGATGTGCCCTAAGATAGGTACCTACCTATCTATCCTAGGCTTCATAGCGGATCGTTACTGGATCCTACATGTACCTGAGGCAGGCAGGTAGGTATCTGCACCCTACTGCGGACGCAGACGGTAACAGGTAACTTGGGGGTGCACGCAAGGCAGTTCCCAAATGTTGTTTCTAGCCGCATCGGAACTTACCATAACTATCCCTCGCGATCGCGAGATTTGGTGAGGTAGCGGGCTGCCGGGATGGGGCTTGTTGCCGGTTCCGAACGCGCAGTGGCTGTTCGGTGGACAAGAACATCTCGTATGGTGTCACAAGGTGTCCGTGGGGGGGGGGGGGGATGTATGTATGTATGTGCCTACCTATCTCAGGTTGGTGGTGTGGGCAAGACACCGTACCTGTAGGCAGTTGAGCCTCTAGATATTAGAGCCCGGAATCATGTGGCAACCCAGACATTGAAGGAGGGGGGGGGGGGAGGGGGGGGGCGCACTCTCCCCTCCACCAAACACGTACTCAGGAAACTCGAACAGTGCCATTGAACGTGAGGCTAGACCGTTTTCACCCTCAGACGGCCCCCTCTCCTCCTGGGTTGAGCATCCCAGGTGCGCATACGCAGGATACGAACCTGGTTAACTTGCCTGGGGTATATAACTATCCCATTGAACACCGGACCTCGGACACTTAATCATGCCTGCATGTCGGTTCTCATAGAGGTGCTAAGGTACCTACCTCCTAGGCTGCTTGCTTGCTTCCCGTGTGCCCAGGTGGGCATGTACCTACCTCTCATACGCTTGCGGACGTATCTTGCAGAGATCGGCATGTGCACATTTGGATACATTGGATAATACGCATCTTGACGATGAGGCGGGCGTCTCTTCAGATCAGTGGAAATTGCCATACCCAGACCTGGCCGTAGGCTGGTAAGGATACCCAATACCCAATACCTCTATGGCTTTGTGGATAACGTGCGGGGACCGTGTGTGGCAGCTGTGGATACGGTAGGTGTAGTCTCGTAGGTACCTAGATACCTACCTAACCTAGGAGAGGTACCTCGTGGCCTAACGTATTTGGGCAGCGCCCGCGCAGATTTCCGGTGTCTGTTGGCTGCTAAGCTAGTATAAGAGGGACTATAATAACTGCCGGCGGCTGGCCCGAGCCCATTCCGCTGGCGATACTTGCGACGCGATACAGATACGTAGGTAGGTAGGTAGTTGTTTTCAGGTTGGGTTGACCAGTTGACCATACCCACGCGTTACCATCGATCCAACTATTTTGGTTTTTTTTTCCCGCATGCATCTACCTACCTGTGTCTGTATGTGTATCCGCATACTCATAGGCCTGGTAGGCCGGCCTCTGACGCCTATCGGGTTTGGGTTGCCATGTTGCCTACCTAACCTCAGGTAGTAAAGTACACACATGCCAAGGTTGGTCGTCTACCAGGTAACTTAGGTTAGGTACCTGCCCAAGGCTACAGGTAAGTATACCGCGTGTTAGCGATGCGTCATATTCTCTGGTTATTGCGTCGGTTCAATTTAGGCACTTCGGGTTGTGCAGGCTTTCGGGGATGGCGCAAGCAACTCCCTTCCTATCGCATCTTAGCTTGTCACCAAGATTTCTCGTGGCATTTTAGCGGCAATGCAGCAAGACATCGTTCCCTTATCTCGCGATTCAGAGGTAGAGGTAGGTAGGTAGATACCTTAGGTACCTAAGCAGTACCTACAAGAGGTAGGTGATATCTCAAGGTATACGTAGGTATATGCACTGGATCCGTACGGCGTGGACTTGGGAATCGTTGTTATACTCAATGGACAATAACATTGTTTGCCGTGCCCATGAATGTAAGTCGCCCCGCCAGCCTGGCACTAAGCCACTACGCACTATGGCACTATGCGCCGGGACGGAAAACGACGTGTAATTGGAAATGCGGACGTACCTCTTCACATCGGCGCTCACTAGCAGTGTATCCATGATTATATCTAACCTACCTAAGTACCTAGGTACCTACCTATGCATGCACCATACCTAGAGGCGGGAAGCGTTACCTATGCACTTCCAGAAGTGCCCAAGGAGTGATTCACTATTGGTATACACCTGCCAGGCAATCTATCCGTATATGTCTCTTCGTATATGCCATGAACTGCAATTAAGCTGTGTGCATTTCATGTACATATGTCTAAAGCAGGTATCGTCAGCGAGCTGGAACAGGGGGGGTACCCGAGAAGTTGCGGCTGCTCTAATTAGCCACATGGCTGAGCCGGCCTGGCATCCATTCGCTGGTCGAGAGACAGTGGCCTTATCTCCTATAGTTCCGCAGCTAAATGTCCGGCCCGCTGGAGAAGCCACCGGACTTGGCTTAATAGTCTCAGCGCGGAATCCCACAATTGGTCTCGAGGCCTTGGCTATCCACTCGGTAGTAAGTTGGAAGTAGTCCCTCGATGATCGTCTAGTCTAGTCGCTTCTAACCTTCCTTCTACCGCGTACCGAGTAACTAGACGGAACCGGTTGTAGACATAGGTACCTACCTGCCTTGGGTACCTCTAGCCAGCACCCAACAGGTCCGTCCCCAACTCGAGGTAGGCATCTAGATATTCTAGGTGATCCTATACTAACGCCACCAAACTGTCTTGAAAAGCCGAGCCCTGATATGCTACGTGAAATTAAACAAGTCTGATTTCTAAGGGGCCCAGTTGTCTTGCTACTACCACCCACACCTTTGCCCCGAAGGGTCCGTGTCCGTGTCGTGATTTGAGATCAACACGTACCTACCTCTTCTTACATGGGTGATGGAGGTAACGCGTGTACGTAGGAGCTACGTTAGGAGGTAGGTTACCTAAGTACCTAAGTCAATTACGACTACACCTCGCGAGATGGCAGAGAGAGGTCGGACCAAAGTCATCCTACAACATACCTAACAAGTGCCGGGGAGGCACCTATGCGCGATATTGATATAACGCGTACCTAAGCATAGGGGGCACCTGCAGGCAGGACTCCCGGTCGGTACCTAAGGCAGTTAAGGCTGGAACGGTAGGCATCTCTCGTACATGCGTCAATACACACCTGAAGCGGGAGAAATGTAGGCACCTGTAGGTACCTACCTCCTACCTACCGACACCTGCGGCCAGGACGTCCCCAAGCACCGAGTTGGGTAGGATCCGGTGAGCGGGTGTGTATGCATGTGTGTAGGCATGTATGCCGCAACGTGTGGAAGCTATCCACACACATGCGGCAGCTTGACAAGCCATTTTGCGCTTCTTGTTTCATTCGAGTCTTATAACCTAAAGAGATCCCAAGAGGTTGACAGCTCTAGTCCCGTGGACTTTTTGGGTGGGGAGGGAAGAGGGAGCTTCGCAAAGGAATTGAATTCCACATGGGATTAATCAACCCGTCTCTCTCTTCTGTCTCTGAAACGTACCTAGGTAGGTAAGGTACCTAAGGTATGGAGGGGATTGGGGCACGGAAGAGGTACCCTGGATATCCCTTCCCTCCTCGCCCTAGCCATACGAGATATGCAAGAGGAGGTATACAGGTAGGTAATGCACGCCTTGCATATGCTTGACGACTGGAAGAGTTGCATTTGACGCCCGCCTCGCTCATTGGTCGCTCCCCACATCACTTTAGAGCCTCTCAGTCGCCAGTCGCTGTCTTTCCACCACCACGCCATATCGAATCACGAGATGTAATTGGCCCTTACGTCGCTTTTGGGAGACGTACTCGACGCATTTGTCTATTCCCGGCCCCTTTCGCGTCAATAGCTTGAGGCTTTTTTTTTTCTTCTTCTTCCGTCCAACGCTAGGTGGCTGCTAGGCAGTGAACCTATCAGTGTCAAACACAGGCTTCGCTGCCAATGCACATTCTTCAATTGCGGAAACCAAGAGTGACATATCTATCCTCTCTACTCGTCCATTGGCTTTCAGGGTTGCTGGTAGGTATTTGGTTGCGACGTCTTCAGGTCGTAGGAATTGCCCCAATCAACTCTTTAGGATCTCCTCGACAGACTAACCAAACCAACCCTCTCCCTACTCATCCCCGTGCCAGTTCGGCAACACGCTCGCCAACCTGGTAGCAGTGCCCCGTCAGCTACCAATTATCGGTTTGCTGCCAACTTTACCAAATTATGGACTCCCCCTTCTGCCTAACTAACTACCTACCTGTCACCCAATGGTCCCGGGTCGCCCCGGTCACTCATAGTTGATACGATTGCCAACTTCAAGAGGGCTCATTGCAGGGTGGGAAATATCAGTGGACTGATTTGTAACCCGGATAGATGGTTGACTACACATGCTGTCTATTGCAACGGGAGGCCAACAAGAAAAAAGGCACCATCGGCTGTTTGCAGGCGATGCTGCTCGTGATGGGTTCTTGATAGGCTTAAGGATAGCTACATCCAACTGTATACTATCTAGGTACGTAAGAGACCATACGCGTGACAGGCTAGTCTATGTCAAACATCATTGTTAAATGCTTACGCCAGCTCCCGATCTTCGAGCCAGTCCCTGATATTCGAATGCATATGCAGGTCTCAGGTCTCAGCACAATTTCTTTCCCAGCCTTACTGTAATATGGAACTGATCTCTGCCCAGACACGTGCGATAAACGCGCGGTCCGTACTTGTCCCCTTACATACTCTTATCTTCACCAAAAACCGGGTATCTATAAGCGCATAGCTTAGTCTTCTAGAACTGCCACCCAGCTCTCGGGAAGCAGACAGGCACTAAGTCAACCGGACAAATGAATTACCGTCTGCCCTCGTGACCGGCCCATGACTCGCTCTCAAACCCGAGTCATGCAGAAACCCTTACTAGCTGAAGCGGTAATATTCCGCCCCCCTTCTCCACATCCTTTATACTGAAGACATTTGCGATATAAACCAATGAGATGGTTAGCTACCAGCTTCATGGCTATCGGAGACAATGCGCAAAGCAAGAACCTAGGAAAGGATGAAGTGGGAGTGATCTTCACCAAACTTAAGGAGTGAAGTATAAACGGAAAGGCAACCCTGGAAGAAATTCTAAAGGTTATAGATAGACGGGCCTAACAGAGTTCCTTTGAGAGCTTCTCGCTAAGCTTCTTTGCTCCCTTGTTACGGTTGATGTAAGAGGAGCTTGGGATTTGACGATGATGGCCAATCTCCCTCGCTGTGAGGCGGATTCCTTACCGTCGATAGTGGATGTAGTCTCTGACCTTCTTGTATGTGGCTTATAGGATCTGTGTAGAGTTCCGTAGGAGTCTCCCCATCGCCGAGCCTGCTGTTCTTCTGGGCACCAGGCCGCTTCATGCGTTTGGGATGGATGAGCCGTGAAGAAGCGGCAAATAGTAGATGGGGTTGCTAATGATTCCCACGTCGAATTTAGGTGTCGTGCTATACCTATACGAAGCCAGAGGACCCTACTGGAAACCTGCCCTCTGTACCGAGGCAGGCCACGGAACGATACGGGGTACGGGTAGGGTCTTAATGTAGGTACCTAGGTGGTGGGCGGCGGGAGGGGATATCTTGGGAAGCTGGGCCAGGTCCAGGAGCGCAGTTAGTAGGGCCTTGGAAAGATCCGCGCCAACAGAAAAAGGCAGTCTCTTCTTCGTGGGTTCCGTAGGTAGGTAGGTACCTAAGGTAGTAGCTGAGGGTTAGAGGTACCTAAGTTATGTACCTACTACCTACGGAGACTGGCAATGGCGGTGTATGCTAAGGCAGGTATCCAGGTACCTACCTGATGTCCGTAGGTATTGGACAATGTTTAAGTCTATAGCGTGTTCTTCTTGTGGCTTGAACCGCAGTTATAGATGTAGGTAGGTACCTAGGTACCTAAGGCACAAATCCTGAGTACGTAATCGGTGGGCAGATGGTGATCCCATCCCATCTGCGGCAAGGTGGTGGAAGGCGTCACCGTCGGGTTGGGTTCGACAGGCAAGGCTGAATCAGAAGGAAGCAACGATGGGGCCATGTGGGGTTGCGGTGTGGGGAGGAGGAGAGAAATCGAGAGGACGGAGCCGAGCAAGTACCCAAGTACCTGGGCAGGTACGCTGGGTGCCGGAGTGGCAAGAAAAAGAAACCTGCCTTTGGCCACATCTGTCCTTTCCCACTGCTGAGGGGGAAAAGACGTAGGGACGGGTGTACCCTGCAGTACAGAACTACGTGTGACGGTACCTGTGTTATATGCATGCAGGTACTAAGGTTGTCACAGCAGGAGCCCCCTTTCCCCGTAGCTTCGGATCCCTAGACAGCGAGGGCAGAGACAGAGAGACACGGAAGGAAGAACTCTAGAAGAGCACGAAGGGCGCGCAGGGAAAGAGGTAGGTATTAGTCAACACCGGGGGGCCAACCAATTTGGCCCATCAAACCTGGGACCGCCTAGCCTCTGATACTGGCCTCTGATACGGCAGCTGCTCGGCCGGGTCAGGGTTGGCAAGTACCAGCTGGAGAAAACTTCCACCTCACCCTTTCCCGAGCCCAGTCCCCACGGCCTCATCCACGATTCCGATTACGACTTTCGGGAGCTCGACCACCTCAACGAAAAAAAAAAAAAGATACACTCCCCCCAAAAACACATATCCTCTTATCCGTCTCTCCCTGTCCTCCCTACCTCTACCCATTGCAACCTCTACGCTCACATCATATCATCATATCTCCTACCACTCGCAATTGTTCCCGCCAGCAATTGTTACCCCAAGCACAGTTGTTGTGTACCGTACCACAAACCTGTCTCGCTTCCCCTACGCAGGGCCCTATTATCTTCCCTCTCTGCACCCACGTCATTCACCATCCTCCTGTCGCCTCGCCTCTCCGCCGTCTCCAATTTCTCTCCAACTTGATACACAGGGCCTCGTACGAATTGTTCATACTCCTCGTGCATCATGTTCTAGTCCTCCCGCCCGCGGCTTACTCTTATCGTCTTCTGGTCCTGTCTCCGTCCTGGTACTTCTGTCTACGTGCGATCCTCTCCCACCCGGTTTTCCTCTTTCCGCTCTCTGTTCGGCCGTCCGTAGACTCTTAGGTGTTCCTAGGCCGCTTTTTGATATAGATCGGTATGTTCAAGCCCCCCCCTCCCCCAGTTCCGGCCGTGTCCGGCTTGGCTTGCGGCAGCCACTCTGTGCATCGCTTCTTCGGGCCAGATTGTTGGATCTGACAAGTGGCAGCATAGCTTCAGGATCTGTCAATCCGATAGCGAGAATCCCCCCACGACCCAGCATTCCTCCGTCGATCTCTGCCTATACTCTTAGCGGTAGATCAACATGGCCACCGAGAGCAATGCCAATGCTGAAGGCTCTGCCGCTGCGAGGCTTCTCCAGAAGCATGCCGAGAATCCCCTGCACGCAACCGTCGAGGACGCTCCTGACGAGGATGTGAAACCGTCCTCCGTTGCTGATCCTTCGGATGGGCCTTCGTGGGGCCAGACCATTTCCTCCAAGGCCGCCGGAAAGCAGCCTGCTCATGCCTCGCCCCCTCTCGATACTCAATCGCACGAAGCTTTCCCCGAATTGGGTGTGCCGAAGTCGACGTCTGCTGCGAAGGCCAACATCTCGCCGATCTGGGGGGGTGCGAAGGCCGGTGCTAACGGCAAGGCCAATGGAACATCTTGGTCTGCCAATGGCACTCCTCAAACTTCGGCGCCGGCCTCGGGCGTTTCCACCCCCACTGGGGTCCCCCCGCCCGTGTCGATACCTGGTCGCAATGTCGAGTCGGTCATACTAGAGCCGCGATTTATCCTGCCCCGGGCCCAGCTTAAGCGCCCCATCCCGGACATCGTCAAAGACATTAATCGCAAATCTCGCGCTATCATCTCGATGGTTCCTGCCCGCAATGGCCACCTTAAGTTCGAGGCTACGGGCCCTCAGGACAAGGCCCAGCAGGCTCTTCGAGACTTGGTTCAGCAGATCGGAGTGAAGGTGAGTAGTAGTCGGAGCTATGCTGTGGTTTGGGCTACCGGCTAACCTTCTACACTGTCTAGACGTCCATCAAAGTGCCGATCCCGCAGTCTGCTAGGGCCCATATAATCGGCAAGCAAGGGGCCACCATCAAATCGATCCAGGAGAAATCGGGTGCCAGAATTCAGCTACCCAAGATCGATGAAGTGGCTGCTGCCTTGGATGAGGACGATGATTCCGTGATCGACGTGATTGTTGAAGGTAACGCTATCTCGGCAGCCATAGCTCGTGACGCCATCAATAAGATTGCGGGCGAACGTTCTGCGAACATAAGCACGAAGCTCAAGTCCGTTCCGGCCGAATTCTATCCGTTCATCGCTGGCCCGAATAACAGGCTCGCTGCTGCCCTGGAGGCCGAGCATGGAATTCAAGTTCGAGTGCCGCCTCACCAACCGTGGTCGGAGTCGGTTCCTCAGGTGCCAGCGGCAGGACAGAGACCAACGTTCAACCCGCCTGCCGATGATAACTATATACAGCTTGCAGGTGACCGAGCGGCAGTGCAGGCGGCGCGAGCAGCCATAGAACACCAGGCTCGGGAGCTTCAGGACCAGCTACTCCTAGACCAGGTCGAGATTCGTCAAGGCACCCACCAATTTATCATTGGCGACCGAGGCATTCCCACCGAGGACTTCTTCGCTGATACAAACTGCGTCGTGGTCTTGCCTAGCACCCCTGGCGTCGATACCGTAACCATCATTGGCCGTGCCGATGACGTGAACACTGGGCTGGAGAAAGCGATGGACCTGGCAACGCAGGTGCACACTTCTGTCTTCGACGTTGCGAGACACCACAGCCATTCCGCTGGTGGTGCTCCGACCTATTCGCGAGATGTATCGCGGTATCTCCGCCAGCGGAAGGAAATCGAGCGACTAGAGAAGTTGTACCATATCCATATCAATACCCCCTTCTCGGAGGGCATTGTTAGTCCTTGGGAATTGTATGCCCGTGAGGGCAAGAACGCCTTGAAAGCCCAGAAAGAAATGAGCTCCATCATCAATGGCCTTCCGCCCTCACGTCTGGCCACAGTGCCAGTCGACTCCTTCTTCCATACCTATCTCCGAAACGACATAAGACCTAGAATTCAAAGCGACTTCGGCGTCCACCTAGTTGTCCCGGATGCGGCGGATGCAAACCTCCCGGTACTCCTGGTTTACGAGGGCGAAGCTGCCCAAGAAGAAGGATACCAGGTTCCGCAGGGGGTTCCCGCTGCCGCTGAGCTCGAGCAATTTCGACGAGGCCTAGCCGAGGCCCGAAATCATATCCTCGAGATCGTTAACAGACAGGAAGAGATCGCTACCGCGACTCAGGAGGTTCCGGTTAAGTGAGTGGATCCGACAACAATCGACGCGGTTGTGTCTACATGTGAGCATATGCTAAACGTCACTCTAGGCTTCAGGATAAACTTCGCAAGTTCATTAAGAAGGAACAAGACGCGACGACTCGCGCTGCTGGTGACATTCCTGTTCGAGTTAGCGTGAAGGGGACCACGGTAACGATGCGTGGGCCGGCCTCTGCTGTGGAGTCTCTCTCGCGGAAGGCCTCTGATTTTGTCGAGCAGGAGAAAGAGGACGAGAAGGAGCGTGGATACACGACAAAATTCGACTTCCCTCAAAAATTCGCTAACCATTTGATTGGGAAGAGCGGCAGCCATATTAACGAGCTGCGGGAGAAATTCGACGTGGACATCCAGGTTCAGAATGGGGAGGTTGAGCTGAAGGGCCCAAAGGCGAAGGCCGAACGGGCGAAGACGTACATCTTATCTCTGGGCCGTCAATGGGCGGACGAGACGACTCACACGTTGAAGATCGAGCCCAAGTACCACCGCGAGCTGATTGGTGCCCAGGGTGGTCAGATTCATCGCTTACAAAATCGGTACGGCGTCCACATCAACTTCCCCAGGACTGCAAAGCCTGCCAAGGACGATGAGTCCGTGGATGTCTCGAGCGACGCCGGCAAGCCTCGACGACAGCAGGGCCCCGACGAAGTCACGATCAGAGGACCGAGGAAGGGTGCGGACGAAGCTCGCGACGAAATTTTCTCCCTCTACGAGTATCTCAAGGACAACTCATTTGCTGCTACCGTAGCAGTGCAACAGAAGCAGCTCCCATCGCTGATTGGATCCGGCGGCTCTGGCATGGACGAACTTCGCCAGACCACTGGGGCGAAGATTGATATTCCCAATGACCGTAACGAGACTCAAGATACGATGGTAGAGATTCAGATTAAGGGCACTAAAGCCCAAGTCGCTGCTGCCAAGAAGATCATCGAAGAGAAGCGAGCCATCTTTAACGAGACGGTCACAAAGACTGTCGAAGTGGACAGGAAGTGGCACAAGAACTTGATTGGCCCTGGCGGTATGTGTGCAGCTTTATCGGTTTTTATTTTTCATTTTTTACTCGGTCTATCCTGACATGATTATAGGTTCGACTCTGCGTGATATTGTGATCAAAGCTGGCGGGCCCGAAGACAGACGACTCCAAGCGAGAACTATTCAGTTTCCCAAGCAAGATGTGGATGGAAACACCATCCGGGTTGAAGGCCGTCAGGATGTCGTTGACAAGATCATTGCCAGCATCACAGCCATTGTATCCGAACGCGAGAGTCAAGTAATAGAGACCATTGAGGTCCCCACCGAGAAGCATCGCTCGCTAATCGGACGAGGTGGCGACGTAAAGCGCCAGCTCGAGTCTCAATTCAACGTGTCTATCGATATTCCAAAGCGAGGGAGCGGGTTGACTGGCGTAAAGCTGGTTGGCCAACTTTCTGACGTCGAGAAGGCCAAAGAACATATATCTTCGCTGGTGAAAGAGCAACATGGCGAGACGATCCAGGTCCCACGCAAGTACCACCTTGCCATATCGGAGAATGGCCAGTTCTTCCGCAGACTTAAAAATGACCACAAGGTCTCCGTGGACCATGACGGCCATTCTATTCCGCAGAAACCGAAGGCTTCGTCTACGCGGGCTAATAACGGAGCTCTACCCCTGATTACGGATGACGCAGATGCCGCTGCAGACGTGCATTCCTGGACGATCGTCGAGACGGCGTCCTCCGAAGAGGGCGATATCCCATGGGTGCTGAGGGGCGACCCAGAAAACGTCGAAAAGGCGAAGAAGATTATCGCAACAGCTCTAGAACAGGTCCAGAGGAACAACACCACCGGTTATCTTATCCTGCCGGACCCGTCTACCTACCGCTACGTTATTGGCCAGGGCGGTTCTAAGGTGAACTCGATCCGCAAGCAGAGCGGATGCAAAATCAACGTCCCGCGCGACCAGGCTAGGGACGAAGCCATCGAAATCTTGGGCTCAAAAGAGGGCTGTGAGAAGGCTAAGGATCTTATCCTCGAGGCCGTCCGGGAGGGGCAGAGCGCCAGGCGAGACTAGGGATCTCGACATATCGGCTGGGCGATGACCTCTTCCAATTCTCTGGCGTCTTCCACCGGCGGTAACATGTGGTAATATTATAGAAGGGAAAAGAATTGCTCGAGAAAGCGTGGTACCTACGGATGAAGGTGGGAAAAGCCATAGTCGGGGCTAGCTTTCTAGTCCATAACATTGCCTCGTAGAATTTTGACAAAAAGGTCCAGCAGGTGTAAATAAAAAAAAGACAATAGCTAATGAAAATCACTATTATAATGCTTGGCAAGTCGATATACACATGTTGGTGCAGCATGGCGAGAAGTTTGCGGAGATGCTGCTCATATGGTGATGACACGCAACTACGGGTAATTTGGTATGGTAGCAGAGATGAAGAGTCTATGTGATTCTATTCATCCTAGAGACCAATGCTGCCCGATGAGAGGCAGTCGGTAGGTAGCAAGACGATGCCTGCGCGCAACGACACAGCACGACATGCGCGGAGAGCTAACTTTACCTACCCTAAGGACCATCCCCTGATGCTTGCTGCGTTTGTAGCCTGATACATAATAGGTAATACAGCGAAAAAAGGCGTGCGTAAGCATATATATGCTACTAGCGCGTCCCGCGATCGTCGTCGTTTTCGACGGCCCTCGAAGGGCAGAGAGAGAACAACGCCACGAGAGGTTAGGAAGCGAGGCTGGCCATCGAGAGGGGGGGGGACAGGGGGCGGGAATCACTGCCTCCCTCCCCTCCCCCTCCCCCTCTCCTCTCCTTTCCTTTCCCTACCCTCGTTTCCCCCCTCCGCGCCTCGGAAGCAACAACCAGCGAGGTCCATGCCAACCAGACAGAGAGAATCCGACAACCGGGGACATCTTCCCCCTTTTCCCCTCCCCGTTCCCGTAATAACCGCCCCCCCCCGTTCCCGGTTTCCGTTTCCTTTGCGACCGATTCCCTGCGCCTGCGTAAGCACAGAAAGAGAGAGGGGGGGGTTTTGGACGTAGATAGATAAGACGTACAGACAGATAAGACAGAGGGAGAGGCGCCGAAGAAGGAAGAACAAACAAAAAAACGACAAAAACTGCTCTCTCCTTCGGCTACGTCAGACTGATGGGAGGAGGGAGGAGGAAGGTAGGTAGGTAGGTGGGTAGGTGGGTGCGGGAACCAAAAGAGGACGAGGCAGAGGCACCAAGAAGAGCAGGATGACGAGGAAGGATAAGAAGCCGCCGCCTTTTCTACTCGAGGAAGATCGAGGCGAGGAGAAGAAGGGAGAGACGAGCAAAGAAAAAAAAAAAAGCTGGCAAAAAAAGCCTCTCGTAGGTATTATAACTCTTCCCTCCCCTCTTCCTGCCTCTGCTCTCTTGCTGCCGAGCCGCGCGGCGTATTAGGGGCGTGTGGGTGGGTGGTAAGACGTAGCGGGCCGGGAGGCCTACGACTGTCGAAGTAGGCCGGGCGGTGGTGATGTATGTATGCGCGAATGCAGGTCGGCGCGAGATCGTTCGAGGGTATTACTATTACATGGATAGTGGTAGTGGGTAGGGACCGAAACACGGGTATGCTAGGACTGTAGGCGCGACGTGTAAGGGCAAGGGCGGTGTGTCGGTGGTGGGAGCAGCGGCGGGCGGCGCCGCAGACCCGGCTCTACCTCCCCTTCGAGCCCTTCGAAAACGGTAGTAGAACACCCCCCCTCGCGTCGCGGAGATCGGCGTGTGGAAATCTCGATGGCGGTTTTGAGGTGAAGGCGGCCTTTAGTCGTCCTGGACGAGCTGCAGGAGCGAAGAGACGTAGTCGGCCTGGGGAGGGTAAGATATGTCGGGTTAGCACGCAGCGTCAAACGAAAGCTAGACTGGCAGCAGTGGTGAGGACAAAAAAAAAGAAAAGAAAAAGAAACGTACCAGGGCCTTGTTTTCAGTCATGACGTCGAACAGCCGCGTCATGACGGGGCGGAACAGCCTTTCGTTCCAGCCGCCGGGCTCGCCGCCAGACTCCTGGTGGCGCTTGAGTAGGCGCTCTTGCGATTCCGTCTTGACCACGTTGCGCGCGATGTTGCGCAGCACCAGCACCGCGCTGAGCGGGATCCCGGCCGCCTGCTCTGGGGCCTGGGGGTTGCGGTCGTCGCGCGTCACGATCGTCTGCTGCCAGGTCACGCTCATCGTCCGCGCCGGCGTCACGTAGTCCTTCCGCGGGCGCTTCGCTGTCGGCTCCGACGAGGACGAGGACGACGGCGGCGTTGGCGTCGGCGGGGTGTAGGAGGGGAAGTGCGTCTTGATGTGACGCGTGAATTGGGATAGCTTCATGTGCGTCGCGTTAGAGAACCGGGAGCAGCCGTGCCATCCGCAAGCGACGTCGAGTTCCTTGTCCGATACCTTGCCCTCTTGTCCCACGGCTATGCCCAGGTGAGCGGTCAAGACGTGATGCCACATGCTCCGACTGCCCAAGTAGAACTGGCCGCAGCTTTTTGAGATCGGGCCCTTCGCTACTGTCCATTGACACCGCGTGTATTCTTGTTTCGACTCGAAATGGATGGGACGCGCGCGAGACCGAATGCCCTCGATGATGAAAGTATCGGCTGATCCCGGACGCCTGATAATCTGAGCACGCGCGGAGGAAAACACCATACTGACATTGCGGATGAAGTCCGCGGCACTGAGTAGGTTCCTCGAGCCTCCTCCGAAAGAACTCTGGTACGCTTGCCATATCGTTATCTGCGTAATATGCGAATCCGCATCCTCCTCGAACAGACTTATCAGCCAGTGGTAGCATCTCTGGGGCTCCTCGGTGCGAGACAGTTGCTCTTGAAGATCTTGAGGCAGGGGTACGACGGCTTCCGAAGATGGATCTTTGCGTTCCGGTTCCAGAGTATAGTCCTCCTTGATTCGCTTAGACCCGTGGGCTAGGAGCCGGACGAGATGCTGCACGACGCGCTCCATGTTCACGGCCTTCAATAGAGACTCGACGTTGGCCACCACTGCCGTGTACTGGTAGAGGAAGTCCAAGCATGCATCCATGAGCTCCTCGTCGTTCAACAGGAGCCAATTCATGATATTCTGGAGCACAACGTCCGGCACATTTTGCAACTTGTTTGTCGCTTCCAGGTTCATCGAGATCCGGCTGATGGCGCGGAGCGAGGTCAATATCGTGCCTCGGTCGGTCGAGTCGAGCTGGGATAGCAGGGACCGATACAAGGGATCGTCCGAGTCGAGCGCGACCCAGGGAGTAAGTTGCTCGGCGATGTCTAGGCTAAAATGCTTAATCTCGACGAGCATCTCTAAGTTGGGAAGATGGAGGAGGATGCAGAGTAGATCCCTCATCGGATAGACCTCGGCCATGTACATAGCGTTTTCTACCAACATGACCATATTTCGTATAGTGAGCACCGCCTCGGTAACCCGTAGGAGCTCGTCGCTAAACTCGGCTGGCTGCATGTGGTCAAGAATGGATTTTGGTACAAGCATCCTGATCCGATCGAGGATATCGCTGGTGCCGTTCAGCCCGTCGAGAGTGCCAATGCTGTGATCTGGCGGGTTGTTGGCCAGATAAGTGATCTGCCATTCGATGTCATAAAACAGACCGCTGATCTCTAGGGCCTTCTCGATTAGGCCCTCGGCTAACCCGAGGAAGGACTCGAACTTGTACTTATCGCCTCGTTCAAAAGAGATCTTCACCAAATGATTGAGAGCAAATGCTTGCTCAGCTGGGATTTGTGATCGGAGGGCCTGGAGGCAGCGCATATAGATATTAGGGCCGTCGAGACTAACTAGCGAGAATTAGCGGGGGACAGCCTTCAGATCAATATAGGGGCGCGTTCTTACTGCCGGGGATAGCTGGCCGGACTGGCGCTGCTGTGTTCGGGGTGCCCGTAGCGGATTGGAACTGACGTAGCCGCTTGGCAAATTCGGTCGGGTTGTTGCTAGGGGTGGTCACAGGACGCAGCGGCACGGATATCAGCTGCCGTGGTTCGAAGGGGTCTGCTAACCGCGATGCAGTCTCGGTGTTGGGTGGAATGTAGGAGGTTGAGGCGCCGCGTAGAGCGGATTGTTGTGCTTGGATTAGCTGGATAGGATTATTCGGATTGGGATGCTGCGCCATTGTGTGATTTGGGTGCATCACTGCTTGTGCTTGAATCGGCTGCGGCGTATGGGGAGTATTGGCAGCAGACGTGCCGTGCTGGGAGGGTGTGTGCCTTGGCTGGCGACTCGATCCCGTCTCGGGTTGGAAAGGCACCCTCTGCGGAGGGGCCTCACGAAGGCGGCCAGAGGCTCTGTTTCCGGACACGGGGGTGCTCTCGCTCGGACGCTCTTCTCGGACGGGGGTGTCCTCTCCAATACGTCTCGCGGTGATCTTGAAGTTCTCAGCTGTGCGAGTCAGGACGGGGCCATTCTTGCTGGCGCACGACTGCAGCTCTAGGATTTCCTTCGGAGGCGGCTCCCTGCCGTATTGATCCTGGATCCAGTAGGCTGAGAGGTATCGGTAGAAGTCCTGCTTCAGCTGAAAGGAGAGTTGGCCAATTCCCTTGCTGTCGACGTGGTGCATACCCAGCTCGCCGGCTAGGGCACCCCAAGCCTTCTGCACCTTGTTCAATTCGTCGTAGCCGCCCTTGTCGATGACGGCCCGGTAGAGCTTGAGGAGATCGACGTTCACATGACCGTGCATGGTCGGCAGTCGGGGTTCAGGCTCGAAGGAGGTTCCCCGCTGCTCGTGGAAAGCGGTAAGCTTTTGGATGAACTCGACATATTCGGGTGTGCGGTCGATCTCGTGGATGTAGAGGTCCTTGTTTCCCGGACCGCGATTCGGCGCCATCTTGACTTTTCACGGGTCTGGGCTCTTCCTCGTCTCCCCCTCTCGACTAGAAATTTGCGCGTTGTCGATATTGGAAGGGGTTGCAAGGACCAACAGCTAAGCCGGAAGCCCAGGCCAGAGCATTAGCCGCAAGCTCTGTTGGCCTGCTGTGCTGGCTGGCTGACGGGCAAGGCGGGTGAAGATGGGCCTACTAGAGGGATCACGTCGGAGGTGTTTGTCGATGGAGAGGCGGCCGAGGACGTGTATTTTCCCCCGGGATTCAGGTTCGCGAGCGCGGTATAGATAGATGTGACCAGGGTCGGGAGTTTCAATGGAGGCGACAAAGGGTGTTGCCGAAAGTCGCAAGGTGATGCAGTAGGAGGATGGTAGTGGCAGCGTCGCGAAAATGGAGATGGATGGATGAAGCAAGGTATGGAGTAGCGTGGAGGGCGTGTCGGCACTAAAAAAAATGAATGCAGGTGGTCGGTGCGATGCGCGAACGGCATCCCTGTACGGGAGGAGGTACCTTGTATCTTGAGATGGTATGCCTAGGTATGTACCTATATGAAGATATGCATGTATAGAGGTAAAAGCTTCTACCGTATATATGCATGCACATTATGTACCTGGATACACAATCGCCTTATCGTCCTTCAATGGGTTAGATTTCTCCATCTACCTACAACCTCAAGACCTGATATCTAGACAGCAGCCCCCTCGAAGGCGGTGCTGGTAGAAATTCCTCATCAACTCCTACTTTAACGCATGCCTACCTAGACTATGTCCTATCTTGACGCTCGTCTTCTTTGTAAACTTACATCTGCCTAGCTAGGCGCGGCGAGGCCGGGCCAGCAAGTCTCGTCAGCTCCGACTGCTACCCCCTAGAATCATCTGAACACTCGGACAAGGTAGTGCCGTAACAGAATATTGGCGAGTATCTACACTACTGTATATCCATCACCCATCTCATCCTTCCTATCCACAAGCCCTAGGTATACCTACCTACCTACTGCATACCTACCCACAATGCAACAGTCGTACTACCGCCCAGTGCCAACGCCAAGTCAAGGGCCATCAGAACCTCAGTCTCAACTACAAACACACACGCTGGATACTGTGCCGGCGTGGGTCGACGAACGGCAGGATGCCAACCATGGCCTGTCCGCGGACACTAGCCCGGATCTACCTCTAACCACTATCAGACGTCCACCATCCATTCCTCCCTATCTTCAGCCCCCCTACGGCTTTTACAGGGCATACTCGCCGTACTTCAACACATCTATTCCGGCAGCACGAGGCTACCTTCCTCAGAGGTTGCAGCAAGAGTCACGCCCAGTATCCAGGGGGCCTCGTGCTGTGCCCCTACGAATATCACGTTACGCCGCAAATCTAAGTAGCTCCGGCCCTAGACCCGTCCCTACCCTGTCCCTCCCCTTGGAGCGACCGTATTCGGTTCCTACTTATCCAAATCAGCATACTAACGGTGGAAATGACGATGGCATCACCCCGCCGCTACGACCGGCCACATCCTCCGAGGTGGACGACATTGACAAGCTTGTCCCCCCTCGTCCATTGGTGTTTCCGCAACGTAGAGCTGCTCAGGAGGGTAGGAATGCCCCTCATGCCCTGCGGAAGGGTAGTGTAGAAGATGCAAAACCTGCTCAGAAAACCCCGTCCACACGTGCCGTTGCGAAGCGTGGTTCCAAGAAGCCGGCTCCAGCGTCTGTTAGTTGCGGGATGGAAACCGTGCCTAGTAAGCCTAGTACAACCTCAGCCGTTTCTCCGGACAAACTAGCAGAGCCTCAGAAAAGACCCATTGGGTCGACGGAACCTGAGTCAAACCCTGTAAAGAAAAGCAAAATCAATGTGATTGGAGGCCAATTCGAGTCCATCACCCCCCCTGGCCGCTCGGTTGACAGCTTAGAAAAGGTATCTTCGACAGCAGATCCCCTCACACAAGAAGCTCTGTCTACAACGCAAGGGAGGAGGCAAGCAGGGCGCGGCGACGACGATACAACAGTGACAGGCTCGGATGTCGAGGAAGAGACTACCACGACCATGCTAGCAGATGTGCAAAGCGTAAATACGCCCCTGGAGGCGCAAGAAACCTCCACAACTAACGAGACCGGAGGCTTAAATGATACCTCTGCCCCGAACCACGGCGATACTTCCCATCGCCGAGCTCCGTGCCCTAGATATAGCAATGCCTCCGCGCAGTGCGACACGGCCCCCGAGCTCGCCTCCAGCGCGACCCAGACCGAGCGCGAGGCTTCGGCTTCCGCGTTCCGCGCGCCCACCCCGACTGTAGCGAGCACGCCGAACGGCGACGCGAGCCTCGCGGAGCGTTCCTCGACGGCTAGGCTCGGCGCGGCGCTACGGCTCCAGCGCGACCGGGGCATGGACGGCTTCATCGAGACGCGGCTTTCCGCGGCGGGAGGAGGCGGCGCTGGCGCGTTGGAAGCCCTCACGAACGAGATCCTTCTGGGCATGGTGATGGGCGCTGCCGCCGGCGCCGACGACGACGACGACGACGACGCCGAAGCTGACGCTGGTGGGGATACCGCGCTGCTCGACCAGGTACTCGAGATCATGCAGGCGTAGCACAATCCCGTTGCTGTTGGTGTGGACAGCGGTAAGACCTATTTTTACGTTTATTTCTTTTTACGAGAAAGGAGACAAAAAAGGACACCAGTCGCAAAGACCTCGGCTACGTGTGTGCATGCCTCGGGAGATAGGCACCTACATGGGAGGGCCACCCCCTTTCGAGACGAATAGGTAGAGGAGAATAAACAATATTTGCCACCTACTGCTTCGAGCGCACACGGTAAACCCGCCTGTTCTAGCCTGAAGGCCGAGGGAGAAGGAGGTAAGGAGTGGAGCGTACTATATTGACACGTCGATACTTTGCCCACTGCTTTCATATATACGCACATTCATCCCCTCGACACCGCCAGCGTTGCTCTCTCGGACGGACGTGCATATACTCAGCCAACCCACCCCTATTCGTCCCTCCGTATATCTCCGCGCGTAAACCGACAGCCGCAGGCTGAAGTTGCTATCATCCTACGCGCGAGCCCTTCCCGCAGCACACCAAGAAAAACAGGGCGTGGGATATGGGAAATCTTTCATTATAGCGCCTGCTATCCCCTAATCCTATACTAGGTTATCCGTTCCCATCCCTAGAAAGCTCACGTAGCAGATGCTTCTTGCCAGCTACCGAGGTCAGCGGGTGGACAAGACAGGTAACTAGGCGGTCTTGAGCGGACCACGAGATGTTTAACGGGTTGCCTTCCTTCGTTTTCCGTCCTTCCTCGATCCCTCCTTTCTGGCCGAGCCTATTTTGGTCCCCCTCAAATCCAAATCTGAAAACAAAAGAGGGTATTCCGCCTAGCTACTTATGTCCGGACGCCTAATCCAATGTTAACCGAATAGCTTATGGGTATCGTCTTGTCGCCCTCAGGGGCTCTTTACCAGACCGGTTTCATTAACCCCCCCCGTTTCTGGTGGCCCCGCCTACCATTATCACTTGTAATTGTGATCTCCTAGCAGGTAGGTGGGCATATGTCGGGCAAGTCCTTAGAGGAGGCAGACATTCCGCCCAACTACATCTCTTCGCTTGTAATACCCCTCAAGTGCCTATACTGCTTCACATGAAGCCGTCATCCTCTGTCTCGTCCTCGTCGTGCGCGATAGTCAGCTTGGCCGTCCCCTCCATGGCCGCGGTCAGCGCGAGAAGGTTGTTAACGAGCTCTTGGTTGCGAGTATTGTTCTCTTCTAATCTGCTCCTCAGACTGCTCGAGCCCGCGAGGCTTGCCCCCGCACTTTCACCTGCCCCTGCCGCCGCTGCGCCCACCTCTTCCGCCTCCCCGGCTGGCGCGCTTGACCTGCGCATCTGAACCCGAACCTCCCCTGGTATACCGTCAATCCTGACAGCTTGTGTCGCGCTGCTGCTTCCCGCCGGCGGTCGCGTGACAGGTTGTCCCTGCTGGCCCGTGCCGACAAGATTTTGCAGGAAAGCCGAAGCGTCCGGGCACCCGTCCATGAGCCACTTGAGGCAGAGCTGGGTGCGCTCGCGGCAAAAGCGGTTATTGTCGTCGTATAGACAGCAGTTGAGAAGGGCGATTATCCCGTTGTGCTGCAGTATCTGGAGCTGAACCGTCGGGTTACCCGGGGAAGATTGGCCGGGTGGCGGCTGGAGTAGAGCTGCGAGAATAGATAGAACCTGTCCTTTTATCCCGGACCAAGGAAATTCGTGCGGCGGGTCGGCGATGGGGGGTGGGGGAGGCGGAGGCGGGGGCGGGTTATTCGATGAGGATGCCTGGGGTGTCGAGGTTGTGGTGGAGGGCGTAGTGGGCGGTTCGTTTCGTCGCGTCCCCGGGAATGGCGCTTTCTCTACCCCGACGTCGAGACCTTCTAGTAGTTTAAGAAGTTCGTACACGGCCTCGTAGTCGATAAGATGTTGGCGTAGAGCATATATCTCGGAAATAGTGGATAGAAAGTCGAGGTATTGCACCAAACCATCCTTAGCACGCTCTAGGTCCCAGTTATCTACTGGAAAGTCTCCCGGATCCAGCCGGCCTTTACGCACCTCGCCTTGAATCTGCATCAAGGCGATGCACTCCGGCACGATGCGGCTTCGAAAGATTCCGTACAGATAGTTTAACATTTTCCCGAGACGGACATCCTCTCTCGCGAGGCTTGTCTCCACGTCTTCTCCATCGGGATCATGGGAGGGGCTATAGTCCTTGGACGGGTAAAGGGACGTGCGGAAGAGGTAGGTGATGAGCCGGAGCAGGACGGTCTGCGCCGGGGAGATAATGTCTTTCGGGCTTCGGAGGGCCGACCAGGCGAAAGGTATGAGCGCGTTCTCGTGCATCGCCTGCACTATCTGGCAGCTGATCTGAAATATGAGAGACTGATCATCCTTCTCCCATACGGCAATGAAGACTAGCATTTCTCTCAGGAGATTCCTGCCGCAATCAGTCGCGAGGAAAATGCGGCACCGGGCATGCTGCAGGCTCTCGCCAAAGCGAGTCAAACCGGAACCAGCTGAATCCAAGATACACAATTTGACTATCATGTGAAGCGCCTCGATCTGCTTGGGGTCCAGGATGTTTGGCACCTCGGTAAGTAGGCCGGTCATTGGTCCTTCGCCGTAAGAATCGTCATCGTCGGGTTCTTCGTCGTACTCGTCGTACTCGGGAGCAAAATCCGGGGTCGCGTGGGGTGCCTGGTTCTGCCATTCGACATTGAGAGTGTCATCTACAGAATGCTCGTTTATGTCGCTCGGCTCCTCTTGAGGCTCCGCCGCTGCGTAGCGCTGCATGAGGTTGGTCTCGCACTCCTTGATACGCTGGGGAACCAACTCGATCGGGAGTGAGGCCAAGCCCCAGTCGCTAGGATTGGGAATGCGTGCGCTGTCCCACCACTGATCGAGCTCATGCGACACACGCCCGTATGCTCTGTCCTGCTGGAATTTGTCCGTCTCCTCCGGGTTCCAGGTAGAGACCACCTCGACAGCCTCGTCGTAGCTATCGGGCTGCCATGCCCACTTCTCTGGCGGCATATAGTTACAGGCAAGAATGTTATCTTCGTGCGGTAGCCACCGATCCTTCATTTCAGTGCTCTGTGCGTCGAAATATTCTCTGCATATGTTGGCTGCAGTCTCGCACATCCTCGAGGATCTCTTGAGCCAGTTGAAAATCTCCTCTCGGAGATAATTGTTTCTGAGGGTCGGAGAGACGGGGAGGCTCGTGTCCGGTCGGTCTTCCGGCCCCGGGATACTCTCGGCGTCTGGCGATTCAATCAACACTTTGTACCAAAACATCATTTTATTGCGATCATTCTTAGAGATCCAGTTGTGTGCCTGCTGCAGGGAAGTCACCAATACCTTCTTGCCTATTGATTGTCAGACAACACCGGGGATGATGCCGGGAGATTGGACGTACAGAGCTCTGTTATCTCGTTCAATTTGGTCCTCGAGGCTTCTTCTTCCGGCATCTCTCCATCAATGCCCTTACTAGTGACATTGACACAAAGACATATCGCCTCGTACACCTCATGGTCGAAGTAAATTGCTGCTGACAGGTCCTGGGGTACTTCCGGGTCTGTGGTGACGAGTAGATTCCGGGCAATGTGCATTAACTTGTTAAGCATCTGCAGAGCTTCTTTTAGGGGCGCGTAGTTCTTGATGATCAGAGCTGTGACCTCGGGCGTGGTGATGTCGATAAACTTGGTCTGTACAAAGGGCTCGGATCGCACGCCAAGCGATTTCTCGTTCAGGTCGCAGATCGTAGCGGAAACGGCCCGGCGTAACCACATCCACACCCGCAGATTTCTCGAAAGGACTTCCCTGCAGCTCGCGTATTAGTTGGACGCCGGGCTGGGGATCACCTTAGGGATGAATGACGTCCTAATAGTCGCCGCTTACCGAACATCTTTGAAAGTGTGAGTCTTCTCGAGGGTCTTCGAGATTATGCTTGTGACCTTGGCTATAGACTGGGGTCCCATGACGGGCGACTGTGTGTAATGGCCCTCGAGGCAGATCAAAGCCGAGGAGAAAATGCGCTCCTCGATGGAGTCATTTTTCCATAAGTGACCCGCGTCGGCGTCGACCTGGTTGGTCGGCCTCGAGGGAGAGGACGGCATGTCTACGGTTTAGAATAGCTCTAGTAAGCGATGGTCTCCAGTATTCGGGAAGTTGTCGCGACTATAGATAACTCGGGCGCCTGGGCAAAGTGCAAGATGTCCTCGCCATTGACTAGGAGGGCGGAGACGAGGAGCCTGCTGGTGAGCGGTGGTCAAAGGCGGATGGCTTAGGCAGACAGAGGGCAAAATAATGCTATGCTCTGCTGGCGATATGGGGTCAGACGGTGGTTGAGGGAGAGAGAAAGCTGTTAGAGGATTGAGGGCAGGCAAGGCCTAACATGGGAAACTTCTTCACACAAGCAGGTACGAGTAGGTACTTACAATGACGTCTGGTGGGGTGAAGAAGCTGCTTATGTACATATGCATCAAGCCGGCCTGATCTACTATAGCAGTATATAGGTCTACAGAGGTTATGCGTCTATGCATATAAACAACTATACCCCGTATTCACCACCCCCCTTTTTTTGAGGCCAAGGTTAAGGGCAACTCCTTACAATAAAGCAAGTACAGAGCTAAAACGACGAATGCATTCTAGGAGGCAGTTTAGAAGGAAAGATTTATAGTAGGACTCGATAGCATTAGGATACAATAGCTTTCATTCGACGTGCTAATATCGACCTAGTCAATATACCCGAGTTCTGTCTTGCGGATCTGCGCTGTAGGAAGGTAGACAGAGTGTAAGGCGACGTTCCCCTCCTCTTGGCTTTCACCTTTCTAGCAAGTCGCTACTCAGCCTTGACCTTCTTTAACTCTCCCCGCTGAGAGAGGTTCGTCCCTCTGCGGCATAGACGGCTGTTCTGCGATGGCAGGACCCCGAAGATGTAATCCGACATCTCCCAGTCCTCGGATCCGACAGCGTTCTGCGCGTAGAACACGTCCCACGGGTCCATCTTCTTCTTGAGCCGGTACAGCCGGTCGTATTTGTCTCCCCAGAACGACTGCTGGAAGTTGGGTTCGATGTAGTCCGACTCCGACAGGTAGGCCCCCGAGCCCGGCGACACTTGCCTCCATACCACGCCCCAGTCCGAGGTTAGCGTCGTGCTCCAGATCGTGATCAGCTCCGTATACATGTCCTGCGTCCACGAGACGATGTCGACCGCATGGAGCACCGCCTGGCGCCACGCCGGGTTGACAGCGCTGTCCGGGTAGCCGGATTTGGGGGCTGCCGCCACGTTGTACCCGGATACGACTCCGCCGCTGTCCACGACGTATCGGATAGCCTCGAAGGTATCCGATAGCTTCGTTGAATTCTCCCAGTTTTCTTTAGGGAAGAGTCGACTGCCGTATCGCGCAAGATTCGATCCCCATGATTCGAGAGGGAAAGACTTGTCCCATGCCTCGTAGAAACTGGTGTATTCTTGGTAGACTGGCTTGAGATCGAGCCCGATCTTTCCCACGGCATTGAAGAAGGGCTGGCTAAGCGCCTGCAATTCAGACTTGGACATGTTTGGCGCAAACCACGGTGCCATATTCCAGACGTAGTTGCCGCTCGTCGCGTTGAGGTTGAAATGAGCATAGTTGCCGGCATCGGTGTAGTTGATAAAACCTTGGAAATAGGCGCGCACGGCTTGCCAAAACTGCCTGACAGATACATCGTCCCCGGTAGTTAGGCTGAAACTCATCGTCGTCACCGGAATTTCGGGGAACGCTTTAATTACCATGGAGGTTACAACCCCATAGGTCGACCCACCACCACCCCGGAGGGCCCAAAAGAGCTCAGAGTGAGATGTTTCGCTTGCTGTGACAAAGCGGCCGTCGGCTGTTACGACTTCTATCGAAAGGACCTAGCGAAGCCGTTAATCAAGGAGCTCAAACTGGCGTGCAAAACACTCACCTGGTCTGCCGCCATTCCGTATATGCTCGATAGGGGAGAGTGGCCACCACCGAGGATATACCCTCCCGTTAGGCCGACCGTCTATGGGTATGTATTAGCTCCCCATTTATCTAAAGGGTAAGCCCCATTTGGCTGGGGAGAGGAGGACGCATTTACCTTCCCTTCGGCGCCGACGATGGTGAGATTATGCTTATGGGCAGCTTCGTACGCTTCAAAAACTTGGATGCCGGCCCCCATCTTAAAAGCCGGTCCCCTGTATGAGCCCTCTTCATAGTTCTCATATAGCTGTATGTCTTTCAAATTGTGAGTCCATATAGAGAGTGCTCCGGCTCCGGTGGACTTGGCGCCGTAATCGTGACCGGTATTCTTAACGACGAGCCGGAGGTTAAGGCTGCGGGCCATGTTGATAGCCAGTTGAATCTGGGAGACATTGGTTACGTTGACCGACATGGTTGGGTACGCTCCAATGGTGCAGTTCTTAGCATAAGGATTTATCGTGTGAGGCACACAGGAGGTGCCCTCGAAGAGAATTGCGTTGATCGATGTGGGATCGTTTGTGCTTAGCAGGTTTAGATTACTGCTTATTGGTTTCTATTGGAGAAGTGCTATAGCGGTGTACTTACTGGATGTAGGAACTGTCCGACCAACGCGACGTGATCTCCCTACATTTGGCGGCATCTTGGTTTCCATAATCGCTATAGCAGGGAGAAGCGAGCGGTGTGGTCTGAATAAGACTGCCACCTAGGAGGAGATCAAAGACCCTCTTAGTGACGAGGCCGGGGTATGCGACGAATTCATCGGGGAAGGTCTTGCAGGGCCCGATGGTAGATTGGTTAGCCGCAGTCGCCGGATCGGCGAAACCAAACAATAGGATGTTAGTCAAGCCGAGTCCAGTTAGATTTTTTAAGACGTCGTCCGTGAGCTGCCGAGTTTCCCCCAGAAAGAGGTCGGCCGTTGCGTTGGAAGAGGACGCGTTGGTGGTGACGAAGGCGGGGGAGACCGTGTGCTCGTTGGCAACTTTGGGAGTCAAGTAGGTGCTGGGTTAGCCTGTTGAGCAACGGTGTATTCGCAAATACCACCCTCCGAAAGATTCACGATATGACTGACTGATGGCTTCGCCATTCACGATAATCGTCTGAGCGAGTCCTAGCCGCGAGAACGCCGATACTAGGCCCACCCCGAACAGCACATTAGCATACATGGCGATAATCGCGCGTGGTCGAAGGTGGAGCAGAGGTGGTGAGAACAGCGGAGGAGGTGAGGAGACCAGAGCTGGCAGAGAAGCCCTTGAGGTCTCTGAGGGTTCAGATGTATCGCAGATTCCTGGCAACCACTTCTTCCGGGAACATGGCTCACCACTATGATGAAAGGCAGGTCTGGACTGGAGAACGGGCATGGCTACTTAACGGGTAATTTCCGAAAATGGAACCGCACATACAAGACGACGGCGGGCACGCGCCGTGATGTTATTAGTCGGTGGCATTAGCCGACATCGTGGCCATCTACACCGGCACTTCGCGGGCAACAATCGTCCTAGCGAGGTAAGGTTACCGAGTTTTCGTCTTCCAAGCGTGAGTTTCTAGAAGGCGAGTCGCACCATCTCACGCATGGTACGCTTGGTATACGTGACCGAGTATTGATTTAACGATATTCGGAGCACGGCCACGGAAGGGGGATAAAGGGGTGGACATCGCGGATAACCAGCCAGACCTCTATTGGGGGGAAGGGGGGCGGGTGTGTGAGATGGTCGACCAGGTTAGGTTGGTAGCGAAACAGGTGTGTGGGCATACGGATCGGACCATAAGCGCCTTTCGATTACGCACATATCCCCAGATATGCAGGACGATCCCGGGGGCGACGACGAGGTTGAGGAAATAATGCAACATGCAGGGACCAAGTTAGACAAGTGCCGGATCTGGTGGAGAGCCTTAGGCGTTGATTGATGCATTTCCGGCTACGCATGTTACGGATAGATGAATATCCCCCGCTTGTCATCGCATCCCGCTAAACTGGTTTAGTGGATAAGTCGTAGGTAAGTACTTCACTAGGTACATAAGAGACCTCGCTCGCTGAATTGCGTGCTGCGTGTGGCGCCGTGGAGGGGAGAGCAGAGATATGAGGGGGAGGGGCACGAAATGTCACCAATATCGCAGCCATGCATTAACGCCTCACCTACCCCCCTTTGCCCTTATCACCGTCTCTTTTTCTCTCAGGCCACGACGACGGCGCGACCGTTTCGACCTGCCCTTCACTTCCCACCCATTGACCCGGAAGCAAGGGGCCAGATCATCTAGGAAATACTTATGCAGACACCTAAATCCTCCTAGATCCTCACCAAAACTCCGCCGCCGTCCGAACAAAGTCCGCGATAATGTCCGACCTCCCCGACACCTTCGACCGTAAGCTCCACCTCTCTCTTCTCCTCTCTCTGCTCCTACACGCCCTTCCCTAGGCATTTCACCAGGTCCCTCTCCACTCCCCCTATCTTCAACTTACCAACGGCACGGCATTCATCATCATGACTACTGCCCACCTCGAGCCCCCCCCTCGACTGACCTAGTCTCTCCCCGCAGGCCCGGTCCACATCGCCGTCATAGGCGGGACTGGGCTCTACAAGATCGAAGGGTACACGCCGATCGCGCGCGTGAACCCGCTGACGCCGTGGGGCTACCCGTCGGCGCCCATCCTGATCCTCGAGCACGGCGGCGTGCCCGTCGCCTTCCTCGCGCGCCACGGCGTCCACCACCAGTTCGCGCCCCATGAGATCCCCGCCCGCGCCAACATCGCTGCCCTCCGCTACCTCGGCGTCCGCTGTGTCGTCGCCTTCTCCGCCGTCGGCTCCCTCCGCGAGGACATCAAGCCCATGGACTTCGTCATCCCCGACCAGGTCATCGACCGCACCAAGGGCATCCGTCCCTTCACCTTCTTCGAGGGCGGCCTCGTCGGCCACGTTCCCTTCGGCGATCCCTACGACTCCAAGATCGCCGACGTCGTCCGCCGCTGCGCCGCCGCCATGCAGGGCGAAGGCGTCGTCCTCCACGGCGAGGGTACCGCCATATGCATGGGTGGGTTCCCTTCCCCTCCTCTTTCCTCCGCGGTCCCCTCACCCTGCTAACGCATATCCTTCCCCGGCGCAATAGAAGGGCCTCAGTTCTCGACTCGCGCCGAGTCAAACCTATACCGGTCGTGGGGCGGATCCGTGATCAGTATGTCGCTGTTGCCTGAGGCGAAGCTGGCGCGCGAGGCCGAGCTCGCGTACCAGGTGATCTGCATGGCTACCGACTACGACTGCTGGCACACGACCGAGGACGTTGACGTGTCGATGGTCATGCATTACATGGAGAGCAACGGCCGCAACGCGCGCCACCTTGTCGGCGCCGTACTCGACGAGCTGTGCAAGCACGAGAACAGCGACCTCGTCACCGCCAAGCACTGGGAGGGCACCAGCAAGGGTGCCGTCATATTCTGCACCAAGCCCGAGGGCCGCAACCCTGAAGCTCTCAAGAAAGTCGAGTACCTGTTCCCCGGGTTCCTGGATTGAGCAATAGGGGCTTCGAGAAGGGCAGAATGAAACAGAAAAACACTAGGCCACAACGGGTTCAACACCAAAGCTACGGTAAAAGGTAGATATGCTTATATAGATACCGTGATAGACTAATCATGATAGACGGATTGGATGCGAAACACGAGTCGTCCCTCGAAATAGTATTGGTAAATGTAAATGTATTCGATCAAAGCCACAAAGCCGGGTATTGTATGTCGTTTCTAGTAATACTGCTCTGCCCACCACGCGACTCCTATGTACAATATCTTCGACCTATCATCGTCGCTTCCTATATCACATTAGCGTGTACAGCGCCCTGACGGCTTTCTCGGCGGCTGCTATATGCCAGGGACGGATGTCTGTCTCTCTGTCCACCACCCCGCGTGCCCTGGCTAGGGTTCCTAGCCCCCGGTAACATATAAGCATCTCCCGCAGTAGTGCCTCATATGCTCTAGGATTTCCTTCGTTGTGGACGATGTTGACTTCGAGAACTACGGGCGGATCCTCGATTCGGGTTCCGCCTCGCTTTACCAGATACCCGCTGACGAGGGCGGGGGAGAGCTCTGTCATGGAGACGGAATTGTTCAGCCTGTGCGATAGGACGGCGCCCCAAGTTTGGTCCGTAATCTCCGTCAACGTAGAGTCGGCATCCGACTCCGTCGCGTTGTTCTCGTTCGGTGTCGGCGCGCCCGTAGCCGCATTCTCCCGTATAGGGGTGGGGGGGTTCCCGCTTTGCTCTGGGGACACCATGGACCCCTGTGGTGTCGAGACTGGAGTTGTGTAGAACACAGACAATACGCTACTAGGAACCTTGACAACAGGTGGCAGTAACTGTAGAGACGGGTCCGTATCTACTGTGACGAGCGTCAAGCTCACTGATGCTTTCGATTCTGCCTGTGCGAGGCCTGACCAAAGTTCTATCTCGGAATGCTCCATCGTACCGCATTTTGCGATAATAATTCGCCAGTGTACTTTCCAGGTGGAGATAAAATCACGGGTCGCCCCCCAGATCTCCGTTGCAATATCCGCAAGAGAGGTTGACAGAGACTTTCCCTTTCTCCCTAAGCAGTACGAGGCCGTCATTTGTTGACTGCCCCTATTATCCGTCCACGCGGCGGTGATCCACCTGCCATCTATGCTTTGCGCATAGGCAATGTGGAGGCACGTGTTCTCGTGTAATAAGGATGCGGATGGGACCGTTGTTAACTTGAAATCAATCATCCGCGGGGGTGGTTGTTCGAGCACGATAGATGGTGATGGCGTGGCGCTATTGAATTGAGTGCACCTGTCGTATGTCTCCATCGCCAGCCTGGAGAAATCGAACGGGGATGGCATAGCAACCGTACTCGCGGATGCCACGAATTCCTGAGGTACCAACTGCAGGGCTAGGTTGTTGACGATGGGCAACTTTTTGCTGGACATCAATCTCTTGTAGCCTTCAAATATTTGGTTGAAGATCACGCAACATTCAACTATAGATCCGGCCAGGTCCGGGGAGTAGACAAAGAAGACCACAAAATTGACTTCTTCGGCCGTTATGGATGCGAGCACTTGGCAGACTTTGGATACGCAGCTCGCTAATGCTGGCTTCAGGAAGGGGGAGGTTTTGCTGAATGGCGCCGCGTCTTTGTCGACGCTAACGGGGAATATTCCGTTCTCCACGCCAGATGTCGTCGGTAAGCGGTTGAACGAGCCTAGTTTTAACGACTCGTACACGCTGCGCATTCGGTCTGTGAATACGAGCATATCATCTAGGAGGCCTTCGTAATCGGGAAATATGCAGATGGCATTGACATCCTTGTTTCCCGGAGATGGGCTTAGCCCTAAACTCTCCCAGAAGGAAACGGCCGACGGAAGGACAGAGAGCTTCGATTCATATCGCCGTAATTCAAAATGGGGAGAGGGGATTTGGAACAAGTTGCTCGGCCTCATCTGATCGACGCCTGGGGGCCTCGGCTGCATCCTGGTCGGCTGGCCAAGCAGAGGCACATCTTGGAGCTCGATGAAGGGTCGGAATTGGTACTCGACAGCTAGTCCGAAGCAAGGAGGGAGACTAGACTTAATCTCTTGAATCGACTTGCGGGCCAGCCCGGTAAGCTGGCGACGCCGGTCGGTTCTTGATTCGAGCGGCGGAGATGCAGTGCCAACTAAGAGGGTGCAGGTGGAGAACTGGTCGGTCAGGATTTGCGCAGCCATTATCAACTGATCATCCGGTAGGGAATATTGAGTCCAGGGAGGCTCCGGGTCGGCGAAATATTTGGTGAGAGAGAGGTCTGCTTCGGATTTGTAGCTTTGGGGGAGGTCTAGGGACAGATGCGGCGAGCTCATGTCTACAGACTCGAACTCCCTAAACGAGGTAGCAAGCGACTCTCCGTCGTCGTCAACCAGCCGCCGCCTCATGCTCAGAGACTTGACTGGTGACAACGGCTCATCACTGTCGTAACTCGAGTCATCTTGATCGGACACAAGGCTTACTTCATCGGCATCTGAGTGGATTTCCTCGATATTCGAGGGGCTTTCACGATTCAACGCAGGGACTTGAATACCAGACGCGCGGATCAAGAGCTGCCCCACATTAGAAGGCGCGTCTTTTAGAAGTTTCCGATTCTTCGCATGGCGCCGGAGATAGTCCGTCATAGGCGGCTCGTTCAAATGAGACGGCCTGGCCTCTTTCGGTCGGTCGATGGTATAGCCGTACCGACCGTTTCCCTCGTACTTGCTATTCACGATGGACAAGCTTGGCCCAAAATTTACCTTGTCGAAGATGCTCCCCTGGCGAGAGACCTTGATGCATGAGTTTTTTCGGGTGGCCTCGTAGTTATCGAGGGATGCTCGGATCCTTTTAAACACGGTATCTGGATCGAATGGGCTAGCAGGTCTCTTTACCCCCCTGGATTGGGACCGGTAGGCCTCGGATCCGGCTTGGCGTCGTGCTTCCTCTCCGAGTGAACTTCTCGCATGCCGAAGCTCGGGCTTCGCGAACGTTGGGGCAGTGGGGATGCTAGGCAATCGGATGTCGGAAGAGTCTGCCTTGAGTTGGGGCTCCGGTGCCATCGGAAGATCTGCCGTAAGGTCCATGTTTGAACCTACGTCGGGAAGATCGGGGAGACCTAGAGAGCCTAGACCCATATCACCCGGTTGTTCGTCGAAGAAGTTGAAATCGGCTTCGGTAATATCATTGTCTCCAAACATATCGGGGCCAAGCTCGCCGAAGAGATTCTCAGATTCGAACGAGGCGCCTATACGCTCGCGCTTCGCTTCCATGTTTTCCCAGCCATCATTAAGGGACTGAGTATTGTGAACAACATCGATTTCGACTGTTGTGGTGGTCGTCGCATTGTTCCCAGGACTGGATCCTGTGCCATCCAACGATTGAGGCTCTGTATGATTTTGGCTACCTTCGGGTGGCGTTGGGTACAGGCCCCCTGTAAGCATTCCGGCGTTACCCAACCGTTGTAAGGTTAAAGGGGAATGTCCATTCGCGTGTTGGGCTTGACCGTCTGCGGCGTCACGAGCTACCGCAACCTCCCTCTCCTTCATGTTTTTCGCTAACAGTTCATCTCGTTCCCTAGCGCCTTGAAACCAACTCCTCGCAGCTTTTAGAGTATCGAAGCACCGGTCGGGGGAGGACGTTGACTGCTCCTCCGTGTCGGCTCTGATTGCCAGTCGCGAAAATATCTTACAAAAGCAAAGGTTGGCGGGCCACGATACGCTGTAAGAGCCTGCTAGGGGAGTTCTTTTCCCATCGACGGGCTGCTCTACAGGCTTTCGGCGCATCCGATGAAGGGTAATCCAGTTCTGGGACCCGTTCGGGGTACATGGGACGTTACGGGCCTGTAGAAATTTGGCACAAAAGCTGCGCCAAGGACCGTCGTCTCTCTCGGACCGCATCCGTAGAACCTGAGTATCCGGCGACTGGCCTAGGTTGCTTTCGACGACTGTAGGTTCAGACAGAGAACTAGGTTGGCAAGTGGCAAACATTCCGAGCGGAGCGGCTAATATGGTAACGCCGAAAGATGGCAACATGTGCCCGATATTTTGAGACAGGCTAATAATACCCTCTGCGGGAGAGAGAGCTAGGGATATGACAAGGCTACCTGTCGTGGTAAGGTATATACGCAGTGACGCGAGAACGGCGATTGCGGCGCTGTAACTATGGTGAGCTTCTTTGGAAAGAAGCAGCGTTTGGCAGCTTAATGGGATGGCGCCAGTCTTGGCACAGAAGCTCCATGAGACCGCCGAAAGGGCTGCAGAGATGAAATATTGGTAGGCGTCCCTGATTAAAACTGAAGAGCTGACCAGTTTCAACTCCTGGTCGGCTGTGGCCGTGGGCGTCGGAAAGGACTGAAGCGACGGAAGGGTGGCGGACGGCACGCTCCTGTAAGCCGAATCGAGGGCGGACGACCCGGCCGACGAAGAGGAGCTAGCAGGTGTGTTGACGGTGTTCGGGCCATAGAAGCGATTCTTCGCGAGCGCGGCCGACTCGAAAGCACCCTCCTCGACAAGTGAGAAGGACAACCCAGCGTTGCCGACCGATTTCGGGAACGCGGAACTGCTGGCTGCATTTCCCTGAGGCCTGTCTTTTCTCCATATATGGAAGCACCACAATCTCCGTCGCGCGGTATCATAGTAGGCCAGGAAGCCATCCTTCCGAAGCGTCGTCTCCAGTTCGAGCGCCCTGGGGTCGAAGGAGGTCGGGACCGGGGTGACGGGGTCGTAGAAAGCGAAGCTGACAGAAGATATATTATTCTAGACGTCGAGAAGCCAGTCAGCGGAAAAGGGCACAGGCAGACAAGCAGGAGAGGTGAGGAGCGCAACGGACAATTACTAATGCATTAGTCTCGTATTCACCAGTGTCCATATCGTAGATCGTATCAATCATTCCGTCGCAAGAGTCGTTTCCATATAAATGGCGTCACGGGCGCCGTCGGACCAGGAAGCAGAAGCAACGGTTACGGGAAGATGGAGATACAGCGAACGATATGAATACTGGGTATCGCGGTTGTTAATTTCAGTCTCTGAGGTCTCCAGCACGTGCTGAACTCCATCTCCGCTGCGCCTACGTTGACCAGAGACGAGGCGAGGGCGGAAGCGCAGGGGAGAGACAGGCAGGCGAGCGCGCGGACGCACAGCTATCGAGCCATCGAGATGCCGTCGCGGTTGGCGTTGATAGGATCTTGTCCTCGAAGGCAGAACAGCAGCAAGACCACGTTACCGACGAGACACCGCGGATGGGAAGGATTGAGACTCAATCGTGGAGGGAATCGACAGTTTGGGGCGGCGAAAAGGGCGGAGTTGGCGGTGGATTGTGATGAATAGACGAAAATCCCTGTATCGAGTTGTTGCTGAGCCTCTGGCTCTAGGCGTGACCAGGTGCAGGGAGCCGGGAGGTAGAGAAAGGTACCCACACTTAAGGTGTCCTGCGATCTCCGGCAGAGGCCACCTTTGGGTACCTAGACAGGTACGTACCGGTACCGATGCGAGAGAACTGCCAGCGGCCCTGGGCACCTGAAGTATGGGATGTACGCGTGCACGGCTTCTATGGAGGTACATGCTGCCTATAGGCTAAGGTGCTTGACGAGGCAGGCGACATCTGATATCAGGCGCAGAGGGGCCAATCAGCCTTGGAGAGTCTCGCAATTGGCGGGTCGCAGCCGTCCAAGGGACCTATCCCAAGTACTGCTACCACACTCCACGGGCCGTGGCCAATGCCAACGTCGGTACTGGTACCACGTTACCATCCAGGGAGCATCGGAGCCAGCTCCCACTGAGCCTAGGCCTGGGGCAAGATCTCACCGTCGGACCGGCCAGGGAATGTCGGGCTAATGCATGGAAATGCGCCTCTCGTGGCTCCCGGCTGACTTTTCCTTATCGCTCCCTATCGCGTCCTATCGCGTCCTATCGCCCCTCTACTTAGAGCGGCCCCATTTTAGGTAACGCTGCAGCAGATCTGCTGGCGGATTTTTTTCTTCCTCTTCTCGTTTTGTGCTCGTGCGTCTTTCCGGCCGGCCGCAGTTCGCGCGATCAAGTCTCGACTTCTCTCCCCCTCGCTCTCGTGCAATCAGGAGACGCCGGTGACCACTCGCTGGCACGAACGTCGCCATGAAGGCCACCAACCAGGGGGATGTGTCGGTGTACACCATAGCCGGCGCAAACACGGCGCGCCCTCTTCCGGATTGGTGCGAGATGCCCTCCCACGCCTACGTCTCCCGGCGCAAGCATTGCTCGGTTCCGGGCCATGGAAACAGGTGCTAACTATACTCCCATGCAGGCTCGCTCGTCGCCGGAAACGCAGCTTGAAGTCCGACCCGGAGTACCAGAATCGGATAGAGCTTCTCCAAGACTTCGAGTTCGAGGAGGCCAGCCAGTGCGTGCGAGTCTCGGAGGACAACGATTGGATAATGTCCACGGGGACGTGTACGTTGCCCCCGGTCTCCCCTACCTACCCTCCGCACTCTCTCCAGCAGGCCATCGTATTCTCCAGAATAGGGCGAGGCCCTGGCCGCGGGACGAGATGCTAATCTCTGCTGGCAGACAAACCTCAGTTTCACGTTCACTACCTACCTCATCTCTCTCTGTCGTTTTCGAGGCACACGACGTCCCTCAATACCACCTTCGTCCTCCTCTCGACCGACTACTCGAAATCGCTCCATTTGCAAAGCGACCGGAGACTAGAATTCCAAGTAAGATTCGCGTAGCCTCGAGACGATGAATCCAGCGTCTCGCAAACTATGCGCTCGTCCGAGGACGCTAATATCTCGGTAGACCCCCGCCGGTTGTCACTACGGGCTACGCTTGCCCAGGTACGGGCGAGACCTCGTTTACGATCGACATGCTACCGAGGCATTGATTCCTTCCGTGGGACTGGATTCCGATGGTAACGGCGAGGTCTTCCGAGTCAATCTAGAAATCGGGAGGTTCGTCAAGTCGTATCAGGTCGATGTGGGGGCCGACGAAGGCGTCGAAGGCGGCTTACAAGGGAGCATCGGTGTTGGAAGTGTGAACACGGCAGCAATCGCCGAGACGAGCCACAACTTACTGGCATTTGGGACGTCTATCGGCTCCGTCGAGTTCTGGGATTCGCGATCCAAGGCTCGGATTGCCGTTCTGGGTGGTCAGGAAGGCGAAATAACTGCTCTCGACTTCAACCCGTCGGGGCTTTCGTTGGCGACAGGTACCTCGAACGGTATAGTCAAAATTTTTGACCTGCGGAGTCCGAAACCACTCCTGCAGAAGGACCACGGTTCAGGATTCCCGATCAAGAATCTGATTCATATGACGACGTCTTCGCAGGAGAAGAAGATCTTATCTGCTGATAAGCAGATGATCAAGATCTGGGACGAACTCGATGGCGAGACCTGGACGTCTGTTGAGCCATTGGTCGACATCAATTTCGTCACATGGTGCAAGAACACGGGAATGATTCTGACGGCTAACGAGGGCAAACCTCTGCATAGCTTTTTTATACCGCAGCTAGGATCTGCGCCGCGGTGGTGCCCGTTCCTCGACAACATGGTTGAAGAGATGGCCGACGAGGTCAGCACCGAGCAATATGACAATTTCAAGTTCCTCACTCTGCCGGAATTGAGGTCCCTCAGCCTCGACCACTTGATCGGCAAGACAAACCTATTACGCCCTTACATGCACGGATATTTCGTGGCTTCGAAGCTGTACGAGCAAGCTCGGTTAATCGTCAACCCGTATGCGGCGGAAGAGGAGCGTGCCAAGCGTATCAAGGATAAGGTTGAAAAAGAGCGTGCCAGCCGCATCCGCGGAAATAAGAAGGTCAAAGTCAACCAGAAACTAGTCGATAAGTTGCTCAAGCGTCAAGAGAGGAGGGCGCAAGTGGACACGAAGGCTGGGTTGCTTGGTGATGAGCGTTTCGCCCAACTATTTGAAGACGAGGAGTTCATGATCGACGAAAACAGTCACGAATTCCGGGCTCTTCACCCAAGCACGAACGCCGACGGAGGGGCAGGCGCGGCCACTACTTTCCAGAGAGCGACGTCAGACGAGAGCGAGGAAGACGCAAGCGACGTCGACGAAAGCGACGTTGAAGCCGCTCCCAAGCCGGATAGAGAGAGACAGATGGTGATGCGCGTCCGGGCGTCCGGTAGCAGCAGTGGCCGCTTGTCGAAAGACACATCACTGGGTTCTAGGACGCAAAAGCCGGGCCGGGTTAGCAAAGCCCGAACCGGCGACGTGGTTGGAGAGAGAAAGATCACGTTCATACCAGAATCGACGAGGAAGAAGAAGACGGAAGAGGCCCCGATCGCGCAGGCGAAGGATAGACGAAAGGACTCGCGACGGAGCGCTAGTAGTAATGTCTTCAGACGACTATGATACCCCTAATGATGAAATAATTGGACGGATTAAACAGGATCCCCAGTGCGAATCGCCTCCCCCGTGACTCCTGGCTCCAGTTTGGAGAGGGAAAACAACCCATGCTACCCCGAATACCATCCCACACCGTCCGTGTTGGCTGCCAATGCCTACCCCCTCTAGATTGCCGACGCTCGCCTGCATTTACTTCCTGGTCCACCTGTGGCCTCTCCCTTCAGGGCTCTGCCGAATGCTTCCCTTGGCAAGGCCTTTCTCGATATCTTCAGCTCGGAGTTTCGGCGTCGGCGGCACATCGTCTAGGCGAACACGGCCGCGAGACGAATTGCTCGACGAACCCTTGGCCGACTTGGGGAATTCGGACCGACGGGGTGTGAGAGCCGTGACCACCCTCCTCGCCGAGCGCCGGATGCTCTCCCTAACCTTCCACTCCCTCTTTTTAGCCAAGTAGAAGAGCACCGCCATGGAGACTAGTTCCTGTATTAGTGTATTGTCAAGGCACACGCATTGGGGGCCTCTCGTATATATATATAGGTATGCGTGTGTGTACGCATGTATGTATGTAGGGGAGTGGACGAGCGTTTTACGTACTGCCTAGCATGCAGACAACTGCGACGACGACTATTATCGCGATCATAGCCTCGTGGGAGATCTGCACGACGCCAGGGCTGCTTCCCGACGCGCCAGCCGAGTCGTCGATGCCGCCGCCCGAGTTGGCCGAGCCGGACCCGCTGTCGCTACTGTCGTTCCATGGTCCGTCCGTCTCCAGCGGGAACACGTCGGTGGTGGGAGCCGCGGCCATGATGACTTGCAGCAGGCGAGACGGCGAAGGGAGAGAGGGCGAGAACTGGTTCGTTTACTGACTAGATACTAGCCGCGAGCCGGCGCTTTGGTTCTGGGTGGTACGACGTGGGACGACCGTTGAAGAATGTGAGCCAGCCTCATCCAGCCGTATGGGAGGAAAGGGAGAGAAAGGAGAAGGGCTAGGATTTGTATCACGCCACGCTCGCGCGGGCACTGACCGGGTACTTATGAGCGAGGTGCTGTTGGGACCGGAGGGGAGGGGAGGAGAGCAGAGAGGAGGAGGAGGGGGGTCGGACCGCTTAGCAGAAGCGCTAGAGCAGATGTGTGTTTTTTTTTCTCTCGAGGGGCCTCCCTGAGATGTGACAGGATATGCATGGTGGTGGGTTGGACGGGTATGTGTTAAGTCGATAGGCGTGGGAGAGGGAGAAAGAGAGGAAGAGAAAGAGGGCAAGATGCCTACGAGCCTACGAGCCTACCTACTACTACCCGCACACACACACGCACACGCACACGCCTACAGGAACCGTGTGTGATGTGTGAGAGGTAGAAGATGTGCGTGCGGCATGCGCAGCGTTAGCTGTAGTCTCCGACTGGCTCGACGCAGCACTGGCAGTTGGGACGTCCAGGGGTCCCGGCACTTCGGCGGCTCGCGATTGGGCGCGGCGGCGAGCTCACGTCGAGCTGGAGCATTGAGATCTCCGTGATCCTAGATCGTCCCGCAGCCGCCATTGGCTGCCGCGCCCTCGAAGCGCTTAGCCCAGGGCGCTTTCGCGCCTTGTCCCATTGCCGCTCTGCCAATCAGCGCATCGGCGACAGGGGGTGCGCCGCATGGGGTCGCTCTCTGAGTCTCTCTTTTGGGGTCTTCTCGTCCTCATTTTATCGTCGCCCAGGTGTGCGCAAGTGCGGATGGACCTATGGATGGGCGTGCGAGGCGGGCTTGTTTTAGAACTTGTGCAGTCTTCGTCACATCTGTCGCCCACGGTATTCCCGTCTTAACCCCCCGTCCTGTCTCTCTCGTCGCAGTCTATCGGCACTTCTTTCTTTAATCCCTCCTTCTTCTGCTGTTTCCTACGTCGTATCTCGTGGTCGTCGGGCATGGGCGAGAACTCGTCGGGTCACTATCCGCTGAAGAATTTCGCTTCGTACCGTACGGTCGGGTTACATTATGCCGGCATTCGACTTACGGCTCGACTGGCTGCTCAACTGGGTTACATACGCCCTCTTCTCTCTATGCGTAGCAACCTCCAATAGCCGCGGCTCTATAGCCCTCTCCGTCTACTCGATAGGTGGTGGGCCATGCTTTCCTCTGGAAGGATCAGCCAGACAAGCCATCAACACCCGCTCTAGCACAAGTCCTGGCCGTGCCACCGGTCTCGCCATCTAAAATAGCAGCGGTATGTCTACCTCCGTACTACGCCCGGGTTATCGCGTAGCTGTTCTAAGAGGTCGAGGGACGACGCTCTCTGTTCTCGCATGCCCGCTTTCGGCGCCCGATCCTGATCGAAGCCGTCGTCTCATCTGCCGCCCTGCCTGCGACGCAGACGCTTGAATGCAGCACGTAGAATGGGCGAGTATAGAATCCTTTCCCCTCAGTCGGCAGCATCTCCGTAGAAAATCGGTAGACAGAGACAGCCGTCGCGCCTACATCGTTTCTAGTAGCGCTATTAGCCTTGCGCATAAGCCACCCCCTACCTATACCTCCCCCTATTGTAAACCGGATGGATGGCGCTCTCGCGGTGCATACGTTTTATTAGTGGCGAGGAGGGACCAAGGGGTGGTGGGCGTTTACCCGCGTGTAAGTTAGCTGGGTTGCGCGGGATGCCTAGACGAGACCTCCCTTCCTAGCTTTACGTGTACACGGGTCCTCGAGTTACCGATCCCACGGATGGCATCCATGGCGGGGAATGGGGTAAGGGAAAAAGAAGCAGGGCAAAAAATAGCACCCCCGACTGCATGACGCGCGGAGGCCGGCCGTAGTTGCGGCCTCGCCAGTCCTCGCGAAGGCTTGGCCTATGCGGCCGCTCGCCAGTCAGGATCCTAGCGGCCGACCTTCCACGGCTTTCCTGAGATACCACGTGTATCATATAAGGCCAGAGGGATATATCACACATTCCGGCCGGGGCTCGAGGCGTCTTGGCCGCCACTCCCCGCCGGTGCTCGATGCTATCTTTAGCCCGCGAAGGCTAGTAGGTAACAGGGCCCCGTCCAGACCCTCAGCGTCGCTACGCCCGCTTCCCAACGCGAGCATATTAGCTCTGAACGCCTATCCACTCGAGCGACTCTTGCGACGGAATGTTTTTGCGCGTGGCTGGACACGTAGTTACCCCGGATTGGATGAGTCCGGATTTGTTGATGTCTGCTCGATCCAGTGGACAAGAAGGGCCCCGAGATCGGGGAAGACGATCGGTGCTATGCCGGCTTCTCATCTGGGCATTCTTTTTTCTCCCACCGATGGGAGGAGTCGCATCTCAGCGGTAATTACGACGATAGCCTCGAATAAACGCGTGCAATGATGACCCCATCTGTCGACAGAAAATAAGCCGCCTTTCGTGCCCTAATATCAACATGTAAATACACATGATGGTATTCGAGTTAATGTAGTATTACGCAGCTTAGTGACGATACTATTCGCTATGCCTATAGGGTACAACCCAAAGTAACACAGACATCTAAGGTGAACTTCTTGCTACAGGGCACAATCCACAAGAAAGATGACAGTGCTGGGGTCGGTGTTTGGAGTGGCAGTTGGGGGGAGCCCCTTTTCTCTCCTCTCTCCATACAGCCTTGCTTCCGTGCAACCCCCATTCTTACCTAATGAGCCGCCCTTGAAATCGCGACAATGCGGAATCAAGGGGTGATTGTCTTCGAGGACTCTGTAAGTTCTATTAGTCTCGTCAAGACAGTTGGGTGAGTAGCTAGCTCCGGAGGTTTAGATGGAATGGATATGAAGGTGAAGATACCGCGCGAAGATAATCCTTTTCTTCACATTAGCCGGTTTCATTCCTGTCCATCTTTCACTAATATCGTGACATACGAATTCTTGCCGACGCGGTTTTGGTTCGAAAGTATCGTTACTTTCGGTTCCAGCACTATAATCATAGGATCCCAATAATTACAAACGACCCTGCAGGGGCAACGACACGGACTCTCAGGAATCTAGTTATTCAAGTCTATGAAATATGATTAGGGGGTAGTTGCATTCGAAGCCTAGAGCTAGAATATTTACACATCAGTCTTTAGCCCACCTGAACAGAAACTAGAGCCGGGGAGAAACCTCGTAGCTGATACTCTCGGTTAATAGGCATTGAAGTACGCCCTGCCTAAGCATGAAGGGACGGCGAAGGCTTAGCGAGATGGAGCCGATAGCCCGAAGAAGCACTCACGTAACGCCGCAGCCTAGAAACCAAAGCCCCGCTATAAGTTGAATTCCGTGAAGGTCTTTTGAAAGTGGCTTGCCGCGTGCTAAGTAAGTGTTTTCGTGTGGTTTTATTACTGACGAGAAAGAACTGGCTGAAGAGTGCATCCATCTATTTGTGGACGATTTCGAGAAAATTACTACGTCAACTTGCCTATAGGATTGTCGATAATCATATCGCTCTGCCTTTATCGCATTTGCAAGGACGAAGCGCTGCTTAGATGGCCCTCGACTCTTCACATCGTTGCCTTACTAGGAACGTAAAGTTACAGCAGCAATCCCTATTCTAAACCAACATGCCGGGATGCAGAGTGATTTGTGTTTTCTGCATATGCTTGATATCACGGATAAAAACATATAGGTGTGGTTAGCTAGCTTCCTATGCGACATATCGAGATATTGGTGTCATTCCAGTATGCCTCATGCCGCCTCACCAGGGGAGGTCAAGGTCTTAATGGTAGTTGCGACCCTATATCAAGACCGCTTACATAACTTGCCATAGTCGAAGGTATCCGGCCGTGACTGGAGTGTCTCCCTCTTGCTACTTCTTTCACTTAATACCCGCAAACCTCTCAATCCACCATTTTCCAATCTCCTCGCTCCAGTTTCTCGACTTCTCGACGGCCAAACCGGAAGAGTCTATGTGAGCATCCCCTACCCTGACACTTGTCTCTGCCTCGGAGGGTTTGTCATTCGTTTAGGCTTAGCTATAAACCATTATTCCTCGGGGTCCCGTAGCCATTGTGTGTGTTCCTCTGCCTCTGCGTTGCCGTCATGTCCTTCAAGGGCTCCGAATCCTCTCCCATCGGACCACACGAGCCCGGTCCATCGCCAGACAGGCACGGGGACGCCGAGTCTCAAGCCTTCTCATGGCAGGCCGACCTCCCTAAACCGTCGCAAGACTTACAGGAGACCATCTGTGCCAGTGGCGAAACTCCCATTTTCAAGCAGCAGCCTAGCCAGGATCTTCCGTCAGTCCGTTTCACTCGCCCACGAATAGAAACAGCTGAGGAAGTCATGGCTGGATTCCAGTATCAGAAGCCGCCAGATCCGCGTACTACGTTCCACGGCCCTGTAGAGTCGCAGAAGAAGCCACTCCTCACATCTGTTCCTGACAGCAATGAGGCCTTGAAATATGATTATAATCCCAAATCACCTGGATCCGACGGCCATGACAGCCCAAGAGAACGTCTTCCGCTGAGGAGTAACGAACATGAAGGGTATGGGCCTAGAAATAACTCCCCTAATAACAAATTAGGAACACAAACCTCCGATCTCCATCGAATCTACGACCGATCTACTCAAGATAGTCATCTTCGAAATTCCGACGTATCTAGCCCTACATCGAATCACCATACGTCTGGCTTCCCCTTCCCGGACGCCCTTGATGCTACACATCATGAAGGGAAAAAGTTCGTATCTCCTCTAGCTAGAGCACAATTCCCTAAAGCCATCTCGGATGCTTGCCAGAAAGCGCTCGTGCAGATGACGCCTCAGCATCTGCCTCTGCTGGCCAGTGGTTCGCAGTCTCCTTCAGATAAATCTCGACGTCAATCAATGTGTGCTCCGGCAGAACAAGACATCCGCAGCTCATCCGGGGACGGAGGTCATTCGCGGGCTCGCAAGCTAGGCCATAAGGAGCCTCTAGTAAATTCCCATGACGGTGAGATGAGGCATGTAGCGGGAAGACGCCATCGGCTCGGCCGCCTGCAAGCAGGGAGGGCTGGCCTCACACGGCCCGTAGAAGGATCTGTCCGCGAACATACCTATGCAGCAAGGCCATGTTCCCAGACGTCGAATATTTCGAAGCGACGTGCGCCTGCCAAACTTCACCGTCAGCGAGTAAGCCCCACACGAGAACAGAATAGGCTCAATCTTGAGAAGTTCGCGAAATCCTGGAACGTGAATTACCTCTACAATCAGCAACTTCTCGACCGCTGGGAGCAGAAGATCGCCATGTTGGAGAAGCAAATTGCAACACGGGATTCCACCATTGAACAGTGTCGAACTGACATCGAATCCCGAAACCAAACCATAGATACCTTGTCAAAGGACCTAGAAGGCATGCGTATCCAGAGCCAACAGGCTCAGGAACAAATGGCTGCATCTTCTGCTACGCAAAAGAAGCTAGAAGAGAAGCTCCGATCCTGTAGGCTACGCCTAAATGAGGCCATCAGCGAGCAGCAAAGGCTATTTTTGCGGTCTAAAGAGAGATGCCAGAAGACAATAGATGATGTCAAAGCAGAAAGCCGAGAACAGGCGAAAGCCACAGAGAAAGCCCTGGAGACATCGGAGTTGGCGAGACTCGAAGTTCAAAAGATGGTTGCCACCGTGGTGAAAGATACCGAGAAACATGTCGAAGCTTGTAAGTTGAACATGTCATCTCGGTATCACCTGCTTCGATATTAATCCTTCTCCTAGTAAACAAAACCATCGGATCACTCGAGATCCGTCTGGAAGAGCGAGAAAGGGAGCTTGGAAGGGAGAAAGAACTAGCCGAAGATCTTCGTAGACAGCTCACTGCGACCTCCATATTGAATGAAGAATCCTACCAGACGATAGCGAGACGGAATCAAGAGCTGCTAGAAAAGATGGAGCACAGCCATAACCAGGGTAACAATATGGAATCCTGCATCCGCGACCAAAATGAAAAGTAAGCAATCTCTCAAGTAGGCAGATGGTAATAATACTAACCAGGTAGAATTGAATCTATCCTATTAGCTCTGAAAGAGGCAGAGTCAAAAGTAGTAGTGTCAGCAGCATTGATGGAAACGTTGAAGGAGGTTCAGAACGACGCTGCGGTAAAGTGAGTATCTTGACGTAACCAGACAACAACCGATTGCTTATCAGTCCTTAGGGTTGTTACTGAAGTCAAGAATTCGGTAGAGTCGTGCCGAAACCCTATCCTCGAAGACCAAGAAGCTATGAATGGGAATATTAGTTCTATTCGCACGTTATGCGAGGGAATTCTTGAGCGCATGACGAGTACAGACGAAGTCATGGAGTGGCAAGGGAGATCTCACGACTCTGCTATGGCCGTTCAAGCCCAGGCACAGCAGATTCAACAGCTACAGGATGAGCTTAGTCAGGCTTACATTTGCATGGAAGAGCAGTCAGCAGAGCGGCAGCAGCTGATGGATGAGTTGCTCGATTTGCGGAACATGGAGCATGACGAGCAAACGGCGAATGACAGGATCAACGATTTGACGGAAGAGGTTGTGCGCCTCCAAAAGATGCTAGAGGAGAGAGACTCAACAGCAACAGAGTCCTGTCAAAACATTGGGGTCATGCAAGAAGAGATAGCATCGCAAGCTCTTCAACTTCGGAACAAAGAACAACGAATTCAAGATGAGCGCAAGAATTACGAGAAAGCCATCGAATCGAGTAATCAACAGCACGAGCAAACGATACTTCACATCGCCACTCAAGAGGCCGAGAAGCACGAAAAAAGGCAAAAGGAACTGGAGAGGCAACTTCGAGAGGCAGATGTGGCCCGTACGCAACTCGAGCAAGAGCTGATCATATGCCGGCGAGCCGTGGAAAGCAGAGCCCAAGTAGACGTTGAGAAAGAATTGCGCAAAATCCGGCATGAAATCGATGCGGCAATGACTTCAGTCACTACTTTAACATCGGACTTCGAGGCATCCGAGCATGCACAGGGCTTATTACAATGGAGACTTACTGAGTGGTCGAAGGATCGAGTCGAAATCGACGAAATCCAGCAGACCCTAGAAAGATTAACGAGAGACCAACCGAACTCAGTTCAAATGAGCAACCAGCTGAGAGAACTACTAGCTATCCAGAAAAAGTTATCGGGAACTCTACAGTATCACAGGGCATATTTAGACAGTGCTGAAGTAACTGGGATTGCCGATAAAGACTCGCACGATAGCGAAACGACCACTGTAGATGAGAGAGATATTGGCCTGTCAAATAATCCGCCGGACATGACAGCTGCGCTCCCGGAAAAATTGCGAGATCTCAAGCGGAAAGTCATCGTACAATCTCCCGCTTTTGATGATGAGCGCGCATCACCGAGGTCTGTCGAAGACGAAAAGCGCAATAGGAGACAGTTACTGCCCGAAAGGGGGATCATAAAGAGAGCTACACAGAGTATCCTGGGGGCAATAGAAGGGATGGGCGAATCTAACAGCACCGAGCCTCGGGCGCCAACGGCACCGCAGTCGCCAGCACCCAAGAAAAGAATAGCTAGACGTGGTTCAAGCACGCCCCTGATAACTTACAGCATATATAATAGACCCGTTGCGGGGTCAGTTACGGCGATGAGCGCCGGACAGAATGAGAGCAACGAAGCTCTCTCGGAAGGACCAGAGGCACCGAATATCCAGGATAAGTCATCACGGTCAGAGGGTCCTACGGCCCCAAACTAGGGTGCGAGAGTGTTAGACATTTAGTGTCATCTGAACCGGCGACTATGGCGCTTATTCACGATATGGCAGCCTAAGACTTACTTGCTACCTTGCTTACGACTGGCTACGGATTAAGTGCTCTGGTGACGTTATGAAGAGAAATGGGTTAAGCTATGGGAATAAAATTGGTGAGTTAAGGCACATTACAAAGTCTCGGCTAGTCCCATGGGAGGTGGGAGGATTTCTAGAAAGCATGGCGTAGAATGAGTAAGTTTAGCTTGATCGCAGGGAGAGGGCAAGTCTACCAGTAGTAATAAATGTCCCGTCTTCCCTCCAGATGAGCTCCCGAATGCGCCGTGAACCGTTGCTGATGCCATGTACGATGGGCCTTCCACTTGGGGAGCGCCTATAGTACATGGGGATATATATGTATGTACGTCCGCACAACCACCTTGATACTTTTTTTCTTTATTTACACAGAGTCTATCCCCAGATGAGGCACCTAACTCCTCAGTCTTATGTCATAATTTTATCCTCTCATCGCCCATAGGTTGGGGGGGTCCAAGGGCCCGCCGTCGTCATCCAGGGTGCGTAGATCTCGCTCGTCGTCCGTCGTAGGGGGTGACAGGCCGAGGAGAGGAGAGGAGAGAAAAGTGGGGGTGGAGGGAGTAGCGTTATAGTCGGCTATCCCACGCAGGTCCGGGCAGCTACTACTACCACGGCCGCCGGCTATTTCGATTTCCGCTTCTGTTCGAGGAAGAGCACCTTTTTCCGGACTAGAGTTGGGCGCCGGGAGTCAGTAAAGATGGAGGGATGATGGTCTGGGGGGATGTCGGAGGGGGCAAGGCGTAGGTAGGTAGGTAGGTAGCAGAAGAAGGGGCGGCGTACCGACGGGGTCGTACTTGAGCATGCTCATGGGGCGCGCGGCGCGGGGGCGCGTGTACGTGTAGAAGAAGCCGGTCAGGGCCATCGAGAGCAGGCGCACGGAGATGACGCGCGCCTTGGCTGCGGCACGCGAGGGCGAGGGGGGGTTAGTTGCGGAGGCAATACGCGAGGCGAGGGGGGAGAGCGAGAGAGGGGAACGGAGGAGGTGCTGGTCTGGCGAGGAGCGGGATAGGGAACCCCCTCCGGGCCAGGGTCTCAAGACCTACCTTTTTTCGCCATCGGTTCGTCGGTCGCGGCGGCGCGGCCTGGGGCGGAGAGGGGGGTGGCAGCGTAGATCCCCCCGTCGTCGGCCCGCGTTGGGTGTGCGTGTTGTGCGTGCGTGCGCGTCTGTGCTAGCGGGCGGAGCAGTGAAATATGCACGGGGGGAAGCTGAGGACGATGTTGCAGGCTGTGAGTTTTTGGCGGAGCGGCCCCGCGGAGCGCGGCGGTGTGGCTGGTGAGGTACCGACCTGCTACAACCTGGCTGTGGCGCGAGAGGGTGGAAGTGGCTGGAAAGTCGATGCTATACTTATCGGTGATAAGATACCGCCTCCATTATTAAATATACTTATTTACTCGCATATATTCATGTACCGGTGGACTATGCAGTTAGGGCAATATCTAGGTAGAATGACTCCTGCCCACCGCGTCGGCTCGTCATCGGACGCTTCACGAGTGCCGTCAGCCTCTCCAATCCAATCCCACGTAGCCCAGCCGGATCTAGATTATCTCCCGTCTAGAAATGAACCCTCCTGCCGTCTCCAACAGACGGACTGGATAGGCCATTCGCGTGGACCTTCCCAGAACGGACATGGTCGAGCGCGTCGTCCCCGGGGTGCTTCGCTTCGCTCGTCTATCTAGCGTCCATCCCGCGGGCGGGAGCGGCCAATCATCCCTTTCCTATTTGTGTTCGGATTCGAAGCCTCATGACTTGTACGCGGAAAGAGGTAGGTATCTATCTTGCGCGCCGAAAAGGTTGGCACTATTTAGCAGTGCGTGCTCCGGTATAGGGAACGTGATGGCATGCGTCGTTGTGATCCCAGCATGCACCCACGGTTTCTGTCTGTCTTCTCTCGGGATTTGGTATAGGTATATAAACCATAACCATCACATTGTGATCGTAAAAGACCCCGAAGGTCTATGATGAACTGAAGACAGACCTCGCCAAAGTTGGGATACCTGTCCGGGTTCATATAGCTACGAGAGTAGCCAGATGTATCTTTGATATATCTATCCACCTTCACCCCTAACATACGCTTATAACCCGGAAGAGGAACCCCGGCCGCTCGCCAAAATGCCTTCCTTCAACCTCGAATACCCGACGCAGCCTTACAGCAAGGTAAACCGGCATAACGATCGAGGTATGTATCTAGCCTCTCCCCGCCGTTCCCCCTTTCCTCCTCCCATATAACCACCCCCACTCCCCTAGAGGGCCGACTGACACACCCCTGCATCCGCCAGCCTCGTACGCGCTCGAGACCATCCACGAGATCGTCAACACGTGCCCGATCCTGCACGTCTCGTTCGCGGACCCGGGGGCGGCCTTCCCGGCGGTGCTGCCGATGATCGGGCAGATGGGCTCGTTCGAGCGGCCGAGCGCCGACGTCGGCGACGTCCTCGACCTGTATCTGCACGGGCACGTGGGGGTGCGGCTGGCGAGCCGGGCGCGCGCCGACGCCGACGGCGGCGGCCTGCCCGTGTGCGTCGCCGCCACCCACCTCGACGGCCTCGTGCTCGCCCTCACCCCCTTCTCCTCCAGCTACAACTACCGCTCCGCCGTGCTCTTCGGCCGCGCCGTCGTCGTCGCCGACCCCGCCGAGCAGCGCTACGCCCTCGAGCTCATCACCGACTCGGTCGTCCCCGGGCGCTACCGCGGCACCACGCGCTCCGCGCCCGCGCCCGCGGCCGACCCCGCCGACGCCGTCGCCACCCCCGCCGAGATCCGTGCCACCGCTGTCCTGCGCGTCCGCATTACCGCCGGCTCCGCCAAGGGCCGCGCCGGCCCCCCCGCCGACACCCGCGCCGACCTCGCCGACCTCGCCCTGCGCCGCGGCACTTGGGCCGGCGTCGTGCCCGTCCGCTACGAGCTCGCCGCCCCCGTCCCCGCCCCCTACAACCAGGCCCCCGCCGTCCCCGCCTACCTCGATGAGTACCGCGCCGAGTTCAACCGCGCGGCGGCCGAGGGCGCCGCTGCCGCTGCGAGGGAGGGTGAGGGGTGGGCGTACGGGAAGGGCGCTGGACAAGAGGAGGAGGAGGAGTGAGGAGTCGAGGCGGCATCGGGGCAAGGGTGGGCAAGGAGATGGCGGGTGCTCGGTTTATAGTGGTGTTCGCTGGCGCCCGGTGCGGAGGCCGGAGTGGGATGCCGGGGGATGAGGGACGTGAGATGCCGGTTCGAGTGCCGACGAAGTTAGTGAGACTGCAGTGGATCTGTAGCTAAGTAAGAAAGAAAAGGATCAGTTTTCTGGGAGACGGGGGAGTGTGTTCAGTTAGTTTAAACCTGCGCTGAGACAGTCAAGACAACGAAAAATTTGTGAACGCTAGGTAGATCTGAAAGTAGTATATGTCCAAAAGGGAATGTCCATAATCCAAAGTTGCCCTCTACAACTTTTAACTTATGTACACGACGGGCAAGTATGCCTGTTCGAAAGCTTCCCGGCTTACCTGCACACTCAAAGGCTCCATTAGGTACAGCCGAAACCGCCGACTAATGTAACCACCCACTCGCTCACCAGCTGGAGCGAGAGGACTCACCAGTTCTGCCATATCTCACTCGGCAGCACAAACCGCATGACGGCCCAGTGGCCCAGCGCGCTGCGGTCGTGCCACTTCGCCAGCTTCTCCGTCTCGTTGGCGCGGAGGATACCGTCTTCTTCTCCATTGTTCGCGTCTGCCTCTTCTCCCTCCTCGCCCAGCTTCTCCTTTCCCTTGGTGGCAACAGCGAATACCGACTCGGGAACTTCGTGCTTGGGCACTAGAAACGAGCGGCGCGCAAGGCTGCCGAGATAATCGGCCTCGACGGGCGAGCGGAAAGAGATGGCGCCGGCGACAGTGAAAGGGTCCGCGTTAGTGCAGAACACGATTACGTTGTCGAAGTCCCGTCCCGCCTGGGCGACAGCGTCAGGCGTTGGTGCCTCGTTCTCCCGGAACACGCGGCACGATGGGAAGACGGACTTGATAGTGCGGATAGCGATGCCAAGCGGTGGGAGGGTAAAGTCGCCGGCATAGTTCTGCCGATGGTTAGGATACGGTAGGGTTATGGGTTTAACTCGTTTTTCATATAGAAGGACGAGAAGAGGAAGGAGGGAGAGGGCTTACTATGGCTATGACGCCGTTGGGCTTCAGCATGTCGCGCAGAGAAGTCAGAAACTCTTGGGTGAATAGGGGTATGGGCTCAGCGCCGCCGGTGAAGACATCGTGAACGATGTAGTCAAAGTACTCGCGCAGCTCATCACGCGCGGCATTACTCCAGGAGACGGCATCGTCGATCACGGCCGTGTGGTTCGCTGGTAGCCCGAAGTACTTTTTGGCGAAGTCGTAGACAACTGGGTCGATTTCGACGATCGTCGTGTCGATGCCGTGAGCTATCAGTGCCGACGGCGTGGTACCGATGCCGAGGCCACTGGGATATTCTGTCAGCGAATATATCATTACGGTATCATTGATAAGGGTGACATGGTACCTACATGTTGAGGGCCTTCGCCTTGTTGTCGGGGACCTTGCCGGGGACTTTCACGAGACGTATGGCCTCGAGCTGGGTGAAGACGCTGTAGATAGGTTCCGCTACGATCTTCCGTTCAAACTTGGTCCACTCACCGCCAAGGAGGCTGTGATCGCACCGCAGGACTCGAAAACCGTCCTTGTGGCTGTCAAGAACAGAGATGTAGCCGGTCGTCGACTCCCACCGATCGATCAACGACCATCCACTAGCATTGAGGGTGGCATTCAGAGAGTTAGTGGCCATAGGGGTGATGAGGTGGGTGTTGAAGAAGGCGGCGTGTAAAACCGCGGGGAGCGTCCAGACCAGGAGCTTCGAGCGTGCCATTATGGCGTACGTCGCAGCCAGCACCAGCTCTAGTCCGACACGAGTCTGCAGCACGGAACGGCCGATCTGCTCGGACATTTGCCGGGCGGAGTCCATCTCGGCGAGCTTAAAGAGCCCGTACGAGCTGAGACCCGGCACGGAGCCGGCGATGGACTTGGGCAGGGCGCTAAGGTCAGCAGCCTCGAGGATATCGGCGACACAGGCAGTGCTGAGAGCGACGAGTGGGGCCAGGGTGAGGGCCTCGGTGATAGCCGGGCCAGTCTCAGCGCCGAAGTACCCACTGACTTGAAAGAGGAAGAATTGGGCCATCGGAACATAGGCAGCGACCAGGGGTAGCAGCTTGATGGTAGCGAAAGGGAGCAGACGGCGCAGGGCGAGGTTGCCTCCCCAACCGACGAACAGGGCGGACCATATGACGCGCTGGTGCAGGCGTGCGGCGGCGATCTGGCCGTAGACGGGCGACAGGGTTAACTGAGAGACATTGGCATAGACGGCCATGAGCACGACGAGGGCAGCGGCCTTGCCATAGACAACAGCCTGGTGCGTGGTCCAGCGCACCCAGGTCTCGTCCGTGGCCTGGCTAGCCATCAACTTGAGCTCCTCCTCAAAGTCCTCCTTCGTCTCCGGAGGCTTCTTCGGCGCGGCGGCCTTCTTGGGGGTCTGCTTCCGCGGAGGCATTGGCGCAGCCGCGTATGTTCCTGGGAGGATGGTGTGAGATGGGAGCAGGGATGGGAGAGAGAGGGAAAGGTAGTTTGTATTAATCTAGTTAATCAGGGTTGGGCGTGTTAACGTCGATAGGTGGGAATATCGGCGGCCAGCTATCCCAACATACTCCTAGGACTACTACGACGATACCCGAAGACGGAGAGGCTTGCGGGCAACGAGAGCAGCGTTACGGGTCTCGGCTCTCACCAGCCTGCTGCTAGGACTGTTTCATGGACTTCCCGTCGCGACGTCGCCCGCCTGTAGAGCAAAGAAAGGTGCCTAAGCTAAGAGGAATGGATGACGATGTTGGATGTCGCGGCGCGATTTGGTGATTTGATGCTTTTTATTTAATCGCGAGGTCTTGTATGCAAGTCGTTTAAACAAGTTGTCCTTACTCGTAGAGCGTTGCACTGCCCTGCTAGCTACACCCCTAGGTGCACTATAGTATTAGGTAATGCAATACTACGTAGTGCACGTGCTGGGAACCACCCGCCATAATTTGCGAGTCCTAGGCTTGGTATACAGTGACGGAGGGTGAGGCGGTGGCGGTGCATCTGGGGCTGTCTTCCGTGCCTGACGTAAGGACCTCATTAATTGCATTCGGTAGGTTTTCTGCCGGCCAGCATCCCATTAATCCATCCCCCTCTGTTCCCGCTACTGCACGGAACGGAACGCGTACCAAGACGGAGACCACTCCACGCCACCCGAATGATGGACGACGACGACTTCGGCGCCGATGCCGATTTCCTTTCCGCCCTCGCCTCCTCGACCGCCGCGATCACTTCGAGCCGAGCCGAATCTCAACCCAGGCCTCAACCTCCATCGGAACCTGCAGGCCGCCTTCAGCATCCACAGCCTGCCCGCCCCAGTATACAACAGCCGATCCCTCAACGAATACAACAGCCGACGCCCCAGCGGCTAGGCAAACCACCCCCGGCACCGCCTTCCAACGATTCCTCGGCGTCTAAGATCGTGCAACCCACCCCCCAAGCCCTGCCGCAGCGCTCGTCCGGCTCTTCGATATTGGTATCACCGCGCCAGAAGGGGAACCCCGTGCTAGCGTCTCTGCGATCCGTGCCATGGGAGTACAGCGACATACCGGCCGACTACGGGCTGGGCCTGACGACCTGTGCCTTGTTCCTGAGCCTCAAGTACCACCGTCTGCATCCCGAGTACATCTACACGCGAATTCGCAATCTCCAGGGGAAATACAATCTACGCGTTCTCCTGACCATGGTTGACATCCCGAACCACGAAGACTCGTTGCGCGAGCTTTCTAAGACCTCGCTCGTCAACAATGTCACCCTCATTCTCTGCTGGTCCGCCGCCGAGGCTGCGAGGTATCTCGAACTGTACAAGTCCTACGAGCACGCCAACTTTAATGCTATAAAGGGGCAACAGGCTACGAGCTACGCCGAGAAACTCGTCGAGTTCGTGACCGTACCCAAGGGAATCAACAAAGCCGACGCCATCTCGCTCGTCAGCGCTTTTGGTAGTCTAAAGAACGCGGTCAATGGGGATCCAGAACAAGTCGCTATCATTAGTGGCTGGGGGGAGAAGAAGGTGAAGAAATGGTGCAGCGTTGTAGAGGAGCCGTTTCGCGCCCAAAATGCTGCCAAGAGGAGTCTCGCCGAGGGTAACGCGGCTGCCGACGGAGCTGTCCCGTTGGGCCGAGTACCGCTGAGGGACATGCCAAGCCTATCGGCGGGCTTATCGCGAAGCGGTGAAGGTCTCCGGTCGGGACCGACGACGACGCCGACACCATCTACCCCATCAGCCGGGCGCCGTCTTCAGGGAGACGCCCCTGCTGACGAGTATGACGAAGAAGCAATGCTAGCAGCAGCCATCGAAGAATCGAAGAATACGGCAGCGAAAGAGGAATTGTCTAGGTCGACAGCGACCACTCGCCAACAAGAGAAACTGAGCGACGGAATTGCAGCAGCATTGGCAAAACTCAGGGATCAGGGGTGATACCCGCACAGGTTGCATTGCGGTACATAAAGCTACCGATTACAAAGTCCGCCCTCCGACTCTACCAACGAGGCCCGAAGCCCCCCTGGAGCCATTAAGCAACGATTAGATCGGAGCTATACAGAATCCGGATCATAAGGAGGACACCACTCGCCTTATTGCCAGCAATTCACAAGGTAAACGCGAGGTGACTAGCAACTACACGACCCAGGCGGTCTCGCGCGCGGATCTTGCGTCGGTTAGACTCCTAGCTTCAGGCCCCAGTTCTGCTCCCGTGCTAGTTTGTTAAACCTCGAATAGTTGGATCTAATGTAAGCCCGCTTCCTGAACCTTTGAGGTTTTCCGCAGGCAGAGACAGACATATCTAGACACGGAAAGATTTATCTCCGACTTCACCTGTCCAAATTACCCCTTGTAGACAACAATATTCAACGATTTTTTGCGGCAAGCTCTTGCCAATACGGTCTTCACCTTTGGCGATATCTCTGTAGCGGGCTAGGTGCATTGCCGACGTGCGGAAGAAGACATTATCGCACGCCCATTCCCCCAGTCAGACAGGAGGGTCCTACTCCAAACGGCGCATACCAAGCTATACACAATCTCTTCAGCAGCGTGTCTGAGATACCGGGCATCCCCGATGTGCTAGAGACTAACAATTAAGCGGGCTCAAAGGGAGATAGATACACAAACGAGTACAGCATCTCTATCGACTGACGTGATTTCCGAGGTACATCAGCTCAACACCTGGCAGACGCCATACTACACCGTGCGACGCGAAACAACGCAGAGCGGAACATTACTCGACTTATCACGTTCGTCAACCAACAGGCTGTAGCCGGTCCTGGCTCGGAAGAGGGCAGTTGGAGATGCCGCGCACTCGTTGGATACAAGAGGGGTTGACCACAGGTCATTTCCGGTAATTTATACTGAATTAAATTAAACCACTCTAAATCCAGCGCGATGGGTCGAGATTGATGTAGGGGGCGTTGGGTTTCGACCCGGGACAGTGCTTTATGCCAGCACCCTATAGCAAGTATTGGGCCAGCAACTAGTGCATCTTCTCATGCTTCCCTTACTTGATATGACACGATGATCCCGCAACAGTATTATATACCTGTATTCTCCTGTTTTGAATGTCGTATCGAGCATAACCTCGGAGTGGCTGGGAAAATGAAGGGGCGCTGTACGTCGTTCTAACGGATCATCTCAACTCGAAGACAGCAAAAGCAGCTAGCAAACGAAGCCGACTGGAGTTTATACCTGCAAACAAGCCCCCCCTCCTTTGGTGGCTTGCTTTCCTCCTCTCTTCTACGACAGAACGGCAAGCCGGAGTATATACGATACCGTGTAGGTGACCGGGACACGCGTCTTAGACCCAAAATGCGGCGCGGTGCAATACGAGCTGGTTGATCACGAAATCTATTACGTTGTGTACCACATCGAAGGCGTGAAACCTCCGGAAAAAGCGAAAACGATATTACTGGAATTAAGACATTATTACCGCTAACTTCACGGGGGATTTGAACTAATTCCGTTGTCGGGGAGTTGAATGTCCTTTGTTAGTGCTAGCTATTCCTAACAGGAGATACCGGCGCCGGGCCTGGTGTCAAATCATCACTAACGGTGCCGGCTATGTCGGCTCGCGCGTAACCGAGTTCGCCATCGCCGAGGGCTACAAGATCGTCGGGCTCTCGCGGTCGGAGAAGGGCGATGAGAAGCTCAAGTCTCTCGGGGCGGCGCCGGTGCGCGGCGACCTGGCGTCGGCGGAAGTGCTAAAGCGCGAGAGCGCCAAGGCCGACATCGTGTTGCATCTAGCGGACCCGCTGGGCGACAATTTCGACAAGCCGTACTCCGAGGTGGTGGCAGCGGACGCGCGCGCTGTCGACGCCCTACTCGCGGGGCTCGAGGGGTCCAACAAGCTGCCCATCGTCACGTCCGGGTCCTTGGTCACCGCGGCGGACCCGGCCGGTGGCGAGACCAACGAGGCTAGCCCACTTTAGACCGACCCGTTTAACGACCGTATTAGCTCGGAGCGGTACGCGCTGTAGCGCGGTGCCGCGCTAGGCGCGCGCGTCGTAGCCCTGCGGCTCGTCTTCTTTGTGTACGGCCGCGGCGGCAGCGGTATCCGCTTGTTCGCGACGTTGGCGGCGCAGGCGGGCGAGGCGGTGTACCCGGACGGCGGCGTGGCGCGGACGACGACGGTGCACGTCGACGACGCCGCGCGCGCCTTCCTGCTAGCCGCGCGCCAGGGCCGCGCCGGCGAGGCCTACAACATCACCTCCGAGACGGACCTCACCATACGCGAGCTCTACGAGGCCCTCGGCGCGGTCGTCGGCGTCCCCGCCCGCTGTATTCCCCTCGCCGAGGCCAAGACCCGCCTCGGCGAGTTCTTCGCCCGCTTCGTCTCTACTGAGAACCGCGCCTCGAGCGCCAAGGCCCGCGCCTCGCTCGGCTGGGCCCCTCGCGAGACGGGCATCATCGAGGATCTGAAGAACGGGTCCTACGTCGAGGTAGGAAAGTCGCTGCAGAAGCCCGCCGCTTGAGAAGTGTTAGGGGTTGTCCCCCGTCAGGACGGGGTTTCGGCGGGCACTGTTTGGGGGCCTCCCCTTTTGTTAAATAGAAGGTATGTCACGTCGTGTACGTCCCCCTGGATCGATGGATAGGATTGACGCATCTCGGATCGATCGTGTCTCTAGAACGACATAACAGAAAGAGCCGTAGTTCCTCTATATATCGTAGTTGTGGCCATCATACGCCGCGAACAACAACAGCTCTACCCAGATCGCCTCGTGTTCCATATAAAACTGCTCGTCACAGTGGCCCCAGCCAACACGCGAAGGTCGTATAAAATATTGACTTCAACTGGATCTTTACAGCACCTGTAGCTGATCTGCGTCTCGAGCTATCCATATATCACTCGCTCCTGGGTGGGGGGACGCATGAATGCAACGGAATAGATGCATATCATGCAGGCCCTCGACCTTTGCGCCAGCATCTAGTCAAAGCTGCACCGATCGCGCCGATTGCACCATTCGCAGGCCCCGCATATCGTGTAATCTTGTTTTTCATCCGGACAGTTCTCGCATTTGCGGTTGCAACCGTCCATCCTCGGTGGGCGAATCGGGCTGTCGCTGGTACAGGCAGTCCGCATCTCGCCCACTGCCTCCACCGCGGGGTTTGCTCGTGGCCACGGTAGTGGTGGTAAACCCTTCGACCTGATATCCCCCGACGCCACCGCTAGGGCCGAGGAGTAGGCGTCTAAGAAGGAGGAGGCGGGGGGGTAGTGGTAGCTCGACTACTCGTTCCGAAGCATTCGCGGGAGGGGCACCGACCGCGCGAGTCGCTGGGCCAGCTCCGATAGGACTCTCGTGGTGTCGTCGCGGCAGTTCCTCGTCACAGACATCAGGCCCGCTACATCGCCTATCTTACCCATCGAGAGGGCGAGTTGGAGGGTGACACGCCAATGGGATAATGCATTGGCAACATCTCGCAACGTCGAACTGTACGCATGCACGGTAATCTCCCTGTACCAATAGGCTTCCGCCTGACGCGTTTTGGCCGAATGCTTGCTCGTCTTCAACTCGTTGGCCAACTACCTCTGAGAGATCTATTCGGGTTGTTGTCGCCAGCAGGGAGAGGCGATATATATCAACACCGTCATCACTCTAATTCGGCACTACGCGTTTAACTCCGCTCTAAGAATCGGCGATACTGTTACGACAACCTCACCTGCGTTCTCGCTTCCCAAAGCTGACATCGGCGAGAACGTTAGTAGCAGTGGCGAGTATCATTGTGCGAGCGCTTTGGTCGGCGAGATGAATGGGGGTTTGAGGATACCGCCGTTCGGAGCTGGCCTAGCTAAACGGTCTTGGGCCGCTGAGGCATAGGTAGTGGAAGATCGCTAGCGGCACCGAAGGCAAGAGTTGGAACGACAGACGCGAGGAGGAGTCGTAGTACCAATTGGTTCTCCGTAGTCCCGATTGCGTAGAAGAGCAAGGCGGCGGTGGTGTCGATTTTTCTATTTATTATACTGTGATACATGATATTAGTTCACGCTTGAACAGAACCATTAGTATCTGTATCGCCTTCGAGTTCGGTCGTGACATTCAAGTTGAAGCTGGACAGAAAAAAACAGACTTGGCGGGGCTTGGATCGCTGGCGATTAAGTATTGCATAACGAAATATTAGGTACATTGAATTCTCGAGTCTATGCAGCAATCCGGAACCAATTTCGCTGCAGAGACTTTTCCAGCCTACTCGTCCCATTTACCTGCCTAAGCGTAGGTAGTGGCTCTCACGTCACGCTAAGCAATTTCTCTTCTCTCCAAATTTCCCCCAGTCTGTGACTCGACATACCTACCCGACATTTTGTCATGTCGCATCTCGTGAGAGGTGCTGGTAGGATGCTTTGGGAAGTGTAGGCGTCGAGATGAGATATTCTCCAAGGTTACGTCAGGCACCTGAGCTAGCCAGGAGGTTAGCTACGACAGTGTACCCTCCAACTTGAGAGCGTATCTACCGCCGGTCTTTCGCCCTTCACCCATAGCATGTTGCGTGGACCCAAGACTCTCTCCTTTCCTGTTTCAATTGTCACTCGCTTTAACGTTCCGTTCGCACGGTCGGAATGAGTCGTCAGCCTAGACGGCTGCCTCCTTCTCCGTCCTCTCGTCGCCGTGATCGGGAAGCTTCTTAAAAGGGATCACGAGAGCTATGAGTGCAGCGGCTGCCGAGCAAACCATAGCAGCGGCGAAGACGTCCTTGATCCCAACCATATAAGCGTCGACGACAGCGGCTAGATCATCGCCTCTAAAGACGTGCCGAAGTTCGGACGCGCCGGTGTTTAAGACCTTGACAACGTCGATCTGTGGGGACGACACCGCGAGTGTCTGGAGCATACGGTTGGCGAAGAGGGATTGCGCTACCGTGATAAAGTAGGCCCCGCTGATGGATTGGCACACTGGGCCCGAGGTTAGCCAAAAACGTCCGCGATAGCACAAGGCAGGTTCCTATCGGGTGCTTACTGAGCATGATGCCGGTCGAATTCGCAACGTCTTCGAGCGTAGAGAAACCCTGCACTGCTGTCATCGGGATCTGGTTACCGAGCCCGAGGCCAAATCCAAAGAGCACCTCAGCGCCAAAGTACCAAGCCGAAGACGTGTCGATCTCTATGGTGTAGAAAAGGGCTGCGCCACCAGTCATCAAGATTGCGCTAGTCAGCTGGTAGGGCTGCAGCAGGCGTGTTTTCCCAATGACCGCACCGCTTACCATGGCTCCCAAGGCGAAGAGAGCCAAGAAAGGAAGGGTATTGACACCGCTCGTGATGGCCGACTGGCCGTGGATCGACTGAAAGAAGATGGGAAGGTAGAACATGATTTGGTAAAGGGCGGAATTCGAACTGCACATGCTCTGCTGGTTAGCCGTGTTGAACGCAACAAAAAGGACAGGTGGCTAGGCACTTACACGTAGCTGTACAGAGCATTAGCCCATGTCATCCGCGGCTTCAGCAACCTCAGAGGAATCATGGCGCGCGCACCCTGGAGCTCCTCGACCACGACGAAGATGATGGTCAAAGCAAGACAAAGGACCAAGGTTGCGATTACGGAGCCGTCGTCCCACGGTTTGGTCTGACCGCCCCATTGCAGAGCTAGGGTCAGGCATATGAGGGAGACAAGTAACAAGCTAAAGCCGGGAAGGTCAAGCTGTAAGATGATCTCTCTCCAGGTAGCCGGGGTAGGCTTTATGTGCTTCGGTACTCTTAAGAAGAGCAGTAAGAAACCGACGATGGGACCTCCAAGTGGCAGGTTGATCCAGAAACACCATCGCCAGGTGATCCCACTCGTAAAGGCGCCGCCGATAACGGGTCCGAGAATGGTCGACACCATGAAGACGCCCATCCAAAGGCCGATCAGCACAGGGCGCGCCTTAGGCCGAGCCACATAGTTGATGACGAGGACGGAGCCGCTGAGAGTGCCCGAACCTCCCCATCCTTGGATAGCTCGGCCGGCGATGACGGCGGCGCTAGTCGGAGCCGCCGCTGCCACGAGACTCCCAACCAAGTACAAGGCGACGGTAGCAAGGTAGGTGTATTTGACGCTGAGGTACTTATACATCTTTCCCCACATTGGCGACGAGGCCCCGGCGAGGAGGAAAGTCGCGCTTCCATACCATCCCACATCTTCGAGCCGGTGGAAGTCGTCGGTGATACCGGGAATCGCGGTGGCGATGATTCCAATCTCCAGGGCGGTGAGGAGGGTGCACATAAAGATGGTGAACATGACGAGGAACAACCGGAACCCTGTGGCGTACTCGGGTTCTTGACTCTCGGTCGAGCCCATATCGATGTCCTGCATCCTTGGAGTGTTTTCGGCCGCGGTATGATCGCCCTTGTTGGTCGTGTCTGCAGATGAGCTTGCTGCCATGTCGGCCCTCTTTCTGGCTCTTGGAATCCGGGCACTGGGGCGAGGTATTTCTTGGTTATTCCAACTGACTACGTCTCCCAGTCAGCTAGGAGCACAGGAATCTGGTGACTGGAGAGAAGTACATTTCGAGCGCTCGGCAACTTATATGAAAATACGCCCCAGAAATCTCGGGGTCGGCCAATCCCAAGGAGAGGCATTTTGGAAAGGGCCTGGCGACTACGTCGACATTATTCGACCAAGGAACCGTTAGATAGGGAAGTGGCCCGGTATAGTTCGTCCGCCGTTCTCGACTGCCGTAGGAAACCTATCACAATCATGGTTGACGTGTCTCAGTACAACGATACACTATACTACGCAATGTTATGCCCGTTTTCCAGTACTGCTATAGACCTATCGGCCTCCTCTACTCGGTCTCTCTCACCTCCTAATCAACTACGCTATCGAATTCGACCGCCGAACCACCCTAGTCGTTTTGGCCTTGACGAGCCCCTATTCGCCAACAGGTCAGCGAATCAATGCCTCTACGGGTTAGGTGTTTTTTTTTCGTCCGCCGTGTTTCTTCGTCCGCCGCGTTTCTTACGGCGGTCGAAACTCGAATGGAGGGTCGCTTAGTCAGCGCAGTTCCTCCGCTCTCCAAAAAAGGGGTCGACACCACTTCTTCCTCTGCCTTTCCTCCGTCTATCTCTCCTCCGTCCTTCCTCGGTCGCACCCGGTATTCGCTATCCCCGGGCGAGAATTATTCATTTGTCAGTAGTATGAGTCGCCCAGCTTCCGCCGACAGGATGGCCATGTCAAGGCGCACCCAACCCAAACCAAACCGGAGGAAGCTCCGAAAGGGGACTCATAGCTGCTGGGAATGCAAGAGGCGGAAGATGAAGTGCATATTCAACGCGGTCACCGATGCCGCCTGTAACGGCTGTCTGCGACGGGGCTCTGAATGCGTCAGCCAGGAGTTCCCCGAGGGTACCTCGCTCGCCCTAAACGGGACTTCCAAGATGCGTCGTCGCCTTGCCGGGGTTGAAACACGAATCAATAATCAGTTGACGCCGCACGCTGATGTGTACGGAGCCGATTATCCGAGAAGAACGCCCACACCATCTGACGAAGACGGTGGGTTAGTAGACGATGGTGTTCCCGCACCGACGGAGGCGAGTTCCGGACCCCCACGGCGGGTAACCTACTCCAGATCTTCCAATGTTAGTTACCCGGGATCCTAATGAACTGCGGATGTCTCTAACTGGTGTAATCAGTATCGTACCTCCATGCATGACACCATACCCGGTGATCGTCGGTTGTTCGAGACTCAATCTACTACTGATATGACAGTCTCAAATGGCAAATGTGGGAAGCTTTCTCGGCTTCTGTACGAATCGTTACCCTCGCGAGAAGATACGCACAAGATATGCGAAGCTATTCGGCGTCCTTCTGTCCTCATCCACGAAACACTAACCATCCCGTATACTATCCTCGGCCAGACTGGCCTGAAGACGCCCGAAAGCTTGCTAGAATTTCCTGGGCCTGATTCGCACCCTATCCTCATCGCTAGACATATGCTTAGGCTTGCAGCATTCTTACTGCGTCTTCACCCTGACATCCACGAAGAGATCAAAGGACTGTCGGAATCGCCACGAGACATGATGGAACGATTAGCAGACCTCGCCATTAATCTCGTCACCACGAATGATGAACTTCTCGGCAGCATTGAGAGTCTTGAGTGCATCATGACCGAGAGTATGTATCAAATCAATAACGGAAATCTCCGACGGAGCTGGATCGCCGGCCGGAGAGCTATGAGCATCGCACAACTAATGGGTCTCAACCGGTCGGATAATCGGGCTCAGTATATTGTGCTCGATCCTCAGACAAAATATGATCCGCAACTTATGTGGTTCCGAATCGTCTTCCTCGATCGCAATCTATGCCTAATGTTGGGCCTCCCCCAAGGATGCCTCGATCGCAGCATGGCATCCGAAGCGATGCTCGCAAACGATACTCGCATTGGGCGTCTCGAGCGGATACACTGTGTCGTCGCCTCTGGAATCCTAGAGCGTAACAACGAATCTGACCCAGGCTCGGATGGTCTCGCCCTAACAAAAACCCTAGACCTCGAGTTGCAGAGAGCAGCCAGGCGTCTCCCAAGCAAGTGGTGGCTAACACCGACCCTAGACACCGCTTCGACCAACAGCCAGACTCTGTTTTGGGACACGCGGCGACTGTTTACCCAGGTACTCCATTTTAACCTCCTCAATCAACTCCATCTGCCTTACATGCTTCGCTCTTCGTCAGCTGAACGTAAATATGACTATTCTCGAATCACCTGCGTTAACGCCTCCCGTGAGATCCTCTCGCGGTTCATCGCACTACGCAGTTTCAATAGGATCGCTTACAGCTGCCGCACAATCGACTTTTACGCCATCATGGCCGGCATAACCTTGCTGCTGGCCCACTTAGACAGCCACCGCTCAGGCCCAGAGAACCTCTTAGCCCACCAGTATCTCGGTGATCGCGCTATGGTCGAACGAGTGCAGGAGAATATGGCAGAGGTAAACCGCATCAGTTCCGACGCGCTCAGCGCTCAGAGTGCCGATTTGCTTGGCCGACTATTAGCTATCCAGTTTGAGACGACGGATGGTTACTCCTCCGGTGCTAGGAAAGTGAGTGTGGAGGAGGCAGGGTCCAAAATGGTGGTGCCGGGTCAGGACGATAATACCACGGTCAGCGTCCATATTCCTTACTTCGGTATAATCAAGATTGCTCGCGAGGGCATGAGCAAAGAGATACCAAAACTACGGACCACACCAACGGCCACTCGTCCCGCTCAGTCACAGGCAGAAGGTAGGTCTTGCGCGGTCAGCCTAGAAACCCCCGAGGTAGAATGCCGGACATCCACGCCTAGGAACGACTGGTCCAGTAAAGACACAGACGCCGGAGTTACTATACCTCTTGGCGCCACGAACGGCCGCGTCGAGACACCGTCAATGATGGCCCTAGAGGTGCCAGACACATCCACAAAGACGCAGACACGGCCCGCGGCGATTTCGGGCTCGGTTATTGTAACGGATAATATAGCTACAGATTTTCCATCGCTGCTACAAGATAGCCGATCCAATACTCTCTTGCCATATTGTGATTATCCCGGGCTGGCTGCGGGGGGCGAAGACTGGGCATTCCAGGGCGTCGATATGGCTTTCTTCGAGAGCCTAATGAGGAGCGTGGACAATGAGGGAAACGAGGACGCGGAGCGGACTACGTGTCCAGGGTGGGCATAAGGACCGACAATCAAAGGCTGGCTCATGGATAGGTAGAAGAACTACATGGCAATTCGTAGGTACGTGGCAGTTGAGTGAATTCCGAGTGCGCCAAGGTGATATCTCAATACGCTTAGAGTATGTCTTCGTGCTACTGGGATCCGGGTTGCGTTATTTAGAAAGCCAAAGTTGGGCGCGGCCCAAGCGGGAAGTAAAGCTAAAAGCTAATGAGCCTATGCCATATCCCCGTCCCTGACTCCTGAATCTTGTCTCCACGACTTTTTGGTATCTCCGGCAATGGAACCCTCGTATTGAGTAATAACGCGCGGCCTGGTCCGATTCCGCGTCTGTGGAACCGGTAACGCGGTGTTCCACTTAGGCTTCTTCCGCGCCGAGGCCACGGATACGACCGCAAGTGCAGGGGACTGCCTCAAAGTATATAGCTAGCTAGCTGGTACCTATATATGAGTATATAATTAGATACCTTTACTCTCCGTTGCGGTTCCTCGAGCAGATCATACCACCTCGCCACGCATATAGGTAAGCCATGACGCCAAGGCGAGACCCGGGTGCCCAGTTCACTCTAGGTAGTCCCTGCGCTGAAAGCAGCTCGCAATGTACAACGAGGCCAGTCTCTAGGTTGCATTTTTGCACATAAATCCCTAAAGGTTCCTGGATCTCCCCTAGCATGTCAGCATCTCTGCCTACATGATATTACGCGCCGGCATGTAACCCCGTGGGCTACATACATATATCACACGTGTGTGGGAATGGGACGCATAGGTATGTATGGCTCTTTCATTGGCCCTTGATCTGCGGAGCCTCGATGAAAAAGCGTGGCGTTACGTAAACTTGGTAGTCGAGAGAAGTTGAGACCCGGGTTAGTTGGCAGCTCTATTATAACTTGAGGTTGCTTGACCGGCTGCTGTCGATATTACTACGGTTATTGGGCGACAGTATGGCTTGACCAGGTTCCTAGTGGGGGGATCGAAGTCGAGATCCTGCTCGATGGGTTTCCAGCTGTGGACTGTACATATACTCATAAGTGATTCGAGTCCCACGTGTTCCCAGGGTTGCATCTTACGCCTGTTTAATGCCCTTCCGGTGCTTATGCTGTCATTTCTAGCTATTTATTCTTTGTATGCATCTTCGACTACGGCAAACAACTATTAGAGTGCCCGTTAGCAGCCCCGTCGTATCTACTGCCTCACAATTCGGCATCGAGGCCGAGACGTGGTGCGATCGTTGTAGCTGCACAGTACGAAGGGTATTATTACCGGGTGATGGTAAGACCGTATCCCATCCTCCTCGGAACCGTAGGACGCTCTCGAGCGTCACCGACATGCAGAATTGACAATATTGAACCGTTCAGGCACATGACCGCGACTCCCCTCTTGCGCAGGATCTAATAGTGATTAGTTCAACAGCAAATTCGGCATGTAATATCGAGAAGGCCTGCGCCCAGATGTGCGCGTGAAGGATCCCGCGATAGAACCCCTCCTCTCGGCATAATTGGCTTCCTACCTACCTAGACGAGCTAGCTCTCCCGGCAGGCAGCAGGTAAGGTAATAGAAGAGAAGAGCCAGAGAGGAGCAAACACAAGCAAACGGGCAGTGTGTGCGAAAGAGGGAAGACAGAGACGTGTGCAGTCTCTGTAAAGAGAGGATGTGCAATAGGGGTGAAATGGGAAGGAGGCTGATATCCGTGATCACGGGGTGGTATTGGTGATAATAAACAACTCCCTAAGGCAGGTGTTCTGGCCTGTCCCGGTTCTGTAACCGCATATATGCATAGGAACGGCTGGCCGGATAGATATGCGAGTAGCTGACATGATGCGCGTATCGGCGCGGTATTAGTGTATAGGGGCGCTTCCGAGCAACGCTTTTCCCTATATTTGTGTATTTTAATCTTCGCGTAACCTCGCCAACCTCTTCTCTTATTAGGCGGTTGTTTATTCTCGCGTTTAATATCGCCCTTTTCTATATTTGTGACTCGTGATATCTCCCTCGAATCAACGAGCACTCTGCGCACTCGATGTCAAGCCGTGGCCCACTAGTGCATGGGCCCCTTTGATTGTTGGTGCATACACGATCTGCCGTGTGCTCCAGGTGATCCCTGTATTCCCCCCCTCCTGTGCCTTCATTCCCTACCTCCTCCCGCGTACCCCACAAGCTACCACAGGAGACAGTAGGCGATAGCAACAATAGCGACATCACCATCGCCAGTGCTTCCTCCCCCCCCTCCTCTCACTTGCCAGCAGGTTGGGGTTAATCCCAGCGCTTAATTTCCTCTTCACATGGGTTCCCCGCATGCCACTAAGCTGAGATAGACACAGCTTCGAGATGGTAATGTATCCAGCACGGTCTCTTCGGCTCCTCTCCTTGATGCCCCCCTTCGTCTGCCCCTCCGCTGATCCTTGGGGTAAGAGGCGAGAAGGTGTAGCACCAATATCTAGTTGGGGCCAGATCGGAGCATTGATGGATTTGTCCAGTAATAGCATTGGATCAAATTCGATCCCGTCCCGGAACCCCTGGCAGATAACTCCCTAGGGCTACAGGCTAGGTAATGATGTCGGTAGCCAAATGTTGCTATTTTCTTTCCGTCTTAGACACGCCGTTGCCATACCGCCATACCGCCCTACCGCCCCTCATCGGGCCTTTCCTGTGTCCGGGTCACAGGTCAGGGAGTCAACACGGCATCTCCATTCGTCTGTTGCTCGTCATTTTATTTGCGGCCCAGTATTCTCAACTCCATTTCCTTCTCTTTTGGACAAACCCCCCTATACGATCTACGGGCTTTTTTCTGCTTTCGGCAGGTCATAGGGTCCACGACTGGTCGATGCTCGCCAAAATATGCGGTGTCTAGGTTCAAAGACACAAGACTTGCTATCGCCCTGGAACGCTTCGCCTGCAACGTTCCCCTGCTCGCTGAGGCGCGCATTGAATCCTGGAGATTGTGCCGTTAGGGCAAGAAAAAGGGTTGGTGCACACCACCATATGTGGTGTGCTTTGGTCCGCGCATCCGACAAGCGGCAGGCATTATCATGAGTTGTAGATGGGCTACAACGGTGTGTCCCCCCTGAAGTGAGACCTGGATTCTCGTGCCCGCGTTATGTGATCATCAAAGTCACATTGCAGAGACCGCCGAGCCGACCTCGACCCTCCCCACCCATGTCCTGTCCTGTCGTGTCTTGCCCGATAGTTCCGCATTACATAGGTACGCGCCAGAAACCCATCCGCGTTCCCAATAAACTCACGAGCCGCAACGATGATAGTGCCATATCGTATTGTAGGTAAACCTGCAAGGCAAGGGCTCGATGCTTTTGAGCTACCACGCCACATACATATACGCCAAGTCACCAGCACGGATCCCTGCTGCTTCACTCAACCGTGAGCTACGATGGACTTGTCTTTGGGTCGAGCCAGCATTTTTCCTGCGAAAGGGTTTGCTTGGGGAACATCGGCGGTGCGGATCCTAAATATACACATCCACGTCCTCTACACTATGACCTCCCAGGCACCCGGCGTCCGGTAGATGGAGAAACTAGTCTCGGCCTATAAGAGTCGGGCGCATTCCCGGTCTCTCATCCTCGTTTACTCGTTCAGCCCCCATCTATCTCATCCCTTCGCCAAACGTCAAACGGTCCGGTCGAGACAGGTCTATTCTGTCACACTCTCTCATGTTGGCCTCGACTGGTTGAATCTAAACCTGCCCCTGTATCGTTAGCCATGATGAGCGCAAGACGGGCCATCGCCATCCTAGGCTTTGCTTCGCAAGCCCTCGGCGCGCCCTCTTATGTTTCCCACCCAGACAGACTAGAAGCTGTTGCGCACGCGTTCCAGATTTCCTGGGATGGGTATTACCAATACGCTTTCCCCAATGATACGCTACAACCTATCTCGAGGACCGCTTCCAATGACCGGTGTGTAGATGCCCTAGGAGAACAGCTTCTGGAATCCGAACTAACAAGTGTTCGATAGGAACGGTTGGGGAGCCAGCGCGATTGACGCTTTGTCTACCGCTTTGATAATGGGAAATAAGGAGGTCATCGCCCAGGTTGTGGAACACATCCAACAGGTCAACTTTAACGTCACTGTGGTTGGTGAGGAGAGTGTCTCCCTGTTTGAGACTACCATCCGCTACTTGGGAGGCCTCGTCTCAGGTACGTCCAGTGGAAAATCGCTCGAGCCTCACCATGCCCGCGCGCTCACTTTATCTAGCCTATGACTTCCTGTCTGGCCCCCTGAGCCAGTACGCCCCAGACCGGGCGTCTGTAGACAGGATCCTGGAGCAGGCCGTAAACCTGGCCGATCTTCTCAGCGTCGCTTTCGGGACCCCTAGCGGAGTGCCTATTAACACGCTGATATTCAACGGTCCCAACGGACCTCGCGTTGCCGATGATGCTACTAACGGTATCGCCACAATCGGAACGCTCGTCCTCGAGTGGACCCGGCTAAGCGACCTCACTGGGGATGATAAGTACGCGAGATTGGCGCAGGCCGGCGAAGACTATCTGCTCCATGTGCGGAACCCCGAGCTCGGCGAACCTTGGCCCGGTTTGATTGGCACTAATGTGAACGTCACCACGGGCAACTTCACGGATTCCAGCGGCGGCTGGAACGGCGGTACCGACTCGTTCTACGAGTACCTGATCAAGATGTACCTGTACGACACGGAGCGCTTCGCCGAGTACAGGGACCGGTGGATCGCCGCCATCGACTCGACCATCGAGCATCTGGCATCGCACCCGACCACGCGGCCGGAACTGACGTTCCTCGCGGCGTACAACGGGCGCGATCGGCTCAATTTCGTGTCCACTCACCTCGCCTGCTTCGACGGGGGCAACTTCATCCTCGGCGGGCTGACACTCGACAAGGAGGAGTACACGAGGTTCGGGCTGGACCTTGTTGAGGCCTGCCACGAGACGTACCTCGCCACGGTGACGGGGATCGGGCCGGAGGTGTTCCGGTGGCAGGACAGCGGGCTGCCGGCGAACGCGAGCAACAACCAGCCGCCGCCGGCGAACGCGGTCGAGTTCTACGGGCGGGCCGGGTTCTGGATCACGGCCTCGTCGTACGTGCTGCGGCCGGAGGTGGTCGAGAGCTTCTACTATGCGTACCGGGCGACGGGGGACACCAAGTACCAGGACTGGGCGTGGGAGGCGTTCGTCAACATCAACGCGACGTGCGCCGCGGGCGTGGGGTACAGCTCGATCCGCGACGTCAACGCTGCCGGCGGCGGCGGCTTCACCGACTTCCAGGAGAGCTTCTGGTTCGCCGAGGTCCTCAAGTACAGCTACCTGGCCCAGGCCGGCGACGCCCCCTGGCAGGTCGACGCCGGCCACAACAACACCTGGGTCTTCAACACCGAGGCCCATCCCTTCCTCGTCAAGGGCCGGCCCGCCTAGGCTGGGGGTGATATATCGTCGGTGCTATATAGGCAGGTGCCGCGGCTTTAGGCCTACCGGCGCACACATATATATACATATAGCTACACATAAATATGTAATACGATGCATTGGTATCTGACAAGGAGCAATATATGTTCCCGCTGTCCCCTGTCATACAGAGAAGATGTGCCGCATATGCTAGCTGGGATCACACATGAAAGGAACGACAAGCCTAACCAGACAATCCTATGGGCCGCTAGAAGCAGTTACTTTCTTTCTAATGTACTTCCCTAGGTTGCTTGTACGTGTGACCTCTAGTATGAGTAGGCCTCGCTCCTTATCTGACAGCGTAGGTCTTTTTTTCTCCGCACTATCGACTCTGGGTCACACGGTGGATAAGGGGGTGAGACAGCAACCGGTGCGATCGACGCCCGCATTCCTAAGCTGGCGTTGGGTATCGATTGTGGCTTGGTTGCCGGGGGCGAAGGGGCAAATACGAGAACAACTATTTTCGACTGACGCCCCTTGTGCTGCGCAACAATTTACGCCGGAGTTAGGGTTGCGAGTTATCGCCACGACAACGGATGGAGCTCGAGACGATGGAAAAAAGCATGGATGGCTAGGCAAGACTTCGTGGAGCGCTAGGCTCCATACACACGCATACCTATATTCTCTACTCTTAATCCCCTCTGCAACCGGCGTATCTCCTCCCATCTGGATGCAGGAGACGTAACAGCTAAGTTAGGTTACCGCTTCACGAGCCACCGCTTCGCGGACCACCTTTTTACAAAGATGCTTATAAATAAACGATTTTTACCTGTAAAAAAGCGGGTAAATTTTTTTTAGGTTAATTAGTTAATGGGTTAATTAGATTTATATAAATTTGGGGGTTTTTCCCTTATCTTGATAGGTTTTTATATAATTTATTAACGAAGGTGCCGAAAAAGTTTAGAAATACCGTTTTAAACCCGATCTTTTACGGTAATAAAGTGGGGCGATAACGTAATCCTTGATAGTTTTGTTAGAGAAATGGCTATTATTATTTAATCTTCTTTTTATTTAGTAATACGATTTTTATTTAATTTGTTATCTTAAAAAAACACCTAAAAACTTATTATTTTTTTGAGGTTATTTTAGGTCATTTTGTATGGGAAATCGGGCGAATCTTCACTGTCCAAATTTCCCATACAAATCGCGTAAAATAACGCTAAAAAAAATAAAGAAATTGAATATATTATTTAAAATAATAAATTAAATAAAAATCGTATTGTTAAATGAAAAAAAGATTAAATAATAATGGCTATTTCTCTAACTATATTATCAAGGATTACGTAATATCCCCACTTTATTACCCTCAAAAGTCGAGTTTAAAACGGTATTCACGAACTTTTTCGGCACCTTCGTTAAAACATTATATAAAAACCTATTAAGATAAGGGAAAAAATCTCAAATTTATATAAAACTAGTTAAATTATTAACTAATTAACCTAAAAAAAATTTACCCGCTTTTTTACGGGTAAAAATCGTTTATTTATAAGTATATTTGTAAAAAGGTGGTCCGCGAAGCGGTGGCTCGTGAAGCGGTGACCTAGCTTACAGCCGCGCCCGATGTCTCACGGGAAAAGATACGAGCAAAGAGGCGTGGGTTATCGAAGGGGCGGGATGTGCGAGTGGGATATCAAGATGTTAAGACGGAATACTATTTCATGAAATCATTTTTGATACCTATTATCTAAATAGCGCCGGCCTCACTGGTGGATGTAATCTGGGCTGGCGAGGCAGACCAGCAAGTTTACGCGGTTTTTCATGTAACCATATACATGCCGATCCTCGGTGCTTAGCCTATGAACTAGGGCCACCTCTTAGAACACTTACACCGACTGTAACCTTGCCTGGCTCGAGTTGTTGCAGTTTACTAATGTGTCGTTGCGGGAATCCATTGTGAGTGCTCCAGGTTGAGGCTCAACACGCCGCAGAAACGAAGGTAAATCCTTTCATTTCTGTATCAACTTGAGCTTTAGGCATACGATATGACTGGGGGACTTATGGAGTGGTGTAGGCATGCAGGCATCAGGCCAATCGCGATATCACACATCCTTAGGTGGTCAGCCAACCCCCTGGGATGACCCGAGCCTGCTTCTCGATATCCTACGCCAACCAGATAGCAGTGGCAATAAAGGGGGCATATCTTATATTAATGTGAAGTGTGTGTTCCATTGGGCTATTGCGGCTGTGACTCTAAAAACACCTCGGAAACGGTGTCCAGCTTTTCAAGCGGAGCTGGACGGGGTACAGGGGCAACAGACAAAGTCGAAGTCGGGCCCACCACTTCTTCAAATTTGTCGAAACTAACGTACATATGAATACAAAACTCGCTAAGCTGGCCTGATTGTTTATGCAGAGAAATAAGCCCTCTCGAAATCCAGATGGTATGGCAAGGCTGCAAGCGCACATATGGCCTAGAAGCGCCCCACGCCTGAGTCGCAGCAGCACGAAACGTCGTGGATTGTGACGTTGTATCGGGAAGCTGTATTTGTGCCTGGAAGATCCTTATTTGCTCACGTAGGTATCTTGGCCGTCGTTCTTTTTTCAGCAGATGCCACCGCTCCTCGGAATCGGGTTTTGGAAAAGTAGGCAGAATGAGAATTTTCCAAGGTATTAGTGAAGAGCAGGCTACCCGGCCACGACTGATGTCGCACTCTCATTTCTGCCTCCAACTGCATGCTACACTGCGACCTGTCGAAATTCTAGTATTCAGTTGTTGTTAACAACAAGCAGGTTGGTCGCCTCGTGGGATAGCCCTGACAATATTAGCGTATCGGAGGGGCCGTGATAATGATTCCATATAGAGAAGGATCAATACCCTGCTTTGCGACTGAAGGCTGGTGGTGTTGGGTTATGAGAATTCAAAAGACACTCGGATTACTGGGTGAGTTTCTTGGCACCTAATACCTTGCGATGGTTTACCGACACCAAGTGTCCAATCACGATGCACTTGAGATGGGTGTGATCAAAGGTGGACGAGAAATTTTGTATTGATCCTAGAATTTCAGCTTGGTCGGCGAAAGTAGGGAGTTACATTCATCCCATTGCACATGCTAGGGCTGGGTATCCTCATGGGTTGTAGCATGCCTAGCGGTAAAATCAGTTATCATTTATTGACCATTACGTAGCCTTACTGCTTACAGGGCTACAACCTATGAACAGAATATTACCCCGTTGCTGGCTTTTTCCCGTACCTTCAGTGTTCGTCATTTCACATCGAAGTCACCTATTAGCTTCACATCGTATCGCATGCTTCAGTGAGGGTTGCCTACAAGGCCGAACAGCAAGCTTTTCAGAAGCTCGGAATAAAATGATAACTCGACTGCTGGGTTTGCTTCTCCTGGCGGCAGGCGTTGCTGGCCAGGAAGGCAATGCAGACTTCGCCTTGAATGTTTTCTCTGACGTTGCTCCGTATGTATTCATACCCCGGGAACTGGAAACCAGGGCCTGGGAGCATAATGGAAATGCCTACTAAGATATCGAACGGCAGTATCTTGGCCCTCTTCGGCGAACAGTTTGCGACGCAGTTTACCAGCCAAAGTATGACATGGATCGACCACTTGATATTCGCCATGGTTCCGCTTGGCATCGTCACAGTTATCTCTGGCGCCATTCGTGTTTCGGGACCGCGGATGGCAAAGGCGTTTATCGGTCGTGCGAGAGAAAACCGCACACTCGCCGAGATTGAACTGATGTCGTCGATTTCCGCAGAGGTGTGCGAGATGTTCAATGGCAACTCGATCGTTCGGGTCATGGGAAAGCCCAAAACAGCGCATTTTCTCCTCTTCCCTGAGCTCGACGACATACTAAGGCACCAAAAAAACAACGCCTGTTCCAGTCAGAGTCTTGAGGACTCTTGTGGTATCCATACTATTGGGAGCGCCTATCGTAAGGGACTTATGGTACGAGAAAGTGAGTTCAACTTAATAAAGGCTTTTAAGAGGAAATGTGCTCATGAAAGTCTGAATGTAGCGTATCATAGTGAGAGTTATCATTTTATTATCCGTCTAATAAAAGCGGCTCTCAAGAACCCAGCCCCAGTCCTTAGCAGCTTGGCCACGAATTACACGAATTTCATCTGTGGTCTCCTTAGAATATTCCCACAGCGTACTAAGGAATTAAATGTTGAGGAAGGGAGACCTGAGCAATCAAGGCCCGAGGAACTTAGGCTTGGGGCACCAAGGCTTGAGGAGCCAAGGCCCGAAAACAAGTCCCAGGAAAGGAAGCCTACGCAACTCCAAGGGCCCACAAGCTATCCCGATCCACCAAATATCCAAATAAATCTAGTATCGGGAAATTTTGGCCGAAAATTGTGGTTCGAGCAAGCTGAACTAATCGGTGCTTCCCTTGTGGCTGTCACAATACAGCTGGGGCTGATTGCCATTGCCGCCATTACTGTGTTCCACCCGGAAGTGAGAAGCGCAATTGGCACAGACCCTGAAGCGTATGGGTTTTCTTCCTATGCCGCTGGCTCAATTCTGCTTTCCCTTGGCATAGGACTTTGTTCATGTTCAATAGAACAAAGCACTACTGAGTTCACCTGGAAGCTCAAAGAGGATGACAACACAAATGACCAGCAGGACGGCAAGACAAACGACCAGAAGGACGATGACGGGGGCAAAGGGACGGACAACAAGACATGCGATAATAAGGAATCGACCAAACCGGAGAACATTGGTAACCCTAATAAATATCCACGACTGATATTTATTCAGCAGGCGCAGACAGTGCAGGTAAGTTGAATTTATATGATGTCTATGCGGAATGGCTGTTGGAAGCTAATACACAACTTCATTTACAGGATATGAAGTTTGACTCTTATGTGATTCTTGCTGGTCAAAAACGTCACATCCTCACGTCTAATAGAAAAGAAGATGCCGAAACTGACGTAGAACCACCATTGGAAAGAAAGAGCCCCAGCCACGAAAACGACACGGAAAACAAGACGAAGCCACCACCGGAAACCCCTAAACCTAGCAGGAATCCCGCCACGGAACTGGCTACAGAAATACCACCAGGAAGAGGCATTCGGGACCGTAAGAACTACAAGGAAACTGTCATAGAAGCATCATCACCAGGAGAGCACGGCTCTGGTTCTAAGAAATCATTTTCTACGCAGGAGAATCCCAAGGCAGGCGGAAATTGGCTACGGCAAGCATTCAGTCCTAGGAAAAGATGGGAGCTTTTAACCCTCATCGCAACCCTTACGTCCGTCGTTGGATTCATAGCACAGTTCATAGGTCTTCGCGGCCTTACATACCCATGTGCTATTGCCCAGCTACTGGCCATATGTTCGATGGCCTTCATCCGCGCATGGATTCGAAGAAAAGTCGGTCGCGTCCCAAGACATTCTCTCGCATCGCCTGGCTACGAACTAGACTTCCTGGCTGTTCATATCGTTTTCTGCCCCAAATTCCGCGACCCCGACCAAGATCTTCCAGAGAAGGACTGCTTGCTAAAACATCAACCCCATGACCTCATTTTGCGATGGGGAGTTTCGACACCACGACTTAGCGAGAATAACAAGAAATATTTTAAGTTCATCGGAGGATTAGCATCGCACCATATCCGGGTGATCAAGACGAGCTTGCGAAATGTTTCCAGGATGCAACGAGCCAGAATCTGCTAAAAGTACGGCAAAGGCTTGGGGATCTCTGCCAGTGGAAGTCTATGGCCACCGAGAGTGCCCTAGCTTTAGCACTCTCCATCGAGCTTTTTATGAACACTTTCTTCCCCAATACGAATGATGGCAAAGGTGGGCAGAAGTTACAGTGGACTCTGGATACATTCAAGCCATTCGGGATTTGCGGTTCGAATGAAGATACAATCGACATACCAGTGCAAAAAGACAGTCCTGACAGGCCGTGGAAGGTTGATCTAGGGGTACTAGAAGCTGTCATGTCACTCTGGATGGCTAGCATCAATATCGGAACTGAGGCAAAAAACAAGAAAGTCATTGAGGAGTCCAGTGCTAAGAACACCGGAGCAGGGGGGCGGGGAACACAAGATTGGAGACGAGGCACGGCTGGAAACGAATTGAAATACAAGTTCTGTCGGATACTGGGGAATAACTGTAAGGATGGCCTACTGAAACGAGACCTTTCATGGTGGGTGGATGAATTGCTTGCGGACCAAAGCGACCGTTACACGAATGACGACCAAGCTCAGGCCACGGGTCAACAAGATGAAGTAGATATAATCATTGGCTTCAACGGCAAACAAGGTAAGGCTTTTTGAAGGTTTGGAGGCCAGGGGTGAGATATCTAAAGGCTAACGTTTTAATAGCTGCGGAGGACGAAAGGCAGCTGACTGTTATCGGCAATGGATACCTTCCTGTTATTCTAGCGCAGCATCTCTTTACCAGTTTCATGTGGGCTGTTGTTGACGATTTACCTGAAGACTGTCTTCGAAAGGGCGAACGGGATGTGGAGATCATCAATTCTCACAAATTCGTACCGCGTGACCTACAGGATACCTGGTATCTACCATCACTTCGCCATCGTCAATTAACTACCATTATTCAAAAGATGGAGAAATATGGACTCGGGAGCATGAATGACATTCTCTTAAGCATGATTCCTGCTTTGAGCTACAGGGATAGGCTTCCCAACGAAGAGATTCTCTCTTTGGTGCCACTGAATGTTGAAAGAGGGTGGGTCGAAACGACGCGCTGCTACAACTCCTTGCTTCAGACCAGCATAGGAGTGACTTCCAAGGAGAATTTCGCCTTTGCTGTTGTGGTTAGGACAATGGATTTTCTTCATATGGCATTTGACCCATACCAGACTGTCGATTCAAGCCCGGAGGGGGAATTATGGTCGGCATTCTCAGACCTCGTTAGGGAACTCGACAAGTTTAAACACGTCGTTGCTTGCTTAGCCCTTGTTTATGAGCTACAGCGCCGAAGAGAAGGTTTCAAATCCATGTTCAAATTCGTCACTATCCAGGAGCAAGGGCTGTCTGGTGAGAACAGTCCTTCAGAGACAATTCAAGATTCTGCCTCAACCACCGTCAGAAAAACCGAAACCCTCCTGTCTTTGGAGAAGGACCCCGAGTTTTCAGTAGAAGAACTGAAGGTATTAGAGAAAGCAGTACTCAAGTTCTCTGAAGCACACCTTAGGGTGTTTAGGACCATAGTTCCAAACAACCGCAGATCGGCGCAAATAACAAGGAAAGGGGACGACAGAACTGTTAGTCAAGGTCATAAAAACACCATGAACAACACTAAGGAAGGTACGTTAATGCCAACCGTATCATTTAGTAGAATCGAAACTTACTGACTCGAGTTTAACATGGGTGGAAGATGTCCAAAAGAAAGACATATTTGGTTGGACTGCAGTTCATTACGCCTGCTTCGCCCCTTCGGAGTCTGATATTAGGGGACAGGTTTTCAAAGCTGCCCAACCTAGGGAACAATCCAAGGAACCGCTCCATGAACTTCTCGACAAATTGGGTAGAAGCCCAGTGCACGTTGCTATTATCGCCGACGACACCGGCAACACCTTAAGGAAAATTCTGGAAATCATCGGCAGCGAAAGCATCACGCATAAAGTGATAAATGCCGGCAAGGATGGCTTGACCCCTCTTCATTTGGCTGCTAAGGCCAACAGTTCCGAATGCCTCAAAGTGCTTCTCGGCAAGTCATCTCCACAGAAAACAAACCGGCGAGGACGCTCGCATGGACGTCGCGATGAAGGGCGGCCTAAGATCTGGGCTGAACCGGAAATATGGGCCAAGCTTGATATCTGGAATCGCGGTACCCTGCACCTTGCCGCTAAGCAAGGCAATGGGGAAAGCATATCCATGATATTGAGCGAGAAAGGTGCAGGACCAGGTGCACTGGACAAATTTGGCAAGTCGCCCTTGATATATCTCTTTGGGAGACTTTCAACTCCAGACTCGGCGGTTAAAGAGGAGCTCTTCGACATACTCGTGGAGCTCGTGAAAGCGACCAACAGACTTGGTTACCGGGATGAAAATGGAAAGACCATATTCCATCTTGCTGCTCAGTTTCCCGCTATTGATCTCCTTGGGAAACTTAGAGAGAAATTGGATGGGTGGGAGGAGGGAATCAACTCCAAAGATAACAATGGACGCACGCCACTCCATGAAGCAGTCATCGCTCTCGCTGGATATCGAGCGACACTCCATGGGGAAGCCATCGCTGTCGACGAGGATCGAGCATTTTTCTTCATGGAAGGGTTGGCAGACGGGAAGACACCTCGGCTAGATCTGGAAGGGGATAAAGAAGGGGTAACAGTGCTAATGTCCGCTTGTTCCGGGGGCCTTGTGAAAACCGTCCGGCGGATTCTGGAATTGGATAAAAGCACTACAGACAATGCAGATGCATCTGGGCGAACTGCATTACATTATGCTGCCACAGCAACTGGGTTGCTGGAAACGACTCAGAGGACCATTATCCAAGGACTGATTGAACACATGAAGGCATCATCAATAACAGCATGCGACTCGAAAGGCAGGACAGCATTGCATGATGCAATTGATCGAAATCTGGATCAGGTTGCGTTGTTGCTTCTCGATGGCGAATATCATTATCAATCAACCGCCGACGAGGAAGGAGACTCCCTTCTGGTTACAGCATGCAAACAAGGATGCCGAAAAGCCGCAGAAAGAATCCTGAAAAGGTGGCCTCAGCTTCTTAACGAGCCTGATAGCATGTATGGAGAGACACCGCTTGCGTTCGCATGTGAGAATGGGAGGACAGAACTTGTTAAGATGCTTCTCCATCACCCAGACATAGACCCGAATAAGCCAGCATCTGGGTGGGGCTCCTTGACGCCTCTGCATATCGCTATTATTTGCAGCAGAAATATCAAGATCGTTCAACAATTAATTAATCACAAGGCGATCGACATTGGCGCTACCGACGATATGGGGACCACACCTTTTGAGGTGGCTGTCGCTATAGATGAAGTTAAAATCGTGGAGCTATTATTGAGTAAAGCTTCTATACCTCAGTTGCAATCGCTGAAGGCGCTATGTGACTCAGACAATGCCGAGATGAGTCGTCTACTTGACAAGTGCATCAATCAACTCAAGGAGGACGAGCTTTCGGGAGAGGACCTCATCGAGCTGATTGGTGTCAGTGTCGAATCGCTCGCTCTAGGCATGCCTAGGAACCGGCTACTAGCCATCTGTCTGACGAGGGCGATGAAGCAAAACGAGTGGGACGGGGATACGAGGGAGAAGTTGAAGAGGAAACTCCCCTGTCACATGGCTGCTCGGATCGGCGAGCTAAAGATAATCCGGCAGGCTCTTTCCAGGAGCGACGATCTTGTCCAGGGAGACGAGGTAGACTCCGACAACTGGAATTGGGTCGATTACGCGCGGAAGTATGGACGGCAGTGGCACGATGCAGATGAACAAACATTGAAGACATTTGACCGCGACTTGAATGACTTAGCCAGCGAGTACCTTAGAAAGGAAGGGGGATGGCCAGACCCGCTGGTACCAACAACGCTTAGATTCAAAGAAGGCCTTAATGAGGTTGTGGCGACGACAGCGTGTGTCGATCATCCGGGGGGTTGCTCGCGAATGATAGGTAAGCTCAACAACATCAAAGTCTGGGGTATAAGGGTCCAACACCACATAGGCATACAGGTTTTATTAAAAAGTCACCCGGATTTCCAATTTCTGCGTCTTGCGACAGATCATCCGGTTTCCCCCATAGAGAGGACGGCTTACTTCGAAATTGAAATCATGCAGGAGTCACCGTCTATGTAAGTACAGTCTACAAAACTTGTTGACCATCACTGACAGAAGAAATCTACTGGACAGGCTTGTTGGGCTGGGCTTCTGCCTTGACAACAAACCGCGTGACGAAATGCCAGGTTTTGATACCGGCTCATGGGCTTTCCATGGAGATGACGGGATTGTATTCTTGGAGGGTCGGGATATTACGACTGGTGATCTAGGCCTGAAGAGCGTCTTTCGGGTGGGAGATATCGTGGGTTGCGGTATGGATACGGAGTCGGGTGATTTCTTTTGTGTGCGGAACGGGAACCGGCTGAACCTAGGTGAGTCAAGCATCCCACCGCACCATAGATGCATATCTTCTTATACTAAACATATCCTAGGCGACATCTCTTTTGATACTCGTAAGTTTACATACAGCAAACTGTATCCTTGCATCGGCGTAGGTATGGAAAACGACAGCGTCGGCCTTCAGATTCGGGTCAACCTAGGCTCAGACAAGCACCCATTCAAGTATCAAGTGCCTAGATGAGTCGATATGCTTGGGGGAAACAGTTGGGAAGTGGCTAGATAGGCAGATCGGGAACGTCTATACCTAAGAGTTCCTACCCGTCGGGCCCGGTAGGTGGTTAACGGCAGGTTAGAAAACGGGGCCGACGCGGATATAGAACCCGGAAGGTTAGGGGCCGGTATACAGCAACAGGGCATTGATAGATTCCTTCATTGCCCTACGTTTAATACTTATTGCTGGTCTTTAGCCGGGTCCCAATATGAACGTATTTATCTATCCTTTGAACGGGGGTATTATAAACCAACTCGAGAGATCGACACAAGAAGCATCACAGCGGGCAGCACGAACAGCAGCGCCAAAGGCCGGAAAACGGCATATTCATCATCATGCATCAGCCGAGGCGCACGATCCTCCACATGCGCAGGCACTCCTGCAGGTCGAGCGAGAGCGTGCCCTCGTGGGCCGTCGACGTGTCGCGCAGCAGCGCGACGAGCAGGCTCGCCAGCGCGAACGCCTCCTGGGCCGCGCGCAGCGCCTCGAGGTCGGACCGGCGCATGCCGCCGTTGTCCGCCCACGCTTTCCACAAGTCCAGCATGCGGCAGATCGATGCGGCGAACGCGCCGTCGAGCACCATGCGGTGCAGCAGCGCGCCCACGACGTCGCGCAGCGACTGCGCCGCGCCGACGTGGAAGCCCGGCGGGCCGCCGCCGGGGGACCCCGCCCGCTCCTCGCTGCGCCGCGCGAGCCACCGCAGGTTGTGCTCCGCGACGAGCTTCGCGTCCCACTTCGGGCTCTGCAGCGCCTCCGAGGTCCGCGCCTCGCGCCGCTGGTTCTCGAGGCGCGTGCGGTCGCGCACTACCGGGGGGCGTCTCGTGTTAGCAACCGGTTCCTGGCGAAGCAAAAACGGAACCAACGAAGAGGAATGAAAAGCGAGAGAGAGAGAGAATAACTTACTGTCCTGCATCCGCTGCGCCATCTCGCGCTGCATGCGGTCGCGCGCGGCGGCCTCGCGCTGGGGCGGGGGCATGCGGGCCTCGGCCTGGAGGGCGGCGTGGTGCTCGTGGGTGCGGCGGATGAAGAGGTCGCGGGCCTGCTCCTGGGCGTCGTTGGCGGCGGCGCCGGCGTCCCACTCGGGCGTGTCGGCGTCGTCGACGACGCCGAGCAGCACCAGCACCCCGCACGGCACCGTGTCGCGCCGCGCGAACCCGAGCACCGCCTCCGGCACCTGGTAATTCCACAGCACCGTCTGGCTGCTCGTCCCGTACGCCGTCGCCACGCTCGCGAACCACGCCCCGGCCGTCAGCCCCCCGCCCCCGCCCCGCGTTCGCAGGTGCTCGATGTACAGGCTCTGCGGGCCGGCCGTCGACGGCCGGATCGGCATCCCGTCCTCGTCCTGGGTCAGGGCCGCGACGAGCCCGACCACCGAGATCTGGCACGTGATGGTCGCTCTCGCGTTCTTCTCGACCTGCTTCTGGATCGAGTCTAGGGACTCCTTGCTGCGCAGACTCTTCCCGTCCTTTCCTCCGTCTTCCTTCCCGTGAGCGCTCTCCGACGAAGAGCGTGTCTCTTCGTCTCGCGGCGCGGAGCCGCTCGCAGATTCGGCGTCTTCGGTAGCCTTCGCGGGTGGCGGCAGCGGGGGCGGTGGCAGCTTTATCCAGTACGGGGGCAGAGAGGAGATGTCCCTCGTGGTCCAGTCCGAGGACCAGTTCGCCTTGAGAGACAGATGGCCGTCGGAGTCGTCGAGGGGCGCGATGGTGAGGGCGTCGTGGAACCCGTCGGGTGACTTCATGAGGGCGCAGCCGGTCGGGGTCCACAGGCCCGTGGAGCGTAGTAGCTTCCAGCCGTGGCCGTCCGGGACGGCACCAAGATCGAGGAGGTAGGCCACGAGCTCGGAGAAGACGACGTCGACTTGGGGCTGGCGCAGCTGGTCGGCGTACTCGACGCGCTGGGTCTTGGCGCCGATTGCGCGCGACTGCCAGTTGAAGGTAGTCCACGAGCCGCCGGGGATCGAGCTCGGCTGGCGCGACAGCCGCCAGTACAGGTCCGTCTCGGCGAACCGGTCGCAAGGCGTGACGGCGTAGCGCGGCAGCTCGACCTCGATGACGCGGTTCACGACGTCGCTGCGTGTTAAAGCCGTCAGTCGGCCGTGCCGGAGCATGCGCTTGATCTTGGATAGGGCAGCTAGCGTAGCAACGGTATTATAGAGGATGGGCAAGACGCCGAGGACGGCTAGCGGCACACCGATGTAGGTGATGATGTCGGTGGCCGAGTGCTCGGAGTCGTTAGAAGGCATCTCGGCTGCTGATGCTGCTGCGTCTTCTGGTCTTTTTTCGCCCTCGCCTGCTGCCCAGTCAACACTCACAGGTCTTTTATCCGACCGCAGGCGTAGACAGAGCAGAAACCTACGGAGGCGATGGTGACTCAATCCAACATGGAAAGATATTTATTAAGGCGAGTTTCGCAATGCTCCACGTCGACGACCGTGTTACGTGCCTGTTCAGCCGCAGCAGCCAAGGGTGGACTAGCTAGCCAACCCCTGGTGTTCAGCTGAACTTGACGCGCTCGGTTGACATCCTCGCCCACGTTGATCGCTCAAGCACGATCTGCTTATATCCCTGAATGCCGAGATTCTCCTTTCTGCTCGTTAAGCCCTTTCCACGCTCAAACCGGTATCGAGAAGTATCATGATGAGTCGGCAGGCCCCCTTCCCCAGTTGAGCAAAGCGGAAGCGTGTGTGCAGAAGCTATCGCTGGATTCATTACATGCATAACCCTGATTTTCGTATAGTCCCAGTGTCTCGATACGATGCATATTTGGAGTGAAATGCTTATAGAGGGGCTGCTCATGCAAGGTACCCGAGACTAGCGTAATGACGAGCCAGGATCAGACAGGCCAAGATCAGACCTCGTTCCACCGGCGAAACTCGAGCTTTCTGCCGCCAATCCCCGTCTCTCCATCTACAACATCGACTTCATCCCACGTCCCACCATTACACCATAGCCCGATGTATATACTTACGTAGAACACGTTTCTTGAGCAGTCGTAGCATTGCTCCGTTTGTATTATATACATTCTTTTCCGTAATCCGAGCCCAAATACCAGGTCTTGCCAATTAACGCTCCTCGCTCTCATCCCCACTTGGTCTGTTTCTCGCCTGAGAGCTCAACATCCGGCCAGGGACGAAAACGACAGTATGACGACCGGTCGGCGATAATGCGACTCCACTGCGTCAATGCAGTCCTCATCGCTGCCACTGCTACACTGATACGCTTAGCCAGAGCTCAATTCCCCGATGCTTCGCCCGAGAACCTGAACCTGACCACGATCGCGTCGCCCGTCGATCCCAGAATCACGATCAGCTACAAGGTACCTCATGGCGCCTGTAGGACTGCCTTCGAGTCGCAGCAGCAGTACACTGGCTGGGTGAGCATTCCGGGCGAGTTCCCTACGAACACTTTCTTCTGGTTCGTCGGCGCGCGCGACGCCGAAGCCTCGTCGTCTCTCACCATCTGGCTCAATGGCGGCCCGGGTTCGAGCTCCATGTTCGGTTTCTTCACCGAGAACGGGCCTTGCGAAGTCGTCGACGACGAGAATGGCGGGTTCACTACCGTTGCCCGAGAATGGGGCTGGGATAGGGCGTCGAACATGTTGTTCATCGACCAGCCGAACCAAGTCGGCTTTTCGTATGACGTGCCCACCAACGGCTCCCTCGATCTGCTCACCAACACCGTCTACATTCCGCCCGCCGAGCGACCCAACTCCCTGCCACCTACGGCGTATCTAGACGGCACCTTCAGCTCCATGAATATCAGTAACACGGCTAATACCACCGAGACCGCAGCGGTGGCTACATGGCACATGTTGCAAGGATTCCTGAGTGCCTTTCCGGAGCTGAACCCCCCCAAAGATAACATACTAGGTGTGAACCTGTTCGCCGAAAGCTACGGCGGGAAATACGGCCCCACATTCGCTCATAAGTGGAAGGAGATGAACGCCGCTCGCGTCGATGGCTCAGCGTCCAATAGCACTACAGTAGAGATTCGCTTGGTTTCGCTCGGCATCGTTAACGGCTGCATCGACGACCTGATCCAGGCGCCCTACTACCCCGTCATGGCGGTCAACAACCCGTACGGACTTACGGCCATCAACTCGGTCAGGGCGCGGGCGGCGAACGCTAGCTTCTACATTGAAGGCGGGTGCCGCGATCTCATCAACCAGTGCCGAGCCGCCGTCGCTAGCCAGGACCCGGGTAACACTGGTTCGGTTCCAGAGGTCAGCAGCATATGCGCATCCGCTCAGGCCAGCTGCGCCAAGAACGTCATGATGCCGTACGCGGATGCAGGCCGCAGCTTGTACGACATCGCCGCGATGGTCCCCGACTCGTTCCCGCCGCGGCGCTACCTCGAGTACGTGAACACGGCCGCCTTCCAGGCCGCCATCGGCGCGCGCCTCAACTACACTGAGGTCAACACCCAGGTCGTCTCGGCCTTCACGTCGACCGGCGACCACCAGCGCGAGGCCATGGTTCCGAAGCTCGCCTCGCTGCTGGACGCCGGCGTGCGCGTCGGCCTGGTGTACGGCGACCGCGACTACGTGTGCAACTGGCTGGGCGGCGAGGCGGTGTCGCTCGCGGTCGCGGCGGCCGCGTCCGGCCGCTCGCCGTACGCGTCCGAGTTCGCGACCGCCGGGTACGCGCCCGTCATCGTCAACGAGACGTACATCGGCGGCGTGGTGCGCCAGTTCGGCAACCTGTCCTTCAGCCGCGTCTACCAGGCCGGCCACTTCGTGCCCGCGTACCAGCCCGCGACCGCGTTCGAGATCTTCGCGCGCATCATCCGCGGCGACAGCGTGTCGACCGGCGCGGACGTCGACCTCTCGTCCTACGATACTGACGGTGCGTTCGCCGCCTTACCTACCTACCTACCTATACATACCAGATACCTTCCTGTCTCTCCACCCCCCCACTCCTCTCTCCAGGCCACTTCTTTCTCCTCACCCCAACTCGACGAGCTAGCTGACAAGACCAACCACCAGGCCCCCTCGACGCCGGCCAATCCTTCGACCTCCCCCCGAGCCCCGCACCGACGTGCTGGCTCCGCGACGTGCCGGGGACCTGCACGGACGCGGACCGCGCGGCGATACTGGCCGGCGACGTCGTCGTGGCCGGCGGCGCGCTGCAGGCCGGGCCCGAGGATACCCGCACGACTCCGTCGTCCACCGTCGTCGTCGTCGTGACTACTACCGTCGTCGCCAGCGGCGGGAGCACGAGCGCCTTGATCGTCACCATCACGACGACGGCGACGCGGGCCGGCGAGGGCGACGGCGCGGGCGCGAGCGCAACAAGGCTAACTGGCTTGTTCACGGCCACGGCGACGCCGTCGAGCGCCGCTGGGGCCGTGGGCCGTGGTCTAGGGCAAGGAGGGTGGTGGTGGGATTCACGGAGCCTAGGGGCGGGGTGGGCGACGGTTGTGGGGGTAGGTGTGGGTGTGCTGCTGCTAATGTGGTAGGGAGAAGCGATTTGTTTGCTTTAGAGGCGCTTATTCTACGGTTATATTGAGGATACCTACGGCGCGTTGGGGCGCTCGGCGAGTGGTTACTTTGGGATATGTATGGAGCATGACTTTGTGTATATTCGCATATCGCGGCGCTGTACTGAACTCTGTCTATCTAAGCGATATCCTATACAATATATTCGATGGCGGTGATCCGTAATACCCTTATAATTTGGACACTTTGGGGTTATGTCTTCTGCTAGAGACGGTGTGTAATACCTGTCTCTAGATGTCTACCAGCGTAGAAGCGTTAGGGCAACGACCAGGCAGTCCCCGGAATCTGTACCACGGAAACCGGACTTGAAAACCTGGACATTTTATTTGTCGACGAAGCTCCGGATGTGGGTTATATAGCGCAATATTCGGGACCATCAGCACGTTTTACAAAATGCTAGTCCCCTGATAATCGATATCAAATCAGGCACGGACAGGCCTGGATTACGACACCACAATCGATCACATCACACTAGATAGGAACGAACAAGAGATTACCCAATTACCCAGTGCCACTTACCTCTATTCGCCGGGGTAGGAAGTCGGCAGAGACGCATCGAACTATCGGACCTGATTCTGCACGATCATTAGCGAAATCCGGGACAACGCGTCTCAGACATGATCGAGGGTAGAGTCTTGTATCAGATATACAATTGCCTTGTCAAAGGCGGTATCATCAAAGCTGTCGAGCTATGTTGACCGTCGTGAAAATATTTGATCATCATTGTGGAAGTGATGAGGAATGGGCAGTAGCTGAAGCAGTTGTGTCTTACCTATAGTCTGTCGAATGATATATATGGTGGTCATCCCGAATCGGTGTATCTCAAATATTCAGCCTGTCACTTTTGCTAATTAGTCTCAGGTTCATATGCCCCAACTCCAACTCCTCGTTAGGCAAAGAATCTCGTGTCCGTGCAGTCAGACATGACCAGAGTCATCAACGCCGAAGGCTCTGACATATGCTTGTCAATAATGTTTTGTCAAATCATCATCCTGCCGCCGACCCTAGTTTCCTTTGATATCTCAGGGATAGTACGTACAGGCACAGCATAGAGGTGGGACGCATTTCTATCGAGGGTGCCTACGGTAGGTCAGAATGGAATGATTCTCGGATTAAAGAACAAGGCAATGACAACAGATAATTGGGATCAGAAAGGCATGAATGGTAGTAAATGAGGTTGTCTACATCGGAAAAAACCCGAATCAGACTCGTCATCTGTGTTCATCAGGTAGATAGCGACAGTGGTTTTGAACAGAGGAAAAGGGAATGTACCAACCTAGATATCCACCGGCACGGGGGATCGTGGGTGCGACATTGAGAGCAGGAGGGTGAATTACAGGATTGCCACCTCCACCTCAAGTTACGCGGGACCATCTATTAGATCAGCCCAATTGGCATCCCTAGGTTCGAGCCTTCGCGTTAGCGAGGGTATCACTAGCCATCCAGGGATATCGCGGTTGTGGTGGACGAAATCAGTGGGCGAGGTTTTCTAGGCCTGCCACAAGATGGCGTATCGACTCATGTGATTGTGATATCGGAGCCCAGTGCCGTTTCATCATATCGAGAGGACATAATTTCGGGTGAGGGAGATCGCGTACCCTACATGTATGGAAAATCGGGATCGCCAATCTGTATATCAGTGTTAGAAACTGCCAAAAACATCACAAGAACTCTGAAGACGTGAGGTTTTGCAGGTACTATCAGAAACAGCCTGTTGTTTTTCGTCAAGAGCATTTGCCTCAGACGGTAATTTCCAGCTATGCGAATGCATAGAAGAATCATCATAGAAAGGGGATTGGGGGAGAGGATGGATAGACGAGCAGACATACCAATTGATGCCGTACTGCCTGCTGCCAGAGGCAGAGGGAGACCGCATCCTGCTAACCACTACAGCATTGAATGTCTAGACGGGGCTGTGTTTCCTATGTTCCAGTCAGCACAACAAAGCTCCTGATCAGTGCGCGCACAGCTCTGGGCTACCATGTTTTTTTCTGCTCAGACTGACGTGTAAAAACAGTTTCATTCCGAGAGGTCAAAGACTCTAGTTTGCGGTTTACATATTGTCATCAAGGAAGGGGGGAGAAAGGAGTGCAAAGGAGCAGCTGATGTACTTACAGTTGAGCTGTAGCTGTAACAGGTGTGCGACAGCGACCCCAGCAACTGAGATGTGCAGAGCAAAGACAGAGGCTGAAGATTTACGCGATGCAAATTCAGATGATGGAAAAAAAAAAAGCTGTACCTATGCTTCCTGGTTAAAGTGGGGGTCCTACCTGGTCTGGGTTAGGTAATCAGCGGGGGACGGAGAAAAGGAAATTCCAGGATGGGTGATTAGGTAATATGGGCTATCGGTCAGGACAGGGGATGGAGACATGCGGTAGATGACCTCGGTATTCCGTCCTTGGGGATTCCGAAGCTAGCCTTATGTAAACCTCAGCGTCACCCCCACCTCGGCCTAAGTTCTCCCCCCTAGTCCTGTCTTCAGCTTGTAGCGGTACATCATCTTTTACCAACTCCGATGCCAGCCACGAACAGCCCGAGAGAATCGCGGGCCGTGAGCAACTCTCTCCCGCCTCCCATGACCAAGGGGTGGCCATGTACCTAAGCCTGGCGGTGGCTGACGGGATGCGTTTCTAACTATTTCGCCATTTTTATTCTTTTACCCCCAAACCGTTGACAGGTCACTTACGCGATCTCGAAGTGCGCGCACATAATGGAGGGGCTAGAGAGGGAAAGGAAAAAAAGAGTAAGGAGAGGGAGAGGTGGTTAGTGGCCCATCGTATCCGCGACCTTGCCGGCATCTCCCGCCTCTCGGTACAACCGAGCGGCGGCTCGTGACCCGAGAAATCCTCTTTCACCACTTGCCGCCAGCCCTGTTACCCTTACGCGAGCGACCCTTTCCCCAAGCCCCCATTTCCTTCCCCTTGGCCGGTCCATGGCGCGTTGGCGCTGGGCTTTAGGCTGGGAGTCCGAAGGTCTGGTCGGTCTGACCCTGACTTACGCCTCGGGATGAGTGCCGTATGCCATCGTGCTTCTTCTTTGTTACCCGCAGTGCCGCTGGAATACCGAGAGGGCCTGTTGGGCGAGTGAGAGGGAGAGCCGCTAATCCCCGCCCCGGCGTCTCTAGACCCAGCCCAAGGTCAAGCTGTCGCCCCTCGGCATATATATCTTCGTCATGCCGCATCACCGCGTTTCGTCCCCGTAATACCTGCCACTCACGAACACTTATCGGAATCTAGCCTGTTGAGAATACATATACTCTTTCCCTATCGTCTTATCGTCGGTGGCGCTTAGGCCGTCTGTCTCTCCCTTCCTCTTCTCCTTCTCTCTCCTCCCTTTGCCCGTAACATCGCCGCCCCCTCCTCTTCCTCAACTTCGTCTCGCTCCGCGTTCCCCGTCGGCCAACTCTTGCACCTCCCACGCGCAATCCCCCATTCCTCTTCCTCTAGCTATCGTGTAGACCTACCAGAAATAATGGCGAGCAATGGAAACAATGTGCCTCCGGCCGAGTCGGCCACTGTGAACACCGATATTGTCACCTTGACCCGTTTCCTCACGGAAGAACAAACAAAGCACAAGGAGGCGACCGGAGACTTTACGTAGGTTCTTCTGGCCCCTCTCCGGGCTTGTAGGCATACTGCGAACGGTAACTAACCACACGCGTGCGCACGCCCACAGCTTACTATGCCACGCCCTTCAATTCTCCTTCAAGGCCATCTCATACTACATCCGCCGAGCCACCCTCGTAAACCTCACTGGACTTGCCGGCCAAGCCAATGCGACGGGCGACGACCAGAAGAAGCTCGACGTCATCGGCAATGACATATTCATCGCTGCCATGCGGTCGTCGGGGAAGTGCTCGCTGCTGGTCTCGGAAGAGGAGGAGGAAGTCATATATTTCAAGGACCAGACCGGAGCTCGGTATGCCGTGGCCTGCGACCCTATCGACGGCAGTTCCAATTTGGATGCGGGTGTGTCGGTCGGAACGATCTTCGGTATACACAAGCTCGCCGAGGACTCGACCGGCAGGAAAGAAGACATCTTGAAGCCCGGCTCCGAGCTTCTCGCTGCCGGATTCACCATGTACGGCGCCTCGGCACAGCTCGTTATTACGATGAAAGGCGGTACCGTCAACGGGTTCACGCTCGACAACTCGTTTGGCGAGTTCATCCTAACCCACCCGAACATGCGAATCCCGAAAAAGCGAGCCATCTACTCCGTCAACGAGGGCAACTCGTTGTACTGGGACGAGAGCACGAAGGAGTACTTCAACTCCCTGAAGTACCCGCAAGACAACGGCAAGCCGTACAGTGCGAGATACATCGGTAGTATGGTCGCCGATGCCTATCGAACGCTGTTGTATGGGGGTATCTTCGCCTATCCGGCGGACAAGAAGAGCCCCAAAGGCAAGCTGCGAATCCTGTATGAGTGCGCGCCGATGGCCATGGTTTTCGAGAATGGTAAGATACCGTCACCCCATTTTTTTTTCTCTTTTCGACGAAGATGTGAAACTGACATCCATTTCTTCTACCTCTTAGCTGGTGGCCAAGCCGTAGATGGTAAAATGAATCGGATGCTCGAGGTCGTACCCGAGCACATCCACGACCGGTCCGGAATTTTCTTGGGCAGTTACGACGAGGTCGAAAAGGTTAAGGCATTCTATAAGTGATTTCTTGGGAGGGAGAGGGAGATGGGACACGCCGTATATCTATACATAAAGCGAAGTGGCTCGAAATTCATGTGTACTTTAGCGCTGAAACCCCCAAAAGGCATAGGACCGGGAGCAACAGAGGGTTGAATAAATGCATTATAAGAAGCGATACATGCGCAATCACTATCATTCAAGGAGCCGTCATCGCTCCTAATCCGATATTCAGGCCAGACCGGACTGGGACAAACATGGGCTGCCAGATCTGCTGCACACGCGGCAAATGCCATACAACGATTTACATCTCCGTTCCCTTACCCTTCTGTCGCACGCGTGTCCCATATCATCTTATTCCTCCCCACGCAAGACCTCCTCGCCCTCCTACCTCTCCTGTAGAGAAACCACCTGCCTGTCCGTTCACCACCCGCTCCATATTCAGCGCCCTCACCGCGAGTTCCCCCAAGTCACGCAACAAACACAGCTAGAACAGCTTAGGAAAAAACTTAGGCGTGCTCTGCTTCCAGGCGCGGTAGTCGTCGCGGTGGCCGTAGCGCGCGTCGTACTTGCGCTCGCTGAGCGGGACGCCGCTGACGCGCAGCAGCAGGAAGGCGACGAAGGCCGGGGAGGCGGCGGCGGCGGCGAGGACGGCGACGCGGCCGGCGACGGGCGCGGTGAGTCCGAGGCCGAGCTGCGCGGGGCGCGGGACGAGCAGGCTCGCGGCGGCGACGGCGACGCCGGTCCAGAGGGCGCACTCGCCGAAGTAGTTGGGGTACCGGCTGCGGGGGAGGGGGAGGGGGGGGGGGGTGGTTAGCGAGGGAAGAAGCGGGTGGCGGGGAGGGGCAGACACACCTCCGGCTCCACAGGCCCTCGGCGAGGAACGGGCGGTCGTGGCGCTTGTCGCGGGCGCGGCGGCGCCAGCGGCTCTTCTGGGCGTCGGCGGCGACCTCGAGCGCGAAGCCGCCGGCGAAGACGGCCAGGCCGAGGCCGTACGCGGCGGCGGCGGCGGGGGGCGTCGCGGCCGCCGCGGCCGCCGGCACCCCGTTCGCCAGCAGCACGGGCCCCAGGCACACCGACACCCAGACGGCCTGGGCGAGCCAGACGCCGGCGAAGCGCGCGGGCGCGTCGCGCAGCCCGTCGAAGCGCGAGTCGCTGCCGTCCGCGAGCACGCGCGCGAAGAGGTAGGCGCCCACTGGAGACAAGCGACTAGGTGAGTGAGCGAGCGAGCGAGCGGGCAGGCTAGCGAGGGGGGGGGGACGCACAGCGGACGGACCAGGCGGCGACGGCGGCGCTGAGCGCGATCTGGCGCCAGTGCGGGGCGGCCAGGATGCTGAGCAAGGGCTGCGGCGAGGCGGCGGCGGCGGCGGCGGCGCGCGCGCGCAGGCCCGGCAGGTACAGGCTGAGGAGCGTCACGGCGAAGAAGGTCGCGGAGCCGGAGGCGTCGAAGAAGCGCTCGGACCGCGCGAGCACCGAGGGCAGGCCCACGGCGGCCTGCAGCGCGAAGGCGGCGCCGACGCCGGGCACGACCGCGCGGAGCAGCGGCGACCGGAAATTGGTCAGGCGCAGCAGCTTGTGGAGGAGGGACGTCGTGGTGGCCATCGCGGCGGCGGAGCACGGGGGTTCGAGGGGTGAGATGGAGTCCGTGTGTGGTACGGACAAGACGTCTTGTGTACCTACTCTAGGAGGAGAATGGTAGGGGTGACGGTGTGAAAATAACCAGTGTACCCGAGGTGGGATCGACGCCGTGCAGGATTGCGCTGTTGGGGAGGAGAACTACGCGGAGCTGACACCGGTTCCTCTCGCCTCTCCAGCACGGTGCGCGAAGAGTGGTTTTACTACGACAGAAGCGCTCCGTCTTATTTCCCACCTTCTCTGCTGTGGAGCCGTACCGTCCCGCGCAATTGGGCCTATTTCGATACTGAGAGCGAGTCGTGACGTATTTAGTGGGAGAGAACAAAAGGGAATGCGGTGATGATCGCCGATCTGCGAGACAATAATAGAGATACATGGAGAATCGCTCGACGTAGGTAGTAATGGGCTGTGAATCCGAGACGGGAAACCCCACGCCTGTCATACCACGAGTCGCGTGTCATATAGACACGTTGCGGCGAGATGCAGACGTGTGGCTTGCGATATATTTTGAGCTGCTATTATGTAGATATCACTGAGCTTTACGAACCTCCTAGTATCCATCCAAATTTATTTTTTTACGTTTTAACTTCATTTCGTCGTGTACTATCAACAGATGGGAGACACTTCTTACCAGAGAGCAAAGCAGCTCATTTCGCAAAGTCGGGGCGGAGTCACGAACATGCCCCCCAAGCGCGGGAATCTCTGTGACGGGTTATTTAGCACTCCCCATGCTCCCTGAAGAATCAAGGACAACCGTCTTCGCGTATACAAAGCATCAACCTCATCTCCGTCCCCCCCCTCACACCCTCACACCTCAGCCACGCCGCCTAGGTGAAGACGATGCCGCCGTCGACGATCTGCGTCTGGCCGGTGATGAAGTCGCTGGCGGGGCTGGCGAGGAAGCTGACGAGGCCGACGACGTCGTCGGGGGCGCCGGCGCGGCGGAGAGCGGTCCCGCGGACCTCGCCGGCCATAGCGTCGCCGGGGGTGCTGCCGAGGCGGCGCGAGATCCCGGCGTCGATCTGCTCCCACATCGGGGTGCTGATGATGCCGGGCGCGTACGAGTTGGCCGTGATGTGGTGCGGGCCGAGCTCGGCCGCGTACGCCTGCGTCAGGCCGCGCACCGCCCACTTGCTGACGCAGTAGTGCGGCAGCAGCGCGAACGGGCGGAACCCGGCGATCGACGACGCCGCCAGCAGCTTGCCCGGCCGCGCCGGCCCGCGGTCGCCCTGCCGGATCATCTGCGCCCCCGCCTCCGCGAAGCAGTTGTGCACCCCGTACACGTTCACCGCGAACACCCGCGCGAAGTCCGCCTCCGTCAGCTCCAGCAGCGGCTTCACCTGCAGGATCCCCGCGTTGGCGATCCTGCCCCGTCGCCGCGTTCGGTCAGCCGGGCCTTGGCGTACGGAAGGGATGGGAGGAGGGCGCTAGCAGGGGACGCGAAGGGGGCAGGCAGGCATACGACGCGAGAACGGGACCGCGCGCTAGAAGCAGAGGGAGGCGGAGGAAAGCTGGCACAGAGGACTCACATCGTGCTCAGCGGGCCCAGGTTCTGGACGCTCGACTGCACCAGCTCCCGCACCTGGTCGCGGCTCGACACGTCCGCGATGCCGACGTGCGCTTGGCGGCCGAGGCTGCGGATCTCCGCCGCCACCTCCTCGCACGCCGCCGCCTGCGCCGGGATGTCGTTGACGCACACGTCGTACCCGTCCCTGGCGAGCCGCACGGCGACCGCCCGGCCGATCCCGCGCGACGCTCCCGTCACGATGACGCTGCGCTTCTGCCCGGTCGGCTTCTCTTCGCCCGCCTGCGCGGCGGCGGACGAGTAGCTGCTATTATGCTGGAGCGGGGTACCCGCACCGAGGTGCTGGGCTGGTTTGCTACCAAACTCCACCCGAGGTCGCCCCGCGCGATGATGGAGAAGGCACCCGGGTCTGCGGGAGAGGCTAGCTGCGCTCTGGATGAGGAGCTTCATTGTCGATGGCTGCTTCGGAGCAGAATATTTCGAAATATGGAGGGGTAATGGTCGTCGTGTCGATCGGATGGGAAACGGGCAATCTAATACGAGTTACGAAGGTTCCTTGGCACCGCTGTGGAAACATGCAGCCTGCGCCTCCTACTCGGCGACAGAGAGCTCTTATATAGCATCCTACGTGACACCTCAACTCTACCATGGTTTACCCTGGTTTCCTGAGCCACTCCGCTCGGTCCTCGTGTATACGTCGTTGCAATGGGCCTACTACTGGTGTTTATAGTTATGCCAAAGAGTCCCTCTCAGTATGATTATACTACTAACTACTAGGTGATATGATATTTGGTTAGCTGTATTGGCTATAGTAACCTGGTGAAGGTAGGATAGACCTTATAGTCCGAGAGCAGCTTTTATCTTGACTTGTCCAGTGGGGAGGAAACGGGACAGGAATGTCAAATACCAACCCGCCGTAGGACCGGGTTATCCCATCGTGAGTAACCCAACGCAGTGACGAACGGTCCGACCCCGTGAAGCTCGGACGAGCTAATATCAGGCTCTGTCCCAATCCCCAGCTTTTGGGAAGAATACTGCCGGTGGTCTGGTGATCCGAACGCCCTTCCTAATAAGACTAGTCCTGATCCTTAGCAACAAAAAGGAGCGTTCCCAACGCGGTGACCAGGGGCACTTACTCCAATTAGATACTCATATACCTACTCCTATCTGCCGGTCTCGAGCAAACTGCGGATGCCCACTCATCCCTACCCTCTCGACTCTCCCTCGATGCTTCCCCACGTCGTGATCGCCAACAAATACGTGTAGAGATCGTCCTACCGTCGGATCCGTTGGGGCCAATTGCGATCTCAGTCTATGATCGAACTGCATAGCGGGTTACAGTGGAGGCGTGTTGTTCATCACATTGCTGCGTGCATAAGTCGTACGTACACACATGGGCGCCTCGTCTGTTGAGTCCGGGGTTCTTCTCCCATCTGGGGGAGTGATTCGTCTACCATTATATCTACTACCTGGGCATGCCGGGAAATCTGCTAAATTGGAAAACCTTGACGCCGAAAGCCTAGTGATCATGTACAGTTATCACGACTTATGCACTGTATCCTGAGCTTCTACCGTGTCTCGTATGTCCACCCCTATGATACGAGACCGCACACTCCCCGTCGACCTTCGTCCGAGAGACGCATGCTTCCGATCACTTGGCCCGACCTACCGACCGGTGTTAGAGAAGGCGCTCTTCACGTCCGCACGCGGCCACTCGAATAGCACGTCTCCGCTATACACCGTGGTTGTCACCGTCGAGACCCGGACTTCAACTTCTCCGTAGAACTTCTCGCATTCTTGGAGAACGCGGGTGACGAGGCCGCGGCTTAAACTCGGGTCGTCGGCGTCGCCAAAGTGCTTTTCCACTCGTTTTCGCAGTGCTTCAACTCCTTTGCGCACCTCGCGCCCGTCGTAGCCGCTGAGGATCTTGTTGAAGGTGGCCTTGGCGTTGCTTGGCTGTGCGGCTACCGTCGTGGGGCTCTTCCCTGACACAAGCTGCGTCTCGATATTCTCAAGGTATTCGAGTAGCTTGCCCAATGGCCGGCGCATAACCGCATTGAGGTAAAGGCTCATGTGCTCCGTCATTTCGGACGCCGCGGCCTCCTTCCAATCCTCGAGGATTTCTAGACCGTGAGTGTCTAACTCCTCGTAGAAATGGTTCATGTTCTCGATTAGTAGGATGTGGTAATTCAGCGCTTCCTTGTCTTCCGGGTCGGCGCCGCTATTAGTGAGCGTGGCGGGGTTTTCGCGCGCGATGACCTTTAGCGAGTCGAACATGGTCTTGATGATACGGTCATATTCTCGATCCACCGTCCTTCTCACCGAGGAATTCATGTCGGCCGTCGAAAGCATGTTCTCTACCGCAGTGGAGAAGTGTGGGAAGACTCGCATGAAGGAGATGACACCTTTGCGTTTCTTAATCTTAACTTTTGTTTCCTCGATTGCACGTATTTGCCCTTCGACGAACTTAGAGAATCGGGATTCGAGATTGCTATGGAGTTTCTGCAAGACGTTGTTCAGAAAGTCTTGATTCGATTGTGTCATCTCCAACTGCTTGCGCTCGAGCACAGAAAGTACGCCAATCCCTTGCCTATCGATGTGTCAGCTAGAGAGCCATTGTCGCTCGGAACGAACAACCCGTCCGGTATTACTCACAAGGGATCCTGCGATAAAACCCAGTCGATTGTGGCCTGTAGATCCTGCTCCAAAAATGAGAATATGGCCTCCATAGCTCGGGTGACTCTCCGGGCCAACTCCCGATCGGGTTCCATGAGCCTGTGTCGTCTCAGGTCGCCGCCCCGTCGATCTCGCGGTTTCGTCGCGGCCACGAGGTCGGGAAAGTCGGCAGTCTCTAGGGTTGTAGCGTGGAAGAAATCGACGATGAAATTCTGCTCAATCTCCACGAGGGGTACGAGATCATCCATCATGCCCGCGAACACCTCATAGGGGAGATTGCGATGGTCCGAGACCTTGTCCAAGTTAGTCCTACTACCGTCACCGAGAGGACTCCGTAAACTTCTAGCTAGCGTCTGGCTTCGCTTCACGGTGAGTTTCTTGGCGGTTGCCATTGTCCCCTCCTGCTGCTTCTCCAATTCAGTGCTGAAGAGCAGCTCTGCTTCGTCGCCGCTAGGCTTCCTAGCGTTCCGTTTCCACGAATCGATAATGTCCTTGGATCTAAATTTATAGAGAGGCAAGTTCTTCTCCTGGTACGCCTGCATACAACGGTTCCAGCCCTCGACGTCGACCTCCCTGGCGTAGAGAATGAGAGGGCTGTAACACCAAAGCAAATTGCGACCGACGTCGTGATGCGCCGCGTCGACCCTCTTCGATAGTGCCCCTTCTACGGCAGCTTTGATTTCTTGGCACGCTTTGTCAAATTGTCCAGACATGAAGGTACCGAATCTCTGTAGGAATGCCGCGCTCTCGGAGCGGTACATCTCCTTTTTCTCTTGCACGATGCGCATCTTGCCGTAGTCGGTATTTAGACTCGAGGGTTGGCTGCTTGAGTTTACATCTTCGCTCTTTCGGAGTTCAGACCCGGACACCGACGAATCAATCTTCAACATCGCCTTGTACAGGGTAACAAGCGCCGCCTCGACGTCTTCGAGGCTCGAGACGGATTCGAGAGGGGCGGCCGACAAGGCTTGTAGGTCGTCGGAGGTGATGGCGCAGGTGTCAAGCAGCGATTCCAACTCTTTCCTAAGAAGCTTTTGATTTGAGGCCTGCACTTGCAAACCCTGCCCTTGCGCTTCGATGTACGCGATATCGTCTGATAAAGTCTAGACGACAGTCAGTGACGTACGAGGAAAACAGAAGGCTTTGGATATGTAACTCACAGATAGTTCTACGCTATATAGGGTGAGTAAGTTGTCGAGTTCATCGCATTCGGCGATGGCAACATCGAGGCCCTTTTTAATTGCCTCGACTCGGTCGTCTTCTTCTTGAAACCGTACAATCCAGCCTCCGGCCTGGGCCTTGTTGAGCTCTCGATCGAGGTCAAGCTTCATCTCTTCGAAGTTACAACTCCGCATCTGCTCCCCAGGCACCCATCCAAAATGATCTAGCCACCTGGTGAATTCGGTTGTTTTGTTGGCTAAGACAGTGGTATCGACACCTAACGTGGTCAAATACTTTACGTCGTTACCCGTCGTAATCAAGCGTCGAGTGGTATCATCTAGTCGGGTGATATCTTGGCTCTTCCTCTGGTTTTCTTTGGCGGAAGCTTTTAGGCTACTAGGACGGCTAGAGCTAGGTAGCGTGACCTTGACCTCGGGAACACTAGCCCCTTTATCTGCGGACTTCCTCTCAAGGTCAGCATCTTTCGGAATCTCTGGAATAGGTTCTGGCCGACGAGGCGCTGTAAAGACACTTGTTATGCCATCAGCACCGTTAGAACTACTCTTATTCTGCGCCGCCTCTCTTAACCGCTCTCCGGCCCCGCCAGGCCGAGGTTTAAAGGCAGCTGCGGCGGACGCGGCTTTCCATAATGATCCGGCTAGGTCACGGTGGGACTTCTTCGATTTAATCATGGGCCCTAAGCCGGGCCGACTTTCTTCTTCCCCTGCCGGTGACTCGGCGACAGGGCTTTCGGCGGGAGGCGTGGCAGGGGTGACGGGAGCAGCGAGGGCGGTAGTGGGGGTAGGCGTGGTCGGAGAGGGTTGAGGGACAGGAGCGGACGGGACGGCCAGGATGGCCGGAACGGGCAGTGTAGGGGGTGCATCGTTGTACTCGCGTATCGGGCTCCGAGATATATCCGCAGCTGGCTCCAGTTTCGCTGCTAATCTCGTTACCGGGGAGCCGAGATCCGGACGCTTCACAAAAGAATTCTTCCGAGGTGACATCCGCTCGGTGCTTCGCGGCGGCGGTTCTCTCCGGGCAGCTTGGCTCATCAGCGGCGCAGGCACGAGATCATTGTCCATAGGTTCCTTGAGCCTAGTCGGATCCATCGGGGGTCGCTTTCTATCAGGTAGTTCCACTTGTGAAGGCGGTTCCAAAGGATCGCCAAACCGACCAAGCGCGCCAGGTCCTGCCACGCCTCCCCTCGACCGTGGGGGTAGACTCGCCCCATCATCGCTGCTTTTGGTTGTGGCGACCGAACCGGCTACCGAGTCTTGACTCCGGTTGTTCCCGGCCAGTCTGCGCAACGCGGCAGCTTGATTGCCTGCGCGGATAGAGTCCGAGCCAGGGCCCGGTGACGAGGTTCCGTTTGGAGGTGCTAAGTTACGCGCGGGCGAGGTAGGAGATTGGCTAGGGCGATGGGCAAGGATCCCGCCGGCGGCCGCCGCAAGGTTAGGATTGCTGTGCGCAGGTGTAGGTTTAGAGTAGGATGGAACAGGATCAGGCCGATAAGGTTTTGGGTCTATTCTCGGGGGTGTCGCAGTAGATCGAGGAGGGGGCGCCGGGCTAGATCGCAAGGAGGAAGTGGAATCGGAGGGACCGGGTTGGCTAGAGGGCGGCGGTCGTCGTGAGCCCAGCACTTGTTCTAGCTCTCGAGGGTCGAAACCCCTCAGCTCCGGGACGTTCCCGCCCGTATATTTTCCGTAGATCTTGATGAGACTCGCGATGAAGAACTTCTTCTCCTTGTCACCCTGGGCCTGCCAGTAGTACGGCTTCCCGAGATTGACGACGAACCCAGTCTCGCCGGCCCATTCCCGCTTCTGCAGATCGACGGTGGCGGCAGTGAAAGACTCGATGACGGTCATATCGTTCAGATCCCAGGTCTTGCCGATGGAGAAGGTCCCGTTCGCATTTTCCTTGGATTTGTGCATGCGCACTCGACCTGACTTTCGGACAGCCACGATGATGACGCGAGGTTTCTCGGATTGGAGCCGCGCATCGGGGGGTGGAGGGGAGGACGGGTGCGAAGCATATTCGGTTATTCTAATATGGGTGATATACGTCTCGAGTACTATACGGAGAGGGGACCACGATCCGTGTCAATTCCCAGCAGGACAGAAAAATACGAACGAGGAGGCAGAGAGAGAAGGGTGGGGATGCCCTCTTACTTGACCCGTCAACATCCTTCTTGTTGAAGCAGCTCTCGACGATGCGTCTCTTCTCCTCCTCGAACCTCTCCGCCCTGCTCGTCTCCCGGCTGAAGCCGTTTCCTCCATTCTGGCGTGGGTGATCCATTGCAAACAGGGCCGATATCCTATGGTGAACTCATGAATGTTGCTGGTCGAGCGCGATCTGCGGAGGTTCAGGGGACATCTTTTTCCGGGCTAGAGAGTGCGGCGGGCGACGACGCGAGAGATCCTGACGAGTAAGATCGGTTCCGTATCGAGATGGGGTTCAGGGACCAGCCGAGTGAGAGTGAGGACGAAGACAGCTAGACGCGTGCGAGGAGTAGGGATTGGATATGGAACGCTTAGGTAGTGTAGGTATTACGCAGACAGATTCAATTCGTGTCTCAAGGAGATTTGAGGCCAAAGCATTGCAGGTACCGATGTACTCTTCCTCGAGGACGCCAATCCCCTTGTATTCGCTGTGGAGGCGCCACACCTACACGTGATAGGCACATCCTTACGCCAGGCCCAGCCACGCGTCTCGAGTCAAGGCTGGCCGCCACACTTAGGTACGTCAGAAAAACTCACATGCAGTCAGGTACACAAACCCCACGAGATCGATGATCGATGATGCTGCCACGAGTGGTCTCTAAACCATGCTCACCTTTTCTTTCCCCGAGTCTAGCCAGATCACGTAGGCTCCGCGGCCCTCCCTACCTGCCTACCTATTGACCTTTTACCCCTCTTCTTGCATCTGGCTTCTATTTCTCCCTCTATTTCTTTTCTAATTTCCTCTCACGTCCTCCAGTAGGAGATACCGTGCCCGAAGAATTCAACCAAAGAAAAAGCAGAAACTCTTCTCCCGTGGCGCTTCCCTAGGAAATGCAGTGAGGTGAGGAGAAGATGGTGACGATTGAGGTCTCCCAAATATCATGCCATACATATTGCATAATACCTCGATTTTTAAGTTGCCGTAAGCTCGCGTATTAATTCTCAAGCGGGAGGCCGTAGTTCGGCGTGTGCGTCGGCGAAGACTACCTCCCCCCCCGTGATCAGCGCCATCGCTCCATGATGGCTCTCACCCTTCCCAGAGGAAGCGCCTCGATCCGGCGCCCTCCGTTCCCGACCATAGTTTCCGCCATGCAGAGAGCATTGTATATGGACTCCTCCGTGGCGTCGGCAGCCGCCTCGAAGAGGCCATTGATCGAGGAATCGTCGACGATGTCTACTGCGACGGGCGTGGGCTTGTAAGGGTCGACGGCCCGTCGTTCCATCGATATCGATTGGACGGGGATCGCGTTGCCGGTCGAGAAAGCGAGGAAGATGTCTCCTGAAGGATTATGCCCATAACCACCAACCCTGGATAAGCCTACCGTCGCTCGCTTAGCGAGCCGCTGGAGCTGAATAGGATGCAGAGGTGCGTCTGTCGCGATGATGACAATGATGCTCCCGTCTTTCCTGTCCCTTTCCCTTTCGAGTTCTTCTCGAGCCATCTTTATGGCCGGGTTGCTCTTGGCAGCCTCCTCAGCTTCTTCAGCCAGGATCCTGCCCACCGGTACCCCGGCAATGCGAAAATGGTGTGGCCGGCCGTAGTTGGCCTGGACCAGCACGCCAACCGTGTATGTCTTAGGGTCACCTTTGACGTCGAGGCCCTCGACGACTCGGCTGCTGCTGCCAGTTCCGCCCTTGAAATAATGACAAATCACTGCCGCGACACTTTTAGGACGTCCCGACGGCTAGAAGGGACCGCAGGAGATAGCTTACTTCCAGTCCCTCCTCCGACATTGCCCTCTCTTACGGGGTTACTCGACACGTTTTCTAAACCCCTGACAATGTGTTGGGGCGTGACCGCAAATTGAGTCAGATCGTTTAGGTATCCATCGAAGGTTTCCGCCACTACGGGCAGCAAGAACCAGTCCACGCTTCCCTTGGTGGTTCCTAAATGCTTCAGGGCGTATTCGTAGATCCCTTGGTATGCCGCGCCGACGGCGAACGAGTTGGTGATGACGATAGGCGAGTGCAGGAGGCCCGTCTCCTCGATCCAGTGGCTGCCGGTCATCTCGCCGGAACCGTTGAATCTGAATATGCCCGAGTAGCAAGCCTTGTAAAACCAGTCTCTGCAGGGCAGGATACTGGTCACACCCGTGTTCACGGCGCCATTGTTGGCAAAGATCTCTTGCGAGTGGACCAGGACGCCCGGGACGTCTGTCAGGGAGTTCAGAGGACCGGGTTTCCAGGAGCCTAGATACAAGGTGGGCAACAAGTCCCGGAGTCCCATCCGAGCCGATTCCTCGGTGCCAATCGTGTTCGAGGCCGACGACATGATCCTTCAAAAAACCAATTCAAATACCAAGAGGACTCAAATGTATCGAAATCGCCCCTTTATTCACACGGATATACACCGCAGGGCTATAAATCTATATACCTATCTATATGCTTACGTTTATCCCGGTCTCTATGGACTTTTCCCCCAATATCGAAGGATTTGCGCATGCCAGCGTTGCCATCTCCGATCTCCGCTGACTCACGCCGACGCTCGTGCAGCTACGCACATTTCCATTGGGGATCTGTTGGAGAGGGGCGGCTCAATCCAGAAGGTCGACGGTGTCGCGACACGGAATCGTCGGTGGTGGTGATTGTTGTATAGGGAGCACGTAGGTTCTGTTAGTATATGGCCGGCACATCGTCGCGAGGGGAGGCAGAGCCGGCTCTTGGGTAGGACTAGACCACGGCGAGACCGAGGTAAATTGAAATTAGAGAGGTAGGTAAATGGCGAGTCCGAAAGCTGAACAAGTCGAATACCTCTGCACTCGCTAGGGAGAGAATCGATGAGCCGAGCGGCCGTCTCAAGTAATAAGCGTCTCGTCTAGATACATGGTTGTGTCTATGTGGGAGAGGGTTTGCGGAGATGGTCTACTACCGGTTGTTGGACCGGCGAAAAGGGGGGGGTTCGAGAGTCTCTTCCCCTCTCTCTCCCCTCCCCCACATCGACCCAGTGCCGTTAGGTACCTACTGTACCCCACACTATGCCCACACTACGCCCACACTATGCTACCTAGCCCCCGTAAGCAGCGTCCCCTTTGTGTATTTACCGAGCATCGCGGGGCGTCTCGATACACCTCTCCCTCGACGCGGACACGCAACCTCCCTCGGCGCTTCATCAATCGCCTCCCCCCCCCTCCTCTCCTCTCTCTTTAACCGCTAGAGCCCGTCCAATGCCAAACCTAGAAAGATCTCCCATCTGCAGTCAAGAGTCGCATATCACGTACTCGCCGTCGAGCAGGTCATCTCGATAAGGACAGGCCACGCGCCCTTACACGGTTACACCCCGATACCAACCAATCCAATCCCGCCACCGAGGTGTCTGCCCGTCCAGATGGCTGCAGCGATACGAGTTATGCCGAGCGTGAGTCCTTCGCTGTTGTAGCTTTTTTTTTTTTCTCTTGTCACTCTCCCAATTCTACGGACACATGTCGTAGAGCCCTTTCGATTCGCGAGGCTGCATTCTAACTGCGGGACGGGGAACGATAGGCGGCTTCCAGGGCGGTTAGCCTGTTACGAACGGTTCAGTATGCTCACCCGCCGTCTTGTCCGTGTCACTCCAATCCGGGGCATCATCATCACGCAAGATCTCAGGTTGACCGGTATGCCCAGCATACTCACCAGCTGATCGGGAGGCGCGGCTATGCCTCCCCCGTCGACCCTTCTCAGCAGAAGGAGTACGCGTTTGAGATGGCTGCCTCCTCTATCCGCTTCGGCCCCGGCGTCACTCAGGAAGTCGGCATGGATTTCAAGAACATGGGTGCCAAGCGTGTCTGTGTCGTTACTGACTCGACGGTGCGGCGACTCACTGCCGTTAAGCAGGCAGAGGAGGCCCTCTCGAGGGAAGGCATTAAATACGAGATATTTGACAAGGTCCAGGTTGAACCCAAGGATAGCTCGTAAGTGAATGCGGGATGATCCCTCCAGGCCTTGGCTGAATCGGCTGCAGCATCAAGGAGGCCATCGCCTTCGCGAAGCCGTATCGGCCGGACGCGTTCCTCGCCGTGGGCGGGGGCTCGGTCATCGACACGGCCAAGTTGATGAATCTCTACACCGAGTACCCCGACGCCGACTTCTTGGATTTCGTGAATGCGCCGCTGGGCAATGGGCGACCGATAGACAAGGCGCTCAAGCCGCTCATCGCCATCCCCACCACGGCCGGTACCGGAAGTGAGACGACGGGGACGGCCATATTCGATCTCGTGTCGAAGAGAGCGAAGACGGGGATCGCGCACCGCAATCTGAAGCCGACGCTCGGCATCTGCGACCCGCTCAATACGATAACGATGCCCTCCGCGGTGAAGGCGAGCTCCGGGCTGGACGTCCTCTGCCACTCTCTCGAGTCATGGACCGCCCTCCCATTCTACGAGAGGGTGCCGCGTCCGTCGAATCCCATCCTGCGGCCCGCTTACCAGGGCGCAAACCCGATTAGCGATGTCTTCTCCCTTAACGCGCTCCGCAGCACCGTCAAGTACCTCCCCCGGACGGTCAAGAACCCCGACGATCACGAGGCCCAGACCGAGATGCTCTTGGCTTCGACCCTGGCCGGCGTCGGTTTCGGGAACGCCGGCGTCCACCTCTGCCACGGTACGTAGAGTCCTCGCTCCCAATCGGTGTGTGGCGGTTGATCGGTCAGTCGATTCGAGAGATCCTGCTAACGGAAGGCGTTGCGTCGTGGCAGGCATGTCGTATCCCATCTCGGGCCAGAACCCCGGGTACAGGCACGCAGGTTACGAAGTCGAGAAGCCGCTCATCCCCCACGGCGTCTCCGTGGCGGTGTCGGCGCCGGCGGTGTTCCGGTTCACCGGACCGTCGAACCCCGAACGCCACCTCGCGGCGGCGGAGGCCTTTGGCGTCGACGTGACAAACGTAAAGCGCGAGGACGCCGGCGAGGTGCTCGCCGATGCCCTGGCTAAGTTCCTCGCTGACCTCGGCGACCAGCCCAAGGGACTGAAGGAGCTGGGCTTCGACTCGAGTCACATTGAAGCCCTAGTCGAGGGCACGATACCTCAAGCTCGTGTTTTGATGCTGGCACCCGGCCTCGCGAAAGAGCTGGAGCGGGAGAGGGATCAGCTGAGACGGCTCTTCGAGGACTCTATGGGTCACTGATGCGATGTGGGTAGCCGGTGGAGTTCACGAATTCGTATATAGGTCTGAGGCGAGCTTTTTTGGGAGGTAGAACATGCGGTGTTGGATATAAATCGTGTCGGAATACGCCGGTGGATCTGAACAATGCGAGAGATAGACCGAATGTGCCTCGCTCGTCCACGGTAGCTCGTTTCGACACGTCAACAGGATTTGAGGATATCGAACTTCAAGGCTGAGGTAACAGGAATCGTCGGTGTGCATCGTGAATGTGCTGGGGTGCGAGAACGTGACCTAGGAACTTTTTCGTGCGCGAAGCTCATAGTAGCGCATTCGTGCTGCAGGAAGCCTTGTCTAAATAGAGCACGACACGAATTATGCATCGCCATGAACGTGTTGGCTCCTGCGTGTATCGCAGAGGCATAAATTCAAAATCATGGAGGAAAAAAAGGAGGCCTTAGGGCACGGGACAATGGAGTTTGGGACTACATCGAAGTCTCCTCGAAAGACACCTCGGAAGACGACGACGATACAAAACATGACCTACCAGTCTTAGGGGGAACTAAGTAAAAACGCATGTAGGCATAACATAGGCAGTCTCCGATACCTACAGATAGAAGACGATGGGGAAAGCAGAGTAATGGCATCAAATGCCAAAGCCGATCCTTTTCGGCCCTACTTCCGAAACGGTACAGGTTGATTACGGACAGGCATCGATGGAACCAGGTTGACTCGCCTGATTGGCGAGGCCTCTAGGAGCTCTGCACCCGACATTCCGGCGCCAGACGCGAGTAGCTCTGGTGAGCACGGACAAAACACGTGGAGACGACGAGAAAAGATCTCGAGGTCGCCAGCGTGCCGGACGGATCAGGGCCAGCGCGGATCCGCCGTGTAGTCCTATCGCGTTCCCGTCACATCGAAGTGGCCCTGATCCATCCCGCTGGGTCTCGTCGAGGTGCTCAGCGCAGCTTCAGCTCGACCTCGGTCGCTGGCGAGGGTCGCGTGGGTGAGGGCTGGTCGGGAGAGAAGATGTCAGGGATGTGATGCCCAGCTTCGATGCCTGGGTCTCTCTCCCTCGTCCCTCGTTCCCCCCCACCAATGGCGACATTGCTCCCGTTCTAGACTCTCGTGTCTAGCGACTCTCACTTGCCCAGACTCTCAAGCCACTTTTTCGGCTTCGAGGCCTGAATTCCCGACACCGTCACTAAGCCTTGTCGACGCTATTTGCTCTGCGGCCATCCGCGTCGAACCCGGCCGAGTCGAGGCGAGCGGCGTGCGCGTGTGCCCCCGACGACCGGTGACGGTGAGAGAGAAAAAAAAAACACCGTTTCCCCACCGCTACTCTCCCGATCTTCTTCGTAATAGCTTATACCCACGGCCTAGGCGAACCGAGTCTCGCGGCGAGAGCACGGCGCTATTTTAACAGGCGGTATGCTCGCCGCATACAACGCCATCAGAGAGCGCCAAGCGCCATCAGTGCGACGCTGGTCACCCCAGAATCTCCCCCCCCTGCTGTCTGGAATGGTGCTCTCCCGACGCGTGCCACCCCTGTGTAAGCCCTTAGTCGGCTCACCCAACAGCAGACGAGGGCTCGCCTGGGCGATACAGCACACTGTTTCCGGGCTACGGACCTCGACGGCCCGCAATCCCCATCGGGACTTGCTCGTGTCGTTGGGGGGAAGCTGGGGTAAGGGAGGGAGGTGGAGATTGGGGGGACCACCTGCGATCCGGGGGGGTGGCAGCGGGAGGAGGAAGGAGGAGGGTGGAGGAGGGACGGGTCTCGAGATGAAGAATAAAATCATCGTCATGCCCTGAGCCCGTCTGGACCTGCTCGAGTTCCCGGGTCCCTTCACCAGGACGTGTATCGCATCCTCGACAGCTCGACAGATAACACCAACCGAAAACGCGAATCCTAAAAAAAAACCATGGAGGACAAAGAGATCATTGCCAGCAGCGCGCCGGCGTCCCACGACCTGATCAGTTCGGCCGGGAGCGCGAACGCGTCGGCACCTCCTCCGACCGCTAAAGCTAAGACCGTCCACAATGTAAGTCGCTTGTCCCCCCCTTCTGCCGCACCTACCGCGATGATGTCTTTGTCGCCCTGCACATGGTATCCGACTCCGCGGATACACAGACACATCTGTGCTCGCGTGTGTACGTGTGTGCGTGTGCGTACGTACGGTGCCGTGTGCGAGTGCGTGTGTGCGTGCGAGCATACGCGCATGTATGTGCTGGGATACGCCGGCTCCCTACCCACCTAAGCGGCCGAGATATGCTGACGCGAGCGACCCCCTCCCCCCCTCCTCCTCGCCTCTAGGCCGATCTGTACGCAGCTATCCACGAGACCAAGATCAACGCCAAGAGCAAGGAGTCGATTCATCTGTACTGTATGTGAAGACGATCCGGCGTGCCCGCATCCCGCCGCCAGGACCCGCCTCGCTAACCTCGCCGCCGCCAGTCTCCATCTTCGTCGCCTTCTGCTGTGCCTGCGCCAACGGATACGATGGTGAGCGTGTCGCGCGCCGTGTCGGCGCTTCTCCTTCCTCTCCCGCGTTCGCCCGCTGACCCGTCCCGATCCCCAGGATCCCTGCTCACCGGCGTCATCGCCATGCAGCATTTCCAAAACACCTTCCACAGCGGCACCACCGGCCCCAGCGTCTCCGTCATGTTCTCTCTCTACACTGTGTTAGTCCCCCCCCTAGTGACTTGGGTTTATGTGCGTGCGTGCGTGCGTGCGTGTGTGCTTGTGTTGACCGGCGGCCTGCTTGCAGTGGCGCAATGGTCGGCGCCCCTTTCGCCGCCATCCTCTCCGATAGGTTTGGCCGTAGGGTTGCCATGTTCTGGGGTGGCGTGATCATCATCGTCGGCATGATCATCGTGGCAACCTCCGGCACCATTCCGCAGTTCGTCGTCGGCCGCTTCGTCCTCGGCATCGGCATCTCCGTGATGACGGTTGCCGCGCCGGCCTACGCAGTCGAGATCTCGCCCCCGCACTGGCGCGGCCGGGCCACCGGTACGGCTCCCTATCGCATACGATCACGGCTTAGGTGGCTGACAAATGGTTCGCTGTAGGGTTCTACAACTGCGGTTGGTTCGGTGGTTCCATCCCTGCCGCCGCTGTGGTTTACGGCTGCAACTGGATCGACAACGATTACTCCTGGAGAATCCCCCTGATCCTGCAGGCGTTTGCCTGTGTGATTGTCATGGCCTCTGTTCGCTTTATCCCCGAGAGCCCTCGATTCCTCATAGCCAACGGCCGCGAAGAGGAGGCCATCGCTTTTCTAGCCAAGTACCACGGCAACGGTGATCGTAACTCCAAGCTTGTGCAGCTCGAGATCGAGGAGATGAAAGAGGGTATCCGCCAGGACGGCATCGACAAGCGGCCTTGGGACTGTAAGCTCGACCGTCTTAGCCCATCTCTTTATGGGGTTTGATTGAAACTGACCGGTCATCGTCGATAGACCGCCCCTTCTTGCTGACTCACAGCGGGCGCTGGCGGATGGCTCAGGTGCTGATGATTTCCATCTTCGGCCAATTCTCCGGCAACGGTCTAGGTTACTTCAACACCACAATCTTCCAGATCATCGGCGTTACGGCTGTCGACCAGCAGCTCGCGTACAATCTGCTCAACTCCGTCCTGTCCGCCATCGGCGCCCTAGCAGCCGTCACGATGACCGACACGATGCCCCGACGTAAGGTCCTAGTGATTGGTACTTTAGGTATGTGATGGCTCATATGGAGACGAGTAACCTACCCAGTATTGCATGCGCGTACGGATACTGACGATTCACGCCTTCGTATAGCTTGTGCCGCCGCTCTGGCCACCAACTCGGGTCTCTCCGCCGCCCTCGATTCTCAAGGACAGAATATTGAGAGCTCCTATGCTAAGGGTGCCCTGGCGTCGTACTTCCTCTTCAACATCATCTTCTCCTTCACCTACACCCCGCTTCAGGGTGTGATCCCCACCGAGGCTCTGGAGACCACTACGCGAGCCAAGGGTCTTGCCGCGTCTGGAATCATCGTTAACGCTATGGGCTTCATTAACCAGTTCGCCGGCCCCATCGCCCTAGGCAACATCCAGTACCGGTACATCTACGTATTCGTCGGGTGGGACGTAGTCGAGGCGCTGCTCTGGTTCCTCTTCGGGTATGTTTCATCCCCTTTGTCACGATGTCCGCTCTTGTTCGCTAACGTATGACCTCGTGCAGTGTCGAATCCCAAGGCCGCACCCTCGAGCAACTCGAATGGGTCTACAACCAACCCAACCCCGTCAAGGCCTCTCTCAAGGTCGACAAGGTCATCGTCCAATCCGACGGCAGAGTCACAGACAAAGTGATCGTAGAGCCAACCGTCTAAAGTTGAAATGTCATCAGAACGTGGCGTCGTGTCGAGTTTTCTTTTCACTTAGCGTGAACGGCGCAGCTGCATATGCATGTGTATTGGCTGTCGGGCGTGAGGATAGGGTCGGATAGAAGAACTTGTCACTAGGCATGTGGGAGGTCCGTAGTCAGTTCGTATATGGCAACAACCTAATAATATCTACGTATACCTTTTCAGGGCCTCGATCTTTGTTCACTACAAATGGGATGTAATATTGAGATGCAATCTAACGACGGTCACACATCTTCGAAGTTGTAGGCAGGGTCTGAGGACTACCCAACAAGGCAGCGCGAGCACCCCCATCGTGGGTTAGGATGGTAAGACGTAAGCTGCTTCCCCATCCCACGCGGGCGCGCTTCATTCAGCCCGGGAACTCTTTGCCCACAGATGAGGCATCCGGGGGGGGTTTTGGGCACCGGACATAGGGTCCAATCAAACAAGCTCCCGGCGACCTTGCCTCAGGCATGAGCACACACATGACGGCACAGCTGTCATGATACCGCTTGTGGTGTTAAGTCTGACATCCGCGGATGAAAACGTGGCCGATCCGCCAACTAATTGCTACACCCAACGGACCAGATGGCCTCACGAAGCTTACCCGAGGCTGTGGAGTGGCGAAGAAGAGCCGAGCCAGAAACACAACCCCGTTGACGTTAGCGTCGGTACGCAAAGAGGCTGTTGGTGTTATCAATCGACACTCTGATCCCTAAAACCGAGGGCGTGAAATGTACGTTGGTTTCTCCGAGGAGATCCCACGATGGCTGCGTAAGAGCGGCTCCTGTTGGCTGCGAATAGGACTTGTAGAGTTTCCGTACCCGGCACCGGCATAAACGAGAGTGAGAGCGGCTCTTATCTACGGGTCTATATGCCCGTTTCTCACGAGCCCGGAGATCTCACACCGTGCGAGGGACCTAGCGAGTCCGCAAGTGCAAGAAGTCGAGGAACACGACAGCAGCATCCTAAGCCCCGTGATAAGGAGCTAATATATGGCGATGGTTGCTGGCTGTATTGTGAACCGAGAGCTGAACGTACAATGCAAGATAGCCCTAGTTAGTATTATATCGTACGAGCATCCCACCGTGGTTGGCTTGGTACCAGCCGTTATCTCTATTTTGAATCCCGCCAATGTTGCCGTCTTGGAGCGGTACACACTGCCCTTGTCCGGGGATTTGTCATATTTCCCCTCGAGTTGGTTGTCATTTGATATTATAGAGCCTCAATCTTCTCAATGTGGTTAGTTGGGTTGCTACGCAATGGGACACTACTTGTGAGGTAGTTTACATATCCCCTTTGATTTTCTTGTGCTAGATGAGAAATCGGTATGATGTAATAACTGTAGATCGTCTGCCGAGAGAAGTCCCGAAACCTTCACGGCAAATGATATTTAAATCTCACGAGGATCTGCTATTATTGCGAGCTTACGTCTCTTTCAAATCACAGCGCGTCTGGAGAACTTGGTTTCCGACGATACCCGCTATCGGTCCCCCAAGAGGTTTTGCTGTATAGTGGGTTGGACATGGCTTCTTGGAGGTAGCTGTCGCGTAGAAGTGAGGTGAACCTGCATATACGAATTGCAGGTGTAAGTGTGTATAGAATACATTTTCCCGAGACAGTGCCCACATATGTAATTTCATATGACGACGCGTTCTCAGAAAGTCTAAATAGCCCTTGGTCTCTACCTAAACTTCTGGATTTAGCCTCCCAATGGTAGCTGAATTTCATTCACAAAAGAGACCTATATCCTCATGGCACTATGTATCATAGCTCTCTTACATCATATTTCTGTACCTACTAACTTCACTGAAGGACTACGAAGTTTGAAGCTATAAGCGCGGCAGATCGGTACGACTAAAGGGTGTGGGCGAATACGCGAGCCTGGATGGTTTAGGCATATTCCCCGAGCTGCTGCGGCACCTGTGCATTGTGTTGTGTAGTGTAATATATATACATAGGTACGTAATTATGAGGGGATATCTAAGCCTACGGACAGGTGTCTAATATGTGAAACAAGTTGTCACTTGTTTGCGATGGGGGTCAGCGACTAGCTATTCGATAGATAATATATCAAGTCGGGCGTACGCGGCAGCCGGACCCGGCCTCGTCTTCGGTACGGACTGAGGTGTACAAGACTTTGTTGCATAGTAGGGTTATGTGTTAGAATATTTCCCACGAATGCCAAGGATTCTTTACAGGCCTTGCCGGACTGACAGGGCCTTACTATGTGTGTATTGTGCATGGTGTTGGTGGTGGTGGTGGTGGTGGTGAAGTTCAGGGGAAAAGGAAGCACTAGGCATCAGAATGAATTCCTGTGCGGTGCCGCAAATTCGGGAGGAAGGCTCGGGAGATGGAAGCGCCGGCGAAAACAGACTGCCTGGCCCTGAAAACCGTATGATGCTAAAGGGATATATGAGCGATTTGTAGAAGCGCCGCACTGCGCCCGTCGCCGATCCTTTGGTCGTTCGTGGGATGCCGCGAGACAGTGTATACAAGAGCTGACGCCATGCCTCGGGCCATCGTGTGGCGTCCGTCCCCAGGCAATGATCTAGACAGGGGTCCTCTTGGCCACGCCCCCTTGGCAGAAGATCAGAGCTGAAAACTTCCCAGTTGAGACAAGACACAATCCCAATAGCCCTTCTGCAGGACGCCTGCATGCACAGGGATGTGGGTAGCGGCATAAGGCAGAGAGTTCGCGCTCAAGTTAGCTCTTAGTTCTCACCCTCAATATCACAAGTTATATCGTTCCAACACCAACTTTGCCAGAGCCCCACCGCCCTCGTAGTTCTACTACGTGGTAGGAGAATAACAGGTAGTTGTTGGGTGTGTCGAGCTCCGACGTCGCTGATGTCAGGCTGCCAATGACCCAGAATCAACCTGTGGTTGGTAGCCGAGCTTACCCAGCCAGGCACCTGGTGATACGCGGACCCATCTACCGTTCAAAACCGGTCCTGGATGTCCGTGTCCCTTGTCCTCTTGGTGCCGCGTGTCAAACTATACCTGGCAGAAACGCCATAGCCATTGGCTATATTGTGATGGCAGGTAATAATGCCTAGGTGGTAAGTTTGTGTTCACACTTTCTGAAAATGAGTTACGGTACATTGATATGCGATTCGTTTCAAGTAGAGAGAGAAGTGCGTGCACAGGGCCGAACAGGGCTAGACAGGACCGGGACAGGGTAGCTAGCAATATAGGCACGCTACACTGCTACGTTGTACAGGCCGGGCCTCTTTAGAAGCCATGCCACGCCGTTCATGCAGACGTTCTCCCGCTGGGCCTATCGTGATCCTATCACACCAAGTCTCCATAACCTTGATTCCCATCGAGGCCGCGAAGGATCAGCGGGAGAGAGTCACGGTGGGGCATCGGTATATAGCTGGATTTGACAAGATAGGCGTATCGTATGCCCTGTTCGACCCGTATCCCCGTATCTACCTGGTCCAGGTCGTGAACAATGGGGTAATCGTTAGGTATGCCGAGCCATGATGGGACTAGGGTTGGGTGAATCCCTCAAAAGGATAGTTAATAATATCTGTAAAGTTTGTCTGTTGTAACGTTCGGCTCCTCCTTCGATGCAGGCACTCTAGTTTTCTGAACAATACTAAGCTTCTTTAGTCCTTGCTAAGAATATCACCTGAACAGTGGAGATATAGTTATCACGTTAAGGTATACTACCTTCCATATCGATTGGTGTGTAGGCCGTATTTCGGGGTTCCAGACTCGAAGGGATTCCCCTATGTGACCAAGCCTCTATCCTACCCTTCGTAAGGATGAACTTGTGTAAGATCCGTCCTATGGTCAGCATTGTCAGGCGCTGCAAGCCCTGGAAATTGGTGCGTGATTGGGCACTGCCACTAGAGCGTGGAGGAGGAGGAGGAGGGAGGGGGAGGATGGAGCTTCTCGGGTAGGTAAAGCCTCGCCGCTAATACTGCCAACACTATCACCGAACACTCGATAGCCCTCGGTGTGATACGCCTGTGACGCGTAGGACTTCAATAGTTGCCTAGAAATAGGCTCGAGACTCCACACATCCATCCCCTGCTTAACCTCATAACAAACCTGGGAAGACGTGGTGACTACCAATGAGACTCCATTGGGAAATTCCTGAAGGGGTGGCTCGGTATATCCACCTTACTACATAGGAGTCGAATTTCTCGGTACCTAGCCGCTATATTGCTTCCCATGTGTTGGGGTTGCAGATGCATGAAGGGTGTATGTGTTACGGGCCTTCATAGCCTTCCGTGAAGACGTCATACGTCTCCTTGCGAGGGGGGTCTCGTTACCCGTTAGTACGAAAAGCTCAGATGTGCCGGAACTGAGACACGAGTACATAACTCCTACGGTGAGACCAAAATGTGTCTATACGGCACCCAATCGAATTTTGCCTCTCCCTCCTGATATATCCTCAAAGTTTCCTGGATATAGCTGCCATCTTGATAAACCCATTTTCATCTTACCCACCCCCCCTTGACGCAACCGGCACGATGGCTCTAGTAACAAACCGGATCTTGCCCAACCATCATGATATGGTTTCTATCCCCGTTGATGAGCGAGAAGAGATCATCAAGAAAGTACTGGGTCAGAAGGTTCTAGTTCTAGACACACTATTTTTGATGCCGGAATGGCCTGGATATCGCCAGCCGGATGTCGACGAGGTCAATGTGATGATCGATGAATGGCTACTAAGGTAAGCTCCATGGGACGTCATTCGGTTTCTTCATGTTGATGTCAAAGATAAGTGTCAATGTCGCCCAGAGGAAAAAAGCCAAGCATCGTGCTCTGGGGGATTACACCACTCTCACGGCGCTGTACTACCCCCATTGTAAGAAGGAGAAGATGCTCCCTCTCGCAAAATTCCTTTATTGGGTAAGTTTCATGAGATTCCTTTCGCGGTGACTCACTAACCCGATATAGATTTTCTTCTTTGATGATGGTGAGGGCCAAGAGATATCCAGAACGATCTTAGGCATATTGTATTCTAACCTTTTGGTAGAAATTGACGCCGGTGGGGAGCTCACCCGAGATGATAAAGGCACCAGAGAAATTTGCCAGCAGATGAACCAATGCGTTGATGACTGCCTAGGCCCCGACCCCAACTTCACCCCTCCCCCCAATGTGTCAGGAACGGTAGAAATCTTTTATCCGATCTTGGAAGAGTTGAGGGAGGGGATGGGCGCTTCTTCCATAGAGCGGTTTCGGACAGAGCTCCACGATTATCTCAACGGCGTGAAGAGGCAGCAGCAAGTTCGACAAGGACTCCGTCTTCCAGACCCCTGGTATCACCTTGGAATCCGGGCAGCCGACGTTGGCGTTATTCCCAGCATCACACAGAACGAATTTGCCATGGAGTTTGAGCTACCGGATCACATCCGCAGGCACGAAGCGATGGAGACCATCGTTCGAGAAGTGACAATCCTTACTATCCTCATCAACGAAGTTATGTCCGTACAGAAGGAATTTGTAAGTACCCACCCTATCTCTAGGAGCGTCGAAGGTCTTTGGGCATGGACAGCTAATTTCATCCTTTTCCTCGGCGCGTAGCGATCTGGCCAGATTGAAAATCTTATCTTCCTCTTTATGAATAGATACGATATTTCTCTCCAAGCTTCCATAGAAAAAGTGCAAGACCTCATCCGCCAGCACTATGAAATTTGCATTGCCGCTGAGAAAAGACTACCTTGGAGCAAGGACGACGAGAATCTGAATGAAGACATCCGCGAGTATGTCCGGGGCTGCCAGAGATTGGCGACCGGCACTGCAGGCTGGAGGTAAGCCGTCGTTTTGGCCGAGATCGCGACGATGAATCCCGACAACTAACTTGACTTCCTAGTATGTCGTGTGAGAGATACTTCAAGAATAGCCAGGTAAATGAGAAGAGGGAGATTCTGATGGACTTCTCATATGCATGAATGCTAGAGGAGAGGGGATGTTCTGGTGATCACGGAGCTTTCCATTATTTACAGAGTACGATGCGACATACCTAAATGAGAATGTTTCATTATGTCACGTAGCAATTGAACCAGCCCTTATATGCCTACATACCGCAAAAGCGTAATGTAGGCGTCTACGTTTTACGCAACACACTATTACTAGCACTAGTGCGCAAGCGTCTATATTCTGAATAACTCTTGTGTTTAAAGACCTCCTCACTATCCTCCGAGATATTGTATTGCTTCAAGATGTTGCTACATATAATAGCGCTTATCACGAGGCGTCGCTATCCATCTTCTTGGGCTCGAGAACACCAGCGTACAGCACTTCTTCGTTAGGCCATCCCACCTTGATTTGCACCATCTCTCGCGTCTGGTCAAAGTGGACACTCCCATAGCGTAGATACGCTGCAAAGGTGCCCTCTTCCTGATCCTTGTGGTGGTGCTCTTCGGAATCCCAGAGGTCTGCGAGGAACGAGTCCAGCGCGCCGGGGGGACCATGCGACAGCTTCATGATGGCTGTGTTGGCAAGCGCGTCGTGAACGAAGTCTTCAGCTGCGTGCCACTTCTCGTCCTTCACCACCCCCTCCCCTGTTCTCTTCGTTGTTAGCAGTTCGAACTGCCGCGTGCCCGACCACTGCGTGACCTGTTGGAAGTAGAATGTCTCCTGCAGCGCGGAGCAGACGAAAATCTTGTTCGAAAAGTACTCGGGCCCATTGAACCCATCGGAAGGGTCGACAAGCTTGCGCAGCCTCTCAAAACACATGCATTGGGAGAGGTAGTCGGTGAACGTCTCCATCATGACGTTGAGGCCGTCCCCTGGCAGATTCAAATTGGTGGTAGGCGGGCAGAGCAGAGGGAGATGTCGAAGCAGACGATGCTTATGGAAGCCATGGCAATTGGTAGTCCCGTCCCATAGCGCCTTGAATATTTCATGCCAGCGCTTGATGAATGGGTTGCCGCGATTGGCAGCGATGAAGCCGTTCAACATGATCTGGACCCCCGGACGCATCTCGATGGCAAACCCGGCCATCTCGTACGGCGACTCGGGATCTTCGATCTTCTTCCAGCAAATATCGTCGACATGTCTGAATAGGAATGACCCTGCGTCGATCCAGATCCCGCCGTAAAGCCAGATCAACGGGAGTCGAACAAGATCTCCGGTATGCGGGCCGACAGTCGGGCCGTCCATAGTGTTATTGTTGAACGCATCAGGGAAGAACGAGCTGTCCACGAAGTGACTGATGTTGGTTTCGGATCCAGGCACGCGATCAACTAGGTGAACCGTCCAGCTTGGTCCTAGTTTGCGGACCCAGTTGATGATGTTCCTTTGGACCCAAGGGGGCATCTGACTGTACCCCGAATGCCAGAATGCCCAGACATTCTTCTCGGATGTGACGGGGTGACGAGTCCGCAGCCATGCTGCAATCTCGTCGTCGCTGCGCAGGTCGAGATTCTCGGGTGCGACTAGTCTCAGTCCCGGGGGCACTCCAACCTTACTCGTATCAGCCGAGGTGATGTCAAGCTGGGGAGCCACCTCAACAGCTGAAGGTGCCATGATATCCTCTCGTTGTGTCTAAGTTGAATCTACTAAGCACCGTACCCGAAGGCAATAGTGTTCGTCCGGATCTTCTACAGGCGTTCAACAGCAGCATGAGGAACGCAAAAAGGGGGAAGCGGTCCCATTGTATACATTCCAAGCAGCGCTCTACACACATCTGGCAGCTTTACTGGGTACCGTTAGCCGAACCATCCTGGACACTAAAGGCAGCCACCGGTGATCAGCCAGCTTCCCTAGCTCTAGGGACTTGATGCAGCTCCACGAGCGGCCTGCGAACTGCATTCGTGTCGTTTAGCCAGTGTCAAGAACATAGGTGATACCTTTTTTTGCTTCTATACCCGAACAAGTGTTTCAGTGCTTTTTCGCGATCCCTGCCCACATGTGGATCCGTCCCGTGTTGACCGAGGGATCGGCCGGAGCTGTACCTATATAATGATGAAGTAAGGGGCGCCCTAGGACTTAAATAGGAGAGTGAGGGGTGATGCTTACCTGACGGGGTATATCGTGTAGGAAAATCTACTTCGGGGCTATAGATATATTGAATGCGGCAGAGCTTAGGCGACTCTGCCTTGGCAACCGGTGAGACCTAGTGGGAATGGTGGCACACGGCCGGTTCTCTGTATCCGGATTCTACGGTTGGAACCTCCTTGGAGCTAGCGGATCAAAAAGGGCAAAGCACAGGCGCATCGAGGAATGTCACAAGGTCTCGAGAGTGCCTATCACGTTAGCTGCACAAGATATCACCTCAAGTTCCGTTTAGTCTGGTAGTAGGTAGGATCACTCTCCCCGCTTCAGGTCGGTATGCCGTGTTGAGGAGAGGATGGCGTAGTAATTGTTTCGAAAGCTCGGAGTTTCTGTGGGGCTCTCCTCCGTGCCATCGCCAGCCTTGGGGGCTATACGCGGTTGAAAACTTAGCCAAATTTGTCTACCGGTCTGTGACGAAGCTGTTCGTAGCCACATGCACATGTCGTAGCTATGAGAGAAACAGGAACCAGCCGTATACGGCAGTTTCCAGAAATCGGCCGTGCATAACTTCCAGGGTGTAGCCGTTCCCACCACCGAACAGTAGGTAGCCATTCTACCGTTACATGGCTGCAGGATGCAGTGCCATCTTGTCGTGGGGGGTATGCTGTAATAATGCAGTATGCAATATGGATAGCTACCAGGGCCTGAGAGGCAGATCCTCCGTCTCCCTAAGAGGATGCCCGGGTAGTATTATAAGGAATCGGCACAAAAGTGGTGGGTTAATGTGTGAAGAAAGCAGAATTTATCGCCAGCCGACGAGGCAGCTATAGGTATGCTTATAGATGTCCCTAACGTTAACGACTGCTTAGTGCTGTCATAGGACAGTGCCTCGTATGTAGACGGCCCGGTCAATATTCTTTCAACAACTGTATTTACAAACTAATAGCCGCGAATGTTCCACGCTCGATTCTCGTGCCCGACCCCCCTTGACTCGCAGGCAACGTGGCTTGCCCGCCCCAATCCTCCCCTCCTATACCTATCAGTCGAGGGGTGCTGTGATAACGGCAGAGACTTCCTTCCACTAATGTGACGTTGCGGCACTGGAATGTACTGATGGTGGCCTCCGTCTACCAAGGCGCCGCTACTGCACGAGCGGGGATGCTGATCCCACCCACAAAGGGTGTCCCTCGAGATGCCTGCTGAGGTGAGACGCGATAGGACAACGGAGGCTACCTAGGTGGCGCCTGTAGGACGTTGGATTCGTAATGCTATGCTTCTCAAGAATGGTTGACCTGCCCGATATTCCAGCTATGTGCCCGTCGTCACCACGTCGAGGCAGAGGGGCAGCGCGAAGATGGGATCCCTTCACGTACCAACGCTGTGGATTTCCACCCTCACTGCCGCCACAGTTTTGGTGGTTGCCCTGATATCCAGCTGGCTTCGGCGACCCAAGTCGTTCAATCTTCCAGTATTAGGCGCCGACTCGGGGGATATCAATGCACTAAAGTCTCGATATGTGCACGAAGCAGACGCCCTGCTGCGTGAAGGATACGAGAAGGTCGGTCCTTTCTTACCCGACACAGCTCCTCGCGGCATACGGTACGGCTTCTAACTAACTCCTCCTAGTTCAAAGATGCAATATTCCAGGTTGCCACACCCGACGGACCAAGGGTGTTTCTCCCCAGGAAGTTTGCGCATGATCTAAAGGAGTACGGGCGCCATGAGGCGAGTGGTATGAAGGCGTTGGCCGACGTGAGCCGGCCCCTGGCGAGGTCTTCAGTCGGCAGATGTTGTCTAACTATCTTCTTGTCAGCGTCATATCGGCCATTATACGACCATCGACCACGAGAGTGACATCATGCTGGGAGCCATCAAGATAGATCTGAATCGAAATCTCGGCATATTCGTGGGAGACGTAGAGCACGAGGTTGCACACTGTTTCGAAACCCAATTCCCAGCATGCGATGGTAAGAGGCCCCCCCCAACAAAACTGTGAACCGCGGCAACGAGAGCCCGAAATCGCTAAAACGGCTTCTAGATTGGACGCCCATAGACCTCCATGAGAAGCTGCTACGGGTTGTCGCCCAAGCCTCGGCCCGCATCTTTGTCGGGTATCCCATGTGTCGAAATGAAGAATGGCTAGACTGCAGTACGAAATTTGCGATCGACGTTATGACGGGAGGGGAGAAGCTGAAGCAGTGGCACCCGTATCTGCGGCCGATTGCTCAGTACTTTGTGCCAGAAATGACCCAAATCCGCGGCGATCATCAGCGCGCTCTCGACCTTCTCTTACCGGAACTCACCAGGAGACTGGCAGAGTCAAATAGCCCTGATGCCTCGCCTCATAATGACATGATCCAGTGGATGCAAGAACGTGCACGCAAGACGGGCGATAAGTCCTTCAATAACAAGGAGCTAGCCAACTTGCAAATGCTCACAGCAACGGCCGCGATACATACCACGAGACTCGCTATCATCCATGCCTTGTATGATCTAGCAGCTAGGCCTGAATATGTAGAGCCGCTGCGCCAGGAGATACTGGAGGTGACGAAGGATAGCAAAGGTGTCTTGCAGAAGCAACATCTTACCCAGATGAGGAAGCTTGACAGTTTTATGAAGGAGTCTCAGCGACACAGCCCGCCTTCAGTCGGTAAGCGAATCTACTCCGAGCCTATCATTGCAGAGCGCATTTATTAGAACAATCAGCGCTAACGCGGCTATAAGCTACGTTCCAACGCAAGGCGATGATTCCCATCACGCTGTCGAACGGGTTCCACATCCCGGCGGGCACTATCGTGCAGTGCAACACCAACATCCTGGACGAAGCACCGACGGACTGGGGCGACCCGCACGCGTTCGACGGGTTCCGGTTCTATCGGCTGCGCGGGCGCTCGGCCGAGGACGTGAACCGGTTCCAGTTCTCGAGCACGACGTACGATAGCATGCAGTTCGGCTTCGGCCGCGACGCGTGCCCGGGCCGCTTCTTTGCCAGCAACCAGATCAAGATCATCCTCGCCTACATCCTCTCCCACTACGACATCCGCTTCGACGACAGCGTCGCCGGCCGCCCCCGCAACTTTATGTTCGAGGTCAACGTCCTCGCCGACCCAACCAAGATGGTGCTGTTTAGGAAGGTCCGGTAGATGGTCGCGATGACGAGGCCTCGCCTTTCGTAGCTAGTGAGCACGTACTAGGGAAACTGTGTTGTTGCGTCCTGGAGCTGGCAAAAAGTCTCTCCCAGGAACAAATTGAGAATAATAATATCACCATTAAAACTGATACATTCATTTAAATGTAATAACGGAACAAAAAAAACTACACTAGCTCTTCCCGGCCCTACTAAGTGACATATTGATTAGGAGTCGGCAACGAAAAAAGGGGGATTCTAACACAATTTGATATATTCCCCCCTAGAGAAGTCTTGAACGTGCACGTCATCGCCGCCCTGCTGTCCGGCTAGCCAAGGTCGACCCGAAGTCTCTGGCAGCCACTAGCCTCACGTCAGGGAAGGGTGCCGTTTCGGGGTCCGACGATCCCAGTATTTCATCTCGGATCGTGTCTCCTTTTGCCGCAGGCGACCAGATAGCGTTGAGTGACAACCCCCGCGGCCTATTTTCTCGACGGGATGGAAGCAAACCCAAGTGGCTCGTTTACCGGACAACAGAAGAGCGTCGAAAGGCAGGGAACGGGGGTAAAAGGAGCCTACAACAATCCTAGCAAACAGCAAGACGGTGTCGCCGATCGCCGTGCTCGCCCGAGTAACAGGTAAACGAGGTAGTTTACGTGCCTATGCGGACCTGTCCAACGACAACATCAAACCATGCGAGCAAACTCGAGTCTCGCCTTTCTGGATTTCACCTCCTTGTCCTCCATCTCCTTGACCGGGCTCTTGTCGTGATAAGATAGATAAGAGGCGATTAGGAGGATGACAAGTCAGCTAGCTTCCGTAAGCTTCCGTAGAGGCTTCAGCTTAGCCTTCAGCTTTCGCTTCGTTAGAGAACCTAGAAGAATCAAGCTTTTTTTCCCACTGAATCTTGTCTGTCCGTATCGTGAGCCGTGATAGCTCTCGGGAAGACAGCTCAAAGTCGGGAGATCGTTAGTTTGATCCTCCCGACTTTTCAGCCCGCTGCGTAGGAGGAGGCCGTGGGACGGCTCCTGAAGCGTCTGGTCCCGCCCCGGGCCAAGTTTGATCTCGCCGCCATCCATCCGTTGCGTTGTTCCGTGATACCTGACCCCCGCCTCCGCCGTGCAATGTGATATCTGTCTGTCCTCCTTGAGCGGTACGTCTTGGTACGTACCCAGTGTGACCACGGCTGGGAGCCAATCATAACGCACAATTAACGAGAGCCATGCCGGATGCGGCATAGCGGTATAACGGCTTGGCCAATGCGGTAAACCGAGCCAAATCGCCGACTTTCCTCCAAAGCTCGCCGAACGCTTGAGCGACGACGAGGTTTCTAGCCATTGACAGGGGACCAATAGAGGGGAGAGGAAAGCAGGAAGTACGAAGTGGGAGAGAAAAGACAGCGTTGCTGAAAATCTAGATTAGAAGAAAATGCCCATGTGTATACGATCGCATGCAATTTCGCTAGGTACCTCGACAGATCCAGGTCTCCCCCGTCCCCCCTCTCACCACCTCTCCACCCCCCCCATCTCACCAGTACCGCGCGTCATCTATCAGCTCCCTCTCGAACCCCCAATCCACCCTTGCCGTACCGACCGCCTCTCTGGCCTCCTCTGGCTCACCTGCCCCCGTTCCCGCTCAGCGCCCACAGCTCGCCGAACCGGGTGCCCGGCTGCTGTCTGAGGCGCGCGGGGTCGCCGACCTCGATGATCTCGCCGCGGTCCATGACGACGACGCGGTCGTAGTCGGCCACCATCTCGAGCCGGTGGCTGACCGCGACCACCGTGTACGCGGCGAACTCGGTGCGGATCGTGCGCTGCATCGCGCGCTCCGTCTCGCCGTCGACGCTCGAGCTGACCTCGTCGAGCAGCAGCACGCCGCCGTCCTCGCGCCCTGCCCCGCCCGGCCCCAGCAGCGCCCGCGCCCGCTCCCGCCGCCGCAGCACCGCCCGCGCCAGCGAGAACAGCTGCCGCTGCCCCTGGCTCAGCGTCCCCGCCACCATCCCCGCTCCGATCCCCCCCCGCTCCTCCACGAAGCTCCAGAGCCCCACCGCCTCCAGTACCGCCTGCGCGTCCGCCGCCGCCGCCACCCCCAGCGGGTCTAGGTTCTCCCCGAACGTCGACCCGTCTGGCAGGAACACGGTGTCCTGCGGTATCGCGATCACCCGCTGCCGTAGCGACGACCGGTCGACGCGCCCCAGCAGCGTGCCGTCGATCGAGATGCCGCCGTCTGCCGCTGCCGCCGTTGTCCCCTGGACGGGGTCAAGGAGCTTGAGCAGCAGCGCGATGAGCGAGGACTTGCCGCTGCCGGTACGCCCGCATATGGCTACCTTCTCGCCGGCGCGGATCTGGAGGTCGATGTTCTTGAGCGCTAGCGTCGGGGTTTCGGTAGGTTCCTCGTCGGTGCTAAGCGACAGGGCGTTAATTCCGTGACAGGAGACTGGGTTAGGGGAGAAATATCCATACTTATAGGTAGCCGAAACGCCTCGGAGAGAAATCTCTCCTCGCTGTGGCCATTCCTCGGGAGGGACAATAGTCTCGTCGTCCTGATCCTCTGTTTTGGCCGTCTTGTCGAAGCTCTTAAGCCGGGTGATGGCGCCGAGCGATGTCTCGAGTAGCGTGTATGAGCTGATGATGTCCGACAACACATTCCCGAACGCCATAAGCGTGACCAGTGACGCACCGGTAAATCCCGAGTTGGAGCGTAGGCGCACGGCCAGAGACGTGAGCATCACTGCCGTAATAGCGACGACAATGTTGAGCACGAGACTTAGCCATCTATTGTGTCCTAGTTAGCCCTAGTCGATGACGGTAGTTATGTTTTCATTGGATTTATGATATAGAATGACATCGAGCGACGCCAAAATGGGTGGCAATAAATAAGATGTGCCGTGGAGGTGTGCGGGATAACTGACTGTTGGATCATGGATAGCAGATACGCAGGACGCTGGGACGTATCGAGGAGCCGAGCATTCTTTTCGCGGCTTTCTTTCGTAAATCCGAACGCTCGAAAGGTCACGATACCCTTGGCGGTATCAAGGAAGTGAGTACTGGTTGATGTTAGCTTCCCGAAGAACACCGTGTCGACCGCAGACGCGCGGAAAAGGCTGAGAAGACCCAGGCCATTACTTACTAGAGCGGGCTCTTGGCCTCCAGGTCTAGTAGCCTCAACTGCCTCGAGGTGCGAAGATAGAACTTCTGGATTGCGTATAACGTGTAGACCAGGAATGGGTAGCTGATTGCTAGGTAAGGTGACGACGAGGCAATGACTGCTGCCTGACCCATCGAGATAAACACGCTGAATATGGTATTCAGGAAGGCGGATGGTAACTCGTTATCGATGAGACCCAGGTCTTGGGAGAAAAGGTTCGTGATAACGCCTTGGTCGGTCAGGGCGAAGAAGCGAAGCGGCGCGTGAATCAGGGTCTGCAAGGCGTCATGGTGGAGAGAGATGCCAACCCGCTTGATAGAAGTGACGTATATCAAGGTACCAAAAGCCATCAACGACAGGAGAGCGGAAACCTCGAGCCCGGCATATATGCCGGCATAATACCCGAAGGAGTGAGAGGGGTTAGCCGCCGCGGAGTCTTCTGACCAGTAACTGAGCCATACAGTTGGGAAGTTATATAAAGCACCCCAGCATAGGCCAAAAAAGAATATACTCGTAGCAAGTGGTGCTCCTAAGCTTTTGAAGTAGACTCTGTAGGCCTTTCTGTCACTTTGTAGTCGTCCCTCGTCGCCCCGTTCCGCTGCGGAAGGCAAGGTAGAGATCTCCCTTAGCAAGCTCAGTTGGGGTTCGGCGATACTGACGCCAGACTCTGCTTCGCTGCCAGTCTCGCTGGCCGAAGACTTAACGCCGAGGCTGTGGACGTAACTCTGGTTCGCGATGAGGTCACTGAAATTTCCTTGTTCGATGACGGTCCCATCAGAGCCCAGAGCAATGACATGATCCGCAGCGGGGAGATGGCGAACGGAATGCGTGCATAGAACCACCGTCGTCTGCCGTCGCCGTAGAATCCCGTTCACCCCGAACACACGTTGGAAGACTTGATCTTCAGTATCGGCATCCAAGCCGCTGAAAATATCGTCTAAAATCAGGAGGTCGGCTTGGAGGTAGAGGCACCTCGCCAATGATACTCGCTGCTTTTGGCCACCCGAAAGAGTAATGCCGTTGCTGCCGACAGTCGTCTCATCCGATTGTGGCAGCGATTCGAAATCTACCCTGAGCATTGTCGCGCCAACGACCTCGGCATATCTGTCAGCATTAAATGGGGAATATCCGACAATGTTCTCTCTTATGCTACCGTTCAACAAGAAGGGCGTCTGGTCGCAATAGCCCACGCGTGGAGACCCAGTAGCCACCGTGACTGTCCCTTGGCTGTACGGTATTTCTCCCAAGAGAGCCCTGCATAAGGACGACTTCCCCGATGCGACCGGGCCCACGATCATCGTAAGAGAGCCGCTAGGGACTTCAATGTCGACGTTACTGAGGACCTTTTTGTCTGGCTCCCATCCGAAATGGCCATTCTTGATGGTGATAGCCGGTGTGGCACTGACTAGGCTTGTCGTAGGCTTCTCTGTATCACGAATTTCGGTTACGACCTGACGGAAGTCTTCCCGTTTCTCGCTCCCCAGGTAGGTTTGGATACGGCCTACACAAGCGAAGCCTGCGGCCAAGAGAGGAAGGGCTTGGAATAAGCTGATCAGCGGAGTCGTCATCAGCAGGAGGTATGACATCGACGTGAAGAGTCTCGCAGGGTCCAGACTTCGCTGCGCGACCCCAAAGGTCAGGGCAGGTGAAATAAGAATGGGAAGATAGGCGAATGTTGCGCAAACCAAAGTCATCTTTCGGAACCTGGAACTCGCCCGTAATTCGTCACGGCGGAGTTTCTCGACGAAGTGCGCGATGGGGAGGGTGAGGCCGGATATCTTGATGTTCTTCATGTTCGCAATAACACCCGAAGTAAGTCCAACACGCCTTTCAACCTCTTTCATCCATTTCTTTTGGCCTTCTCCCATGTATTGCAGCATAACGACAATTCCAACAGAACATACTGCTATAAGGACGATGGGCGCCACAAACGCAGGGCCGAGGTAACCATATAATAACCAGCCGGCAAGTCCCACCTCGATGAAATTGGCCCACTGGGTGAGTAACAAGTTAGTAATGTTTGCGCTCTATCATAAGTAGGAGGTGGGATTTAGCCAGTTGGCCGCAGAATTGGGGCTGTTGTGTGGGAATTGCCAATGGGGGCTGCTCAGGAGAGAGGGCTGGGAGGGAATGGAAAAAGGAAATAGGCTGGTTGGCAAATCACATACGGATTCGTGCAGTGCCTTGAATCCGATATAAATACGCTCAATATCACTGCTCATCAACGTCAACGGCGCGTTCTCGTCATCGCCGGATTTGCGCGCTTCGGTGGTTTTCGTGTAAATTGCTGTAATTAGACAGGCACGAGCCATATAGAGCGTCCGCAGATGAAGATACCAGTAGAATGCCGTCGAGATCGCGATACCACTGTATATGCAGATACTCGCGCCGATAAAACCGTAACTAATATTGTCGGGAAACGCGGTTTCGGTTTGCGAGAGGCGTTGAAGGAGACTGCTTATGAACATAGGCTGACAGAAGCTGAAGGCAGTCAAGGCAAGTCTCGCCGGGATCGGGAGAAGGAGAGGGCCCGCAAGGGTTCGGCCCAGGACCTTTAGCAGGCCGAACTTGTCGCTTCTCAGCTTCTCATCGTCTAAATATCGAACGAATCGCTCAGAAACACGCTGCGCGGCTAGGTTGTCGTCAAGAGGGTAGAGATCCTTGATCGCTAACACCTTGCTATATCCATTGAGGAATAGTCGATTGAGCCAAAAGTAGACGCCTAGGCTGTAAATACCGCTGGTCTCTTCCGGGCTATGATTCTTCGAATCCCAGTTGACCCATCTCGTTTTTCGACGAGCTTCGAGCAAGAGGATAACGACCTTCATAGCTAAGGCTGCGGTGAAGATAGTCGAGAATGCCTTCTCAGGCCGCGTCGAAGTGGCGAGCCAGTAGGTACGCGCCTGGACGATATCGAACAGCAGGCTCAGGAAGAGATAGGCGCTCATCAAAATAGACGGCCGCGGTGATTTGCTATGATCCAGATATGAGAGGAACATCATACAGAAGGCAGCGACCAGACGAAGCGCAGAAGAGGCGATGGCGAAATTGGTGACGTCCACTAAGCGTATCGCAACTAGAAGAAGAAGCGAGCACTCCAGCGAGGCGTACGACATCAGGGCTCCCTAGGTCGGATTCGTGAGTTCATGTGAATGGAAATCTCACCGAGAGAAGAAGGCATTCCTACCATTTTCGCCAGACGCAGCACAGGCGCGCCGACGATCGTCGGTCTGCGTATTAGGAGAGAAGCACGCCATAGTGAAGCAACAGTGAAGATGGCAGAAGGGAGCAGGGAGAAGAACAACTGCTCGAATTTGACTGTGAAGTCGAAGTCGCCCCGACAGCCCAGGACGCTGGGTCCGATGGACTGGTCATTGGTATCGGCGCACGCAGAGAACAACATGCCGCCTCGTCTGCTTGTCTATCACCATGGACAAACTGCGACAAGAAATCAAAACATAGGCAGGATGCTGACTTTGGCCCTATCATATTATATTGGCGGCGGCACAGCCACAGAATGCCAAGTCTAAGGACTTATAGCAGATGACGAGTCAGCAGACAACGCGACAACGTCTCTTAGCCGAGTAGGGCACAAGGCCGAACTCCGTCGCGGCGGATCGGGCTAAGCATATTGGTGCCGGGGTGATTAGGCCCTGCGGACACCGTGGGAATCGGCGTAGCCAGTAGCGAGAGCGTCAACCATCCGTTATTCATAAGGCCGCGAGGCAGCAGAGATCGCGCGTCCCGTCTTATGAGCCTAGTGGGCGACAGGGAGAGGTATGCGACGGGTACGCGTGCGGACGACGTCAATGGCCGTAATAGCGAGAGCACCGGATCTAGTAGGTGATTTGACAAAAGAGACGTCTCCTAGGCGTTCCCAACAGCCAGGAAGCGCCGGACGGATACAACCGCGACATCGCGCCATGCCAACTAAAATTATCCGATGTGAGAAGGATGAGCGATTCGCATTTACGGGGCAGATGGGGCAAGACGACGAACTCGGCTAGTACGATATCCACTATCAACTCATCGCTTACTCCATGCCTACCTACGTAAGGGGTATAGTCGCTTACTCCGTAGTACGTAGAATATGAGGTAGTCCGCTGCGCACCTGGATGTACCTCGCAGTCCTAGACAGGAAAAACCCCGACGGTTGATGCGTGGTTATGCACAACTCAATACTACGTAGTACTCGGCTATACGGCCTGTCGAGTGAGAATTGTGCATACGCACACACTTACGCCAATCCGCGAGAATGGAACCCACGGCTTTGTCGCTTCGCTCTCTTTATCGTGCGAGCGACGGCAAGGTAAGGGAGGAAGCTAGGCGTGACGCCGGCAAACGCTAAGATGTCCCTCGGTTGGCTATATCAGCTTGCAACCTAATTCCTGCCTCTCGCACAACCACCACAACCCGACGTATACCTCGAGCATACCTACCTACCATATCCACATCGCCCCAACATAACCGTGGACGAAACCGACTCATCGCCTCTACCGCCCGCCCTCCACCGCGACCACCATCCATCATGAGTACAAATACGGACGACCAGGAGCAGGTTCAGTCTGACAACCTTCAAGGCGCCCACCTGGCCACGCAACCCCGCCATCCTCTCCTGTCACGACTTGCCTATGGCGGGTCCCTCTATGCCATTCAGGTTCTAGGCGGGCCGCTGATGTGGCTCGCGGACTGGTATCCCTGGTTCTATCCTCCCACATTTGCCCCCACCATCGTGAAGACATACGCATGTCGGCCCTCTTTGCCGACTAGGTAGGGACTCACCCACCCCTCCGCGCCCTGCTTTACGCTGATGCAAGGGCTTTCCCGATCGCAGGATATTCTTCCCCAAGTCGTACGATCGCGAGTCGTCCCAAACGCCTCTCCCAACTCTGATCACCATCCACGGCGGCGGGTTCTGCCTCGGTCGGACGAATGAGGACGACGAATGGAACGCGCGCTTTGCGGACACGCACCACGTGCTCGTCGTCTCCCTCGAATACCGCAAGGCCCCGTACTACCCCTTCCCGACCGCCCTCCACGACGTCGAAGCCCTGATACTGGCCGTGTTCGACGACGAGAGCCTCCCGGTGGACAAGAGCCGCATCGCACTTACCGGCTTCTCCGCAGGCGGCAACCTGTCCCTCACCGTGTGCCAGCTGCCCTCGATCCGTGACAAGGTCAAGCCTTCGGCCGCGTTGCCCGTGTATCCCGTCGTGGACCAGTCCGTGGCTCAGGAGTTCGCGATCAAGACTCGGTACTATAAGCCCGACCTTGGTCCCGGCGGACGCTCTAAACCGACCGACTTTCTGGCGTGGATGGTTCCGGCCTTCGGGTGGGCCTACATCAACCCGGGCCAGAGTCTCGAGGACCCCCTGATATCGCCCATCTACGCGCCTCGCGACGCTCTCCCGCCGCACCTCTTCTTCGTCGGCGCCGAGCTGGACCAGCTGGCGCACGGGGCTTGGAGGATGGCGAGCAAGCTGGCGGGGCGGCCGGTGCCGTCGCTGACGGAGAAGGTGGGCCAGCAGGAGCTAGCACCCAAGCCGGGCCAGCTCATACTGGACGACGAGAGGTTCGCGTTCGAGCACGTCGACGAGGACGGGAAGAGCAGCGTGCGGTGGCTGCTGGTGCCGGACCAGCTCCACGGCTTCGATCGCCTGCCGTGGAGCTGGCACGGGTCGGCAGAGTCAGTCGAGGATGCGAAGTTGAAAGAAGTAGCGTACCAGAAGGTCATGGGGGAGTGGCTGCGAGATTTTGTATGGAAATAGGCGTCTGAAGTCAGCACCCCAATTCGGCGGGAAGTTGTCCCGTCTGAGGCACGCATGCATACTCTCCACACTGTGATGCCGTGGGCCCAACGCCCCGGTCTCGCAAATTGTGTCCGATTTGCTACGGTCTGTGCCACCGGGGTCAACGTTCGAATCATAAGGTGTGTCCCTAGGTTGATGTGACGGGTGCCCGCGTCGACCGTGCCGATCTCACTTCCCGAGACAAAAATCCTCGCTCTGTGTTCTCCTGCAGGTTCCTTTGCCGAGATAAACACATGTCAATTTTGTATAATAGCAAGCAGTCGGTCGGTGGTCGAGTAATACCTGGATACTGGCCTGGTAGGCGAGGGCCTAGGGCGACTTTAGAGATCGAAGCACAGCAGTGCTTCGAAGAGACCGAGTTCGTTTGTTCATACAGTGCCCTAGGTATTTATACGTACACAACCAACTATCGTAATATTACCAGAGTCATCTGGTTTCTAATTCTGTCCTTGCTTGTTGCTAAGTAGCGTGTCCTGTGCCACTCTCCCCTCCTTTTCCTGTTGTCTCATCGACAACGTATTAACCCTTACCTTTCCTCGCAGAGGATAGAATGCATTGGTCTTGACATCTCATTGTGACTTAAACAAGAGCCAACACAAATGCGGATCCACCGCCTGCTGCCAGCCTCCATCTTGCCCATTGCATTGCCCCGCACCGTCGCTATCCCTTCTCCTTTCTACACGTGTAGGCAGACACATTGCGCGGTTGCTGTTGCTGCTGTCTAGTGTCGGCACTGTGTACATCAAGCAACCGCAGCTCTGTCTCGACTGAGGCACCGAAAAGGTGTAGGTTTAATTCTCTATAATTTTAAGACATGACAGGTGACGTAATATCCCTAGATGGTTAAAACTAATACTGACCAACTGACATTGGCTGAGAAGCATGATTCTGCGATTTTGTATTCGTCATTACGCTGTTCCGTAGCTGTTGTCTTTAGTGTCTCCAACCTTTTGCATATAAAGTATTACCGAGGAGTCTATTGGCTATCGTAACACTGACGGGTTTCCTTTATTCACACCCTTTGTTAGTGTTGCTGCTGATGACGCAGGTGGTAATCCTTTACAACTATGTATACGATTTGTTTAGAACTACTTCCTTTTCTGCCCAGCGCGTTTGCTCTTACGGATCCCCTGTAAAGCTTAGGAGTGAGTATAGTAACGATAGTTATTATGCATATGTTGTAGTTGGGGTAAACTTCAGACTCATTCGTCTGCATAGAACAGGCAAAGGCCCTTTCACAATCTAAGCTAGTCGTATTTATCATGCTAAGAATTTTATTTCAATAGCCAGGCAACTTTGTTTAACGGATCGTATATACTGTCCTTAGCGTCACTATTATCACCAACCCTGGATTATCATAGCATCACGTAAATTTGCTGCTTGAACCCTAAATAGGGTAAAATCGAGAGTCATATGTTCATAGAAGCTATTATACAAAGGGCGATGTTGTTCCTGTATTCTCAGTGCCGATCCCCACTACCGCTTCATATCCGTCCCCTTCATGCATCTGCGTACCGCTTCGAGATGTACAGTTCCCCGATGTTTGAGCATGATTGAAATTAGCTCGTAACTCGACTTCGAGATGCGACTTGATGAAATTTCAGCTGAGAGTAAGAATAAGAAAGTGCGGGACCCCCTCCCCGTCTCGAGTCCGATCACGCTTCCCTGTGATGCATTCAGAATTGAAGTATTAGAGGAAGTGTCAATCCTCCTCAGAGCAAACTATAAGTAGGAAAGAGTGGAAGACGTGTTTCTCTCGGATCTATGATCCTATGATTATCCTCCCACAAGTTGAGTGCTGCTTCGGGAAGCAGCTGCACCCACACAGACCAACCTAGACCCTCTCATCAGTTGCCTCATCAGGCGCCGTGGTTCCCAGGACACGCCATACTCATGTATCTATAATAATTCAAGTAGCAGTCCGCTAAATGGGGTGCCTGACAACCTTAGCAGCAGCGCTACGAGGATGCTCGGCAGATCCCTGCTTCAGGGGTTCCTTATACCCCAACTTCTGCCACCAGGAACCATAGCCTGCATTGCGAGGGTTCAAGTTAATAGGTTTCTCACCCATAGGCTTGCGGTTTGCGAGGCTTTGAGAACTGCTATTCTTCTGACCAGTGCCGATGCTGACGTCCTCCATACCCTTGGTGATCGTGTCGACGAGATCACCCTCGTAGCCCAAACCCGGCTTGCCATCCTCTTCCTCTTCTTTGATTTCTTCCATTTGGGTTTCGTGCACACGAACATCATTATGCGCGGCTCTTCTGTCACGTGCGGTCTTCTCCTTGATGAGGCGCTTCTTCAGAGAAAGGAACGACTGGACTTTCAGCTGTCCGCCTTTGGAGCCGACCATGGTGACGACACGGGACGGGGCGCGGCTCCAGGAAGGAGGGGGCTGAGGGAAGTCGGCCGGAACGGGGACGTCAATATCGCCGTGCTTCCAGGCCTTGATGACCGAATCTGTAGGGTCAGCGCCGACGCCGCGGTTTCTCTCTCGGGGTCGAGGCATGATCCAGCCGAGATGCTCGTACAAGGCGGTCTCGCTGTTGGGGTCCGGGCCCAGCGGCTCTCCGTCATACCATCCACGCCCGCCGTCCATCTCTGCGAACTTCTTTAGCAAGCGGTATCCTCGGGGGTATAGCTGCTCGAAGGGAATAGAAACAGGGTCCTTGAGCCAGGGGGCTTCCTGCTTCTTAGCATTCTCGGGGTCGACCACGTTGAAGTCGCTCTGGTTTAGGAGGTAGAAGCGGGTCTCATTCGGGTCGAAGTCTCCGGTGCCTGGGAACGCACCGAGCATGTTGGCTTCGGTCATCCGCATGGGGACCCAGATGCGCCAGTCGATATGTCGGGCAGTCTCGGTCTCACCGTGCTTGTACGACGGTCTCTGGACACCGCCCACCTCGTCCTCTGGCAGCTCCTCGTCACTGTAGCTATCCTCGTCCTTCAACTTGGGGCAGTCTCTGACGCCGAATCGGTTGAATACAGCGTGATGGCGCTGGCCAATAAGGCGTTTTTCCGCTAGTGTTCTGGGCTTGGTAGCACCCTCCCCGGGACCGTAAAAATTATATGGCTTCGGATCAAACGCAATGTCGGCCGGCGTTCGGGTTTTCGTCTTGCGGCGCATAGCGACTTCTTTGCGGAGCTGTGCTGACTCTTCCTCTATGCTTCTGCGGATCAATTCTTCTTGAGGACGGTGCTTTTCGTGCTCGGACTGGGAAAACGCGTGCCATGCCTGGACAGCCGCCTGCTGTTGGACCTGGGCGAGCTTCTCGAGCTGATGCTGGTCAGTCATGGTGAATATGGGATGTGCGGCGAACACAGAGAGAGGCTAGAGGAAAAACGGCAGAAAGGCTGGAGGATTGATTGAAGATTTTGAACGTAGGCACGGTCGATATGTTCATAGATGAGGTAATGGAGGGTGGTGACGTGTTTCAAGAAGGGAGTTTTCGATGGAGATGGGTTTGATGGCAGGGTGGAAGAGGTGGGAAGGGGATGGGTGAGAACGATGAGGCCGATATCGCGATGTGTTATGCAGGGAACGAAGGCCTATAAATGCAATTCGGCAACTAGGGTTGACGTTGGTTGTGTATAACAGCTTGCTGATGCTGAAGGCGCCGAGGGATTGTCTGTAAGCTGATAGAATGGTGCGACTGGTGGGAGATGTGGTTGGAAATAAAAGTGGTGGAGAGATGGCGGGAGAGGAGAGGAGGAGGGAGAGGAAGAGAGGCCAGTTGGTTTTGAGATTTGAGATGGCGATTTCGACAATTGGCATCAAGTGCCCCGCGTTCCGTTCCTGTGGAAGGTGTCGAGTAGGTACGTAGTTAGTGGCCGATCACGAGAAGCCTATGCCATATGCTCCTCGACGAGTCAAGACTGGGTATGAAGACTTTTTGGATATTCATATATCCTCAGAAACCCATCAACTTGCCAACGGTTCCGCCAGGGACCAGTTCTAAAACCACTTCTCTATAGATCATGCTAAGACGAGGAAGGAGGAATATGCTAGGGAAGGTGCGATGCCCGGCCTTGGAGGTACAGCAGAATGCTACTTGCGTTCCCCAGGCAACGGTGACTGGGATGACGACGACGACACCACTCAAAGTACTTCCCTCGTAGTCATGCCGGCGCCTCTCTCTATATTCGCATTGTACTTGATCGTTTCCCGCTGGCGCCTCATAAATAAATAAGTACATAATGCGATGCTGACTATCAATTACTCCACTCGGTTATATAGTAGCGTAGGACGCCCACCTCGGTACTCCTCTCTATCTAACCAAGCATAATGTAGACGCCTACCACTTCGAGTGACATGTCATATTTGATCTCCCCCTTCCTCATCCTTTATTAAGGGTGCTATGGCATATTAGATATCGACTACTTTATAGAATTGTGCAATAACCCCCCTAAGTAAAGGACAAGGCCCCGACCACATGTCTACTGGTGGACAGCACTCCCTTGACATCTTATTTAAGCAGGTATAACTACGCCGACAAATCTACGATCACGAAGACGCTACCCTCGTTATCGTAGGAGTGGAGAATATGTAAAACATATACCTACAGAATCATCTACGAACTTTATTTCCCTACCGAGACTACGTGCCCAGTGGTTTTATTGGTACATAGCCAGGAACACGTTAATGATGGAGTTGAAGTTCGTGGCTGATACCTACATTGAGAGAATAAATGTGGGGGGGGAAAGGGAACTCGGGCGTGGAGGCCAGGAGTTACACGAGGCCGTCCAAGACGTGGGAAGAGACGTACACCACGGTGGGAATATCTTTAAGTGTGGCCATGCTTCTCAGCGTAGTATGTAGCGACACAACGCCATCCTATCTGACACACGTCGTCGACTCGATGCTAGCACTGTCTTCCTACGCATGTACACGTACCCATGGGTAAGGTACCTAGGTATATGGATCGACTCTCTGATGTTACCTACAGATCAGTAGGTTACTTAACGAAGGATAGGTTCGATTCTTAACAGCGCTACTTGGTAGGTAGTCTTCGCTATTTAGCTCATCTCCTACTTGGGGAGTTGCAAGCCTGGCTCTTCTGATTGGCTGAATTTCACGTGGCGTTTAATTGGCCGACGCGCTTAGAGCTGGCCACGTGACAAGTACCTAGGAACCCATCCTCTTCTCATCCCGGTTGCGTCATTCATATTCCTCGCCAGCTATGAGCCCGATGGCCAAAACTTCCGACATCTTATGATCTGCTCAATTTCTAGGAAAAACAAGGAACGCGTCTTTCAAGGGTCTTTCCATGGTGATGGATTCGGCAACGATCCCCCGCAGCCCACGCTCGCATGGAATGAATCGGGGATGAATTCACGGGCAGCCTACGTAGGCGGGTCTCGGCCGTAAGCGCGGTCCTCGGCATTTTCCCTACTGCGCTTATGTCCGCCCTCCGCGCTCCCGCCCTTCTCCCGGACATAACATCGACACGGGCAGCGCCGCCTCCTTCACCTTCTTACCCTTTTCCAACCTCTCTTTTCTATATCCGTGGCGCATCTCACCTTATATCTAAGTCTGGGCATCCCACACCGGCATGTCGTACGAAGGGATACGGCCGAGAGACTCTGCCGCCGCCTTCATGGAGCGACAACCCCGTCGGCGTCGCAGGCCGGCGCTCTCGTGCCTCGAGTGCCGGCGCCGCAAGATCAAATGCGACCGGAGCGACCCGTGTGCGCACTGCGTCTCTGCCCGGTCGCAATGTACCTACAGAATCTATGGCAATGATACTGGCGCTCAGAAACAGCCGCGGACCCATCACGGCAGCCCGCGGCGCTCGACATCCACCCCGTCAGCCTACGCGCCCTCACCTTTGGCTCAGGCTGGCCCGGTCAGCATCGGCGGGCCAATCCCGGGACATGGAACCCCCGGGTCGTGGCCCCCGGTCGCCGCCATGGCAGCGGCTGCAGTCGCCCCAGAACAACAGGGCACTCTGGATGCCTTTGGTCGCGATGATGTTCAACCGCCCAACCGCGTTTCGAATTCGGAGCCGAGTATCCTCGAGATTCTCCAGCGGCTAGAGAAGCTCGAGGGGTCTTCGCCGGCTAGTTCCAGCTCCATCCACGGGCTATCTGAGACTGGCCGCCACATACTGGCGCGTCAGACTGGTGTGCAGAGCTCGCAGGTCATCATGAACAAAACGAGAACCTTGAGATGGAGTCATTGGATGGGCACCGCTCAAGAGGTACGTTCAAAATCCGGGTGCTTATCCCACCCCTTCACATACATACATAAATACATATGCGTACTGACCTACCGTGTGACAGTTTGAGACCATCGTTAACTGCATCACGGCGGCAACCAAGAGTGCTAAGGTGGATTCATTTCAGGCCCCCGAGGCCCAGGCGGTGTGTGCCGAGATAGCCGACCTTCTCCAAAAATGCAAAAACATAGCTAGAGGCATCAAACTAAGTCGGCCTAGCCGATGGCTTTCGTACCCGGTAGAACTGGCTCCCCCTTCTCGCGACGTGGCTGACGCCATGGCGGCTCTCTATTTCAGATCGTTCGAGTCGACGCATCGGATACTCCACATTCCCACCTTTTGGACTGAGTACCGCCGATATTGGGAAGCTCCGGAAAGCGTCTCCAATGGCCTGCGCCTGAAGGTCCTTCTGGTGGTCGCGATAGGGTCGAGTTTAAGCAGCCATGGGGACGCGGCCACTGGGCTTCGCAACCTGGTCCGTCAGTGGGTGTATGCTGCGGAGATGTGGCTCTCAGGGCCTTTGGAAAAAGACCGCCTCGAAATCGACGGCATACAAATCCACTGTCTGACGATCCTGGCGCGGCAATTGTTTTCGATAGGCGGGGACTTGGTATGGGTGTCGATGGGCTCCCTCATCCACAAAGCGATGCAGATGGGCTTAAATCGCGACCCCAAGCACCTCCCGCCCATGCCTATCTTACAGGCTGAGCGTCGCAGAAGGCTGTGGGCGACAATACTGGAATTGACTGTCCAGTCATCCTTGGATTCGGCGATGCCACCTAGAATCTCATTTCAAGATTTCGACACCGAGGCCCCCTCCAACTGCAACGATGATGAGATAGACGAGTCGACCACAACGCTTCAGCCTCACCCTAAAGATACCTATACCGCAACCTCGATACAGCTTCTCCTCCTCAATTCCCTCCCCATCCGCCTCCGAATCCTCCACCTCCTAAACGACCTACGGTCCGAACTTTCTTATTTGGATGTCCTTTCTTTGAGTTCGGAAGTCACCGAGGCATACCGTACCTGTGCAATCTTCATGAATGATCACGAACAGTCGGGAGTCACTCCATTCCACAGAAACCTGATCGACTATCTCGTCCGTCGGTTCCTCATCCCCTTGCACTGCCCCTTCGCCAGCCAAGCGCGTTCAAACCCGTTATTCTATTACTCGCTTAAGACAAGCATGGATGCATCCTTGGCCATCATCTCACCGGAGCGAGATGGGGCCTTTGCTCACCTTATGGCCATCGGCGGAGGTCTGTTTAGGGAGGGGATCCGGTACGCCCTAGCCGTGATCAGTTACGAGCTCATCGCCCAGACTCAGGCCCAAAGCCGAGATGGCACGCTCCACCGCGACCCTCACTATAGGGAGCTCCTCAAGAGCTCTATGAAAGACATGATTGCTTTGTCGTTGGAGCGCATTCAAGAAGGAGAAACGAACATCAAGAGTCACATGTTCCTCAGCATGATTATGGCCCAGGTCGAGTCGATAGAACAGGGCTTACCGCGCGACGTATTTGAGCTCAGGATTGCGCAGAGGGGGAGAGACAGCCTCGAACTATGCCACGAAATACTTGGAAGACAGTTGAGCAATGTCCCCTCGCCGTCTACCAGTAATGCGGGACTCACGCCACTTAACGTCAACAGTAATGGCCAGGATGGCTTCGGATTCGATTTCGACATTGAGTTTTTCTTACCGGAGGGGGATCTTTTGTAGAATGCTGTCCCCAGTTCAACTAACACGTGCTTAATTGCTAGTCGGAAGTAAAGGACGCTGGTACGGCCCTTTGCCCTCTCGGCATCTCACTGCATTAATACGCTCGGCGTCAAGCCGACCACTCCTCCCTGTCTCCTCGTCTTCGCGAACCATGCCGTCTGCCAACGAAGGAAAAAAGGATCATATCGCGCGCGAAACCAAACCAAATTTATTCTATAGCGCATCAATCCAAGAGCCCAGTCGCTTTTCTGTTTCCGTTTGTATCACCCGGGCGGAATCGGACGTGACCGCGAGTCACGATCCGCGTCGTGGTATTGAGAGACCGGAGGAAACTTTGAGCAACGCCGCTAGGGGGCGACGCGTGTACGACGCAAAAATCAACCCCCTTTATTTATAATCGCAGATGCCTAGGGTTGGATTCGGTCATTTCAGGGGGGGCTGATCAACCTATGCCCGTTCTCGGCCGATGCAGGAGATGCGAGAGGTCCGTCTTGGCATGCCCCGGAGATGAGTGCGCGTGTGCTCCTGGACGGAATACTAACAGGACGACACAGGATAAACAGCCGCCGACGTTATATAATCTGCTCGACCGTGGTATTGTGTTACCCATCTGGGCACGCCTCTTCCGTCATCTTACTCGCATCAGGATTCTGTCGTGTTACCGTTGATCTTGTTAACACTACCCCTTTTACTCGCTATCTACACTGCCCTCCCCTATTCCCGAAAGCCGAACCGATGGCGCGGATCCGAGTCCTCATCAGCGGCGCGGGAATCGCCGGTAACGCGCTGGCCTTCTGGCTGGTGAAGCTAGGCCACGAAGTCACCGTTGTCGAGAAGTTTCCGGTCCTGCGCGCGACCGGCCTGCAGATTGACCTGCGCGGCCACGGTATTGAGGTCTTGCGACGCATGGGGCTCGAGCGCGAGTTCCGCGAGCTGTCAGCGCCAGAGCAGGGGCTGCAGATCGTCGACGGCACGGGACGCCAGCGCGCCTTATTCCCGGCCAATAAACCCGGCGACGGTGGCATCCAGAGCTTCACCAGCGAGTTCGAGATCATGCGCGGCGACCTGTGCCGCCTCTTTCACGATGCGACCGCTGACCGTGCCCGCTGCATCTTCGGCACGTCGATCGCGAGCTTGCAACAGGAGAATATGGGCGGCGGGCGAGGCGGGCCCGTCGACGTGACGTTCGAGAACGGCAAGACGGAGCGCTTTGATCTGGTCGTGGGCGCCGACGGCATGTGGTCACACACGCGCCGGCTGCTGTTCGGGCCCGACACGCCAGAGACGCTGCGGCCGCTCGGTGGGTTCTGCATTGCGTACTTCACGATGCCGCGGGCGATCCAGGAGGGAGAGGGGTACCTGGCGACGGCGTACATGGCTCCGGGCCGCCGGGCGATCATGACGCGGCGTCATCGCCCGGACGCGATGCAGGTGTACCTGCCGTGCCGCAGCGACGGGGGCCGGCTGGCGCGGACGCGGCGCGGCGACGTGGCGGGGGAGAAGGCAGCGTTCGCCGAGTCCCTCGCGGGCGCGGGCTGGCAGGCGGACGAGATCGTCGCGGCCATGTGGGACGCCGACGACTTCTACTGCGAGCACCTGCGGCTGGTGACGCTGCCGACGTGGGCGCGCGGGCGCGCGGCGCTCGTCGGCGACGCCGCGTACTGCCCCTCGGCCAACACGGGCATGGGCACGACGTGCGGCGTCGTCGGCGCGTACGTCCTGGCGGGCGAAATCGGGCGGCACTGCGGCCGGGGGGAGCACGACGACGACGACAACGCCGCGGGCGCTGACGGCCTCGAGGCCGCGCTCGCCGCGTACGAGCGCACGTTCCGCCCGTACGTCGACAAGGTGACGCGGGGGGTCGCGGAAGACGCCAGCGTGTGGAACATGCTGCCTTCGTTGGCGCTCGGCGTCGGCATCATGCACGCGGTGTTGGGCCTGGCGTCGTACTTCCGGCTCGACTTCTTCCATCACGTCCTCCGCGAGAAGCGGGTCCAGGGCTGGGACCTGCCGGACTACGAGGAGATGGTGGGCCGGCGCTAAGCCGGGGCGAGGGAGCTGGGAGAAGCAGGGTTAGGCCCCCAGGTGTGTATATCTTTCTTGAGCATTTACGTATGCTCGATCGTACGAATACTCTCTACTTGTATATCGTTCGTAGTGCTGTGGTGTGGGCGGCATATGGCTGTCAACCGTGGGATTCTATGCGTAAAGCTGCATATTCTGGTAGGTACATACGGAAATTTGAACGGATGGTGGTTTGATGGGTATAATAAACTGTATAGTATAGTACACGTTCGTTCCCATTATATATATATTCTGTACACGGAGCGCAGTTCCTGCCGATCGGTCGCCGCAGGTGCTAGCCCGGTCTCTGTACTCGCTACGGGATCCCCAAGCGCACGGCCCTGCGCGCTTATTGCGAGATGCGGACCTTGAACACGAGGGCCTGGCTGTCGAGGCTGTAGCCGCTCTCGTCGGCGTAGCGGAACCTGCCGCCGTTCATGAACCCGTTCTGGGTGATGAAGTCGTTGTCGCTGAGGCTGAAGACGAAGACCTCGCCGTTGGGGCGGGCCGGGTCGGCGGGCACAACCGCGATGGACTCCCACTTCTCGTTCTGCGCGGCGCGGCACGCGCGTTAGCGGACGCGCCCGAACCGTATTCGCGCCGCCGGGCGGTGAGGAGGGGGAAGCGACTTACCAGCAGGCCGCTGTCCTGGTCGCCGCCGTTGTGGAGGCGGAAGCGGTTGAGCTGGGCGTCGACGTTGAAGTCGAGGAAGGGGCAGTAGTCGGCGGGGACGACGGCGGGGTCGAGGGCGCCGGTGGCGGGGTCGGCGACGGCGCAGGCGGCGCAGTCGTAGCGGCCGGCGGCGGCGCGGAGGTCGGTGGCGCGGGCGACGTCGACGACGTCGATCTGGCGGTAGACGGAGAGCGCGGCGGCGGCGCCGCGGCCGGCGTTGGAGTCGCGCGCGAGCACGAGGAACTGGCCGTTCGGCAGCGCGTGCAGCGCCGACTGCGCCGCCGCCTTCGGGTTCTTCGACGGCTTCGCCTCCGGGTCCCGGAACAGCGGCAGCGGCACCACCCACTCCCCCGCGTACGCCGGCGCCAGCCGCTCCGCCACGTCGTACTTCAGGAACCGCGTGTACCGCTGCGTCTGCTTCTCGAGGCCCTGCGAGCCGTTAGGCCGTGTCTGTAGCGCGGCTGAAGGGTAGGGGGTAGGGAGGAGGAGGAGGAGGAGGAGGAAAGGGCTGTATTTCGATGCGCTCGCCTCGGCAAGGCCGGTGACCAGGTGCACTTACGCCCTCCTGCACGGTCGCGGCCTGCAGCAATACCCACAGCGTCTTGCCGTCCTCCGAAACGCTGAGCCCTTCAAAGCCTAGGCGACCGCACCTACTTGTTAGCCGTCTCGTTCGGTACCGGGATGTCTCTTAAGCGTGACTTACCGTGGTTGTTGTCGCGGCCGCTCTCGGGGTCCTGGGGGTTGACGCTGTCGCCCTGGCCGTTGTTGATGTAGTGGGGCGGGCTGTTGGCGGAGAAAGAGAGCGTGCCGTTGCGGAAGGGCACGATGGCGTCGTTGGGCTTGATCGCGGTGAGCATCTTGCCCTCGGCGTCGAATAGGTCTACCGCCTCATGTTAGCGGGCCTAACCGAAGCTTACAGGGAGGGATGCTACGGACAGATGTACGGGCCGTATTCGTCAGAGACCCAGAACGAGCCGTCGTCATTCACGTAGAGGCCTTCAGCATCCACCGAGATGCGCTTGCCGCCTGGTCCCTCTCCGCCGAAACCGTCGCCGGTGTAGGTCGCGGCGGGCAGTTCGGGGAAGCCGGGAAAAGAGATGTGCCCGCTACCGTCGGCGTCGAGTCCCGTGCAGGGCGTGCCGTCGGGCCCGGTGAAAGCGATGGTGTCTAGGTACTCAAAGGATAAGTTCGGGCCCGACGGGTTCTCGACGGTCGCCTTGGGCTGGGGGGTGAAGACGATGTTGAACTTGTGGACTCGGGGGTTGAAGTTCAAGGTCCCTTGAGTGTTCCTGGCGATGATTGTCAACCAAGGAGATAAATACTTAAATACTTCATAATTTGGATGTAAAATTCATATTTTCCTCCCCCCTCGCAGATCTAGATAGACGTCTTGGAGATAATTTGGTCTCTTTCAGGACGCACCCAATTCCTCCTCGAGAGTCCAACACGGACGGCGGGAATGCACTCACCATCCGCGATCGGGAAGGGCCCATAGCACGCCCGAGTAGCTCCCATTGTCGAGCCTCTTCCACGTGCTTCGGTCTATGTGGATAGCCGAGCCGAGTCCGCCGAGGGTGTCGCCGAACTTGTCGATTGCGTCGGAGACGACGAGCCCATAGCCAGCGAGCTCGTGGTACTCGTACTTGACGCCATTGCACGTCGTCGTGTTCACGGGCTGCGGCTTCTGGTACCGCAGGGAGGCGCCCAGGGCGCTCGCGGCCAGGGAGACTGTGGCGAGGAGCAGCGCGATCATGGTGGGCAGCGAAGATGGCCGACGAGGATGGGTCCGCTCAGTGGCAAAATTAGAGCGAGTGTAAGTCGCGAAAAGCGGGCGTGCGACGAAGAAGCGAGAATCCTCTCGCGCTGATGGCGTCGGCGGGCAGCTTAAATACCCCGTCGCGGCTCGCGATTCCGAGATCCGGTAGCGGCATAGCGTCAGGATGCGATATTGGGACCTGCAGCGGCAGGTGCAGCTACTTCGCGGGCCAGCCCGCCTCGACTACGCCCTGTTGCCCTTAGAGGGCATTGAGGCGAGGGACGACGACGCCGAACTAGGGAGGTCGCAGCGTCGGACTTCGCGTGCTGGGCCCGGCCACCCCGGTCCGGCTCCTCCAGGGCAGGGCACGTTGCGGGTCTCCCGGATCCCATTCGCCAGACGCGCCATCTGGCTGCGTACACCATCTGGCTGCGCACGAAGCTGGAGGAGGCGGGCGATGGAGAGGGGTTCAGTCACCGTGTGTATGTGGGGAATCGGCTGCGAAGGGCGAGGCGAGGCGACTGGAAGGGGACAGTACCTACCTAGTGGGTAGCAGCCACATTTCGACGTCGGTGAGGGGGCACGCGGGATGTTTCCCGGTTGAGAAGGTGACAGCACAAGCTCGACTCTCGTCTGACCGGAAGAAGAAGTATATTTAACGTCACGCATTCTATCTACACGAGATAATGAGACGGGGCCGCGACGACGGCTGGCCCACTGTTGTTCGGGTCTGGGGTTCGCTGGAAAAGGTGCACTCTGCGTAGTGCTCCCGCTAAGAACCAGCTACTGGCCATCCCGGCGGGCGCCCACTTGGGTGCTCCGGAGAGGGTCGGTTCTACGACGCGACCAATGCAGACGGCTTCGGATGATAGGCAACCCTCGCTTGTTGGAGGCTGCATACCTTCGTCGGGGATGGAGGCCAAGACAGGCTTCTCCATCCACAGATCTGGAACGAGATGGATTGGCACCGTAGGCCAAGCAGTCCAAGGGTAGAGGCGATGACGGCATGCCGTCTCTGCAGCTCGCTTCGTGCATCCTCTAGGTACCTAGATCAGAGCGTTGGGCTGCCATCAATCACCCTAATCCCAGCAACATGTATCCTACTGCTACTACAATAGGATCTACCTGACCTAGAGTATTTAAGACAATGCGCCCTGCTAACCTAGAACATGTCTCGTAAAACAGTCGAGGCCTTCTTATTGCCCCGCGATTTGATCTTGTATTACCTCTCCATCCGAGCTCCATCTCGCCCGTTCTCAGACCATCACCTCTGCTCTGCCGTCGCGCTAAAGATGAAGATGAAGACGATGTCCGGTGTAGGTGGGCGAATATAGGCAGAATAAAAGCGCGAAGCGCATGCATCATTCTACGTTACCCTAATCGCCGGAGGTGATCACCATGCGTTTATAATACCGCCGAGCGGGTGCGCCCGGTAACCCTCCAGTAGGACTCGGTTTTCGAGCATTGGCGCTCGGTCGCTTCTGTTCGATGGCAGTACTGCTTGGTGCCTTAATCCTTATATTTCATGAGAGAGTTTGATATATTGCGTTAACCGGACGAGACTTGTCTACTCTGCCCGATTGCGGCCGTGGATAGTGTATAGTTCGTCAGAGTCGGAAGACGGACAGCAAAGCGATCCGGCCATAATGACTCAATCTCCTCCCTTTCCCCTCCACCCCCTGTCTCTCTCTCTCCATATACATAATCTACGTTTGGCAGAGGGCCTCTAGCTTGGCGCGCGCGGGTGCCGTCGGCGGCTGCCCCCTTCTCCTTGAAGACGCACTGGCTTTGGTTGGGTGCGAGACGGAGTAGCCCGAGCATCATTCTGGTAACGAAGTCGGTAGGTAGGTATCGAGACCTTGACTGGCCATAAGCGACGAGAAAAGGGTCATCCCCTGAGCGGAGAGACACCAGCTCGAAGCGCAGCCCGCCGACAACGTCATCGCGCGTCCCTAGTCCGGACGCGAATTCGGCGAGGGAAGTGAATGGAAACCTTAGAGCGCCCTGCCTATTTAGCCTGGCCTTCGCCGAAGTAGGAAAGAGATTTAAAGAGTTAGATACTAATTAATGCATTCGCAGGTCTGATGCAGCTACTTAAATAACCTAAGGTATTAGTTATTATGGTAATCTGTTTCTAAAGGGCTCCTCCGTGCGTCTCTCATAAGACAAGCCGTCTCCCCATGATGACGTCCGTGAACCCGGCTTTGCGCCCAGCGAGCCGATGCCTCCGCGAAGCCGGCACTGCGGGAAAAATACATGTCAGATACCTTATCCACCCATTTTGAGGCCGAGCGGGCCAGGCTCAGGCAGCTCAGGGACGGGCCAAACTGAGATGGCCGCTTCTCCCCGTACCTGGAGTAACAGGCCAAACACCATATGGGGGAAGTGTGGCCCAAGGAGAGAGAACAGCGCCGCCCTCACCCCTCTAATACTACTGTCTAATTCGGCCGTGGATCTCTCCGCAGTCGCGTCCAATCGCCTTTGCAGTCTCCCGTCGATTCCTCCCCGCACCGGATGCGTTTCGGTAGCACCCCAGGTTCGGTCGTGCTCTCATTCTCGTCCGGCCGGCGTTTGGGCAACTTGGCGGACTCGGTCCTGACCGGGTCGAGGGCCATGAGCGTGCCGTATTGGTCGGCGAGGAGTTCTTGCAGCTTGTCCTGCGGCAGATCCTGGAGAGCTTTGGTTGCCATTCCGGCCGCTTGCTCCCAGTCCTGGTGGCGACGTTCCCACCACCCTAGGGTCTTCGTAAGACAAGTTCGGTGGCCTTGGGCCACTTCCTCGACTCGGAAAAACATGAACTGGTGGAAGGAGGGTATCAGATGAAGTCTGTCAAATTGTAAGTCCATCGTGTGTTTCTGGGCCATGGGGTCTTGTAAGAAGTCGTTGATCTCGCGACACTTGTCACAAGGCAAGTCATTGGACCGTCGGCACTTGCTGATGACTTCGGCTGGGCGAGCCCAGTCCCTTGGCTTCGACGGCTCCTCGCCCACGGTCTTGGTGATGTATATTTTCACGAGCGATTGGAAGCAACGCTGCACTTCCACGGAGTCCGTGTTCACCGATGGCATTAATTCAGCCATTAGCGGCGGCAAAATCCCCTGCACTGTCGCCTTCGTGGCTCGGGAAGCCTGCATCTGGAGCTTCCACAGCAATCTAGAAGCGGCGTCCTCGCTGTACGCCGCTGCCCAGTCATAGAACGATCGGATCGGCCCGGCATTGCTGATTCGGGTTTCCCTCTTTCCCTCTTTCTCTCCATCTTGAAAGATCCGGCAACCGTATGGATAATCGAGCTGAAGGCGGTTGTAATACCGTTCAAGGTCGAAGGTCGAGATTGCGGGTTCCAGAAGGATGTGCAGAACAGAGTGAAGAAACATTGAACGGACGTTGCCCAGATTTTGTAATTCGATGAGTACCTTGATCGTCAGTCCGTTCACGATACCGCCATGATGGCCGAAGCCATGAAGAAAGCAGACAGCTGCCTCGTCGAGGACCTCTCTGTGTGTGTACACATGTTATCAGTGGCCGCGGGAGGTGATGTAAACCGGTGGATGGGAGGCAGAGCACGAAGAGAGAAAGAAAAAGAGGGAAGCGAATGCGCTTACCGTTGTTGTGGTGTATGCCGAACTTGGTCCTCCAAAATGATCCCCAGCAGAGCGCTATAGTCTTTGTCCACGACATCCGAGATGTTACGAAGCACCTCGACCAGGCGGTCAGTATACCACTGCTGTGCGTGCTCCGCCTTGGCTTGATCTTCCCGGCCGCGGTTGGCTTCGCAGAACCCACGATGGAACTGCACAATGCTACGGCGACAGATCTCGAGCGTATCTCCTTTCGTCAGAGCTGTGATCAGACTGCGGGCGAGCGAGCGTGTAAAACATTAGCAATGCTGGTCAGCAACCCAGTGGCATGGGGAAAAGTCTTACTCCTTTTCGTCCACTGAGGGTTCCTGGAAATCCATGGTTACGCCGAGTGCGAAACAGGAGGCGCCGGCCCAGGCCCCGTGGGTTTGTACCACGGCTTTGTGAAAGAGAGGCGCATCGCCGAAAATAGCCGCCGTGACTGCAACATGACCGCGACGAAAGTCTTGTTCGGACGTTCTGCGCTTGTCGGGCTTTTTGTTCAAAACGTTGTCGCAGAGCTGAAGAATCAGCTTTCGCATTGACGTGTCGGTGTCGTGGCCTTTGCTGTGGGCGTCTGCGCCGATGGTGTCCCGCAGTCGGACCATCACAGCATTCAAGTCCTCGTGAGAATACGTATCGCCAATCAAGGGGACCAATGCAAACTCCTTCGGGACGATAATCATTACCTAGGGATCAGGGATTGATCATTCAATAACCATGGTTAACGTTGCTATGCTTATTAGCACGCTGGATCGACATAAGGTACATACCCTATCCAAGTAGGTTTCCTCGATTTCGGCATGTTCGTTGCCCACATACTCTCCACCCCTGTGACGGTCCGGGTCTCTATTAGGATAGTCCATACTGCCCAAGAGGTATCCCTCGGAGAGTGTGAGATTAAGACGGGATAGCATAACGCCTGTAATAAGGGGATATACTTAGAATAGGTTCAATTTTAACTAATAATTCTATAGGGGGTCTCTTAAGTCCTTATTCTTTTCTAAGTCCGTCGTTTCCTTCTCGTCTTTAATATATCTTATAGGTACCTTTATACCTTAATACCTTTATACCTTCTACCGAAGCTATCCGAAGCTTATTTAGAACTTTCCTTAATAAGTCGCCGAGGTAATAGCCTTAATGCCTAATATTATCCTCCTAACCCTTATAACCTACCCGATCTTATCCTCCTAACCCTTATAACCTAATTATTAGCGTAAGGTTCCATTCCCGTATAATACTATCTCTCTTTATCGAAGAAGCTCGTCTTTAAGCGTTAATTAAGTACCTAGGCTCGTTAGTTAGCGGGCTTATTAGGGTTTTATTAATGGAATAACTTAATAACTCCTTTTATCCCTTCGGTAGTAAAGTATTCCTACGGCTCCTAGGTTTAGTAGCGCTTAGCCGGCTATTCTTATTACTTTATTAAATATCTAATAACTTTTCCGGTTCTAGCGGAATTTAATACCTTATTTACCTCGTAGTCTTCTGCCTTAATCGGGGCTACTTCCCGTAAGACCTAGTTAAGGTTAGGTAATTCTTAATTACTAGCGCGATAGGGTTCGATAAGGAATACGTAAAAGGTACTATAAATACGTTAGCCTTTCGGGAGTATTAGAATTACGGCGGTAGGGAAGACGATCTTCTAGATCTTAAAGGAACCGAGTATCTTTTTATCTATCTTTTTTATAAGGCGCTTGGTTTTAATGTTACGGGCGTTTAGCATAATAAGTTATCCGACTTTTAAAAGGGGTTCCTCTTTCCGGTATTTATCGGCCTATCCTTTTATCCGCTACCGTACTTTTTCTAAATACTACTTAGCTTCGTTATATACCCTAGTTATTTAATAAGTATAAAGGTTACTTCCTAGATTCTTAGGAGTACCTAAAGAGAGGTTATATATTACTAAATACTACCTATAGTTAACGTAAAAGGATAATATACCGGTAGCTATTAAAGCGGTATTATTATAAGTAAATTCGGTAGTAGGTAGTAAGCTTTCTTAGTCGCTTATTTCGTAGTTTACGAAGACGCGTAGGTATACTTTTAAGATTTAATTAAGTTTCTTCGTTTATTTATTTATTTAGGAATAAAAGGCGGTACTTATTCTAGGCTTAACGCCGAAAAGCTTTAAGACGTCCTTCTATATATAGGAGGTAAATCGTAAGTCTCGGTCGGAAATAATATTTAAGAAGATCCCATATAGCCGCTAATAGTTACGAATAAAGATAGGTATTAAGTCTTCGGCTTTTTTACCGTCCTTTTTTAGCGGAATAAAGTACGCTATCTTAATAAAGGAATCTACGATAACCTAGATAGAATTATAATCGTTAAACATTAGCAGGTCCGTAATAAAGTCCATCGCGATCGTTTATCATAGTCGGTAATATAGTTCCATAAGCTATAGTAATCCGAACGGGATATATCGGGGTACCTTATTTTACTAGTACTCGCGATATCCCCTAACGAATTCCCTAATTATTACTTCTAGGTTAGGTTACTAAAAGTTTCGAGTAATAAGTTCCATGGTTTTATTTATACCTATATATCCCGCTACTTTAATATCGTATTCCGATTTAATTACTTCCTATTATAGGTCCTTAGGTATCTAGAAACGGTTTCGCCGGTAAAGAAAGCCCTCTTGGAGCTTTATTTCTTTACCGAGTAGTTTAACTAGCTAGGCTTAGTACTCCGGGTCCTATATAGCTACCGTTTTAACCTATTTAATAAACTCTAGGGTCTAGATAAGCGCTAGGATATTACTTAGCCGTACGCTAAAGAATATTACCGTAGGTAAGCCTAAATTTTTTAAAAAATGCTTTTCCTATAGGACCGTCGCTATCGGCTAGTCCTTAGCTCCCCCTTTTTTAAGGCGATATTATAGTAGTCTAGATAAAATATCGGCCTTCTTATTTTATTTCCCTAGGCGGTAGTATATTATAAAATAATACGAGGAAAGCTATTAGGCCTAATAGGCTTAGCGTCGATTTAATACTTTTACCGCAATAAAGTACGTTAGGTTCTAGTAGTTTAAGTATACTTTTATTTAATGCTAAGCCCCTTCGAAATAATGTCGCTACTTCTCGAAGGCGTCGACGATTATTAGTAATTCCTTATTATATATTTTATAATTTATTTCCGTTAGGGTAAGTCGTCTTAAGAAAAAGGCTACTAATCTTAGTTTTTCTTTATTATCTTTCTATAAAAGTACCGCGGAAATAACGAAATCTAATGCGTCGGCTTCGACGATCGGGACTCGGTTAGGGTCGAAATATATAAGTACCGGAGCTTTCGTAAAGGTTTCTTTTAATTCCTAGAAGGCATTTTCTATTTCGATTTCTTATTTTCATAGTTTACGGTCTCCTTTATTAGCGCTAATAATTAGCCTAGCTATGCTTAAAAAGTTACGTATAAATTTACGGTAAAAGTTAGCGAACCCGATAAAGCTTTAGAAGTCTTTAAGTATAGCTAAGATACGCTAGTTAAGGATAGCTTTTACTTTATCTTTAGATATAATAATACCCTTAGGGCTTATATTATATCCTAAGAATTTAACTTCTTACGTTCGCTAGGTATATTTCTTTAGTACTACCGCTAGATAGTTTTCTATAAGCCGTTTTAGGACTTCTTTAACTAGTTTATTATGTTCTTCTAGCGTATCGGCGTAAACTAAGACGTTATCGAAATAAGCGATAACTCCTACGTCTAGAAGGTCGCGGAAGATATAGTTTATTATGGCTTAGAAGGTAGCGGGGGCGTTAATTAATTCCATAGATATAACCGTATATTCGTATAGCCTATAGCGCGTTTTAAAGGCGGTTTTTTATTCGTCGCCTTCCTTAATTCGTACTATATAAAAGCTAGATTTTAAGTTAATCTTAGTAAACTATCGCGCCGTTTAAAATAGGTTCTATAGTTCGTTAATTAGCGGAATCGGATACCGGACGGGTATTATAATTTTATTTAACCCCCGGTAATTAGCTACCGGTCTTAGGACGTCCGGGTCCTTCTTATCTATAAATATTATAAATACGCCGTAAGGGGCCTTAGATTTCCGGATTTTTCCTATTACTATTATTTCGTCGAACCAAGGTTTTAAAGCGTCTAGCTATCGTCCGCTTATAGCGTATAGGGATCCCTACGGGGGAGTAGTTCCTAGATAAAGTTTAATAACGTAATCCTATAGTTACCGATTAGGGAACCGTTATCCCGCTTCCTTAGTTATAATAGGAACGAAGTCGCGGAATTATTCGGGTACTTATAATAAAACGTCCTTTTCTCGTATAGTTCTTATACGGATCGGCCGGGGGCGGTAGTTCCGGTACTAAAGTAAGTCGAAATATAATCGTCCCTCCGTAAATAAACCCTAGGAAGGGTATTCCTTTATCTACTATTAAGGTAGGATAGTATCGACCTTTTCGTTTAATTTACTAACCTCCTAAGCGACGGGGTAGATATATTCGTAACTACGGAGCTTTATTTCGTTCGTATATTAAAGCCCTCCTAACGTAATCTTAAAGCCGTCGAATCTTATTAAGGTTCTTAGCCTTAAGCGTTAGTTAATAAAAAGGCGTAACTACTCGACCTTAGTAGCGTTAATTAAGGATACCTCGCTACCGGTATCTAATAAAACTCGTAAGGGATATTTTTTTCCCTGGTATTTTATCTATATTATATAGATAAGCCGTTTACCCGACCGGGGTTTACTTTAGTTACGCTAAAGGACTCGTAATTTCTTCGCTATTAGTACTACTTTTATTACTTCTAGCGTTCCGGGCCGTTTTATAGTCGTAATTTTTACGTTATCTTTATTACCCCTTTCTCCCGTTAACGCTTACGGGAAGGCATTTAAAAATCCCGTTTTTTATTTAAATCGGATAGCTTTATAATACGGGAAAGAATTTCCTCCTAGCGTATAGTAGTATCGATCCTAGCCCTTTTATTAGGTAGTAGTTCGGGTTCCTTCCTTCTTTTTTTTCCCGAGGAGACCTTCTTAGGTAATACGGGTAAGTTCCGTCCTTCTAAGTCCTTTTTCGCGAAGTAGGCTAGGGTTTAGTAATTATTTCTTCCATACCTCTAGCAGGCTTTCTTATCCTTCTTTCGTTAGTCGATAGCGGCTTAATTAATTCTAGTTAAAGCCTCCTTATTATTTATCTATCGTAAATCCTTAGCCGGTACGGGTTTCTTACTATCCTTATTTTTACGTTTGGTTACCGGTTAGCCTAAGCGGGAGCGAGTTTCCTTTACGGGTTACCGGTATTACTAGTATTACTAGTCCGCTTTCGTATACTCCTTCTACGAAGCGGACCCTCCTTTTCCCGAAATCCCTAGATTAGCCATTATGTTTTTATAGATTTAGCCGGCTTCTTTAATTATTTTAAGGAAAGCTTCGTCGCTTTTAGGGATATTACTTAGTCGTAAATAAACTAGCTTAATTATTTCGTCGGGTAAGGTACGGGCGATATAATTTTAAAAGGTAGTTCCGGATTATTAGACGATATCGTTAAGGTTCATAAGCTCGGTAAGGTACTAGGAGATATCTCCTTAATACTTAAGTTCTTATATCTTTTTAAAGTTACGATATCGTTCGGCGGGGTCCTTAAATCGTTTTTAAAGGACTTAGGAATATCCTACCTAAGTATCGACGACTATTAACCTCTCTACCTAGGCTAATCGTTATTAATATTAAAGCTAGGCCTTTTCGGTAAGTATCGACCTTACTTAATTAATCTTCTAAATATCCCGGGAAAAACTTTCCTCGTAAGTTTCGAGGTAGGATTTAACTTTAATCTACTATAATCGAAACTTAATTAAGTCTTTACCGTTATAAGCCGTAGGCTTAATAAGGTATACCGGGTTAATTATTACCGTAATACTTCGTCGATTATTTATAACTCTAGTCTAGGCCCGAATTATACGTTCTTCGGCCGGGTCGAGAGGTTCCTAAGGTTCTTTAAAGGCGCCGGGTAAGCGTCGTAGCCTTTACGGATCCCTAGATTCTAAGCCTTCCGAGTTATCGGAATCCCTTAGGTTTCCTAAGGCATTCCGTAGAATCCTTAGTAATTACGGTAATCCTCGCCCGGCTCTTCTGGATATAAAAGCGCCTATAGTAATATCTTAAAAGCGGGCCCGCGCGCGTATAGCGATACGTTTAGCCGCGGTATCCTATAGTACGCCGTCGGAAATAATCTCCTTTATTTTAGCCTCGCTATTAATATATCTCCCGGTAAATACTATCGTAATACGGACGGCTAGCGCGGGAATAAGTATCCTTATCCTTTAACTAACTCCGACGATAATAGATTTAATATTCGTTAACTTATTACTTAATCGTCGTTATTAATATTTCTTAATTAAATTAACCGCGTAAGCCTTAAAATCGTTCTTAATTAGCTAGGTTTTTTCCTCTATAGCCCCGGGAATAAGGTATTCCTTACTAAGGATCTCGTTAATCTATTTATCCTTCTACGTAGCTTAGGAACTAACGTCCGTTATTAACTTATTATATTCTTCGCGAAGCTAGATTAAGGCTCGTTAGTTTTAAAATACGGCGTCTCGGAATTAATCTATAACGGCCGTTCGTATTTTATCTTATCGGATAAACTTAGCTACGGTTTCCTATACGTTTTAAGCGAAGTAAATACTTTACTTTACGACTTACTTCTAAAACTTATGGATTTATATTTTCGTAGTTCGAATACCGGTAGCTTATATAACCGTAGCGGTCTAGTAAAGTTATCGTAATTATTCGTATTATTTCTTTAGAATCGTATTCTACCGATATCTTACGTCGACTTAGTTAGCTAATATTACTAAGCTTTAATAAGCTTATTTCATTTACTTATATAAATCTACGATCTATTACGGAAGGTTTCGTATAATTACTCCTAAGTTCGCGATTTCCGGAGCGTTAATTATAACTACCTCGTATTCTTAAGGTTAATATACTACGAGGGATTTATCGGTCGGTTCGGGGGTTAGTTCCGGCTAGGGCGCCGGGGTAGCTCGTTCGGCGTCCTTTACCTTTAATTCCGTTATTATAGCCTTTAGTTTATTAATCGTAGCTACTATTTAGGCTACCTCTGCCATAGAAATCGACGCTAGCCCCGAGGCAACCGATCGCGGGAGTAGGAATATCTACGGCTCTAGTTCCTTAGTAAAAGGTCGAGGTTAATCTAATGATAATAGTACCGGGGTAGCGGCTTCGGCGTACGATACCGGCTTAGGCGTAGGTTTTCCTTATTATTAGCTTATAATGGAATTATAAGGGTAAAAGTAATATAGAATTATCTATAATAAGGAAATATACTTAGAATAGGTTTAATTTTAACTAATAATTCTATAGGAGGTCTTTTAGGTCCTTATTCTTCTCTAAGTCCGTCGTTCCCTTCTCGTCTTTAATATATCTTATAGGTACCTTTATACCTTAGTACCTTTATACCTTCTACCGAAGCTATCCGAAGCTTATCTAGGACTTTCCTTAGTAGGTCGCCGAGGTAACAGCCTTAATGCCCGATATTATCCTCCTAACCCTTATAACCTGCCCGATCTTATCCTCCTAACCCTTATGACCTGATTATTAGCGCAGGGTTCCATCCCCGTATAACAACGCCCTCCAGGTTGCTGACGTTGCATAGAGACCTTTCGTATCGGCAATCGAGGTCTCCGTCCTCGTCGTTCCCCCAATACTTGGTCACTTCGACGTGTGCAAGAAAGAGGTAGAATCTGCCATGCCTAGCACAGCTAGCGGCGACGTGGCGGGCGCGTTGGTAATCGTGACCTTTCAAGTGAGTTAGACCTAAATATTTCGCTGTGTATTGATGGTCGAGAGGATAGGCAAGAAAGCCCGGCATAGGCTCTTGATCGTGCCACTGGGACAGGACTTGCACGAGCCTTTCGGTCTGGGATTCCAAGGCCGAGGCCGACGGGCAAGAGCTCCCGGGTTCGTCATGGATGAGGTTGTACGTCAGGACCCATCGGTGTCCTGTCTGAACTGTCTCAATCTTTACATCGATGAGCCTCCAGATCAGCCAGATCGAGTATGTATGACTCCGAGGGGGTCAGAGTGTAACTCACCTTGTGAGTGACGTCGGCGTACCAAGCAAGATAGAAGCAATCGAATGCCGAAGACTCCTCGGTGGACAGCCGGAGGGACTCGTTCCCGTGTTGCAAGCACACGGCGCCGCCTGTGTGTAGCGAAGGGAGGCAGATGACAAGCGTCCCGAACATGCCCGCAACCTTCTCGGTACTATTATCCCGGACCATCAGCAGCTATCCGCAACGGTACCGGGGACGGTTCTCACTAGCACTCACTCTTTGTGGGCTCTGAACATGGATCCTGGTTCGTATAGAAGGTTCTTGTAGAGCTCGGCACGAATTTTGAACCGGCCGTCGGCAGCACGCGGGACCCCGAGCTCGTGAGCGACACGCTCGACAAGCTTGTTGACGAAGCCAGACCATGCTGGGTTCCGGAAAGAAATTTTGTCCGCGCCAATCTCCCAGGTCTTCCTCACCGTCTCATCTACCAAAGTTTGTCCATCCTTTCCGAAGGGCGCCTTACGACTCTGGTTGGCAAGGGCTCGAGCCCCTTCTTCAGTCAGCGGCAGGCTTATTGGCTCACTCCCATCCACCGAGATGCCGGGATTCGGGAACTCTTGAATCGAGTCCGCAGTTGCAAAAGATCCTGTCGCCTGAACTTCGTAGATGCTGTCGAGAAGGCTTTGTCGGAAGGACTCTGATTCGCTGTTTTCGCTCGACTGGCCGCGGTCTTCGCTCAACTGGTCGCTGTAGTAGCTCATCTTGGAGAGTGTGTTGAGCAGCTATGAGGGATTGCAGAGCGAGGAAGCAAAATATTCAATCTAATATACCTATAACCATGTGTTACCTAAGGACCGGCCACCATTATTATCCCACTAAAAAAGTCAAAGCCTACCTACCCATTTAATATATAAATAGCCCGTTTAAAAGAATTAAAAGAATTGTAAAAGTTATATTAAATTAAGGTATGTTATCTAATTAGTCTATAAAGTATAGTAAAGTCTTAATTACGTACTGTAGTGGTGCGGTGGATCTAGGCCACGTAGCCTTTTGGATGCCTATTTATATGGGTCGCGCACTCATATTTTCATCAGTTAGACTTAGACCTGTAGGCATCACAGCCATCAGCTATTCATTCGTTTCTTGCCATGCCTTTTCTCGCTATCCTCGTTGCCCTCCTCTTCTAGTCTCCTTCCCCAGCTGCCGTTTTCAGCTGGCCGATCAGCCGATTACAGCTGTTTACAGCTATGATCTTGGTTGATCGGCACTGGGCCAGTTGTTGGCAGTTGGGCAGTCCTTTTCGTGCCTCCATTACAGCGTGCCCACGCTGCTCCTGTTCAGTACGATAATTAAATGTATTATAGGAATTAAATATTATTTTAACCTTTACATAGTAAGTTCAAAGTTTCCTTTTAGGTTACAAGTATTATTATTATTCTTTTTCTTTTTAGATTATCGTACGTATTATAAATGCCGATAAAGCGTATTACTTTAACGTTTGCTATCCAGGTGCCCTAACAGCGCGTTTATACTATTCCTTCTTAGTGTTAAGTTGGTACTACATTACCGTATAATACAGCTACATTGAATACCCCTAATAAACTTCTCATATGACCCATCGTTATCAAGATCATCGAACATGGCATTAACGGCTTTGTTTACAGTACGCTCAAACTCTACATCAATTGCGTATGCCTGCTTTCTCTACGACTTTTCTCTCGAAAGACAAAGCGAATAAGACGCTTTACCTTGGTAGCTTGCTGCTTTGGAAGAGCTTGGCTCATTGGTTGCTATCGTGGCAAGTTTGCGGTAGCCTGCAACGATTTCTGGACTTTAACTTGGGCTTTCAACAGTGAGAGTTTTTGACCGTAGGTATTGCCAAGAACGTCATCTAGACTATCATGATTCTAAAGTTCTTCCGATATTCTGTCCAGGTCGCGCCCAATTTCCCTAACGATCCGTCAGGCATGGGTATTCGAGTGAGAATTTGGGAGCACAGTGCAGAGCAGAGTCGGCGAAGGCAAAGGCCAGGGGCAAGTGGGTAGGAATAAGGTAGTAATAGGGTGAGGAGGAATTTAAGCTCGTGATGAGGTGAGCGGAAATTTAACGTCGTCTGTATCGGCTATCCCAATCTCTTTGCATTGTGCAGCCAACGTCTCGCGGGAATACTGTTTACTCGGTGCAAAGGGATTTATCCAAGTTTCTAAGAGCTTACCACCGTCGGCGCTACAGATTATCCTGTTCTCCTTCCGAGCAAGCTCTTTGCAAGCATCCGCGACTTGGTCGACGCACGCTTGCTTGGCCGCCTCGTCCATGGTTAGCCACGCCTTCTCCAGCGTCCCTCCAGGTACCCGGGTCGTGATGAGATAGTACCGCTCGTTGAATTCGCTGTGATATAAGGCGCGCGGGATCGAGGAGGTTATCGCGATACCGTTGGCGGGGTCATGGAGGTAGGTGGTTTACTTAGGGTTCTGCGTTCGCGGACTCTCTTTGGGAAGGACTGCTTCTGCACTTTCAGGAAGGTCTCGCGGATTCACCAGGCCGCGTTGGCATCACTTGCGTCGTGGACTAGTTGTAATATTAGGCAAGTGGGCGAAAGTGGGCGAGTTTGCGGCAATGGTTGTTGGCTTGCTAGCTCCGAAACGGTAGGTATAAAACGCGCCGGAGCCATCGCCCCAAGATGAGTGAGAAATGTTGTTCATCTCTGGTGAATAAATAGATCTTCTTCGCATTTCCGACTAGGTGAAAGTTGTGTCTTCATGACATTCTATGAGGGAAGATAATTAATATATATATTGCCGTCTGCTGGAAATGGCAGAGTATACAGACCAGCCCAACTAAGGTCCCCTGTACCTCACCCCAGAGCAGGTTGCGGCTTACTGAAGATTCTATTGGCTCCTTCCACTCTATTAACTGGTTGGGGTGAAGTTTTTCGATTCCTTAAGCTACTACCGCTAGGTATTACTGCCGACTGCGCTACCACCAACACCACACCACCAACACTACCACCGCCAACACAACCAACACCAATACTACCTACGAATGATATATATTGCAGATAGACTTTATTACAGCATACCGGAACGGGAAGCTAAAGGAACGCATCTTTATAAAGTAATTCCCGATAACTGAAAGAGTATTTCGACGCGTATTTGTCCGAAAGAGCGACCTCGGGCGGAAATCTGTTTCCAAGGCGTGCCCATTCCCCTCTTCTTAGCCATTCGCCTCCGTCTGGGATAAGGCGGCACTCGTCATACCGGCGGGGCCTCACCACGATACCTCCCACTCGTAGGCTACTAGCACTCTGGCTGTCCTGGATGCGCTGGACGCGTCTGATAGGTAGGAACTGCGGACTCAGGTGCAACTCGGATGGATCTCACCGTCGTACAAGAGAGATGGACTTGGGACAGATGTCTGGGTAGCAGAGGGGCCTGGAAGGCTTTGCAGACGAAAACGCCCACGGGCCTCCAGAAATCCATACCTACTAATACCTACTGTGTTCATGTACGTACACGCGTCCAGCTCGGAACCCGAGATGCCCAATTGCCAATTGCCTAGGTAGCCTGGTAGAAGCTCTCAGGGACACCCCCGAGACCAGGACGTCGAGTCACAATCCCCCCCGTCCGTGAGGCTTGTGCGGTTATGGACGGGTGCGTGCACGCATGCACACAACAGCCACGATGGTTGAGCAAATCGGCAATTCCAGACCTGGGATAGAGCCGGCCGGGAATGGGCTTAGGGCCTAGCTCGTCGGTGGTAGGTCGAAGAATAAGAAGAAGAGAGGCGACAGACTCACCCGCTGCATGTTACATCTTCTCTTATTTGATAGTTGGCAATGCAAATAGACGACGTGCCGGACAAGACTCACACGTACCTGGTGCGACCGGAAGCTTTGAGGCTGGAAGTGATTTGGGGGGAACGGGGGATTTCGAGAACGGATGAGGCGAATGAAGCATGGGTGCTACTTACAGGAGGTAGACATTCAATGGATGGATACCTTAGGCACCCAACCTACCTTAGCAGATAAATAGCAAAGCAAAGCGACTCGTCTCGGCTACTAGCCTCCCCATAGGAACTACCTGTACCTATCTCAATGCAAATAAGTACCTACCTAAGTCACTCCTAGGGCCACCAAATTTGCGTGGAGTAGAGATATGGGTACTTAATCTATTGACATATATCCGTCCATTTGTATGGGCCTAGACGTGGCACGCGAATTCGTGCTAGTATATGCCCGATTACGAGGGCTATGGTGAATGAATCTGTGTACATCCTGCCTACCCCCCTGCTTAGGACGTACAGGGAGGTATGTAGGTGGGGTGTAGGTACCTATATTTCAGACGGATATGGATACACCTGCATACATCAGGTACATACCCTCCTCTCCTACAGCATGTGGGTAGAGCCGGGGGGGGGGAGAGGTGGACCGTCATCAGCTCTCCTCTGGCGGCGGCAGGTGATGTAATAACGCCAGAGAACCTGCTTGCCCCGCCATATTCACGTTGCCGCTTCTCACATGGTATCTCGACTCTCTCTCCTCTCGCTCTCTCTTCCCCCCCTCTGCCTATATACCTACCCACCACTTCTCCCCCCTTCCTCTTCCCGCACCTTTTCTCCCTCGCCAAATCCGCGAACATACCCTACCTCTTCTCGCGCCCATCCGCACCGGAATATACCTACGCCAGCATCCACCGGCATACACCTACGAGGTCGATCTGTCTCTGAAGAAGAGAAGAGGGTCAACTCCGGTAGCACTGGCATATAGACATATACCGCTGTACGTATATGCCGCAACCGAGACTAAGCCTATCCTGTTGGTCACTCCCCTCCGTCAGTTGGTTCCCGACGTTTTTGCACCCCAGTCACACGCAGGCGGCGTGTGAGAAGATCCCAACGACAGCCTAGGAAAAGAACAGGAAGAGAACAGGGAGACCGCACAGTCTGTGCGTTGCCCGTCGCAAGCCCGCGAAAACCCACCCCGGCTCCCCTTCATCAGAAAGAGAGGGCCTAATCAACCGCTCGTTTGTGGGCAACCCCGACCTTTTCTCGTCAACGCCCTCGCCTTCGGTCGCCGTAGCTCGCAATCTTCCCGCAGCACCGCTCCTCATCGTTCTACACTGCTGCTTCGCCCGCAGAGATAGAGAACATTCTGCGCCACCCGCATCCCCATATCGCACATCCGATCCATCCTAGCCAACTTCCGCCTCCGCACGGTATTTACATTTCCCAATCTCCGCCTTTTTCGCTCCATTTCACCACGACCAGCATGGCGTACAAAACCGTCGACGACGATCTAGCCTATGGCGAGTCATATCGTGGTGGGAGGTGGGATAGACATCCCCTTGTCGCCGAAGTTGACCGCATCGACGAGCGTGACCGTGTCTACAACCGTGGGCCGGGTGACAGACTACGGGAAACCTCGGTTGGCGAGAGACGTGAACGGCGATCGCCGCCTCCCAGGGATGGCGATCTACCCATCCGCGGGAAGCGATACTATGAGGAACCCCTCCACATTCGACACTCCCCGCCTCCGGAAGTTGGGCGACGGCTCTACGTGGATCCGGACCTAGAACGGAGACGCGATGAACGCCGAGACTCCCCTCCGCGACGCCCGGGAACGCTGCTTAGACGCCAGTCGTCTCTGGATACCTTTGACCGACGTCCCCCGCCGCGGTTTGTCAATAGGGACGAGCCCGACCCTCCGGCCCGCTACCGCGACTATCGGCCCGAGCCGTACGACCCCATCCCGCTCCCCAGATCCCGAGCGCTGCCTCCACCCAGGATGTACGCAGAACGCGATTATGACGAAATCAAAATCTCCGACCCTGGCCGGTACGGCGACGAGGAATTCCACAACTATCCCGGGCGCGTCCTGGAGAGGGAGATCGTCCGATCGAGGAGGCGGCGCGATAGCAGCGGATCGAAGAGTAAACCAAAGGACGGTAGCGTCCGAAGCAGGAGCACTTCGCGCGCTTCCTCGTCCGACAGCTCGAGCAGCAGCGGAGGCACCGCTATCACCACCAGGAGCGTGTACCCGAAGAAGGGGAAGACGAGGATCCCGGCGCGACTCGTTTCCAAGCGCGCTCTTATCGACCTGTGCTATCCATACACCGAAGAGGTATGCCTCCCCGCCTCCCCTCGGATGCGCATTCCGTAGCCGCTACTAATCGTATTGTGTCTAGGGAAACACCATCGTGGTGCAGTTGGCGCTCGGGCAACAAAACATAGACGACCTACTCAAGCACAGTGAGGAATATAAGAGAGCAGAGCAGGAAGTAACCGCCGCCCGCTCGTCCGCCGGTGGCACTGTCGAAGAAAGACGGCAGGAAGTCTTTGTCATCCCACCTCCGCCCATGCCAGCTCCGCCTCCCCCACCCGTGATCCATACCCAAGCGCCGGTGGTGGCCGCACCTCCGCCGGCTCCCGTCGAGGTATTCAAGGACACCACTATCCGCGAAGCTTCGCCCACTCGCACGGTCCGTAGCCGCCGCAGCCACTCGACTTCGACTACACGAGGGCCGCTCATCATCGAGCCGACGCCGCGCGAGATCAGCGAAGAAGTGCCTATCGGGCCGCTAGCTCTGGTATCCAGCGGCGACAAGCGGCGCAAGGACCGGGAGATCAGCTTGGAAATCGCGCGGCTTCAGGCGGAACGAGACTACCTGTCGACTGAGCTGGAATACCACCACCCACACCGCCACCACCATCACCACAGCAGCAGCCGGCACCGGCGGTCGCACTCGCACTCTCACTCGAGGCACCGGTCACATAGTAGTAGCCGTAGCCGGGTCGGGGAGCGCGAGCTCGTGAGCGCCGAGCGGCTGCCGACGGGCGAGCTCGTGCTGTACGAGGAGCAGGTCGAGCACATCGAGGAACCGCGTCGTGGCGTGCGCATCGAGAAGGACAAGAAAGGTAGGATGTCCATCAGCGTTCCGAAGTATCGGTGAGAGAGGGTGACGGTGAGGTTCGCGCGCCCTTCCCGCACATGCATGCCCGCAAACACATCCTCATCGCCGAGTCTTTCCTAGGCGATATCCCTACCCTCTCGCCCTCCCATCGCCGTCACGGTGATAAAAACAGGGAAGTCCGGCTAACGCGAGGTTTCGTCTCTCGATAGGTCCACCGCCCGGTCTTATGAGGGCTATGCTAGCCACTCTAACCTGAGTCGCGCTCCGGGTTTCGCGTATTTCGGCGCATCCGCGATTGAGCAAGATGGAACGGGGGGGATGGCAAGATACTGGGATCTACCCCGAAATCTTGGCATCAGGCCACTCGCATAGGGGAGGCTTCGGTCGCAAACTGGAGCACCTACAGGACTGCGGGCTATATGAGATAATAGGGTAGGGACCCGACCTACCTTTTTTTTTTTCTCTTTTCATCGCGGTCTGTTCCTGGAGTACTAGGCAAATGTGATGGATAAGACAGCCATAGTATACGACGATACGTCTCCGGTTAGTTGCCGCAATGCTTTTTACCACATCGCCAGATTCGGGTTCTGGGATAAATATATGAGGTCACGATATTCAATGTTGTGGGCGGCATCCATCGGGGGGCGCCGGGATATGACCATGGCTAGAGCAAGATGCGGCAACATACAAATAGGGATCGGGCACATGATGTAATGAGATTTTTTATGAATAACGCCGATGACACGATAACACGTTGACACTTTTCCTGCTCCGTGACACCTCTGTGATATATTCGCCATGTGGACTTGGTTTTCGCCAACAGCGAAATAGACACTTCGCACGTTCTTAACCACGTAGGTATGTATAGGCCGATATCGTTGGTGGTAATAGCAACTTATGTCGAGGGCCTGTTTATTCTAGACCTGCCCTTGGAACAGATCCGTCATCCTCATACACGTTTTCCTCTAACCCGCCCCCGCCGCGGAATCTTCCCACCCGTAACTCGTAGAGCCGGCAGGATCGGGTTCAGCCAAGTTATCCCCTCAGGGCGTGACGTCATACCGCCTCCCCGCACCACCCCGGTGAGCGAAAAGTCTCGGATATCGCATAACACCGGTACATACCTACCATTCAATTATCGTCTGCTATCTTGCACGGGAGACACCTCTTTCACGAAGAGAGAAAATCCCGCCACGACTCCGGGATGCCCTCGCTCCCCGTCAGAAGGTGGCGCTCCGCCGCTCCTCTTGGAGGCGGCACCAGTCGTCGACCTCCTCGACGTACGCCTTGCTCATGAAGGCGAAGGAGCCGCGGGGCACCAGGCCCATGTCGAGCTTGGTCTCGGCGTCGAGGAGCAGCGCCTGGCCGCGGCGGGTGCCGGCGGCCGGCTCGGCGACCGCGCGCAGGAACGGGTTCGCCGTCGCCGCCGCCGCCGCCGGCCCCGCGCCCGCGCTGGCGCACGGCGACTCGGGGAACCGCGGCCCCGACGACGAGTGCGACGACCCGAGGGCCGGCCGCAGCCGCTGCGCGCGCTCCGCCTGCCTCTGCGCCTGCTGGCGCTGCGCCGCGAGCACCGCGGCCCGCTCGCCGGCCACGCCTCGGCCCGTGCACACCATGGTTCGGGGGTGTCGTGGAGGGGGGGGTGTGGGGTTGCCTACCTTTCTCAGCGCCGGGGAGCGCTGGTAATACGAGGGCGGGTGTGCAGCGAAGTAGCCAAAGTGGCCGGGTTACCGATTCTTATAGATCCTAGCAGCGGCCCTAGAGGCTTCCAAGACGTTACCAGGCTCTAGAATCGTTCTTATGCCCCCGCGGCATCAGCAGTACTTATTATACCAGCGGCCGGGTGCCGGACCGCACGAGGCGTCAAAGGGCGCTAACAAGCCATTGTGGTGATGGCTGAGGAAACAAGGACTTTCAACGCTGCGAGAATCGCTTTGTCCTTCGCCTTTGATCGGGGCACGCCGGCTGCTGCGAGGGACGGACCAAAGACTCTTCTTCCTCGCCGTTTCTCTGTCCTGCGGGAAGAGGCTACCCAGCTTGATTTTTCGCGCGCGCGTTGTCTAGGTATGTAATGTGAGTTTACTCTGCCGGATGCGACAACTGACTGGGTATTCGCCGCAGTTCCTGCAGCCGTGGTGGCGACCGACAAAGGACTAGCCTGGATTGACTCCCTAATATCCAGCCAATTGCCCGCTCGACGACGACGTGTGCGATACGAGCTTTAGTTATGAGAAACCTAGTAAAGAGTGCGATGATCCCTTTTCTCCATGTTACAACCCGTCGCGGCAGGAACTCCGCCCCCCAAATATTACCCTTCTACAGCAGTTTCGTTACGCCGGCGGCGTAGAGTCAAGGTAGGTTTATATTAACGGACCGATCTGTTAAGATTATAAAGGGCTAAAGCCCCGTAATGTTGCAACTTCGCAGCAGTTTCGGGCAGTTAATTAACCATTATATTTTCCGTAAGGGAGGGAGAGAGTTTTTTCCGCCCTTAATAATCCCTACCGACACCTGTCGAGATGGTACAAGGTAGGATGGCAAATCTAACGTGTGGAAAAAACTCAAGTCACCGCGCATACATAAAAGTGCGGGATCTATAGGAACAAGCCGCTTCCCACATAATCGGCGCAGAAACTAATACAGACTGAATACAAAAAGGGGCGCGATAGCGGTGTTGGTCGGCAGAACAACAGACGGCAACAATACGTCGAGTAATACGTCAAGCAACCACTACAACACCGGGTCTCTGCCACAGCGGTCCGTAATAATAATAGAGTTTTCCTTATACCATCGCACAGCCTTCCTAGGTGGCTCGGACCATTTCAGCATACGGTAACTAGGTATATGTCTGGGTGACATACGCGATCACGGCCCCTCAAATCCCGGTTGATGCTGCCCCTATTTCACTCACGAATTGGCTTTACGCCGCCTCGGAAACTCACGTCTGCCAGACTGCTCTCGAGGGTGGCCATCTCCGCCTCCAGCTCCTGGGGCGAGCAGTTCTGCTTCGCCAGCTCAAAGTCCACCAAGACGACGTCGTCGTGCCCGTGGCGGACGAGAAAGTTGTGCTTGTTGGTATCCCCGGACTTGATCCCGAGCTCGTGCAGCCGGCGCAACGCCTCCCTGCAGCGGCCGAGATCCCCCGGCCCCGCGGCCCTCGCGCCCTCCACCCACTCGACGGCGAAGCCGACGACGCGCCCGTCTCTGCCCTCTGTCAGATGGCCGAGGAACCTGGGGCCGATGCCTTTACCGTCGATCTGCCGATAAATGGCCGTCTCGGTCTCCATAAAGGGGACCTCCCAGGGCCAGACGGCAAGCTTGACTAACACGGGCGCGCCGTCGCCGCCGAGTTCTGGGTGGGTCGAGACGTGGACTCGCTGCCTCAGCCACTCTTTTTGCGTAAATTCCAGCACGTCTAGCTTTGTAGGATGCCAGAGGCTCTCTACTCCGGAGAGCCGCACCGTCTCCGTCCTGATAAACGCGGTCTGGCCTGTCTGCGGGTCCTTAGCCACGTAGCCTTTGTTCCAATTCCCTGTGGGGAAGGGAGGAAGGAGCTCGCTAAGCAGGATCGGTCCAAAAGTGCGGTCGTCCTCGGCTCCGCAAAATACTCCTGGCGCTGTGGTTACATATTTAACGGTTTGCCTGTCGACCAGGAACCGGTATTCGCTATCACCCGTATCTTCCTCGTCGATGAGACAGGAAAGTAGCTGAACGTTGGAGTTCTTTGGTCCAAGGGCGGCCATAGCGGAGGTGCGAGACTGGAGACAAGTGTAATTTAGAAAAAAATGTGTTTTAGGTGCAAACGACCGTATTCCGACGACTACGCGGGCTTGTAAAGATAGCTACTCGTACAATGAGTCGCGGTGTCCGTTTAAGGGTATGGTGATACTGTCTCTGCATGACACTTTGATTCGTCCTATGCGTGGGGATAATAATAATAGGGTGAGTGACTAGCTTAAAGCGGGCATGGGACCGCACACTTATTAGTAGCCGCCAGGGTTGTAAAAAAAAGTTTTTAAGTTAAGTTTTAACGAAACTAAACTTAACTTAACTTAACTTAACTTAACTTAAAAAAACTTAAAAAACTTAAACTTTTTTTTACAACCCTGGTAGCTGCTTGGTAGCCAATTAATCCGTCATCCCAGCAACTCAACCAGGTTGGCTAACTCGAGGTGCACAATATGACCTGGCCAACACCAACGGCCAACACCAACGGCCAACATGGGCGTGAAACGTTACAAAAAAAGACACAGCCTACCAATGGACGATTCGATTAGGGGGTAACGGAAAGGGCACTTGATGTAGTTCGAGGTAAAAGGGCGTTCCATACGGGCAGAGACGGAGGGGAGAAGGGAATTTTAACGAGATCAACATGCCTACGTAGTAAGAAGCTTAGAGACCATGTCAACTTTGACTGGAGTGCATAAACCTACCGGGTATCCTCGGCATCTCCCTCACTGGCCCGTGCCTTGCAATATGTTCTAAAATGCCTTCTCTCGTATACTTGATCCTGAAATGCCTCGCTGTCTCATCCGTCTCATCCCTACAGCCAAGGCAAAAGCATCCCCAGTCGACTTGTCGGCCAGCATCGAGCAGATACGGCGCGGTGACAATGGCCATGTATCTGCGAGGTTCTCTGGTGGTCCTGTCCAACTTTGGGGGCCCAAGGCTGGCCTGACTATGGACTGCTACTGCCCGACGGTCAAAGATTCGAAGCCGCTTCCGCGCCAGGTTCCCCCCATCGCTGCCCCAGGCGCTACAATACCTCCCGGGCAGGCTTAGGACGTTCGGGAGGTTTGCCGCGTACAGTAGTCGGCGAGCAGTAACGCCACTGCGCTTCTGCGCCTCGTTGGGAGCAAAGAGACTCGATGCTAGGCCAATTGTCAGGGGAAGGTATTCCGGCCGACCGGTAAAGCAAAAGTAGCAAACTCGGCGGCAATCGATGAGGTAAAGGTGGTCTCCAGAGCGGTCGCACGTGGAGCATCGCGTCGTGCTGAGGATTCTGTACAGCGTCTCGCAGTCAAACGCATCTGCCTGGATGCTCAGAATAGCGCGGATGATGTTCGGGCAATGCCTGACGAGAGCGGCGTATTGGGGGAGCGAGTCGACAAGCTGCATCGCGCGGCGGTTGGCGCGGCGGAGGCGGGTCAGCGAAGGAATGTCGAGTTGTAGTAGGACTAGGAGGACAAGTTCTGCTGGGAGATGGTCGAGCTGGCCGGCGGAATAGCGCGCGGGGGTGGACGCGTCGGCGAGTCGCCCATTGTCGAGCGGGCATCGGGTTGCGAGCTGCGCATCGTCCAAGGTGTTGTCGCAGATGTTTTGCTTCGTGTACACGTCGAGATCGGGGGCGGCTTTCTCCATTACGACGCGACCAAGCTTTCCGATAGCTATTGTTTTACTAGCAGAGTGCCCGCTCGCGATGCGATGCGAGCGAGGACTCCAGTAAATGGTGTTTACTAAGTGCATAAGGCTATTTATCACGTAGCTGGAACTACGTACGCGAAAGCGCGCGCGAGGAGCTATCTCACGAGCAACGAGAGGAGGAGCGAAAGGTGAAAAGGTCTTGGTTCTATCTAAGAACGAGCTAAGGAATGGAAGGCAACGGGAGCGAATATATAGGAGCTCCTGTTGCTGAGGTAAGCAACGAAGAGGCGCAACCTCTACGTGACACTATTTAATTGGCTACATTTAACGGGCTCCCAATAGGTGCACGGGCCTGTGCAAATAAAAGTCATCCCATAAGCATTTCGTCCCCTTTTTAGCCGAGAGCCTCTTTTTCAAGTGCATCACGAAAATGAATAAAACGAACAAAATATTCAAAAGTCACAAAAACTACTGCAGATTGCCATACAGATTCTGTTCCTCCGCAATATCCTACTCCACCGATTGCCACACATCCTGGATTCTCTGTAGCCGTGCTCCCACTAACTGTGTATGTGCCTGTGCTGCCTGCACCTCTGCTTGAACCTCTGCCTCGAGGGCCCGCGCGACCCGTACTAACCTACTCGGTGTGTGCGGGGTACGGGCCGATATACGGGCCGTACGTGTACGCCGCCGCCCTGTTGCTTCTTCCGGTGCCTCTACCGGTGCCTCTACGTCTACATCTGCCTGCTCCTGCCACGCCGCCTGGGCCTCGTACTGGGCTACCGTTTTGGCCTGGGCCTAGCCTAGTGCCGGTGCTGTCATATCGGTCATAAGCTTAACCGCTGCTCGAGCTGCCACCTCTGCACGGTTGTGTACAGAGTGTTGTCGATCGGGCCGGTGCTTTAAGGCCCAGGTATGACCTTCGGCTCAGGGTGTCTCACCCTCGGCTCAGGACGGTTCAGGCCAGCTCAGTTATAAAGATGGAAGGGGAGATTCTGGATGTCGGTTTCGGGATCGTGTAGTAGCTGTTTCAAGTCAAACTGACACAAGCGGCAACTCGAATGCGGGATACGGTAGCACTGAAGCTTATCTTCATCATCGTCATTGTCCATCTGTATGTTGATGCATGGAGCTACGGAACTCATGTTTGTGGGGAAAAGATGCCAAGTATCGACAAGGCTTGACGTTGAGATGGAAATCAAGGATTCCTACACCGAAGTCGTCCGCGCCAAGTACAAGACGGACTTTCACGTCATTAATAAGTTCCATGAGACGCCGCGACCATTTTATGCCAGGATTGACGACGCGCTACGGTAGGAGATGGCGTTCGTGTTACGAATGCCTTCGATATGTTCACCCGTGGGCAGGAGGTGCTCTCCGGCGGTCAACGAATTCACGACCCGGCTGAACTCGAGGGACGTATCCGTGCCAAGGGTGTCGACCCGGAAAGTGCTGGCATCAAGGAGCACTTGACGAGTTCTCGACAGGTCGGTGTACCACCACATAGTAGAGGTGGCATTGGTCTCGATCGCGTGGTTGCTTGGTTTCTGGCACTACCAAGCGCTCACCTCGCGGCGTATTACCCTCGCACACCTAAGAGACTGCTGCCATGAGGCATTCGAGAAGAGAATGCCTAGGTGTAAAGTGCTCATCTTGCGTGTACCTAGGTACCTAATTATCCTCCGGATAGGATTAGAGCAAGAATATACGGAAGCTTAGAGAATGGAGCAGACATATGCATATATAAATGCACCCCACGTGCAAGGCCTGCGGCATCATCTACGCAGACCCCTTTTTAGACACACAGCGAGAGAGAGCATCGACATGTTACAAGGCGTAACGATTAATCTCGCATCAGATAAACCACAGCCAATTTCCCGCAGGACTATCGTGCCAGAACGACAAACTAGGCGCCCTCTCGAGAACGCCAGCGCCTAGATCCCAACCCCTTCTCGCACTGCCGCCCCCACCGGACCGCGCAGCCGATCTGACGGCGGCGGAGACGGCATCACCAGTCGTGCTCGGTGAGCTCACCCTGGACCTCGACGTCGGCGATGGGGCACGTCGTCGAGTCGCCGACCTGGGAGGGCTCGACGAGGCAGGCGCCGGGGGAGGTGTCGCGGGCGAGGGCGGTGACGCCGGTGGCGATGTACGTCGGGGCGGGGGCGGCGGCGGAGTCGTCGCAGGCCCAGCGGCTGCGCAGCGACAGGGTCAGGGTGTCCATGTCGAGGCGCACGCTGGTGAGGAGGTCGGCGGCGCCGAAGTTGAGGCAGTCGTGCGCCGCCGTCGGGTCGTGGCCCACGATCGCCCCCGTCTGCCCGTCCAGCCGGTACTCGACGTCGCACGCCGCCGTCACCCCCGTCGGCACGTGCTGCGCGAACAGCTCCACGCGCCCGCCCCCGCCCCCCGGCCAGTCCGACGACGCCGCGTGCGTGATCTTCCAGTTCGGCCGCGTCGTCGACAGCTCCGCGCACCCCGCCCCCGCTTCTTGCCGGATCGTCTTCATCGTCGTCGTCGGCAGGGCCAGGGCCACTGGCGTCGCCGCCGCAGCGACGTAGAGAGCGATGTGTCCTATTTGCAATGGGTGCATGTTGCCTTGTCTTTCTTTCTTTTTTTCGGTTCCTTTCTTTTTTGTTCGCGCGTGTGTTGGTAAAGATCGCGCCCCCGAGGGCGAAGGTGGCGTCTCTCCACGGACTGCGAAGTTGGCGATAGTAGGCGACTGAGAGACGAAGAGGTTGGAGATGCTCGCGGCCCCTCCGGCGGTGCCGTCGACAGCTTCAATTTAATATCAGCACTGGATATGGCATCCTATTTAGCCTTTATCCCCTCCCGGTCCTACGTAAAGTCACTTACCCGCAGGCTGTATGGAAGTGCTATATATTCTGCAACTCCTAGATTCAATAGCTGCCCTTCCCCTCTCCTGTCATCTTATCGTACAGTAGACAGTTCCCGGTGCGTGCGCCGCGCACAACAACTGCCGATTATGTAGATTATGCCTAGGCTCGTCCGGCCTGGGTGGGGGCGCCGCGGCACGTAGTTAAATACAGAACAATCTGTCCTATGGATAACTCTGTACATCTGGACAAATCTAGAGCGCGGCTTTATAGCGTAGGTCGCTGGCGTGCATGGGTCGTAGCTAAATGAGATAACCAGGCGTTCAGCTAGGGTAGGTTGCTGATAGGATAAGCAGGCCTTTTACAGACATAAGATGTGAAGTAGCTGGGTTATGCTTTACATTCTTCGCAGCAGCATGCGTTTAGCGTGGAAGAGTTTGCTTTTGGAAGTGCAATATATCCTGTGAATTGTTATCTGGTTGTATCTAACCAACCTCCGCAAGACACGAATCGGGGGAATGGTGAGGTTGGCGATAGTTCGGAGCTCATACACAGCACTTGTCGTGAACCGTCGACTTAAGCCCATGCTTGAAGATGCTTAAACATCGGAATGTATCGAAGTGTCGGATAATCCCTGAGCCAGGGATACTTTCAAGTTCCCCGGATATTCTCATTATATTTCAATCACGACCGCGGGAAGCCCTTCAAACATTTCGATACTATCCCCTATAGGATTCTTAAGAGTTATGGCCGTTCGCTAAAGAGGCGGCGACCTTGCGATACGGAAAAGACCGAGACGACGAAATCGCGGCGGCGAAGTCCCCGTACGGAGGGTTTTCGCCGTCCACCGCGCGAAGGACGAGCCCCATTGGCACATGTTCGGAGCTGCTAGAAAGAGTGATTTCAAATAACGAGACGCTGAACGGCTGGGTAGGCTGCGTGTTGGTTTCCTCGACTTCGATGGTATCTGGACAATATTTAGCCGTGTTTATCTTTGCCAATTATTCTTGACTTTGGCCCGGGTTGTCTCCCACCGGGAGCGGCTCAAGCGTTTTCCCGTTCACGTCTTCACGTAGGCAGTATGGCTCACCTTGTTCTGCGACACCGCCCGCACTAACAGCATTAGGCGACGACAGTCAATAGCTTTGATTGAAGCAACCGTGTAACCAACCCAATCAAATAGCCATCATATCGCACATGACCATCGCCCTTGGAATACATGCAGCAACCCATCACACGCACTGCGGCGGCCAGCGCGTAGGTCTGAGCGCCATGCACTCGAGGCCCGTCGCGACGGCGACGCGCCGATACTCTTCCTCGTGCTACGCGCGGAACTCAAGCGCCGCGATCACCGCTCGCAGTTTCGCGCGGTCGCTCGTCGCGCTGCCTCGCTTGTTGCCAGGTCCGTACTGCTCGAGTGGAAAACCGGCGGCGCCGGCGTCATCGCTGAAGAATTCGCCCCGTTCAACGAGAATGCGGCGGGGGGGGTGCCCGTCGCCCTCGCTGCCCTTACCCCTAGCCAGCCTTTTCTATGTAAAGCTGTAGTCGTTGTTGTGTGAGGGTGTAGATTGGTCGTTGTTGTCGTTGTGGACGTAGTAGTCGTCGACGATGATTAGCATCTCGCGGCTGTCGTAGCGGCGGGTAGCGTCTGCGGCGGAAAGTGGCGCTCAGGCGTCTTGTCGCGGTCGCGCGGCATGAAGAGGGCGGCCGGGTGGACGACGGCGCGGCGATTCAGGTGTCGACGGTAACGGGGCGTGTCGTGCGACGACTTCGGCCAGGAGAGAGACACGGCTGCTTGTTAATAGAGCGGTCGATAGCTTTCTGAGCCGGCACTCGGGGTTGGGGTGACGCCCTATCGCGATGAGGTGTAGCGAGAGGCTTCTAACTTGTGCCAGGGAAACATTTGCCACGGTGTACCTACAATATGAGCGCAGGTGAGCTTCGTTTGGATTACTTAAACTACCTGTGCTGCCGCCACAACCGCCACTACTGCCGACACTAAGTACTTAAGCTACACTACCACTACCACCACTAATTATGCTGCAACAATACTGCCATGAACCCGCCGTTGGGGTAGGCTACAGGGCAGAGGTTGGGCTGGTGTACTGTGTATTTTAGCTGTTGAGGTGAGGTTATCGCTGTTTTCGTCCGACCCCCCGGTGAAGTCTTCCATGCCCACAACCCGATATCTGCCTTCCACCGCGGCCCTTACTTCTCCCAGAAGGCCACGCCATAACCGTTGCCCTTCTTCAGAGCCTTTTTCCACGCCTCGCGCGAAACACACCTATCATTCCACTCCCTTATCTTCGGGTACTTGTCCAGGTCGATACCGCATCCCCAGCGTCCGAAGTCGACGTACCACTGCAGCACGAAATCGAGTCCCGTTGGCCGCTCCGTGCCGTTGAAGAACTGGCGCCCCTCGAGCTCGGCGTCTAGGAACTTGAAGACGCTATCGATTTCGGCGTCCAGGAATGCCCTGCTGAGCACCCACAGGATGCTCAGGATCAGCGGCCGGACGAAGAAGGGCGTAGAGTGAGCGAGCGCGCTCAATACGACCTTGAGGCTCATGTACACGTTCGCCGACGTCATGCCCACCGAGAGGAGCTGCTGCTCGCGGAACTGGTCGTTCTCGCGGTCGTCGGCCGGCCGCTTAAACCGGCCCTCCTTGTCGTACGTCTCGATCAGGTAGTAGGCGATCGCGCTGCGCTCGGCGATCGTGCGGCCCGAAGCCGTGACGAGCTGCGGCGCCTTGCCAAGCGGATGTGTGTCCCGCAGGGCGACTGCCGCGCGGCCCCGGTCCCGTTCGTGCAGGACGAGGTTGTATTCGATGCCCAACTCCTCCAGCAGCCACAGGCTCTGCTGCGACCCCGAATTCTGGACTCCACGTGAGCTCCTATCGCACCGAGGTCGCCAACGCCGCTCCACAATACAGGTGGGATTCCGGACGGGGGTCGGGGTAACTCACGGTCATAAAATGCAACGTAGGTTTGTTGCCCTCCATCCTACCGCATTCTGTGAGTCGCGACGCAGAAAAGGCGGTTTCGGTTTCGTGCAGTTCATAACTTAGCATTGGGCCCCTTCCCCATATTTATAAGGAAGTTCATGTATTTGCATCACGTATTTGTCGAGGCTCCCTGTCTTTGTTCGTCCCTCGCATCGCATTTCCGTCCGTCCAACAGGTGGGTCCCGGCCAACGGTCTTGCACCACGTTTTCTATGGCCATGCTATCATAGTATCTCGCCCTGCGTAATTAGCTTAGCAGACCACGGTGGGCCCGGGTTATACCTAGGTGTATAATACTAGGTACGTTAGATGGCCATATCGATTGTATGAAGTGCCGCTTGTAATTTGCCGCGAGCGTAGCATCCGAGTTGTGAAGCTGGAGAACGAGATGCCGGGTTGCCGTCGCCGTGCGCGCACAGGACACGCCATTTTATGTGTATTCCCAGGTCTTCACCGAGGTACGCGACATTCTTTTGGATTTCTTTTCACCTCACAGGTACCTACGGTAGGTACATATAAGCGTAAAAGAGACGGTACTTATGAATTACTTGGCCCAGCCACAACCCCACCCTTCATCTTACGTAGGCATGAATGGCCACCCGCTACACCCGAACCGATCCGCATCCTGGAGATCTCAAAAGCTTATCCCGTGTTGGACCTTCATATAAATGGTTGGCCACAGTAGCACCATTCGTCTAAACAAGATCCCGCAGCAGAACAGGACCGTCCGACGGACGCGGGAGCCATATTTAATTAAAAATAGACGTCGTCGTCATCGCCCTGGGATGGTTACCTATGATAACGGTTATGCGTACTACCTACCTCCTACAGCCATCAAGGCCGAGATCGAGATATCAGGGGCTTAGGTAGGTACGTAGTGGGAAGCGCGACGCCATGCGCGTCCGGGTCGACGTAATATTGTAGAGCGATTTCGATTCCTCGGGGTCGGACGATGAAGGCGTTGGCGCAATATCCATCTCGACGTAGTAAGAATAAACGAGAGGCAGAAGTGAGGCAGGGTCGGAAACAAGCTCAACCTATACCTACCGATCTTACTACAAAGTGTAGATTGCATTATCGCGCGTCCTTTACGTGACAGACTGACACATGATATCATCCTAGGACCATATGCGCGTTCGGCTGGGCACAGGTCAGCTATCGTATGCGATCTGTAGGTCTAGGGGCAGAATCGTAAACCCTTCGACGACCACGGCCGCGGTCTTCTCGTCCTGCTGACATGCAGGGAGCACTGATCTCAGTTGATCGGTAAGAACCCTACAATCCCCCCCGGGTTCCGTCGTGGCACCGCAAGTGGGAATGATTGCAAACCCCGAAATGGGGAGAGCGGTAGGTCATCACTCCACGTACCCGTTGTACTTGCGATGTACCGAGCTGCGCATTTCGTGCGGCAGGATACGCACGCGATACCTGCTGGCCGGGCATTTGCCAGTTGAGCAACCATCTCGGTGTGTGATTCAACACCCCGAGGCAGACTGCGATCACGGAAACCGGAGGCAGGCGTGTGGAATGGTATCTCTTCCATAATAATGCCCGCAATCTGGCCCGCAATCTGGCCCATGCTCTCCCTCCTACCTCGCCCAGCCTGTCTTCGTTCCACCCTCGCTCTTCATCTTTTCATCCCCCTCTTTATCCTCGACCGTCAGCGAATCCTCTCCCGGAAAGAGTCGAGAATATATATATATATATAACAAGAAAACCATCACCTCTACCCAGCAGCCAGCCCAGCGCCGCCCCCCACCCGCCAATCAGGTCCGAATTCTCCCCGCCTCGACCCCATTCCCGAACTCATTCCTCGTCGTGTATGCCTACTCATTCCGACCCGGCCCCCCTCCCACTAGACCGCGGGTATCGCTAACAAGGACAGGTGCACAGGTGATACGCGTGTACTGGAGACCGCTGTCCAACTGAGTCTGCAAGATGTCGTTCTCCGACCTGCCGCTCGAGCTCGTCGACGAGATCGTCCGCGAAGCCGTGAGAGTCTGCCGCATCAGTAACAAGCAGATGCTACGCCTGCGTCTCGTCAACCACGCCTTCGATGCTGCTGTGGAGCGCACCGCCTGGATCGCCGGCGCCTTCGACCACCGCTTCCAAGGCATTTTGTCGGAGCCGACCCGAGAGCGCAAGGCCTTCTGGCTGCGCTACATCACTCGCCGGACCCTGCGTCCCGCTGCGCGTCTGCCCCGCCCTGGCGGCCACCTGCGGCTGCTGAGAGACCACGCTGAATTGGCCCTGCACCGTCTACACGGACAACAGAGCTCCGACGGCGTTACCGCTGCCCAATTTAAGGAGTGTGTCAATGAGATGTGCCGGCTTCTCGACAGACAACCGGGCGTCTCAAGACCAGGCCACGCGATCGAGAGGGTAGCTGACGAGTCGTTCCTGGTCGTTGCCGCTCATATGACCGACCTCGAACTCGCACGTCAGATCATTGAGGACCCCATCCGATGTAACTACTCCGAGTATAATAGCCGCGTACCGGAGGTGAGTGTATGAAGCTGTGCACGTCCATCGTTTCCACAGGGCACTTATCAGTGGTGGATGACACTAATCAAAAGGGTGTTTTGCAGATGAAATTTCTTGAAGCTGGTCGAATAACCAACTGGTAGCGTCTCGGCGGCGTCCTAGTTCCTGTTGAGGAATATAATGGGTAGACATACCAGCGCACAAGGAAGAAATCTTATGCCATCCTGTCGCAAAGACGGGTTGGAATACCTATCTAGATCGATTGTGGAAGGTGTGCGTCCAAGCTCCGAAAAGAAGTGATTCCAAGTTTGTCGGATGCCGCCATCCAGCATAACTTAATACATGTTTGTCCTGCCCAGTCCTCCTGTTAGGCTGCGTATCTGAGACCGTGTTCCATCCTGCCTCGTCACTGTCGCCCAAGGCTTCATCGCAATATCGACTGATCAGATGAATATATGCGGAATTTACAATGACTGGCATCGCTACCGACCGATTCCAGGGCCAAAATATCGACGGTCACGATCGGATTTCGCGTATTTGCCTAGGGCATGAAACGGTGTACGGTGTATGTACAATGCACTGCCCTTAAACTCCCACCCCCTTTCCCTCCTTAGCATACGCCGGGTCCCGCTTCCAACTTGTCTACTACCTCCTTGGCGACGAGTTCGTGGATGGGATATGTCGGGTGCAGGTTGTTGAGCCAGAAATATTCGTTCACAGCCACGCCACAGCTCGGCGTCAAAGTATCTTGCGTCGGGGTGCCGCTATCGTAGGTATTAATTATCATGCGACAACGAGCCCTGATGCGGGTAGGCATGTGATGGGTGGGCGTGGAATCGGGTGGATTTTCTGTTAAGGAGAGGTGGGATAGGGGACTTACTTTTGATACGCGGTGCAGTACGCGGTAGTGTTTTTGAGACCGGCAGTCTGTGGGAAGGCAGTTGGGTTATCTATGACCCGGCCGAAGCTCTCGTTGGTGTCGTAGAGCCAGACGTTGACCTGCTCGGTGTGGTTGGACTTGAGGGCAGCAGCTAGGTCGGCGACGCGGCCATTCCAGTCAGCGATAGCCGCGCGCTCCTGCTCGGCGGCGCGCTGGCCCTGTCCCACCGTGAGCGGGCTGCGGTCGACAGGGGGCACGTTGAGGAAGACGAAGTTGCGGGCGCCGGCGTCGTAGAGCTTGGCGACGAGCCCTGCGTACACGGAGAAGATGCGCGAGTACAGCGAGGGCCACGCATCCGGCCCGGAGCCGTACGTGTTGCCAACGTCGTTGATACCGATCCAAAAAGCGAAGAGGGAGTCGGCACCGGTCCAGCGCGGGGCCGATGGGGCGCGCGGCGAGGCACCCGTGTACGCGGGCGTGAACTCGTCCTCGACTTGTTGGCGCACCGAGAGGACGGTGGGGATGTACGGCTGCACGAGAGCGGAATCGACAGTGGCGCCACCGTAGGCGAGGTTGTAGGTCTGCAGGCGTGATGCGTTGTACTTGAAGGTCAGGAAGCCGACCCAATTCGGCCCGTTCGACGAGGTCCAGCCCGGGTAGTCGGGGTTCCCGAAGGGCTTCTCGGGCGAGGGCGGCGACAGGGTGTAGTTAAAACCTGTTCGCCGGGGAGCGCGGAGCAGCTGTGGTTAGTCCTGCGAGTGGGCGGAAGAGGACGTATCGGATGAGACGTCGTCGCAATCTCAAAACGTTATACGGTACCTGTCTGTGTGTAGCTATCTCCACTGGGGGGGCCAGGCATGGTTAGCTGGGGGACTCTGTAAGTGAGCTCAGTCAGGTCGGGCCAGCTAACAAGACGAATGCATGCTTGATATTCTCCCATCCGGTCCATTGCGCCGTCACCACGCACGCGTCCCTGTTCTCAGATGGCAAAGCTCCTGCTCCTCCGACAGCCAGACACGCCAGCGCCGTTGCCACCTCAGCTATAGCAAAGCGAACCATCTCCACGGGTTGGGCTAGAGAGCGACGAGAGAGGGGGAGGTAGTAGGGCTTCCCGGATCGAGGACAACGACGACGGCCGAACTCGACATTTTATATGTCTACGTGTAGAGGTATCAGATTTTATTGGATATGCAGCCCATTACCCTACCCTGTCTACGGAGTCGCATAGCTACAACTGGGAAAAAACTCCACTTTTCGGTGCGTACACCCTAGGGGTGTGGTAGGTAGGAAGGTGCAGGTTGAATATTTAATTATACGTAGGGAAGGAGCTACCCTCTGGTTGGGTCGGCCAATAGGTAAGCTAGACTACCCCTTCGCGAGCCGGGTATTTTATATAGGTTTATATATAAACGATTTATCACCGTAAAAAACCGGAAAAAAATCGGAAAAATCAGAAATTTGCTTACGTAATTAATTAGCTTAATTAAATTAATATATAAACTTTTCGGATTTTTTACTTAGTAATATAAGAAATGATTTACGATTTAAGGGGTTTTAAAACTATATTAATAATTTCCTATATAATTTATTAATAACCTTATTAACTATACTTATATTAATATATTTACCTAATGTTCTTACGGTAATGAAGTAGGTCTATTACCTAATGCTTTATTTTAAAAAAAAATAGCTTGTATTAAGTAATTTTATTTTTATTTTTATTTCTGTTTTTATTTAATTTATTATTTCAAGAAAACTACGTTTTTAAATAGGTTAAAACTTTTTAAAATCGTACCTATTTTTATAGTAAGAATTCTACCTTTCTAACTATCTTCTTTTTTTATATAAAGAGGTTCTAAAAAAGAATACTAAAAATTAACGTGTCACATAGAGAGCCACTTATATATGGCTCCCTACTCCTTCTCGAGTTACTCGCTTACCTAACATAGCTCCCAGCTCGCTTATATAACATAGCTCGTAGCTTCCTATCGTCTATATTGTAGTAGTGCGGTAAGACATGCCCTCTTAATGCATCACGTAACACGCTACGATAGGCCTTATGCCTATATAGAGTAACCATAGCTCCCGTAAGTACGGGACATGCCATGCTTATTATCTAGTTCATTACCTAGCTAGATTACTATCTTTACTATTTTTACCTTAATTAAAGATTCGTTTTTGCTATTAGATTTATCGTTCTCCGATTAATATATCTATCTTAGTTATAAGCGCTTAAGTTACTTCGTCGTACCGCTATGGCCGAATAAGTAACTTTTACGTTTTGCCCCTTTTCTCCCCTTACCTCTTATGCCTTCGGGCTAGCGACTACTATATCTCTACGACTAAGGGGCATAGCTAAGATACGATAATTACATTAGATTCCTTGCCTCTCGATTAATATAGCGATATTAGTTTCATCTATCCTAGACCATCGTACGTACTATAGTCTTCGATAAAGTATACTTTCAAGTGAACCTATCCGGGTCTCTAGCATCGCGTACGCTCTACTCCTCCTCAATATATAGGTAGCTCGTATCTCCTTTATTAATCTCCTTCCTTTTTAAATAGTTAGTTAATTTACTTTCTTCTTTCTACCTTCCGTTACTCCTAAGAAGCAACCTTAGTACCTACGTAGCTCTCCTAACCTACGTATTAATTATAAGCCCGGTAGTTCTTCTAAGGAGCTAAGTTAACTAAGGTCTTATTATATAAGCTTCCGAATAATCTTATTATTTATCTTTATCTCTTTAATCTTTCGATTAATCGTTTTTTCTTTTAAATATCGCTCTCGTCTTCCTCTCGAGTAATATATTTATAGTAATAACGGATACTAACGGAGACTTCTCTATTAAAAAGCTACCTATTAATATTAACCTACGTAACTTCGACGAATATCTACGATAATTTATTACTTTCTAAAACTACGCCGAGTAATTCGATATTTAAAAGGATATTAATCCTAATATAAACGATTATAAGCTAAGCTCGGCGATACTTTTATCGCTCGAAGAATTTATTACTTAGGAAAAAAAGCGAGCGAGGAAGTAATACCTTTAAGCTTTTTACGAATAAGTCGAAAAAGATCCTAAGATTCGTAGGAAGGAACCGAAAGCTTTAATCGAAAACCCGCGCTACCTTTTTATCGAAAAGTATAAGTAATTATTCGAATAAAGTCGCTCTTAGGAGTCTTAAGCTACTATCGCCGGGAAAAGCTACCGAGCTTTTTATTATTAAATTATATTCTCGGTTTCTATTAATTATCTCGAGTTCGTCGGTATATAACTTAAAGCTTAGGAACTTAAGCCGAACGTTTAAAATACCGTAAGATTATTCCGCGATTACCTCGCTCCTACCTTTATTATTACGTAAACGTTCGTTCGCTAGGAATACCGCGAGGTCCTATAAAAGATAAAGGCGGGTACTTTTTATAAAAAGTAATTCTTTACTACTTAAAATAACGCTTACTACCGAGCTTTCGCTTACGATATTAACGAAATCCGAGGCGTACTCGGAGCGAAGGACTTCCTCGAAGTTATTAAAGCTAAGATCGCTCTAAATTAAGCTACTCGCGTAACTATTAAACTAATTACGACGGACCGGCTTAAACGATAGCTACTTTCCTTTATAAAGCTAGGTAAAGTACTCGGAGCTTTTATTTCCGAGGATAAAAAGATAGGTAAATCGGGCCTTTATATCTTAGTTACGCATTAAAGAGTTACTTTAGGATATAAAGCCGAAGCGATTAACGTTAGTAGCTCTAATAACTTTAGTAGCTCGACCGATAACGCTAGAGCTAATAAATATCTATATAATAAATAATACCGTTAGGCTTCGGAGGCATACGCTAACCTTTAATTCGCTATTACCGATAAAACGCTACGATAAATCTTATATATACCCGACGACGTAAAACTAGTTATTAAATAACGGTATAACTTAAGCGACTTTACTTTATTCCAAGCCTTTATTAAAAGCGACGGATAAAAGGTTACCGCTCTTAGTTAAGATAGCTTCTCCGGAATTAACTTATTTCGGAATAAGCGTAATAAAAATAACAAGTAATCCGGTAATATTAACGTAACGGTAATAAACCTACGCATTATTTATATAACCTTTAACGTAAGGGTATTTTCTATTATAGATTTAATACGATATCCCCTTTCCGAAAGTACTATCTTCGATAACTACGGAGCTATTTACCTTATTAATAACCGGGATTTATTAATCGAAGGTTCCTTCGCTTCCGCTAGAAACGAATAAACTATCGAAGCTAGTATTACGAGCTTTCCTATTACCGGTATTAGCATACGCGTTATTAAGAACTACCTTTAGAATAAGTCGGGTAAGCTTACGATCGACCTTACGCTTAAAGACGTTATTTTCGTTAAAGATTTCTATATTAATATTATTTCCGAAGTAAAGCTTCTTATTATTAATATCTAGTACTATGGTTTTAATTACTTTCTTCGCCGGGAGTCGATTAAGAACGGATTTATTATAAGAAAGCTCGAACGTCGTTATAACTTAATATTCTTTAAATTTAAATAGTTTTCCGTTTACTCGTAAGTTCTTCTTATAATACCGTTACGTACGCTTATAATAATACTATATAACGTAGTATCGTTCGTTACTATTCCGACGATTAAGGAAAGAGAAACCCGATAGAGAAAATCGAAAAATTAAATAAAACCGAAAGAAAGTTCCGAGTAACTTTAGTACCTTAGAGCTAGGTACCTAGGCCCGGAGGCGCTTAAAGTACTCGTAAAATATACCTAGAATATCGAAATTAATAATATACCTACGCTTAAGTACGAGTATTATAAGCTTACGATAGGTAAGAAAGTAATCTTACGCCGACTATTATTATATCGCTCGTTACGCTTTTTTTAGCGTATATACTAGGATTTATTTAACTTTCCGAAAGAATACGACGGCTTTAAATAAATATTCGTTATTAGAGATAAATATAACGGAATACTTTAGGTAAAGACCCTTAAAAGTAAATAAGGTTACTTAGTTACGAAAACCATTCGACTCTTTAAAAGATAGGTACGACGATAATTCCGTCTCTCGATTTATAAGCTCCGATACGATAACGAACGAGTAATAATCGGAATTAAAGGCCTAACCGGATATAAAATCTAGGCTCGGGAAAAAGGCATTAATCTCGAGCTACTACCGGCGAATACTAAAGAGCTAATTAATAAGAGTAAGAGAGCTAAATAGTTTTATTGGTAGGTATACGTACGTAATAAAGCAAAGTAAATAAGAACGAAAATAGTATGAAATAATTGAGGTAAGACTCGTTATATTAAGTTATTTATTTTAGGAAGCATCTATCTATATTCTAGGGTAAGGAGGCCATCCCTTATATGCTACGTAGGTACGAGGGTACCTAGGATCGCTAATAAATTACTACTTACTCTGTTTTCTTTTCATAATTAACGATTATTAATTATGAACTACCGTTCTTAGTTACGAACTATTACTCCCGTTTTACCTATCCTTTTAACTCTAGATTAACGCGGTTCTCCTCTACTAATGTCCTTATTGCCTTATTTAGTAGCGCCTTAGTTATAGTATCCGTAGGGTTATAATTACTACGGATTTAACGGATATCGTTAATCTCTCGATTCTTATATAACTATCTTAAGGTTATTAGGTCGATTATTAACCGCTTCTCGTTAGTACTACTTATTTAAACTAAGTACTAATAGAGGGAGAACGAATCGGTACATAGTATAAGAGGTATCCGTAGAAGTAAGAGGCGGCTAAGGATAACGTTAATCGTATAATGGAGAACGTATCCTATATCGAAGCCTTATACCATCCCGTAAATCTTACTCGTTAATACGCTCCGCGTAACTCTTTTATACTTAATAAAGGATTAATATATAATATTATCCGTAATTCGGAGTCCGTTATTACTTATTACCGATGGTTCTTTATTACCTAGGACGATAAGGTAGCCGATTTATGAACTTATATTTGCGTTATTAGTAAAAGAGCCGTTTACGAAGATATATAGGCGGAGGTTCTTAGGATCGAAAGTAACGTAG